GGAAGGGAGGGAACGAGGAGGCGGCGCCAGAGGCCTAGGGAGCGCATGTGGCTATGGATATGGGTTATGGGTAGGATTATGGATATGAATATGGTTATGGATATGGGCTATGGGGACGGAGGTACGTAGCATTGGACGCAGTAGCGCAGTGTAGTTAGTGTACGGAGTAGTGTAGTGTAGTACTTCGTATGGATGCGCCTATAATAATAATAATAATGGGGACAGGAGGCAAAGTCCGCCAGCTAGCAGTCGGAAGCCGGGAGACGAAGACGAAGGCTGCTACGACGTACTCTGCCTCCGGAGGACGCAGTCCATGGCAAGTCGATAGCACCAAGACATCAATACTGCAATGCTCCAATACTCCAATAAAATAGAATATATAATATATACTATGGTATAAGTATAATATAATATGATTAAAATAGAATAAAACACATCCTCTACAAAACAGTTCGTAGCGCACTGTCTCTAGACGCCTACTATTGCCTCCCTCCCCCTTCCTTTGCACCGGCCGCGTAGAAGAAACCTGGCGCTGGTAGGCGGTAGGCTGGTATGGCACCGCATCGTGTTTGGGGCTACGATGTACCTTAACCTGACCTGTGGAAGTGGAAGTGGAAGTGGAAACGGAAGCGTTCCCTTTTGATAACGCCGCCCCGGGCTCCGCGCTACAGTACCCACCGCACCGCTTTCGTCGTTCCAACATCTTCATCTCCATCTCCAACTCGCCGTCCCTCCCTAGTCAGTCTGTAGTCTGTAGTCTGTAGTCTCTGGTTCACTGGTTCACTGGTGTCTGGCCTCTAGTCTCCCATCAGGTTCCCCAATCCTGCCCGGCCCAGCGCACTGGCCTGCGGTGTTGCTGCCGTCCAGGCCTGCAGGGTGCAAACCAATAAAGCGAATTGGCCCAGTCCCTGCCGAGGAGCAATCGCAACGCCGCGTGCCGTGCGTGCGTGGAGAGACCTGACTGAGGAGTGAGAAATGAGCATCGTGCCCGGCTCCGACTTACTCGTTCGTTACCGCAGGGAAATCATCATCAGCAAAGCAGCGCAACTCGCACACGCAGACACGCCCGCGCTTGGCCCGGTTGGGCATGGCGCGCAGGGCAGGGCGGTGCAGGGCATTATTGGCTTGCGACCAGGAGCCCGGCGGAGGGGGGGAAGGGCAGGGCAAGGAAACGACGTGAGGGATTGGGGATTGGGGATTATTGGAGAGGCTATTTCGTGCTGGGGGGGCATATTTCATCTTTCGTGTTGGTGTTGGCGTGGGCGTAGGCAGAGGGCGAGGCGAGGGCGACGGGCGTTGCCAATCTTCCCTCATCCACGGCTGGTCATGGGCCAGCAGGAATGGAGACTTGGAGACTGGAGACTGGATGCGGGTTCCGCCTGGAAGTCGTCGGGTTTGGGGGCTTGGTTGCACCGCAATGGGCTGGCGACCTGGCGACCTGGCATCTGGAATCTGGATTCTGGCATCTGGCATCTGGCATCTGGACCTAGCCGGGCCCGCGCGATGCCCGCTTGCTGTCTTGTCTGCCTTTGATCAAGATTCTGCAAGTCGAAAAGTATTTTGCCCTCTAGTCGCTCCCAGCGGGGCGCTACGACTGGGCAGCGGAGAATGCGCCACGGGAGACTCGTCAGACTCATATTACGAGTATTCAACTCACCAGGCCTCCGAGATTCATCCATCCTTGAATATGCTCATCCAGCGACTGCGATTCGCGCTGGGGCGGAGGCCCCAGCTTGGACGGCAACACGCTCGACCACCGCCGCCTGGCGTGTGCAATAAGAAGAATCCCCCAGTGACCCAGGCTCAGCACTTTCGTAATGCACCGACATGCCAGTGCCAGCTCCAGTGCCAGCTCCAGCTCCAGGTGAGCATAGTGCGGTCGTGTCGGGCACGCCCAGCGCGGCCGCCAGGGTATGATTGGCCCGAGACATTCTTTGAGACTGAATGCTTCCTGCGCAGTGCCAGTACGAGTGACACCGAGTGAGTGAGATTCCGCTAGGATGGGGATGGGATGGGATGGGATGGGGATGGATCATGGCGATTCACGAAGGGAGCGTCCGGAGCATGGCGCGGGCGGCCTTTCGTTTGGCGCTGGCCGGGTTCTGCTGGTTTACAGTACGGAGTAGTACATGTACAGTAGTAGTAGGTCCAATCCTTGGAATCCGCTCCAGAGCCCAGTGGCCTCATCAGCGGATGGTTTGGGGAGTTGGTTCCACGAATCCACACAGTCTGCCTCCGGGGACGGATTTGCACGCCGCCCACTCCTCCCACCCAGTCAGCCAACGAGCCAGCCAACGAGCCAGCCAACCAGTCAGCCATCCCCAACATCCCACCAATCGACGCTGGAGGAGCCACGCAGAAAATACTGCCTCCTCTTCCGGCCATGGGATGCTGGCGCTGGCACTGGTGAGCAGCAGGCAGTCCTGCAAAATCCCTCTCGGAGGCTCGGGACGGCAACGCTCACTACTACACTACACCAAAGTTTCCTTCTTCCAAGGGCCTGGTGAAGTCCAAAAGCCGCGGGCCTTGGCGCTTGGGTCGTTCTGGAATCCCGAGAGCCATTATTGCTGCTGCTGTTGGAAGTCATGAGATGACGATTCCCACCGTGGCCAACACACATAACGCTACTGTACTAAAAGCATACAGCCCATCTTGATGCGCGGCGTTGCCTCATCAATAATGCCCGGCAAGCTGCCCCCCATTGGAACGTGACCGCTTGTTCGATACAGTCTGTGTGAGGAGTGACACTTTGCAATGCTCGGATCCTGTATGCTTCTGAATCAGGCTGATGACGGCATGCTGAGGCAGAGCGCAGAATTATCCCCCTTTTCTTACTCCTTCCACGGCGTGCTCCTGCCAATTAAGGGGACTTGCCGTTCACACCGCATAGTTCTCCGTTCTCAGCATCCTGTAAAACCTACAAGGAGTGAGGCACTTGGATTTTGATTGACGATCGTCGCCACGCCGCCCTTCACCCCAAGGCAGGGGCTAATAATAATGAGGTGGAAATGTGGGAAGGAAACCCGGGCGGGAAACCAAGCCCTAGGCAATTCCGTTGCTGCATCAGTGTTGCAGCGAGGCATGGGCTGAAGATTGATTGACTATCTTTTTGGACATTGGTTTCATGACTTGGTCCGGAGACAAGTGCTAAAGAGCAGACGAGGTCCGTCAGACTCCGTGAGCCCGTATGTCATGCTGCTTGGGCCTTGGGCCTTGGGGTCCATCAACTTTTGTGGGTGTGGAACACTGGGTTCACACGTTTAGCCGTCGGCGGAAATAGAAGCAAATCACAGCTCGAGCGTCCAAACACAATGTTTGACTTCATTTGGTTAATGAGTTTTCTCGATGTTGCTCGGGCAGTTTCTTGGTCCTCCTGGATCTCGACCATGGGCTGGGCTTGCCTAACAACGCTAGGTGATGTCAGCCAGCTTGCCTCTGTTACCAAGTACCTACTACTGTACCATGACAAGTTTGTTGACAACCACAGTAATATCCCAACATAGTGGGGTGATGAGGAAATGCAGCCCTTTTCGCGCCATCATGCCTTCGCAATTTAGGGTGATTGAGTGGTGCTTGCTTCAACACATCTAGACCCATGACTACTTTACTTTTACTTCGGAACGGGCGTCAGCCTTCCATGTCCGGAGTATGTATGGTGGTCAAAAATGCACGATGGCGAGGCGATGGCGAGGCGATGGCGAGGTCTCACAAAGCAAAAAATGCCGGTAGCCTTGGGAACCCGAAACATAATTAGGAGCAAGCCTTGACTACCTACTAACCATGTGCCCTCATTACTGGCTGCACCTCGGTCATCCGTCCTTCTTGAGTCGTGATGTCCATCGTGCCCAGGATATGTTGTTGGCGTGACGCGTAAAAGCATCTGATGGTTTCTCCACTGCAAAGGCATAAAATAAAACCTGGGCTATCAAAGTTTTATGATCCCTCGGGTTTTGTTTCGGAAAGCGGGGGTTGAATACGGAGCGGTACGAAGTGCTATTGAATAATGTTGGGCTCAGAAGTCAGATGTATAGAATACATACATCATCCAAGTGACTAAATCGGGATACAGCACGCCGGAGCTAGTTGATACGCTCACCTCGGTATAGCTCATTTTATCCTACTGTAACGGCCTAGGACTAATCTGCCGTGCGAATAATTGAAACAAAACGCTCGAAAATAGTCCAGCTCCTCCGGCAAGATATCAACAAGCTCCTCCGAGGATTATCATCTGCTAACAACCCTGGCTAGTTGAGCTAGTTGTATTATGAGTACTGTACCGGCTAGTCGGACGTGCTGCATGTACGTACAGAGTACGTTGTGGCGTTAATCAGTTAGATTTTTTCCGCCACCAGACAACCCCAACCCCTTTCTTGCCGATGGGCGCGGGATGATTACCAGTGGTCACGTGTTGATATCATCAACCTCTACAATGCCTTACCTACGGAGCATGTAGCCTCCAAGTAAGAGTAGGGATAGGGGTGCGACTAGGAGATATGGCGGCTTCGTCTTCGTCTTCGGCTTCAACTCCAGGGCTCAAGCACAGCCAGCGAGCCAGATCCGTATGGCTGGCGTGAAGAGAGCGGCGCTGCTCATGCATCGTCCCGTGTTGCCTACTGCTTTTTCCTTCTTCCTCATTTACCTACTCGTGGCTTCAACATTGACGATTCACCTCATTTTCACTTCCATCCTGCCGCGCTGAATGTCTGAGTCAGAGTGCCAGTGCCAGTGCCAGTGCCAGTGCCAGTGCCAGTGCCCCCGTCTCCGCACAGCATATCTGTAATTTGTCTGCGACTCGATCACCAAATAATCCAGGGTCCACCCAGGACACCCGGCCTGCAAACCCCTCCCCCTATCGTCCCATCCTATGGATCACCGCCCGGAAACGACGAGTCGATGACTCTCCAAGGCATCTCGAACTGGATCAGTACGAACTTACGAAGTAGCACCATAATTCCCGTGCCTGCCGTTGGATCGGAATCCCGCCGGGATAACAGACGAGCAACATTCCCACCCCTCTACGGAACACTCTTGCCTTTGCTAACCAGCGCTACTTTGCCTGCGCCAGCAGAATTGTTGGTTCTTTGATTCGCCTTCAGTGTTTCGATCGTCAAACGCCCTTTGCGCCAACATCGCCCATCAGTCATGCAACTCTCAGGCCCATAACAGGTTCTTTCCCGTGCCATCCTTCAACCCTTTCGGAGGGGATGTTCGTCGCCTCTGTCTGGCCCTTTCAGCCGCTTTCGGATAGCTAGGCTAGGCTACCCCAATCAGCGGCCGACTGGATACCTCCATGTATTGATGGGAAGTTTAGTCGGCGTCATGTCGAGAAAGCTACACAAGGAAGGTATCACATAAGCAGGACTGGCTAGTTAGCAGCGGTTGGTAGCACACACCGAGTATACAAGAGTCAAAGCTCAATTCCTACCTATTGCTTGGTAACTTCCGTTAATCGCAAAGGTGCAGCTCGGCACTAGTAATATAACCTAGAGTGTAAGTAGTACAACACGGCACCACTTCGAAGGAATCCCTTTTTTTTTGCCAAAGCCTTATGCCCATTTTGGACCTTGGGCTTCGGCTCCAGGAGAAACCAATACGGTTCAGCTTCATGTCAGACACCACTGCATAAGTGCCCAGTACTGAAAACGGGTAATTTAATCTAAGGCTTCCGAAATTCATTCCGAAGCGCTCGGTGCTGTCGTTGGAAACTTGATAAGCTCGCATTTTAAAATCTGATAGTTCTTCGTCGCTGGTACCATGTGCAACGCCAAACGGACCCTGACCTGACGCCGCCTTGCACTTGTTTCCATGGTGTTATTCACTGGCTCCAGTATTGGCTATGTGCCTTCAAAGCAACAATCCGCCACAATTTTCCAACGGGCGCGGTGTGGCAGCCTTGTTAATAAACTTCTCAGGTTCCATATCACGATGGACACCGGCTCCACCCCTCTGCTGTAGGATCCTCAACGGAAAGGCAACTACATCTATTTTCACTCCTGCTCGCCCACGGCCGGGGCTGCGGTTGAATGTACCCCCAACGGCTCCGCTCCACAACACAGTGCATACCACCTGCTGTGAGAGGGAAGTACATGTAGTTTCTGCAGAACTTTGAGCTCTGGAACAACTGAATGCTCAGCAGGACCGTTGGCCGGCTTCAATAATATATGTCCATGATTATCTATTCAGCGGATGATCTCAAAAGCTGCAGGCCTCTAGCTAACACCCGGCATCCCTATGGAGATGGATGGCAGCCGCCAGGACTCAGCGAAGGAAGGCTAGCTGATCAAAGTTCGTTTCTTGCGCGTTCAGCTACAGTATCCGGCAAAATTCAAACTGACACCAACACACTTCGGCGGTTCCTGTCCTCGGAGACTCTGCCCAGTGGACAGCCTGACTCCATCCACTTTGCGTGGTCTCTCATGGTCTCTCACACACACTCTCTCTGGCTGCGTCATCCTTACATGACTACCTGGCAGTATCGCGTACGCGTATGGGGCAAGCCAAGGCAGAGCGTTTAATGGAAAACACGAAAGTCGAATATCCGAGCGAGTGCGTGTGTCAGCCGTGTTCGTTCAACGTCGCAATGCAGCCCAAACATGCCTGCTTCCTAGGTTCTGCATTCAGAATCAATTATTCACCACAGTACTTCAGAGTCAAGGGATGCGATTGATTCGTCGTTTAGCTCCTGATTCTTTCCTTTGTTTTTCCATTCAACGGCCATCAATCCGCAGCCTTGTAATGTTGCACGAATACGGCTATGTCACCTGTGTCTCCCTGTTGCTGAAATATGCGGGCACTGAAGGAGGTGCGATGTGCCATCAATTCCCAAGTCATATGCAAACAACCAATCTAGCCGTTGGCAAACACAGTGTCTGATCAACAGTTCCATTTATCTCCAACATGAGCGGTGGCCACATCATTATGTGGAACGATACGACTGCCTGTTCGATTCCCTTCCATCCTGCCTGTTTTGTCTTATGTCCCCTGGTTAATATTTATTTAGCTTGATGCAAACGCCCGTATTCGCGACTCCTTCAAAGTCAACGTTTCTCGAAGTCGAAAGTGCTTTCCCACGGTTAAGGCAACCTGGCCATCTGACATGTTTGAAGGTCCCCACAGGATGACTGGATTTGCGTTGATAAGTTCACCAACTCCATTACCCCTCGTTTGAGAGGTTTTATGTATCCATATCCATGACGATCCCATACCGCGGCAATTTACCTGTGGAGGAACACACGAAGCCTGGCTGAACACCAGTCCGTGGATCCGACGGCGTAGTCTATGGACGACCGTGGATTATCATCATTGTGAACTTGATCTGTGTTGCCTGCGGTCATTAAATTCTCCTCGCTGAATTCTCTTTCAATTTCAAAATTCCGATGACGAGCACGCTGTTGGGCATTAATCTATCAGCATAGCGGGAAGGGCTCTTGGTATTGGTGCGTTGGTTTGCTAGGAAATGAATGTTGGCCCCTAAAGGTAGGTCCTTTATTACCAAAATATATCGTACATTCATCCGGGAAATGGTTCCACGATAAGATGAGGTGTTTCGAGATAAATGAGGGTAAAATCCAAGAGGGGTTTGCGATAACGAATTGATAATGGGGAATTAATACCCCAGCCCAGTTACATATTGACCTTCAACTGCTTCGTAGAATTAAGATTAATTGTAAACTAATTTTGGTGAATATGGATATTTCGAGAATACCTCCAAAGGACATCGTTTGTAAAAGGATATTATCATAAGAATTTGCTTTGACACAGCGTCAGATATATGATCGTCTCGACTTTGAAGCGTCATCTTCCAGCCTAAGGTTAAAAATAGGAATCCCGCGCTAAACCGGTTGCGCGAACGACCAGCGCCAAGACTTTCAACGACACTGGATTGTTTGGCCCTCCCTTTTCGGATTCACAACACCAGCGAGCATTCCATCCCGTCCTCCCACTACCACTACCATAAGCATCTCCCTGTCCGAAGGGGCTTACGCTCGCTGGCTCCTTCATCACTACGTTCGCTACTCCAACAATAATATTTTTGTCGTCAACGAGGCCTCCACAGCCGGTCGTACGTTTCCTTCAGTCCGCTCTCTCCACCGCACTCTCCTCCGCCTGTTCCTCCGTCCGAGAAACGTACATTCAAAATGGGGTTTGGAGACTTTGAGAGCGTATGCCGAAAGGCGTCGGTGCCGCTATGCTCTGTGGTCGGCCACTTTGAGAGCACCAAGGGCTCCGTGGGGATTGAAGCTGATTGTTATGCGCGCAATATCGAGCTGGCCAACACGATCATTTTCCAAGGGGCCGCATCTTTCATGCACATTGTCGCGTTGATCATGACAGTCATCATGATTCTGCATGTCAGAAGCAAATTTACTGCAGTCGGTATGTTCGCACATTGGATTTGGGGCAGCTGTGGGATATTGACTGATGTCCGTAACTAGGCCGAAAGGAAATCACCGCGTTCTTCTACCTCTACATGGGATTGAGCTGTGCCTCGCTTATCCTCGATTCTGGCGTCGTTCCTCCTGGCAATGGCGCGTATCCATACTTCGTTTCAGTGCAGAATGGTCTCACCTCCGCCCTCTGCGTCTGCCTGCTCATCAACGGTTTTGTCGGGTTCCAACTCTACGAGGATGGCACCACCATATCCGTCTGGCTTCTCCGAACAGTCAGCTTTGCATTTTTCGTCATCACAGGCTTAGTGTCGTTGGCAACATTTAAGGGGTGGGCTGGTCTCGGTCCTACGAGGACTGTTGGCCTATTTGTCGTGTTATACCTCGTCAGCGGCATTGCGTTGGTGGTATATGTTGTCATGCAGGTTATCCTCGTGGTCAACACACTACAGGACCGCTGGCCATTGGGAGATATTGCCTTTGGGGCATTCTTTTTGATCATTGGCCAGGTTATCCTTTATGTTTTCAGCAACACGATTTGCAATGCCGTCCAGCATTACCTCGACGGGCTGTTCTTCGCCACAATTTGTAATCTCCTCGGAGTTATGATGGTTTACAAGGTTGGTTCCCTATTTTCACATCCCTCTTTTCCCGATATAGTCGTTAACCCGAAATTATAGTATTGGGATTCCATCACCCGAGAGGATCTCGAATTTTCCGTTGGTACCAAGCAAAACAACTGGGAGGTTAAGGAGCCCTTAATGGATGATGACCGCCGAACAACCATCTACCAAGACACTGATTCCAGCACTGTATACAACGGCCCTGTACAAGGAAGAAACTCGAATTACGGTGGCTTTACGTACTAAAGAGTCCAACTTCGGTATCGACTATGTATTTAAAAGGCTGCAAAGCTGGGGGAATGGAAGACGTGTATCGATCGCATAGCGTGGGCGGTTTTACTCTCGAATGAAGAGAGCGGCGTACAGTTCGGATGATTTTGCTTGCTCAGAACAGAAGCTGTTGGAGTTATATATGGCGTTTGGACAATAATATGCGAGGAACTTGACGGGCATGAGCCTCAATAGAGTTTAATAGTTTTCACTGCGTCTTAGATTCGTATTAATCGTATTAAGTTTTTTTCTTCGAAAGCGCCTCGGCATCCATTTGTTCCTTCCTATATTAGTAGGATACAGATGCCAGCCTACATAAAACAATCCGCTTAATCTCTCTGTTCCAATTCCTCGTTTGTGAATCTGTCTTGAGCTTGTGCTGTCTAGAGAATGCTAGTCTCATCGACATTGACTGAGAAGCCAACTCGTGGACCCAAATTCCTACATGATCCAGCTTATCGATCCTAGCCATCATCTGGCCGACTGGCACATATACGCCGGGTACCGGGACGTCCTATAGGTCCCCCATCAATATCCCTTGTGTTGAGCTTCGAGGCTTTGAGAAGCATTGGAGGATTGCGGAAGTTATTAGAGGTATATTCGTCAAAGACCAAGGTTTCCATTATTTGTCATTTCACATTAATTGACGCCTTCGCCCTCTCTCCAGCTAGATCGGCATACGGTTAGCATAGTTCTCGAATAAAAGAGATTAGGAAGACTGCTTTGAGACTAATTGCGAGTAGACGAGAGGGGGTTTTGAGATGCCATATAAAGCTTACCCTATTGGTATCAACGCAGCCGCAATAGAACCCACCCCTCTTTCTGTAGCCAAAAGATTGAACTGCGCAGCAGCATTCCTCGTATCCTGTATTTCAATCCGTATACCGAGACTATTAATAAACTGTCTGGTCTCAGGACTAATCGGCCTCATATCCTTGCCCAATCCCAAGATCAATATGTCTGCGCCTCAGAATATCAGCTCTCATCCCCCCACCAAAACAACAATACTCCTAATAAGGATGGGCAACATACCAGGCTTAGGCCAGACCGTCCCCAACAATCCCAAGGCCTCCTCACTTACACCCCACTGCCCCTTCGCGTTCACCAGTCTTGTCTCATCCCCAGAAGTATTCGCCAGCCAAGGACACCATTCGAACGACTCACCATTGATGAGTAAGACACCCTTCCCGCCTATTACTTTAACTTCGTTGTTTAAGTGGAAACCGTCCCACAAACAGGCGTCGATAGCTGTACTTGGTGGTGGTGTGTTTCCTAGCACATTAAGGGCGCCGAAGTCGGTTTGCGTATCTTCCTTTGAAACTGGTCCGCGATTGCGGGATATAGGTTTTGGTGAGGCGTTGTGTAGAGGGGGAACGGCAGAGAATTGACGATGAGGGGAGGATAGGCATCTGGACGACGTTCGAGAAAGCAGTCGGGATGTGGAGTGGCAATGGGGATGTCGTGTGGCTGGATTGGTGAGGAGAAAGCTCCTCAATTCATGGACCGTAGGGCGGATGAGTGATGGCCGAAGGGATGCCATGGCTGACTGAAATATTAACGTGTTATTTCAATTGGAAGTCGGGAACTGGTGGACAATGTGTTGAGCTTGAGTTATCTTTCAATGAAGTCAAACATGTGCGTCGTGCTCACGATCCAGGTACGCGGGTGAGGGGACGCTGCCCTACCCGGACTGCGAGACGGGCATCTATTAATAACATGGAGTCCAAAAGTGTCCTTTGCCTTTACAGTATCGACATCCCCAGTCTGCCTATCTACCCAAGATTCCCTTTTACTAATGGGTACTCATTCATCCCAAAATTGCTTTTCTTTCCATCCCAGCTGGGCACTCAAATCAAGCCCAGTTGTCCCTGAATCCTGAATTATGCAAAATTCCATGGTCCAGAAACCTGACGCCGCCCTGACTGACGACAATGCTTCTGTGAGGATATTCGCCCACACTCTCTCCGAGGAAGAGCTCTTCCATGAGAGCCAACGGCGCTATGCGCCGATGTTTTCTTACCCGCCCGACCGCCCTGTGGTCTTTGTCAAATTCGGTGGCCTCGAGAAACAGGCGGAGGGAGACATGCAGAGGCTCGCGTTTGGCTGGCTAAGCACAGAACAAGAGAAAAAACCCCACTGCAATGTTTATATCCCGGAGGTCTACAAGATATTTAGTAGACATGGCGTGACTTTCATCGTCATGCAGTTTATTGAAGCAAGTAGCATCCAAGACATTGCAAAGCAGCTAGGAACTCAGCATTGGGAAGATCGTAAGTCTAAGTACTACGATTTAATTGCTGAGGGAATTCAGTTGCTTCGTGGTATGCCTCTACCTAGTGACCCGACCCCGGGTCCACGCACGAGCTCTCGACGTATCATCAAACACATGCTTTTCAAGGACCACGAAGCGCCAGTTGAGTACGATACTATCGAAGAATTGCAAGACCACTTGAATAGGGTATAGATGCGATGATAAGCATCAGTTAGTCGTGTCATGCTAATAGTGCTTTAATTACTAGGTTGTAAGATTGGGATACTGCAATAATCTTAATCTACCAGTGGTTGATCTGGAGAAAGAGCTTGTATTTTGCTATACAGACTTTAACGACGAAAACTTCATGTTCACCACTGATGCCGATCGCGGTCCTCGCCTATACATCGTCGACTTTGAACATGCCTCATTCTTGCCTGTTAGCTTCCTCGCGTACGCCGTCTTCGAACCCAATTCTCGCTGGTTTCTTTGCCGTTGGATAGGGGACAGGATTGGGAGCTCTCTACCGCGAAATAACCTAGAAGTAATGCAGAGGATCTCTTATATGTTCCAGATTAGTACATGGAGGGCTTAGTAAAGGGTAATCTATTTCGACGCAATTATCTATTGACCTGTGGTGCCTGATTAAGGAAATCAAAAGTTCGCCAGTTCGGACACCCAGAGCGACGGAGATGTGCCTCTCTTGGATGAGTCGGGGTGAGCGGCGCCGCCCTACCTTTTTTATTATACTACTTCTACAACTTCGAGGACGAGGGAGCGAGAAGTAGGCTAAGAATTCCATTTCCTCAAAAGCTCCTACAACCACCTCTACACTCCCTATCAGTTTTCCGCCAATTAAATCTCACAGGCGTTACATAGGAGCGTTGCCTAACAATCATTTAAACAACAGTTAAGGTAAAGGCTGGCTTTATCGATACGGAAAGGGTGTGAATTTCTAAGATGCCTCTGTAGACGTATGTCTATCTCTAAATCTTAAAACAAGTCCGTCATCGCCCCGTGGGAGGCGTCTCCAACAAGTCTTGCATATTTCGCCAAGACACCCCTATTCACAGCGCTCTTAGGGGCCTTCCATGCCTTCAATCTGTTTTTGATCTCTTCGTCACTCACATCCATACTCAGAGAATTTGTTTCAGCTGAGATTGTGACCATATCCCCATCCTGAACTACTGCAATAGGACCTCCCACTGCTATTTGTTAGTATGGTTTGTGCCAATAGGTTTCAGATAGGAGAAATGGACTCACCAGCAGCTTCTGGCACAACATGCCCAACGATAAACCCATGACTGGCTCCTGAATATCTACCATCGGTGACGAGAGCCACATTTGTTAAGCCCGCTCCCATAATAGCTGCACTTGCCTTGAGCTGCTCCGGCATTCCTGGCCCTCCCTTTGGCCCTTCGTATCGAACGATCAACACCAAATTCTCGCCGCGGGGAATCTCTCCCTTGGTCAAAGCGGAATCTAACTCATGCTCTTTATTGAATACGCGAGCCTTGCCAACGAATTTGAGCCCTTCCTTCCCAGTGATTTTTGCAACCGCTCCGCCAGGACAAAGATTTCCTCGCAGGATTTGGATATGCCCTGTCTGCTTAATAGGATTTGAAAGAGGTCTAATAATGGCTTGTTCTTGAGGCAAGGAGGGAAACGGTTCCAGGTTTTCTGCTAAAGTTTTTCCTGTGACGGTTGGAATGTTACCATTCATTAATCCGGCAGCAATGAGAAGCTTCAGGACAGATGGTGTGCCGCCGATGTTGTAGAGATCCTCCATAAAGTATTTGCCAGATGGTGCGAGATCTGCAATAAAGGGGACCTTATCACTAACCCTCTGGACATCGGCCAATGTGAGCGGTACTTCTGCAGTTCCAGCCATGGCTAAGAAATGCAAAACTCCGTTTGTGCTACCTCCTAAGGCCATTGTCACAACAAGAGCATTCTCAAAGGATTCTTTGGTCAATAGATCTCGAGGTCTAATGTTCTTTTCCATACAGACTTTGATAGCCTCGGCAGCATTGACACACTCACGCATCTTGGCAGGTGACTCCGCTGGATTGGATGAAGAACCTGGTAGTGTTAAGCCCATGGCTTCAATCGCTGTTGACATCGTATTTGCCGTGTACATCCCTCCGCACTAGAGGTAAGTGTTAGTGTTTTTTTCAGGAGACCAAGAGCCCAAGTGAAATGGGCTAAATTGTCTAAACATTGTGGAATGAGTTCCAAAATGAAAGCATTAAGGTGGGTGGGGGATAGATGTTTACATACCGCACCTGCACCTGGACACGAGTGTCTCTCCAAGTCATCTAGCACATCAGTAGGCGTGGCTCCCTTTGCTTTGGCTTCCGGGGTCGGATCAAGCCTGTTATAAGCGAACGCGCCGGCGGCCTCATAGCATGTGCTTATGTTGACATCCTTGTTTAGAAGCTTTGAATGGCCTTTTTTAATACTCCCGCCATAAATCACTAGTTGATTGAGGAGTTAGCTTTATATATTTCATTATAACTCACAACTGAGACAAGTCAGGTGGGTTCAGGAAAGTGCTATTTGTTATTCCATGCATATACAGTTGTGCCATATTTAAGGGCAAGCAGGGGAAGTTCGAGAGGACAAGTTATACTTACTCAGAAATGGACGGTTGTGTCTGGCAGCTGCCATTATTACGCCTGGCATGTTTTTGTCACAGCCTGGGATCGAGATATTTGCATCGTGATGCTGGGCGCACGTCACCTAGAGGTTCCAAAGGGTTAATACGATTATGACAATATATATTTTGCAGGGAACTCAGGACTGACCGTTTCTATTGAGTCGGCTATAATCTCACGAGTTTGCAGAGAAAATCGCATCCCTTGGCTCGGTCAGTGACTTCAAGAGTGCGAGATGGTCGATATATCGATACAGACCTTCTCCTCCCATAGTAACTTCATTTTGTTAGTATAATGTTCATTATTAAAAGCGATTTGAGTACCGAGATAAAGAAAATAAAATATAGTAGAGAGTAGGCGTCAAATACTTAGACCAGAGGTATACTGGCCGTGTCCTTGTAGACCAAAACACAGGGATGTATGGGTAACTTACTTGCATCTGACACGCCAATAGTGTTGAATTGCCATCCAAGCATCCCTTGCTTCTGTACGGCTTGCTTCACAGTTTTGCCCAGGTCAAATACTAAGCAAGATAAGTGTGGTTTCCAAGGATCTTCATCTAGCTAAAACCTACAATGCATACTGTGATAAGATTAGAATACTGTATTGTCATGTTTTCTCTAATCAACAGACTTACTTGCAAGGGTTACCCTCCCTACCAACCTTTTAGTCACTCAAATTCTGGAGCTGTGGATTCCAGAGACTTACCACCAAACAGTCGAGATACTAAAAGCAGTCAGCAAGCCAGATGATAAAATTTATGTGGATCTAATGAAGGTGATCGCCCTTCTTAAGAACTGCTTACCCAACTTGAGGGGAGGTCTTCATGGCCTGCTTATCGGGGACACCTGCAGCATAAAGCATAGCCTGGACATAAGAACATGACAGTAAAACCCAGAATAATTTCTCAATTTACCTGAGCGCCGGGGAAATCATGACCTATTAACAGCGTCTCGATTAGCAAGAGTCTCTGTGACGGAAGAGAACCTCATACCCCGTGTAATTGTCGAGGACCATCTGTTAAGCACCTGCTTCCCGTCGGCGGTTTTCGTGCCAGGCTCGACACATTGGAAATCAATGTACCTTGGCTTGTCTGGGATATGCTCATAGTTTGAAGGCTCCATGATGTGGTTTGGTGGAAGATCGTACCTCGGTAGTTACCCAAGGTACAATATATTCAAGGTATGGAAAAGGTTGGGTAAGGAGGAGCAATTAAACCATAGACAACAGTAAGAATGGGGAACAATAAGGTATAAAAGGTAATAAATTGCGTCTTCTGGCGTGGAGGAGTGGCATGTGCTACTCGCTAGAAATTATTAAGCTTCATCTGTGTTCCCGGAGTTCTTGTGTGGCGAACTTCGCTGGGATGCCCCGCTGTTCTGGCAGCTGGCCAATCTACCTCGGGAGGACGTCACGTCTTAAACAGCGTTGTTCCGGCAACCACCGCTCTTGCTATGAACCGTGCCGACTGCTAGCTACAGTATCTATCATAAGTACCTACCTATCATACCTACGTGCCAAAGCATATGTCGCGCAACGATAGCCATAGGCAATGACGCAGAGTGCAATTTGTGTGCAAACGCACAGGGGCGCAAAATTGGCGAGGGGGGTTCAACTTCAGCGCGCTGTCCTGCGGCCATAAAGTACCTAGGTAATGCAGGAGAGTCCATTGGCTCCTCAACTGGCGATACGTAGTCGCGTACTACGTACAGAAAATGAGGATGCAAGGGCTAGAGACCAGAGGCAGTCAGTCGAGTGATAATATACTTGGAGCTCCCATATCATCCGACACAAGATCCCAGCGCTATTTATAAATCCCTTTAAGTCGCGGAGGAGCGCGCGTCATCCGATATGGTCCACCCCATTGTAGTCACATCTGCCAGAACCAGCGTTGGGTAATCGGGGTTGTGAAGATTTGGAGATAAAAGGGCTTTATTTATTGTGCAACCTTCAAGCAACCCCCCCCCCATATTTATTGTGTGGCCTACCCTATCTATTTTGAAGCAAGTTGAAAGCAAGGTTTGAAAGCAAGATTGTAAGCAAGGTTGACAGCAAGATTGATAGCAAGTTTAAACCCAGACCCCTTATTTGAATGTTCGTTTCCCTATCCCTCAAGATAGCCTCTTTCCGAAGGTGCACTCCTCTAAATCCGACACCATGTGTTTTGAATTGCTAGCATTACTTTGGTGGTGGTTCATGTTGGTATGTGTTTTCGTCTCGTCTTGTTTTAAAATTCAACAGTGCCCCTCTGAAAGTTTCTGCTTACCATCAAGACTTGTAGTAAGTATACATGTCTTGTACTTCTATAAGAGGAGGAGGAAAGCAGAGAACTAACCTGATTCTATCTTTTCATGTATTTCTTTGCTGAGATTGGGCTGGTATAGTACGCAGCATCAAATTTGCGCTTTTTATTTTCCTTTCGAGGACGAGGTAAGTTTTCATAGCCGAAGTCGAAAGACCCTTGAGGGGTGAGGGGGCTGGAACGAGTGATTCTACTCTCTGGAGTGATTGGGGTTTCATATCTTGAAGTTCGAGAAGTTGGCGTATAGATATCGTCATCATTATCCTCCTCCTCGTAAGCATAATCGGGGGTCAACTGTCGGGACTTCTTGGTGGTCGCAATTTGTGACACGGATATCTTAGTATCGATTCGGATATTGGACGTGATGGGCAACTTGCCGGGCTTGTTGACTCGAGTAGGTGCCATGAACCGCTGTGGTACAACAACCTGTACTTGGCTTCTCCCTCCCTCAGCTTCAGAGTCGTCCGAGGAAACAGACTCTTCGGCCAAGAGTGGGAAAACCTGATTTCCACGTTGGTCTTTCTCAAGTTTGACCTTGCCCAGTTTGGAGCAGACAATGAAAGTAAACTTAATACCTGTAAAATCCTCCATAAAGGCCTGGAAAACTTTGCAGTTCCTGCAGGGATTTCTGTCTAACACAATCTCCGCCATTGGTCGTGGGCGTATATTGTTTATTTGCCCTAATGAGAAGACCTGTTTTCTTATAGATGTTGGAGCTTCTGCGCCAAGTACTTTACAGAGCACTCTGCATGCGTACCATAGCATCAACTTTCGCTCGACATGACTTGAACAATGCATGCCCCTGGGTACTCCTTGGTGTGCTTCGAATGGGGTCGGCTGAAATTTCATATCGACAAAGGTGCTAAATCTAAACACTTCGTGTGTCCAGAACTCCGAGTCCAGCATTTTCTCATGTGGTGACACGATATTTTTTACTCCGGATATTGAGCACATGAGAGGCCAATACTCTGAGGCCTTTCTCACAAACCCAAGAGTTTTGCTTCTAATGGCTACGCTGGCTTTAAAAATTTCGACGGGGGCGACAAGCATGATTGTATTACCGACATCTCGAAGGACGAAATATTGATCAAAGGACTGGAGTGTTCCATCCACGGGTTTTGCTGTTGCCCTTGGGGCTCTTCGACTTCTTAACAGCTTGGCCACGCTCCCGACTTTCTCCTCGATATCGGTGATCTTCTCAACCCCATAAGTTTGCACTAAGGCCTTCACGTCTTCATTGGTTTTGACGTATTCTAGAAATTCGCTTGAACTCTTTTCTAGATAGTAAAGACTCTGTCCCACATCTGGTCGTGTTTGTATGATTTCTTGGCCGTCTTCTTCGTCTTCCTCAACGGGTATCCCTGTGACTTTTTCGATAGTGGGTCGCTTTGACTTGGCCGCCTTTATAGTTTTCTTTTCTAGGACTGCGTTGGCTACCTTCCGAGGTCTCCCTCGCTTTCTCTTTTTGACAAACTCGGGCTGCTCTTCAGACAAAGTTTCTGAGTCTGAAATGTCAATATATTGCCTAGCCTCGGCGAGTGGCTGCGCACCGCGTGCCTTGGCTTTCTCCACCTTGTTGATAAACCTCATTTTAGTAGGAGGAAACGGAGACACTTGTTCGCTCTCCTTGTTGATCTTGGAGCGAATATGATGAATTGGGTGATGTAAATGGGACTTGAAGAGCAAAAGGTGAAATGGAGTTTGGGTATTTGAGAATTGAGATAGCCTTTGGCTGTTGACTACCTCTATATTAATAAGGGGTTAGAAAAGGTGAACGTGACATGATTGAGGGAGGTGAGATCGATTCCGCCATGTCATTAGGGTAAAAGGAGACCAAGATATCAAGCTCAATTGACATGTAGAGGAGAAAAGGTAGATCGATAAAGGTAAACTCACAAGTAAGGGAAGAGGTAACGAGCCTTGAGTTTGAGAATGTGACAGAGATGACCTCGGAATACAATTTGAAAATAGTGAGATCGGTCCTGGTACCTTAAGTCCAACGCACCCGGACTGGAAGGCTTGTTTTTCAATGAGAGAGAAGAAGTGAAAGGTTGATTGACGAGAATGGATCCTAAGGGAAGAAGTAGAAGCTGATTGACAAGAGTGGAATGGGAGGGAGGAATGGCGAGAGAGAGATGTGGTTTGGAGAAACCTGACCGGAGGTGTTAAATTGAGCTGAAGTTAAGATCGGTAAACCGCGAGGAGAGGCTTACTGCAGTAAGTTTGACCAGCAGAAGGTGAAGAAGCCGAGGGAGTTTGAGCTGAAATGAGAATGGGTTGGCACTTTTCTTCTGGCGAAGCGTGGCAGGCTAACTCAGATCTCGGGATTAGAAGTAGGATAGCTAGAGATCGGTCCTCTTGAGCTTGGAATTTAGACATAGAGGGAGTTGACCTCTGAAAATGCCTTGGATTTGTACTTGTGGAGGGATAGTTTGCTGTCGAGGGCTGGGAAGGTAGATGTAAGACCAGCAACTTCCGTCTGATATTCCAAATCGGCAGCCCTCTTCAAAGGAGGCTTGTCGTCGGTGGGGTTTGTTTTGGAAAGGTGAAGTAAGGAAGGATCTTCTCCAGTAGCATTACCTTCAGGAAACCGTACCTACAGGGCGCGGTCAACAGATCCACACCGAACAATAAATAAAGCGCTATAATATCTACATGATGTTTGGTACTAATTGATGGAACTACCAACTGTTATACATAGGATCAAAGCACAACACCAAACGCCGTCGCTCCCCACCCTATGCAAATGCCCTATGTACTAATTTTACAACGGCGGCAGATTCTCCCTACAGATCGGGCATTGCAAGCGGAACCTCATCCAGCCCTCCAAACATGGGCTATGGAATATATGTCTACAAGGCGTGACCATATACTGCCTCCTAGCCAAAATGCCCACCACACTGTTTGCACTCGAGGCATCTTCGCCCGCTACTACCACGGGTACTTCAATGGTTTGCATACAGATCGCACAATCCACACTCCTAAACGTATCATCTTTCTTCTTCCGACTTCCCAAATCTTCACTCGTATCAGTGTTGCTTCTCTCTAGTACGGTCGAAACAGGAACTTGTGCAAGGCCGATAGGCAAGCCGCCAGCCTCCATATTGTCCTCTCGTAGAATGGGATGGTAATCCCACGCTTCTTCCGTCCAACCCTTCGGGATACCCCATCGGGGACCGAGAACTTCTTGCGCGGCGAGAATCCATATTTGGATCCAGACCCACCCTGCTAGCACGCAGAATGCTTTCCAGTCCGTTTCGGCGAAAAGGATGTTATCCCTTTTCAGAAAAAAATATGCGAAAGGTAGTAGGCGGAGAACTGACTGGCCTACGACGAATTTCCATAGTAGGGCTTTGCGGCAGTTCCGAATTATGTTGCGCCGGATTTGGGGGATCCAGAAGGAGAGATAAGTGCTGGAAAGGAGATAGATATAGGCGGTCCGAACAGGGACGGACCAGGACATTGCAGAGACTGAGATGAAGAGGAGGAAAAGTATTGCTAGGACGAATTTCACATAAACCGCCCCAAAGCCAGGGGTATCTTGAGGTCCAACTTCCACGGTTTGGGGGGTGTTGGTTGTTGGAAGAGATGTCGCAGTAGTGGTATTGATATTTTCAGATATTTCCGCATCGATATCTTGATCCGAGGGGATGATGATTGGGATATTGTTAGACGGGGCTGGATTTGATACCCGCAGGGGAGGCGTAGGGGAACTAGCACCGGCCGCTCTGCTGATCGCTGCTGCACCTGCGGTGGCGCTGGGTCTAGTTGGAACCCTGGCAGCTTCAGCAGCCTGTTGAGTCCGCAATTGATCTCTGCGCTCTGGTTCTTGGACATTATAAACCGCTCCAACGAACCTAACACCCAATCCCAACGACATGAGTGCAGAAAAGGAAACTAGAAGCGCTGAAGGAAACAGGTTTGGAGCTATGGAACTCAGCAATGATAAGCTTAAGAACATCAAGGCATCGGCCAATAGCATTATACCTATGGTGTAAAGGCTGACTCGGCCGGTGGTGGATGGCGTCGATGCCTCTTTTGACTGGATCTTCAAAAGGAGTACCTGGCCGAATATTACAACAGCAAGCAGGAGTAGCCAGCTTTGAATATCATGGAGCCATACCTCTTGCTTCTTACCAAGAAGGTGCTCCGCAACCACAGGAGAAAACGAAGGTGGCCCTTTCGATTCTAAAATAAATCCACAGTCAGGTGAAAATATAACTGTAGACATCTGGAGTCTTGGGATCGGTGGAATTGGGGCGCCGTTCGGAAATCGGAGCTCTTGCTCAATCTCCTCGATGATGCTCTGCTGTTGAAAATAACCGCTGCTGGTAGCTAAGTTCACCACGAGGGGATGGATTTGAACATAGATCACGAACTCGCAATGCGGAGCAGGCACCATTCCTTCGCCTTCACCATCGGGAGTTGATGCATATAGATCAGTCGGATCATTGCGGCGCCGCCTCTCCATGTTTCGCACCAACTTTCCCAAAGTTATATTCAACAACTTCTGACTTGAGGCGTACTCTCCCAAACTCGTACTCAGATGGGGTAACCCAAAAGCTCCAGAAAATTTGGGACTTGTCGTCGTCATAAGCATTACACCGGTTCTCGGCCAATGCACGCCGTGGATTTTCATCTCCCATCCATCACCAGTACTCGTCTCATCCTGGACCGTCATGGCAGCCGAAACCTCTCGAGCCAATCCAGTATTCGATATATTCCGCACCACGTCAGTCTGCAGCTCCGTATCCAAATCGATTTCAAGTACATCTTTCTCGTATAACCTCAACATGAGTTTCCCTTCCCTTCCCGTAATATTTCTCGTCCAAAATTCTTCATTCCTAAATGCCCACGGAACACCTGGTGCGATCTCCGACAAATTCAACAATGGCCTCCTCTGGTCCTTCTCCAAGTCCCCGGAGTATCTCACCCAATCGCCCACCACTATTCCTGTGACGTTTTTATATATCTCGCCCACCAGCCCACTGTTTCCGTCCTGGTCATCTTTGTCCTTGTCGGCTCTCCACCTGCCTTTTGCCTCCCGACTGAAGAGCTCGCTGCGCTCCTTAAACGTATCTAGTCGATCCCACGCATAGCCATCGCTCTTCCTAAAGCCGGTCAAGTTCAAATATGTCCCTGGCTGGTAGCCTGGGGTACTGGTGGTCCTGGGCGAGAAGTCTTGCCACCTGGTAACGTTTAAAACGTCGAGAGAATGGCGTGAGCGCTCCAGTCGCTCCGTCGCGAATTGACGGGCTGAACGGTATCCAGGATTGGGGCCTTGGGAGTCGGAGGTGAGCCACATAAAAATGAGGAGGAATAGGAGGACAGTTCGAGCTGATTCCCGGGGTGGGGGGGTTTGTTCTGGCATTATTGTTGCTGCAGCGGCGATTGCTTGGAAGGGAGAGGAGCCAGCCCTATGCGCTTCATCGTAGCCGCATGGGAATAAGATAATTCCTCAGCTGAAGCAACTAGGATATAGAAAGCCGAATGGAGGATGGTGATTGTATGAAGTTATCTTGCGTACTACGTAGCTTAACCTCTAAAGTTATTGCCTGGCTGGTCTGGCACGCGATGGCCCGGCCCAATGTGGCTGACAAAATCCGGGGTCAAACTGTGGCTCACAGTTAACCTCGAATCCGTTCCACGCCATCCCTCATCTAGCAAGAGTACATATCGAATACTTGTTATCCACCTGGAAGAGATACCGTTCCTGGCTGTACCTGTCCAAGCCAATGTATCCCGCTATCTCGCAGCAGTAAACAGAGCGCAGAGAAACCAAACGATACAGGGAACACAAACAAACAGCAGAGTAAACAATGGCCTCAAACTTGAATTCGATGAACGACCAAAGCCGTATCTCTGCGACCTCGGTTTGTCTCCCTACCACTCGAGCACTTCCAACTAAAGCTAACGTCTCTCCGCAACCAGACAACACCTGACACTTCAGTTAATGCACCCGCAGAACTGTCTGCCGTCGTCGACGAACTCCTCAATTCGCTATCCAATAAATTCGCCGGTGTGTCGAGCGAGATATTCGCAAAGAGTATTGTCCCCTTCCTCGTCCATCCCAACAAGATATATTAATGGTCGTGGAACAGTGGACGAAATGTCACGGCGACTGGATAATCTGGAGGCGACACTACAATCGAATACAGAAGGGCAAGGAAGAGATGGGAAGAGTAGTCCAACGAAGATGTGATGCCTAGCGTGATATGGATTGGGAGTTTAAATCAAATGAGCGACGAATTTTAATGTAATGCGTAAGGCTGCGCTGCCTTCCACGCCATGGCTCGAGAGGAATATTCTATTAGATGGAAGAAAGGGCTGGTTGGAGAGGGAAGGTGGATGTTGGCGAAAAGGGGAAATATCTACAAGCGCAGCACGGCATGGCGTTGGAGTCAGATACCAATTTCGGCACGTTATACCAGATCGTGTTTAAATATTCATTAGGGAACAAGCATTCGAAGAGTCCAAATTCGATAATCCTGCTCGAAGAGATCATACCAGCTAAATAACTATTTACCAATTTACAATTCCGACTTGCCAGCAGCCTTGGCAATGAACCTCCTAAGAATGTTGGTTTTGCTGGTGAACTCATCAAGTTTCACTGGTGTCAAACCACCCTTCTTAATGATACCGTCCAAGCGAGCCAACTCCTTTGCGGCGTATCCGTCACTCTTGGCGATCTTGCTGAAAACTCTGACGTAGTATTCCGCATGCTTGGACTGAGCATCCTCCTTCAACTGCTGGGCAGCCTTGGTAGCTTCAGCGGTGACCTCTGCGAGGCTAGAGCCACCGGTGAACTTTGCGACAATGGCGTCCAGAGCCTCGATTGTGCCGGCGTAGGCGTCTAGTCCGCCTCCGGGAGCTCTGTGGGTGCCCGCCTTCTCGTTCAAGAAAGCGACGACATCCGCCTCAGCACGTCCACCCTCGTATGGTTCGGCTTCTTTGGAGCCCTTAGGGAAGAACTTGATAGTCGGGTAGGAAGAAACGCCTTGGTCTTGAGCAGTGGCTTTCGCGTTCTCGGCTTCGGCATCGACCTTTGCAACGAGCACATTGGGCTCGTTAGCAAAGTCATGGGCAACCTTCTCCCAGACGGGGGCGAGGGTTTTGCAGTCTATATCTGTTAGCTAATGCTAGCAATTGAGGAGAACGGGAAGCACTTACGGCCACACCATGGTGCAGTGAAAGCAACCAAAACATCCTTGTCCCCACCAATATGCTCCTTAAATGTCTTATCATTTAACATCTCAACCTGACTAGGCACGGCTCTCGCCTTCTTAGGCCTAACTCCAGTCTGCTTTGTAATGAACTCAGACAAGCTCTCCAAATCCCTACCGCCCTCATAGTCGGTGGGCGTCTCGCTCTTCCCATCAAAGAACTTAATTGTAGGGAATCCCTGAATGCCAAATCGCTTTCCTAAGCTCTTTTCACTATCCGCATCCACCTTTGCAATCACAATCTTGTCCTTGGCGAACGAGAAGTCGTGTGCTAGCTGCTCGTAGATCGGGGCGAGGGTTTTGCAGTGTCCGCACCATGGTGCGAAGAATTCTACAAGCGCGGGCTTGCCTGAGATTGCTATCTTGTCGAAGTTGCTGGGGATGAGGTCGAGGACGGCGGACTTATCGTATGTGGGAGGGGGGCCACCAGGACCAGCGGCAACTGAGAGTGTGGCAAGGCCAGCTAGCACCAGGCTCTTGAGTAACTGAACCATTGTGTGGTTAATTATTCGATAGAATCGATAAAGTATAGATAGTTTCCGTTGTAGCACACAAGAAAGCTTCGAAGTTTCTTGATATGCAAAATGAATTATTGAGGAGGTGGAGGATCTGATTCCGAATCTGAATGCCGGTTCTGATATGGACAGTTTTCAGATGCGAGGTTGAGAGCTCGGCAGATCAATTGAATTGTTGCCCCCTGGACGACCCGCACCCACCATCCCTGTTGTTGGTTTGTACGGCGGGGGAGAATGGAAATAGGAGCAATATATGCGCTTCTACAATAATTCTATTGCTTTATACTATTCAATATGTTTATGTTTCTAGTATAGGTTTCCTCACTTATCCCAACTATTTATTTCTTTAAAAATTCAGAGACCCACTTTACGATCTGAGCGACCTCAATATCAACCACCTTCTGCACTCCAGCATTAAATTCAGCATTCTTCAACCTCAAGTCCGAGCAATGGAATCCACCGGGGATCACTTGGACCGGGTGTTTCTCTGTAGATTCTAGCGGCCCACCCGGACGAAATTCTGACGACATGCCAGAAGTTTTCCACGGGTCGAATTCCCTGCAACACATTATTAGTACAGTAATTTCTTGCGTCCTGCGACAATGTTTACCCGTTGACCCAGAGTAATCGGGTAGTATCTTCTAGTCTCCATCCTTGTGTATGCTTGTTGACTTGGTGCACATTATTATCTGGCGAGAGTGCACTACCGTATGTAAATCCATTTGTTGTCGGGAAGAACAATTCGCATTGTCGTTGCCAATAATCACCAGTGACCAAACGAGACACTAGAGACGGTCGGCTCCTAGGGGCACCACTAGGGGGACGTTAGCGGTTGACTTTGTTAGATATTTAAATTGACCTCACTCTTGCCAGTAACCAAACGGCTCGTTGCAGAGCATCCATTGCCACTGCAGGTCAGCTTTGTTGTCAACGCTTCTATCGGTAAATATCAAGTTCTTAGGGTTGTATGTGTCCATGCACCCAGTATCCAACAGGTTTTGGTAGCCAAAGTTTCGGCAGTCTAGTCCAACCTCATTAGCAAACAATATGTCATGACGGCTAGGTGAGAGCAAGCCTACATCCTGGAATCAATTCCGATTTCGTCCAGTTCGCGTAACCTGCGAGAGCGGTCTCGAGGCCAACACCGTTGGCATCAGGAGTTACAGCAGCACCAGCTGTGACGTTCTATGATAGAGCATTAATATTGGCGGCGGAAAATAAAGCCGCAAGACACTAACCTCAATTGCATCGCAGAATTGGTAGAAACCGGAATAGTTGGAATAGAAGCTGTTAGACTGCCACAGCCATGGGCCATTTTCAAGAACACTGGGCACATTAGATCAATTATAGAACTAGGAAAGGAACACATACGCCATGACATCTTCTTCATGTTCCAATGATTCAAGCCCAAACTTAGTTTTCAGGGCCAATTTTTCGGCAGGGCTCCCTTTCTTCCATACGTTGTCCATATAGTCAATCACGAGGCTGATATCCTTGCTGCAGTTTTTGGGCATGCCTTGTTGGACCGGAACAAAATATTGCCACTAGATCACTGTTAGTTAGGGCGTCTTGACATCTGCATGGCTTCGAAGACTGACATAATCGTAAATAGCTTCAACCGGTGCACTGGACGCATGGTACGCCCAAAATGTACCCGGTGACATTGACTGAGTCCAAGCAGACAGCGCGCCAGAATAACTCCCTCCAGCAAATACCCAAGGTGCGTTGCCTGCATTACTTGTGTTATTTTTATCGAACGGAAGGGGGGCGTTTTTCGCGAAGTATACGAAGTCAGCAATTGATTGTTCTAGTGTCAACAATTGGAGGGTTTCCGCAGTGAGCACATCATATGGCGAAGAATCTCCCCAAAATCGATCTGAACCTATCTTAGTAAAGCATCTTGATACAAACCTAGGGGGCACAACTCACGCTCCACCATAACAACGGCGCCCTTGATCTCTTGGGCAAAAAGGCCAGTGAGTGTCGCATTGGTAAGATACGCCCCGTAGCCCGCCGCAGCTATTTCACCTGGAGTAAATAGTACTACCTATAAATTGACTTAATAGATTTTCTCCGGATCCAAGCCGCCTAACTTACAGGTGAGCCGGGGCCCGCCCAGTACTCCATATTCCACCAGAACTTCTGACGAAAGGTCCCCTTGCTGGGGTCCTTGTGGTCAAGCTGTTGCTGGAAAAAGCCTGTGCCCACAGAGTCGGATTGTGCGATAACCGTCACCATACCCGGGTCTTCTGGTTCCAGAGGAGGGACGAGCCTACCACGACGGAGGAAGTCCACATTTGTGGCAGCTGATGCGACACAAGCCAGCGCCATAATGGCAGACACAATGGTTGTCTTCATGATAACTGCTCCGAACTCGAGAGTGTGGGGTTGGTCCTAGAGTTCTGGAGAAAACCACGAGGCTTTCTTGGGAGGAGAGACTGAGCGGAGAGGAAATCAAAAAGGAAATAGAGGAACTGCCCCTCATGAAATACATTTACCCTCTGGACTCTGGAGCTCTCAAAGCGACCCTGTAGCTTCCAGCAGCACCTACCTTACCTGGCATCGTGTGTTCTGGTTACCCGGAACATATTGCAGATCAACTAGCTACATGGACATCGATCACATCCATGGCTGCAGTAGGCGCGGCCAATTGAGCCGAAACCAATCAAGGAATCCCGCTGCCCGGTACCTGATTGCATTATGCTATTACCTTCCTTGATCCCAAGCGTGATGCCTTGCGTGATGCGTTGTGTTCTTGTATCGCAAGAAAAACCATGTACGGAGTTGAACAATTACACAACGCACCTGGGGCAAACTTCGATGGAGCATCAACGACGAGGCAGACTCCGTATAGGCGACGCGAGTGTTTATCTGGGCTGCGCCAGAACTGCGAAAAGGGAGCCACTCAGGGGCCCGAGCAGCGTGGCTGCGGACGCGAGGCCTGGAGTTCATGAGAGTACTTCGTACTCGTAGTGATATTGTTGATGAGGCGATCGCCGGCACGAGCCCAAACTGGATTGCTGAGTGAGGATAAAGTGCCGCCGATAGCACTGATTGTGGGGTAAAGTTACTGTAGGATGTTAGCATCCAGCACCGCACGGGCGGCGCCGAGCCGAGGCGACCTAAGGGTACAAAAGCTAATAAGCCGCCTGCACTCAGGCACTCTGGCACCGTGACACGGTGACACTGTGTCACTGTGAGCTGCCTCATAAAGACAATCGACCGCGACCACGGCATGGACGGCCTTCTGCATATCGAAGGTAGATACGAAAAACTCGGTGCGCAGGTATGTACTTCGTATCTACCCGACCAGTAGCTACCTACCTAGGTTCGTATCTAGCTAGGTAGGTCCCTAAGGTACCGCCGGTATCCCCCGTGATCGAGACTCTACAGAGTAGACGCCAGACGCCAGAACCAAGGACTCTCTAAAGGTAAGCTGGGCACTCAGCGGAGATAGCGCAGCCGTCCTGGGCAGCCCGCCTCCGTATATATTAATTCTTGTTGTTCTCTTCGGATCGCCAAATCAGGTTAATTTCCGACCTTTCTGGTCGATATTCGGCGGCCTCCCGCAGCGTCCTCTGAGCGACCCTCCGTTTGCCTCTTTGCGCGCGGCGGACGGCGGGTTGGATGAATTCGGATCTCGGCTAGCGACAAGCGACGAGGGTTTTCCATTTATAGCAAGCTTATCGACCCCATTTGATGAAATCCTCACTTGGGCATGATGTGATACCCATTTATTTGTTTATTTGGCATATTATACATCGTCTTCTAAGGCTAGCAAGCTTGCCCGTCTATTTATGTCTGGGGGGACATATGTTGTTGCCTTGCCGATAGGAAATCCGACATTGCCACGTTCAGCAGCAGTTGACCCCCTCCAAGTTACATCGCCGCCGTGTTGCGGAGGGAGTTGGTTGATATCCGGGCGACGAAGCATCAGCGTGATATTGCAGGCCAGGGTCCCGACATGTTTAACAGTTACTTGGTACCGGGCCCCAGCAAGCCTCGTGGCGTTGGTGCATAAAGTAAACTGTCCTCAATCCACCCAAGAATCGGATCTATGGTCTAGTATTCGCTGGTTTGTGTGACTAGTGACCGGCAGCTGGAGCATACTTCCATCTATAAATGATGATGGTGTTATCGCATCACCACGAGTTTTCTGGTAAAAATTGCGGGTTCAATATTGTTCCCCCTCCTTATCAAACGGATCGTACTGTCCCAAAGCACTTGGCCAGTAGAGAAGTTTGAATAGCATGGCTTTCCAAGGAGCCTCAGATATACCGACTCGGTAATACCTCGTCGTGAAGTATATACTACTGAGTAGCTCAGGTATTTAAGTTGTGCACCGCAATGTTGAGAAACCCACCGTCCATTGCATCGAACCCATTATGACGATTAGAAAGCAAAGTGCCACGATGATGCTGGCACCGCCATACCGATAAGCATTAGCCCTCCGCAATGAGCTCAACTCAGCAACCCAGGTACTAACAGTTGTCAAGCAACCGCAAAAACCATCTTCTATGCCTTGTAGAACTTGACAGCCAACAACAGCGCCTAGGGGGACACGTTGCAGATCATAAGCCATCCCCAAGATGATTGTTCCAAGGGTATTGACGAGGAAGGTCCCAAGAGGGAAGGAAGATATTTTCCCGTTGAGATATGTTGAGGCATAAAACCGGCCAAGGCAGCCCAATGGCGCAAACACTAACGCAAAAACTGCCTCTCCTCGCCAGATGTCGTGTGGCGGGAAGATAGCAAGGAGGACGGCCCCAAGCCAACAGCCCCAAGCCAGGACCACACCAATACGGTCAAGAACCTTCCGACAGAATGTGAATGGCAAGGTTGGGATAAATGGCTCCGAGACAATGGCGAGGTGAGCACCGATGTGTAGAGCTGATATGCACATTGTAAGAGTGGCAATAATCACAGCAAGTAAAGCCATGAAGGAATAGCCACCGTTCCGCTGGGCTGCAACTGTAGAACCAGGAGTAAGGAGCTCATTTGACATTGCCAAGAAGGCGTCTCGAATAAATGTAGAGAAAGACGTGAAGCAGCCACAGAATCCAGTTGCTAGTCCAATATATAATGGAATGGTCTTCTTCGTTGCCGCATGCATCTTCTTCGCAGCTTTCACGTCAATTCCCGGCCCGCTAGCAGAACCGATCTCTTCGTCTTGATCTCTCTTCATAGCGTTTTGGATTTGGCGGTCATAGTCAGGATCTCCCCATTCTTCTCTGAAGAGCATCCGATCCTCACTCAGAAATCCCATAACAAGACTTCCTGCAAAGTTCGCCCACAGAATGCTGAAGATAATCGGCGACCCGGGATAAGATGTGATAGCCTGGAGACCAAGTCGAGCGAGTGTGCCCAAGAAGGAGAAAAGGATTAGGTACGATACAGTGTATAATTTAGTTGCAAATTTCGAGACCTTCCGTGCATCCTTCCGCTTTTCGTCTTCGTCCTGTTTAGGCTCCTGTCCCCGTGAAATCGATGCTCTCCTTTCCGCCTCCTGATCCTTTTTATATCTCCGCTCTTGATCCCTTGTATCTTCCAGAGATCTATGGAAATAAATTGAATTTTCATCCGGATTTTCGATTGGTGGGGATGCAGCTAATTCGTCTAGGTTGGCATAATTATCTGCCAACATATAATTGTCTCCTTCCCGCGACTGGCGGCGAACATTTCGAGCTCTTCTGGGGGATGCTTGTGAGGCTTCGGATATCGAGCGGACTAGACTCTCGCGTCTTGCTTCTCCCTGGGGAATACGCTCTCCGGGGAAAATCCTATCAGGAGAAGCAGCTAATTCATTGAGGTTTTCATAATTTTCTGGCGCGTCGTAGCCGGCATCTTGCGAGGCTCGCTGAGTCGGGGAAGGTTCGTCTTCGGCCATGGCATTGCTTGTAAAAGTGGCCCCTGAGCTCTGCTGTGCATCATGAATGTTATATTTCTTGGTGGGTGGAGCTAGCTTGATTGATGGATGGTGGTATGTTTGGGTGTTTACGGAGAGGTAGTTGTTCACATCGCCACCAACGAAGGAGCTCCTTCCCAGCAGGGGCTCCCCTTAACTCTGTTCGGCTAGCTCAAGTTACGATAACAACACTGGCTCGCGATAAGGCTTCGCGACTGCAGTACTGTTGTAGACCCATGACGATGTTTGTTTATCGAGTGTCTGCCTCGCGATACTTTCCGCCTGCTGTAGGAAGTGGCAGACAAGTAACGGGAGACAGGCACAAAGGTAGTTGCAAAGATAGATAGGATGGACATACACCTCCACTTATGACCCAACCATTGCCTAGCCTACAACAATGTCTTCTAGTCCAAACGGACCCCGTGATGATGCCATGGAGGAGGACGCGAAAAGTCAGGACGGCCAGGCAGCACTAAATAGTGAAGAGGATCTTGATGAGCAGTAAGTTATTTAAAAGTTCCCTCATGATAATGAGCGATAAAGCTAAGTTTCAAGGTATCCCGACCGGCCTCATAATCACTCTCAGACACTTTTCTTTCATGATCTTTTGCTCTCTCTCTTCAATCCTCTTGATGGCCTCAAAAAGCGACCCACAGGTCCAGTAACTGCTCGAGCCAAGTTGGGCCCGGGCAGCTCAAATCCATCGCCGCATGAGGCTCGGCGCATCATCATCGGGAGATTCATCTCGCGATGGCGTAGCGATGTTGGCGATGATTTCTATCCGGCACTCCGCCTCATTCTTCCCGAAAAGGACCGCGATAGAGCCATGTACGGTCTTAAGGAAAAGGCCATTGGAAAACTACTGGTGAAATTGTTGAAGATTAGCCCAGACTCTGAAGATGGATACAATCTTCTTAACTGGAAATTACCAGGCCAATCAACCGCCACTCGCATGGCGGGGGATTTTGCTGGCAGATGCTACGAAGTAATGTCCAAGCGAGAAATGAGGACTGAAGTCGGTGATATGAGAATCTCTGAAGTCAATGAACTGCTGGACAAGCTTTCGGCAGCTTCAAAGGAAGAGAACCAGCTACCCATATTTGAACAATTCTACAACAGAATGAATGCAGATGAGCTTATGTGGCTAATTCGAATAATATTGCGGCAGATGAAAGTTGGAGCTTCTGAGAAAACCATACTAAGCGTGAGTTACCTGTGAAGTTCTAGATATCAACTAAACCAGTTCCCAGATTTGGCATCCCGATGCAGAGGCTCTATTTAATGTGTCCTCCAGCCTTAGGCGAGTTTGCTGGGAACTTACAGATCCAACCAAATTGCTCGAGGGAGAGGAGACAGGAGTTGCACTCATGCAATGTTTTCAGCCACAGTTGGCACAGTTTCAATTGCATTCATTTCAAAAGATGATCGATAAACTAGGAGTGACGCCTGACGACCCCGAGTTCTGGATCGAAGAGAAGCTGGACGGCGAGAGAATGCAGCTGCATATGGTTGAAGACGACAATATCCCAGGCGGCCGACGGCTTGCGTTTTGGTCTCGAAAAGCTAAAGATTATACGTATCTATATGGAAACGGTTTCGATGATGATAATGCGGCATTGACAAGACATATCCGTGATGCTTTCGACCCTAGAGTGAGGAATATCATTCTTGACGGCGAAATGATTACTTGGGACCCCGACACCGACAAAATGGTAGCCTTTGGCACTTTGAAAACGGCCGCACTGTCTGAACAGAAAAACCCCTTTCAGAAGTCTGGCATCCGGCCACTTTACCGTGTCTTTGACTGCCTATACTTGAATGATCAGAACGTCACAAGGTTTATGTTAAAAGACAGACGAAAGGCATTAGAAGGAGGGGTAAAAAATGTCCATCGCCGGCTCGAGATCCATGGCTACGAGGTCGCTGATAGCGTTGAAGCTATTGATCCTGCGTTACGGAAGATTGTCGCCGAGGCCTCGGAAGGACTCGTTCTGAAAAACCCCCGGTCCATGTACCGTCTGAATAGCCGGAATGACGACTGGATGAAGGTGAAACCGGAGTATATGTTGGACTTCGGAGAATCTCTAGATTCTGTGGTGATTGGTGGGTACTATGGCTCTGGGCACCGAGGAGGCGGCATTGGATCGTTTTTGTGCGGTCTAAGAGTAGACGACAATCATGTGGCAGCTGGTAAGCATTTATGATTGTTAGATAACCTCAAGACTAACATATTTCTGTGAAGGGGCGAATCCTATGAAATGCTTCTCATTCTTCAAAGTCGGAGGTGGTTTCAGAGTAGAAGATTTTGCCGCCATCAAGCATATGACAGAAGGGAAATGGCATGATTGGGACCGCCACCACCCACCAACGGAATTCATCGAGCTCGCAGGTGGTGATAGACAGTTTGAGAGACCAGATGTTTGGATCAAGCCGAGCGATTCAGTCGTCGTGGAAGTCAAAGCGGCATCAGTTGGGGCATCTGATTCATTCCGAACAAATTATACACTGCGCTTTCCCCGGTTCAAGAAGCTACGAACCGACAAAAATTGGGAAAGTGCATTATCATTGTCCGGATTCGCGGCATTAAAGGCCAAAATCGAACAGGAATCATCTGTGCAAAGAGCGTTCGAGGTAGACAGAAGAAGAGCACCGACGAAGAGGGTAAAAAAGGAAGTTGTCATAGCAGGGACTGATAAAAGAGTCGAGACTCCATATGCTGGGCCCCAAACGGCGGTCTTCGAAGGGTTAAACTTTTGTGTTATGACTGAGATGCTTCATCCACAAAAGAAACGCAAAGCAGAGATTGAGCAGATTATAAAAGCTAACGGTGGGAGTATATTCCAAAGTCCCACCGTAAAAGGTGATATGATATGCCTGGGGGAGAAAAGGCTTGTCCCCGTTGCCAGCCTAATCAGAAAAGGAGACACCAATGTTGTGAAGCCAGCCTGGGTACTGGATGCCCTGAAACAGACAGAGATTGATGGGCCCGAGCGGAAAAAGTTCTTGCTGCCTTTTGAGCCAAATCATATGTTCCACATGGCGGATGATGCCAGACAGGATATCACGAGCCATGTCGACGAGTATGGAGACAGCTATGCTAGGGACGTCACACCAGACGAACTTAAACAAATTTGCGACAACATGATACTACCAAAGAATTCTCAGTTCTCGGCCACTACTTTCCTCGCTGAACTTGAGGAGCACGGGCATGGACTCGGCGAGATGCCTGGCTCGATGTTTGCACGATGTGTTGCTAGATTTTTCCCTTCAGATCCTCCTCAAGAAGATATCGACTCTCAAATGGCCAAAACCCACTTTTTATTTGGTGGAGGTGTTGTGGCTGAAAGCAATACTGACAAACATATTACTCAATATGTGGCTCTTTCCGAGGACCAAGAGGTGCTCAAATCATTAAGGGAAGTACTTGCTTCGCGGGTTGGCAGAGTGCCCAGGATCGTTGGATTGAAATGGTTGCAGGACAGCTGGAGCGAGAGTACCTTACTAGACGAAGACCGCTACAGTATCAATCCGAAGGCAGCTGCAAAGCACTGAGGATTAGCCATGGTGGCTAGAACCGTCGAATTTTGTTAGAATATGGGAGTTATGGGAGTTCCCCTGGCCGGCTGGTCAAGCCACTTAGGCACCCCACTTGGCATTTCTCCACCACAAAGGAGAAATGAGATATGTGTACTCGCGATGAGCCGAATACACGGATATCATCGCATCCCATACTAATTAGTATGGCACATGATGACGGAGGCCCTGGGAAGCCATTCGGATACCATCGGTATTATTTCCTTGAGTCACCTGATTGATCACCTGACCCCATACATTCATTTGCCTATATATGTGAGGCTTTCACCCCATAGTATTAGGATTTTTAATCAATTCAATTACCCCATTCCATGACCCATTCTGACCAATCAATTACCTGTATTAAGTGTACCAATTTGGGTCCCATTAATCAACAAATTTCGAGACTTGGAGGGAGATGAGGACAGGGCAGCGGAGAGGTTGGAGACACAATGGCATGAAGGTAGCATCCCTAGATAATGCGCCGGTTGGTAATTGTAAGAAAATGATAGCGGATAGTAAGCTCCCTGTAATGGAGTGTTCCGTAACTGGAACATGTCTCAGATTGCTGTGTGGGAAGGTAGGAGTAGGCCTATAGAGACAGCTTCGCCTCGAGTAAAACCATACTTCGTGCCAACCCTGAATCCATGTCTGAGTAGGCAGGTAGATATACATACAAATTAAATAATAGGGATCGTCTCCAAGCGGGTGCTGATTAGAATGGCTTTGTACCTCTATATACTGTAAGGCTGCGAGGTATATCTTGATAAGCCCCTCACCTACGTAGCACCTTGTCAACCAGTCGAGCCTGTGCATAAAAGTCTAGGGTCCGGATCCGTGCGCGTAGATCATTGTGGCGCGCTCTAGCCAACGAGGCGGAGCAGCGATTTTGTCGCTGGATTATTTGCGTCGAGGCCACGAGGGAAATAATATACCTACTTTGTACAGTACAGGCACACGAGCTACAACTCGAAATACCTAGGTACCCACATGACAATCTTACCGATACCTTTCCCGCGAAAGAGAAAGTACCACGGCCCAGCTTGTGGAGACTACGATATCATCTGCGAAAGATCATCTCGCCAAACCAGCCTTGCGATTCTTGTCGGATGACCACGCTGATCCGAGCCATATGTCGACGACAGTAACCCTCACGATGTCGCAAACGGCCGGCAGTGGGACAGCGTGCTGCCCGAATTGTGGCATCGGGCTTCCGAGTCATTCTGACATGGCAGCAGAAGCACAGAAGCAAATCGAAGACCTACAAACACAAGTGCGCTTGCTCACAGAAAAGGCTACCGCGACAGGTTCGTCCGCACCCACTCCCTCGATACATAGTGACGAAGGCTTACAGATAGATAGTGGACAAATGGGCAGACTATGAAGACGAGATCCAACAACTCAAAGCGCAACTGCAGCCGCCACAGCGAACAGACTCAGCCAGCGATACCGCTGGCAGATCCGATAGCCCAAGTCGATTTTCCTACCTCCCCGTACAAAACCGCCTCTCTTCCTTCCTGTCACCCCGCAAATCGACCCCGAATTTACAGCAGAACCCGCCGCCCCCATCCGCGACGGACTTAGCCGCTGCGCTAACCAGAGAGCAAGCGCTACGGCAGGCCGCGGAAGGGAAGTTAGATGAAGCTAGTGGCGAGCTGGAGGAGCTGAGTGCGCAACTGTTCGAGCAGGCTAATGAGATGGTGGCTACGGAGAGGAAGGCGAGGGCGAAGTTGGAGGAAAGGGTTGCGGTTTTGGAGAGCAGGGATGGGGAAAAGAGGAAGAGGTTGGAGAAGCTGGAGCACGCGATGCAGAGGATTGAGAGGGTTAGGGGGCTTCTGGCGCCGGGAAGATGATTATGCCTGGTGGCGGACTGATCGCAAGTCTACGCTTAAAACGCGCCAGAGGAAAAGTAAGCTGGCCAGAAGGGGCCTTGAAAGATATATCAAATCGAGAGCCAGATGGTCATTTCGACGGCCACCAAAACGAACCCCGTCCTTAAATACCATACTTACCGACGTCGATGCAAATGCATTACATCACCATGCATACCGCTTTCGAGATCAACCTCCTCCCACGGAGACGTTGCCGGACCCTTTATCGAGCCTTATAGCCCTTGAGACACCGGACTTCGAGCTCTGGGTCAACGAGCTCTGGCTCGACTTTCTCATCGAGCCAACGCCGTATTTAGTAGCATCTTCTATTTGCTATCTGGGATTTGTATTGCTTCTTGGGCAATATTATACCCTCGTATGGCGGCTTGGATGTTTCATATTTCAATTTGTACCCTGGGATGATGATATTGCGTGGGGATACTCTTGAGGTTTTGCAGCCTACATAGTCATGTGTTATGGACTCTGGGTGGGTATGGGCATTGGATTTTACATTTATTTATAATTAGGGCGTGAGACTTAAGAATAGGGAGGCAGTGTATAGATACCCAGATGACTAACGGTAGATTAATTAGTTACATATAGAAGAATGCGATACCAACATGTCCAAGATGCTCGAGGAAATAGGGCTTTCTTTTATGGCGATCTATAGGAGGATGCGATTTAATTTCCTCTGTTTAAATAAATCAGGCCTTCTTAAAGGGCTTGGGGGTTTCCATATGGAGTTAAGCGCTTGAGAATGCTATATATTCTAGGATATCTACAAGATTTCCATTCTACGGCCCCACGATATATGAGAATGTTCTAACAGAGTGCAACATTGTCACTCTATAATTCCTAAACAAGAATAGTGCCTAAAAGGACCGAGACTTTTCAGCCGCCGCAATATACTACTGGGTATCAAGTCTCATTTCTCATAAGCTGAATCTGTGTCTATTCTACGAACGAGTCCCACTAACTCCCGACCTAGGCAAGTCCCTTACCCGGCTTACTTCCCAATAGTCAAAAACAACCTATCTCCAACATCTCCCAAGCCAGGTTTAATCATACCCTTATCAGTAACAGACTCATCCACCCCCGCAACCCAGATGTCGACGCCCTCTGGCCACTCACTAGCAGCTTTAACCAGGCCGGGTGCTGCGCCCAAAACCGCAATTACAATTACTCTCTTAACGCCCCATTCCTTCAATGTTTGGATGGCAGCAGCACATGTACCTCCCGTTGCAATGATGGGATCGAGGAGGATGGCAAGTTCGGAGGCACCTTCGTTGGGGGCGTCCGAAGGGGTGCCGGCGGAGGGCCGGTGGTAGGGGAGGTTGTTGTAGTACTCAACAGGCTCAAGGGTGGTGGGCTCGCGGAATAGACCTAGATGATGGACTGGGACAGGTTCGGGTAGAATAGTTTGGAGGGCTAGAGGACTGTTAGTTTCACGGGTATTAACTGTGGTGTGGAACGGAAGTGTCGGTGAGCCTGATAACGGGGGGTTGCAAGGAAATATGTGGAAAATGACCTACCATCGAGCATCCCCAAACCAGAACGGAGAATAGGAATGAGAGATATTGTAGAGGGTGCGATAGTAGTGGTTGTGTACTCATATCCAAGGGGAGTCTTGCTCTGTTTCAAAGGCGGGGTCAGTAACAGCGTTTGTTGACCACGGACACTAGAATAGAAGGAATAGAGCACGTACAACTGGCCCAGATTTCGTTGACAGCCCAGAAGCAAGAGCCTCACATGCAATAATTACCGAAATGTCATGGACCAGAGCCTTTGTCTCCCTGGTGTTTGCGGATACATCTCGGAGCTGTGATAGCTTGGCCTGAAGACATGGGTGGGTTGATGCGTGTACATTTGGTGGTAAAGTCTGCGGCATCTTGAATTTGTTATTGTTATTGAGAAGACAGTAGATATGTTAATTTATTGATTTAAAGGAGGAGATAGCTTAATGGAAAACGTGAGTACAACCCGTTTGCAAGATGTGTACAAGTCCAAGTAGTCACTGAACCCAGTGAGGTTCACCAGTGGTTGACCGCGTTGCGTCATTAGGTAAGACAGAACGCGAAATCAGGTGCAACATCAGATATGCTTCGGCCTTCTACCGTACAGTAATTAATAAAGTACGATGGCGGCCGCTGGAATCATAGCTGATTGGTAACGATAAGAAGGCAGCATTTATGAACGGAGCATCTGATCTTATAGATGGGATGGCACAAATTATCCGACTTTCCATTTCCAGGGAAGCAGTGCTATAGCCGCCAAATTCCGCATCACAACCACTAGAAAGGCCTACTAATGAGATTAGAGCTCTCGTGGCCCAGGGCGAAAAGTGATGCCTCTTACTGGGTGGTTTAGGATGCTTAAAACGCACGTTCGAAGGACTCTACTTCGTAATCGGCCCTTGGCCAAACGGCCTGCTCGTGCTGCACTGACTCGAACTCGGATTTTACTACCTCAAGGTTTCCGTCTAGTGGCTGGCTCTGGCGGCATCAGCTAGATTCCGATCTGAACATTAATAAGCATCATCGCCATGAATGACGCATGTCGAGCTTGAACAATCAAGACTCAAGAGTCGAGAAACCGGGCACGAACCATAACGCTGGGAAAGACTATCTCTCATTTATCGTAACGGAACGGAACGGCAGGCGGTGAATTGTGCATAGCAGGCACCCAGGATAAACGGGGTCCGATAATGAAAATATCATTCGGCAAAGCAACGCAACACAAAGATGCAGCTGAGAATTGGTGCCCGAAGGACCCCTAGCCAATGCAATGTGGAGTAACACGACAGGCGAGCATGGAACCTAGGGAATTGGATTCACAACCGCTTATCTATTCTAATCTGTTACATATGCTTTGTTCTTTTGATCCATTGAGGGAGGGAATATTGGGATCTTGTAGCCACCAACCCCACGTCGAGGATTGATAAGCCCGGGATCACCAGACAGATTAATTATTGCCGCTTTTCGCTCTTCGCTTTTGGGCGAGGACGGGTTTCCAGCATAGTGGTTCCGCACGAGGAGGGAAGGTCGGCGTCGGTAAAATGGAAGAGGATAAAGAAGCAAGAATACTACGTAGCAAAAGTGCTTCCTCAACAACAGAGCCAACATCAAGAACCTTCTTCGAACAAGTAGTCACGCTAGTGTGGTACGAGTTATCGGCGGTCATTTAGTGATTTAGTGTCCTCGCGTGTCACGGGACACAACGCCTCTTACAGCAAAGCGTACAGCCCTGCAGTGCCACTGTAGCGACTGAGGGCTTCGTACGTAGTAACTTGCAAGGTATCCTATCCAACTGAGCACTATCTCCTACGGCCCCCCCCCCACACCTCGACTCCCTCTCTCTTCTTCTCCTTCTTCGTCTTCGACCGACCCTGACGGTGACTTCTCTTCAGTTCCCAACCATCCTCACCCTCGTCTACGCAGACGCTGTCAGATCCTCCTGCTCCTGAAGAACCCCCCCGGAGCCGGAGCCGGACATGCCTCACCAAAACCACCAGACCGAGCTCTGCAACGAACTGCTGGTGACTGTTCAAGGAATATTTTACAGATAGTCTCTTTTCCCCCTCCCAGCTTGCTCTGGGAGAGTCCTGGGAGCCCTTTCCTACCCAGGAACGTGCACCCTTCTTCATACAGAATTTCTGCCCACGTTATCTATCACAGCGTTGCTACTACTCTCAAGTCCGCTTGGAACCACCATCATCTGCGGCGGCACATATCCTGGCTGGTACCAGTCGGACGATGATTACGCTGAGAAGTTATCTGTTCACTTCCCAAGACTTATCGGCAGCCAACCTCAATACCACAAGCAAACGACGAAGGAAGATACCTCAAAAGGACGACGATATGTCTCCCTCTAGAGGAACAACGACGAGGGTCACCCCCGCAACCCCTCCCCCTACATCCACCAATCCAAGTCCGAAGCCTACGATACCGACTTCACCGGTGGTTATTCCCGCTCGAGGATATCGCGATAGTTTCCCCGAGAGTCACAGATCCAAAATTAGGAACGAATATCAACATGGGGGGAGGCGCCGGAATATACACTCTGCGGATGCGACATCTCCGTCAGTAGCGGCACTTCTCGCCATTACCCAAATACCAAACCCAAGGCTACATACTGCCGGCCGAACCCGAGCTCGTCCAGAGCAAAGGTTGACAGTGGATGCCGTATTACAGCATACGGGCGTTTCTGAGAAGGAGTTTAGTATGTCCCTTGGAAAAAGCCAACTGGACTTACTTCTCAGTCCGCCAGAAGAGTTGGAGGATGAAATCGCAGGGAGTGATAATGGCCAAGAATCAGTCACGACGATGTCAAGCGAATCCGTACCATCACTCGACGATGATTCCACCAGCGAGACCTCTCTTTCTCTTAATTCTTTGTTAACGCCGAGCTCTCGAGGAAGGAGGTCGCTACCATCACGCAGGGTGCCACCATATACTTCACCTCCTAGCTCGATTACTATGGAAGACCATCCCTTGTCGGACCCCGATATCGACATTGACCAGCTCGATTTCAGAGTATTCCAAAATTCACAGGGCGGAGGAGAAGCGACGCCCACCGTCGAGGTCCCAACACCTCCACGCAAGTCAGCCTTCAAGTCGAATTTGACAGCATCATTACGAGCGCTACGGTCTGCGGCAATGTCACTCTCTTCACTCACAGCACCCATGATTACACCCGACGATTTCCTCACAAGATCAATCATTTCTATAGACCCACAAGTACCATTCACAGATGAGCGCATGCCCCCTCGCCTTGAAGACACCCCAACTCCAGCACTCAGACGCTATCTTAATCCGACCACCAATGCCCCTATAGAAGCCCATATGACCCCATCTCGGTCTCAGGCGCTCTCAGAGACGAAATGCACTGCATCTATCCAGATGGAAACTTACAAGATTTCCCGTTCATCTAGTGGTATTTTGCCAAGCGTTATTAGTCGGCGGACGAAATCTACTGAAGAAGTTTTGGTGGAAGCGGCCGGCCCGGTGGGCCGCCAACGGGAGATGCGCGAAAACAGCGACTTCATTCGGATTGCAGTTATGGAGATGGCTATGCGGAAGAAAGGCAAGCTGGATGACCAGAAGCCAGGCCGAGCGAAATGGGCTCTACCTCCGAGAAAGGTCCCAACAAATAACTACGAAATTGGAGCAGACGGTGTACCAATACGATGGATCCCCCAGGTCCAATGACCAAAACCGATCTATCCACTACCTTAAGCCCTACTTACGCAACGTCACCATATTATTACGCGCCACTCGTTAAGTACCATATATTCTCATCGCCTATTTAGCTACAGGGAACTTGTCTAGCTCCAATAGTCGCTAAAGGACAAGCATGGATTTTGATATCTCCGCACCCCAACCTGGGAATGGAGCTTTTGGACGGATATGCAGCATACTCAATAAGGAGTAAGGCAGGTAAAATTCCAGAGCTAGGACCCTCCGGGGTAGAGAGACGATCATAATGGTTTGCCCCAATCAACTTGGCAATATTTTCAATGTCTGAAAGCTCATGTCTTGAAGAGACGTCCTCTGAACAACCAAGGGTCCAAGACGGGCTTTTCTAAGGATGCCATAGTATACCTGATGTGAAAATGCATTGCGGGATCGGCAGCGCCCTTTTGCTTACATGGGCCAGGTCTTTTTTGGATTGGCTGGGCATATTTGACACGAAGGAATCCATGTTACAATTAGATACGGAAAAAATATTCTGCCCCTAGCTTCAACCGGTCTGAGAATTGTGTCGTCCTCTGTGGAAACGGTAGGTACCGTTCAGCTAATGGGGAGCCTCGGGCGTTGAACAAAAATTTCCCATCCTCGCCCACCTAATTTACAGTATTGGGAACGTGCCGAGTATGCTGTGGTTTGACCGATCTGCTCAGAGCTTGGGATAGTCTATCTTTCGCAACTAGACCTATACTCACATTGCCCTATCAACCTTAAGCGGTTGGATGTGGTACGAAGTGGATAGCTAATCTCCCGGCGACGCGCACCACGGTGAAACAGACCATGGCTCGCACTCAAGGACATCAAGTTTCTTAGATAAGTATAGAGATGGGTTATCCGGTGTATTGGGCCGGCCAAGTTTCATGGTATAGGAGGATTAAAAGCTCCTTTTTTTGTGTATTCTAATTTGTAATTTCAAGTCGCTATAATGTAGCGTTTTGACAGTACAGAAGGAGTTTGGGATGCATCATTAAGGCCATTTCAGATGGGCTAGATGGAGTTCAGCAGGGCTTTGCGTTACGAGCGATATTATTATCTTTCATCTCTGGTTATCAGAAAATATTTGCTGGTCTTAGTTGGACATAGTGGGAGCGTGTTAAGGAGAAGATGAATTATAGAGGATACAGGTATTCGAGGTCATGAGACAATTGCAAGTCAATCTATATTTGCAACAACTTGGTTTGAGACTACCTAACATGACGTGTTCGTGTTCTAAATCCTAATAAGAGCCAACTATACATAGGTACCAAACCTAATCGATAGGTTTTATAATGCATATAGTTTGACGGTGTTTAATAGATTCAGTGCGTACATCAGCAACTATACATTGGTGGGTATGGATTCGGACGTAGTAGAGATTGATAAGTCTGCTTAGTCATACGGCTCACCCGGCCCATCAGGCTGTGGGGCTCCTGTGGGCACATACAAGGGGGGACCTCCCGAGATGTCGAGCTTAAGTTGCTCCGTACAGAGCTTCTAAGGTTTCCACCCAAGATACATGAAAATACCCATGAACCTCCGCATACATGCTCACCCTCGCCATCGCACCACGCCGGATTCACGACGGAACCTACCTGTTTGGAAGCTCGTGGATAGTCGATGAGTACTACAAGAAGATCGACCCAGGGCAAGGACCCAGCAGCTTCAACAACTCAAAGCGCAGCAGCTCTTCAAGGAGCTTCGTTAGCATTCAGAAAGATCCCTCCACCTGTCAAACCAAAACCTCTGGTCAATATCTATAGTGGGAATAATGGAGCTCTTGCTGCGGCTACAAAGGCTGGGGAAGCACGGAACGATTCCTCGACGGATAAACTAGATATCCCGGGACATGCACAACGGGCAGGACATTTGGGATATAATGGGAGTCCAAATAATAAACCGTCGGGAATTTATTCGAGCTCTGGCCGAGATGAACTATTGCGCTCAGAAACGAGCCAGTCAAGATCTCCATCGTTTATAGCTGCTACTCTTGCAGCATCGAGATCTCCCTCTCGAAGTCCAAATACAGCAAGTCAACAACAACAATCGCCCTCGAGTTTTAGGAGAGACCAGCGCTTTTCAACGAGATCCCCATCCCCGGTGAAAAGCATGAGTTCTTCAACCGACAGCCTTAACCATGCACCGCTAGATGTAACCCCGATTGCCCCGACTACATCCTTAATTTCCATGTTTGAAAGTACCGGAGCGAAATCGAAAAGCCCTTCGTCAGTTTCAAAGCCAGCAAGTTCGGTTTCCCAAAAGAGCGAGCCGCCACCCTCGCCTTCTCAAATTTCTCTGTCCCCTACGAGAGGGCGAATTCCATTGCTTTCACCTCCCAAGCCTCAACAACCAGAATTCAAGGCACGAAAGTGCCCAGTAACACAACCCGCGTCCCCCCGACCTAAAGCCCAACTCGAACTTGGCAAGGCAACGGCCCCTACAACCTTAGCCAAACCGATACCAATCCCAAGGAGGTCAAGATCCCAATCAGAACTTCAAAATGAAGAAGATGATGCTTCGTCAGATGATTCTTTTGTATCTGCATCCGACTACAGACCTTCGATGGCACAAATATATGGCCGGGGGGGACGCTTAGCATCTCCCTCATCCGCTTCAATAAACTCTTCTGTAACAGTTGATTCGCTAGCAAATGCAATAGTTGCTAGCAGTCTAGCTTCTTCCAGGGCTGCCTCGCCGTCAACATCTTCAGGTAATCGTTTAGTCCCTCCACCTCCTCCACCAGCTCGTCGAAGTCCACGACACCGCTTCCATCACCACGGTAGTTCAAGGACCCCTAGTCCCTTAAAACATACAGGACTAAGGACAACCATGAGAAAACCGAAATCAAAGGAAGATATCAATGAACGGGAAAAGAAGCTCAAGAGGAAGCACCTCATGAAGAAGCATCCGAATAAGCATCATGAGGGTGACAGGAAGCGGTGGAGGGATCAAATTACTGAACGGGAACGAAAACGATGTGAAGCTGTCTGGGCAAGTAATAGGGGGTTATACCTGTCATCTCCCGGATCAGAAAACTGCGTGTGCAATCTGGTAGTAAGGGATATCTGGTCAAGGTCACGGCTACATCAAGATGTTCTTGAGGAAGTCTATGCGCTGGTTGATAGACATGGCAACGGGATGCTTACGAAGGAAGAGTTTGTCGTTGGCATTTGGATGATCGATCAGAGGCTGAAAGGGAGGAAGTTGCCCATTCGAGTCAGCGGCAGCGTTTGGAGAAGTGTAGGTGTTCTGGGAGACGTGCAAGTAAAGAAGGGGGGAAAAGGAAAATAATAGAGGGAAGGGGGGATGCAGGGTGTGTATAATATTAATGAGGGATGGGTGAGCGTATTTCGATACATAGGATAATACCCCGGAGTTGCTTGCGGGTGATACGGCGTTTGGGTGTTTGTTCATCGACTAGGATTGTGGAAACAGATTAGGCTTGACATCTTTTTTCAGTTTGCGGCTCTGGAAACGTTTCTGTTTTTGTCTATAAGTCGAAGAGTACCAGGCTACTTCGCCAACCTACCTAGGCACCCAGGTAGTGTAGCTTGGAAATGGTCGTCATTATTACCTAGACTAAGGCGATTGCCAAGAGCTTTGGGATTCAAACCACAAAGCTTCCAGCTTGAATTGAAGTCCGAGTTATGGTATATAAGCCAGCGGTCCGATTTCCCAGGCGATCTACAGCGTTAGGTTTGTGGAGATGGAAGATTCTGATCGTTGAGAATTTATGTGGGGTGAAAATCTCGATGTTAGAATCTGAGCATGTATACTTTTTATATAGCACATAACAGTGAGAGACAGGATCACTGCTAGGGAAATGGCAACCGATTTCCACCATCCTCATCTTGATACCGTTCGTGCCAGCAAGTTGATCGGGGCAGGTAAGGGAGCGTCGCGGTCACAGGTTATTGCTGAATCACACACAAGAGGTTGCTGAAAGTTCATTGATCGTAGAGCATGTTACATTTTTTGCACTGCCCGCGCTCATGATATCAAGCAATCCCATGCCCCATGCAAAGTGACCAAATGAAAACCAACCACTCCTTAGACCTCGGTTGTAACTCTGGCCTTGGGGTTCGTAACCTTGACACCCAGTTGCTTAGCCCGCTCAATGATGGTAATTCTCTTCCTCGACGAAACGGCGTGGCCAATCCTGCGTGGTATTAGTACGTATTTCTTCTCATCTCGGTGTCCTGCTTTGAACATACTCTGCGGCGAAGGTCTTGTTGTGCATGAGGAGGAGATCGACATCTTGGATGTTGTTGACCAAGAAGGCCTTGTGGCCAGATGGCATCATGTGGCGGGTCTTCCTGTTTGCTCCGAAACCAATCTGTATATTCCAATCAGCTCACATCCTTGATTTTGCTCCGTCGAAGATATCGGGCGGGTCGATATATTCCCAATCGTCTCTCTTCCGCTCATTCCCATCCCAGATTTTATTGACGTACCGATGGCATGACCATTTGTCCCTTGAACCGTCTTCGGACACGGTTGTCAATACCCTTTGGCTTTCTCCATGATGGGTCGACACATTTGAATCTATCGCTCTGATGTCTGTTGAAGCGCTTGGTGCCTGTAAAATCATTTCGTCAACACCTTTCTACTTCGAAGCAGCCCAAGCAGCAGTCCAGGCATTCTCATTCCCGTCCTTGTGGGACTTCCATATTGTGCCGTGTCGTGTCGCGAAATCTTCGAGATAATGGTCGGGGAGGGTCTGAACATACGCTTCTTCACGATAGGAATATGCTTCTTTGCAGAAACCATCTGCGAAATCGTCAGCAATCTAGATGGCAAGAGGAAGCAAACAAAGTATGCGCTTCCGATGGGCCTATCTTACCTTGTCGTCGTTTCTGTGGTCGAAGTTGGCGATTGTAGATGGAATTTCTTCACTTCTCGACTTTCGATAAAATTGACGTTCGTGTGTGGGATTTGGTGCGGCAAGCCGGCCAATAAGATACTAGCGCCTTTTCTAAAAAATTGGCTAGCCGTACCATATCATCACGTGATTGTTTCTCACTACCTAGGTAGGTACCTAGGTACCGTCTAGCAGGGAAAGAGGGAGATGGGGGAGAGAACTTTGTGACTTTTGTAAATTTCCAGTTGGGAAGTGCAGTATCATTCATTTGTGGTCTATAAGCAATCTTTACTCAAGGTTCATGTCGCAGAATTCAGCGACAACCCCTGGTAGTGCTTGGTGCTATCCTATAACTCCATGGAAACGGCCCAAATATATCAAAACCGCCACGTTAAGTGCATCTATGACTACTTCAAGAGTCTCCTCATTGCTGAGCGCACTGTGCCTGCGCACCTTCTTCATCATCGTCATCCTCCCACGCGCCACCAGCTCGTGGATCACCCGAATTTGCGCCGAACTACATCAGATTAGGGCTGGATTCGTGACAGAAAGGCATTCAACTTACATCTTCGATATCTGCGTCCGAATTAAACTCGACCTCGTCGGTTTCGGTGGCCTCAATCGGTGGCTCAGGCTTTGGAAGACATTTCTGAAGACTAGCAAACGCAGCCGGATCTTCAGTCCAGCCATGTTCAGGAAATTCGACTTTGACCATGAGATACAGGTCTCCTTTCATATCAGTCTTCTTTAGTGGCATTCCCTCACCAGGAACAATCAGAACTTGGCCTGGCTTCAGCACCTTGCCTTGAGGGTGGGTCATCTGGATACCACGGCCGTCAAGGTGCTTTAGAACTACCCTAGAGAAGCCGGTCAAGGCCTCAGCGAGGGTAATGTGAAGGTCTGCGGAGAGATCGTCTCCAGCTCTTTGGAAAACATCATGATCCTCTTCCACCAGTGTGAAAACAATATCTCCAGGTATTTGATCGGGTACTTGGTCTGCCTCCCCCTCAAGAGTGATTCGTTCTCCTTCCCGGGCGCCTCGCGGGATGTAGATCTCCAAGACCTTCTTTTCCGAGGTTGTACGCTTCCCTTTACATTTCTTGCACCTATCCTTCTCCTTGAAGATCTTCCCAGTTCCCGTGCAAGAATCGCAAATATTCCTCTCTTGAGTGACGAGCCCCGGGCCGACCTGACGAAGTCCGACCGTAACACCATTTCCCTTACATCTCTCGCATGTTTGTGGTTTGGCTTTCTCTTTTCCTCCGGTCCCCTTGCAATGGCTGCAAATGATGTTCTTGGTGCTCGCAAACTTGACCGTCTTTCCTTTATAGAGCTCTTCCAGGGTAACTTCGTACTTTTGTTCTTCGTCGCGTCCTCTTCGTGGTCGCTTTGGCAAGCCACCTTCTCCTCCAAATGGCATACCACCGCCCATGCCGCCGCCCATGCCAAACATTTGAGCTAGAATGTCATCCAAGTCGACTCCGCCACCCATGCCGCCCCCTCGACTAGGGTCGAAAGCGCCCATGCCATGGGTATCGTAAAGATGTCGCTTCTCCTCATCGTGGAGAATCTCGTATGCCTGGCTAACGCTTTTAAACTTTAATTCAGACTCTTCTCTCTGATCTTCTGCAACTTTATCGGGATGGTGTTGTAAGGCTGCCTGTACATTGGTCAGCGGAGCTGCTTGCGAGACGGAAGCGATAACAGACCTTGTGGTAGGCTTTTTTGATTTCAGATTTGGTGGCAGTCTTGGAGATACTGAGGACCTCTGTTCAGAATTAGCATTGTGGCTTTCCAGTTTCTGTGTACAACCCACCATAGAGATCGATCTCTTCAGTTGTTCCGTTGGAAGCCATCCTTCAGGCTCGGTGGAGGGGTAGATCGTTGATTTTCAGGGCGGTGGCGGGGTCTTTTTGGGGACTACAAGGTTGGATACGTCGGCAGATCTTTGAATGACCTAGGAAACTCAAATCATGTGCCGGGACGGTAAAACAAGGCGGAGAGATGCAGTGTTGGACGGTGGTAGAAATCGCTGATATATTTTATCTTAGCGCGCATATGTTTGGTGAAGAAAGCTCGGACCAGCCGGGCTGTGGTGCAACATAAATTATTCACCGGCGAAGTACGAGTAGCACAACATAAGTCCTAGAAAACGGACAACGCTTCCACGATTGAGGTGAAATCAAAATGGTAGCAACTGTACGGCTGCTGTTGTCATCGGCGAATAGAACTAGGGCATCACGGTGGATTTGCCATTCTTGTCGTGGCATCAAACATGCATCGACATCCACGGGCAAATCTGCCCTTTCCGATGCCTCGGGGGACCTCCGAAATCTGGGGCCGGCTCGAACACGCTTTGCCCCCTCTCCAACTGGATCTCTCCATCTGGGGTCTTTAAGGACCGCGCTATTTAATTATCTAATAGCGAAAGCAACTGGTGGCCAATTTCTCCTAAGAATTGAGGATACCGATCAGGTGATCAACCCTTCTTTCAGCTACCAAAGTTATTGTTTTAACTGGAGCAGAAACGGACAATACCGGGGGCCGAAGAGAAATTATTCAATGATCTAGAATGGGCTTGTATTCAATGGGACGAGGGTAATACCGCTACTCATCTTATGGAACGACTGTTAACCTTGTCCAGGTCCAAAAGTTGGGGGGCCTTTCGGCCCCTATAAACAGGTAAGTCATATATATCACCTCAAAATACGCGCTCTCTAACACAACTTAGTCAGAAAGAACTGAAATATACCGGAAAAGTTCCGATGAATTATTGCGCTCTGGAGCTGCCTACAGATGTTTCTGCTCACCTGAGCGTCTTCATGAACTCGCCGAATATCGGAATAAATTAGGACACGCTCCTGACTATGATAGAAAATGTACTCACATACCCAAAGAAGAGTCAGATGATCGAGCTGCGAAAGGAGAAACCCACGTTGTGAGGCTGAAAATGCCGGATGTTGATGAAGGTTATACCGATTTGGTTTATGGTTTTGTCTGGCGACGGAGTGATCCCAAGCTGAAAGCTCGCTTTTCAACTCTTGGATCATTTGATGATCCAATATTGCTCAAGACAGATGGTTTCCCAACCTATCACCTTGCAAATGTTGTTGACGATCATCTTATGGAGATCAGTCACGTTATCCGCGGCTCGGTACGTCTTCTTTCCCTAGATAGATGTACTTATACTGACTGTGACAAGGAATGGATGTCATCTACGCCAAAACATATTGCTCTCTATAAAGCGTTTGGATGGCAACCCCCAGCATTCGCCCATGTGAGTCTACTTGTTGACACCAATAAGCAGAAGCTCAGCAAACGAACTGGGTCCGTGGACATAGGGGCGTGGCGGGATATGGGCATCTTTCCAGAGACTCTAGCTAATTTCGTTGCTCTCCTTGGATGGTCTCATAGAAATGACAAAGATATCATGGGCATGGAAGACCTTATAAGAAGCGTAAGTCTCCCTATGATTTATCGTTCGAACTTATGCTTATGTTATATTCAGGCTAGCATGAAGTTTACCAAAGGAGACACGATCGTATCATTTGAGAAGCTCTGGTTCCTCCAGAAGCACCACGCTCAGCGCTACGCCCCCATGGCCAAACTATCCGGCCCCATTGACCCACGCCATGACCTTAATAAGTTAGCCGTTCTTCCATGCATCAAGCTGCTTGAAACTCATAAAGCTGGGCAGAAGCCCTCTTTCTATGAGTCACTCCCAGCAGGGGAACGGAGAGAGGATTTTGTGCGCTCTTTGCTATGCCAAGATGCAAGAAACTACACTACGCCCATAGACTTCGTCAACCGCAATGAATATTTTTTCATCGCACCATCTAAAGAGGATCTTGTAGGAAGTCTATCTGCTTTAGAGTTGCATGGCTTGCCAGGCGGGACATCACCTCAGGTTAGCCCAGAGTTGTTGGACGAGTTCGACAGATTTGCTCAAATCGAGAGCTCCAAATGGGATACCACTCTAGAGATCAAAGTCATGACGCACAATATTGTTGACGGAGCGTCGTCAAAGAGTGCCGCTGAGCTGGGGGGAGAAGAGCAATCAACGGAACTAGCCATTGCTTGCCGGAAACGCTGGTCTACCCTGGTTCATAAGTACATCCGTTGGGCGCTCGCTAGTGGGAAGCCGGGTCCGAACAGTGCGATGACGATGGGTATCTTGGGGAAGGAAGAGACAATGAGAAGGTTGGCTGCCGCGAAGGAGATTATACTAAGTGCAGAAGAACATGTTGGTACACAGGATGTGGATTCTGGGAGCTCGTCACCCAAACAGCATGCTACGGCTCAGGGGCCCGCCATGTCTGAGTGAAAATGAGCATAGTTTGCCCCAGGTCAGAGTTACCTATGATCTAGCAGCAGGTTCGATCAGGACTGGGAATGGTATTTACAGGGGCAATTGGAGCTTGCAAGCACTCGAGCACAGTCAAATTATGACTTTTATCCTTGTACGATACCTAGAAGATTGTAGAATTAGGGAAATAGTGTGATGTATTATATTGAAACTCATCGTATGCGTTCGTAGGCTAAAAATTCCCTTTTCATAATCCTTCCCACTCGCCCAAAACTCCTCTATTACGATTGATACGCCGAGTAATGCCGCAAAGCTTCTAAGCTCTCCTTGCTGCTGCCGATTTTATATTTGACCAGCGATTCTCATGTCTCTGTTGAGACTGCAGCCGGAGGATCTTGTTTCTGCCCTGCTTCTCCAAGCCCATTGAAAAGCTTCGCCTTAATCTCTCCAGCCATCAAACCAGTCAGTTCCTCTCCTGCAATCTTATTACCATCTCTCACCGCTTTGTCCATCTTCTCATCAACCGCTTTATTTACATGCGTCCCTACTGGGGTTCTGCCAGCACGTGCGACCGAGCTTGCAGCTTCACGTATCTTGGAGCTTAAATCAAGCATTTGCTTGCTACTATATTCCCGATTGGTGAATAGCGGGCTTTGGCTAAGAGTTTGGACCCAGTATTTATTCCATAGGAGCTCCAACAGATGTGTATCGAGCGAGCTCTTGAAGTGGGAGACCTCTAGCGAATAGTATCGGCTGCTGTGGGCACCGAAATCCTCTATCTTAGCAAGAGGAATGGTCTGATATCCATCGTCTGCGCCGGAGTTTGCTGGCTTGTAATCCTCGGGGTATGTTCTGAAGGCACCGATCTCAACTTTGCCGGCTGAGATGGTGCGATCGGGGTCAATAACCACAGCTAGGAAGGGATCGCTGAATGTCTGCTGTGTTGCCTGGGTGCTAACATCGATACCGCTGAGCCAGCAGCCGTAGCCTGGATGGCTGTGGTACCATCCCACGGCGTTCTCTAGTTTGCCCTGGTCACGGCAAGCCTGAAGGTAGGCCACCATATATTCGTTTGCCTCGTCTTGAGCATTGACTCGGGTCTCTGTCCCCTCGACCGGCAATCGGAAGGCATCCGTGACGATAAATGTGTCCCCCGAGATCTTGCCTTGCATCAAGCCCATGATTTCTAGGGAACCTCCGGACCGTGCATGCATGACCATCTTCAGGAGTGCCACGGCTGAGATCCGGACATTCTTGAAGTAGTGGGGTTCGCCTTTCCATGGCTTCCCATCATTCACGGCCTTCTGTTCTGCAACATCGTACGTGTAGAGGGCATCTCGTTCTGGATCGACCAGTTTGATGTTGTTGTCCAGCTCTGTTATCGATAAGAGATGAGCAGAGCTTCAAGGGAACGAGAGGGGCTGGTCGTGGATGCATGACTTACCCCATGTCTTAAAGGCCGTGTCCATGATCGCAGCGGTATGGAAAGCCTGAGAGCTAGAATTGGCCGACGTTGGTTGGAGGTTGAAGGTTGAAGGTTGGTTGTGGAATACGTAGGTAGCTACCTAGGGCACAGTAGATATACGAGTTATCGCGAGGTCGGACACTGTACTGTGGGTTGTCAGCGGGAAAAGGAAGAGTTCCAGCCTTGTGCAGTCGCTAGCTAGCGGGCCGCGGGGCGAGGCTAAAACCCTGACCCCCCGTTGAAACGTTGAAACAACCTGACGCGCATGTTGCCGGGTCAACCAGCGAAAATACACTCCACTTGCGTCCTCCAACCTACGGAGTCCAACCACAATCCCACCACAGCACCCGCACCCGCACCAACACCAACATATACAAACCGCGACTGGCATGCAATACCACCATTAATGAGTTGTTCATTCAATTTCTCGAGGGTTTCGCAGTCGCGATCACGCATCGATTGCTGCTGAACTGTCCGATAAATCCCCAAACCCCACAGCGTTGCGCGGCCATCCACGGCGACCCATTCGTTTCCCCGGCTCATATCGGGCGCTGCAATACGTCGCTGAAATAATATACGCGCCTCATTTCCATCGCCCACCATGGATACAAGCTATCTCTCTTCCCAGGTGTCGACAATCATTGGCCAACTTCACGGTCTCTTCGACGAGATTGGAGTCCCCAGCCATGACCGAGAGTCCCGCGAGGCAGAGGTAAGTTATACATGCTCTCCTCATCCACCAAACTTCCACTGACCAACACAGCTCTTTGCCGCCCTGTCCGAAACTCTACACAGTCAAGTGCGGCAGGTCGCGACCGAGAAGAATGGGATGGCCGAGGAGGCTCAACGGATCATCACCACTATCAAGCAAATGGAGGCTTCGCTGGACGATCAAAGCGCCCGTCGTGAATATGAGACCGAAGCCGAGGACTTGAAGATCACTTACCCGTTAATACGCTGCCTTCAATTGCTAAAGGAGAAACATCAACAAATATCGAGGCTTCACAAGGAGCGTTTCGAACAAGTTAAAAGTAGGTTTTATCGTTGAGGAGTTGATACTGGGCATCGCATTCTTGTAGCCGCTGCTGACCATCCCGCAGAGCTTGTGCAGGCCCTAGAATCCTACTCGTCTCATCTGGAATCGTCCTTTATCAAGATTGCCCTACCGCCCACCGCTCCCAACTCCACTGTTCCGCCAACCTTTGACCTCTCCCCCGCTTATGTCACGGCCCTCGATGACGAGTTCACACGAGTATACGAAGAATACACCCGCCGGGTTGCGACAGTAAAGGCACTCTCAGAGAACATCATCCAGCTCTGGGCCGAACTTGGCACTCCCCAGGCACAGACAGATGGCATGATTGTTAAATACTACCGCGATTCCCCTGAACAACTCGGTCTTCACGAGGATGATATTGCTAGATTACGCCAGAAGCGAGACAAGCTATCAGATGAAAAGAAGTCGCGCGAGAAGCGCCTTAAAGACCTTAAAACCACGGTCGAAGCGCTATGGGGCCGCTTAGGCGTGGAAGAGTCCGAACGGAAGATATTCCTAAATAGCAACCGCGGCTGTGGGGTGCGCCAAATAAACGAATTCGAGGACGAACTTTCAAGACTAAACGAACTGAAGAGACAAAACCTCCACTTATTCGTAGAGGACGCACGGTACAAGCTACAAGATTTATGGGACGGTCTGTACTTCTCCGAGGAAGAAATGCTGGAATTTACTCCCGCATTCTCAGATGTGTACAGCGATGCGCTTCTTGAGGCACATGAGCAAGAGATAGGTCGTTTGGAGGCACTAAAAGAACAACGAGCCCCAACTCTAGTACTCATCGAGAAACATCGGTCTCTTGTTAAGGATCGCAATGATCTACAGGCCTCAAGTCAAGATGCGTCACGGTTGTTAGGGAGAGGTCAAAAAGGCGAGAAACGTGATCCAACACGGCTGCTGAGGGAGGAGAAGATGAGGAAGAGAATCGTAAAAGACTTGCCAAAGGTAGCGGCCGAGTTAAGAAAGGTTCTAGAGAAATGGGAGGATGAATACGGTCGCCCCTTCTTGGTTCACGGAGAGAGATATCTTGACGAACTCGAAGCCTCCGAAGCTAAGCCAGCCCCTGGCCCTCGATCGAAGACACCCGCAGGCCCGCCCCCTTCTGCCGCGAGGAACCAGAAATCTGCTCCTCCAAGTCGTGGGAATAGCGTAATGAAGGCACCACCACCACCTAGGGCTGGAGCGAAAACGCCAACCGCTGGAGGAACCCTAAGAAGGAACCCAGTTGCAAATTCCACAGCCCGTGTCAAATCACCCTCGAAGATCCCCGCACGAGCGCCGTTATCCAATCTTAATCATGGTAATAACTCTCCAGAACGCCGACCTGCGCGCCCAGAGTCAATAATTGATACAGACCGTACTCTTCGTGGAAAGATGGGACCGCCGCCTAGGGCTCCTCCTCCAAAGATGAGAGATCTTTTCGTCCCGCCCCCTGCCCCGACACCGGTATCACACCCTCGGGCTGAAAGCGAGCTCTCTAGCGGAAGTGTGCGACATGTCTCTCCTGAAGATCCGTATGGTTATCCACAAAACCACCAATCTCGACACCAATCCTACAATGAGCTCAATTCCTCGATGCGTCAGAATGAGCGCTTTGCTCCCTCAGGTTCATACCCAACTGCACCACCTAGCCGCCAGATCTCGAATACCTCCTCAGCCATCACGGCAGTATCGGGCAGCGAAAATTGGGAGACGTATTCAGAGGTTTCCGAGCCTGAACAGGATGCGTCAGATGACTATTATGCGAGACTTCGTGCTGCTCGTGGAAAGCGCTTTACCCCTGACGACGGTTATGCTCCCCCGCAAGGTGGGCATGTAAAGAAGCAGAAGGGTTTATCACCTTATGGAGCTCATGCTGGTCATGGTCTCACAGACGCCCATGGCAACCGCATTGTATCGGGTAGTGAAACCAATTGGACGGATGAAGATGCTTTCTAAGCCAGTTTTGACTGTCTCCGGGTTCATAACTGTGGTCTTTTGTCTCCTTTTCATGATTTAGAAGGGCGCATACGACGGCATGAGGAACGCATTTGATGATCATGGTTCCAACGCATCCATCCTCCTTTACCTAGCGATGGCGCTATGATCGAGTCTATTTCTTGTATTTTGATTTTTGTTTCCCGGCATGATATCTTCTGTTCAAGTATTCAACTATTAAGAGGAGCGCCGCCGTGGCCTGCGTCCGCCTCGTGCTCATATTACTTTGGGTTTGGAGGTCTGCTGATTTTTGTGTCTTTGGAGTACAGTGGTTGGAAGTTGGGGGGTATCACGGCGTTAAAAGCGGTTCTGATACTTTAACTGCCTGGAGTAGAATTCACATAAGATTCATATATCTTTTCCCATAATTTTGCTGCTGGCTAGTGATGATCTTTGATTGCCGCACTCACCAATCTCCCTAACTCACCCTAATCGAGACTCTGAATTTTGGGTTAAGTTTAGGACAGTACACGTTGAGGTTTCTTACTGTAATCGAACCGGCAGTATTTAAAACGGATGATTGGAAAGCCCGAAGCTGAACTGGCTGCTTGCACTGTCTGTAACTTACCGGTTGTAACCAGGTAGTTCCATAGAGCTCAGCATCACTCAGTATACTGATTTCAATTCATCAGTGAGGTGTCTCATACACAATCAGAGGTTTACGAACTACACGTGAGGGAATAGTGTTATATAGTTCAAAAAGTATCTCTTGTAATTCGTTTCCGTTCGTAAGGAACCTCCTCCAAGTCCTACCTAAAACCCCGGTACCCCAAAACATGCATTGGTATTTGACGTCCACGGTAAAACTCATTGGGGCCCCCCCTTTTTTCCAAACACCAGACCTATATATCTCCCATATATCCAGGTATCATATTGTTCTACCTATGACCGCTCAAAAAACGCCCCGAAAATATCACTTCATTCGCTTGTTATGCCCACCGTATGCTCCCGTCATATGCCCCTAACTCCTATATCCACATGCATCATCTCAGTTTGGAATATTTACAAGATTAGTTGACAGGCGCTTGGTTTGCTACTTGGCGGTTTCTCAGCGCCTCAGGGTTAAACATAAACTCTCGATCGATATCCATTGATCTTGCGAGTCTTCCGCCAGGTGTCCGTGGGTGCGGGACGTTCACACGGCCCCGGGTGAAAGACTTGTGTGAGTCTTCGTCGTCGGTATTGTCATGGTCATCTTCGTGTTGACTTAGTCTGAGCAGATATATATTAGTATGGCGATTAATAGAGTAATGGGAGTCTGCTTACCTCGCAAAATAATCGGCAAGCCCATCAACACTTGGTGTGCCAATGACGTGATCATAAAGCGGCGGCGGGGTTGCGATCGGCGGTGGAGGTTCCTCATCATCGAACGAAGGCGGATTGAAGCTCGGTTGTCTCAGTAGATGAATGGGTCTTTCCAGAGTCGCATGGTTGGGCAAATGAGCCTGGGCCGGCCGCGAGAGGCCGGGAACACCGCTCTCAGCGCTAACTGGGATATTGTCGAGTATCGATACATTGCCAATCGAGCTGGCTGCAGCGTTTGGGCATCCGCACACTCGCTGCCGCTCTTGAGAGCTAGTATGAGAGCCATATTCGGGGAGCGCCAGGTTAGCCTGCGTCGCCCGACAGCTAAGGATTGTAAACGGAGAGTCGATAGATATCTCAAAGTGACGTCTCTTTTTCCCAGTTGGGTCATCAACATCTACTCGAGATATGCGCATTATAATCTAGTACGATGATTAGTATTTGAATGGCTCAAGGGTGTCTGGCGCCGTACCTTAATCCAGTGGTGCACGCCCGCGCATTTCCATGTGCAATCAGGGACTAACCGCTTCTGCCTCTCTTTTTCCATCATTTCGCAGGTCGGCAATTGCGCATTCATCTCTATCTCCGTCTGGCCCCAAAACTTCTCTAGACCAAGATCGATATCGCCAAGGATGTTTTGCGTTGGCTCGGGAAGTGGTTCCGCATCTACGCCAGTTCCCATTGCCTCATATTCTCTTCTTCTCATAGCATGAGCTCGTGCCTGTGCCCGATCTTCGGCGCTCAGCTCGCCCCCAGCAATCACTCTCACCTCCGAGCCCACAAACTCTTTGCTCACTGGTTTCCCGGCCACCTTTTCGAGCAATAGCAACTTCCTAACAGGGTCCTTTCTCGTCACCCTCCTATTGTTTGTAAAATATTCCACAATCTCGCTGACGTATATCTTGATCTTATGAACTTGCACCTTTGCTAATGGCGTAAGCTTGAATGCAATGGGAATCTTGGAACCCAAAGGGAATGATTTCCCAGAAATCATTATCTCGTATTGTAGTTGATCCTCCCATTTTCTACTAATCGAGATCGGCTCGACCAACTCTAACGAGTCTTCGGATGGCGACCGAATGACGGGTATCTCCTTGAATCCTTGAAGATCCGGCTTGAACGTACCCGAGCGCTTCACGATGGTTTCCAGCATCCAAGATACCGAAGCCAACGGCAATTTGATCGTCTCAGGGCTATTGTTGTCAATTGGCAGCTCAAAGCTGTATTCGTATACCCCTGGATGGAATACTTTGTAGCCCTTTTGCTGCGGAGTCGGTCCGAATGGTGATTCTCCTTTCTGAAAGCTGCGGGACTGGTTACATTGCAGCGACAACCTCTTCATCTCCTTGGAAGACGTTAATGTGCTTGATCTGTATGGTCTAACATTTAGCGATGGTAATGAAAACCCGCTCTGAGTAGTTGTGTTGGACAAGCTATCGAGGTCCAAAGTAGTATTCGACAAGTTGGTGACGGATGAGGATGCGGACTTTTCCCGAAACGAGTAGTTGCATTGCGTGCCATATCCTGATTCTGCTCCTTCATACATCGCATTGAAGAAAGGTAACACTTGGGTCCTGAGGGAGGTTTCCTCAAAAGTTTGGGACTTTTCTGGGGGTATTCCTATGGCATTGTAAGAACATAGTATCCGATTAAACAATATCTTAAAACATACCTTCGGGCCACTCCGTCCGCGCCCTTCCTGTAAATCGAAGTGTCACCGCCTTGATTTTAGCACTTTTAGTGACAACGAGCTGTAGCGTTCCTCTCAATATTGCCGTAGAATTCGATCCAGTGTCTCGCGTCGTGCCATCGTGGTCAAGGCCAGCTAGATATATTACTGGTTCGGCGAGGTGGATGTAGCACGCGACCCCGTTGCCGTGACATATCGGTTTCTCTGGCTCAGCACTACATTTCAATGGCATCAACGGTGCCGGGTTGGGAATTTCCGCCCCGGGCAAATCAAGACTCGGCCGTCCTGACATTGGAAAATCACCCAAACCCGTGCCTGCCGCGACCCTCCTCGAGTATATGGTTCCCGGATCCGCTGAAGCAGCTGACAGCGAGCTCCTCACTGACCTGTCGGTGGCCGGGCTCGCGGACCTCGTGGAACCCGCCGGCGCGGAGGACGCGGTCGACGCGGTCGACGAGGGCAACGGCGAGAAGAGAGCCCCAAGCACCCGTTTTGCTCTCTCTCGCGAAGCCAGCGTTCTGAGGCGTATGCGGAAGCGCGAAGGCTTCTTCGGTCCGGCAAGAAGCGGCGGGGTTCGAAGGTCGAGCGGTATAAAGCCGGCCGGTAAACGTGTTATATGTATCAAGTGCGGTCTTCGTTGTCTTGGACGACACGGCGGCGAGGGAAGTCTTACTGGCTGCGATCTATCGTTGGCCGGACTGAGTGGTGTATAGAGGATAGCTCCCCTGGTGGGATATGACGAGAATGAGCGTCTGTCTGTCATGATGTCCGTTAACCATCAGTTCTCTCTAACCACACAGGCAAGGCCCGGGGCGGAGGAAAGCTGTCGAGGAAAACGAAATAGTATATATGGGATGGGGGAGTGTGTCAAGGGATTCCCCCGACCCTGGTTGGTATGGATGTGGAAGATCTTAATTGCGATGGCCCCTAGGACATCAGATGCACCTGTGGCATGCAAGAAAGGTAAAATAAAATATACGACAGGGAGGGAGAGATGCCGAGAGAGGTGAGGGATATCAGGACGCCATTCCGACGAAATGGCGGCCCTCATGCGAAAAGGGTAAATCAACGATATATATCTGGGAGGGCGGGGTGGTACTTACCAGGCGGGAGGTTGAGCAGGCCGGGATGGGGAGCGGCCTCGGACAGCACATGGACACAATCAGGGATAGGAGGGGATGTAATGTAATGTAAGGTAAGGTAAGGTAAGGTAATGTGATACTTCAAGCAGTCAAGGGCGTTGCGTTACGTCCCGTTGCAGGAGTGATCTGGGAGTGGGTTGTAGTTTGTGGATTGTAGGTGCTAGATGCTGGAATCTAGAGCTGGTGGTGACCGCACGCAGCCGGGTCGCTAGGAGGAGGGGGAGGGCGATGTTGGCGAGTGATGGAACGTGAGACACCGAGAGAGACAAGAGACAGCGAGAGAGAGAGAAAGAGAGCGAGACAACGCTCTTCACCGGCAATCCTGGTCCTGTGCTGTACGATGACACATGCACTTGGATGTGTGCATGTGTGGCGCACGATCAGCCGGACGCAGCTCAATAAATCATTAACTGTCCAGTGGTGAAGGGTTTATTTACTATCAAACTCCACAAACTTCACAAGCTTCACCACGTCACAATGGTATAATCAGATAGGAGCTCTGCTTGCAGCTATTACCACGATCCAAAAAAGAAAATAGAGATCCGAGTCCAGATTATAACAATTAATTTACATCAAAGTTTATTTGATTGAGGCATACACACCTTACGTAGGTGGGTAGGGGTAAGCCAGAGCACCGCCAAGAGAGTGCGTAGTGCGTGGTGCGTAGTGCCCGATGGTGACGAAAGAAATTGGATATTTGCTATTTTCCCTGAACCACCACCATCACCACCACACAAACACCAACACCAACACCGCTAATAATACCTGTGAAGATCTGCTCCCGGTTCCCCTGCAGCCGGCACCCCGAATGCCGATTGTGGAGGAGGCCATCGTTGTTGCTCTGTGCGAAGTATCTCCGAATTACCGTGTCGTGTAGGTAGGTACCTTGCCTAGGTAGGTATTGTAGCTATTCCATTGCTTTCATCAACACCACGATCCCTCCCCCCCAGAATACCCACGGTAGAGTACACAGTAGCAAGATCCCCATCGCCTAGAGCTAGAAGCTCGCCGTCCCCAGTCACTTGACAACAGCGAGAGGCCGCCGTTTGCGGCTTTCAACAATCGAGCCACGGTGCGAATACCTGAAGCTATCGCCGCATTTTCCTCGCTAACTGGGAAGTACTTCGTACGGAGTAGGGATGATAATGGCGCACACGGCTGGCCTGCCTCCGCATTACCGTTCGTACAGTACTACTCCCGTCCGCCACCAGGCCAGTGAGCCCACCGCCCGCAAACTAAGCTCCGTTATTTTCCTCAAGTCGTTCACGTAACCGCGCCATCTTTGCAAATGAGACCAGGCCCAGAGACGAGAAGCCCGGGAGTTCCGGGAATGCCGGCTTCGCACACGGTTGATTGGCAGCAATGGCGTGTCGTACTGTAGGACGCTTGCTGCTGCTTCGAAGGTACTCCGGACTCCACGGCATGATTGGGGATCTAAGTTGCCTTGCCATGCCTTTTCCTTGCCCTGCCAAGCCAGCTTTGCTCTCGGTATTGTCACAGGTCGCACAGCGTAGCAGCAGTCCTCGAGTACGTATCTCCGTGGCACGAAGCTGGGTGGGACTGCGCAGGTGACGCGGTTGAGGGCCGGGGAGCATGAGACCCTTCTGGATCCTCGGAATGATACTGAGTAAGGAATCTGATGTATATAAGAGCCGTGATATTGGTCCTAACTGAATTTAAGTTTCCGGAATATGCCGTCGCTGCTCTCTTCAGCCTTGGCTAGCACCAGCCTTGCGGAGGCAGCTGGGAGGCGAACACATGCCTACAGGTGCCTGTGGAGGCCATCCTCGAGCACTAGAAACATCGGTGAAAGTCCAGTAGTGGCACTGCATGTGGTACTCCAGGTTGGCCACAACTCTGACACCGCTTTTTCGGGCTTTGAGATTCACGAGTCATGGTTCCGGACTCTGGAATGTCTGAGTGGCGCCTCGATTACGCGTGCTTAGGCGTCACAAATATAGTAAAGGATTCGCAACGGGTTTCTATGTCTCTAATGTCTAGGTGCGGGGTATTATTTGGCAAGAGACTAGTTGACTTTGCTCGACGGGATTGAATAAATAGCTGTACGTAGTACTCCAGAGGCATTGTGGCGCTCCAAATATAAACTATCCGTTTGGTTTGGCGTGGTGTGGCTGGATGATCGCCAGCTCTGGGGCGACTACAAAGCAGTAGCGGCATATGGCGTTATTGGGCGAATTTGGTACAAAACTCTTTTCGCTTGGCCATTACCTAAGGTACCCTAAGTATATATGACTCTAATATCGAGTTTCTATCTATACAAATCTAGATAGTGAGCGCATAGGACTGTACTGTATATTATTCGAATATCTAGTCAGTCGCAAAGCGAAGCTATTCCTAGATATCTACCGAACCTTTGTCCCCCAGTATACCATACGCATAGGTTGGCTATCTATATTGTAAAAAAACAGTTTGAGAAGTTCAATATCGGAGTCATATCTGGGTAATGGCCGTTAGGCCTTATGATGCTGGCGAAAAGCGTTTTGCCACAAATTCGCCCAATAATGCGCCATAACAGGTTAGCTTTGGTGCTGGGGCTGTGCAGTTTAAGGTTTAAGGTTTACTCGTAGCTTATCGCGACACGTGATTGTCGATAAGCCATCAACATCACACGCGGCGAACGCGTCGAGAAAATAGTGTCGAACAGCTTTATATCCAGCTGAGACGAGACCATGAGCGACGACGAGGCCCCTCAGCCTCGTAGAAAGATACCCCTAAATGGCGCCTCAGACCTTTCGGCCCCCTTGGCCGGCATTATCATATGTTGCACCTCTATACCAGAGGAGGACCGCGTAGGACAATCGAATTCTTTGTTATCCGTCAAGCCCTCGCCGTACCTGGCAATGTTTGCTAACTTGCCCGGTTCTATATAGACTAAGTTGGCTGGATATGCAGAACAGATGGGAGCCACCCACCGATATGACCTGACACTCGATGTTACCCACCTCATTGTTGGCGATTATAATACCCCGAAATACCGATACGTAGCTAAGGAGCGACCCGACGTCAAGCCCATGACGGCAAGATGGATTGAAGCTCTTCGAGATCTCTGGATGAGTGACCAAGAGATCGATTTAGTAGGGTTAGAGAAAGAACATACACTGCCGATCCTACAATCTCTGAAAATTAGCATGACGGGATGTGATCATCGTGAGGGGTTCTTGTCACAAACGAATTCGGAATCCTGCTAACCCTGTTTAGCGGACGAGCGACTGGAAATCGCAGAACACGTCAAGGCAAACGGTGCCGTATATGAAGGGGATTTGACCAAGCAGATCACCCACCTAATATCGTTCCGGACTGAGGGTGCGAAATATAAGGCTGCGAGAGCGTGGGGGATTCGAGTTGTTTCGATTGAGTGGCTGCGGGACAGTCTGGAAAGAGGAATGATATTAGACGAGAAACTCTACAATCCTGTTCTGCCTGCGGAAGAACGAGGAAGGGGCGCTTGGGACAAAACGAAACCAAAGAGAACCTCGTTAGGGAAACGACTGAGGGAGGACGCTGTTGCTGGCTTAGAGGGACCCAAGAGGAAACTCCGAAGAACCGCTAGCACCAAGCTAAATAGCCAGAGTGAGCAGATATGGGGCGATATTGTTGGGGGTAGGGGGACAGTCACCGAAGTTGCGCGAAGCGGAGTGTGGGATAGCGTTGACGAAGTAGGCAATCAAGCAGGACGAACGAGGTCAGAACATCCACCTAAAGCTAATGCCCGCCAGCCATTGGTAGATATCAAGTCAGTTGATGCGGGCATATTTAGTAGCTGTCGATTCTACTTCTCTGGCTTTGATTCAAAGAGGGCAGAAGTACTTTGCAACCACCTTCTGCCACAAGGTGCCGAAGTTGTAAATACCATTGACGAGCTGCGGTCAAGGCCCCAGACGAATTCACCCAACCACCTTTTCGTGATCCTCCCTCACGATCTACCCACATCTGAGCATCCGAGCCTTCCAGAGTCTCAGCCACCGATCGAAAAAATTACTGTTTGGTGGGTGGAGCGTTGTCTTCACCATAGAAAGTTCATCAGTCCGACGGAGCATGTTGTTGGGCGGCCATTTCCGGTATTTCCAATTGAGGGCTTTTCTGGCATGACAATATGCTCCTCTGCATTTTCCGGCATAGACCTGCTCCATTTTAAGAAGTCAGTCGAGCTGCTAGGCGCCAAATATAGCGAAGATATGACTCCGAAAACGTCAGTACTAGTTACCAAATGCCTATCCTTTCTAAGGAAGGACAAGTTTGAGCATGCCCAGGAGTGGAGAATCCCGATTGTCACTGGTGACTGGTTGTGGGATTGCGTCAAAAGTGGCACTGCACTGAAATGGCGAAGGTACCAGTGCCGATCACGAAAACGATCAGATTCATTGCCAAATATTCGCGGTGGGCCATTATCAAAAGATACAGATAGCAACAGGTTACCCGAAAGCATAACGGAAAAGAATCCTTCGAGGGCGGACAGTTTGTCCTCAGAAGGTGCAGCCAAACCTCCCGAAGACTCGGGGCTGGATGACTCTACACTCATCCCTACTGAAAAGGTTGCCGTGAAAGAGGAACAGAATACATACAATCTCGAACCACCTACCAACGGATCGGTTTCCCCAACGCAAGACCTTGCTGAAAGGACCGAGCCGCTTGCAGACCCATATCACAATTCGTCATCGAGAACTGTCTCAACCGCTCCAGCCCCTTCTGGACACCCTCACTCACGACCCGCCCAAGAAGATATCAGCAGCGCCATTTCAGATCTCCTCGCGAAAACGAAAACATCCGTGCAACCAACGCACCACGAGCCTTCGGACGCCCGCAAACGTGGTATCAACAGGATTCTGGGCCGAGCAACAAGTAATGTCTCTACAGCATCCACCAACCACTCAAGAGCCACGTCCGTAGACTCGACGGCTACACACGGACATCCCGTCGAGTATCCCTCGGGGGTCACAGACGAGCGCATGGCTCTGCTGTTAGCTGGCGATAGGAGTGCGCCAGGTGAAGGGGATGGCCAACCTCCTCCCACGCAACTTCAATACGAGGATCCTGAGAGCAATGAGGTCACGGAGAGGGTGATGGCAAGGATGCTTGGTGAGACGGTACCGCGTAAGAAAGGGAACAAGGAGAGGGCTGTGACGATAGGGGATTTTGAACCGAAGTCGAGGATAACGAGGCAAGGGAGGGTACGTTAGGAGTTGGGTATTTGAGGAGTTGGGTAAATCTGAAATGCATTATTAGCGAGTCGTAGATTCAGCATATTATCATTACAGCTTGATTATTTTCACTTTGCTATTATCGCCATGTTAATCGCCATGCATTATGCTTAAAATACAGGATATCAAAGTATATCTATATATCCCATGGCGCCAAAAAGAGCTACTTCTCTAAACTGATCTCCCCCTCTTATGATTGATGTTTAAATTAGAACTTAACTACAGGATATCGAGGTTCGATTCACTGTTCCTGAAGTAAAAATCATAAAGCCAGTCCTTCCCCCACACTTCAAAACATTAGCTTAACTAACAATTAAATTCTAGAACGGCAAGGGGTGGAAATATACTCCGAGGATTGCAAACGAAGGTGAAAAGCTACAGTGAATGAAATGTTAGTGCTGCTTTGTTGCTGATGATTACAGTGACGGCATACTTCCTAACCACCTGCGTAAGGCTCGCACAGCCAGATGAGCAAGGCATGCCTTGCTTCCAAAAAGAACAAACCCCTGCCCCATGGAGGTTGCTAGTACCCACATTCCGTTGTCAATATGTTTAATATTGGCGGTACTCCCATCATGCGGCATGCAAGTAGATAGAAGTGGATCCCGAGGACAGCTCACATTTGTTTTAGCAAGTATGTAGATCGGTTTGGCAAACATCCAGGTCAACGACAGTGTAGTAATAGACTGACAGCTCCTTTGCAATTTCTCCCATTCGCCCAACTCCTCCCATCCACCACATCGTGCTGATATGGGTTGAGAATCTCATTATTATAGACCGGTTCCTTTCTACCACCCTCTACAACATGCTCCAATCCCCATCCCCATCCCCATTCCGTTGATTTTATAGACCGTTCATTAGTTTTTGTCATGTTCTTTCATTGTTTTGCTTTATTTTGTTCGTTTCTTCTACTATTATATACTCATTAGCCAATTTTCTATTAATTATTTTATACTTCTTAAAATTAAGCATAGAGACAATAGAAAAAAGATACTACCTGATGTAGGTGCTCAGGGTTGTCAAAGGATGTGAGTTGTGCTAGCTCGATGTGAGCGGCATAGAAGTGAGGTCGTAGACTTCAAACTGAAAACCGAAATCCGATTCGTCTGCGACGACGAACTGATTGACCCCTAGCCTTTGCTACCTCGAACTCATAACCCATCTAAGGTGCGATCAGAAGTAGACGGAGATCATATAGAACGTAAGTGGGTATGGAACGAATAAGGAGTACAGGGTATTATATTGGGGCTATTCGGCGGAGTGTGAAAGGGCTGTATATTTCATGACAGCAAAAACGGTTATCAACACAGAGTAGAGTATAGTTAGCCGCTAAGTGGGGACCCGTTATCGCAACAAGCTCAAGCAGCTAGATACCGAACGGATCTAAGGGGCAGGAAGAATTCCTGCTTTTATAGTTGGGGTTTGCTGTCTATGACCGTCAAGGAGACACTGGCCTTTAGGGGGAAGGATAATTGTAACCTGGAACTTTACAGAAGGGCTACTCTTATACTTTAATATTTAACTTATCCTTAAGCTTGTGCTGAGTTGCTCTGATTTTTACTAAAATCTTCTGGCTTGAACAGTGCGTTTCAACTTAATCTTTGGACTCTTTTTGCTACTTGAAGACGGTGTCTATATTGTTTCAGTTTACTCCCTTCTCCTGCGGCAATTTCAAGATACTGGTTTTATATCCAGATCTGAAAAAGCTCTCGTCCCGCTTTGCAGGCTGAAAGAGTGGTAAAGTGGCATAAGAAGTACCACACAACAAAAACATATCATTCCCACATAATCCCCCTCAACCTCTGCTTCTCCTCCTCACCCCCGAAAATAATCTCAATTGGCGCCCTAGCCAGTTTGTAAATCTTCTTCCGATCTAGGCCAAAGTGCTCTGCGACGAGAGCATACTCATTTGAAAGGCTACTTCCAAAAACCCCCACATCATCCGTCTATTAAATTTTCATTAGCACTTGGTTTTATACCATCCACAAAGTAAACTGTCAAAGCACAGAAACCCGACGAAGGAAGAAAATGGGATAGATGACATACACTTAATGCAATAGCACAACCGGCTTTCTCCTTCCACCACCCAAAATGATGATCCCCAAAGCTGCCCGTAATCATCTTTGCATGGACGTTGCAGCTCAGGCAGAGCTCAAGGCCCAGTTCCCGCTTCGTGATATCTTGCTTTACGTCATCGGGGACGTGGATAACATGACCGAGGCGGTCCGGGTTGAAAGAAAGTAGAGTCCAGAGCTCCTTCTGCGTTGAGGATTGTGGGCATTCTGCGAAATGGAGAGTGATTTTCAGCCCGTGCTGCGATGCTTTGGTGAATGCTGGTTTGAAGATGGAGACGTCCCCCACGGCGGGATCGCCGCACAGATCAACTCCTACTACACCTTGGGTGTGGTATGCGATTGCGAGGTCGACAACGTGCATTGCGGTGTCGATGTCGTTTCGACGGTCGATCGAGAGGATTAGGTTAGTTTTCATGGTGGAGGATGCGTTGAAGCTTTTGATGCATTCGAGGATTGCTCGGACGTAGTCATCTTTGGTGATGTCTGCTGAAGGGATTGCTCGGGGAGTTGTGCGAAGTTCAAGATAGACAACGCCGTCTGCTTCGAAGTCCTTGAGGACGGATTGTGTGGTGTATATTAGGGAAGCGTGGTTGTTGCAGAGGGCGTAGATATATTTGGAAAAGAGAGGAAAGAAGCTGGCTGGGTTAGAAGGTTGAGGTTGAGTGGAGGTATCCTTGGGATGCTGGAATGGGCAAAAATGAAGGTATAATTTAGAGATCCGCAGGGGAAACGGTAAAGTTGGTTCCTAGTAGTATTCCTGTCCAGGTCTACGCAAACCGGAAATAGCATTCCAGGGCATCCTCTCAAAGCTAGGCACTCATCGCCAATGTTGTGCATTCAGCTCCTGTCAGCCCTACTCAGGGCGATCCTCCAACGGAAGGATGCATCAGGAAGAGGTTTAATATCTCTATACATTCCCAGAAAAGAACAACCAGTACTTACGTCTCCAAGTCATAATCAAATTTGCCCACGGGCATTTCCTCCAGGGGATCTCTCAGTTCCGTCTCTCCCTGTTTAAGCTTCTCCCGCCAAACATCATGAAGACATTCTCGACTGATACTGCCACTAAGATGGGCATGCAACTAGAAAACCATATTCAGCTCCGTCCATCCAGGCGGTATGTTCCTGCACTACAAAAAGGGAAAAGATTGGCATTTCGTCAGCGACCTAGATACAGTAACTACTATATGCCTTTCGTTTGGAGCAGAAGGATCACCAATGGGACAAGACGCAGGTCGTGACGCCGCCAAATGGAGATTTCCAAGGAAGACAGTCTAGCAAGTGAGGGCGATCGAGCAGGCGCTGTGCTGCTTGCACGCATGGACAAGCATAGTGTACTGTAGGTGGGCATTTCGGTAGGGTATGAAAAAGAAGATGCAGCTCGTCTGCGGCCGTGCCGTGCCGGGCGTAGATCTGGTTGTAGATAGGCGCCAAGGGCCAAGCAAGTCTCTATACGCGATAACGCAGGACGGAAAAATACACCCAAGTACCTAAGCCGAAGGTAAGGTAAGGTGAAAGAGAGAATAAGGGCCACAGCCGGAGCAACTACTACCCCGTGGATACTGTGCAGTGCGTGTAAAGCATGATGTTGATCTTTCTGCTCCCGCCGAGCCGTGTCGTGTGTCGTGTCGCATCGTCGGGAGAGAACAATAACAAGGATATGAAGAAAATACTATGTAGAGATAGGATTCTCCAGCCTCAACTCTGCTGCTTGTCCCGCCATATTGGACGCAATATTGCGCTGAAGAAAGAGAGTCGCTCACCTCTATTTTAGGCAAAGATCTGAAGTCGATGGTAGCAGATTGCGGCTCCATCACCACCCAGGTCGTGACACAGCGGCTTGCTTCGCGCGGATACAGGCCCGAGAGCAATGGCTTCTTCGTACAGTAGGTATGTACTGTACATGTACCAGCTGTACCCAATATTGGACTTGCGCGCGAAGGTACGGAGCAACTTTTCGAGCGTAAATAATGATAAAGGGTTGGGTTGTTTGTGTGCCAGCCTGCCAGAACGTCGCCGACGTTGTGTCTCCAAATTTGGAACGGGTTTCACAGCGAACACGAACTAGGCGGATTGCGTTCCTTTGATGGCCAGTAGGGCTTTTGGGGGCTTTTGGCGGTGGCTCAATGCTCAAAGCTCCATGAATGATCTTCGGCTCGGCTGCACCTGCACCTGCGCCTGCTCCTGCTCCTGCATCTGCATCTGCGCCTCTGCTTCTGCTTCTGCTCCTGCGCCCGCGCCCGTGTCTGCATCGACGTCTGCGGAGCATCTGCAGCTTGGTCGCCGGGCTCGGATTGCCTTGAATGGATATGGCTCCGGGAGTGCTACTGTACTGTACAGTCTGTACGGTGCCAACTTACCAAGTAGGCGTTAAGAACCTAAGGCCAAGGGTGATTGTTATCTGGCAGCATCCAGTGAAGCGATTTAAAGGTTCTTCCATGGACGGTACTCGAGTACTTACGTTACCTACCTTATTAGCTTGAGTTATTAATGGTTTCGACTCGTCGATTCGATTCGGGCCGGTGCTGCTACTTGCTACCGAATACACGGCCGAGCGTAACGTTTCGGGGGATTGTGGGGAAACCCAGCACGTACGATGCGGCAGTAATATACTGTGGGCCACTCAAGCCATCCGAGATTATAAACGCTGGAAAGGGGATGGTAGCCGTCTTTTAACTCTTACCTCCTCTGAGGTAATGTTGTTATTAGTAAGGGCAGCTATTAGGTCTTGGAGCTCGCTAGCTTTGCTGTGATAAAAGTTATCGCTATGTCCAACCCCACATAAGCCTGTGGCTTGGTGAACCCATTACGAAAGAGCTAGACTTCGTAAACTAGACGAGGATTGGGCTTCACAAAAAGTTGCTCCTGCTGATTATTACTCTAATGCTTTGCATTCGACAGGCCTGCTGGAAAGCCACCCCACTTGAAGCTGGCGCCAGGTCGAATGACGTGCATAGAACATTCCTTCAGTCTTAAAAACAGGAGTCGGCTGCCGCCCTGAAGATCATCGCCGTTCTAAACTACGAGATCGGCTTCTAGGAATGTTGGGGTCAAGCGGCTCAAGCCTGAGGAAAGGAATGGGGATTTATGCTGGGCTGGACTGGCTATACACTAGTGCTCTTCCAATGCAGATAGCATTAAAACTTCGGTGCGGAATAGAGGAATAAGATAAGAGGTCTAAGGAGCCAGGGACACATATACCTCACCGTGGAGAGAGAGGGTGTTATGCTCTCCGAGTAGTGTTGCCATTCTATACAGACATGAGGGATATATGGGTGTGACTTGAGAAATATACACACACTCCCTGAGATTACGGAGTAGGAAGGAAAAAGATACCATGGCTTGTGACAGAAGGAAATGCAGTTAAGGGCCAATCGATCTAGGTTCAAAAAGCTTGAATCCAGGTAGGTAGAGTACCTAGGTCTGTATCCACTTGGCACCAAGTCAAGTTCATCATTTCGCACAATCGTTGGCTCGCTCGCTTGCGCACCGACTTATCTCACTCCTTGGATACCAGGTACCCTAAGGTAGGTAGCTACATACATACTCACTGCCACTGGGCAGCGAAAAGGCTTGCTCATCTTGTCTGACGAACGCGGGGCAATTCGAACCATGGTGTGGTGGTGGATGATTCGCCATGTTCCGGAGACTGATTCAAGCTGCCGCCGTGCCGGCCAGCAGAGCCTGTCGTCGTTGGTCTGGATTTCCGGAGAAACAGGGCGGCCGGGAGACGGGATATGATGCGAGGTGGCGCGATGTGGTTGATCATATATATATAATATGACAGGAGGAGAGGACTGGTTTCCAGCATACGGTAATACCGGAGGGCCAATTTCAAGGGAGGGTGGTTTTATTCCTGGTTCGCGGCTGCAGGCGCGATAGATTGGGGGGGGGGGCACGGAGGAGAGGGTAGATTGGATGGGATGGGGGGAAGGGTTTCATCTGTCCCACGTACTACCACGTACGTACTTCGTATACTCACTCTGCTTCGTTCTCTCCGATGAGTGGCAGCAGCGGGCTGGAATTGCCGTAGTAGCACGATTATTTGATTTGATTATCTGATTATTGGAGGAGAGGGAGTGTGTACTGTAGGAGGAGGGACTTTATTGATGGCGAATAGGAGTAGGAATACTTTGTAGGAACATCCGGTTATTTGTTACCCATACGGAGGTCGACGGGTCGCCACGGCGCACGGGCCGGGTGGGCTTGATGTTGGGACGGTCAGGTGACCACGGGCGCCGATGGAGAGAAAGTTGGGGGGAGAGGGGAGAGGGGAGAGGGGAGACATCCATATATCTACGGCGTAGGTGCTTTGTAATTACTAGCTCTCCTCACATGCCTATTCACATTCACTACTTCATAAGGTAGTTAATACTGTACAGTACCTGTAGGCTGTATGTAGCTGAGAAACGAGAACCGGGGATTTAAGTAGAACCGTCTTCCAAATCCCCCCCCCTCCCCTATCAACAGAATCTAATCTCATATAACTGTACAGTAGTAGGTGGTCGCTGGATCGCGTCGGTGGTCGCTTGGCTGGCTTGGCGGACCCAAACCGGCCGCATCCTGCGCCAGAGCCTGCGCAGTGCGAGCAGCTCGTCGGCTTGGGAGTTGTGGCTGTGCGTGTGCACTGTATCTACTCCGTAGGTACTCTAAGTCTCTCGTTACGTCGCAGGTTGGCAGAGCGCGTAGTACCACTTATTCGTAGGTACTGCTACGTACCAAAGTGGTTATGAGCTGTTAGTTACGGAGTACAACAGTACCTGCGCACGGCAGTGGTGTATACCTCAAGGAACCTAGGTAGGTAGAGAGTATGGAGTACGAAGCAGTTCTAACCTCTACGATCCCCCCCTACTAGTATCTAGTACCTACCTACCTAGGTACCTTAACTTACCTACCTAGTACCTAGTACCTAGCACCTAGGTAGTACCACGCACCTAGCAGACGGCGTTGTCTAATGAATGATGAATCCGATCTGGTCAATCGCAACGATCAAATTTCAGCCTCTGCCGCACAGATGCGTTTCCTGGCTGGGTCTGGTCAGAGTGGCTGGTCGGCCTTGCTCAACGAAACTTTGCCTATGGCCCGACTACTCTGGCGTCTGGCGTCTGGAGTCTGCCTCTGCCTCTCGCCCTCTGCTGGCTCTGCTGGCTCTGCTGGTGGCGGTCCTGGCGGCCAGAGGGAGGATTCCGACTCCCGGTACCCCGTGCGCACCCAGCTGCGGCGCTGATCCTGGATGGGCTGGAGCTAACTGCTGGAGGAAAGCGAGTAAATAATAATAGTGTACAAAGTAATGCAGTAATCATCATGTTAGGGAGCGGGATAACGACCGTCTTCAATGGAATAGTCATGATATGAATTGATTTGATTTCGGTGGTACGGGACTGCTGCTGCTGTGAGCGCGGCAATGATAACATGTAAAGGTACTTGCTGTATATCCCCCCTTTCGGCCTTGTTTCTCGCTCGTTCTCGTACAGTGCACCAGTCAGTTCGAAGTATCCAGGCGTCGGGGGAACGAACGGGATATTTGAGTTTTGATATTATTAGTAATGTACTGTTCAGATGTACATGTACAGATGTAGAGGGCTTTGTACTGCTACAGTTGCAGGACTAGCAGAGCATGAGCTACATACAGTACATCCATCCATCCCCCCCTTTCCAATCTCTGCTCCCCGTGGCCCGGATCCAACCCTCAAGTTCCATGTTGTTGCTTGCCCCCGAAGCTCCCTCCCCAGCAGACCAGTAGTCGTCTCCAGCTTCCAGCTCTCCCAGCTCCCCTTCAGCCCCCGCAACCCGCAACCCGCAACCCGCCGACCAACACCAACGCCAACAGCAACTCACTCTCACCACCACTCTCACCACCACCACCACCACCACCACAAGCACACACCACCGCTCTCTCTCTCTCTCTCCGCCGCTCCACCGCGCTCCACCTCGCACCGCACCGCACCGCATCGCATCGCATCTCCAGATCGATATCGATATCGCCCGCCGCGCATGCAAATGCCCTGATCATCGTTGATGATTGCGGGCTCCTCAAACGCTGACCTTGCCTTGCCTTGCCTTGATATTGCTGCTACCTAATAAAACCCCCCGTGCCACCGGCCCACCACCCGCTATCGAAACCGCCCATCCAAAACCCGCAAACCCCCCCAAACCCGCCTATTTCCTCGAGCTGGCCCCGTTTGGCGCGCCCAGTGCACACTCGGCACTCTCCACAGAGCACGCAGAGCACGCAGAGCACGCAGAGCTCACAACAGAGCTCACCGAACACCACCGACCGAACAACAGATACTCCCTCTCCGCCCNCCCCAGAATCGTCGTCCTGCCTGCCCCCCCAGCCCAACCCAGCGGAACCCCTACCCACTACCGCTCCCACAGCAGCAGCAGCACCACCTACGCTACCGCTACCGCTACCGCACCGCTACCACGACCACTCTCGCTCCCTTACCACTTCCTTACCACTCACTCCCTTACCACAATCCCACCTAGCCTCAATCCCCAATTTCCAGTCCAGTCCGCAACCTCCTCGAAACCTCCACCGCATCTGAACCACCACAACCACAACCTCATCACCATCCACCACCCACCGCCCTCCTCCTCCGCCCTCCCCGCCCCTCCTCTCCCCTCTTCCACCACCACGACTCACGATGTCAATGGCGAACGATGTTACGCCCGAGGCGATGCAGCAGCGCATCCAGCAGGCGCGCCGGGAAGCCGAGAGTCTGAAGGACAGGATCAAGCGCAAGAAGGATGATCTCGCCGACGGCACGCGTAAGTGAACAGACAGATCGCTCCCCCCAAACCCTCAACCCCCGAACACCAGAATCCCCTCTGCTCAATGGCTCGGCTGCGATTGCGTCCTCAATTGCAGTCGCAATCGCATTCGCAATTAATCGTGATGGGGCGTCCTTGTGTGCTAATTTCCTAGTCACAGTCTCGAGTATCGCCAAGAGCCAGCAAGAGGGCCTACCGAAGAATCAAATGATGCGGACGAAGAAGACGTTGAAGGGACATCTGGCGAAGATCTACGCTATGCACTGGTCAACGGACCGGAGACATCTGGTATCGGCATCGCAGGACGGAAAGCTGATTATTTGGGACGCCTACACAACAAACAAGGTCCATGCGATCCCGCTACGGTCCTCATGGGTCATGACCTGTGCCTACGCCCCCAGCGGCAATTACGTCGCCTGCGGAGGTCTGGACAACATCTGCTCCATCTACAACCTGAACCAGGCGCGAGACGGTCCCCAGAAGGTGGCTCGGGAATTGTCAGGCCACTCTGGATATCTCTCGTGCTGCCGGTTCATCAATGACCGCTCCATCCTCACCTCCTCCGGCGATATGACCTGCATGAAGTGGGATATAGAATCAGGACAGAAGGTCACCGAGTTCGCAGACCATCTCGGCGACGTGATGAGCATTAGCATCAACCCCACAAACCAAAATACTTTTGTGTCGGGTGCTTGCGATGCGTTCGCGAAGCTGTGGGATATCCGTGCGGGCAAGGCCGTCCAAACATTCGCTGGCCACGAGTCGGACATCAACGCCATCCACTTCTTCCCTGATGGCCATTCATTTGTGACCGGCTCGGATGACGCTACCTGCCGCTTGTTCGATATCCGGGCTGACAGGGAACTAAACCAATACGGAGTATGTGAAATAGATCGCTCCTGATATTACCCAAGCTAACCGCGCCACAGAACGACTCCATCCTTTGCGGCATCACCTCTGTTGCGACATCCGTCTCCGGCCGACTTCTCTTCGCAGGATACGATGACTTCGAGTGCAAGGTAAATATAATACTGATGTTCACCTTTTCGGTATATTGGGCCCTGCTAACTCTGCCATAGGTCTGGGATATTACAAGGGGCGAGAAGGTTGGATCGCTAGTTGGCCACGATAACCGGGTCAGCTGCTTGGGCGTTAGCAACGATGGCATGAGTCTGTGCACTGGATCTTGGGATTCTTTGGTAAGTCAAGACCACACACACGTCCTTGAATCCTAAATAAGCTCGAGCTGACTGGTGCTTTCTTTGTAGCTCAAAATCTGGGCTATGTAAAACCATGTATATCAGCGAACTCGGACGCCGCCCCTCTCCTCTAGTTGTGCAGAGCAGCTCTCAAGCCTGGAAAGAGCCTTTCCGAGTCGATTTCATCCCCCGGATGCCCTAATCACCTATACCAGATACGCCCTTTTAATCTCTGCGACTTGGCGTAACCTGGACGACGTCACGAAATCACTCTCGAAATCTCAAATGAAGCAAAGTATTCGATAGCGGGACCGTTGAATTTGAGTTGATCCGAGTTTGCGAGGATCTCGAACAGCTGGTTGCGATATCTAACCCTTTTTCTTTGCTCCATAATTTGCTCCTCCCCTTCTCCCCAAATATTATCTGTTTGTATGGGCGGGTTACTCTGCATTGCCGGGCCGCCCCATTTCTCTGTGTGCCTACCTAGTGCGGGGTTGTTGTTTTGCGATGATATCCTACCAAGAAACATTCTGGTGCCAGCTAGCTTCCCCTGCTTCATGTTGCCTGCCAGCACGTCCGTTGGTCCGTTTTTTCCGTCCGTTTTTCCTCTTTTTTCAAAGATAACATGTCTCTTGTTCTCCTTCCGCGTGTGTGTGTGGTGTGTGCAACGATAAAAAAAGGCTCTTCTCGAGGGCTGCTTTGCTCTTTGTCTCGGTGGTTTCGGGGTGAGGTGGCCTATCTGCTGTGTTGGAGCGAGCCATAACGCTGCGCGGGTACTTTTCCGTCTGGGAATATTTGTAATGGCGCGGGCGGATACATGCGGAAGAGGCCTACACATTACCTTGTTCCTTTTTTTTTATCGAGTGGGAGAAAGATATGGGAGGGGTGTGCGTGAGGTGGCAGAACGGACCAATGTAGAGGAGGTTTTGATGGTGATAGGTGGTAGTGGTGGTATTGTTGATGGGTTGCAGCAAAATGGAGCTAGGAGGAAAAGAACAGAAGCACTCCCTTGTTTTTTTCTTGAATGTCCTGCTTCAGTTTCCCGCGCCTGCACTTTGACTGCCACTTCTCTGATGTTGGCGTTCGTTGGGTTTTTCATCAAATGCTTGTACGAATAGTCTAAGTGCTGCCTGCTGCATCCTTCATAGATCTTTATACATTGATATTTGGAAAGCGATTTTGCCTGCTTGATATTATTGCCTTCCGCGTGCATGTTATCCTACCTACCTACGTAGTAGGTACTATAGGTACTACCTGCGGGGTTAATTGGTAGAATGGGGGGGGAGGGGGGGGTTTCTGCTGAGAGTTGTGCGTTAATGCGAATGAATATATCATCAGACTAACTAAATACCGTCCGTCGTCCTATAATCATGATCTGGAGTTTATTATCTACCGATGATTCTAGCGCGCCTAGGGAAAGGCTTTCTTTACCAAGCCCTGGGATGGATTCATGGTCCACGACGCCTTCATAATTCAAGGAAAGCTCTTACCTTTGTATCTTATCACCAAGGCTATACCTGTCTCTTATACACATCTAGATGCCACGACGCCTTCATAATTCAAGGAAAGCTCTTACCTTTGTATCTTATCACCAAGGCTATACTGAACGTGAAGTTTCCTTGCATGCTAGTGGGGGGGGGGTGGTGGATAATTCAGTCCCCCCCTTTTCCTGCGCTGATGAGCTCTTGATGGATGGATGGGCGGCTTAGGATTATCTTGGGAGGAAGATGGCGCTGCTCTTGGAGCTATCTTGTAAAAAGGCGGGGAAGCTGGTGGGGTTGATGGTTGGGTTAGTTAATTCGGAATAGGGGCTTGGTTTTGCTTTGGTTTGCCATTCATGATCGTATTACCTACTCAATTCTGCACCGTTTGGGGAAACTTGAGGGGATACCTAAGGTATATATGTATTAAATCATGCTAAAAATGACAATTCCGCACTCATCCTCATCGTTTTGTCGGTATGGGGAAGAAGAATGATAGGGAGTTCTTTTCGTACTCCTTTGCGTGGTGCTTTTGCTAGGACTTGATGTGGTGGGTGACTTACTTTGTCGAGTTTGGTTGGCTGTCTTTGCCTGGAAGGCTTGATGTGGTATTGTTGTGAGATCTATGGGATTTCTAGTGAGCTACGTCTGCTGGACGCGTTGCGGATGGATGTATTGGGTGTAGAGTGAGGATAGGTTGAGAAGGAGTGCGGAGGTGACGATGGAGGGAGGTGTTAGGGAATGGATCTTGATACAACTATGGAGTTTCTTGATGGGGTAAGATGAGACAGAATGTGGAGGGCCTGATGGAGCACCGGGAGTGATGAGAGAACAGCGCGCGAGGGAAAAGCGAGAAGAGCGGTGAAGAAGAATAGAAACTCGTATGTGTATGGGCATGAGCACATGAACAGCCACATCATACGCCTCCAGCACCGGCGGTTACAGAACCATGAACACCATGCCAAAGCGGAAAATCCCACCGTATGCGGTAGAGTATCAACGAAAGCGGGCTGAGGCGAATGAGCAAGTTATATTGTTGATATCGAAGTTCAGATATCAGCCACACGGAGCATAAAACTTCTTTTATATGCCCTCAGCCCGTCATCCAGCCACGAACGCCCCTTTTCCGTCGAACCATTTTATATGCAAGTTTCTGGATTGGGAGATGTGGATGATGGATTGGGAGAGTTTGAGGTGGGGGGATATTCTTGGATGGATATAATTTGCGGGAGTGATTGGCTTGATGGCTTTGGGGGGGGGGGGGGGGGAGGGGGGTTCTGTAAGCGGAAAATATATGCAGCTGTGAGAGAAGTAAAAACGTATTTGAGGATGAACAATGGATAGAAAGGAATGAGGAAGCAGGTTGCTTGCATTGATAGCGAATGGAATTTGGTTGAGTTCGAGAGAGCATAATAACGTGGGGGATGTTCCACATGGGTATTGTTTCCGGCCTATTTCAAATGCCTTTATATAAACTCCCCGAGGATGAAACCAAAAATATGGCATACTAGGACTTTTGTCGGGTAGAGCTTAAAGCTTAAACTGCCGAAGCTGCATTGACGATATATTGGTTTTTATGTACAGTACGGAAATAGATGGAAATAAACCGAAATGAAACTTAACAGTGATAATAAGGAGACGAGGGATACTGGGGTTTTTTGCTCTTTATAGGCATGTAATGCAAGTTGAGGGCGCCTTTCGAGGTTATTGGCTCTGTTTAATGAAACTACCCAAGGTACCGAGGTAGATAAACAATGCGAGGCGACTGGCTGGGTGTCTAGGTACCCGGTAGACAGAGGAGGTGGGTTTTCTGCGGTTGCCAATACTCCGTAGGGAGGTAAGGCAAGGCAAGGTACCTTTAGGTAATGCAAATTGGCTGCTTTGACAATATGCTAGGAAGTAAGTGACTCAATGGGGATTTATTTCCCTTGGATGGAAGACTTTGTAACGCGTGCCACGCTTTCCAAGGGACTAACTAGGTAGGAGTCAGGAGTGTAGGACCAGGATAGGAGGAAGGAACCACAAGCCAAGCAGGGCAGAGCCCGGGTTTCGAAGGAATATTCCTTCTAGAAGCTGAATCGAAGGGGGTGTTGCTTCGCAGTGTTAAGTATTGGCGATCTATAACAGCCCAGGGAGGCGAGGGGGAGGTTGGCGCAGTGATTGGCGGCGCAAAGCGAGACGGAGGGCACTAAACACCAAAATAGAATCCGACACAACGCAGGAACCGGCCGTGGCGGCGTGCAGCGTGCAGATGAAACGGGGAGCTGGCCGCTAGGAGATGACCGAGTACAGCTACTGGGTTGCTGGGACTGTCAACCGCCAGAACGCTGAGACTCGATGGAGAACTCTCAGACGGCAGATCGATCACCAGATTCGCGAATCGACGTTACCTCCGTAGAGGGAGAGTGGAGTTGGTGGACGGGCGAGTGCGATGTTTGGTGATGTGTTACGAAGTATTATTCCCTCCAATACCCTGCTTCGCACAGAGTAGCTTCGGGGACGACGATGATGTTTTTGCACAGGCGTGTTGGTCTCATTTGCCTCACTAATAAGAACTTAAGGGGCGGCCTCTCCTTAGGGTCCAAATCGAGCACAATACTCCGTCCAGTACCTATAGAGTACGTACTGCGTACGTACTTTTGTAATTAGTAATAAAACAGCCGCCCAGGTGCGAAGCAAGGGAGGCCAGATTACCTAGGTACATGTACTGTATGTACTCGCCACGGGTCACTCGTAGGATGATTATCGTGGGTTTTGTGCCTTTTGCTTTTTTGCTTGACCGGTGAACGCTGCCAGTTCGACGTAGATACTCGGCCCCCTGCTTGCATGGCAACAGGGTTCCGATACAAGCAAATGCATCCTTCTCCCATCATCATCTCACGGCAGCGAACATCAACTTATTCGTACAACCCACAAAGGCACTCACTGGTGATCCATTCTCGAATCCCGTTATTCTGGTCTCTCGCTCACTCGCACTGTCGCACACTTATTGATACTGCAGCAACGCTCCGGGAAGAACGCGCTCCAGACGCTCCAGCTGTCTCAGACTCTCATCGCAGTCCACCGAGTCCACTAAGTTCGCCAGGCCACCCAAGGCGGCCAGCCCATGTGGCTATATTAGGATTAAGATTACATCTGGGTAACCCCGATCCCGGGACTCGCGTGCTTCTTTGTCGAGGGGGGCGGCCTAGTCCTGGTGCGGCGTAAAGCCATAACATGGCACCGCAGCATTGAAACACCAGGAGCACCATACCACCACCATCTCCATTATTGATCGTCCAGATCGGCATTACAATTACACCAGTCAGCAATTACGGTGACGCTGAAATAGATCCACCAAGCCTGAGCTCGACAAAACCCCCCAGGAAATGACTGCCGACTTGCTTCGGAATTTTCAAGAGAACGGGCAGAAAACCAACCAAGTCCATCCATCCCGCCAATCGAGCCATAGTGCCAAATAGAATCGAACGATCCAACATACCCAACGGATCCACATACCAGGAGCCAGGACAATAGAACCACCAAAAGTCTCAGCCGACCAAACATCACAGGCCACATCACGACAGTTCACCGCCATCTTTTGCGCTTTTGCTCGCAGGATCCCCCCCTATCAAACCCCCGCCCCGGTTTCTCCTGCTTCCGGGTCGACCTTCCAGAATACCATTTCCCGTCCTGTCCTGTCCATATTCCTTCTCCCTGACGATACGCAACGCCCGCCTTGTCTCTAAACCTCTTCCCTGCATACCGAGCATCACCCCATACACTCTCACACCACGAGCCCTCCCCCTTGCCCACGCCGCGCACCTCCTATACTTAATATAAGACCTCGTGGCTCCCCTGCCACGGCCATCCTGCCCCCAATGGCATCAAGCAATCTCCAGCAGCACTCGAACCAAACACCGGCACAAGAAGAGTTCGACAGCATCATAAATAGATCCTTAGCCTCTGAGAAACTAGACCACCACCCCGCAGACAGAGACGATTACAGACACGACCGTGAGACCGGCGATCGAGACGAAGAAGACGAATACATAGAGAAGCGTGTGAACGACAACATGCGTATGCCTGCCACCTACGACAACATTCCTGGCTCCGGCTCCGGCGGCCTCAAGCTCCCTCATCGAGACTTTGACCATGGGCGCACCACGGGAGTCAAAGGTGTGATTGCAGATGCGCGGAACTACGAGGAAGCGAGAAGGAATGGCAGCTACCGACGGAATACGTCGCGGAGTCCCACTTCGAAGGCGGAGAAGAGGTCAAGCACGATGTCCTTCCTGAAGGATGATGGCGAGGACAGCGATGATGAGGATGAGGAGTTCCTCGAGCGGTGGAGACAGCAACGGCGCATGCAGTTGGAAAAGGAGGGGGGCAATATCAGGAATCGGCGGACGAGCCCGAGTGTGAGACGATATGGACGCTTCGATGAGGTTGATGCGATGGGGTATCTAGATGCCATTGAGAGGGTGACGAGGGATACCATCGTCGTTGTTTTCGTCTACGACTCAGATGTATGTTCTATTCTCTCCCCCCTTCACCCTCCTTCTAATCTATATGGCGTCTTCGTATATCCTCTCACCCCACCAGGCTCACCATTACTAACACCCACCTAGTGCCCCGTATCCCGCCTTATCTCTGACGCTCTCTCCCCGCTCGTCTCCAGAAACCCCCATATCCGCTTTGTCCGCATCCACTATGAGGAAATCGAGTTCGACAATGCCGGCGTGCCAGCCATCCTCGGTTACAAGAATCAAGGCGACCTCTTCGCAAACCTCACTTATATCATTGATCAAATACCAGAGGATACCCCATTCGATACCAAGGCTCTGGAGAACGTTTTACGGAACCACAAGGTCCTCCCATGATATTCCACGTTTGTTTCATCTCAAGACCCTTTTACACCCTTGTTGTTTTAGATAGAGGAACAGGAGTTCAGGGGACTCTGTCTTTCTCATCCTACGCTCTTAACGGCCCGAAATGAGAATCCCAACTGCATCTCCTTATCTTCTTTTCTTTCTATGTCGTTACAGTAATTCTTTTAGCTTTTAGACATGGTTAGCGGCGCGACGGGGTATCATTTATCTGTTTTTTGTTTCCTGCATCACGAGATTCCCAAGGAGAGCAAACAAGCACTGGCGTTGTGTTTTGTTTCTGATAGAGGAAAAATGGTCGGGGGAAGGGACTGGAAACTGTACTACTACTATGTTGGCAAAACAATGGATATTTCATTTTATACCCCCCGCTCCCCGCTGAAGCATAATGAAATAGAGAAATATGATCACTTTCCCCTAATATATCTGTCAAGTCACATATTACGAGTAAACTAGAACTTGTAATGAAATTTACCGCCAAGTTAGGAATAGTTATGGGAGGCGATTACGCACGTAATAGCGGTCAGCAAATGCCATGTCATAATACACATTCTTTCCATTCCCCATTGCAAAAGAAAAATCCATGATGATATTCTATTTTTAGACATAGCAAAAAGGGGCTTACGCATCGATTCCTCTTAACGGCTGAAGGAAGACAGGCTAGTAAGCGATGTAGATACTGCATATAGGTAGCTGCATTGAATACAGTAGCAAAGAATATTTTATCTAATAAGAAGAACGTAAACACAGCACAAGCCCCGCCCATTTTTTCACCTCGTGCAATATATCGTAATCCCCTCCCGTCATTGCCCTGGCCCCATCTGACCACCAAAAACGCCTCGAACTCCCACGACCCAAACCCTGCGCTACGTTTTTAAAAGCTGATACTCAACCTGCACAATGCGCGCAATGCACGTTGGTATATGTATGAAATAAGCAAATCCTCACGGGGGATATCTAATAGCATGCTCAAAATCCTGTCCCGTCATGTGGCGCAAAGTTGTCCAACGTCATATAATCCAGCAAATCCAGGCCGCCCACGTTGACACCCTCAGCCGTCTGTGTGATGGCCTGATCGCTGACATTCTGGTAGAAGGCCGCTCCAGGAGGGAGATACCACATCTCGCTGCTGCTATTCCAGTCGCCTGCCGCGCCGAAGACATCAGATAGGTCATTTTGAGGGCCTGCGCTGCCGTAGTTGGAACCTGGTTCATGGCCTTGGCTGTAGGCGGGACTGGCGCCGAAGAAGACCCCTGGCTTGAGATCGAAGGGTGTAGCTGACACATTGAAATCTGTTTCACGCGTGGCCTAGGTAAGTAAATGTAATAAAGAGGGGGTCGAATGGGGATAGACTTACCAGGACCGCTCGACATGCTACTAAAATTGGGTGTCCCTGCATTCCATTCTCGGATTTGCTCTGTATGGTTGACCTTCATTCGTTTGGCGTCTGATTCATGATACATCACTGGACTGCGATTCCTGCTGGTATCTCCAGGAGGTGGCCCTCTCGGGGCACTAATGAAGCGACTTCGAAGCCTGGATGTCAAGGTCTCTAGGAGATCTGCGAATCGAATGCCCAGGTGGACATCATCGACAACACAGTTTCGCAGGGCGTCTACGGCGCGGTCCATCAACCCTATACTGAGCTCAACATCGCTCTTAGATGCACCAAGGGCAAATGTCTTGAGCAAGAACATTGCACCACTGATGATGCGGAAGTAGGTTCGCACGGGAGCGTGCTTGAGGTAGTCGCCAGGCAGAAGACCTTCTACGACTGTTCGGAGAAGGTTTCTACATCCCTCGACAACCTCTTTAACATAGGCTTGGTCAGCTGCACCAAAACCACCAAGTCTTGCGAGTGGCAGCTTTCCATAAAAGCTTTGCGTCTCTGGTGAAAGTGGGGCATTGGCAGTTCCCATACCGTTGCCGGGCTGGCCAGCAAAGTTTGGATAGCCACCAGCGTTGCTAGTACATCTCTCGACGACAGCTTGAAGAGATAAGGAGTTGACATATATTCTAACATATTCATACTCAATCGACAGTATGTGTCGAATGTATTGAGGTAGTCGGAAACGGTCAAACTCGTTTCGCCACGCACTAAGCATTGGCTGGAAGTCTTTGAGCAGCTCAATATAACTTCCATTCTGGATGATCTTGGTTGTGTATTGCCTCGATTTGAATAATTTCTCGTTGCCAATGCGCATTGCATTACTGATGCCAGCCCAACAGTGGATTATCTGGTCATCAAGCTCGAGGTCTGGAATGTAGTTGAACGTGTTGGACAGACTCGTTGAAGTATCAGGCGTCTTGCCACCAGTTGATGCCCTTCTCTTGCGGGCCGCGAATGCCGGATCCGTAAGTCGTACACTCTCTGGAACCATATTTGTCCATCCCAGGCGCCCGGCTAACTGGGTCGCATATATCAAAAGCAGCCTCTTGATCCTTCCTGCTCTCAATCGATAACCCTCGTCTTCGTATTCTGGCCGCGTCATTTCGCCGCCAGCAGCAATTAGCTCCTCGATATTATCAAAAACGCCCAATTCATATGCAAGACCCATGGCTGTACTGAGAAGCATCCAACACATGCGATCGCTTCTCCAAGCTGGTTCTAGCCAGTTCTCTATCTTCTTCCCGCCGATGCTTCCTGGGACACGCTCTCTATTATCGTCATCGGTGCTATAAGTATCGGCCCCATCATATAGAGGGAGCATCAACTCATCAGTCGCCTCGGTAGGAGGAAAGTGAAGCGCACGAGGATGCCATTCTGTTAGAATCATCAAACTTTCAATGGTACCGAGAACTCGCAGGCTGCCTTTTCTTAAGCCGCGCCAAGGAGCTGTGCTGGAGGTCTGCGCTTCACTTGGATCTGCTCCAGAGCCGCAAAATCCGCCGCCAAAGGCCTCCTGTCCCCACAGACATCTTTCGATCATGCCCCGGAGATAAGTCCAGAGCTGTTCATGAATTGCCTGGGATCGGCATTGGCCTCCTGGCCCTGCCATGATTTTGTACCGTGTAGCTATGGTTAAAAGTGTGACACTGAGGATTGGCTCCTCAGTTAGAAGAGTAGGATGGGTACTTGGATCTCTGAAGGTAGGTGGGGAGATAGGAGTTAATGGCGAAAGATACTCATAATAACTGGGCCATGTCAGCAGCATACTTTGTACGTTTAGAAGGCCACCTACTAAGCAATATAAGCAATAGCCTCGGCGGGCGTTAACCAGCCAGCCCGAACAAATCTGAACCTCGACCATGCCCTGATAGCATCTTTATATCCCTGGTCCGGTACATTGGGTAGGTTATTCGCGCGTTGGGAAGCTAACGCAGGATCAATGATAGTGTCTCTAGGAACCTCTCCATGGGCAGCGTAAGTGGGCGGGAAAGGTTCATTGTGATTTTGTAGCGGAGACGGCTGGTGTGTAGGTCTAGACATATTATTTCCCGATGCAGGAGACAAATGACTTCCGCTATTCGTCCTACCCGTAACTGGCCTTATATGAGCCGGGCTTAATATAACGTTAGCATAAAGCCCGCAAATCCGTCGCAAAGCAAATACCTATTTGTTGCCGCCTTGTATAGAAGATCCAAGGCATCATGAGGCCCGTAGACTTCTCGCCGCATAACCTCCTGCGCCTCCAGATTCTCCAGCTGTGTATTCGATTCATCATTTCTGTCCCGAGGAAGACCATCCATGGTCTGCTGAGTCTGTGTTGGCCTCCGCAGAGGTTGTAATTGCCCAATGGAGCCTCCTGGAGTCAACGGAGGCCCTGGGAGTGCGGTTGGGATTGCGCTTGGGGCGGGAGGTCGTGAAGGAGGCGCGCCCATCGAGGATTGTCGAACGGAGGCTGGCGGCGACGATTGGAGCATTTTCCTCCCGTTGCGCACGACGTAATCGTCGCCATACTCGTAGCCATCCAGACTGTCGTTTCTGCCGTCCTCGTTCTTTCTCTTGCGGCGCGTCGCGGAGAAGAAGCACTCCTTGCTCTCCCGTCGACACCGCACACAGGGCGGGTCCCCCGGGTTATCAACACTTCCCAAGTCGCATTTCACCTTCCGGCGGCGGCATGGGATGCATGCCTGGTACACCCTCTTGTGCTGCGGCGATTGCTGCTGTTGCGCTGAGAGCGCAGGCTCCTGAGCGGACGCTGAGCCATTGGATGCGGGGACGGCGGCGGTGGTGGAGGTAGCGGATTCTAGCTTTGGGAGTACTGCGTAGGGCAGCGAATCTGAGGCTGTTGATGTCGCTGGCCCAGGCCCTGGAGCTGTCGCCGTCGCTGTCGCTGGAACCGCGGCCATGTTGACGCTGCAGCGCGCAGTTTTCTGCTCTGGATGATGCCCGAAATCCCTCGGGTTCCGGCGGGTTAGGAAAGCGACGTCTTGATGCGGAGATGCGGAGTTGGGAATGTGGGGGAAAGTGGGAATTCTGCGATGGAAGCTTAGTAGTCCAGTAGAGTAGGTGCTATACGGCACTACTTGTATTATTAGCAGCCTAGTTGTCACAGGTAGTGCAGTTATTAGCACTGTTAGAAGCTAATCCCCAACTCTACCCGCCCACGAGCACTGTGCACCCCGTACCCCATACCCCGTATTTCGTCCCGACTACCGACGTGCCAGAAGGGGGGCGAATACACGATACACACCTGACAACAACACTGTTGGTGTTGGATTTAGGCATGATATTGCCATGCACCCTACTATGTAATAGGCTAACAATCGCTATATGCTGTACTACCTAGATACGTAGGCAGCCACCACTCCCTTAATGGCCTCTTTCAACAAAATAATTATCTTAGAGAGATTGTAAAAGCACTTATCATAGGAAAGTATCACGACTATAGCAAGTAACACAGGCGTCACATTGGCTCATTTTACCTGAATGTTCTTAATCAGGATACGCCAACTCCCGCCGTAGCATTGTTGGACCATCTCCAATACGATTCTCAATGAAATATTGAGTTAGTCAGAAAGAGGGTGTCAGGCAAGCACTTGCACAGACAAGTAATTGTTCTAACAGTGGCATGATAGCTTCGTGACCGGTTTTGTATTATCTTTTTTATTGACTGTGAAGACAACTATCTTTATTATCCTCGAAGGGATCCTTGGGTAGCGTTTATACTCAATCCGCTTGTCCCATTTCCGTGTCCCGGGAGGGAAATCGTGTCCCAATATCGGACGACATACACATCGAAGAGCGGGCCCCAACGCGTCTAGATCTTCAAATATGTACCCATCGATATCCAGGTCGCTGCGGGTACTGGTTGCCATCAACTTGAAGTGGATAACGGAGAAGCCTGGTTGACATCCTGCGTCTCGGCGGGCCGTCACAAGCAATATAAGCGGCAATACGGGGACAGCAGGGGATCGAGGCTTGGGCATTGGAAGCCCATCAGGTCCAAGTATATTCAGTCTCGTCGCATCACCAGCCGTCGAAATTGCCAAATCCTCCAGCCTTGACCTTCTTCTTTGCAGGTTCCATGTCCATCAGCTCATCCTCCACAGCGATACTGCCGCTACTGGTATCGGTACCAGCATCAGGACCACCAGGCTTCAAGTACTTCCCCACAGCTCCCGATTGATCTGTTGTGTCAACGGTGCCATCACCTCTGATGCGCTTGCCAGTCCACGTTGTTCTGTCATCCTCTGTTCCTCCTTGCTTCTTGATCTCTTCCTTTTCCGTCTCTACAGCATCCTTTTCTCGCTTCTGCTTTTGAAATTCTTCAAACGGATCGACGAAAACCACAACATTTTCCATAGTAATATCATCAAGTGGTCGGTGCGACGAGTCCACAGGCACGTTCTCTAACTTCTGTAAAACATCCAGCCCGCCGACCACGCGGCCGAATATAGTATGCTTTCTATCCAGGTGAGTCGCAGGCCGGTATGTTATAAAGAATTGACTTGAATTGGTATTCTTCCCTTTATTGGCCATGCTCACGACTCCTCTTGCATCATGCACCAACGGCCCATCGAACTCATCTTGGAAGTTTTTGCCCCACACACTAGTGCCCCCTTTACCAGTCCCTGTCGGATCTCCGCCTTGGATCATGAAATTGCGAATATTCCGATGAAACGTCACTCCATTGTAGTAGCCTTTCTTTGCAAGTTGGACAAAGTTCCAAACTGCTTTCGGCGCAGTCTCAGGCTGTAGCTCGATATTCAAAGAACCGTGATTCGTCTCGATCCTGGCATATCCCTTGATCTTGACTCGTTTTGGTTTGAGCATGTATTCTTCATCCGTGAGTATCGCCCTCTCTCCGCTCGTTTCAGGGGTCAATCCAGTGCTGGTAAAACTCGCTGCCGCTCTCCCAGTTGTATATTGCGCGGCGTTGTACGCCAATTTCCTATCCTGCAATTGTGATGGCTTAGGAGCAGGATTATACACTCCAGCCTTCGTCATCGCCTTTGACCGATTGACGTCGCCACCGGCTTCACGTTCTCTCCTCGCCTTTTCAACCGCCTCCTTAGCTCTCAGAACCTTCTCTCCCACCCTTCCTAACGCAGAAATATTCACGTTGCCTTGCTTTCTCTCCTCTTGTTGTTCTTTGGTAAGGACGGTCTCGCCATCTTTTAAAAACTTGAACTTGCTCAAGTCTCGACTTTCAATGTTTTGCGGATCCTGCAGAGTAATGATATCCGACCTCCCAAAATCTCGGTCATCCACTAAATCCTTCCACATCTTAGCCTTGATATTAAGCCTCTCAATCGTTTCCCAGGCGAAAACATTCGCCTCACTTCCATGCTTTATAGCCACAATATGTGTATTGTCCGTAAAGACCTTGAATGTAACAGGATCGACCATATCCCCCATCCCGCCATCACGAGCTGATTCATCAGAATTCCGAGCAAAATTCAGCTTGATCAAATCCTTGTCTTTCAAAGGTTTTCCTGTGACGGGGTTTGTATCATGTTTTGCAAGCCATTCGCTTATGACCTCGACGTCAAATATTGTGCCTTCGGGTGTGCAGACGGGGTTTTTGAACGGTTGGAGACTTGCGGCGCAGAAGTTGAAAGGTAATCGTTTGAAGGAGGCGCCATTCGGGGCTTTTTGGGATACGTTGGATCCAGCGCTCGCGGAGTATGCGTCTGAGGATGACCACTCAGAGTGTGTGATCTGCATGGAAATCAGCATGTCTAATTTTCGCAGGAGGAGCATGAGCTTGAGAAATACGTACATAAAGTTTATCCGTACCTATGCGAGGGAATAATTATCAGCATACATGTCTCATACTACTTTTCTATTGCATGCTACTCACCTTTTCCCATTGCGAATGTTGTAGAAGCTTTGTGGCGCGTTATGGATGAAGCATCGCGTACGAATACGTAGTATGAAATTCGGAGTTTTAGCTTGGATCTACATCTAATCTTATCTACCTGCTTGAAGATCAGCGCTAGACCACAAATGAAAACCCCTTTTCTCCACTTCCAACTTCGCCTCACCACAACTAACTAGGTACCAAAGTCGCAACCATCCTCATAACCTACCTAGGTACTGTACATGTACACTTATCACCCAACTTTCTGTATAATAAATTAGTTATACCTATTTACCTACACAATTACGGATGTGTGAAGACGGAACGGCCACTGCTGCAAAATAGACAACTACCCCTTCCAGTCGCTGGTTCCTCCAATTCACCTCCTGGGTCTAGCTTCAGCTACCCCCATATTGTATACTCGGATATCACAGTATTTTACGCCCTTAAGCTTGTAAGGCTGTAGATAGTGACTTAAGAGTTTCTGTTTAAACGAAGGCCTTTGTTAAAATCAACCGTTCCTTCTGCGCTTCTAAATTTGTTTGATAATATCACTGTCTCGTTTTATACAACAATCTATTTTGCTACCTGGACCGAGAATAATTAAAAAAGTATGGCCGCATAGCATCATTCCCACTCAGCAAGTGCACTAGATTTAGAAGGAATTAAAAGACCACACAAATAATACGATGCTTCGTCTCTGTTTAGTTGTCTGTTATCTCAGCGAACGCGTAAGCTCGCCAGGTGGATAAAAAGGCCATTGCCTATCTTGATAGCCTATCTGATATCATTGTACAGGCCATTTCGCTACCTAGGTACCTTATGTTCCAAGTTTTGCCCTTCAAGGGACGCCTTCTGAGCCCTTTCACTCCTTCAATTGTCAAGGTAGGGGGGAAATAATTATAATGTAGCACTACACATTTAGGCCTCTTATTCTTGCAATTGTAAATGCCCCTATTCCATTTAATAAGATATTCTACTGTTATTCCAAGGCAATGTTTTGCAGTGGGCGAGGGATGGCGCTGTTCGCGTCGACGCGACTCGTTTACGAGGTTGTCGTTGTTTACAAACGAAAGGGGGGACACCAACACCAAAAAACAAAACAAAAGTGACTGCAAAGATAAAAACATTAAGCATCAAAGAGTGAATATAAACATAGAAAAAAAATGCAAAAAAATGGGTGGTCCTAGGGTACCTATAGGAATGTTGAATTCCCACGCAGATAGGCGGCCTAGTGGACCAAGTCTCTTAGCTACGCTGGGAGGACTGGACCTCCGTTGTGGCTGCAACCCTAGAGTCGCTTGATCTTAACAGCATTTTGCTTATTTTGGTTTATATACCACCCCGACGTGAGGTTGGGCTCCCACGCGACCGAGCTTTAGCCTTGTCACCGCCCTCGGAGCATTTGCGCTTGTTTCCTCCCACACTGCTTGACGTACTAACCTTTGCAGCAAACTTGCACAAGACGTAGATGTTGCTGTTGCTGTGATATCGAGGCAATGGCTGATAAAGCTAATGCAGAGAGAGGTGTATATATCACCGCCAGCTACCGTCTCAACCAGATCTTTGAAAGATATGGCCGTGAACCTAACAGTAGGTTTTATCATCCAGCTCAAAGCGATCCGTCATATCATATCTGCTGACAACCATATAGTCAATGAGCTTCGAGCAATAGAAGAACTTCCCTTGGGGAAGGAAAAGGATCTCTGGGATACCTCCGCGAATGGCCGAAGAATCTACTACCTCTTGAAAACATCGGAAGAAACCAGTGATGTTTCACTTTTGGATGAAGCCGGGAAACTGCTGTGGGAGCAGATCTTTCGGCCGCACTATTCTGAAGCTGACCAACTCGGCCAGCAAGAAGTTAATAGTTCGTCAGACGTACCTTATGTTGACCTTGAGTGCCAAACCCCAGAAACCCATGGCTATTCGGCAATTGAGAATGGAAGTTTTGGGAATCATGTTGGAGTGCAGTCGAGGAAGGAAAAGATGCAGAAGAAGTTGGCGGTTGGACAAGAAGAAGTTGGATTCACTCATCTTCAAAGTCAGTATATCAACTTCACTTCCCAAAGGGGTCACCCCTGCTAACTGAATGAAGCTGAATTTTCTTCGAATCCCCAAGTCAACAAATAAAAGTATCCCGGTAGTGCCACCGGTCAAATTGGGAATCAGTGCTCGACAATATCAACTTATCCGCCATGATAATTTCCACCGTCCTTTTGTTCACCTTTGTGGTTGAGGTAGCCATCACTTTTACCACTTGGGAAGGCACCAATAGACCAGCATACACAAGACATATTTCCCAAACTTCACCTTGTCAGTATGAGGCTGAGGATATCTTAAGACTGTACAATAGCTTTGCTGACGTTGATCCTTACGAGGGGTACCTCGCAAGTGACTTTCGAAGCGGACTGGTTAATTCGATTGCTAAAGCCATAAGTGTGGGATAGATAAAAGTTTTGCATAATATTCTGTAAGTTACCGTTATGTGGGGTTGAATTTGGGGTGTGGAAGGGATATTTGCAAGATTTTGGGGGATTAGTGGGCGACAGGACGATTGGAATCTTGTCGTATTGACCCATCCCCTGGAAATATTCGTCCTAGTAATGATAACGCTTCTCTGCTACTCCGCTTGTACTATTAAAGGTACTGCCCTGGTTATATTTTCTCAATAATTCCCTCTAGATATTACTACGAGGGGATCATTAATACACTATGCCCACTCCGGCTTAGGTATATAAATTGTTAGTATGCCCAACGATCGGCTTCCAGATGGGTTTTGACTTCTTAAATCCGTCTAATATAATATATCAATAAAATGGGGAACTATATTGCACCCGAGTATTATCACCGACATCTCCCTCGAACCCACGATATCCACTGCCCGCTAAATTCTCGATCCTACCGGTTTAGCAGTGGGTCAACATGGCGACCAATGATATATTATCTATGATACCCCAAGAACATCCTGGAGACCTAATGCAACCATCACGACGACAAAGGACAATGCAATAAGTCAAAGTGGTACTTTGGTACCTGTCGTGTTTCGATTATGTATTTCGATTATGTTGGTGATGGGATTGTGGAGAATTCCCATCCTGCAAGCGAAGAATGCCATGTTTTTGCGATGTGCAGCAAAAGGTTACAGTAATGCAAGAGCGACCCAAACAGCTACGTTACTACAGCGAATAAATGCCGAAGAGTAGTAGGCGAGGTAAAACGATGAAGATGTTACCCAGTGGCTATTCACTTCAATTTTGTGACTTTTTGGATGATTTTGCCTATGGACTCTTTCCTTATTTATTATCATTCTGGCTTCACTTCTGGCAGTTATCGCAGGGTACATCAACGATGCCAAAATTGATGCTATACGGGGGCATGGCCCCAGCAGAGTTCGATGAAATAGCAAGTATGTATCTAATTGCTAGCAAAGGGAACATGTCTACTAACCTCGTAACTGTCTTGCCGACAATACCAACGTCTCTAACATTACCAAGCGTACTGACAATACCAACCTAATTGATAGTACCGACACCGCCCAAACTCTCAGGGTCTTACAGTGACAATATTGTCACTGATCTAACTTTGCTACTGTAAATACAATCACACAAATATACCAACGACACTTAGCAAGTCAAGTTACCCTTGTAGCATGTTGCAAGTAAGCGTTCATCGCCTACTCGGATTTACTATCAACCTGATGTTTGTTATAGGAGCCAAAGAAGAAAATGGCGATTTATAGAACCTAGAACGATAAAGCCGGTGGCATGAAGCGACTACCGAACGATTCCCTCCCAAGTTTCCATTTTACAACAATCCTCCGCCCTGGAGGTGAGAGGCATCATCCACACCCAAGGACATGAGGTGCGAAACGACTCACAACGACAGGTTCGCACTCGGGGTGAGGTAAGCATAGCCCAAAGCGGGCTAACTAGAAACACTCTGACATTGATGGCAGGGGGGGCACAAGGCATTATATTGAAGCGCGAGGCAACGCCCACCAATCATCACCGAAAAGACGAAGTTCCAACTTCGAAACTTACGCCACCCCTTAACCTCAAAAGGGAACGGCCCGACGGCACTTATCTAGCAAACACTAAGAGAAGAAGAATAGAAACCATCGCTGGGTCGATGGGTTTGGAGAAGTCAAAAGAGGACCTAATCCTCCCGAGGGCTGGGTGAAGAGCCCAGTAACGGGAAAATTTCGGCCTCGAATTATAAACGATGATGATCCTACATTCCCGGAACGGTGCTGGGACCAATGGTGTATGAGAAGCAGAGAGGAAAGGCCACAGGCCGAGGGGTATGAATCGGGGACAGCGAGTGTGAGTGGGCCGAGTGGGTGGAGATAACGAGAAAGAGACGAACGGCCAGTAGGAGAATCGAGAGAGAGGTAATGCATAAGCGACTTATGCTCGGACTTGACTGAAAATCAAGACGGAAAAAAGTAAAGAAAAGAAGTATCGTGAGAATCTGCGATTGTGTTTAGGAGGGGAGGGGAGGAGCCGGCTTGCCGTGCCAAAGGATGAGGCCGATTTAGACTAGGACTGGGCTAAAGGCAAGACTAGAGTAGAGGAATTGGCACGCTAAAAACGGGGATCAGCAAACGGGACGTGCTGGTGCTAAGTGGATGCTGAGAGTGGGGGCCAGGTGGCCATAAATCCTCATTGCTCACACTAGGGGCCACAATTCCCATCATGTGTACATGAAAGATAAAGATAAATATTCAGCAGAACAGTGTGGTGCTTTCAATGGCCCACTTGGGGCATCCGGGCGGTTGCCACAGCTTGCTCTGGGCCCCAGGCTGCTGAGGATCCTTAGTCAGGTACTCGAGTTGAGTGGCTGCAGGAACCTGTTGGTTTGGATGCAAAAAGGGTGCAGCTGGCGCCCACCAGTGGCGCCTTGGGGGGGGGGGGGTGGTTGCGCCACAATTCTTGGTTGTATTTCCTGTTTCTGGGTTGGAGGAGGATGTCGATAGCCTTAGCATTACTCAAGTGCTACCATAAGATACAGTAGGTACCTTATGATAGCATAGAGAGCACGGTCATTTTAAGGTATCGATGCGCGTGAGCGAGCTTCAGCGGCGCCAGCATGTTCCCGGGCGGCTGGGGGGGGGCGACGATCTTGGGATTCCGAGCTACGGGAGGCTACTGGAGGCTATCGGCTACGAGTAGGCGTGCGTTGGGCGTTCAGTTACTTCAGTAAGCCGGTACAGGGCCTGTGGGCCAGATTATGATGCCCTGTTACAGCTATTGGCGGAGAAACATCTCCCCTCCACTGAGAACGTCTAGGCCTCAAGCACCCAGATGCGCCCAAGTCAGCAGTTCCAGCAGTCCACCCCCACACTGCACTGCCGCCCTCGGCAAGTGTGGGGTACGAGCACTTGCGTGTGCCTCGTTCAGGTTTGCAATCAGCACCAAGCACTGTACTCGTAGTGTCGTCGTGCATTGCCTAGGTAGTTAGTTCACTATGCTACACAACCCGCACCCCTCGCCCGGTGTCGCCCTCCTCCCCTTTCACTCATCTCATATACTCGTCCTCCTCGCGCTCGCGCTCCTCCGCTTGCCCTCTTCATCCCATTTATATAGACGGTGCGAGTGTATTCGTGCCCCTTCCAGCCAACAATCCCAAGGTCAATCCTGAATTGGACGTGGCGAGTGGCGAGGGCAACCGCCAGGGCAACACACCTCCCAGCATCCCCCACCCCCCGGGGCACCCCCAAATATTTTCCGACAAATGGGTTCCAGGCCCCCCCCCCGCACCCCCCCCCCAGCATTCTCCCCTTTCCAAGAACAACCCCAAACAAGCGATTCTCAATGTCTTTAATGCCCCTTCTGGAAGCTCAGCTTCCTATCCACGATGTAATGAAACTATCGGAAACTGGCACCATCGTTAGCCATATTGAGAACATCGAGACCCCCGCCTCCACAGGTGGTCGCCGTGAGCTGCCGCCAGGCATATCCGAGACGGAAGAAGTGAAGGAGAAGGAATGGTTCATTGGAAGCATAGACCAAGGGACGACTTCTTCCAGGTTCTTGATTTTTGATCGCCAAGGCATTCCCGTTGCCAGTCATCAGATCGAATTCGAGAACAAGTACCCCCAATCTGGGTAGGTCTACTTCTACATTCTTCATGGCTCATTGGGTGCTAATTATCCCCCCTATAGTTGGCAGGAGCACGACCCTCTCGAATTGCTCTCGTCTGTGGACGAGTGTATCGAGAAAGCTACAGAGGCCTTCCTCAAAGATGGCCATTCCAAAGACCAAATCAAGGCCATTGGGATCACCAATCAGAGGGAAACAACCATTTGTTGGGACACAAATACAGGTGAACCTCTGTATAATGCCGTTGTTTGGCCTGACACTCGGACAACTGCCATTGTCAGGGAACTCAAGCAACGTCCAGGCGCAGACGAGTTGAAAGATCTCTGTGGGCTGCCGCTGTCAACGTACCCCTCCAGCGTAAAGTTCCTCTGGCTTTACCGAAATGTGGAAGCCATCAAGAACGCATACGATGAGGGCAGGCTGTCATTTGGCACCGTCGACAGTTGGTTAATATACAAGCTGAACGGCGGGCCAGAGCGCGGCGTACATGTCACAGATACGACGAATGCTTCGCGTACAATGCTCATGAATATCCATACCTTGCAATACGACGACAAGCTCCTGGGATTTTTTGAGCTCGACAAAAATAAGATCAAGCTCCCCAAAATCATCCCTTCTTCCGACAAAGAGGCATTCGGTTCTCTCGCATATGGACCCCTCAAAGGTTTCAAGATTGCCGGCTGCCTAGGTGATCAATCCGCAGCCCTTGTCGGCCAATGCGGGTTTGCCCCTGGAGAAGCCAAAAACACATATGGGACTGGATGCTTCTTACTTTATAACGTTGGTGAAAAGCCCGTTATCTCGAAATATGGCCTTCTGGCAACTGTGGCCTACGACTTTGGGGCTGGGCGAAAGCCAATATATGCCCTCGAAGGCAGTATCGCAGTTGCCGGATCCGGTGTCAAGTTTTTGACGAAGAATATGAAATTCGCTGAGCTATCAGCTGAAGTTACGGAGCTGGCCGGGACGGTCGACGACAATGGTGGTGTGGTTTTTGTGACTGCGTTCAGTGGTTTGTTTGCACCTTACTGGATTGATGATGCAAAGGGAACACTATGTAAGTTCTACTCCCCAATACGTATGTATCCTTATCTAACATGTGACGATACAGTTGGAATCACCGCACATACGCAGCGCGGCCATATCGCCCGTGCCACTCTAGAGGCGACCTGTTTCCAAACCAAAGCTATCTTAGATGCAATGGAGAAGGACTCGGGACATAAACTTGAGAATCTAGCAGTGGACGGCGGCATGTCTAATTCTGACTTGACTATGCAAACTCAAGCGGATATTATCCAAATTACTGTCGACCGGCCGGTCATGCGAGAGACCACCGCACTCGGTGCAGCCATCGCTGCTGGGTTTGCCGTCGAAGTTTGGAAAGAATTTGACGAATTAAAGGACATAAATAAGCTAGACAGGACGATTTTCTCACCCAAGTTAGATAAGAAGAAGAGCAAGAAGATGTTTACGAAATGGGAGCAGGCCGTGCAGATGAGCAGAGGCTGGGACCTTCCAGACACCCCGGATACCGAGGAGTCGGAGAAGTAGATGGGACACAACACGACATTCATTTGAAGCGAGGAGCCGGGATATTGAGTTAATGATGGGGTTAGCGGTTTGTTTGGCATTGAGCGTTGAGCATTATTAGTTATGATTGGCAGGCGGCGACTGTCTCGACTAATGGTCATACGATGTACAGATAATATTTGACTTAGACTATATTTGGCAATTTACGTCCTGATCGTCTTAATGAACAAATGACCGCGGCTTACTTGGATTGACAAATGTATAATTTGTACAGCACAAGGCACTTCTAACAACTTTCCGCCGAGTTTTTCTGAAACCGACGAACTTCTGGAATTGCACATGAAAGCCATGGACCTTTGGATGAGATTATTACTGCTATTCCCCTGCGCACATGACGTTTCCGTGTTCTTGGCCGCCGCCCTGGGTGTTCCCCGGATTCCCATGTGAAGGCGACCAGGCCGGTTACTAAGCCAGCCACACCAATCAGCACGCAGCAACAGGATGCCTCGGCTTCCTCAAGCTTCAAAAGCAACGCAACCATCTCGGTCAAAATCCGGACACTTCTCCTTCTCAAAACCCGTCCTCACCCTCTCAAATCAAAATCAGACACTCCTCTCTTCTACAAATCTAATACCATCTATTATACTTCTTCAACCATGTCTGCAGGTGAGATACTCTTAGAAGCCTTTGGTGGATGATATTCTGACATTGGACGAAACAGCACAACGTCTTACACAGGTCTCTGGCCACATGGGTGCCTCCAAGAGCGGCAGCGCTGGTAGGGCGAAGCTTCTGCAGAAGAACCCAGACGACGTACGCTCCCCAATCACGATTTCTCTTCACCGAGGCGTGCTAACTGCTACATTATAGATCGTCGTCACAGCATGCCTGCGAACTGCGTTGACAAAGGGAGGGAAAGGCGGATTCAAAGATACCCCGGCCGCAGACCTGCTTGTCGGAGCTTTCAAATCCCTTCTCGAGAGATCCAAGATTGATCCTGCGTTGGTGGAAGATATTGCTGTGGGCTCGGTCTTGCCACCAGGAGGTGGCGCAACTGAGTTCCGTGCTGCTGCTCTTGCCGCTGGGCTCCCAGTTACGGCTGCTGTGAGGAGTTTGAACAGACAGTGCTCGTCAGGTCTGCAAGCTTGCGTGGATATCGCCAATGCGATTAGCAGCGGCATGATCGAGGTTGGTATTGGAGCTGGTGTTGAGAGTATGAGCTTGCAATACGGGTATGTATTGATCCTAACTTTGCGCAACGCAACCCGCATCGACGAAAGGCTACAGAGAAGCTAACATGATACTCTAGGCCTGGTGCTGTCACAGAATTCTCCGAACTCCTCGAATCACACCCCGAATCTGCCAACTGCAAGGTCTCTATGGGTGTCCTTTCCGAGCAGATGGCCAAGGATAGAAATGTCCCTCGTTCATTGCAGGATGCATTCGCTGCCTCCTCGTATCAAAAAGCGCTCAAGGCACAAGAGGCGGGACTCTTCGATGAGGAAATTGCGCCTCTGAAGGTCAAGTGGGAAGACCCTAAGACTGGCGATGTTAAGGAGATCACAGTTGCCAAAGATGATGGCGTTCGACCAGGCATCACTGCTGAAAGTCTCGGCAAGATCAAGCCGGCATTTGCCAAAGACGGCTCTATCCACGCTGGTAACGCAAGCCAAATTTCCGACGGCGCAGCAGCCGTGCTTCTCATGAAGCGCTCTACAGCTGAGAAGCTAGGCCAGCAGATCCTGGGTAAATACGTTGCCGCATCCGTGGCTGGCGTTGCTCCTCTGCTTATGGGTGTTGGACCTTGGGCAGCAATCCCCAAGGTGTTTGAGAAGACAGGCATCAACAAGGATGATGTGGATATTTTCGAGATCAACGAGGCGTTTGCCAGCCAGTGTGTCTGGTGCGCGAACGAGCTGGGCCTGGATCCTAAGAAGATCAACCCCAAGGGTGGAGCGATTGCCTTTGGACATCCTTTGGGATGCACGGGCGCTCGACAGGTCAGCACACTATTGTACGAGTTAAGGAGAAGAGGGGAGAAGGTCGGCGTGACGAGCATGTGCGTAGGGACAGGAATGGGCATGGCTGCCGTGTGGGTGGCGGAATAGGGGCAAAACGGGTTGACGAAGCTTGAACTTGAATGCGGGGCATTTGTGATGATTTGATATATGATGTATAAGTATACCTAGCACGAAGTATGGCTATAGACTATCCGCAGAGACTGGATTGGGCGGAAATATCATTCATTTCATAAAGTGGTCTGAAGACGTCATCGCAATCCGTCCCGTGATCGCCCGTCAGGAGTAAGCCCAAGGCATTTGAACTCCTTTTACGTGGATCCGTTGCGCTCTCGCTCATATTTTAGCCTGCGGGGAGGGCTGCGTATAGGTACTCTATTCAGCTGGGTAGGCAGGCTTGGCGGAGTGTATAGGCAGATCTAGTTGCGGGAGTTCCGAGGGAGCGTGAGTGAGTATCGAAGATATATATAGAATTATCCATATTCGAGGAGCATGAAGGGTGGTTGCACCAATATTAAAGACTTCTAGAAGGCCACTGCAAATGCAAATGCAGCTGTAAATGCAGCGGTAACTCGAACCGTAACTGTAGGTAACTTCTCCGTAAGTGCAACAATGTGACTCTTCTGTGTTATCGGAGCCCCTTATCGCCTAGCTGGGCACTAGCGCCGCTGCAGCAACCCCTCCACTGTTCGACTCTCCACTCCTCCACGACGACTCCCTGGACACCTTGAGGATACGAATACCCTCATCCCTCATCCCTCCGTCTCCCATCTACCATCTGCGTATCGATCACTTACAAGTCCCATCGTGTTCCGGCTTCTATTTCCTCAAAAGTAAGATCATCACTCTACCACCGCGTCGCCTTTGTTATCGCGCCGGAAAAGTCCAGCCGCCCCCAGTCGCAGCGGGTCCTACTCCGTAGTCGATTACGTGGGGACGTGCCAACAAGGCAGCGCTACACGCAAGGCAAAAGCCCAGGACGAAACGAATCGTTTGCGAACCTTGTTGGCTGCTCATAGGCATAGGCATAGGCACCCAAGAGCATAGCGAGTTCACACAGTAGGCCATCTCATCTTTCCTCAAAGTTCTGAAGTTCAAGCTCGTTCAAGTTCCAGTGCGAGTCCACCTTTATCTAGTCTGCATCAGCCTGCTCATCTTGCCCCGTCGACCGCCATCGTCCTTTCATGATATGACATGATCCCGCAAGGCTAACCCGACTATGGAAACGCCCAGCGAGCTTTCCCTTCCAACCTCCACAAACCCAAACCAAAGAAGTACTCCAGGGCCTCGAGCTACGTCCCACTCGACGGTGCTGCGTTTCCCTACACCCGCCACAGACCACCGAGTATCGACTTGGGTCGACAGTATCACAGCAGCCAATATGTCTGCTCGCAGCGAAGACGGCAGCACCCTGGGTGAATCTGCCTACGAGTTTATCGACACGGACACCGAGAGCCGCGATGATAATGCCACAGAATCTATTGCCTCCACAGACTTCGCTCGTCCAGACGATGTTGCTAGTCTTGCGGACACAGAGCGCAGCGGAGAGGAGAGTGGGGACGATGAAACATCAGATGCACCTATTCCAGACTTTCCAAGCTTCGACCAGGCTGTCGAGCAAGCTTTCGATACTCCCACAATAGGACGCAGCGCTGCTGCCTTCATCGAGGAAAGCGAGCGGCCTCTAGTACAGTCTATCGAGTTCGAGGAGCCGTTCAGCCTCGGCGCTGAGAATGTTTCGGTCAAACACACTGTTGCCGACTTCAACGAGGCAAAGACAACTAGAATAGCGGCAGACATGAAGCTCGAGAACCCGCCGAAACGTTTAGTCGTAACGATCCGCCAAACTATGACCAAGCAGGGACTTTTCACACGGGATCCTCTTCGAATACTCTACGTTGGCAGTCACTCAGCTAAGCAAGATATCATCCACAAGCTAGCGAGCTCAGTTACGGCTTCTACAGAGGGTGATAAGCGTGCACAGCACCTTCGTTATTCAGCCTCTCAACTGTACAATGTTGTTCCTGTCTCTGCTTTTGGCTCTGAGCGTACCCCGGAGATCGAACTAATGCACTCATCCGGATATCAAATCAAGGTCGAGGATTGTGTTTCTGCCCAGACGTTGAAATTCGAGGATTCTCCCGAGAAGCCTGATGTCATCAAACTGACGTTAGAGGACAACTTCTCTTATCACTCTGTTCCTGAGGGTCAAGGATTTACTGTTGAGCCACACTGGGAATTACCTCACATTGCGGTCTTCTACTGCTCGGATAGCGACGGCGTTGACGCCACTCGGACGAGATTAGTAGCAAGAAAGTTCATGAGCCGCCACTTTATCCCTTCTGTTGTCATATCACACAAGCAGTTGTTCAAGCGGGCCCAATGTATGTCGCTGGACCAACATTCTATCCATATGTGCTTGGAGTCACGAGATACGAGTGGCAGAGGAAATGTCATCCATCAACGGCTTCCTATCGACCTCGCTTCGTTCTTGAATATCGATGCGAGGCAGATGAACAGAAATCTTGCATACCTCACTGGACTACACGAGCCTCTGGAAGAGTCTCAAGTTACAGTTTCTCCTACAAAGAAACAGACTGAGCCCGTTGACCAACCCGACCTTGAGAAGACATCCTTCAGCATCAGCGATAGTGTCAGTTTTATTCGCCATCGAAATGGTGCTGAATGGCGAGCGCTTATGCCGGTTGGACTGCTGCTTCTGAGTGTTTTTGCTGCAGTCTTGACAGGCGTTCCAAGCTACCGGTTCTCGAGCAAGCCTGCCATCTCAATCAACAGTAAGACCATGTCAACCATTCCTATTTCTTCCACCAAGCCCCTCACCGAGCCTGCACTTGTGCAGAGTATCACGTCGGCCAGTTCAGTCCCCGTCAGCACTGCTACACGTACAGTGACCGTCACCCAAGCACATTCATCAGCGCCCAATAGTCTCTCTGTTTTTTCTTCGATGGAAGTTGCAAAAGCATCTCAGAAATTTCAGGATCAACCCAAGTCTACTAACAAGTCCGTCTGCTCTGCCCAAGTTCTTGGAGATAGAGAGATACTTATCCGCATCCCCTCCGCTACGAAACTAAGCTGGTTAATCAAGGAAGCTATGTCTGTTAATATCACAAGAGGTAATGAAATCGTTGACACTGAGCGTGCCTACAGCTCTGATGACGGTATTGTGCTACTTCTGTCTAAGAAGGAGGCCTACGGGGTGATGAATGTTTCTATTATTACCACCAAGAAGCCGAGAGTCAATGAAACATTCCAACTAGATTTTGGCACGCCCTCCTCTAAACTATGGCAACCCTTCATAGACAATATGCCTTCCTGGTTCTCGGACGAATTCATGCATCCGCCCTCCATTTCGGAGATACGGTCCACAACTGAAAAGGTCCTCGAGAATGCGCGAATTCAATCGCAATCTACACTGAATCGAATGGAAGATGCTAGGAAAGTTGCCATTGAACAAATAACTTCAGCTACTGAAAGCATCACCGACCTAGGCAAAGCCATGTCTCTTGAAGTTGCCAAACGGAGCGCTATCTTTTCGAAGGAAATCAGTATTCAAGTTGCAGAGGCTGAAGCCAGGCTGACGAAAACAATGAAGGATACCCTTCAAGAGCCGGTAAGCGAGGGGTTATTCAAAGCTCAGGTCCAGTCAAGGCTTCTTTGGCTCAAGATGCAAGGCAACGAGGACGAGTATAAAAAATATGAGAAAGCTGCTATGGAGGCGGCACACCAGAGGGCAGAGAGATCAAAGATGGCAAGCGCAAATGGGAAGTGTAAGAAAGATAGGAAGAAGGGCCAGGAGGTGAGATGTGCAGAGAAGAAAGCCGGTAGTTGCAGAGCCAACAGGGCTGCGAGGAAGGAAACGAGGGCAGCGAAGAAATTAGCCAAGAACAAGAAGCCTTAAGCGGCGCATGTATGTTCTTTGTTTTTATCTTTGGGGGATTTCATTGTTTTGATTTGGAGTTTGCGAGTTGATTTTATTGAGATTGGTAAGGCTGGGCTGGGAGGGGGTTGGTATACACCCAGCAAATCACTGGTATGGGACTATTATGACTGGGGGAGATATTCATGGCAATGAATTACTGCTGGTGTATTGGGGTTTTATAGTCTACTCACTTACTTCAACATGATTTTATCGGGAAGCGCGTGGTAGAATTACTATGCGGGAGTTGCAATCGATTTTCATTGTATTAGATGTAAAGGGGTAACCTTATAATGCAAACATCAAGTGGCGAAGCTCTAGAAGCCTTCAAACCCTGGTTGGCTTCACTTCCGTATTACTTTTGTTACCCACTAGACGTAGATCTCGATATTGAACATGAAAACTGGGAAAAGTGAATTTTTGAGTCCTTCATCAAGTTCGTAACTCCGTATTATTAGGGGGCTGTGAGGGGTAATTCAGGGGGTGAGCGATAGTCCCCCCCACTAGCGTTAATCGGCTCGCTTAGCTGGTAACGTCCACAGAGACCCAAAACAACAAATGAGGGACGTCGTGTTTTGCCTTCCGCAGCTTTTGGTTGACGCATTTGACAACTCACATTCACGCCACCTTCTGCAACATATTATACTTGCTCGTTCGTATCCCCCACCTTTACCAACTTAAGTGTTTGGGATATCTTGCGCTTTTGCTAAAGGGAAGAACAGGATAGAACCGCAAAGATGAGCAGCGATCCCACTACAGGCACCAGCGCGAGCTCGGAGCCCAAGCTTGAGCCCAAGGAGACGGAGCTTGCTACCAACCCGGCCCAAAAAGATGGCGAGAAGGAGGGAGAGAGCGCGGTATGTGGGATCTTTTGCGTTTTGATAAGGAGCTTGGCTTGGGTTTGAAGATAATGAGGGGTCAACTGGGGTTTTGAGGAGTGGTTTAACGGCACCCTTTGCTGATGACGGTGCGCTATATAGAGCGTAACAGAGACGGCCACAGAAGCTGTGACTTCCGCCGCTACCACTGCTGCTACCACTGCCGCTTCCACTGCTAGCACCGCTGCCTCGGCTGCTACCGCGACAGCCTCCGGCGTCGCCGACAATGTCTTTGCCATGTTTGGAGGTGGCGCCAAGAAGGAGAAGAAGGACGAGGAGGACCGTGGTGATAACTCTGGAAGCGCAAAGGCACAGAAGGCTGCCGCTGCTGAGGAGAACCCAGAGGTATGTCTACGTGGATCCTCTAACTCTCAAGGAGAGTTAGAGAAATATTAAGGGCCATATTCACTAACGTAACTGGGCGTTTAGGACGAAGTACCTGAATCTGAGGATGTCCACTTTGAACCCGTCATCCGCCTTACTGAGAAAGTCGAAGTCAAGACCAACGAGGAGCTTGAGGACCAACTCTTTAAGATGCGCGCCAAGCTATTCAAGTTCGACAAGGCAAACAATGAGTGGAAGGAGCGTGGTACTGGTGATGTCAGACTTTTGAAGCACAAGGAAAACCAGAAGACAAGATTGGTTATGCGAAGAGATAAGACGCTCAAGGTCTGCGCCAACCACTACAGTATGTTTCTCTCTATATAAATGGGGCTATATAGAGGGTGGAGCTAATGCTTAATAGTCGTCCCGGAAATGAAGCTCTCTCCCAATGTCGGATCCGATAGGAGTTGGGTTTGGAATGCCGCTGCTGATGTCAGCGAGGGAGAACCAGAGGCCCAAACTCTTGCTATTCGATTTGCCAACACTGATAGTAGGTTCTTCTCTTAAGATATTGTTTCTGGGTAACTAACACTAGCTATAGACGCGAACCTTTTCAAGGAGGCATTTATCAAGGCCCAACAGGACAATGAAGCCCTTTTCGCCAAAGCTTAAATGGCTCCGTCCGTCCCTCACTCAGCGAGAGCTCGAATGCATTCCAACGTCTTGTTGAGCCCGCCGCATCAGTCACGAAAGTCATGAACATCTCTGCACGAACAACCCCCTCGTCCCCATTACCCCAATTCCCCCTCATTCGCGCATAGCAGGAGCACGCCTTCCGCAGAAGCCGCACTTCTTTGTAAACAGCCCTCGATTTTTGTGCCTTGGCAAACCTGCGGCCTTGGTCTCACGTCCCCCTCATGCATATGGAAAGTCATAGATTCGATGACGGTGATGGATTGGAAGCGATGCTTTGAAATCAGATTGTTCTCTGGTTTTAGGGGTTGTCCAAAGCCTAAGCTAGTAGTTAGAATAAATACCAGACCTTCATTGACCCCGTTGTTTAATGTCTTGTGAAATATATAGAAGTAGCTTGAAGTGTCATGTTTAGGATCTTGGTTCGAGTAGTACTCGTTGGCCTGAGGCTGCCACCCAATCTCTCACTAGCAGATCCAGTCAAGTTGCCTCAGGCCGTAAGTAGTCTTCCGTAAGGCGCCGGCACACCACACGCCAGGTGCACGGGCCCTGACAGGAGCTCAATTCTGTTGCAGCTCCCACAACCCCACACTCTATAATTGTCGCGACTCCAAACTTTAACGTCTCCAAAGTCGCGTCACCGGCCTATACACTTTAGCTCCCCCTCTACGAACTGCAATTGCTCTCGCGCAATCGTTGTAAACCGCCATCATGGTTGCGGATGTGAGTTATCCTTTGCGCCTTTATTGCCGGCCTTTTGAGCTACCGCGAATGACCCCGACTTGGGAGACGAGGAGCAGAACTGACGTCCACCCCTACAGATCAAGCGGACGGTGAAACTAGTCACCCAGCAGCGGAACATGTAAGTCTAGCAGGCTACTTGTGCGATCTTCAACAAAGAGTCTACGTGTTAATAGATGTATTGGAAAGTGACAAGCCGTCCGATATGGAGGGATTCCCAATGAAGCGCTGGAACATTGAGATCCTCCTTCTTGATGAAGCTGGCAACGAGCGCCCGGCAACCTGCTTCACCAAGGCCGTTTACAACCTCCACCCCTCGTTTGCGAACCCTGTTCAAAGTACGTATCCGTCCAGTTTCACATAGCGCAAAGGGATGTGGGAAACAGGACAAAGAGACACTGGCTAATGGGTGTGGGAATGAATAGCTTTCCATGAACCCCCCTTTCGCTGCGAGAATGAAGGATGGGGCGAATTCGATATGACCATTGACCTCTACAGCACCGAGAAGGGCGGCAAGAATACTGTTATGCACGATCTTAACTTCGCCAATGAACAGTATGAGTCTAAGCATGTTGTTACCTTCAAGAACGCCTCTGCTGCTCTTGTCAACATCCTGCGCGAGAGTGGTCCGGTTCCAGGTGATGAGAATGGTGCTCGGAAGAAGGACGAGAAGAAGCGCAAGCGGGCCCCGGGCACTGTTGATATGGAGAAGTTGGCAGACGGATTGGTTAAGCTCGGAGAGGATGATCTCCTACATGTCGTGCAGATGATTCATGACAACAAGAGTGATGATACCTATACGAAGAATGATATCGAGCGTAGGTTATCCTTTCCCCCCTCTCTTCCTTTTACTGTCTTCCCCCCAGCTAGGAGCTCGGAACAAAGGGTTACAAGTAGGGCAAATGGCTAATCCTTGTGCGTCGTACAGAGGGCGAGTTTCACGTCGATCTCTACACCCTTCCAGAGTCGCTGGTCAAGATGCTGTGGGACTTCGTCTCTTCTGCACGAGGAGCTTGATCCTATTTCTTTTCTGGTAAGTATCCTAGGAGCATACACTTTAGCATGCGATTACCTAATAGTAATATAACTAACCATAACTAGAAAATCCATCGTGGTGCCTGAATCCTTACACCTAGACGGATGTACGAATAAGCCATCTTGATGTGATCGGGGCATCATTTCTCTTTCCCTAGCTGTATTTAGCTTTTTGCTTTGTGAAATGCTCAAAATCATGTTGGAGGGTTTCCTCCCGCGTGCCGGCGTTCTTTCCAATGGATGGATCACTGCGTGCACTGGGCACATAGCGCGGCGAGAGTGGGCATATTACTTTGCACGGCATGGGCATAACACTTCGCGTTTGATTTATTGCGTTTCAATCTGGCTTTCTTTTCCTCTGGACGGCTGCGTCGGCGTGCACGGATGGGTTCATCTTGATGGCATGGAGTGGGTTATTTGCTATGTCATTACGGCGGTGTTTGCAGGTAGCTTAAGAAACCGGCCGGGTCTTGCAAAGCAAATGAAAACAAATTCACATCATCTTTTACAGTTTTTGGCATTGTGCTCTGCCTGTAGGATTGATGGTTGACTTATGGCCATGGCTGGCATGTATTTGGCCTCATTATCAACATTTGGGTATAGTGGCTAGGAAATATGGAAATTTCGTGATTAGAATTAGAAGGGGAATCGTCGTATTATTGGCAGTGAAGACTAAGAGACGCTTAAACGGCTCTAGTTACTTATTTAGGTTATGGATTGGGAAAGTTCGAGTTGACAAAACCAAATTTGAATTCAAAACACGTTACTCTATAGTGTGGGTATCTCAAGAAAACACAATACAGCCCATTTGCAACGCCCAATGCCTTTCCTGTTTTGAACGCCATATCCATGCCACTCACCATCCACTATTGATCATTCCTCATCCCCAAAGCTCAATTTGATCTTTTTACCCTTCTTCGCTGACTTCCCTTTTATCGTGGGCTTCTTCTTCCCAGCAGCTTCTGATTCTGCTGCTTTCAGTGCCTTAGTTTTGGTAGACGGGCCCCTTTCTTTATTCCTAGATTGGTCCTCATCATCCTCTTCCGCTTCCTCAGATACGCCGACAATCTTCCCTAGCTTCCGTTTCTTACTTGCTCCTATGGATGCAACTTTTACTTTTTCTCCATCCTTCAGCCCTTGTGCTGCGCCATCCTCTACTCCCTTGTCATCTTTCCCAGTATTCTTGTCATCCTCATCCTCATCCCCATCCGCTTTGGATTCCCGCTCCTCCCACTCTGCCTTGGTCAATGTCTCTCCAGTGCGTTCATCGAAGTACACCGGGTCATCTTCCGCCTCTTCATCAGCGGTACGCGCTTTCTTCGGCCTGGCGATGTGGAATTCCTGGCGCCCGTCGGAAGTGCTGTTCGCGGCTTGTAGGCGCGCGAGGAAGGGAGGGAGAGAGTTGTCGTAAGAGAGGTTCTTGGCATTGATTTTTGACATGGTGGCTATTTTGAGGTAGATTTGGATTTGCAATCAACAACTGAGTTACATAGGTATGTTGCAGATGAGGGGGTAGCGCCGTGGAGAAATTGTGAGACTTTGTATCTTTCTAGATGATCGGGATGTATGACATCGCATAAGAGGCTTGCAGCGAGGACCCGGGCGCTATCATACTATGACACTATGGCCCAAGGGATAACCTCTGCAGCACAGGCTGATGTTGGTACCGTTTGCTCTGAATGCCTACTTTGTAGGCGAAAAGCACCAAAGTCAAGCAAAAGGTCAAGCCCTCAATCGATGACGGAAAAAGGAGACAATGCCTCTAATGCTGATTGGCCAAGACGGCAGTTTTATATTTTTTTTATATTGTGGAGCGCGGATAGGGGGTGACAATGCGAACAACTTTATTCCGTATGACCTCAATCAATAATAGCTTGGATCTATCAATACCCGGCAGGTTCCTCACAGCGCCTAAGGAGTAAGCCCTTAGCAAAGCAATGCGCAATTCAACGCAACACTCTCGCAATTAACAATTAATCCATACGCAAAGTACTACTCTATCATAAACATAAACCCCTTCTCCTCCTCTCCATCGAACCGGCTCTAGATTTGCAGCCTCCTTGCCACCACGCCAAGCGCCCCAGGGATTGCGGACCCAGCAGCACTGTAATTGGCACCAATAGGCTTAGCCGAGATTCTTGCCTCGCTCGCTGCTCTGTTCGAGCCTGCGAGCCAAGTCTAAACCTCCCTATCGTGAAGGCAATTTGGCAAACGACCTCTGGCCACAATACTCCCCCGTGGTCCCCCAGGGCATCAATATCGACATCTTCATCCCCAAACCAGCGCGATTATACGGCCCCCGCCGTCCCATTGAATGCCATAGTCTGTCGAGCGCCCGTCTGCTACGTCGCTGTGCTGAAGACGAGAAATACTCTCTCTGACGCGTCATTGCAGAGCACTTCTTTCCTCGAGGACTCCTCGTCCAGCCACTCGTTACCTTTATTGTCAGATCTGCACATCGGCTTGCGACGGGTTGCGTCTACGTCTCGGTCTCCTTCGATTCACTCCTACCGTTCTGAATACATATTGTAATTACTCCTCCGCCTATCGATCGCCCCTGGGTCTTCCCCGGTCTTGATCGCACCCCCCCGACCAACATCCCATCAATGGGGTTCATACAGAGAGTCCTGAGGCGGGTGCCTTCGCCGCTGGCCCCTACGATGGACGACACTAAAACCAGAACGAAGGGCACTTCAAGATTGGCGTTCTTCCGGCGGCCACTCAGATTAAAGGGCAATTCGAGCATTTCCATACCTCTTGGCGTTGTGCTACTATTCCCATGCATCGTTGTTCTGTTGATACTGGTGCTTTTTGTTCGACATCCTAGATCAGGAGTCGGCATATTAATGCCTGCTGGAGCACCACCAGCTATAAGGTTCGTGATTTCTCGCGAGGGTCGAGTACGGGGTCGAGCCGAGCTAATGTGTGTGGCTTCTAGAAAAATTAGTGAGAAGCATGACAAGGTCTTCGTGACGGGCTGCCAGGAACCCGATACTTCGCAGCCGCGGGCGAACGCTGCGTTTGTGGTGTTGGCTAGGAATAAGGAATTAGACGGGGTTATACAATCGATCAAATCCATCGAGCGACACTTCAATAGGTGGTATCACTACCCCTATGTATTTTTGAACGATGGCGACTTCAATCAAACTTTCAAGGACGTAGTCGCAAACCACACGAGTGGCACTGTGGAGTATGGGAAGATCGACCCCGGCCATTGGGGATTCCCTGATTGGATCGACCCAAAGGTTGCTAAGGAGGGAATCGCAAAGCAAGGAGATGCTGCTATCATGTATGGTGGCATGGAGAGTTACCACTCCATGTGCAGATTCTACTCTGGGTAGGTACAGTTCTTAAGTGCGAGCGATAAACGCTGACATTTTTAGATTTTTCTACAACCATGAACTCTTGGCGAAATATGAATGGTACTGGCGCCTGGAGCCAGAGATTAGCTATTTCTGCGACATTACATAGTACGTACTCTTCTGACTCTATACAGTCCATGAAATAAGCTAACACGATTCCAGCGATCCGTTCCTCAAGATGATTGAATCAAACAAAACATACGGCTTCACAATCGCAGTCAAGGAATTGAAGGAGACAGTCCCGAATATTTTCCGATACGCGTCTGCATACAAGAGGGTCAACAATATCACCTCCCAGGGCCTTTGGGAAATGTTCGTCGAACCTGCGCCCGAGGAGCCGAAGGAGCTCCCAGAAGACCACCCCAACTACAAGGCGCCTCTGCCAGAAGAAATCTTGCGGGGCGATCCTTCCCGCGCTTCTCTACCTAACATTGATCCTGAAACCATGGAGGGCGAGAAGTATAACATGTGTCATTTCTGGTCGAACTTTGAAATTGCTAGACTTAGCTGGTTCAGGAGTAAGGAATATCAAGATTTCTTCGAAATGATGGATCGTAGTGGAGGGTTTTGGATGGAGCGCGTAAGTAGCTATATGTCCACGACATTATACCGTATGCTAATGACTACAGTGGGGTGATGCGCCTATCCACTCTCTCGCAGCTGGTGCTCTCCTTGCACCCCGAGATATCCATTACTTCCGCGATTTTGGGTACCGGCATACCACGATCCAGCATTGTCCAGCAAATGCTCCAGCGCGACAAATGCCGCGGATTCCATACCTCGAAATGACAACATTGGACGAGAAAAAACGAAGAGAAGAAGACGAGTACTGGGAGTCGTGGGATCCCGTCAAAGAAAATGGCGTTGGGTGCCGATGCAGATGTGACACCGATATTGTGGACGTGGAGGGGAAGCAAGGCTCCTGTCTAGCGGAATGGGTTGATGTGGCTGGTGGGTGGGCGAGTGCTTGATATATAATTGCAGCAGCATGGGTTTCTTGACTTGAAACCCCGGTGAAATGACCGTATCCTCTCGTCATGAAGGTGTTGGCGTTGTTGAGGTTGATGCCAGGCTTCAGGCATCCCGTTAGTGCCTGGGACGATAGGTTGCTTATACATGAGGAAGGGAGGAGGGGAATGAGTATATTTCCCCGTGCTTTGTATTAAGGATTCACGGTTGTGTTGCATTGTGGCGTTTGTTGGGCTGGCAGGCTCGTACTCTACTAGTCTATATCAATGTGAAAATACGCTTAAATATTAGTATTCCTGTTGTTCCTTCGCTGTTGTGGTCGTATGTGGTCGCAAGAGTGTCCAAATCTAGAATCTACACTGCCTTGCTACTCGTGGCTTGAGGTTCAGAGGTGGTTAGTCGGTGGAGAGGGTAAGTGGTGTCCATATAGGGGCGCGAGTATATTAGTGAAATTTTATTGATTTGCCTCGGTAGGTTGACCGAGTCCGCTAGATGCTTTTGATGCTTTTGATGCTTTTGATGCTTTTGATGCTTTTGATGCTTTTGATGCTTTTGATGCTTTTGATGCTTTTGATGCTTCAAGCCATCTATATATAAATTTGACATTCAACTCCAAGCCAAGCCAAAAACGCAGGGTAAAAGCCAAATGAGGTTAGCGTCTACAAACCACATAGTCTTTGTCAACTTATGAATTGATAATAGCGTTCGAGGCAGTCTCGTTCATTCTTGAAGCTAGCTATGTTCCTTACTTAGCGTCGCTGTAAATGGCAAAGTTGCCTAGCTGTTAGTTGCTGCTAGGGGCCTCAATTAGCACGGGTGTTATTCTAGAGACCTGGAATGTGTTGCTCGTCAACTATGAACAGAGGAGCACCCATGATAGCACAAGGACCACGGAAACCAAGCGTTGTAGATGAAGATTTAGATTCACTTAGTAGTATATTTGGAAGAAGACATTAGAAGTAAAAGAAGGCGTGTGGCGGTGGATGATGAAGTATATTTGCCACCCTCTCCTATACGAAGTAGAAGAGGTCGAGTACATTCAAGACTGTGTAAAAAGTACAAATAAAAAACTTCTATAGATTATTATATATATACTCCTAATAATACCAACCAACCCCTATTGCCGTCGTCCAGTTCATCTAACCGCAAAACACGTGCACAACCGACTCGTAAACAAAAGCCCGCCCCTTCGTCATCCGCTCTCCCGGCAACGCAATCTACAACGCACGTCAGCCAACCGCAGCCGCCATAGCCGTCTCAAGCAGAAAACTTTGTGCCTTGGCCGCCCCCCCGTACTGTGTATTACACGCACCGGTGTTCTTGGTAGTTCCGGCAAACCCCGAGTATTCCCGACTACCCTTAGCGACCAAAATTTTGGATTTGTCCTGGACGCAATTTCCACCCTTCTCATTTGCACATCATCAATTCAATCCAAACAAATCCACCTTCTCATCTGTTTTGTATTGTATTGTCCTGTGCCCCCACGCACCGTCGCAGAGCCATCGCATTGTACTCTGTATCTCCACTCTAGCCAACTAATACCCTCTTCCTTTCGTTTGCGCCCGTATCTACACATCCATCACAATGGCAGCTCCTACGACACCGAAGATTGACGCCGCCATCCAAGAGATCGCTCCCCAGAAGCTCTCCGGTGTTCAACTCTACTCCAGATTCGCCTTGGCTGGTGCAGTCTGCTGTTCAGTTACCCACGGTGCCCTCACGCCCGTCGACGTGTAAGTCTCGAATTCACCCGGTCTTTGCGCGGACGACCGGGAATACCTGTCCCCCAAAGGCGTCCTTGTGCAGGATATGGGAGGTGTACCACATACTGACAAGACTTCTCTTTGCATAGTGTTAAGACAAGAATACAACTCGACCCCGTCAAGTTTAACAAGGGTCTGATTGGAGGTTTCCGACAGGTCGTTCAAAGTGAGGGAGCTGGTGCTCTCTTGACCGGTTTCGGGCCCACCGCTGCTGGATATTTCCTCCAGGGCGCTTTCAAGTTCGGAGGTTATGAGCTATTCAAGCAACAATCCATCAATATTCTCGGATATGAGACCGCCTCCAATAACCGCACTGCCGTCTACTTGGCCTCCTCAGCGCTTGCTGAGTTCTTCGCCGATATTGCCCTCTGCCCTCTTGAGGCTACCCGTATCCGTCTCGTTTCCGAGCCAACTTATGCCAGTGGCCTCATTGGTGGCTTCGGCAAGATGCTGAAGAACGAGGGTATCGGTGCGTTCTACGCAGGCTTCGGCCCTATCCTGTTCAAGCAGTAAGTTTTTTGTCTCGTGAACCTACTAAATATAAATACTGATAAGGGATATAGGGTTCCATATACCATGGCCAAGTTCGTCGTTTACGAGAAGGTCTCCGAGGCCATCTACCAATCAGTCGACAAGAAGACCGCCTCCGATGGACTGCAAACCTGTATCAACCTGGGCTCTGGTCTTATCGCCGGTCTCGCCGCTGCTGTCGTCTCTCAGCCAGCTGACACCATGTTGAGCAAGATCAACAAGACCAAGGGTCTGCCAGGAGAGGGTACCACCAGCCGTTTGATCAAGATCGCCAAGGAGCTTGGTTTCCGTGGTTCTTACGCTGGTATCGGTGCTCGTCTGTTCATGGTTGGTGAGTAGCACATTCTAGTACCCCAGAAATTAAACCTGTACTAATAGAGACCTATAGGAACACTCACAGCCGGACAGTTTGCTATCTACGGCGACGTGAAGAAGGCGCTTGGCGCAACTGGAGGCGTAGAGATCTCGAAATAAATCGATTAAAAGTTATAGAACGCATTGAGAGGTGGTTGAGGTGGATAGTGCATTTGCTCGGTTTTTTTTTCTGGGCTCGGGATGCATCGTTTGGGCTGGTTTTGGTGGTCTGCTCAACGCTTTTTCTCGAGCATAGAACGCCCTTGTAGGGGGTTTGTAATAATAGGCCCTGCTGCTACAATGAATAGACGTTGGGATTCTCGGATTTCATGTTATGCTGCTGTGTAATTTGATTGTTGCGGGGCGGCCCTTGGCCTCTTTTCGATGTTGATTGAAATAGGCGAGGTGAAGCCAAACCAGCAGAGTACCTGGGCGAAAGCGCGATTCGCAACAGCAGGCAGCTCACAGTAGAACATAAATGCTACACTCTTAATACTGTAGTATTAATGTCTCGGATGTTGAAAGTTGATGTTGTTATAGCAATGTCTCAGACGTTCTGAGATATCCTTAACCACTTATATTTAGGTACCGTAACTCTGTACCATCGGGGGGTCTAGAAAGTAAAATAGTTGATTTAGGGGCATTACTACGTCTTTCTTAATGTCGGTATGCTGCTTCTATTGTCTATGGCGAGGGCAAGTTCTGGCCGAAGGCTAGTGTTACAGCAATGAATCCCAAATGACGACAGGGGAATACGGAGGTTGCGATCTTGAGATCGTACAATACAGCGGAACCCAAACCTTCTTTTCGAGGAGTGCAAAATATGGGAACCATGTCGAACGACCTCGGCCGCTATAAAGATCGGGAAATATGACCAAAAGTTTACGGATGGTAGGGTTCTGTACAATAATCCTATACAACTCGCCAAACGAGAGGGATCGGTGATATGGCCGGATGGTATGAAAAGTGCTGTGTTTGTTAGAATTGACGGACAGCGCCCCTGGAGGTGCCTTCAGAGGAAACCTAATGGATTTTATCTCCTAAAGCACCAGCTTTATCAATTTTCGAGCTCCACCGCTCCTCTGCAAAGTGAACTCCATAAACTCCAACCATCACCCCTCTCGGTCCCTCAAGCATGCCTGATCCTATGTGGAGCAACTCTAGCAAAAAATCGGGAGGTGGAATTGAGTAGTTTGGTGGTATGGGGAAACAATAATACACCGTCGTTTGGGGGTTCATCCAAAGCAAACGCGGGATTATCATCTCTAGGGCTATCAATGGCCGATAATCCAGGTAAAGCGATAGGGCCCGCTGGTGGCGTTGAGATGGCTCAAAACTTGGAATGGGAGCTAAACTAGGCACCACCAAAACACCCCGATGGGACTTCGTACTTACGGAATGTAATCCCCGGAACCGTTTGTAAAATAACCAAGGTAGTAAGGTACAGTACATTACGAAGTACTGATTGTGCGGCAAATGATACTTGCACAAGCACCGCCTCCTATGTAAGGATGGTGCAGGTCGAGCAAGTAGTTTAGTAATAATAATAAGCTTTTGGGCCAAGCTTCAAGCCCGTTTGCATCCTAGCTTGTCAGGCCTGCAACCGGAGAGAACCCGCCGCCAACAGCGGCCCCAACCACCTCCTGCTATCCACCTATTACACTTACCGTACTTACTGTACCAAGTAGTGCCTACTACGTACATGACATACGATGTACATAAACCCCGCTATGCGCCCTGGTCGGCCACCCTGATATGTCCCCAGCTCGACGCTGTCAAATCTTCACATTCACCCCGCGACCTCCAACCTTCAATCGCCCGTTCTACTTTCTAATTCTCATTCCAAAACGAAGGATCTCTCCATATCTTCCACCTCCATCTCCTAGAATCAACCCCACTAGCTCGCAATCATGGTTCACCTCTCCACCGTCCACAAGGACAAGGCCATCAAATCCGCCGCCATTGCGCGGAAGGAGAATGCCACGACGGAGGCCCAGAACATGGACATGTTCACGGCCAGTGTTTACGGATCGAAGTTTGCAGCTGAAGCTCTGCCCAGTCATGAGATGCCAGAGGGCGAAATGCCAAAGGAGATTGCTTATCGTATGATCAAGGATGAGCTATCGCTCGACGGAAACCCAATGCTCAAGTAAGCTGGATATACAACACCTCGAATTGATATCATGGATTATGCAGCTTGCTAATATACCATTCACAGCTTGGCATCCTTTGTAACCACCTATATGGTATGTACCAGTCCCTTTTATACCCCTGAAGTAATAACATCCAAAGCCGGCTAACCCGTAGTAGGAACCGGAAGTCGAACAATTGATGACCGAATCCTTCCCCAAGAACTTCATTGACTACGAAGAATATCCCCAGAGCACAGATATCCAGAACCGCTGCGTGTCCATGATTGGCCGCCTGTTCCACGCACCAGTTGGCGAAGGATCCGATGCTGCGGTTGGCACATCCACCGTGGGTTCCTCCGAGGCCATCATGCTGGCAGTCCTAGCCATGAAGAAGCGCTGGCAGAATGCCCGTAAGGCAGCTGGTAAGCCCACGGATAAGCCCAATCTCATCATGTCATCGGCGGTGCAAGTGTGCTGGGAGAAGGCAGCAAGATACTTTGAGGTCGAGGAGAAATTCGTCTACTGCACGCCAGAGAGATACGTGATTGATCCTGAGGAGACCGTTAATCTCGTCGACGAGAATACCATTGGGATTTGTGTGATTCTCGGCACAACATATACGGGCGAGTACGAAGACGCCAAGGCAGTCAACGATCTTCTGGTCAAGAAGAATATTGATACCGTTATCCATGTTGATGCTGCTAGCGGTGGCTTTGTGGCACCATTTGTGGTACCCGATCTGGTGTGGGATTTCAGACTTGAAAAAGTTGTTTCAATCAATGTCTCTGGTCATAAGTACGCCTTTCTCCCTCATACTTCGAAGATTGCGAGCTAACTTTGTAAAAGATATGGGCTGGTCTATCCAGGTGTTGGCTGGACTGTATGGCGAGGACCGGAATATCTTCCCAAGGAGCTCGTCTTCAACATCAACTATCTAGGTGCCGATCAAGCTTCTTTCACACTTAACTTCTCCAAAGGTGCTTCTCAGGTTATTGGACAGTACTACCAGCTGATCCGGTTGGGCAAGCACGGATATCGTGCGATTATGACCAACCTCACCCGTATCGCGGATTATCTCTCTAACTGTTTGGAGGGAATGGGATTCATTATCATGTCCCAGAAGTCAGGCGCGGGTCTTCCCCTTGTCGCCTTCCGCCTCGACCCCAAGACGAACAAGCATTACGACGAGTTTGCAATTGCCCATCACCTCCGTGAGCGATCCTGGATTGTCCCTGCATATACCATGGCACCCCACACCAACCAGCTCAAGATGTTACGAGTAGTGGTCCGTGAAGATTTCTCTAGGGCCAGATGCGATCAACTCATCGCGGATATCAAGCTCTGCATGGGAGTGCTCGATTCGATGGGTAAAGACTCGATCAAGATGCATAACGACTTGATTCAAGCTCACCGTACTCACGGAGCCAAGAGACAGCATCACCTGAACTATAGCAACGAGAAGCATAGCCTGCAGGGCAAGACTGGCAAGACACATGCTCCTTGTTAGAGTGTTGGTGCATGAAAACCATGGGATACTGGAAAGGGCGGGCTTTATGGACGCTTGAATATATTATGTGACTGCTACGTTATTTGGTACCCGGGGAGGGGGGCGGGTTTGATATCGTCTAGGCTGGGAAATGCGTCCTCATTAGTTGGCTTAGATTCATATATACAAAAATGGAGGGAGGGTTTTTTACGATGCTAATTAACGCCCAGCAATCGCTGGAATGGTGATTATAAACGTGGACTCTAAAATCACCTTGACACCCCTTTTATGAGAAAATATCAATAACATACGTGCCATATATGAATCTCATTGATAATAGAGCCTCTAAGCTCCTGTAGCTACTCATTACACTTGAACAAGGGCGGGCAGAATTGATGGAGGACGGTAACTAGGAATTGCCTGCGACTTGAATTTTCGTCACAACTAGGGTATGATTGAAATAGAACGGTCAGTCATTTGGGGCGCGTATTTACATTTCAAATAAGCACCTAGAAGCAATAAGTAGAGCTCTAAGGTGCCAACTCGGGGCGAGAAAATATTTGTTTGTTTGTATTCCCTATTCTCCTTGATGATTCTCCTTCCATTCCTGTAACACCTCCACAACAGCATGGTTCTTGCGGAATCCCGCCAGACTGAATGCATCGTGATTTCCGTAGATATCTTTGATTGAGGGGTCGGCACCTCGTTCGAGTAAGAAACGAACCACAGCTTCATGACCAACATGCCATCTGGCTGCGTAGCAGAGAGGTGTCCCCCAATGATCAGGAAGTTTTTCTTCGGTATCCAATGTATTAACATCAAGGCCAAGGTCGTCCACGAGGTACTTCACCATCGCCATTCGAATACCTCCACCGGACGATGCACCATCGACAGCACGATGTAGGGTGCGTGGGCCCAGCTGAGCTCCTCGGGAACGGAGAAGTTCGAAGGTGGAAATCATGCCTCTGCAAGCAACCATATCTAGGATTGGTGGGCTCTCATATGGGTCGGTGTACATGCCCTCCACCTTGGCACCGTGGTCGAGACACCAGCGCACAAGAGATTCGTCATGGCAAATATGTTGTAAGAGGCATTTACCCTGTCCCACGCCATGGTCGCGCGAGTTCTGATTAATATCCCACCCATGGTCGACGAGGACTTGGAACATCTCGGTGGATGGGTTGTGCGCTACTATGAAAGGGGAAACGGTATCAAGAGGTGCGTCTTCCTGCTCAATCAAATATCGCGCCATGTCGACGTGACCGAAGTCAACTGCTCTAGCCAGGGCCCAGGAGAGCAAGGCTTGGTTTTTCTCCCCTTTGGAAGCGGCCAGTTCGAAGCCCTTTGATACTTCAGCTATATCGTTCGATCTGCAGCCATTTCTGATGATCATACGAAAGTCCGGCTTCCTGACCCGAGGTGCACTTGTAGATGGCTGGGTGGGCGAAGTTGCAGCAGCTCCTCCCTCAGTGACATTGTCAGAGGCCATGGTGCTGGATTGAGTCTGGCAGTGTTCGACCAGGGTGGTCTTGTTGGTTGAGACGGAGGGAGTTGGTAATTTTCTCTGCCTCTCAGGCACCGAAAGAAAAAGAGAAGCAAGTGTCTTGCAGTATTGCACTCCTCCGTGGTGAATCAAGACTATCAAAATACAGACCTATTAATGGGCCGCTCGTGCTATTCTAGGATTTCCACATGCTATTAAGATGGAACACTTACATAAAAGCTAACTATATTATATAAACTTAACTGCGCCCCGAAATATCCCACAACGGATGAATCGGATACTCTGTACAGGAAATGAGAAGGACACTCAATAATTCTGTGAGCGCAATTAACCAGTTACAAGCAGCAGGGAAAGACTCCTTTATGGTTCTCTAGAGCCTGGGCGAGAATGGTCTTAAGAGTAGTGGCCGGGCTTAGAATCCTCAATTGTGCAACAATGTCGGAGCCAACCTGGAGATGAGTTGTTGTGGCATGGCGCCGCGTGCGGCGTGTTGATGGCAAATTGTCCCGCTTGAAACTCGGCACAACCGCACAAGAACCCAGCAGTTCCTTTTGACTCTAAAGATAGTAGAGGGGCGTCGATTCAAACTGGGCTTTCCTGGGTTATCTTTTAAACGTAACAGTTGGGAACTGCAGGAATAGCCCTCTCCGGTCAGCGAGCGATTGACGCTGTAACGACTTGGAAGTGTACGAAATCGTGGGCAGTGCCAAGGCCCCCAGGCAATGGAACAAGCCCGCGCTGGAGTCGCTTAGCCGCCCCGGGCGTTTTACCGATTGACTCCGTCTCCTTTTATTTCTTCGTCTAACTTTATGTCAACCGACCTCTCACGTCAGCGCCTACAAGCTATGCAACGCACCACTCTAGCCTTGGCCTTGCTCCTGCAGGATGAACAGCTATGCGAGATAAAGCTTGGAGATCTTTTTTTCCCCAGCCTCATCCGTCATCCGATATGCTATTATTCGTTTGTTGCTGCAAAAGGCCAGCGTGATTTGGTACCCTAAAACAGGCTTCCACCACAACGCTTATCCTAGGCCAAGTGGCCTGCTCCTCCAATCTGTAGATATAGTGCAACTAGGGAGGAGATGGGTATGAGGAATATGATACGACGACATGTGGATTCCATCGTCCCCTACCTATTGCACTACGTACAAGTTCATCGCCACGATGCTATGAGACAGATACTCATTGCCGGACTTGGCTGTACCAAAATAAACATCAAGTGTACTGGCTAATTACGGCCCCTATCAACATGCCCCTCGATCCACAGAGTTTCCATAAGCCCCCAGGGCTCCAGGGCTCCAGGAGCATGAAAGCCTAATGCCCTTTTAACTATATATCTTGCCATTCTTTCTCTCACGTCTTTCGTCCTTCAGGGGCTTTCCCACCGTCAGTCATTTTCTTTCATTGACTCCGCCTCTAGTTACTCATTACAGTCATGATGTACATTTCCAATTTTCTGCTTTTGTTTTCCTACGTTCTACAGGGTAATGCTTCGCCCCTACAACACCAGCGACGCGGTCCCAGCAGCGTCGCCTCCGAGCTCGTGGTGACCGCATCGACTGGTGCCCACTCAGTCGTTACCTATTATCCAAGCCGAGTATCTGACTCCTCCTTATGGGCCCTCACCACGCCTACCACTCTCTCGTCTGGTGAAATCGTTTATCCCGGAGGGTATGAATGGGCGGAGTCGGGCGTCTCAACGCCTCAACCTTCTGCCATACCACCTAATGTTCCGTTCCCAAAGCCTGGCAGCACCTTCGTTAGGCATGTACCCGGAACTAGTATAATAGAGCCCACCTTGGGTACCGGTCTATCGCCGCCCTTCCCAACAACAACCAGCTCCTCCCTCTTCACAAATCGCACATTAGCGCCTCCTGGAGTTGAAACAGGCGAAACAACCGGACCACGCCAATCTACACCTCCTACCGGGACGGGATCAAGCAGTTCCAACTCTACCTCTGCGACTGGGTCACACACATCCAAGTCTGCTAAGTCGGGATCAAGCAGTTCCAACTCTACCTCTGCGGCTGGGTCACACACATCCAAGTTTGCTAAGTCAGGATCAAGCAATTCCAGCTCCACCCCTCCGTCAAATATACCCATCGCTACTGGAACGGGATTAAAGGCTACTAGACCCATAACTAAGACTATATCAAAGGCTTCTAGCTCGACTACCGTGGGAGACCCTTCTCCCCCCGCTTCGACTTCCAAGACGTCTGCGAAGTCCCCTGACGGCGCCTCGGACCTATTTACTTTTAGCGGCACTTGGAGTGCATCTCCTACCGCATCGACGGTGGGCTTCCCCATCTTCATCGCACCTACGACGACGATATCGGATACTGCAGCCACATCGGAAGCAGCCCTTTTGGGGGGTTTGTTCTTTGCACTCAGCTCCAACAGGCAATGGGTCACTGATGCCAAGCTGAGATCCCAATACATCGACAGTGTGAAGAAGACGAAGGATGAAACAATCGCCCTTTTCGGCGCATTGAAGGTCAAACCCCCTGCGGACCCAGCTTGCTCAAACACGAAGAGAAAGAGGAGTGTGATCTCAGAGGTGGAACCTCGAGCATTACTTGCCAACAGGAGCTTAATATCGGGCATCACAGATCTCATTGGGGATGCCGCCAAGCTTGTTAGCTGCGCTCTCAACGTGGTGACGAACTTGGTCGAAGCTGTTGAAGCTCCTATTCCACAGATCGGCGTAATCCAGACTCTTACAGATACTCTCGCAGAAATCGCTGAAAACCTAAAGAAAGGGAAGGAGAAGGATAACCACGATGAGCCATCCTCCACAAAGGAGCAGGAGTCTAAATCAAGTACATCGTCATGCACTAGCAGCACAGAGGTGCCAATTTGTACCAAAACGATCTCGCTCTCCACCTCATTCTTCCCTGGAGGCACGAGTAGTTCTTCGGTGGCGACGATTACTACAATGGCTTGCACCACAACCACTGTCAAGGCGTGCAGCGCTGCTGGGACCACAACAACCACAACAGCTTCAACGTCGAGCTCACCGAGTCCATTTATCTGTTCACCAGATTGCACGAAGTGTCTGGCTGGCGATGTCCCTGCTCCTACAGCCACCCGAAAGCCCGCCAAGCGTAGCATTCAACTAATAAACAAGCGGACTTTGTGGGAGAAACAAGATTTCAGTAGTCTCAACGAATTTTATTTAGAAGCTCGTAAGTAATCTTGAATTGTTACCATTAGGTCGCACTAACACCGAAATTAGTAGAAGAAAAACGAGAATCGACCCAAACGGAGTTAAATCACCGAAGGTCGGGCACCGGCTCAAGTGCTGTAACTAATGACTGGGATAACAAAAAACGACATCTGTTTACTAGTGGCCTATTTGGTTGTACTTCAATTATTATTGTTTCGGAAGCAGGAGTGTGGTTTAGTCATCATTGGGAATCCCCATCATTCATGGCTGCAAAAGACTCGGATTTTAAGAGGGAGGTACTCGATGCAATCCGCAACGGGGATACAGACAAGATGCCTAGTCCATTCCCCTTAGCAGTGGACGGACAGAAATTAGGCCCTAAGACTAATCGCCAAATATTCATTAGCACGCCAAAGAATGTAACCACGGGAGACCTTGAGTACAAGGATCGAGTCGGAGAGGTGGTAGAACTTCTGACAGGACCAAGCGCCCCCTTCAATGGAGTTTCCGTTACTATCCGGAGCTATCTAAAGCCAGTACGGAAATCAAATGACGATGATGGAACGGCTGCGATGGCATACACTCCTAACAGCAAAGTTCTTATCCAGTACGACAACGACCAGAAGGATGGCGAGAAGGATCCGCCTAAGCAACAGGCCATTTATCGAGTGTGGTTGGAGGAACAGATGTATGAACATAGATGGAATGCAACAACTGCACAGCTCGGTACTTGCTCTGCAAATCAGAAACGCCAAAACGGAGGTTCTTGCAAGAAGCCTACAAATGACATTTCGTCCGGAGGCAATGCTCCAACCGGCACTAATGGTGGGCCTCACCCCACCGGTACGGCCACTCAACGAACGACATCGCCATCGAAGCTATCCAGTGATACGATAATATCTACAAAACTCTCTACGCTGGTGACATCTCCATCTCCATCCTCAAAGCCAAAACCATCATCGACAGCACCAAAACCGAAACCATCACCAAAACCAACACCAAAGCTTACCTGCAAGGGCATCAACAATGCAAAATGGGTTTCTCATGATGCCATGGCCAAGGGCATCAAGAATTACTGTGCTGATGCCGGCAAGCAAGGCACCCAGGATAAAAGCTCCGGAGGAATTCAGCGAAGTTACAACAAAGGTACTAATACCGAGTTCAGAATTGCGATCGACTGGCCACCAGGAACCGACATTGGACTTACTGAGGCGGACTGTAATGACAAGATGAAAGATATAATGGATAGTAAGTGCCTAATCTCCTCTTTCTACTTGCAATGGACCATGTACTGATACCCGTACTTCAGACTGCGATGGTAAGAACCCCGATAACCCCATGAACTGGAAACATGGCGGCAAAATCGAGAACGGCCCTGCCACATATCAAATCGAACCTGTTGCTACCCGTTACTTAGCAGGCCGCTGCAGCATGCATGTTGTCGAACATGAGAGCTGGACCGGCATCGATGGACCCGGCACGGAACGACACTGGAAATTTCATGTGGAAGTCACGGCCAAGGATAGTGCTGGAAAGAAGATTGGCGGGACGACCAAGAAAGAAGAAGCTGGGGACGGAAAGCCGTATGTCTTGAAGGATGTCTATTATGACGGTCTATCTTTTATACCCGAGGCAAGGGACGATTACATTCAGTTCGACCTAGGTAACCAGGCTTGGACCACGAAGGAGTCGCAGTGCACTGTGGGTGGATTTAATCGGAAGTTTACCCCTCAGGTATGTACAAACCTTTTCTCTCACGCGGAGGAACACCATGCTAACGATCGATGCAGCATCGCGATATGGATTGTACTTTCGATTGTTAGAGATTCCATTTTATGTCTTATTTAGAGTTTACATTATTCACGGAGTTCGTTGAACAATACTCGTGTCATCTGGACTATGATAGATATAGTCTCAGAGGTCATTATATTAGAGTGAGATAGCGGGATAGAGCTTCTAGCCAAATAGAGGAGGCAGGTGACCAAGGCCTGGATAATCAGTTCCCAAGGTCACTGCGGGATACATTCGTGGTAGGACCACGACTTTGGAGATTGAAGCTCTTGCAAGTTGAATGTAACATTATTTATACCAATGCCATATCTAGACTGATTTCTGCCTGGAGCACGTCAAATTCCCCAAAACTCAAATTATGTCCAATCCCGAGGTACCGTATACCTTCAATCCCAACAGCTTTAAGAATTGGAATGAGGATGTTCATTTGCTGGTTATACTTAGAGTGCCGTGGGGGGCAAAGTTTGGTCAATTTGTTTAGTTCTGCCTCAAAAACAAGAGCCTATAGTAAAATATATCATGTCCCATGGCCAAGTAACCTCTATGGTCGTTACAGTTGTCACCTTAACAACCTATATTCGCGTTCTAGGAAGAAATTTGTGGGGCTCGATCTTGAGTTACCTACTGGGTATACGAAATTAAGCTTTGGATTTCCCCGGAAATAACTGTAAGAAATTAACCATGCTTACGTTACTACATAAGGTATCCATTTTTCTGAGCTTTTTGGGGACGGAGGAGGGACTAAATTGATCAATCATCTGTCGCATGGTAGTATGGCTCCCTAAAGCGTCGAATGTGGTGATTGTGATTTCCTCATATCCCAAGTTTATTGCGCAATGGCACGTGTAGCATTTCTGGCCTTTATAACTTGATTTTTCGAGGATAACCATTTTCTTCATTTCTTTATTTATCTTGATTTATAACTTGGCAAAGAAAGTTAAGTGACTTGTCGGCTGCCAAAATTGTCCGCTTTCCTGTTTCCATTCCATGAGATACGTAGTACGAAGAATACATTTACTACCACAACACCTATCCGATTGGTAGACCACCAAAACAACTGCACTAAATGTTGATGTTGGTTGTACACGCTGGTCTCAACCTCTTGCTCTTGAAGAACTCATAATCAGGCATCGCGTTCCTTACATGTTGCTCGATCTCCGCACCGACGTCTTCTCCAAACTCTTCTTTCCACTTCTTGGCCTCTACATCAATATCTATGTCCGAAGAAACATTATTTGTGTTGATACCATCCGAGCTGTTCAATGTTCCAAGCATCGTTTTCATCCCTTTAGACATCTTTTCCAACTGCTCCTGGCTTACTTTTTCCCACGAGAATAGTAACTTTGTTTTGTCCAACCCCATCAGCTCACAGAACCGTATAACAACCTCGGGCTGTTTGATGATGTCGTCTGCTTCGAGAACCAGTGGCCAAGTGGTGCCGTCGTCTCCCACAGGTTCGGACTCGCTCAACAAGTTGGCATAGTAGTCATAGAGGGAGCGGCTCCACTTGTAGGTCATCTGCACTTTCCGCTCTGGCGATACCACAGTGAAAACATCTGTCAACTTGCCCATCTGCCTTTCAAATGAAGGAAATGAAAGTGCGGGATGCCTGACGAGGAATGCCGGTAGGAGGGTGTTGAGGAACTGGTCTGGCAGCATCGTCTCGTTAAGTGACGAGCGCATTGGTGTTTCGTCGATTGAGTTGGCCATTTGGAGAAGCCATGGCTCTTCTCTAACCTCGTCGTTTGGGAACATCATTTTGCAGATATTAGTCGGTTCAGCAAACATAGTGGAATGCTCTTTGATAAATGCTATTTTCCCACTGTCCTGAGCACCGTTTACGTATTTTTGGAATTCATCGAAGCCAGCTTGGTAGACTTGCTGCATTTCAGATCGTTCTTCCTCCGTCCATTCCTTCATGTGCTTCTCGCGGACCATAAGGTCGTTGGCTTTCATGATCGAAGGCAAGAAGTAGTAGCCACCTTGAGGTGGTGGCTTGGCCAGTTCAGGCTGGTTTTGCAAATTCAGAATCCGCACAAGCAGATTCGAAGCCGTCCGCGGGCAGCTGAAGAGAATGAATCGGCGGGGGCGTGCTGGCTCCATATTTTCCTGTGCGGTATTGTTTATTGCTTGAACTATTCAACGGCTTCTCTCTCAAATAGTTTTTGCAGGTGAGAATGTCAAGATGAACCCACAGGTTGCATCAATTTATAATGAAGCCTCCTTGCGGATTTTACCCACCCTGTAGAGCGGCTGCCGGTAGCGGATTTACGATGACACAGTGAAGAGGCCGCTTCATTAACCTCACCAGGGAACGAGCCTTCTCGGGCTCATCGGACAGAACTAGTACCGGAGGGGCAAGAGCACGATTGGTGATCGATAAATCCGGTGCCAACCTCGCGGACACTTTACTCGAGAAAGGCCAATATTCCTCGCGTCTTCGGTGTTAGCAGCGGCCGACTAGAGCGACCTCGAGCCGGCAAATGGGATCATTCATGCAGGCTGATGTTATTTGTCAAGGAAAGCTGCATTCGACGGGGAGGAGAACCTGGTAGGTCTGTTTCTCTTGTACTGTACGGAAATTTTAGCGCAGTGATTCAAGGACACTTGGATTTAGAGCGGTGAGCTCTATTCAACGTATCGGAACCTATCCACCTTGGCTTGTCTCATTCAGCAAGCACGAGTACCCGGTATGACCTCAGCGCCACTTCTACCATTTCTTTTGTGAGGGTTTTCTCAATACAAACGCATATTATTGGGGGCCTTCCGAATGGCCAACTGACGCACTTTTCATAATGGGGCATAATGGGTTTGCCAAGCAGAAAACGAGAGCAGGCGACGGTCTTAAGATCTCCGGCCCGGGCCGCAATCCGAATGGCCTATTCTGACAAGTACCGAGCCCCCAGTGTCATACCATCACAGATCACCTTGAATAGCATAACGGAAACCTACTCTCCAGAGACTTGCTTCAAATATCTGCTTAACAAAGCCTACGCCCACCTAGAGTATGGTACTTAAGCCCAGGTGCTTTGAGGGTAAATGTTAGCGGGCTTGATTTGCAGGTGAAGAGGTAAGTTGGTATCTGCAGGTACGGAGTATAAGGTACGAAGTAATACTTTGCACATGCACTCCGATTATAGCCGACGTTGAAGACGAGTCGGGTCAGACGACCCACAATGGGAGTATGCGAATTGACAAGATCTCAGCATTACCTGGCAGGAAAAGGAGTCAAAAATTATTATGATGGAAATCATTTTTTTCACATACCCCAAAAGCAAAAGAGTTCAGCCCCGTCGAATGCCCACATCTCCTGTCGAATCTGTCGATTCTCGTGTTTTGTCGATTGAGTCCCTATCGATCCACCCGGGCAGACAATCTGACCTGAAACACCTAGTCAAGTGGCCGCCTTTTGTCTTCCTTAAAATAAATATATAACGGCCAGGCAGAAGGGCGGTAATGAGATAGGTCTGTAGTTAGACCAAATCATTTTGTTTACTTCGTTTAAGGGCGATACCGACGAATAAGATTCTTCGCCAGAATTTCTTAATGAATCAAGGACTGGCAGAACGGTGTTGAACCTAGCGTTTTAAAGAAAGCTTCCTTGACTCAGGCACTTAGTATCATTGTCATACAGCCATATGAGGTATATGAGGTATGCGCAGCCTCGACTCCTGCACTTAGCTATCCTGACTGGTATCGATAGGGGCTATTCTATCTTATAGGAACCGGCTGAGGAAGAAGACTGGGAGGAAGCGCGCTATCAAGTCGCTCACAGAGCCAGGAACCAGGAACCCATTATCACAACCGGCCTCGCGTTGTCACTAAGGGCCAAAGCTCGACGTTTACTTTTCTTTGCAACTTCTGCAAGCTGATTAGAACAGGATAATTCTTGGGTGCATAATCGTCAAGTTCTTCTTGTGGCACAAGGTACGCCATGATATTACCTTGGAATTCCACGAATAGTAAGTAGTGGCTCAGGTTACAAAAACAACAATTGTTTACCTATCATGGAACGAATTTAGGAAGTGCATCTCCTATTGGAAATTGAGGCGCTGCGATATACCCGGTGTATCTGTTTCTTTTGAAGCTTTATTTATATTATTACCCCTCAGGGTTGTATCGTAGTGGCTCCCACCCCCATTAGAATACTGATCAAAGGGCCCCATCGACATTCCAACTGTAAAAGAGAATCATGTTTTGCAGTCTATGGGCGGGATATATCTGTACAAATTTCTAATCCTTCTATCTCGAAACGCCTTTTAACCCCCGATGAAGGGAGATCCGACCAGTATCTAAGCAAATGAGGGCCAATAATACACATACCGCTAGTTCGTAGAAAGGCATCAATGTAGCGGTTTTTTCTCAGGTGTGGTAGGTGTGGCGTTTCTCGGAGTACTCTCTAATGAGGTCTCCTTATCCAATGGAACCGCCTCTGCTAGCCCATTCTCTTGCGCCGCCTCCTCTTCTGCCTGCTTTGCTTCAAGTTCCCCTGCCGCTCCGCCTTGCCGCTTGTTCTTCAGGTTCTTCCACTCCATGGTTAATCCTGCAATTATTGTTGCAGCTGATAAGCCGACGGCGACTTTCAGCGTATCAGTGAGCGCGGTATTATATGCCAACAGTACAGCATCCATCATTTGAGGAGGGACTAAATTTTTCAACTCTGTTGCACCCGTATTGATGATTTGGGAGGCGGTAAAATTGCCAATTTCGCCGAGATTGGAGACCAGCGACTGCGTGAAGACTGTTTGTCCAATGACGACAAATATGGCGCCTCCTAAGCCCTGCATAAAGAACATTAGAGACACACCGGTCATAACATCTTTATCCTCAAGACAGGCCTGGGCTGCCATCGAGGCTTGCTGCATACCGAGCCCCAAGCCAAAACCATAGATAAATTGGTAGCCGATCCACTTCGATGATGAGCTATCAGGTTGTAACGTGGTCAGGAGCCCGGCACCAATGGACGAGATAATCGAAGATGCAATCAGCTGCCCAACGTAATATCCCGATTTCTGGGTTATGGCACCGCTCAATATGCTGGCTACCACGAGCGAGAGAACCAAGGGGAGCGTGTCGATTCCAGACTTTTCGGCTGTCACACCCTTGACGGCTTGGAACCAAAGAGGGAGGAAGTAGATGATTACCATCATTGACCCGGGAGATACCATGGAGAAGAATGCACCGGAAGCGATACTACGCTGTTTGATTATGCGGATGGGCACTGTAGCTCGGTCGCCAGACTTGAATTGAATGGCCACGAAGATACTAAAGAGGATGCCGGCTAAGATGAAGAGAACGATGATTCGAGCATTGGACCAACTATAGTTCGTCCCGCCCCATTGTAATGCCAACAGCAGGCAAACGATGCCGGGCAAGAAGACAGCGCTTCCGTAGGGGTCGAGTTTCATGATTTGCTCTTTGACTGTGTCCGTATTCTTGCTAGGAGGCGTCGTAAGGATAAAAAGAATGATAGTAGCCACCACGGCGCCGATTGGGAGATTTCTAGGTATGGTCAGATTATTTTGTTCAAAGGAATAGCATGTATTAACATCTAGGGTTGGGCTGGCGTTGGTGATTCTAGGTGACAGCTTAGAGGCAGGATATACGTACATCCAGAAACACCACCTCCATGTAACTCTCGTCGTGAAGGCACCTCCAATGAGCGGCCCACAGACGGACGCAACGCCGAATACTGCGCCGAATATCCCCTGGAACATGGGCCGTCTGTGAAGCGGGATCGAGATGACCATTGTAATAACGCACCCGCTGAATATCCCAGCGGACCCCAAGCCAGCTATTATTCGAGTTAGCCCCCGCTTCGATAGATGTTGGAAGCGACATGTGTTGGAACGGATAGGTGTTGGAAGGGGTTGGTATATTCTTACCAACAGCTCGGCCAATAATGAACGCCACGGAGCTTGGAGCTGCTCCACATACAGCAGACTATATAATCATTAGAGAGTTCTCCAGAAAAATCAAATGGCATATAGCGTGTCAAGTACTCACTCCAACTTCAAAAATCAATATCGATGAGAGCAAAACCCATTTCGCTGAATAGAAGGTATAGATACGTCCATATATAAGTTGGAACGCGCAGAGCGTGATCAGGTACGAACTTGCATACCAACCCACATCATTAATGCTGTGGAAATCATCTGTGATCTTGGGAATAGCTGTCCCAATGATCGTCCGGTCCTATGTTTTAGCTGATTAGCGCTAGAAGGGAAGTGGAAGGTAGGAGGGAAGTTTGATGGCTGGCGTACAAGTGCTACAAGGAACATGGCAAGGTAGAGTGCTGCCATGATCAGGGTAAGCTTGCGCCAACCTGGATATTGGGGTTCATCTTCTGTGGAGGAGGTTGCGGTTGCGCCCGTTTTCTCCACGTCGATATGAGACAGTGCCTCTGGCGATTCTTTGGCGGAAGACATGTTGAGCAGAACGCAAGACAATGTTGGATAGCGATAAAAGAAGCCAAAAGACGGAATCCGGACACTATGCCGCTTGTTCAAGTGCAAAATAATAAAACGTGTTGTGGAGATATGGAAAGCAAACACAAAGGTTGGGCTTCATGTTTATTTAAGTCGCCTGCAGCCCTCAGCGAGGATCGCGATATATTGGCCCTTCGGACCTGGGACTTTTCCGCGTAACCTCCCCGGGAGAAGACAAGCTTTTCAGACTCCCGAGAGGGATGGTGGTGTTGCTGCCACTGGCTGCAGCTTCAACATGGGGGAGTCCGACGACAGCGAGGCGTCTTGAAGATGTCTCTCGGGGCTTTATTTGCTCGGGACCGACGACGCGTTGCCTCCGAAGGCCCTTTCTCTATTTCTTCGTCGACAGCCACACAGCACCTCGCAATACGAAGTAGTCCAATCTCTACAATATCTGTGCCGCTCAAAGTCGCTGATGTATAGAGGCATTGAGACAAGCCTCATCTTATTACAGTATGTATCGCAGGGGAGGTGCGTCGTAACTGTACACTAATACCAACGCCTGATAGTACGAACGCAAGCCCATAGCTAGTCGGGGCACTCATCCTCCGTGTGCGACAAAACAGGACTGGAGTACGGAAAACGTTCGCACCCGAGAGGGCGCCCATCACGGGACTTTGAACTGTTATATCGGATTCTAGAAATACATACAGGGCCTCCAGCGCCTTTCGAGGGCTGCCTTAACTCCCGAGACCCCGAAGGCCCCGAAGATACCACTAAGAGGAAACACCCAGGACACCCATCTTTCAATTTAGCCGTCTTACGGAATACCATCAAGATGCTGGCATCTCCATCACAAACACCTGAGTCGGCGCCAGAGAGAGAGCCAAATCCAACCGCAGTGCCGGTTCCAGCTTCCAAGATCACCCGAGGCCATTCTTGTGTTTTATGTCAACAGCGCAAAGTCAGGTGCGATCGACTAAAGCCGTGCGCCAACTGCTTGAAAGCTGGGGCAGAATGCGTGGCTAGCACTCCCACTCTCCCACGCCGCCGAAAGCGGAAGCTCAATGAAATTGATATTGGGGCCAAGCTTCGCAAATATGAACAGTTGCTTAAGAAACATGGCGTGAAGATCGAGGAAGATGGCGGCAGTGCTGCGGTCGAGGAGCTCGATAATTCATACCGCGAGGATGGCGCCCAGGCCGCCCTGAATATGACGGTTCCTAGACCCCGCAACGCAGAGCCGGGTGCATTGTTCACTGACAAAGAGAACTCGCGTTACGTGGAGAAGTATGTCCCGAAGCTCTTAAATTTTGCAATTTGTTGACAGATATAGTACCCTATGGGAGAATTTGAGGGATGAAATTCAAGATCCAAATGAAGCCATCCCCGGCTCGTCGTCTTCTGATGACGAGATCAATGATTCGAATATATACCCAAATGCCGAGAGTTTACTCGTGGGCCATGGATCATCTTCGAAGAATCTGGCGTTATTGCATCCGCCACCAGTACATCTTTTCATGATGTGGCAAACATTTCTTGTCAATGTCAACCCTCTAGTAAAGATGTTTCATGCACATACAGTACAACAAACGATTCTAGATGCTAGTGCGGACTTGGAGAATGTATCGCGACCTACCGAAGCTTTGATGTTTTCCATTTATTTGCTTGCAGTTACCTCACTAGGTAATGAAGAGTGTGAGACCATGTTTGGAGAGTCGCGAGCTGTCCTGCTTGGCAAATATTCTCACGCGGCGCAACAAGCTTTAATAAATGCCAAATTTCTCAAATCTTTGAATATGGCGACGCTTCAGGCTTTTGCGCTTTATCTTGTAAGTCTGCCCCTTTTGCATTGGAATACATCTGCCATATCACCACATCCCTCGCTCTCTTGAGTAATCAAATGCCTGATGAGGCGTCTGTGATGAGTTAATATATGGTGTATCAAGACGATGGGAATCTCTCATGCCAGTTATCCCCAAAATTGAGACTGGGCTAACACAATGTATGCAGCTTGGAGTCCGCAGAGTCTACAACCCTAATTCTTTTTGGGTCCTCACAGGTGTAGCATCTCGAATCGCACAAAGATTGGGATTACATCGCGATGGTTCTCATTACAAAGAAATCTCGGTATTCGATGCCGAGATGAGAAGGCGGACATGGTGGCAAATTGTCTTCCTTGATGGCCATGCTTCCAAACTTGCTGGTGCAGGCTTCCCTATTTGGTTTGGGAAATTCGATACAAAGATTCCTCTCAATATTAGCGACAGCGATTTGAACCCTACCATGAAAGAGCCACCAATGGAGAAGGAAGGGGCGACTGAGATGATATTTTGCTCCATACGGTACGACGTTGCTCAAGCTATGCGTGACGTGACCAGTCGTACCAAAGGTGGTGGCAATGATGATGCGAACTGGCAGGTACCCAAGGGTCCCGAGTTCATTACAGTGAAAGACAAAGCGATCGATGAACTTGAAGCACGATTCGAAGTGAAATATTTGCGGTACTGTGACCCGTCCATCCCGCTACATCTTACCGTAATGTATCTGGCGAAATCGGTCATATGTACAATGAGAATCATGGCTCACCATCCTCGGCAATATCCCGATAAAGGAGCCAGCATGCCGCAGAGCGAAAAGGATATGCTGTTCAGAGAGAGCCTGAAAGAGCTGGAAATTGACAACCTTGGCCATAATATAAAGGTCGTTAAGGGGTACTTATGGCATATTGAAAGCCACTTCCAGTTGGACGCGTTCATATACCTACTCAGCGAGCTGCGCTATCGTCTGACGGGTGAGTTGGTGGAGCGAGCATGGCAGCAAGTGAAAACATCATTTGAGTATCATACTAATGTGCTCACGGACACCAAAAACTCATTATATTTCGCCATAGGGAACTTGGCCCTGAAGGCATGGCGTAAGAGGGAGGACGCTGGCCTTGCTACCCAGGGAGGGTTTCAGATTGAACCTCCTCAATTCATATCAACACTACGAAGACAACGAAATATTTCAGACTTACCACCAAAGACAACAAGCGATGCAAATAATGAACTATTTTCAAGACCTCACCGTGCTCTCGGATATCCTACCGATGCCGTGGGCCAAAATACAATGTACCAGAACACCGTGGATCAATTCGCCGATGTCAATTTGAGTTTTGATGTGGTAATGCCTGACATTACACCTGTGGACTGGGAGTATTGGCAAACTTTGATGGACGGCGATCTTCCGGCGTATAGTGACGGGCAGATTTTCCTCAATTAATATGTGTATCCAAGCTGGCCCAATGGTCGCGCGAGTTGCGTACGAATACACAGGCACCTTACATTAAGGGCATAATGAGATCTCTCCACATATCTAGCTTGGGTATCTTCGGAGATTCTCGTGGGATTTATTGGATGATTTTGTCTTGTATATATGCACCTCAGCCTCGGTTCTTTTCATTGGTCAATCACCCACATTCATGCATCGACACAGCAGCACTACGTTGTTTGCATCTGATGGATTTATGCAAGCCTCGTCGACATTACTCAATGAGCTCAGAGAGTAGCCACATCATACATCACTTCCCCACCAGAGGCCACTCTCCCTTTCCTCTTGTGTGCGGCTCAACTCGTTTTCCCTACACACCGGGTAGGATCCAGTACACAAGGCTCGATCTGCCTCACAAGCCGGGCGATCAACCCCCCAGACTATGTTTCGCCCTTATTCAAGCATACAAAAGCCCAAGGCCTTTTATGTTGTTTTCGTCTTCGTCAAACATTCCCCCCCAAAACAACTGCCATCTCAACCCACACGGATTATTATATTCTAATAATGGCACCGTTTCCGCTCTGTCTTCCTAGGACTCAGCCGTATCTCCAAGAAAGGCAGGATGGAGATTCGACCTATCAGATCACTATGACGATGATAGGCCCGATGACGACCTGCACCACAGTGATCAATCTTGGTGGAGCTACACCCATAGCGACAGAACATCCACCGACAGCATCCCCGCCTCTTGTCACGGACCCCCCTTCAGCGCGCTCCCCATCTCCTCAACTAGTTAACCCCACTGAAGAGAAGAGTGACTCAGGTCTCGTTGCAGGAGCTCTCATCGGCTCCGCCTGCGGATTCTTCATCCTACTTTTTATCCTATATGCATGCTGTACAAGGTCTCGCTCCAGAACCTGGAGCACCACCCGCTCTTCTAGGTATTACGGTAGCTCGCAATCCTCACTGGGTAGTTATGGACGCGGTAGTTCCCGATCAAGTCGACTCCACTTCCGGGGTGGTGGTGGGAGTGATTGGGAAGGCGGGAATCATAGGGTGAGGCGGCCTGAGAAGGCGAGGGTCAGGGGTCAGAGGAGGACGATGAGCGAGAATGATAGTGATGCTGTTAGTAGCAGTAGAAGCCACAGAAGAAGGCGATCAGGAAGGCGAGGGAGTAAAGTGAGTAATGGGAGCGGGCTAGCGGGATGGTATTTCAAATCCATGAGCGGCGCCAGTTCGAGGGGTAACCATGAGTCTGAACGGAGGAGGAATGCTTGGAGGGATGGCAGGGCGAGGATCCAGACACTTGATGATTGAATGTTTTAGACTGGCAGCGAAGGAAAATAATGAAGCAGCGTCACGCTTGGGGATATTATACGTTAAATCTATTTTGCACCCTATTTATTCTCCATCCGGCGTGTGTTGTCACATACATACATGCCACTTACACCAAACATGATTTCCTAGAACTATCAGATAGTAATTCTAGAAGATGATATCTCCCCCAACGAGCAAACGAACGTAGGTTTTAAGCCCCGACGAATTACACATCGACATCGGCTCACCCTTCTATACCTAACAAGCCTCTCTTTCTACTAAACTATTTATTACGAACAGCAGAATTGTGCTTTTCTGAAGTTTTGTGCATTTTCCTTTTGCGAGGCCCGGGCTGAAGCGAGGTGTATTTAGGGGGGAGGTGGAAATCTCGCTTGACAATTAGCGATCATAAGGGGAGGGAGCCTTGCGTCTTTGACGCTCCTTTCTAATATCGCGGTATTTGAGAGTTGGAAATGGATGGAGGAATGGGGCATTGGTATATATTCTCTCGGCTCCTTGTTAAAGGGTGAGTGTTTATGCACGTAGTATATGTAGGAGGAATATGATACAAAAATAAGCACAAGAAAATCCCCACGGGATCAAGGGACAAACTCTTAGAATCCTAACCGAAAAGTCCTAATTCGCCCAATCTCTAGGGCACTATATCACAGTATAAAAACTCATAAAAACAACCTGCGTTCCTCCGGCATTCTAATACTCCCAAACCCTTCCAACGGAAACTCTAAATAACACCCACAATCCAAAAGCTAAGGATAATACTCAGTCATCTCTGTACACCTCATATGCGGAAGGTCCTTCTCGACAGCCTTCCAAAACTCCTCACCCTTGGGGTCATCCATGGCATTCCCGCGCTGCATCTTCTCCTCGTACTCTTCACGGCTCTTCCCAGCGTAGTGATGTAGCGCTATCCTATCCCGCGTAATCGGCGTCCTGTACGCCTCGGAATCGATGGTATCGCCGTGTTCGCCCACAGTTCTGGACCCATCCTTGAGGACCCATAGGTGCGGGTTGGCCGGCCTCACGGCGTGCGAGACTCGCACGATGGATTTGACGTGGCGGTTGAATGAGTTCGCGCCCTGGCCCTTCAGGTCGTCCCATATACAGTCGATGAAGCCCTTCCGTGCGGATTCAGGCCGTGTTAGCAGGCCGGAGGACGTGTGCATACGCCAGTTCACGCCCAAGGACCCGATGCTCTTGTCCTGCTCCAGCTCGGATAGCATATCCGTCAGCGTCTGGTTCCCCGTCATCTGGAGGAATTCGTCGGCGTCTAGGAACGCCATCCATGTATGATTCGCTCCATAGTTTTCGATGCACCGCATGTAGATGTCGAGTTGTTGGGAATGGCTGGTGCCGCGGGTGCTTTCGTCTTGCATCTCGAATGTTATGGTTTCGCGAGGAACACCAAGTTCGGCATCCGGTATTTCTGATAGAGGGGGGTCGGAGGCGTCGTCCATGATGTAGAAGTTGCGGATGCCGAGGTGGTGATAGTGGTGGATGAGGAACTCGGGGAGGTCTTTGCGCTGGTTCTTGACGGCCATGCAAATGGCGACGTAGTTTTCATCCTCAGTTTCCGATGCTATTGCTGGAGTCGAGGGCTGGGTGTCTGGTGGTTGAACTTCTGGCTGGGACGAACTTGAAGTTTCTTCATCTGGCTTCTGATCACCTACCTCTGCTGGCTCCCCTCCAGGGCGTGTACGGTCTGGTATCGCATCGAGCGGGGAATCATAGTCGACACCGAGCACAGGATTCGGCTCATTAATACGATACGGGTCATCAACACGACCGTCATATTCGCCAAGAACCGATGGTGACTTCTGCGTTGCTGGCTGCTCTTGCGGAGCCTCCTCCGGAGGGGTAATAGGGTTCGGAGTCTGGGAACGGGAGTGATCGTCTGTGACGAGGAGATAGAAAACCATAAAACAGACCGTCGCACTCAATATGAGGCGCCAGTTCAGAGACTGGATGCTGGTCGCGATGGACCGCATCATGCCTCCATGCGAATGCGACAGGAAAGAAACATGAGGGAAAACTTATGGAATTTCCTTACCTCTCCCGTACCCATCCATACTCTCTCTCAGACTCTCTGCGGCACGGCTTTGGGCCATCAAGCCTAATTATTATTATGGTGCCTTTCCAGCTCCCCCTTTTCCCAATGAAGGTTCTGTGGGGATTCCGTCATATCGCCAAACCTCTGGCTTGAGACACGCTAACTAGACCGAGTAAGGGTTTCGCTCTAGGATTCGACTCATTAGCGAGCTACTCGCGGCACAGCTTAGCAGCTTAACTAATACGGTTTCCAACTCAACATTCTCAGGTACAGAGTACTCGTCACAACTCTAGCAGGTTAATTAGCACTTCTAATTTTAATAGGCGTATATAGATAGTATCGTGAGTTAATATCTTGGGTACATATACATGGCGGGGACTTGTCAAGTTAGAAATCCAATCGTCGTTGTGTTCGTAGAGCCTAGCTTGAGATGAGCCTGTTAGCATATAGCGGCGGGCATGTGACCACTGAGTTACATGATTGAGAGTCATTTAGGACTGAGTCGCATTTCTACCTGATTTGAGGAACCTGAGATTTACTGCTGCCTGTCATTCAGATGTTCCACATAAGCATCAATATGATAAACTCAACCCAAACTCATGAATTGACATATGTGCCACAAAGCGCGTCGATACCGCTTACCCAACCTATATTGTTAATAGAGTCCGTTCTGAGCTTCGAGGACATTGCCATCGAGAAGCTCGGTATGAAAATGTTCTCCAAAACTCGAAGTGAGTTCGAGGTGTTGAATGGGAAAGCTCAAGCCTTTGAAGGCGTCGGTCGTTTGCTCCGGTATGCCATATCACCTATCCTACGCCGCTTCTCGGAAGACGTACTGGCATTTCTGAACAGGACTCAACCCCTCTCAAACCAGATGAAAGGTCTGCTCAGCATATAACCCGTCTTCCCAATCCCTGATGGCCTCGCCGCTCATAAGGCCATACACATAGCACTCCCCGACAAACCTAAACTGTTCCCCGTCTGGCCTTAGGATGAACGGCGTTGCTCCACCAAAGAGAACACACAAGATGTCGCCCTCCTGCATGCCCTTTGGTCCCAGACCGAGAAAAGATTTGTGCTTTGAGAAAAACATTCTGCGAGTATATGCGGCGTTCAGATGAAGACGGTACAGATTGGCATCTCCTGGATCATCAGCATTCTGCGGCTCGAGAACATGTTGGAGCTCCCTTTTGACTGCATCATGGTCCTCGGAAACCTTAAGTAGTTCATCATAGGCCTGCCAGAGATAAGCCCAGAAGTTAGATAATGGCTCATGCGCCATCATCTCGGTCTCTGTTAGACTCCAGTTTGCGGTCAGCGTAACCATGAACGCTCGAGCGAGATCTGGGCGCCTGTTTCTTGTATGTTCATATGCCGACTTCCATGCGAAGAGAACTTGGGATCCGGATGAGTCAAGGTTGGATCGCGACATTGTCTCACAAGGCGTACCTACGACATCTATCAAGAGTCCCCTCAAGGCAAGGATATCATCTGAAGGTGATACCGGCATATCAACTGGAAGATTGTCCGAGGCATTGTTAGGTTTCTCTCTCATTGAAGGCCAGCCCCTGAGATGGTGGCTCATTACCAAATACGATATCTGTTCCCAATGAGCATCCGCAGTGAAGTCCACAGACCATGATGGTAAAGCTTTCCCCTCTGGGGTGTAGCGGACGAGTGCGAAAATTCTAAGGTTCGCCGAAGACTTGATGATGTATCGAGTCACGTCGCGGAAGACGTCCCTGCAGGGTTTGTCATAGTTTGCTTGAAGTGCCTTTGGTATGTAGGTAGAATCCGATCCCTCTCCTGACAAACCAACGAGTGAGTAGACCTTGTCTCTCGGTTCTGACGCTTGGAATTTCGTCGATCTCATGAGAAGTGTGACCATGTCCCAATGCCCGCCAACGTTCTTGAAGTCGTTGAACAAATTCAAAGATCTGGTCGCAGTCCAAGCCACGATATTATGAGAGAGGGGTGTGATGCTGTAACACATAGATCGCATCCATGAACATGAGCCTAGAAGTTTCTCCCAGTCTAGCTCGTAGGAGCCACAGAGCATCCGGGGATACACGCTTGAAAGCACGGCTTCTTGGATTACCCATGTTCTTACGAACCATGGCCGTGAAAGCAACTCAGCCAGAACTTCCCAGGAACGGTCCCCTGCTGGTGGTAGGTTCGTGGCCTCGAGGTCGCCTAATGTATAAGGTCTGCGTTTCCGGCTGCTATCGACCAGATCTTGATCCTCTATATGAAGTCGCCACATGTCGTCTAGTAAACTAGACGTAGTCTCGATACCCTTGATGTCAGGGCCAAGCCAAATAATTGTCTTTTCAGACTTTCGATAAATCTCCCTCATCATGTTGACTTGCGTCCCCTTTTCTTCATTATTAGTCTGATCGACGCAAATTTGATCGATCCAAATCCATTCGGCACTACCACGACCGAGAGCGGCTAAACGCAATAAAGCGTCTTTCAGTGTCGTCGTGATGAGGACTTCTTTTCCATTGCATTTCAGTGAGTTGCTACGGGTGGGATCACCCCAGCAGTAACTGAGCGCATGGTACTTCGGCAGCCGACCCTTAGGACTGAGCGGAAAATCTTGAAGCTCGCATTCGAGTGTATCCGAAAGGCCCCGGGATATGAATCTGAGTAGGCGTATTGATCTGTGTGGAAGTCTCGAGTAGACGAAGTCTTGCAGGATTGGCTTTTCCGGAGATCCAAGCTGTAAAGCTGGTGCTCCTCCCTCTAGTGCGGGAGTACCTACTTGCACCGCTGGTCGTGCGAAGGAAAGCGGAGCATCCATTTGATTCCGAGACAAAGTGGTTTTGACTGAAATGCGGGAATGAAGAAAACCACGACTATGAAGGGGAGGGAAGGGAATTTATGATACAAGGCTTTGTGGCTGAAATGACAGCACTCGCCAAGCGCTCGGCCCGGCCCCTGACAACCGCTTAGGATCTTAGCTAAGCCCTATAGCATGATACGATCTGGTGTTGTGGTTACATAGAACAAATTAGAAATAGTGTAAGTTAAGTAAACTACTTTTGCCTAATATTACTAGAGTTTTCAGCTTCAAGAACATCACCAAGAGGTAAACAAGACGTGAAGCAAAGAAATAAGTTACAAAACAAATGATGATTAAAACCCGATTAATAAGCCTTTATATAAGTGCTTTAGAAAGGAAATACATTAATTAAAACTGTAACAGTTAACTATAAAGTTAGAGTATTGTAAATAGAATTACAATTATTTGATGTTGAGATATTTGTCATTATTGTAGCTTTGCTACGGGACTTTCGCCTCGCAGGCATGTCGATTAATTGTTGGTATACATCCAAGTTTGCCTACTAGGACAGTTGACGAGATGATGTCTAGAAAAAACGAATATCTCGGGATGTGAATTCCGTCTGTCGTGTTAGGTGCTAACATCACGTGCGAGCAAGACATTCAGTGCTACTTGTGCACGCTAAATAATTGATGTGGGGCGGCATTGGTGAAAGGACCGAGGAGGAGAGGGAGGAGTCGCGCAACTCACGATATTGATGTATCGGGAAAGCTGCTAGTTGAAATGTCGCCTTCGCTACCCAGGTATAGTGCTGTGACATTCGGACAAAGCTCAGACTCCTCTCAAAGGTGGTGGAAAGAATGAATGTGCTAGTGTGGAGTGATATAATATAAATTTGATAAATGTTGAGTCTACATATATGATATGGCAGGAGTAAAATCATGGGATCTTAACAAGACCAACTTCCTTCCTTTCCTTCCCTATTCCGCTGCCATCCAACTTGTTCCGGGTTCCCTAATCAAACCAAATACATAAGAAATATACACACAGTCATCGGTGACATTGGTGTCTACAGTATAACGCCACCCAACCCCCAAGAGACGCTAAATAGCAGAAGTCAAATTGTAACAGAGAAACACGAACTATAGTGTTCCCAAGTAACAACGCTATAGTGTGACGGTCAGACGCCTCAACCTCTCGACCACAACATCCATCTCAGATGTCAGTCTCTCTATCCTCCGCATGGCAGCATCAGCAATACCATCGTCAGCGGGGGCCGCGACGAGTTCGTATTGTGATGGCTTGGCAGTAACGTCGATAGAACTGAAATCGAAGACAAATTCCTTCTCCTCGGGTGCAGGAGCAGCGGCGGTGTTTGATTCGGGAGAGGATATGAACAGAGCAAATGTAGGGTCAGAGTCAAACTCGGTATCTTCGGCCTCGACGGGCTTGGGAGCAGCCTCGACTGGTTCAATTTCGGGTACCCGCTCCACCTTGGGAAGTTCGACCTTCTCATCATCGCTTGGGGGAGCGGTGAATGATGAGTCCTTGCCCGAGAGGATGTCTGAGTCGATCACTGTATCGGGCATGCTGAAGATAGAGAAGACCTGAGGTTGGAATGAGTAGCCTCCATCAGTGTTAAGATCAAGCATAGAGAAGTCCACGTTATGTTCGGGAATCATCGCCATGCCGATTTGCTGTTGCTGGAGTTGTTGCTGCGCAGCGTAAGGGTTGACGTCCTTGCGCACTTGGCGTTGGGGCTGTTGCTGTTGCTCGACACGGGGTTGGGTGACTTGCTGCGCGGTTTGGGCCGCGGCGGGATTTTGGGCGAGGGTGTCAAGGAAGCCGGAGAAGGCAGGAGAGGAGAGGAGCATGCGAGTGAGGTCGGAGAGACGAGTGTTCTCCTCCATCAAAGCACGATTCTCGGAGCGGAGGTCTTGATTCTCGTTGACCTTGACCGCGATCTCGCCTTCAAGTTGGCTGATGTATTCTGTAATGTATTAGCACAGGTAATCTAACCCGATTGAACAATGATGGATGCTTACCCTTCCGTCTTGATCGGAAGGCTCGTGCAGAAACCTTGTTTCGTAGTTGTCTCCGTTCCTTGCTGCTGAGTTTCTTCCCCTCTTCACTCGCCAATAGACGCTCATCTTCGTCCATCTCTTCCTCGTCCTTGCGCATGCGTTGGGCGTGCGACATGTTACCCGAATCTGGGGTGCGGCCTTCGTGGTCATCGGTGGCAACGCTGCTGTGTCTCATCGAATTGAGGAGCTGAGAGATCTTCTCCTCGACGATCGGGTCCGTCGGTGGGTGGGATGCTCGGGGTCGTTGAGACGATTGCCTCGATGATTGTCCGCTTGGGCGTTGTTGTTGTTGCTGGATGAGTTGTTGTTGCTGCTGCTTTTGCTGGGCTTGCGCCTTGGCGAGAGCTTGTTGCTGATGCATGCCAGGCCAGAGACGACCAACGTTGCTGCTCTGAGCTGGGAGAGCGGCATTTTGGAGACCATGGTTTGATGTACCAATGGCACTCGGGTCGATAAACTCAGGCGAGGGGCGGTCGGGATAGAAGAATGCTGGCTCGGTGGCGGGAGAGCCAAAGTCCATATCCATATCTGAGGGGTTGAACGAGCCCGACCCGTCCCGTGTTGGGACGGTGTTGAAGTCGAGGAGATCGTCCCCTGGACTGAGGCCCGAGTTGAGCCCCGAGAAGTAACTATCAGAAAACCCATACTGGCTCTTGATGTGGGAACTGGACGAGTTTACAGCCAAGGTGTTGGCCACGGCTCCCTGCGGAATGCCCGTTTGCTGACGATAGAGGTCATATTGGTGGCTCGGACCGGGAAGCGTCGACTGCGAGGTAGAACTCGAGCTGGACGGCAGCGCAGCCGGCGTGTTGGAGATGGGGGTTGTTGTGAATTGGCTCTGGGTTTTGGAGAATTGGTTCTTGCTGGCCGAGGGCGACATGGACGGCGAGTTGTAGGATAGCTGTTCATACTCGGAGAAGTCGACCAGCGAGTCCATGGGATCCAAACAGCCGCCCTGCGAGTTCTGTTTCGACATAGCGGACGACGATTGCGACGAGGTCGACATGGCGCCTCGAAGGGATAGATGATGCTCGCGATGGAGAGATGGTAGATTCGATGGGAGAATGTTGTTTTGAGCGAGAGTAGCAGTTGAGCGATCGAAGAGTTCAAAACCTTCTTGTCGGTATGAGTTGTGAACGAAGTGTGGAGGTTGGAGGTGTTAGAGGTGGATGTGTCTGAGCAGGAGAGAGAGGAGCCAGAAACCAGGCGCCGGCAGGTCTGGGTGCCTGGGGAATGAAGAGGATTGGGAGAGAGGCCACGCGTCCTGGCAGCGCTTCCTTGTATGGTCGCTGGAGGCTTGTAGCCCGAAGCGAGCGGGATGCGAGATGCGCAGCGGCCGGAGGGACGGAGGCACAGGTACGAGTACGAGGTACTTAATACGGAGTCGGACGGTTGTAAACGCCGCTGAGTCCGAGGGGGACCGCTCGGCGAGCGATAAAGGATAGATACAGTAGTTAACAGGACTCAGGAGATACAGTACTGTACTGTATCTGTATCTATTTGTTGAGTCGTCCCAGATGAAATATCTCGCACTCGAGTTCTACAGAAAGTAATGGTAGCAAAGATGCTCACTCGTCCTGCACAGTACCTGGAGGCATCGGGGGCCGGACAGAATATTGCTGGCTCTGGCTGGTTCTTGGCTGTTGTCTTATGTGCATCTGCACTGCCACCACGGCTACATGATGGCCTACGAGTATCGCACTCATACCACTCTAACCATGTGGTGCCTCGGGCACCGACGGCGCTTCACTGCTCTGGTTCGGCCCCGAGAAAAATGCGCAGAGTTCAGCGTAGCGTAGCGTTGACTAGAGAATGGTGGATCGTGGATGGTGAGCGATGCGTGGTGAGCGTGGTATTATAGGGGATGATGGATTGTTATTGTTACGGAGGACAGGACAGGGACAGGACTGGACAGGACGAAGCATATGCGTCGGTGACCGGGGAATAAGGTACGTACCTCGCCTTACCTCAGCCCTCCTTCTAGCACATTGCCTCTTCTGGCTTCCGAGCCCCGAGCCCCCGACTCCCTGACCATCACCCCAAAATAGAACCAAAATAGACCAACATCTATATCCATTATCCATTATCCACTCTCCATATCTTATCCACATCGACTTTCACATATGTACTGTACAGTAGAGTACGGATATGATACGGGTACATGATGCATCACAACTTGCTCATTCATGATGGCACCCCAATCCACCTCTCCCTCTGTTGACTCGCCCACATAAATCCAGACCATCCTCCCCTATTTCGTAGAACCCAAACAGCTCCACCGCCCTCAAACACGTTTCGTAGGTATGGTCCTACGTCTACAGTACTTCGTACTTCGTCCACCATCACACGTACTGTACTCGTCATAAGAGATACATGCGCCGCCTCGCATTGTCTCAGTCAGCTCTCGCCCCCTTTTCCATCCTCCACCCTTCTCCACCGTAATCCACCTTTCTGCTGCCAGCCCATTGCTTACAGTACATCCTCTACCGTCTTTACACCCGTAAATAATAATGCTGTAGACTCCACTGTCCACGCGGCATGTGGGTACTGGCAAACTCCATCGTCTCTCAACCTATAAGGCTGAATGAACCCCATAACCAATTCCCCAAGCGCCGTTATTGTCTTGGAACGTGAACGAGTCTCGCCTCCGCACAATACAGCAAACACGATGCTGCATTGTTCTCGTTGCCAAGCAACAAACAAGTAATTCCTGAATACTTCAATTATTCGACGTCGGCGAAACAAAGCGATCCACTCTAATAAGCTGACTCGAGCCGGGGTTCAGAGATGCTTTACTTTGCTTATACTTATCGATGTGTACTATAACTTGAATAATCGCTAGGTAGTTCGATAATAAGCATGGTGCTCACCGTGTGGGAAAATAATAATCGCTTAAAAAGGAAATTAATCAACATCGCCACCAGAAAAGTGACACAAAAAGGATTAAAAAAAAGATTTTCAAAAGGTAAAAAAAGATTCGAGATGCCCAAGCACCAAGATTACTCTACGTCCTCCGTAGGACATAATCGTATCTAGGGCCGTATGAAGTATTGCCCGGTCCAATCTGTACTCCTCGGTGGTTAATGCTCAGCTGCGATTATACAGAGTAAGCATCCTCCCGGGGACGCGGGGGGGTCATAAACTACTATTAGAAGGTGGTGTTTGAGAATTCCTCCGTTTTTAGTGTTCGAGCTGGTCTCTCGTTTGAACTAGGTAGTACAAGTGTAAAACATCATTTCTTCAACTTTAAAGTGCCTCCATTGGGTATCCACACTCTACAGCTAGGGGTTTCTAAATTGATATTCACGTTTACTACATCCCAACATTGCCTCTCTTCCCACCCCTCTTACTCCTTTCAATGTGCCCCTGAAGCACCCGTTTTGTCTGCGTCAAACTCCTCTTTTGCTTATACTTCGCCTTCCCTAACGTCATCAAGAAATTCTTCTTGCGCGCCTTCTCCTTATTCGTCGTACTCTTCCCCTCCGCATCCTTCTTCGCCCTCCTCAAAGACTGCGTACTCTTATGTTCACTCCTGTCACCCTTGCCTTCCCTGGCTAAAGCTACCATTTCCTCTTTGGTGCTCTTGCGGAACTTGGAGAGTCCCTCGATTTGCTCCGCTGTTAGCCCATCGTCCGTATGGCGCGCTGCGAGCTCTTTCTGGCGTGCTGATTTAGACTTGGGGCCCATGGCCTTGTTGAGGTCGGCTTGGAGTCGTAATTCTTGAAGCTTGGCGAGGTCGGCGGGGGTGAGGATCTTGGTGGTTGCTAGGTTGGAGATTTTCTGCTCAAGGTTCTTATTTGCATTTTCCTTCTCGTCGCCGTCCTCGGCTGGGATCTCGAACTTAACCTTCTTAGGAGCAGGCTTTTCGTCATCGCTGTCACTGATATTGATATCATCGTCGCTTTCAACATTGATCCAGCCGCCAGAATCGCTAGATGCGTCGGATTCAGCGTCCCACTTCGCCCATCCTGCTTCTTCATCCTCTTCATCATCCCCTTCCTCATCAGAGCCCGCGTCTGACGGTAAGCCTCTCTCAGCACGTTTCCGTTTCCGCTCTTCGGCTTTCCATTCCTCAAGTAATTCTAACCCTTCAATACCCCCCGCATCCTCCTCACCGAATCGCCGTTCTTTGATACTTCCACTCTTGAGGCCCATCGATGCGGTCTTTCCTCTGTCACGCTTTTTCAAGAGATCGGCTCCCACCTCACGGTACAGGGATAAGAGACCCTTTGCCGCCATGACGGTGCCCTTGTCTTTGCTCTTACGGTACATTACTAGGTCCTGTAGTAACGTGTCGCTCATCGCTAAGGGCTGTCGCACGCAAATCTCGCGGATTGCATTGAGACCAGCGGATGCCACTTCTGATGCGGACGCTTCGGAGACGAACTCATTGGCGATTTTTTGAACCAGGGGTTCGAGGGCATCGGGCGGGACAAGATTGTGCGTGGCTTGGGCGAGTGAAGCAAGGAAGGAGGTTACTGATGGCTGTCGTGGTGTAAGGTATTTGATGAAGTAGGAGTAGAGCGATATGACTGTCAACTTATGCAAACCGACTAGTCGGGATACGAGTTGTAACACGAGAAGTTTCTGCTCTAAATTGAGCTTCGATTTGCCGTTTTGCAAATGTTTTTGAAATAGCGTCTCGGCAAATCCCTGGGGATCGTGTAATAAGTGTAAAGCGGAGAAATTCAGCTGATGTGGTTGATTCTTCTTCTTCTCGTTCTTGCGCACTTTCTTCACAGCATCATCGAGTGACTTCTTCTTCTTCCGGCTCTTCTTGTTGATTAACCCTTGATGCTTTAATTTGCCAATGTCAATTTCCTCGTCGCTGCTGTCGTCTTCGAGAGTCTCTTCCCGCTCTTTATCGCCTCCCAGGAAAAATCGCACGCCCCCACCGATGACTTTCTCGTTATCTGCCAGACTTGCTTCTTTCATGATCTCAACTGCTTTAGCATCCGTCCATATTTGCCGTTTCCATAATTCGCGCGTAATCTTCACGGCCCATATTCCCTTCTGCGATGTGCGATCCGAGGTTAAGAGGTTGAAGAGCGCATTTTGCATTGTTCGGTTCATGCGGTGGTTTGTATGCTTCGAGTTGGACGCCCTTAGATCCGACAATATCTTCTGAAACAAAAGCGTGCGTAACGTTTTACTCGGCGTAGACACGAGTATAGGAAACAAGGTATCCAGCAGGCTTGACGAGTCGATGATTTCTTTTTTGCGTAATAAACACAAACTCCCGACAATCTTCTCACGCAGTTCACTCTCCAACTCTGCATGATGCCTTGTGATAATAGTCTTTAAGTCTTCTGGAAACTCGGCTGTATCTTCCGGGAAGCAATCCGAGACGTGGGCGACGAAATCTATGAGGTCGCGGAAGGAGATGATACCAGTTGATGTCGCGGTGCTGGGCGACACCATGAATATGTCGCGCTGTGATTGATACTGCCCATATTGATTCAAGAAGTCTTCGGTATATGATCTGGAAGATAAATAAGTATATATTCCACTTGGATGGGTATTTTGGAAGCTTACTTTGGATCTCGCCGGATTTTGTATTGGAGATTGGGCCTAAAAATGTCAGTGTTATGGGGATTAATGATTATTTCAGAGCTACACACAGATCGGCATCAACCTTCTCCAGTGCGCCAACTCGTTTTTTGACCATTGTGAGGTTTTATGGGGTATAAATCGTGGGATGAGTTTCTTCGTACCATTGGCGTTCGTCACTGGGAGAATATTTAGAAAATTGCTATCGATTATCTTAGCGTCGATCGCCCCTGCTAGCGTTAAAATATGTATCACGTGTAAACGATCTCCCCCCTTATTCCAAAGTGGGGGCCCCAAGAACATAGGAGGGAATATTTGCTTATGCCATATTTCGATTTTACGTATCTCACAGATCTCAAGCATTGGAAAATGGGAGCGTAAGCAGCAAACTTATATTGTATAATTTGTATTGTCCTCATTTTGGACCTTGCAACCGCACCGGGAGCATGCATAACGTCCAATAACCTGCGCAGCCCGTGAAATAGAAACTAGAATGCTTTGCCCCTAAATTCAGAATAAACCACCCCCACATCCCTGTATGTATTCGTTTGTGAGCACTGAAGCTCATCATGACACGCCAGGCTACTATTTGAAGCAGACGGCGACTCGCCGACTAGACAACTGTATAGCAGCGGCATTTGATGATTCAGTCGATCAACCCTTCCCCCTTCAAGGCCTCGTGCCATGTAGTGTATGAGAGCAATCTATATGTCTTAGCGATGTACACTTGCCGTTTTAAACTTGATTTTACGTACCCATTCCCATTCAATACTGCCTTCCAGTGCTCAGCCTCCTCCCGCGACTCACGAAAAGCCTCCAAACAGAACTCGCATGCGACATATTTGAGCACCTCCGATCCCTTGTCGGTGGGATAGGGGTACAATCCGCACTTCTTGTTGGATTTATTTGCCAAGTGGCAAGTGGAATGGCAGGACCAGTATCGGCATCCGCACATGACATAGAATGTTTGGATGTATTGACACATGCTGGTGACAAGTCGAATAGCCAAATAGGTTTGAGCTGCCTTAGAGATTTCCGGTATTAGATACAGCATGAACTTGTGGTGATTGATAAAGGTTTGTTGTCAAGAAAATATTCGTGATATCTAAGTGTGAGGTTTTGCTGGTAACTGTTCACATCCACCTTCCGCGTTGTTGCGGCAGGACGAGGATAGATCTAACGATCCAGTTACTGTGGAAATTTCACTACCAATCTAGCAGCCTGTAAGTCTGAACCACAGGAATGCCGGAAGCTTATATTTGATGGCATCTGTTGATTCTGCTCAAACCCAGTCTAGTCTCGAGGCACACGCGATAATGAGTGTGAGTTCGTCTTGGTGGGTCGATGTACTTTTTGGTAGGACTGAGGATGGGAGATTAGTACACTAGAATAGAGGGTACCGTGGTTGGTTAAGCTATTTGAGATGACTATAATAAGTACTGTATTTAAGGTGGTCTTAAATATAGTTTGAAGTGACTATTCAGCTCTTTTGAAGTCCGGACCCAGCCACTTCACTTCTTTGCCAAACTTGATTATCCCAGCTATGCATTATTTCCCCTGTGTTTGTGATTGTTTCAAGCAACTTGGTAGCACACCTATGGTATATTGTGTTGAATGTAATCCCTTCTTAACTTCAACCCTTTACCGCCGGTATTCAAGACATAATTCTTTGCAAAGCCATCTAGGCCTCACCAAATTATGCCGCGAGTGCCATCATCCAATTTCCATAGAAACTACTGACTTATTAATTGCAGGACTCCTCAAGAAATTCGCCGTCTTACTAGAATACGCCACTTTTATGCTTCCAAACTTCAACTCTTCCGTGCTTTCTTATTTTTAACATTCACCTCCTTTGCAGCCTTTCTCTTTTGCCCCTTCGATATTGCCTGTTGCTTCTCCCAGTTCTTAAGCCTCAAGCGACGCATTTTACTCGCATGCTTCCGCTCAGCAACCTCCTCGAAATGAAAGGCGCACTTAGTCTCTTCTTCGCATTGGCCTTGTAGTTGATTTGCGAAGAATGGACAATCATATCGAACACGCCTGGCCTCGTGGCAGTGATGGACGACACGGTGGGAGGTGCAGCCGCAAGATTGGTGGTTGACTTGCATGTACTTGCACATGTTATCAGCTTTTGCAAGGGCACTTGTTTTAGAAACTCCTGATTCTTAAAGGTGAGAATTGGACGTTGCTTGGTATCTGTAGGCGGTGAGTCTTTGACCCATCAGGGATAACGATTAAACTCACCGTACCTGAGAGCCTAGGTAAAAGCGAATTTGAGCTGACTGTTTTGTTGCGTGGGCAGAAAATTAGAGATCTAAGAAGCCTCGAGTTCCCCCCTTTCAGCATATTTTCGAAATCTTCTAAGCGAGACAAGGCGAGGGATACCAGTAATCAATCATAGTACGAAGTGCAATAGCATCTCCCACAATTTTTCAAACCCTAAGCTCTGCTGTCACTTTTGGTAATATCACAGTTCGAAGCTCATTTTCATACTAGCAGCTACAAAGAGAAGGAACCCATCTCCATAGCAACGGCCCTTGACTTCGTTAGAATTAAAGATGCCTAATTACGAATGTGGAAACTTTACTAATTGAGCCCTGCGGGTGTCTAGCCAATTGCAAACACATGAGGTTAAAGAGGGCATAATGGGGACTTGGGAGGGCTTGGAGATTGGAGAGTATAATTTGCAGCGTATTCAACCACTCAAAACGCTCTAGGCAATAAGCTGTAATACTGCGTCTAATATCATTTCAGTTTTAGTCGATCGCGCTTGTTGACTTTACCAATAATTGCTTGCAGGACTGCCTTAGATATGCCTTATGCCTTTGAATCTGAAAACACCTAAATTCCATTTTGGGACTAGGATTACAGTTATAAGTGTTATGTCCTATCCATCATAGTATTTTAGTAGCTTTATGGAGCGCGAAATGAAGGAAATCATACCCAGGAGCATGGTCCTCAATGTTGGTCATCGCAAGGGCTGTACCACTAGTCTGACTACATCTACGTCAAAACTGCACCCAAAGACTATAGGTAGGTAAGATTCGCAGGTGCCTTATTCGTCCTGGATAGGCGTAGTATTAAACTGAAATTATAATAGAATAAAGTTCCTACAGGTCTTTCCACTTTGCATGCGACCCTACGGCCGATGTTAGGTAGACTTTCCCGAATTGGATATGCGGTAACAGAGCTCTCCAGCCCGAACGAGACCTCAGCTTTTCTCAAAAACAAAAAATACACTTCTCTGATTTCTGCCCCATTTCTGCTTTGTAGATACGGAAATCGGCACTCGAGTGACCTCGCCAACTATGGCAAATACGACGAACCAAACCTTCCTCTCCATCAACGAATCCATAACAAGCGACAAATGGGTTCCTGGCCTATACCCACTCGACAAAGGCACTGATGGACAAGGTAAGATAACTTGATTATTCTTGGAATAATACGGGAAACCAGCAGCATTCCGAACATTTGGCTGCGTCCGCCGGGTATAATACAAACATATCTCTTGAAGCACAGAACGACGAGTCTGCACCTAAGGGCGTTACCGGTAACGGACAGAGCTTGGTGGAGTTGGAGAACACTAATTACCCAGACTTTGATAGAGATCGTGAGAATCAAGAGGGAGATTTCGAAGATGGGTGTGATGTTTTCGAGGGGTTTGACAATGAAACTGCAGCATGGAAGGCTGTTTTTTGTGAGGTCTAAAATGAGAATAGCCGTTGAGGCGATATCAGTGTATTCTCTCGTGGTTTATCATTCATAACACATTCCCTAAAATAACTACTATCCTCAAACTTCCACCTCCTCACCCCACTTATGCCAAATAATGGGGTTTGGGGCCAGCTCGTCCATTCCACTAAAGGGATATCAAAACCCAACCTCAAACTTGCGTATACCCATGTCCCCTCCAAGATCATGCGTGACAAGAAGCTACCTAAGAGCATATTCATGTATAGAGAATTGTCCAATGGCTGCTGCATGCAAGTAGGAGTCCTTATTATGGTAGTGGGTGGGAAAACGGACGTCTCCCAATTTGATGAACACATAGATAGGCAGATGAGAAAAGAGGAGGCTCCAGAACTTGCCCACATATCCCCAACTGTTTCTAACATACGCGTAATGAGAATGTGAGTAAATGATAAAAGGGCTTCAAATATATATTATTTGGGCACACACGTTGGCTCTCGTTATTTGATAGCACCAGCACGTACTGGACTGCAGAAAGAGTGTATGGGTGGCAGATCGATCCTGTTACTACCGTGAGTGATACCAGGGCGTCGATCCCATAAGAAAGTAACAAAGACCATAGCTTTGTGGTACTTGATACATGAGGTATATTATCTGTGAACTTTGCAACTTGTACGCAGTAGACGACTCAAAAATAAATCAGATTAATGAATTGACTCGGACCGATTCTGCGTCGCCGTTCATCTCGGCCCGACTCCGAACCGCGGTCAACCTAGATATATAACTATATTATATGCGATTCCCCGATGGACCTATTGTTGTGTGAAGTTGTGAAGTTGTGAATCGGATATATCTCATATGGCGGCACTTGATATGTGGCCGAGTAAGGTACCGTATCCGATTCGAAACCAAACCGTAGCACTACCTCAAAACGGACAAACTATAACTGAAGAAGCCGCCGAGGGGGTTATTCTCAGCTAGCCATGGCTACTCCGCCAGTTTGATAGATTGCGGACGGAGGGATACACGCCCCAGATCTAGGGATCTTGAATAATATCACTAGCAGGGAGATGTTGTCTCGCAATAACTTGGCGTGGGGGAACTACAAACTTACTGACAAAAAAGGTAATAGCTCATGACAGCAGCGACAAGCCCAGCTGGGGAAACACTTGAAAAGAGCAAAACTGGAAGCCTTAGCGAATGGGATTAGGCTACAAGAATTGTGGGTGGCTTTGAGGAGGACAAGGATTTCTAGGCTGAAAGCCAAGGGGATAAGGAGACGATCGTGATCTCAACTTAGGGCTTTGGATTCCAGTCGATCACCAAATACATAGTAGGTGGGATTCTGGACGAAAGGGTGGCTGGCTGATAGCAATATTTTCTTTTGTGTTGGTGGTCTTGTTGCTAACTACCTAGATTACCTAGGTACCTTACCACTAATTAGGTACCAAGTTGTAAACCGGCAGAATGTTGAAGGCGGTGGGTGAGAGTGCTCTGCCTGGAAGGAGCTCTGAAATCCAGGCACCTCTTCGAGCTCGTGTAACCAACACACAGCACCAGAGATACTCTTGAGTGGCATACTCTGTACGAGAGATGACCATACCTCGGCAACCTGTGAGCACGAATGGCAAAGCCGAGGGAGCATATACCTAAGGCCATCGCGACTTGCAGGTCGCAGATTGCAGAGCGGCAGTGCAAATAATCGCGTCTCTCGCGCCCGAGAACCGAGTTTTCAGCCGCAAGGGCACTCACTCACTGTCATTCTTCTACTGTAGGCAGCGGGTAAAGAGGGATGTGCTCTCTCCTTGTCTGCCCTGGTCCTTGGGCTTTAGCCTCCGTCGCCGAAGAAAGTTCCGCAATGCTTGCCAGTCCGCTGCTACGTACCATGATTGCCTGTGCCTCCGTACATGCTGCGACGGGATCCAGGAAGGATCTGCCGGATGTTTGAAGTTCCACCATGCAACGGTGGAGCTGTGCCATGGAGCGTAGCACGGTGAGGTACTTGGTGTGCTTGTGTGGCCAAGTACTACTGACGCTGCTGGAGGCTTTCCGGTGTCCCCTTGAGCGCATCAATCGGCTCGGGCGTTATCTGGAAGCACGAAAGTACCTGGCGCGTCGTCATCTAGAAGGTCAGAGCAACACCGCTGATAGGGCGCCTTTGTCCTCTAGCTTCGATCCCTTTGCCCTCGATCCATGGAAGGGTACTTCGTACTACCCCGTAGACACCCGAGGCGACTAATAGCAAATCTTCGGATACCTCCCTAGGTAGGCTTGGGCTCGAGAAGCGCTGGAGCCCTTGGTAAGAATTCTTGCAGGCGGAAACACCGCGGACGACGTGCCGAATCACTGCCTGGATCATTACTCCGTAGAGCTTTGAATGATTTTCGGGCCATCCGCGATGGCGGGTTTGATCGGCGCTCGAGGCGGCGGTGGGCGAATTGAATAAGGTCCGATCCGTTTCCATATGTCCCGAGCAGATCCAACACTGCAAGACATCAAAAGCAAGCAATCGGTGTCAAAATTGGCGATGCAGGATTATGACTGTTTGCTACCGACAATGGTCTCTCAGCATGGGCATTCCCTGTCAAGTCCCTGCCTGACAGTTGGCTTCTAATGAACACTGCCTCCGTGCTTTGTACAGCTCTTAAGTGTGGTTGACAGACATGGTTCTCTAGAGAGTCTTCTAAAAGGGAGTGCTTGCATTTTAAATGCATACACATCTTGGGATTCGCCGAACCAACACCTATGACTTAATCATGTTCAGATACCGGAATAGTGTTCCACTCCTGTGCCAAGTACCACATGGCAAAAGTTGCGAGCGCTGGAAGTTGCAAGTCGTCCAGAACAGTAGGGATTCCCACCAATGCCCTAAGATTGCGCCGGTGCTAGAAGACCGGTTGCCTCCTGATCGTTCGTCCGGTTTGTCGGAAATATGGAGCTGAGTACTCGCACTGAGATGGATTGAACCAGGATGCTAAGATAGATGTCGTAACCTTTTGAAATATCAGCAAGTTGTCATCGCGTCTATTCAGGGAAATTCTAGAACGACCATACTAAATGGCGCTAATGATATCGAATCGAACGTTCTGCGTTCCATGTTCCATGTTCTCCAAGCAATACGAAGTATCGGATCCGAGCTTACCTAGGTAGGTATATAAACGGCGTGATTGTTTCGCTTGGATCCATAAATTATTGACACAGAAAACATTGTGGCTGCGGAAGGTTCTGTGATGTACTAGTACGTAGCAGTAGTACTAATGTCTCGAAACTCGCAGACCATGAGCGTTGGGTCAGTGTCTCTCACAGCACTGCACTCCGATGCCCGGCCCTTATCGCAATTCGAATTATAGTTTCTTTTATATGCATAAGATGCGCGGTTATCTCTACGAAATCGGTTCACGTGGGCCAAGTTTTGTGTTTCCACATTGAGAATTGAGAACCCATCGGAGGAAACCAGAATGATAGTCTCTTTTGCGCACCCACCCGGGGAAGCATGAAACAACGATGCAGATATTTTCTGGAACCCTTCTGGCACTATTATGCGTTGGATGCCGGAGGCTGCTAGTACTAAGCGGTACGCGACCATCCGAGACTGACACGGTATACGGAGAATGTATAGCATGCTTTCTATAATATGAAGAAAGTGGACATTCAAAAAGACCTTGTAGCGGCAGCAGACATAACATGAGAGAAAGGCAAGCAAGCCAATCCAAAACCGCTAGCTAGCGGGTTAGTTGCATGGCATACATACGAGTTGCTCACAAGCCAATGCAGCCTGCCGACCAAGCAGGAGAGGCGAAGCGCTCTTCGCTCTCCTCGCGCCAGAATAATAAGCCCAAGGACAAGAAGACGAGAGGACGAGTGAGCACCAGGGAGCAAGTGTGATCTCGTGCGCCTCGCAGATGTGCGAAATAATATATACTGTTGCATGCGGCAAAAGCGGAGTTTTGCCAGTGAGTTGAGCCTGCGGAACAATAGAAGCTTGTCCTTCCTGTCTATCGCTAGTTGCACCAGACTCCATCAAGTCCCAAGTCCCAAGGGCATTGCGGCAACCCCTTTTCTGCGACTGCCGCCTTCCGTCAGCACATGGGGCTGCGGATCCTCTGCTCATGATGAATGATTATTTACACCTGCAGATCAGGGAAGCGCGGAGGGTTGCCAGCAGGGCCGTGGCCGGGGGAGGGCGAGTCTCGAGAGGCCCAGATGGCAGAGGCCCAGCACCAAGGATTCAAGGATTCGAGGAAGCTACCTGGGCCCTCCCTAGGTAAGGAACATTCCGAAGTAGCAGGGCGAGGGTAGCTAATAAGTAATACAGTAACGACCGTAACTACTTCAGCACCAAGCAAGCATTTTGGGCGCCACCAAGATCCAGGCTGCAGATTATCCAGGGCACTACTGCATCACGAATCGGACCCAGGAGCATCGCCTAACGGTGGTAGCGCCGAATGAGGGCAGGAGTCCTACTTGGAGCCCCCTACGAGAAGTCCTTGGGTATCGTACTAGGTGCGTGGTATTCTATGCGTACCTAGGTCCTCGGAGCAAGTGGCACGGGAGAAGGCTCTTGTCAGCCGTGCTAGCTGTGCGCTGTCGCATCACAAGTCCATTCTTTTGAACAGTAATCTTCATGTCATCCACCTCCGTAGGTTTTACGCCCGTACACGCACGATCAGCGTGTCAAGGGGCCTCCCCACGGATCATATGGTGACTTACATACTGGTCTGCTCGGAACCTACCCCGGCCTTCTGTCAATTCCGTTTAGGCCTGCAGCCAAGCTGTTTGCTCTCGAAAACAAGAAAAAAAAATTGCCGGGCTGGTGGCAGTACACGAGCCCAACTTATTTTGATTAAATTACTTTCCAACAAACTGCTACTTTGCTTATTACGAAGTATACTTTATTAGTCCAATCCTTCGGCCGGCTGCCCGAGTCCACTCGCAAGCATCACCAACGCCCCACTGACGGGCAGCCACAAGCCACAAGCCACGCTGGCAGCTATGGCGGGAGCCTCTGGCCGCCCTCCACGTACGAAGGACTTTGTTCCGAGCTGCTATGCGCCCTGATGGCTTCAGGCGTGGTTGCGGTGCCTGAACCGGTGTGCTTTTACAGCCTGGAGCCCATCGTCATTGCCAGCCTCAGTCGAACCCCAACAGCCCGGCCTGGTGGGATATGGACCGGGATGCTTCGAATCGCCCGGCACTGCACAGGGGAAAGAAGCAAAAGGTAAAACGCAGCTAGACTTGCGTATCATGATTCATCAAACAGCAGTGCACGCCAGTTAGCCTTCCTCTTGCAAGGAGCATTCAAGAGTGTGGCTTGCAACTTGCAAGAGCAGGAGTCTTGGATGACCATATTAATGCAAAAGTCGGCTCAATATGGCGGCACCAGGAAAACCCAAGCCTACGGACTATATCATCTGCTCCATGCTCCTCCGAGTCCCTGTCAATAGCAGTCGAGAAACTCTCTGGTCAGGATCCTGCCAACACGCAACGCCCTCCACAACAGCCTTGCATACATTATCATGCATCGCTGGGCCGTCCGGTTGTGCTGATCTTGGACACAACATGCTATCGAGACATCCTCCGAGATCCTTGGTGACACGGCGTTCATCTCGACCTTGTGCTGTCAAGATATTTTACTAGGAGGGCAAGGATTGCAGCGGCCACCCCCTATCCCCCTATCCCCTTCAGTCCCGGCATTCGCGCCTCTGCACGCCGGGGGTTTGGGTGGTATTGCCTATTTAGGTCTCATTCGTGTGACGCGAAGTTTCCGTCAATACTGGGCCTAAAAGGTGTAGCATTTGCCCGAATATATATCCCCCACTACCGTCCCGCAGTGGGTTGACCACAGGAGACTTCATTATACACGTCTTGCTGCATATTCTGACGTACAGACGAGACGTACCATCGGAATACGAGAACGACACATACGCCACCTTACGGTATCGTCACCTATCGCTGTTACAAGGGCGATTTTCAGTCGAAAGATACCATCTACCTAGTTGCGGGAGCTTCCCTACCCTATCAACGGGCCGAACCTCGACAAGAGTGTACCGGAATCGGGCTGGATTGTGGACGTACAGATGCAGAGTCACGTTACAGGGACTTTGACTTTGCTTTACGCCTTAACCCGAGGCTGCTGCCGTTGGATTCAGAAGCTAGTGGGCGTCTTTGGTGACACCGTGAAACATATTCCCCGGTACGTTATTTTTTTTAATTTACTTGAATGATCGCCCCTGGCCTGGAGAGTGTGGAGAGTGTGGGCGAGAGGCGGCTCAGTACCGAGTTGCCTGCCCACCATCAGCAATGCACATCATGTCCCGGTGGTCGACAAAAGTGCTTGCCGACCCGACGGCCATGGGCAGCGAGATCTACATGGGCGCTTCGAACCTGTGAGGGGCCTGTTGCATCAGACCCTCTTGGCTGCTTCGGAGAAATCTCAATGCTCGTCCTGGCTCCGGCAGCAGGCCTGGACGAAGCCTCCCTTTGTCCTTCGCCGTTGCCCTCGCCCTCGTCCTCTGGCGCATGATGCTCCCTTGCCAATGGCGGCGGGTATCATGAACAACAGCGCTACATTGCGGCGCAGACATGGGTTTTCGGGTAGCCGTACAGGAGTTGCGAGACTGCTGCTTCAAAATGCTTGTACGCCCATTTCTGGCATTTAGAATACTCCAGATCTCCCAATCAGCCTTAAAGCGGAGGGCCAGTGCTCGTGCATCCGTCATATACCCCCTCCTGAAACAACCCGCACCTATGAGAAGTCTGTCTTCACATAGATTCATTCGTACAAGTGTCGGCATTTTCCCTTCCAACATATATTGTACATTTACCGCACCAATGCTATTTCATCACACTTCCTCTTATATTGCTCAACCAACGACAATCAACCTCTACGGACCTAGCTGATCATTGCCCTACCGCAGATCCCAAAAAAACATTTACCGTCCGGATCACCTGCCGACATCTGGAGTCTTTGCCTGTTGCCATAGAGTGGGGTAGAACCCTCTCCCGAACACACTGCAGACCTGCATCGGAACTTAGCAGCCCTGAGTCCCTGAGGTTGCACAAATCTGTGGCCCCACCAGCGTCTCGCTGATCTACCAAATTCCAGGGAAAAGATAGAATAAACCACTTTACAGGAGCAATTCTATCCTCTAACATAATTTGCTGGTTGCCATCTGCAAGACGGCCTTTTAATTATTGCCTTGGCTGCGTTTGTGGAGAGAGCTAGGCCCCATCTCGAAGCTGTAAGCAGAGCAACGGATTTTGTGCAATGCGGCTGCGGATCTAGACGTCTGCCTTTCGACCACCTCGTGCCGTCCTCTACCTCAGACCATCTGATCTGCCATTAATCCATTTGGATAAAACTAGCGATCCAGGCCCTTAACATGGCGGGGTCAGCACATAATACCTACTCAAGGTCACCTATACCTTCCACGGCATCTTATGATTCTTCCTCGGTATCCTCCGCTGCGTCGCCTGGGATGCAAGGAGTATATGAAGGTGGGTTGATGGGCGCCTCACCTAGGGCGATGAGCGGACAGCATCCTCAGCACATCAATCTTCCCTTGGGCTACAATTCATTCCAAAATCCATACGGGTCAGCAGCCACATCACCAGGACCTCCTGGAATGGAATCAATGGCTGCCTCCACTGGATCTTCAAGTGGCACCCCAGGCGCCTCGGGAGCTCAGATGTCTTCTGCAAATATGCAAGCACAGAAAAGGGCCTACCGACAGAGGAGGAAAGATCCCAGCTGCGACGCTTGTAGAGAGAGGAAAGTCAAATGCGACGCAACCGAAACAACTAGCTGCTCAGAATGTTCAAGTCGCAATGTCAAATGTCAGTTTACCAAGGAGACCAACCGGCGGATGTCGTCCATCAAGCAGGTCCAAGATCTGGAGAAGCAGATTACACTAGTCAAGAGGGAAAATGTTCAACTACGATCAATGCTGAACATAAGGGATTCGGAAATAGGTGACGGCGATGTACCTCAACAAGCCTCATTAACACTGCCAGAAATTGGCTCTCACCCGAAAAGAAGGCAACCACCTCCACCACCCCACGATCTCTCTTCTGTGCGGACAAATATTCGAAACTTTGGTCGAGGAATTTTCAAGCCTCCTGCACCTTATCGCCAGATTGGATCACAAGGAAATTTCAATCCTCCTCGCCCAGAATTGCCGCCAAAGTACGTGGCAGATCATCTTCTTAATTCCTACTACGCATCCATGCACATGATAATACCTATTCTGCATTGGCCTACTTTTCAGCAAGAGTACGAAGCTGTTTATAAGTCCGGGAGTCTTCGTGGTGTCCCACCAGTATGGAGTTCGCTGCTTTTCGCCGTCTTAGCTGTAGGGGTACTCTTCAGTTCGGAACCAAGCATACACCGCCCGCAACAAGGGAAAGAGTTTATCGAGGTTTCACGGACACTGATAGATATGTGGAATGACGAGTTTGTTATTGATCATGCACGAGCTGCGATCTTGACCAGTATCTTCCTCACTGAGTCAAATCTCAAATCAGCCGCTTGGACATGGCTTGCTTCTGCGGTCCGGATCTCCCAAGACATCGGCCTCCATTCTGAGACGGGCCCTTGGCCTGTTATTGAAGGCGAAATGCGACGGAGGGTCTGGTGGGGAATATATGTCTGGGATCGATACATGTCCTTGGAATTGGGGCGCCCTCTGCTAATTGAAGATACCGACTGCGACGTTGGTTTGCCAGCAGCAGTCGACGACCGTTATATCCATGATGCCGGCATGATGGCTCCCAATGGCGCCCCTCCCGCATACAACTTTATTATACCCATCATTCACGTTGTGCGTGCTGTATCGGAACTTATCAAAACGCTGAAATCACCAATTATCTCTACCTCGACCCTTGCCACGTTCGACACGCACTTCAGCTCTTGTATGTCTGCTTTCCCCGTCGCTTGCCAATTGACCGCGAATGAGCCTCTTGACCCCCGAATGCTTGCACCAATTTGCCATCTGATGAACGCACGGTTGGTTCTCCATCGACACAACCTGACGACATCCTGCCCTCCAGAAGTCCGAGCGAACGCGATTGACCAATGCATACGCGGAGCATTAGACTCGACAAACTTATTTGCTCGTGCGATGACCCCAGCCCCGAATCAAGTCTTTCCTCCATTTGGCCCCACTGCGAATGCAATGACCTGTACTCACATCTGGCGGTGCACCCTCTTCTTACTATTTGGAGGCCATTTCGATGCTGCCCTCACCTGCATCCGTGCCTCGAGCAATATCTCGACACTCCGAGACGTCAACGTTGCTTGTGGCCGAAATATAGCATTTTTTCTTAGCATCCTAATCGACAAACGGCACGGAGGTGGAAATAAAGGATATCCTATTGGAAGAGAAATGGACGAGGAGCTAATAGCATATGTATCTGGCGATCTCCAAGCCAGCCCCGAGAATAGTTGGGTATGGACCGGAAGCGAAACGGGCATGAATATCGCGGCGAATTCTGGCTCCAAGGTGGGACCGAGTCCTACGCTCATGGGTACTGGAAGGGAAGATGGCAATACTGTATTAACAGACGCCGAGGCGAGGGACTGGGGTGGGTGGGAGAGAGTTGAGCAATTGGTTGGAGTTTTGGCTCGTGGTCAAGGTGGTTATGGTCAGTGGTTACCGTCACGTTATGGGTCGAATTCGGGAAATGTTCCTGTGAATCAGCGGAAAGGGAATGAGCGAATGAGCATTACGAATATCATTTGAGACGGCCTAACACTCATGGATACTTGGAGATCAATAATGACATGGGGGAAATGGGGAAAAAGAGGATGGAGTTTGTACATATTGGTATAATGGGGGTTTGAAATGGTCACTAATAGGGGTTGGCGGGGGTGGTCTGTTGGCTGGGTTACGATATCATGTTTGGCGTCCGCAGAAAAGGTATAGATAGAGCAAAAGGGGTCGGGTGAGGGTAATGGGAATAATGGCTGGCTCCGTAATATAACCGTTATGTACAGATAAACAAGATACGAATGGAAGAGGCTATACCACTTTCGATCTTCTTTTTTTCTTCGCGTATATGCTGCACTGGAGTCTGATGCCATGTGAAGTCTACTAGATAGGCAGGTTCCATTTTTATCTCTAGCTTCTCCTTCCTAAATACATACCTATTTTATAAGACTGGTTCGAATTACCAGGCATACTATTCGAGAGTTTCCATGTAAGCTGTGTATCACACATCGAACGCCCCAATCACAAATCACCCTAGCCTGGTTCCAACTTATCGCCACACCTGCGGTTCTATTGGCCTGGCGGCATGAATGCCTCGAAGGACACAAGCTTCCATGAGTCTACCGCACCAGCCCGATGGAACGTTAATCCCAGATCTGGGAGCCAACGCCCGCCTCCTCCCAAAAGGACAGTTGGCTGTGACGGACCCTTCGCGCGGGTCCGGGCCGTGGCATCTTCCATTTCAGCTGTATGATTCCCAATGTGGCGCTCTGGAGACATTGATTTGAGAGGCTCACTAGATTTCGGATGTTGCGGTCGAGGTTTGCTTTTTCTAAGTCTTCCCTACCGGGTATTCGTGTTACCCTACCTTCTACGTCGTCCTCCGTATTGGTTCAAATCGACTCATTATACCCCAAAGCATGGCTTTTCACTCCAACCAACTTTCTAGCCCTTTGAACTCCTATTCAAGGGTAATAGTCGCCCAGCGGTAGATGAACAATGGATGGGCCTACTCTCATATTATCTATTAGTCCTGCCTCACATGGCCGATTGACGCACTTGCACCAGAAATACCATTCTTTACTGCCCTTGTTAGACCATGCTCCTGGAGTTCAATCAGGTACTCATAATAGTGTTATGAAGCTATGCTCCCCAGGAGCATGCTGAATATACCACAGTTATTTTGATATACAGATCTCAACACCTCATGTCCGCTATGGAATCTCAGCTTTTTGCATAATGAAAACCTTAATGTTGCATCAAATAGGCCTTTTCAAGTATTAATTCACACATAGATCTTGGTATAATTACACACCCAAGGACTAGGTCACATACCAAAAGAAATCACCTACCCACCACTCTATAATACTAGATTCGAAAGGGCGTTTTCCCGTGAACAATCTAAAATACCGCCTTCACAGGCCCCCTTTTCCTAATGATAAAAACCTTCACCATAACTACCAAAGCCAAAGCCTTTACATGCTATACTCTCACCTTCTATATAAACACCCTAATGCTGATTGAACAATGCATATTCTTAAACCGAAACAACATCAGCAGTGCTTTAGTTACCATCCTCGCCTCTCAATTTCCTAGACTATCTTATACATCCTGCAGATGAAACTCGGTTTTACATAATATTGAATCGATGTAGTGAATCTAGCTAACATCTCACCGTGAAACTATAGGAGATAATTCTCCTATTAGCGGCGGTCCAACGGATCTGAAGCTTACTGCAAATTAGAATATGGTTGGCCTTCAGCATGGCAATATGTTGCCCCGGTCCCTCGCGGTGGGCCGCGCTTGGCATAGGGAATTTAGCAACTCCAATACTGAAACAAGACCTTAAACCAACAGACAATGATCTCTAGGTAGGTATATATCTACAACATACTACGTATGCTGTCCTGTCAATGGGAATAATATACTGTCATTATATAACGTGCTGTCATTATTCGAAAGTTGTTTTCGGCAAACTAGTACAGTACAATATAATGACCACATCTACGCTGTTATATTTGAAAGTTGGCTTGGGGAAACGCGTAGGAGATTACCATTACATCTACACCTAGTGAAAGTAGCTCTGTGGCAGACATCTTCGGGTCATTCAATTAGATTAGTTTAATGCCGTAGCCCTGTCAGAGTGACTAGCAGGTATCTAGAGCACTACTATACTATTACTCCTAGATGGCATTACTCTTAATAACTGAGGTCCTTGTTCTCATACGAAATAGGTATTATCCTCTTGAGAACGAGATATAGCCCGGGTGACCTTCTAGCGCCTCATTGAACCAAAAAACGTATATTAGCTTATGGCGGCTTCCTGGATACTAGCAATTTCCTATCAATGCACCAAATCCAGTTCCATAGATAAAGCACACATGAGATCTGCCTACTTGAACCGGAGATATTTAAAAAGACGACTAAACAGAGCTACTGAGGTATAATATATTCCAATATGATTCCAATATGATTTGGGAAGTATAGGCAATTGTATATTATGATTGACCGACGCATTTGGACATCTAGTTACATGTATATACACACGTAAACAAGCAAACAAATAGAGCTACCAATAATACCAAAACCGCTGAACCCCAAGGAATGACGCCCGAGTGCATGCAAAGCCTGATTAATTTTAGGTATCCCAAATGCAATATCAAATGCAAGTAAACAAGCACAGCATATTACCAAAGGGGCATTACTCCGCCATCTGCCATCCCGGCAGATGATCTATACCTGCCTCGTATATCAAACTCTGTGATAGTAAAACTCTATACGACGCTCAAATCCCCCTCTAGACTATTACTTTTTCGCCCTAACAGGACTCTGCGCAAATCTAATACCCCTAGACTTCGCAACGGGAGGTGGCACGCGGGGCGTATCATCGTCATCACTATCATCCTCGTTATCTCCCATGCCTAGCGCGGCTTCTCTTCTTCGCTTTTCGGCTGCTGACTCTTGAATTTCTGGGGCATATTCTGATCTTTTCTCCGATCGCCCACGCTGCGTAGGTGTCACCTCATCCACACCTTTAAGGGCCTCTTGTCGTCTTCTACGCTCGGCTGCCGACTCTGGGACGTCGTCTAAAGAGGATGATGGCGATGAGCTAGAGGACGTTGCTTCTCCTGTCCTTATCGGCCTTCGATTAGTGGGTGATCGGTCGTCGTCGTCGCTCTCCTCATCCAAACCTGGCCTTCGCCTTACCGCCTCTGGACGAAGAGGTTCCGCTGCTCGCGCCTTGGAGGCGCTCGACGACCCACCCGCCATGAACAGTCTACTGCTACCAGGGGAATCCTCATCTGCATCTTTATCGGCCCGCTCTTTCATTGGGGCGGGTGCATCGCTCTCCCTGACGATCTCAGCCCGAGCTTTCGGGTCCAAGCTTCTGATCTCGTTCAAGAAATCTTCTTTTGTCAAGCGACGTCCAGCACCACCAATCTTGAAACGAATATGTCTGTCATCGTCTTCATCATCCACCTCTGGTCTCTTCGCACCCCAAGTCCCCATGCGATTAAGTCCTTGGCGAACAGCTGATGTAGGAGGGGGCGCTCCATCCTTGCCGGTTTCGGCAGTTGAATCGGGTTTTTTGGTCCCAAATCCAGTCCAAGCTCCCATACGATTAACTCCCTGCCATGCCTTACTCGATTCGCCTTCTTTCGGTTGCTTTGAGCTTGGGAGGTCATATTTCTTAACCACTTCCCCATCTTCATCTTCGACAATAATCTAGATAACTTGTTAGTAGAGCACAGAAAAGAAATCTGCTATTTATCTTACCGTATTTCCAAACTGATACGCCAAAGCGGGACCATGCTTTTTATGAGGCTGCTTCGCGCTCTTGGGCTGACTGGACCCTTCGGCGTTCCCCTCATCCCGTCGTGCCCAGACACCCAGCTTCTTCCTCAAATTCTTGTACCCTTGCGTAGGAAGCCCAGAATCTTCCTTCGCGGCATGTTCTGATCTCTTGATAGACTCTCCCTTTTGAAGTGCGTCTGAAACCTTCTGCACGGACAGTACATTACCGTCCGCATCCTCGATGATAATATCGTCGCCTTCCTGAAAGGCTTCTCGGCGGGTAGGAGAGATATTAGCATCCGATTTACGGAAGGCTTTCCTCTCGCCTTCAGAGTGCTGGTGGGTGACTTCCGGATCGTGTTCCGCATCTCTAAGCTCAGCCTCGCTTTGTATCTGCGTGTCAACCTTCTCATTATGGGGCGATCCTTCGCTAGGTGTTAAAGTATCTGATGTCTGCTCGTCTTTGGTCTGGTCACTCAAAGGTTCATTCTGGCTCCGGTGCTGAGGATAAATTGCTGACTCGCTTATCGGCCCTCCAGGTCCACGACCATCATCCCACTTCTTCTTTCTGCGGCGTGGAATAATCGACGAAGTGCGACTACCAGCCCGGCTAGGATTGTCTTCTTCCTTTTGCCGGCGTAGGAAACTGCCGGGTATGCCAATTGGAGGAAGGGTTCCGGGAGGGAGAGTTCCAGGGGGTATGTCATTCATCTTGATCTCCTCGGCTTCTGTCTCAGACCCGAAGGACTTGGCTTGTGATCTTGAAGTAGACGAGATCCGTGGTAGGCGGTTCATCCACGTGGGCCCGTCTGGTCCGGCAGCTGTGTAAGACATTGTCAAGGTTAACGTATTGATGTGCTTGCCAAGAGTGAATACAGCAATAGAAGAACCATGCACGATGATCGAAGTGATGACTAAGAACGTAGTGATCGGCCAGATGAGGGCAACGAGAGTATAATTCTTGGCACTAGGATCCGGATACTCTGCCAGAGGGGTAGTTGTCTCGGTTTCCAATTCAGCTCTAGCTAGAATGGCAACGAAAATTGCTCCGACGCCAATTGGCCCAAAATGACCGGCGAAAAGAGCCTCTCGCCAAGTCTTGACATCAGGTATCAGTGGCTTCAAAGCCATCATGATCGGAATCCGGCGGAAGAAGATGACGAATATGGCAATGACAACTAGCCTCCATGGGGTGAGGCCCAGAGCAGCATTGTTGTATTGTTCCCACGGGATGATTGTGCCTAAGTATACAAAGTATGCTAAGTTGAGCAACAGATCGATAACGTTGGAGACGTGGGATTCCTCTGTTTTCTGTGTAAACCAACCATCGTTGGAGAAACCGACCCCTGCAGCGAAGCCAACAAGCAGATCATCGACGCCCATGATACTGCCTGAGCCGGCGCAGAAGAGCGCTAGGACAAAGTAAAAGACGAGAAAGCTTTCTCTGTCCACCAAGTCATGCTCCTCAGCATACTTGATGCCATGCCTGCCAATGTAGCCAACAATGAATCCATATACAGCCCCAAAGACACACTCATAGAGAACAGTGAGGACTATCCAATGAAAAGTGACTTCCTCCGCCCTCGACCTGTATTCTATAAGGTAGAGAGCCAGGTAGATGAAGGGAAAAGCCATTCCATCGTTGCACCCCGACTCGGCCGAGAGGAGATCTCTCAGATGTTTGGGGATCCTTTTGGCAAACTTGCCTTTTCCAACGACGGAACTGGCCAGGACAGGGTCCGTTGCGGTAACGCAGGCCGCACAGCAGAGGCTTTGGAGCCAATCGAGCGGAGGTATCATCCACCAGATGAACAGACTGGTCATCAACCATCCGAACGTCATGACGGGAAGCAACAGAAACACCACACTCCTCCAATGCTTCTCCATATAATATTTGGGCAATTCGACCCCCACGGCAAAGCACTGGACGACCAGGACGATGCGCGAGAACTCGAGCGTGATCTGATCGGTATTACCCCATGTTCCAGGGTTGATCAGATTGGCGGCGTGCGGGCCAAAGACGACGCCACAGATGGTGGCGACGGTGGCTTCACCTATGTACAGCCGCTCCTTGATGAACGACGAGCACAGCATGAAAAGCGACGTGAAGCCGCCAAGGATGATGTAGACCAAGTGCGGCCGATTGATCGACAGGTGGTCCCATGCCATCTCGAACGCTGTGGCTGCCGTGGCTATCGAGCAATGGGTGTCTGGGAATTTCTCCACGCCGTTCTGGCGGAGGCGATAAATTTCTTCTCGCCCGGGTTCAGCCGCCGTCGCTGTATTGTGCGTTCCCCCAATGCTATGCTCCCCTTCAACCCAATCCTGCGGCCTTCCTAATTCCCCAGTCTGTCGATTCTCGCAAGAGGATTGTACGATTTCGCAGCATTAGACTATGGTCGCGCCCAGTCGCCGCTCCAGCTTCCGAAAGAATGTCTTGGTCTTGGCACCTTCTACGGCCCTGCCCGGTTTCAAAGGGAAGCTCGAAAGATCGGCCGACGAGTAGAGACGCTCGCGGTGATGTCAAAGGCGCTGCACGGAGATGCGGCGGCGATCGACAAAAGAAGAGGACGAGAAGGTGTCGCCGTCGTGAAGGCAATTGACAGCTCTGGGCTGCTTGGCTGGACGGGGTCAACGGATAATCTGTGGTTAGACCGTACAGTGCCTAGAAGTCGAGAAGCTTGAGGGGGGATAAGCTTCTCTTATGTGTAGTTGGCACAGCGTCCCAAGTCCCAAGACCCAAGACTTCTTCTCTCCAGACGCGGGCGCAGACGATAATTAGCAAGTGGCCAAGAGCGAGGCTGCAGAGGCTGCAATTGGCAGAGGCGAATCACGATGACAGAGACTGGCAACTTATCGCAACTTGCAAGCCCCCCTAGCCCGGGCCTAGAAGGCTAGCACAAACCCTACGAACGCCTTTTCCCTAGGGTTGAGATTGGTTTCTTCCGCAAACTGCCGGGTTGGGTTTGGGTTTGGTTTGCTGAGAGGCGTGCTACAGTAGTATGGTACAGTACGTACGAGTACGAAGTGCTCCACAAGCTAATAATAAGACTAAGCTAAATGATGATAATAATGACAAGGGATATATTATATTATAAAAGCTATTTCTTTATGACCTTGCACAAATACGACCTACGCAAGGACCCTACGGCGTGCTAACGTAGTACCAAGTCCCGACGCTATGATCAATGATTGGCTGCTACGAGGTTTGTTTTTCTGCCCCAACCAAATATTCCAGACGCGCTGAACGAAAAGCGTCGGACTCAGCTTCACCACCAACACAGCCAAATACAGCCGAATACAGCCAAATACATAACACGCCTCTGGGGAACCAAGGAGAATACGGTCAGGCATCTACGAGCACACATGTGCATCGATGGCTACTACTGCCCAAGGGAGAGGGTAATTGGCTATTCAAAAAGGCAGGTCTGCATGTACAGTACCGGGCACAGGATGCGTATTTGAATATCCCCACTACGGCTTTGTGCCTCGAGATGCCTCTTTTTTCGTCATCTGATAGCAACAAAAGAAAGCCATGCTATGCGCAACTCTAGGTTCTTCTCCGCTCAATTACAGGCGGAACGGTTCCGTCTGTTTAGGTTAGGATTAAGCAATGGCAGTTTTGCGTTGTTTACGGAAGGGGAATCTGTGGATTCGGGTGGCTGTTGGGAGAGAGCAAAATATCTCGAACGAGGCCGCTAACTTCCCCCTCTCCGGCTTCAATTGCGAATACACCACAGCTAGGATCGATACACAAGTCACGAATATTCACCGCCCCATGAAGCTCGACATCACAAGACCTCCTCCCCCACGCTGTCGAGTTCCTGAAAACGCTGCAGCTCTCGAAATGCGGAAGGCGTTGTTGGGGTTCCCATATGCAAGCCCTGCAAAACGTGGCTACTGGAGTGCTGGCCCCCTACACAGTTGCACCGGCATCCCGCACCCAACGTGCGTTTTACAATCGTTTTCAAACGGGCGATTGAGCAATAAGGTCGAGGAATGGGTACACGTGGGTTGGATGGCTTGTTTGATAGGTTAGTGCATACGTACGGCCGAGGGAATATGTTTCAAGTGATCCAAGAAAGTAGTAATATATCTCGGGTGCGTGATAGCAATAAACAGATCTATGACACCACAATTGGATTGATTTTCGTGGCAAGGTTTCTTTGCTCCTCAATTTTCAATTAGATAATGCATTGAGGAACATGAACGATCATGTATATGTACCGTGGACCACGCGTTATATCTTAACAGCCATGCAAGTTTGAACTATTCGGTTCTGTATAAAGTATATATATATTATTTCTCATTTCTTAATGCTTCGTTTGCTATGAGTAGTCTCAGACCTAGCATTGAGCATTTACCCCGTCTTACCACCTACACGCTCGAATCCCAAAAAGAGCTTGTTGCTGGCAGGGCCGCATGTATATCCGTCTGTCTGTTCGATCCCATCATCATTTACGATGTATGTGCGGAAGTTCGTGTATATGGCGGCGATGATGAGCTTGATTTCTGGTTCGCGAGGGGTTAGTATATATAAATACCCCAGTGGGAAGTAAGAGGCGGAGAAACGATAAGAGAATGGGGATAACAAAAAAGAAACCGTATAAATACCAAGCATAGCAAAGTTGCTCCCAATACACATTCGTCCCCCACTACTAAATGCCCAAAACCACTTGTCTCTCTCCCGTCTTTGTTTCTCAGTATACCCGTACTCGCTATCCATCCAGCGCTTATGGTCCCATCTCTCTGGCTCGGGGTAGACATTACAGTTGCGATGCACGCTGTGTGCTGGGGCGCCAACTCGCACCCCACCTGGGATGTTACCGTATGGCCCTAACGTGCAAGAGGGGTAGGGTGTCATCCGTGGCTGTGTGCCTGGGATAGGGGCCTGGAGACGGAGGGCCTCCATGATGACGGCGTGCAGCATGGGTAGCGCGTCCAAATCTTTAGACTTTGGGATGCTCTTTACAGCGCCATCGTGCTGGGATAGCGACATGTTCGGTGAGAGCTTGAGGAGCTCGCTTCGTAGCGCATCTTGGACATCAGGATTGCGGGAAAGGTGCCAAGATAGGTATGTGAGTGTGATTCCGGCCGTCTCGTGGCCGGCTGCTAGCTGGTCGATCATCTCGGATGCGATGCTAAGCTCGGGATATTTCAGAGTTTCAGTCCTAAGAACCGACTCATCCCCCTTCGTATTTTCCTCTTTTTCGATTCCTGCGAGCAAGGCCTTCATTACCACAGGCTCGTTGCCAATATCTGTGGTCTCGCCTGTGGTTTTGTTGGCGATGTTTGCTGAAGTGGCGTCACAGCGCTCTTTGCACCAGGCCTCGAGCTCATTGTTTGCATCATCCACCCACGTGGGTACAAGATGGATGTGCAAGCGCTTAAAGAACCGTGTTAGGCGTGGAAGCTCTTGAGGAAAAAATGTATAATTCTTGCGGCTTTGGTATAATGATAGCCAATGCCGACGGTATGACTCATTCTGAATGAAATTGCTGCCGCTCTTCAGGCCGAATAGGTAGGCAGTGATGAAGTCCATCGTTGTTGAATTCCATACTTCATGAACATCTATCCCACCTGGGGACCCCTGAGGGCTAGACACAGAAGAAATAAGAGGGAGAAGTCGATCGTAGAGGATCACTTGTGCTTGGCGTGCTAATGCGGGAGAGTTCTGAAGAGTGGATTTGGAGTAGATGTTCGAGATCATGCGTTTCCTTACTGAATGGGGCCGCGAATGCCATGATGAGAACATACATGGAACGCTGTAATATTTATAAGCAATGAAAAAGTGGAGAGGGGGATAAAAAGCATACCCATAGTTGTCGAAAATCGAATACCACTGCCCTTTCTCAAACCCTCCCGCATATACGGTCTTCAATTCATTTACATCGCTAACGCTCAACTCATTGGGAGCAAGACGAACGACAGGCCCATATTTGAGATGAGCTGCGTGGACACACCGGTTCTCTTGATTCCGGTATCTCAACCAGAGAATCCAAAACGGACAGAAAGGCGATGACCAGTGTGCGTTCGGGACTTTTGAGAGAGGTGAGAAAAATGTGGGATAAATAACTTTCATATAAAGAAAACCCAGGATGATACCAAAGAAAAACGATGCCGGGATGACGAGATGATGCATATTTGGGGTTCGGTGATGCCGCTGGAATATTGCTAGTACCGTCAGGCAAAGGGAGATCTTGCACCCAGCTTTGGATTCCACAAATTTCTTCTGCCGTAAATTCGCAAGTGATGTTATACTCTGTGTCCCTTCGACCAGAATGCACAATAGAGATGAGGGACACAGGGGGATCTAATAGATCGTGAACTTCGGACGCAAGTTCCGGCTCCGGGGAGGTACGAGTCAGGAAGGCCTGTAATAACTTCCAATTACCCAACTGTCACAATACGGGGTAGCCCCTAGAGCGCGCTAGGTCGGGCGCTATTACCAACAGCCGTTTTCCTGCTATGACTTGGCGGAGTTGGTGATATAAAAATGGTGGATTACGCCCTTTGTATGGCAGAGGAGGGGTAAAGCTGTACTACGTCTACGTTGTGGTTTCTGGTAGCCTGAGGTTCTCCCCGCAGCCCCCGCCAGAGATCGGCGCCTAAGGACTCGGGTAAAATGTTAACCGCCGACACTATGAAGTGCCTGTGTCCAGTAAACACACCTTCAATACAAATCAACAACTCCATACGAGTTTCACTCAGTCATGCCAATTAGAATCTGAACCCCCTAGATACCATACCCATCGCTCCATTCGATAACCCACGCAATGCGAGAATATCCTCCAAATCAGGCTGCATTTCATAATGTCAATGCCAGTGTCCACTGTTAGCGTCAGCATCAAGGACTCGGCTCACATCAACTCTACATATCCATCCCAAGAACAAGCTCCGAGGATAACATACTTATCTCTTTGGAGCCGAGAGCCAAGAAATAAATGAAGAGCTCTTTGGTCGGCAGTACTACGCAGCACACAAACATCCACGTCAAGTCTGAAACCATAAACAAGATATGGATGCATCAAGTGAAGAGGCCGGTGATGCGTTGTCATCAGACCAGCCAAGTTCTTTTCCCAGCACGGTAATTGGTCCCCAAGATATAACGAAGAAAAAACATGGCTTGCCGTTTCTGTCTATTCCTCCCATCAGCACACACACTCAAACTATAATCCTACTCCATGGCCGCGGTAGCAATGGGCCCCGCTTTGGGCCGCCGCTTGTTTCTCCTCAACTATCATGCGGCAATACTCTAACTCAAGAATTCCCCGGCATGAAATTCATATTCCCTACAGCAAAGAAAAGGCGTGCTATGCGTTTCAATCGCACTCCTATCAACCAGTGGTTTGATGTATGGTCCGTCGATGAACCTTCGGAAAAGGAGGAGCTGCAGTATGATGGGATTTGTGAGACCAGCAGGCTTTTGAATATCATAATTCAGGAGGAAGCGCGGGTTGTTGGGTTAAGGAATGTGTTTTTGGGGGGGCTAAGTCAGGGATGTGCAATGGGATTGCATGTTTTTCTGAATTATCTACCTGAAAATCTATCCGATGACTCCTTTGGTGGTTTTATCGGAATGAGTGGCTGGCTACCTCTTGCCCGACCCTTGCAGGAGAACGTTTGGTCTTCCACTGACGCAGGAGATGATGACGACCCCTTCGCCGAACCTTTGGAAGGCTCGGAGAGAGGAGGCGAGACACCCCAAACGTGGCAAATCCGAGCCGCGAACTTTGCCCGCGATATCGCTGATCTTCCTCCCTTGGAAATGGATACTGCGCTGCCGCCGTTTATTAAGACTCCTGTCTTCTTAAGCCACGGGAGGCATGATGAGAAAGTCAAAATGAAGCTAGGGGAAGAGGCCAGGGATGTGCTTGTCAATTTGGGGCTTGATGTTACATGGAAGGATTATGAAGAAGGGCATTGGTATAAGGTACCTGAGCAACTGGATGATATTGCTAACTTTATACGGAAGCGAACCGTCGACGTAGCAAAGGACCGAAATAGCTAGTCTATTAAGGCACTTTTGCAACCCGCCTGAGTAATGACAAAGTTTAAAGCTTATTATCGTTAAAGGCATTCAAGTGAATGAAACCAACTTCCCCAGCTTTTAATACCCCTGTGTACGCTTCGGTGCATAACCTTCTTCCAAGTACGTGATATCCTCTTGCGTCAACTTTCCTGAACTTGCAAATTTCACGCTTTCCACAACCTGATCAACCCTCTCAGTGCTACTCAGTCCAACGATGGGATTGACATTCTTGCTTAAACTCCATGCAGTTGCAATAGTCGTCATAGAGACATCATACTTCTTGGCGATTTCTTCAACTCGGTTGATGATAAGCTTGTCGGTCTCTGTCTCGGTGGACCGAATCGCTTCAGTGAGGTAGTGATCGGTCTTTTCACGAAGGGTCGACCGGTCCGAGTATGGTCTCGCAAGGGCACCACGGGCAATGGGCGACCAGGGAATGAGTCCGACGCCGGTGTCTTGACAGTACGGGATCATCTCACGCTCTAAACGAAAAGAACATTAGATCTACTCTGATGATGCATTATGACCGCAGTTTTCTCACCTTCCTCACGGTATATGAGATTGTGGTAATTTTGCATGGAGATGAACTTGTGCCAGCCGTGCTTATCTGCGATGTTTTGCAGAGTCTGGAACTCCCAGGCAGCCATCTATTAATAGTCAGTCCCAATTTCAATGTAACTGTGGAGCAGGTGTTACTTACACTACTAGCACCAATATACCTAACCTTTCCACTCTCTACCACATCATTCAAAGCCCTCATGATCTCCTCCCTCGGTGTTTCTCGATCCAGTCGATGAATCTGCAAAACATCGATATACGTGCCCAATCTCTCCACACTCTTATCAACGGCATCTAGAATATGCTTTCTGGATAGGCCAACTTGATTCGTCCAGCCGCCATCATTAGTCGATAGAACATATGGCTGTGAGCCATCCTCGGCGACGCCAAAATAACACTTGCTGAGAATAACCACCTTATTACGCGGGATATTGTACTTTTTGAGTGCCTTGCCGATAATTTCCTCGGATAGGCCGTTGGAGTATACGTCCGCCGTGTCCCAGGTGTTAAGGCCTACGTCGTAGGCGTGCTTGAGAAGGGGGAGGGCGGCGTCCTCTCCGACCACCCACTCTCGCCATTCCGGCGTGCCAATGGACATGCCCCCAAGAATCACCTTGGAGATCTTAAGACCCGAGGTGCCTAGGCGTGTGTACTCCATTATTCTTGAATGCAGTTCTTCGTGTGGATTGAGAGTGGGATTGAGAGTTGGATGGAAGTCTAGATACTCGTATAGTGATGATCAAAGTTCAGGATAATATCAAAGAGGGAAGTGCGATGATTAGAAAACTAAATATCTAAACAATCGATCTTGGGAACTGAGGGCTAATGGTGCCTTATATACTTTGGAAATCGGGGAAGGGCAGTGTGATGAAAGCAAACGCCGATATCTTTTCGGACTTGTGCAGACCCTGAGATATAGGTATCTATGGCACATCTCAATTGATTTTCAGGCTAGTGCAGCTAACCCTCCGTAATATTATGACTCGAACAACCTGGTCTAGTTTATATAAGGTGTCTGTTTATTTCACGCAACCTGGTACTGTACTACGATAGTCGGCGTTAAGCAGGTTCTGCAGCAAAGGGAGTCGGAGATTGTCTAAACTCCTACAGTTCTAGAGAGGCAGGGTTGCCCCGATCTGACGACGCGGGGACAAGCGGAGTTGTGGTATTTCCGTTTTGCCCACGAAAGCCTCCCAACGTCATCGTATCGCTTTTCTCAAAGGGCAAAATGTAGTTGGCGAGTTAGAAAACTGTTGTCAGCAGTGGCTCAATTGATGAGTGACTATTAATTATATTCTATGGATATTTGGTGTTCAATCAACCAGTGGCACATGCGTCATACTTGTGGCTTACGAGGTCCAGTACCTGTACCTAGGGACTGATAGGAAGGTACGGAGTATTGTGGATAAGGGTTGAAGACGCGATAAGGTCAATATACCAATTTTTCTAAGCCGCCAATATCCCCTCATCTTGACATGTAATACCTTCGTCTATCTCTTCAACTGCAAATGAATATACCCAAGATCCCACATAACGAGGACTGAGCTAGCGACACTTGATTTTCTGAAAAGCAATATATACGTGGGGTGGGGCTCCGTCCTACGTTCTTTGATCCATATTTACAGCTATGCCTCTCACGATACTCTCCGACTCTAATGTCAAGGAGCTTCTCAACAACATCACAGCCGGAGATGTAGAGCTATTTCAGGTCTCTTTACAGCAGGCCCTCCATGAATACTCGACCGGGATCCGGGAAGATGGCAGTGTGTCCAACGTTCAACCAGAGCGAACAGTGGTGGAAAATGGAAAAGGAAACACAACCCTATTCATGCCCTCTACGAGCTCATCTGGAATCGGGGTTAAAGGTAAGCCGTGCCCATGCATATCTCCCGTAGTAGCAGACACTTACTATTGCAGTGGTCACTCTCGCAACCCCAAGAGATGATGCCTCCGACTCGGCCTCGGATGATTCCGACAACATTGCTCCTGCTCCTGTCAACATAGTCACAACTCCCCAAGGGGCCCTTACACTGATGGAACCTGATGGCAGACCTATGGGCTTTGTCAATGCTGAGGAGTTAACCGCATTCCGAACCGCCCTGGTGTCCTCCCTCCTCCTGACGCGCCGCTCGAAAGTAAAGACATTGACAGTATTCGGGGTCGGCAGGCAAGCACATTGGCACGTCCGACTTGCGTTGCTTCTCCATGGCAACACTATAAAGCATGTCCATTTTATCAACCGCAGTTTTAGCGACCGTGCAAATCTGACAATGAAGGCTTTCCTACAATTCGACCCCGCAGTCAAAGAAAGGGAGGGTTGGGCCAACACAGCATTCGGAATGTTAACTCCAGGATATGGCGAATATCATCGTCTAATCAAGGAGCAACTCCGTGTCGCCGATGTGATATTCTGTACAACGCCTAGCACAGAACCCCTCTTTGACCCCCAGATCCTAACCAGCACGGAAGGCCGCAAAAGAGGCCGCCTCATAGTCGCCGTTGGCAGCTATAAAAAACATATGATTGAGCTACCGCCAGAAATACTCAAACAAGCTGTACATATCAGCTCAGGCCACCATTTCCACAAACACGCCGAGGAAGGCCAGGTCGTTGTCGTTGATACACTGGCGTGCGTGACGCAGACGGGCGAGCTCACACAGGCAAATATCAAGGAGAAACAAACTGTGGAGATCGGTGAACTGGTCATGCTTTCCCGCATGGATCCAAACTTACATGCAGAAGACTCGCCTACCTTAGCAGGAAGCCCTCCCGAATCAAGCGAAATGTCCCTCGAATCCCTCAATATCGGGGATGCAGCGCCTGGAAGCAGTCTTGCCCGGGCGTTCCGCGAAAGTACGTCCTCACCGCCAGATACTGCAGGAAACCGCTCAGGCTCCAAATCTCCTCACCGCAAATCATCATCGCTTTGGAATCATAGGCGAAGTGGGAGTTTCACTTCGCTTACTAAGAAGAAGAAACAGACGGAGAAAGAGGATGAGATGAGCAGGTGGTTGAGTCGGGGTAATGTCATTTATAAGAGCGTGGGCTTGGGGTTGATGGACTTGGTTGTGGGCAAGGATTTGGTGAAATTGGCAAGGGAGAAGGGGGTTGGTATTGAGGTTAAGGATTTTTGATTGAGGTGGGTTAGAGGGTTATAATGATGACTTGATGCTCTGATGGTGGAATGACTGATCCTACGAAGCATGGTGTAAACTTGGAGGAACGTGTCAGCGGAATGAGCGGTATATAAGCACATTAGAGGCGCGCAAATATCCGGAACTGAAACATGGAGCTAGCATAGCAGATAAGCATACGCTTTATTGCAAGATCTCTTGGGTGTGAGATATCCTAATATTCAGGCTCGGTTTCATGAACCTGACCAGCCTCCCTGTAATGTCCTCGTTCTATCTCGTGAGTCATATCCGAGTATTCAATATAAAGCCCTTCTGGGTAGACCTCTCCCATACCTGCCCGCTGTCCCGGTAAATACCATGCCAAACTCCATTCTTCAAAACCAAACCAGCCCTCCTCGGCGTCTAAATTCACTTAACAGTCATCTGGGCCACATCGCCCTTAAAGACGAGCATGCCATGGTTCCCACTGACAACCTGTTCCGTTTCGCTGTTATTGATCCCCAGCACCCCATTTGCGCCCTTAGAATTCCCAAAGCCCAAGTCCCCAATCTTCCCCACCGCTATATCATATAACACCCCATGAATCTTCAATCCCCGTTCCTTGATCGCCTCCTGCACCGTATAATTACCCATTAACATTTCCACGCCTTGCTGCACATTTAGTTCCGAGAGCCGCCGGGACCTCGCATTATCATCCTTAATGGCATCTAGCTCCTGTTTATGTGCTAAGCGCACGACTTTGAGAGGCGTCAGCCAGGCATCAAGAACCCCTCCAATGCGTGTGTCTGAGAGGGCGCCCGCGCACCCGCCACACGATGTGTGTCCGCATAGAACGATATGGGAGACTTTTAGGAAGCAGACGGCATATTCGAGGACTGAGAGGAAGTTTAGATCGGTGGGTGAGAGGATGTTGGCTATGTTGCGGTGGGTGAAGATGTCGCCGGGCTGGAGTCCTAGGAGCGTTGTTTCGGGCACCCGGGAATCGCTGCAGCCGAGCCAGACTTATGAGGGAAGACAATGGTCAGCGCGGGTTCCCAAAGGGTTTGGCGATCGCGATCGCGATCACAGGAAATGGGAGTGGACGCGTGCAGCAGAAACTTGGGGGGGCAAGAGGAACGTACGAATGCTCGGTGATTGACCCTTTGCTAGGTTTGGGAAGAAGGCCGGGTTCTGATGCCCTTTGTAGTTCGCCCATGCATCGTTGGATTTTAATGCATATTCAAATTGGTCTGCTCGCAGTTATATATTAGCCCTCGATTCCGGCTGGTATTTTTGTTGTGTTGGAGAACCAGGATTTTGCGGCATCGCGATCCAAGTGGCGGAACTAATAAGTAAGACTCACCTTGCGAATGAGAGCCCATGTTTTGGCTGTGTGTGTAAGGGGGGAGGGGGGCAGAGTCGCAACGCAGAGACGGCAGCAGAAGCAGGCAGCGCAGCTTCTGGACGGCGGGACCAATTCGAGGACGGTGAGGGCGAGGGCGAGGGCGAGGAAATCTGGAAGTTGAGGAAACAATGGATTGATTGCTGCTCGGGACCGGGATAGTTGAAATCGACACACGGTGGGGGGAGAGAAATGTTGACTCGATCTAGCTCGTCCTAGTGGCCGGCACCGCGGGATCTGCCTGACCGCTGGGCGATAAGCACACGCGGATAAGGGCGCACCAATCACGCGGCGCAATTGGGGGTGTGGTGGGGGTTGGGGGGTTCGAGAGGGACGCCGTGTTATTGCGTGACAAGCCAAGTGACCAAGTGACCAAGTGACCAACGAGTATAGGTAACTTGGGAATTATAAATAGGTAACCGGTAAGGCACCTTCCCTTGCCTATTGGCACGACAACAGCGGTACCGGCGGTGATGCGTTCTTTGGTTTGGGGGGAGATGGGATGGGATGGGATGGAATGGAATGGTATGGTATGGGAGAAGGAGAGGGGAGGTTGAGGAAGGAGAAGAAGAACAAGAAGAACAAGAAAGGGGGGGGGGGGGCAGAAGGATTCCCCGGAATCCACGTTCATACATATACTCCGCGGGTACGACGAAGAAAGTACGGAGGTACGCACAAGAAGCAAAAGGGGACCGCCTGCGACCTGTGACCTGGCTGCTGCTGCTCTACGACAGGGAATCATCAGACGCAGAACGTGCTTCAGGCCCCGTTGAACCCGGCGGGCTTGTCCGTGAATCCGCAGGAATCTCCGACCGTGGAATTCGTGACTTTTGGGCCGTCGTTGGCCGCCTGTTGTTTGGTTGAGAACTGGAGAGATCACGTTGCGACTCGAGTATCAAATCAAATTAATAAGGTTGAGTTTGTTGGCGTCTTGGTGGCGGCCTCGCCTCACCCAAACCACCGCCAGCCCTCGAGGAAGGAAATTTGCCATGCTACCTTATGGAACTTCAACGAGGATGCACAGCCGTTACTGTATAGGATCGTTCAGCAGAACATAACCAATACAGAGTCGGCCTCGAGTTACCTTGACCTACCTTTACCTTACGGAGTGCAACGGGCAACCAGGGGAAAGGCAGCAAAAAACAAGGCAAGTTGGAGAAGCTTTTGTTTTCACATGTTCCAGACATAAGGGGATCTCGCCTGTCGCCTGTCGCCCGCTTACCAACCCTCCAGCATGATTTTTATTTTACCCATATCGAATCCAGCGTCTGGGGAATGGAGATCCCGGTTGTCGATCTGGCACTGGTGTGGTTTGCAACTCCGTGGCATGGATTGGAAGCGCGTTTGAGCTGGACGTCCCCCGGAGCTATTGCACCATCGTTATCATAATATCAGTGCGACGCTATATCTAGACACCCAGGTTACTTCGTTATCGATCAACATTCTTTGCACAATGCAGTGCAATCATTTATATGCTGCAGTCCGAATTCAAATTTCATTTCACGAAACGCCAATAAGTACAATATCGTAGACCTTGATTTTTTGCTGCTGTATCTTTAGTTACAGTCCTGCCACGCAATGCCATGATATCGTAAAACGCCGGTATGAGAGCCTCATCAATAAAACACTTAGATCTTGATAGCACTCTCAAGAGCCTTGCGCTTCTTCTCGGTGCGGGCATTGGCCTTGGCACCCATGATACCACCACCCCAGTGTCTCTTGGCCTCCTCATACTTGTCGGTGTAGCCCTCCTTGATCGCGGAGACCAACTTCGAGAGCTCGGACTTGTCCTCTGATCGGACCTCAGTGATGGCGAGGACGGCGGCGGTCTTCTTGTGGACCACCGTGCCGAGTCTGGCCTTGCCCTTGACAATGGCATATGGGATACCCATCTTCTTGCAAAGAGCTGGGAGGAAGATGACCAACTCAATAGGGTCAACATCATTGGGGATGAGGACAAGGGCGGGCTTCTTGTTCTCAATCAAGCCAACAACGTGGTTGAGACCGTACTTGACGGCGAATGGCTTCTTGCTGACATCCTCCTTCTTCTTGCCCTCCTTGATGGCGGTGGCCTCCTTCAACAGGCGCTCCTTCTTCTCGGCCTTGCTCTCGGGCCGGTACTTGTTGAGGAGCTTGAAGGCTTGGGTGGCGGTGTTGCGGTCGAGGACGTTCTGGAACTGGGCGATCGCAGGTGGGACCTTCAGGCGCAAGTTGAGGATCTTCTTTTGGCGTTGGAGGCGGACATACTCCGGCCACTTTACCATGCGCGAAAGGTTTCTTCGCGGTTGGATATCTTGACCGATGCCGAAGTTGCGGGTGCGCTTCTCAATCAGAGGGTTCTTATACCTGTTAGCTTCGATGTAAAGAGTTGTGCCTGGGGGGGTGGACATACCTTTGGGGCCTTCTTTCCAGCAGCGCCAGCTTTGGATTGAGGGAAGGGCGCCGGAGCGGCCTTCTTTCCGGTTTTGGGAGGCTATCATTGAGAAAAGAAGACATCAGCGAATATGTTCACTAATAATCTCCTCTGAACTCTAAAGAGACTACGCTGGCATTGCTGCACAGACGTAGCTCAAGCCATATCATCATCAACACCCAGGACGAATGCCCATGGGTGGCCGACGGAAACGCATCTCGACGTGCGATTGCTCGTAGAGGTCGGAGAGCGGTGGCACACAGTATCACTTCGGAGAAGACATCACATCACATTATATGTAGCTTACCATGATTGATCGAGTCGCTGGGTCGTGATACAGCGATTGTCGTTGGGCGAGTTTGTCGATGGAGGAGAGATTGGAAATAATTTCAGATCTCGCAAATGTGTGAAGAGTGCGAGCAGACAAAACTAAAACTCTTGGCGTTGTCGCTAACCGGTCGAATCATGGGAGGCGCGCAAAAACCCCACATGTTTGCCAGTTGAGCAATCTCAAATCGTGAATATCTTGCCCGCATCAGTCATTTTCTTCTATTCAGGACGTCAAGTTAAGTTGTTTTATTATTCAATTCAAAAATGGCACCAGCACTTTGCGCCATCTGCAAAACTGCTAGAGCTTTGATAGTACGGCCAAAAGACCACCAGAAGCTCTGCAAGGAGTGTTTCATTGCGGTGTTTGAAGCCGAAATCCACCATACTATCACATCTACATCCCTTTTCGCACCCGGAGACCGAATAGCAATCGGCGCATCTGGCGGAAAAGACTCGACGGTCCTTGCCTCCGTTCTCAAAACCCTAAACGAACGCTACAACTACGGGTTGGAACTCGTCCTACTCAGTATCGATGAAGGAATCAAAGGGTATCGAGATGATTCGCTCGAGACGGTCAAGAGAAATGCTGTCCAATACGACATGGCACTGAAGATTGTGGGCTACGATGAGCTATACGGCTGGACGATGGACCAAGTTGTGGAAACCATCGGCAAGAAAGGGAACTGCACATATTGTGGGGTGTTCCGGAGGCAAGCCCTCGATCGCGGGGCGAAGATGCTGGGAATCAAGCATGTTGTGACTGGGCATAATGCGGACGATGTTGCAGAGACTATCTTGATGAACCTCTTAAGAGGAGATTTACCTAGATTGGCACGAACAACGAGCATTGTCACTGGAGACGCGACGAGCGATGTTAGACGGAGTAAACCTCTGAAGTATGCATATGAGAAAGAAATTGTTTTATATGCACATCATAAAAAGCTAGATTACTTCAGTACGGAATGTCTTTATAGCCCGGAGGCATTCAGAGGCAGCGCACGGAGCTTAATCAAAAACCTAGAGAGGGTACGACCCACAGCTATCCTGGATGTCGTACGGAGCGGAGAGGATATGGCAAAGCTGGTGCCGGACGAAGTGACTGGGGGCAGCCATTGCAAAAGCCAAAAGGTCTCGTTATCAAGCGCTGATGACGAAGACGAAGCCGCAGGTGGCTGTGGCAGTACAAGTGGCCGAAACAGCGGCGGAGAGATGGCCGACATGGAGAAAAAATTACAGCAAGATGAAGAGGCGTCATCAAGGGAGATAGATGCCTCCTCACTGATCTCAAATCCGGACGGCCAAAGACATGATAGAATAGCTAATAATGCAGAAACTGGGAAAACTGTCAGAAAAGAGGTTGGCCGAAAGCTTCCCCGGCAAACCCTGGGAAGCTGCAAGAAATGTGGTTACATGTCCAGTCAAGATATCTGCAAGGCATGCACGCTTCTCGAGGGGCTCAATAAGAATCGGCCAAAGATGCAGATCGAGGTCGATGTCGAGGATGAAGAGAGCTCCACGCTAAGGAGAAGAATGGAGGGCCTGGCTCTTGCAGCTGGATGACAGGCTTATAAAAGTAAAATAAATAACCATTCTCTACAGATACACGTGAATTTGTGCAGTATTTACTGATGTTTTTTCTATCGTGATTTTCATGCTTTAAAGATTGAACCAGTGGTCATCTTCAAGGATACTGAAGTTGAAATTGCCCCCAATGGAATTTTGGGTCGCTTCTCTCTCGTTTGGATCGTTCAGTCCTTTATTTTATGGACCTTGAGCGGGAGAGTCGGATACCTATTGACTTGTACGAGGTCTACCCAGGGATTCGTGGGCTCCAAGGCGGTTTGGTTTGTGTTGGCCGAAGGACTATCAATCACTACATGTGGAGAAAATAGAAATCTTCAACCTGACTAGGCAGATCCTTATAGAGGTATCAACGAGAGAGAATGATAGACAGTTTTAAATAAATTAAAGGTCGGTTTGGTCTTGATTTTAGGGTGAATGGTGAGGCGTTCTGCCAGAATAACTTTAACGCTGTATGATAACATAGTGAGGGGTATGATCTTAGTACACGATATCGAGTGTATTGTAGAGAGAGTAACTAAGATAATAAATACTGTAGAGGCCTTAGTTCAGATAATAATTCTCTCCTGAGAATACTTCCCAACCTTCCGACTCCTAAGATTCCCAATATCTCTTGCAGTCCGTTTGTAAACCTCTCCACCAGCACCAACCTTAAGACGCGAGATTTGCTGCTCCGCTTTCAACCCAACCGGCAAGATCCTATAGTCCTGATCAGCCGAAGGCAGAGTAATTGGCTTCAAAACCTTGCGCTTCTTCGTAGCAGGAGCTCCGTCCTTGGGCTCCTGCGGCTCCTGAGGAAGGGCCGTAACAACAGCTGCACCGTATCTTATCATCTCAGATGTAATTCCTTTCAAATATGTTGCCTCTTCGATACCTTCCAATGCAGCGCTGACTTCAAGTTTGAGGCTTGAAATCAACTCCTCAGCCTCAAATGGATCGCCGCTGACAAGTCTCACATCGCCCGACAACCAACCGCCGGCGCCAACTGCATCAATACAGTTATTAAGCAAGCTCGATACAAGTATGATCGAGTTATTGGGGGCGCCGGCATCATCGCCATCACCCTCAGGGTGCTCGACATCCAGATAACGTGCGGTCCAGCCCCCTCGAGCAAGTTCGAATCGGAGTAAATAGATCAGACAGACGATCTCATGGGCCGTGAATGTTGTTTGGAGAGCGTAAACAATGCCACTTGTCGGACATGTATAGAGCTTGGAAAGTGCCAAGCTTAGTGCCTGACCACGAACATCGGAACCAGGTCCTAGCTGATATTCTGCAAGCTCTAGAACCCGCTCGGTTTCGGCTTCTAACTTCTCCAGTTGCTCATCGGAATTGCCGCTGGCCTTCTCTGAATCTTCTCCATTCGTGAGAAGGCCTTGCTTTGTTTCACCAAGCATCTCAAGGCTCCCCATCAAGATCCGAATTGCGTGAAGAAGTTCCATAGCTCCTAGATAATTATTCCTCACAAGTCCAAGCAACATATCCATATCTTCATTTATCTCGGCGATCGCATTTACAAGCTCGCCGGCGGGAATCGGTTTGACTGGGAGGTCATGAGTGCTCCTCACAGCTGACTCGATGTTTGCGACTGTCATATGGCCAGCTTCGATCAGCCACAAAAATATCTTGGGTGGAAAGAACCGGATCGATAGCTTATATTCGCCTGAGTCGCTTTCGCCCCAGCTGAAAATTTTGCTGAGAGCATATATAAGCCAGCGTCGATCGACATTCAAATCGACCTTTTTAGAAGACACCGGGGTGGCTGACAGTTTCTTCAACTTGGTACCGAGCTTTTGTGCTATGAGTCCATCAAATGCTACACCATCTCTTTTAGAGAATGCGTTTTCCAGAATTTCTATTTGGGAAGCCCATGGTGTATCGGATTTGCTGAGTTGAGAGGGCAAATATTCCGACATTGTTTGCGAGTCAAGTTTGTCGGTTTCCGCCTTGCCTTGGCAGGAACGGGTTTGGTTTCGGACCGAGCATCCAAGAGAGTCTATCAGTAAACCAACAGCACGATTTCTGCCCTGGCGATCTTGGTGCCCTTCAATTTGCATCGCAACAAGGTTGCTGTCGATGATCGCGACAGCTGCGCCAAGCTTGGGGAAATATGTTATAAGATCACAGGAACGTTCAGGTGCACCATTAGCCTCGGGTTCTTCTCCGTATTTGCGCTTAAGAGGCTCATTGTCGGAGACGGGATCAAGACCGGCTGCTGCCAGGATCGACTGGTATTTCGGATTGTAGACACTGAGATGATTTTGCGAAGAGACTAGGATGGAAGTGCTTGAGAGACGTAGGAATGATTTCGCCGCCTTAACTATAAGAGTTGATTGTTCCTTGGGACCAGTCTCCGTCAAGTCGAAGGTCGTTAATATATCGTCATGCAATTGGTGTAGTATTCCCCCGGAAACTTGGATGCTGAAAGCTGTCGCATCTTTGGGTCCACCGGCAGATGCAGCTGGAAACTTGGTTGCTAACAGAGGCTGCACTGAGCGTTGCTGGCCCCCTTGGTGGGCCGAGGACCTGCTAGGAAAGGCAACGACGTGGAGTCTTCTCACGAAGGGGGTTTCCTTGGTTTTGGATATGATAACAAGAAGGTCTGGATTGAATCCATCCTCAGAGATTTCTTGAGGGAAGATGCCGAACACATCTTGACGGCCTTTAAATATGCCTTGCCTCGTAGCATAGGCATTCGTCAAATGTGCATATTCCACATCGACATCTTTGGCATGTCCTGTATCTATGTCCTGAGCAATCGCACCAGAGGGAGATGTCCATTTACTTTGGAGGCTTTCCCCATCCAAACATTGGATTTCTCCGTCTTTCTTGACAACTACAAGGTCTGATGCACTCGGCAAAACTTCTGGCCCAGATACTGCTGCAACAGCACCCATAAAGACAATGGGGTTTCCATGGTCTTTTACCACGTGGGAGGCAGCAGAAGATTTCGTGGAATGCCCCTCTGTCAGATCTCGAAAGAGGGTGACTTGTGATTGGGTTCCGGCAGTTGATGCATAGGTTCGCCGTTCCACCTTGTGTTTTGAGATCCGGGTCCTCAGTGAGCTGGGGGGGCATGTGAAGGATGATTGTGGTGGAAGTGCGTATGAAGTGATCAGCCTTGAGGAGGATATCTGGGAATACGTTAGAATATTTCTCGCTCTCGGGACTTAAAACAGTATAGTCTAGAGGCCTTACGTCGTATAGATTTATACTCTCGCCATCAACTCCAACGGCCAACTCTGATCTCTTCCTCTTTTTGGATCCAGGTGCCCCTCCATAGACGTTGCCCACAACATAACGACCATTTTTGCGATCAATGGGTTTTGGCAAAGGGGCCACAACATAGGGCGTTTGCAGCGAGAATTTTGCGGACATCGTGGGGTCCTGTTGCGAAACAATTCGATTCTTTGCGCTGCTGTTGATCGAGCTCCCAAGCGGTCTATCAGAAAATATTTTGGCGGTCGAAAAGTTCATCCACAGTTGCAGGGCCCCGAAGGCGCTAGCTAGGGTGGCCCGCGCCGCACTTTAGAAACGTGCAAATCGCGGGTTGGAACGCGACTTCTTGTCATCGCCATAAATCTACCTGTTCAGGTCCTCGGGGTTTCTTTTTGATCAATCGACGGTTTTCTGATATTATACTTGGTTGCGCATATCTCATGAATAATGATACAGCCGCCCTCCTACACACTCAAATCAATATATTATTAGTTCAGCTTCAACCAGTACACGCCGGGATGATGAGATCCAGTTAAGAGCCCCGTCGCACGCGTGAGCGTCGCGTGCGGCTAGAGCATCTACACTTTCCACTGAACTCGAATGGCAACTCTAGCTGCAATGACCATGGGGGAGTTGAATGAGGACCGGAAAGGTGTCTATCCTCTTTTTCAGAAAGTCTTAAGTATGGTGCCGTACTCTCCTGGGCCCTCAAATCCATATTCGTTATGCTGTTATTAACCCCCCATCATAGAGGCAGCCGAAACCAAATCAGACGAAGTCGACGTCCAGACCCCTCCACAAATTTCGGAGCTTCCATCGAGTGCGAATACCAAGAAGGCATCTAGTCAGAAGGGTAGGAAACCAAAGCAGGCGGCACCATCCAAAAATGGTGGTTCCATGCCTACTATGCCCCAAGAGCTTCAAAATGCCCGGGCAGAACTACTGGAGGTTGACCTAAATGACGGCAGAAAAAAACGAAGAAAGACAGCGTCGCCTGTGGATGAGGCGCGATTTGGAGTGGTTGGGGATAATAGCATTTCAGGCATTTCAGGGACGAAACACCCCCAAGGGGGGCAAGGGGAAACGCTCCTGGAGGCAAATGAGATAGCTGCAGCAACTGAGAGGTCCAAAGTACCAGACAGCCCGCTCAATCTAGAAATAGATTCAAGGCAGAATAGTGGCGAAGGTTCAACAACGAATCATTCGCAATCATTAATAAAGCCACCAACTCAGAGTCAACAGCCAGCTCCACCACCATCCGTCGATTCAGGGAACAGTGAACCTCCAGGAACCGCCCACTTACCGGCTACGACTCCTCCCACACCCGAATCCAATTCCACAGATCGACCCTTGGAAATCAACTCTACAAAGATAAATTCTATCGAAAACAAACCCAAAAAGATTCTCCGATGGAACCCAAAAACTGGAACTATTGGATCACCCCCACCAAAGAAATCATTACCACCTATTGAATCGACTTGCAAAACGTCTACCCCAACCGCTGCGGGGCGACGCAAGTCCAGAATCGTGACCATCCGCTATGGCCACGGTTACCGCCTCTCCGTAGGAGTTGGTCTCAGAATAAATCAAATCTTAACCGGTTCGAAACCCGTTTCTCCTTTTCCTGAAAATCCAGCTACTATTCCTACCGATATTACTCCCGGCCCAGTCAATGGCCCCGATCCAGCTCCACCAAAGAAGCCAAAAGCAATTCATCCCTTATTCATGGGTAAAGCCGCTTCAAAGTCCTCAAATCTAAAAGACATCATTACCACACGATCCAAATCCACAGAGGTCACCAGTCCACAGAGATCTAAATTTGTGGGAAGGACTAAGTTACAATCACAGGAGGGGCTGCGACCTCTATGTACGCCATCTGAATTAGCCTTTTCCGGGTTTGGAAAATCTAATGGAATCCTCAAGTTTCCTGGCGCAGTCGAACCAGCTTGGCCCTGGAAGGGCATGGTCCATGTTCGTGGGGATGAAAGCCCCTTCAACCCTATGCCACCCAATTCCAGCGACATGTTACAGCTTCAATTACGACCTAAGAAGTCGAAATATCAAGCTGTTGAGGTTCTAGAACATGAGGATGTTATTGCGGTACTATCAAAGACTTTAAATATCAATGATGTCCTCGGGAACATTCGAAAACTCAATCCCGATGAGTTCCCCCCAAGTCCCGCATGCCTTCGGGTCCCGACCAGGCACTACGAAGGTGGAAGTGCTCTCCAGAGGCGGGTCCGAAAAGAACTCCGCGCAAGAATCCCCATTCCCAAACCGGCACAGGACAGTTCAAGCGAGGAAGAACTTCAGCAGAATGGCGCGACTCAGACGCAAACCCACCCAGCGTTAACCAAGATTTATAACTTAATCGCCACTTCGCTGTCTGCGTTCGACCAGGGACAATGCGAAACACAGACTTGGACACAAAAGTATTCCCCTAATTGTGCGCCGGAGGTCCTACAGAGTGGACGAGAAGCTTTGATCCTGAAAGACTGGTTGCAAACCTTAACTGTGAAATCTGTGGAAACGGGAGCTGGAGATAAATCCAGAAGTCGTGGTTCATCCGTTTCGAAGGTTGGACTGAAGCTTGACAATAAAAAGAGAAAAAGAAAGACCAAAAAGCTTGACGGTTTTGTGGTTTCAAGTGATGAGGAAGACGATGACATGGATGAGCTCACAGATGCCGAAGACGATGTCTCGAGTCTTGGTGGTTCCTCCTTACTTAAGAAAACGGTTATCAGAGCCGGCGACACAGCTCACAGGGGGAATAAAGAGCCCCCGAGATTGATAAATGCTGTCGTCGTTAGCGGGCCCCATGGCTGTGGAAAGTCTGCTTCTATTTATGCTGTGGCAAAAGAATTAGGGTTTGAGATTTTCGAGATCAATTCAGGTAGCCGGCGCAGTGGGAAGGATATTCTTGAAAAGGTTGGCGATATGACACGCAATCACCTCGTCCAACAGTCGCATAGCGAAGTTTCAGTTGACGATGAGAATGAGAATGAACAGGTCGACGAAGCCCTTGCCAGGGATCTAAAGACTGGCCGACAAGGAACAATGAATTCATTTTTTAAGCCGAAACAGCCCACCAATTCAAAAACAACAACCCCCAAGCGGACGCAACCCAGTGGGAAGACCAACGGCAAAAGGGAGGATGTCATTCCAAAGGCGCCAGCAAAGCAGCAAAAGCAGTCTTTAATTTTAATCGAGGAAGCGGATATTATCTTCGAAGAAGACAAGCAATTTTGGGCGACCATTTTGTCGCTAGTAGCTCAGTCGAAGCGGCCAATTATCATCACATGCAATGATGAATCTACCATACCGCTATCCTCTTTGTCATTGCACGCAATAATCCGTTTCAACCCTCCCCCTGTTGACCTTGCCGTGGACTACATGCTGTTGGTTGCTGCCTGTGAAGGCCATATTATTCAACGTAATGCCGTCACGACTCTGTACGAAAGTCGGAATCTAGATCTCCGTGCTTCATTGATGGAGTTGAATCTATGGTGTCAATTTGCTGTAGGCGACTGTAAGAGCGGACTGGACTGGTTCTTACCCCGCTGGCCCAAAGGGAACGACATCAATGAAGACGGAGAAACCATTCGTGTTGTTAGCGAAGGGACGTATGAGACTGGTATGGGGTGGCTGTCTCAAGATAACCTTGAAAGCCACGCACACTATCTCGATATTGAAGAGGAGATGCTCCATGAAGCCTGGGATGGGTGGCACCTAGACGCTGGCGACTGGCAGAAAACGATCCCTGTGGAGTCATGGGCAGCCAAAACCCAGGAAATCTCGAATGATAAAAGGGATGAGCGAGCTGCTCTAGAAATCTACGATGAATTCACAGATGCTATTAGTGCTGCAGATCTATGTTCTGGGAGTGCCTTTGCACCACACTATCAGGTACGAGCCGCCGCCGCGCTCTTTTCTCGGTATAGTGTTAACTTTTATAGATGCCCATCGATGCGACATTACCCACCTTATCAACTAAGTTACGAGAGGATTATGTTCTCGCTCATGACCTACTAGAGGCCTCGCCTCTAGTGGACTTCAAACCAGTTACCAAAGAGATCGCTCTGTGGATGAAATCGAGGGCCAGGAAATACATGCAGGTCGATCAGCATGTCCGTCATTCTTTAGAGGTTCCCGCCGAGCTGGATTCGCCAAGTGAAGGCCGTTTAATCCAGCTTATAGCAAAACAGGTTTGCAAACCCGAGTCGAGGATTTGCCGGCGTGACTTTAGCTTAGCATTCGACCCCATATCTGAGCCAGAAAAACCATCTCTTTCCAGTACAAGCTCTCTGGAAGCATCATCCTTTGATCGGACAATTACCATGATATCGACGGACTTAGCTCCATATGTCCGATCAATTGTATTGTACGACGCTCGTCTACAGCAAGATCGTGCACGGATGAGCAACCTACTAAGCGAGGGTGGGAGAAAAGGAAAACGGATGAGAACAACCCGAGCTGCCATATCCGCCCTCGAAGGCGGTGCGAGGAGCACAACTCGGAGGGATAGATACTTTGGTTCGAAGTTAAATCCTCACTTTGTTCTCAAAACTGGCGGGGAAAATTGGCCGGACGCTGCTTTGGCTGACGAAAAGCCCAAACGACGAGATGGAAGCCCAAGTAAAGGAAGCGGGGGGTGCCTTGGAAGTGAGCAAAGTAGCAACGAATATGATGAGCTAGGTCAGGAGGACGACATTAGTACAGATCAGAAATCGGGCCAAGGAGTTTAGGAAGCAAGAAGGGATCCAAGGAATTAACCTATTGTGTATTGTGGGCGAAAGGATTCATCAAGGCACCTGGCCATAGATTCGATGAGGAAGGCATTGTGGTAAATATAATGCGAAGCATTTACAGATGAGCATTGGCGTAGGTTCCTGGGAGCATTTACACGAGGCATTACAAGTCTTCATCGGAATGTACCTTTAGGACATAGACTAGATAACTTGCATAAATAGGATTGAGTCTAAATCATTGCGTTTTCAGCGCCATTGCCTACACAACTACTGAATTAATGTTAAAATTTCAGTGGGTAAGGGTAATGTAACTCTCCTCAGTGTGGTACTCCAATCAATGTGAGCGGGGTATCATCTATAAATCAATCCTCCCCTTACAGAAGTTGGCTGCCTCCCTCGTTATCTTAGGGCCCCGAAGGAAATAATGGAGTTTCAAAACAGGATTGGCTTGGATTTATACCCCTGGCGTTACCAGCTCGCGAGGGGGTGTCCAAGAGCAAGTGGGCCTACAAACGCCTACTCACACTTTTTTTTAACAACGAGTTCTTGCAAATTCAAAAGGTAACTAACTAGACGACCAAATATGGTCTTGTCAACACGTTGCTAACCTAATACAGTAGTCAGAACAGTGGCGAACTACCTAGGTATATGCCAGGAGTCGCAAGATGCCTATCAAGTGATACGAGCCGTTAATAAATATAAAGAACGGTAGGTCGAATGAGACAGGAGCAGGGAAGGGAATTTTGCTGATTTATCGGTCCATGTAGTACTACTACCATTCTGTTCGAGTATTGGAATTGCCACCTGCAGTATCTGTGACCTGATCAGCTTCTGTTTTTGAAGTAAGGTGTTGCTATATTTTGTAACTGGAAACAAGGACAATAGCCTTGAGTAAATTACCAACGTGATAAGACTGCGACTGCCAGATCTCACCTTATCCTTTCGCTTTTCTACTTCTTTCGCACATGATATGCCTCTACGCATCGGACATGTTCTTCGAGGAGGGAAACGGAAATATGAGCTGCTGGAACAGTTAAAAGATTCCAGCGTCCTCGATGCCCGGGTGTTATCCAACGCTTCTATCCAGCGAGAATAGTATGGCTTCCCCCATGTGCTACAGTGACCAAGTGCTCACTGTCACTTCAGGGCTGTGATGAAATGTGTTGCTACTACGGATTAACGACGAGGGAATTGCCTGGACGTGTGAATACCACAATTACGGGATCTCCCGAAATTGTGTCATGTCTATTTATTCGGGATTTGTACGAATCGTATGGCTAAATGAAGATCCACGCGACCCGCCGCATCTAATATTTGAATAAATGGACCTCGACTCGCGATCTGTGCTGGCCAACTGATTTCGAGGCGACCCAAGGTTACCCAAAACTGTGTCTAAAGCGATCCTGTCAGCTCTTGACCGTTTCAAGAAGCTCAGCGCTGTCTGTACAGGTAGCTGTGTCTGCCATTAATACTCCTAGTACTAGATGAGTAAACATTAATATAAACAATATCTGCGTCTCAGACATCGACGAGCCTTCCCCGATTGCTAAGTTGGGGGATCTAGGGAATTATAAGGCTTCCTCTTCCTCCATAACCATCAACAATTCTTACGCTCGTAGTGATTACAGAGGGTTTTATAAAACAACGTGGTCAAATCCTCTCATTCGGGCGGCCCAGGTATGGCAAGGCTTGGGGTATCAACATTCCTCCGATGTATGGCCACTTGGTGTTACGGTTTATTCTCGCACCTCCCTCTTCCGCGCGAACTAATAATTTAGAAGCTGGCACAACGGTTATCCCCGGAAGTCAACTTTAGTCCCAATGATAAGATAATCGGCGGGTTTATCGGAGCGTGATGTATCGCGAAAATCATCCGCGTTCGTGGTCCGCTAGGTCAGTTGATTGCCAACCATATAAAGAAGAGTTTGAACTTGCCGAACGATTAACGGTCACGATCAATCCTCATGATGGAAGACGCTCATTAAAGGAGGCACTTTGCGGGAGCAACTACGGCGGTTTCCAGATCCTCCGGTGCCTCCGCAAATACTGAATTTTGTCGAGCCTATACTTGTTTTCGACCATCGCAAGGAACCGACAGCTTCAGAGGCATTACGACATGCCTATTTGCAAACTTTTACATAAAGAAGAGGTTAGCTCTTGCCAAGCTTTTAAACGGTTGGAAATACTACAAAATGAGTGGACTGGAGGACTTCAATTTCCTTTTAAAGTGTGATCTAGCCAGGGTGGTATATCCCTCATCTTGCCAACTATTAAGAGCCTGGAACTTGGCTCGTGGCACCCCTCGAAAACCCCCCTAACCAAAATTTGCACTTGCAAAAATACCTCATAACCCTTATTAATTAGATCTTTAAGGGTAATATGATCTTGGCTCGCTACTCCTTTCTTTTCGTCTCGGCTACACAGGCAGTGAGGATATTCTGTTTATATAGAAAACGGCCAGGTTGCTTCAGCAAATAATGGGTTTGGTTTTCATTTGCATTTCCCGGATATACGTATATGTATATAGAATTAGGGAGATCTAGAGATAGGTAGAATATAAAATTACTCAGCTGCTAAATTTCCCACCGTCTCCCGCTAAAGGAATAAAACAATATCACAAGAGCTATACGATAAAGGTCAACACTACAAAGTACAGTACCAAAGACGTTTGACTAAGAAACTTGCTGCTTAATCATACACTGATCTATATAATAATTACTGTTTTGTAATATTACGTAGCTGAGAGGTGATTGTTCACGAGCAAAGCCCAAGCTGCTACCTCGCATCGGCATCGGCGGCTCTCCCTACTAGTCGACGTATTTCCCCTAACCCGGGTCCTGGAGCAGAGCGCGGCCCCCCGAACTTGGTCCCACCAACCACCACCCAGCACGCTACACCTTCCATCGCGTGCAAATATCTCCGCCGGCGCCCTTCCCTATGACGATCCTACCTATCAATTATATACTTTTCGATATGCGGGATTTATGCGCCCAGCTGGGGAATCCCCAGGATTTTAAGAAACCTTATATCTCCGCGGACCGGACCGGCAGGTTAACTTCCGGCAGATAAACAGACAGCCATACCGATATATCTCCGCGTCGTCTCGGAGTGAGGGCGGCTTCCATCGACAAGTGCAAAGCGAGACTGGGGAACTTTCGGAGAGCGGAAAGTGCGGGTGATGGAGTTTTACGGAAATTACGGCCAGGTCCATCTTGGTATACGGCCGCGTGATGCCGGCGCGACTGTGAACGGTCAGGAGGAAGGGCTCTTTTGCCAAAGGCGAGTGAGTGGCATGATTGCATCGGTTCGCTTGACAAATGGCGGAGGCCAAGTGGGAGGGGCGTTGCTGTAATACATAAGATATGAGGGATGGCCGGCCGTGGCAATGTTACAGATCTTGAACTGTTCTCCTCTTTGATAAATTGATCCACCAAACAGTAACCGATTTGCGGGGAAGGGCTACAGTTTACTGCTAATTCCAATCCTTGGCAAGTTGAAGGCTTGGGACCTGTTTAACATGAAGATGCAGAATCAGCCAGAATGTTTCCGTGGAAACGAAAACTATGTTGCTGATCCTGGGTTCAAATTCGAGGAGCTTTGGGGAGCTCCGGTAGACCGCGCTGTTGGAGATTCCTATCCAACGCGCGAAGATGAGCTGTTTCATGACAGGAGTCTATTGACTGACGTGAGTTTCCAGCATTCTTCATATAGGAAAAGGGGTCAATGCTAATAACGTGACGGTAAAGAACTCACCCACTTTCCGTCTCGATAACTCCTTCGACTGCTGGGAGTTGCCTCTTCCCGTAGCGCTGTGGACCACATTTCAACAACCCTCAGTGCCATCCACATCGCATATTCAACGCCAGGGTGAAGACAATGGTACCACTGGTAGCTGGTCGCCGCCGTGTGAGGAAAATGAAGGAGAAGGCGACTTGACTTTTGAGGCACCATCGGCTGCATTTGAGTACATGACGTCCGGAAAATCATTGCCTCCGCTCCAAGAGCTCAGCTGGTCCCCTACGTCCTCTCATTCAACTGCATCACCCCCTCAGACGCCTATCCAGTCGACCACAAAACAATACACGGCATATCCCCACCCCCCACCACAAAGCACAAAAATAACTAAAAGGGATAGACTAGAGGTAGGCTTAATATCTCTACTTTTTGTGCGATGGTCAAAGAGAGTTAACTAATAAGCCGAAATAGAAACGACGCGAGAAAAACCGCACTTCTCAAAGAAAATATCGGGAGCGAAAAGAAAAATACATCCATGATTTGGAACAGCAATGTAGGGACTTGCAGCGCAAGTACGACTTGTTGGTTGGGCTGCTTCCTGATGGCAGAAGGGATACCTTAGAACTAGAGGAATTGGGTGACAGGGAGGAGTGGAAATTACCAGAGGCTGATGAGTCTTAGTTGGCAAACTTGTTATTTGGAAAACCTCTGGGCTTGCATTGTGAAGGTGCAATGGTTGGTATACCAGGGGGTGTGGCAAGGAGTATAGTTGATGGATGGCGTTTCGGAAGAGGATCAGTGACATGTTGAGGGCGAATTTGGCGTTGCGAAACAAATGAACATTAATGGACCATCGATAACGGAGAGAAATACCATATTATTTATAATGAGAATGTTTTCTCAGAATTGCTTATGAAATAATGACTGTTCGTATATATGGAATATACGGCGAGTAGTGATTACATTCTCGCCAGTGGTTGTGCGTTAGTTTCTATAGCCGATCGATATCCATAGAAATTATTCCAACGTCTTCGACTTTGGCATGAAGCCTAGCTAATTGCCAGAGCATCTACCGTTGCTCAGTTGTGGATAGGGTAAATCCATGCCTTTATAGGAATTTTGGTAGCAAGGTATTGCTAGTAACCCAAGTTGAGATTGCACTCGTTAACGCGGAGCAATGACGTAGTCACTCGAATTGCGTCCGTTCCCACATAATTTAGGAAGCTCTTTGCTACAGGACAATACTCTGCAAGATCAACTTGATCTAGAGCTATGTGGTTGGGCCCATCACAACATTTAGCAACTTTTTCAGTACCCCTAGGAAACATGGACCCAGACAAAGTGGATAAGTGCATCTGTGAGTATACTATACTCGAGAGGTATAGACTCGGATATTCCTTGAAAAGACATGCAACGACCCTTTGGTGAAAACCATGACTGCGAGCTTGTGCGGTCTGTGACATAGTATAAACACATATATAGCACTCGATTTAAAGGTTCTGCGCTTCTTCTCTGTGCCGGTACTTAACTCCATTCACAACTTTGCGAATCCGCTCGAAACAGTAGCAGATATCGATTCTATCACCCTTTAATTTTAAGGATTAGTAGCATCGTTGATGATGGGGAAGAATAATAAGGTGGGAAGTAGCTCGAATGATATCTGCACGGCAATAGTGAACGGCTGTGTCAAGTGTATGAACACCATTTACAAAAGCTTCCGTTCATCGAATTACGCTTATTCGAAGGCAAAACGAACTTCACGATCCTCTCGGGAACTCCTTCAAAAAGACAAAACATCAATGACCACATCGCAACTAGCGAGGAAATTTTCCGACGGAACAGTGATGATATATAGTTTTAGGCCAGAAAGGAAGTCGTCTCACCGGGAGGTTCCCAATTACCAAATTGCTGATGATTCCGGAAATTGCCCGAGAAAAGGCTCGAAGTTAATAGGATAACAACGTATCACTGGATTCAAGCCCATAGGCTAGAACCTGCTCAGTCACCCTATTCCCGCAAATGTTTCAAGTTTAACTGCGGTCTTAAGTTGGATGACCACCTTCGAACTGGGTCGCTGCACGATAGAGCTCTGCGAATTTATAGCGAGGACGTAACTGGTCTCTCTCAGCAACGGCGCTCTCGAGCTTAGTGGATTGCCGCATATTAGCAGCTCTCTATGCCAAAGTAGAGAGTACGTCGCGTATAAGCAGAATGGACGTGCTCGGTCCCTCGGTCCCCAGGGCCACCCTAATTCGAAATATATTTCCTGGTACGTGGACCACTACCCCTTTATTGTGCAGAGTTGTCACTTTCCCCAAGTTTTATGTTTCTCAGATGCTTCCCAGTGGGATATCCGTACCCGCCATAGGGTAATTGGGCAATGGCTGTCGTTGATCCCTTTCTGACTGCTGTTTCCGCAAATTGAGAAGTCGAATTCGATTCATATAACACTCTGGCCCAAGCAGACATCGATTTAAAATCGGTTTCCAACGACCTGTACCATGTTGTTTTGCGTCAACGGGTTCGCTTCACCGGTGATATTCGTCTGGTTGACGACAGATATAGAGGCATTATGGGAGGAGGCCATCCGTGGTGGGTGTAATTCGATGACGTAGTTATTAAAATGAGTCTAGAGGAAATGTACACCGGTTCCTGTGAATTTAACTCCCATCATCGTGTGTTATATAGTAGGATAATTATACCAACCCATCTAGGATGCTTAAGGAGCCATCTGGTTTGTCGAAAGAAATCAAGTAGGGCGCTGTCGACAGCCAGCTGAAATTCCACGGTCGAAGGCCTGAGAGCTGTCGATGCTTCCGTTCTTCCCTGTCATCGCTGATTGCTGTATCCAAAATGCTGAAAACATGATTGCTGAAAAAGATATGTTTGTATCGCTAGGTGGAAAGGAAGGCCCAGTAAACCGGCGATACGGGCGTCGGTATGGTATCAATATGGCCAAGCCTAGGCACCCCAATGTTCCTAGGTCCAAGACGGGAAACCTCTTAGATTATTATGTCCTAGCAAGGAAATTGTGCTTACATGTTATGTAAGCGTGACCCTACTGCGAGAGGGCGAATGATGCTGCCGCGGTCTATTCCAGATCAAATTGCCCCTCCAATATCGACATAAGGTTTTGCTTTATAGTGTATGTAGTATTGCTTCATTGTTGCAAAATGATGACAGCGAGTGGGTTGGTTGAATGGGTTTGAGTAGCTAATTGCCCATGACACTGTGGTGGACTGAAATAGGAAATTCCTGACGGCCGTAATTTACAAACGCGTCTCAGCCCTCAGTACGTAGCACGAAGTACCGAATCAAGGGCGCTATAACTTTCAGGCCTTTCAATCGTCCGTGACATTCAGATTAAAGACGTTAAGTGGCCTGTCCACACCCCTAAGACAGTTATCGATTGCTGGAAGCACCCAAAAAATGATTTTAGTGATGGATGGCCTTCTCCCGCAATGAATCAATATTGTCCCATGTAACGTTGAAGCCAGGAGCTGTACAAGAATGTACCCCTCTCAGATATTTCTTAAAAGGGGAAGATTCGATACAACCAATAGCTTGCAGCCTCGATGCATGATCAAACGTATTTCCCCCGAATATCAGCGACTGGGAGACCCTCCTGCGGTCCTCAAAGCCAGCTTTTGCCTATCACTCCGCGTCGTACTATGGCCAATACCTACTAGCAAGAACGAGGGTAGTCCACGTCGGCGTCCCCTGTGAAAATCCGCCGCTAAGTCGGAGTCCGGATGTCATCCGTTGGTTGCAAATGAATACCTGTATTTCATTCTTGGTCAAGCTTATCTATGCCACCACACTAATTCGAGACTGGGAGTCATGAATCTTATGACGGCCAGGTGACCCTCTTCATGCTCATTGTTACTCTAACCCAGTTTTGGAGAGATGAGAGGCTTGGTCCATATTGATCCATCACCGTGCCGGGAGATTTACAAGAAACCTAGCCCCGGGGTTTCGACAATGTAGTATGGGCAGGAACTGCTGCAAAGTCCTTTGACGGTGGCGTGGGAGAGAAACGGCGGCCGAGTTATGGTCAAACACATCCCGCAGTTGCTGCCTGGGAATGGCATACTCTAGTGACGGTCGTTTGGAAATTTGGATGCCACGAACAACGTTTGGCCTATGATTTGATCCACGAAGCACTGGGCATACGGTGCAGTTATCGAATCATCTTCCATCTCCAACTCAGCTCCAGGGAGCTCGTACGACGAACGAAAGTCCTGTACGGTAAGCAGCGGCACATGCCGCAGGTTGGTTACCCCCTAAAACGTTAGGCCAGTGCCGTGGCTAGGACCACAGCCACCCCCTCTCCCTGATGTATGTCAAGGGAGGTTCGATTCGAAAGAAGGCAGACAGGTATCTACGTGATGTACGGAGTACAAAGTAAGGGGATAGGCTTCCACAATTGGGGCTGTCGTCGTGGGTGTCAGTGGGGAGCCACCAGGATCGACCGTCGGACGCGAGGACGCCACCAAACACCACAGATTTCACTTCCTATTCCAGTCCATTGCTCATGCCCATCCAGGAAAGATATTCGAACGAGCATGTCCGTCTAACCACGGTTGTGGCAGGCACAAACACTTCCAGCTTCAAGATGCTCCAACGCCTTATTGGTGCTTGATATCCTAGTATTTCAGTCGTTGGTTGCCAATTTCTTCCGGAAGGCCCCACATACTGTGAGGAGGAAAGCAAAAGAAGAAAAAAACCGTTAGCATGACAGCACTTTACTCAATCGGTAGAGCTTTGGATGAATCGTTCCCTCTCTTGATGTGCCCCTTCAATAAACTTAAGATGCCCATTAACCACAAAGTCCTTAAAGGGTATGCCTAGTTCAATATTTCGGCACATTGCCTGAGTAAGATACTCTCGTCGGTGCTTCATCCAAGGCGGTCAAGGCCACGGTACTCGAAGCCGGTGGTGTCATCATAAAAGCAGTGGCGTCGAGGATCCTAGCAGCCGCGATGGCCGACAAGGTTAAGCACTGTCGGGCAAACCCTGAGTAGCCATAGGCAAGGGCAACTTGGACAAGTTGGGGTGGGAGGCTGATTGGCGATATAAATCTCGCCAAAGGACAAGCAACCATAATGGACGCAACGGCCCATACCGGTTGAGGATGGTGGTAATTTTGGAGCTATTCCTTGAGCCAGTCGTGCTGATTAATGTGACGTGGGCTGGCAGGGGACCATCTAGTAGGGCATTAAAGGAGAATAGAGATGGTCGGGGATTGAAAAATAGGTGTGGTATGAAGTATATTTTGCTGATAAAATCCGGACTCCTATCACGAAGGCTTCTTCCTGGACGCCACTTCCGAAAGATCCAGTGGTTCGGCTTACATTGGCACAAGTTTGGCGAGTATTTTCCTGGCCAATCTCGGAATTCGGTTGTCATATTTTCTACAAAGGGATTGGTGCCTGGAAGGAAATAGAGGCAGCAAATCGTGCGGGAGACCTTGACGGATCATTAACCCCTATGTTTCTTGAAGGCCTCATGCACAGTGACACCACTCTCAACGTCTTCCTTCACGCGATCATCCGCCTCAAGAAGAGCGGGTAATATGTCGAGGACATTCGAGACTTTCTCCTTTGGAATGACAACAACGCCGTTCGTGGGGTCGCTGAAGACAAGGTCTCCAGGCTTAACAATGGTGCCATCAATGTCTAGTGACACTTGGAGAGCGTGAGGTTTGGCCTCCGCCCCTGCCCCAACCACTGAGGTTGCTTTCGCCCATATCTGGTAGTACAATGAGTTGACGCCCGGTGAATATATAGATTTGACGAAAAGAAAGGGCTAGTATATCATAACCGATAGGGTAGCGCAGCACATGGAAGTCTCTGCATGGAAGTGTAGAGAGTTTAAGCAAACACATTCAGCTCAGACGGAGACGGATGATCGACGGACCATGTCCTCCAATAATACGACGTATAGAAAAATGACGGACACAGGGCATTGGAGGAAAGGGAGGATGCATTATGTGCATGCTAGACTTACTGGCAACCCTGTTGACTGCAGTTCAGTCATATCTCTTACTCTTCCGTTTACAACGATGCCCTTGGCATTGAGAACCTTCATTCTCAACGCCATAATCCCACCCAGGACAGCGCATCTCTGACCGTCGGGTTGGCTTAGGACAACAATGGTCTCGGGCTCAGTCAAATCAACATAATGGCGGCCGACCGGAATATTTCCAGGAGGAAGTTGAGTAGTGTCTCGACCACTCTTTGAGGCAAAGACAATAGTGGAAGCTGGCGCTATAGTAACCTGGCCGTTTGTGGAGGCGCCGGAAGGTGCATACAGCTTCAGATCGGAAAGAAAGCCTGCATTGGGCACGTGCAGTTTCAGGAGGGCATCGGCGATGTCGCATGCCGTGTATTTCTTCAGAAGCTCAAGAGATTGGCGGGCAAGCGTTGCGGAGGAGACGGTGGCCATGGTCTAAGGGTGGTGTTGATGGTGATGGTGGTGGTGGTGGTAGCCGGCGATGCAATGGGATCAGAACAAGTTGCTGGGTCTAGCTCTGAGGCTGGACTCTGGACTCTGGATTCTGTTAAGAGACAGCTAGTTCGTTTAGGAGGGACACTAATGAGAATAGGGAATGGGGCCACAGAGAGACGGTGGTATTTTATTATTGGTAGGTAGGTGGTAGCAGGATAAGGTGTGCGTTGTTGTGTTTTCCCGCAACCTCGGTAAGAGAACGAGGTAGCAAAGATGATGCTGCTATTATGCTACTTTGTACGTCCCACCAGCATGGAGGCGGAGGTTCAAGTTAGGGGGAGAACTGGGAGGATGCAACGTAATAGTGCTATTGCCCCCCACTTGCTGCAATTAGGTGCCAATGTTGTTTGTACGCAGGCGCCTTCTTCAGTGCCTACGTACCTTTAGGTACTGAACATACTGTATGTAGGTATTCACGACGACATCTAGATACGTACCTTACCTTAGCTACCTAGGTACCTTTGCCTTAGGTAGTACTACGTTCTTGATACTCATTCGTACCTTGATATCTACTTGATTCAATACCTCACTACCCACCAGCCCTATCAAGGATCTTAAGTAAGGGCCACTTGGTAGTTCCGCGATGCCAACAGCTCAAGGAAGCGGCCCAAGCTGATTAAGCTGTTAAAAGTGGCTAGGAAGGTAGACAGAGTCTGACAGACCCCTATATTCCTGTTTCACTAACTCATCTCGACATCCGTGGTACAGAACAGTACTTCGCGGTCAAGGACGTGTTTCTACGCAAGATTTGCAAGCATTGCACTCTGTAGCTAGGTCAGCTCCATCACAGCACATAATGCTCCTGGAGACGGATGCAGAGATAACACTTGCCGGTAGCAGGATAGCCACTGATCCTTCCAACTGCAACTGCATCTGCATCTGCGTCTGCAGGCTATAGCGGAGGATGCCCCCTATATAGCCAGCAGAAGGAAATAGTGCGACGTGATAGACGGCCTCGTTGCTGCATGGAGATATCGGCAGCATGAGGGTATTCGCGGCTCGTACTTCGTACATGGCGGCGACTAGAATTGCATGGGCGTGGTCCCCATCTAAATCAGAGATAATTCATCCTGTTATTCGCACCAAGCTGGCTGGCTTGCACCTCGTCCTCCACCCCCACCTGTCCTCCCGTCTTACTCTGCTCCCATCCACAACCACGCATCTTGGGCGCATCAAGCCTCACTCCTCGACCAACTACACGTGCATTACGTGCATTCCTCCTATTCCTATTCCTCCTCCTCTCTCCTCTCTTCCTTGTCTCTCTTGCGTTTCCGACAACCACAACCACCACCACAACCCTTCCCACAAGCACGGCACGACCTGGCCCGACCCGGCCGCCCTCCCCGATCTACACTCTAACGCCATCCTGACCTGTAACTTGTAAGGCGTCCAGAGTCCAGGGGAGTGAGCTTTCCCGCGACCCCACCCGTCTGCATACTGCCATACTGGAGCTGGCGCCGCGGTTTCCTAGACAATCAGAGCAGCAACGTCCGAGCCAGAACCAGGTGCCGAGCTAGAGCCCAGAGGTAGAGCGGACACTATTCCCCAGGTTGATATCATATTATCATGGCTGTCAAGTAAGTCTTCTCTCGTCCTATTTCCCTTACGGCACAGCCTATCTAGGGTCGTCCAGCTATACACACATTTTTCTTTCTCCTCTGCACGAGCAAGAGCATATCATACTTTCAAACCTGATTTCATCATTCCACTTCGTCGAGTTATCATGTACCAGTTCCACCAAGAACAGCTTTCCTATTCGTTGCTGGCAGCGCAAGAGAAGAAGCTAAAAGCTCGCAAAAGCTGGGTTATGACAAGCCCGGGGTCCGAGAGCTTCATCAAACTACCAAATGAGGAGATCCTCTTCAGTTCGCCTCAACGAACGAGCCTCCAACTCTCTACCCCAAACACATATCCCGGGTCCCAACCGTACTCTGCCAAGAGCGATGGCGGAATCGTCTACATCACAAACCAACGAGTATGCCACCATCAGATCCTGAAGCAAAGACGACCTACTGATACTGCCCCTCCAAGATAGTCTATCTACCCACAACACCGACCGCCGAACTCCAATCCTTCTCCTCCCCAATCCTCAACCTACAAGATACCTTCGTCCGCGCACCCTTCTTCGGTGCCAATTACTGGACCGCAAACGTGAAGCCTGTCTCAGGAGGGGGCATTCCCCCCACGAATTCTGCTATTGAACTACGATTAACATTTCGTGAAGGCGGTGCATTCGACTTCCACAATACCTACGAGCAAATAAAAGAGCGGTTATACCAAGCATATATGGTGGCCCGAGAAAGTGGTCGGGCGGGAGACTCAAACATGGATTTCGGAAACGTCCATTTAGAACAATTGCCTGCGTACGAGGCGTGCAGCACGGTAGAGGATGGCGATGAGCTAGAAGCACCTCCTTATGAGTCACCGAGAGAGGTAGAGAATCAAGAGGATGAGCCGAGAATATTAAGTCCAGTTCCTATACGGCCGACGAGGGATACGACCATTGGGGTAGAAAAGTCCAGTAGCAATAGCTAGCGGTCCTAAATATAACGTAACTATATATGCTAATTTTCTTGCTTAAGACTTTTCGATCAGTCTATGAACCGAATAGGTAGAGTAAGTAGCTTGAAGTTGCACCACACTCCCTTGAATGCCTCGAAAAACGCGCAATTTGGTCCGCTGGCCTCAACATTGGAAACAATCGCTCCCAGGTTACTATACCACGTTCAAGACTTGCTAGCAACATATTCCCCTCTACTGGATAGGCTCCTCTTATATACCACAGCAGAGAGTTTATCCCTCAATGAGAGGAAGGGTGATGTAGACAGCTGCTTGGGGGCTTGAGCAACAACTTGAACCAGCTCCGCGTATCTGTAAAAACATCATACTAGCAGTTTGCCCCAATTCCATATTATTGCCACGTAAAGTAATGAATTCGATAATCTCATAGCAAACTTGGCTGGCCTGAATTCCTAAATTACCCAACGTTGAAAGGTGATCATGTGATACTTTCCACGTGATATTCCGAAGCCATTCTGCCCAGCCAATAAAAACACATCAATTCCAAGCTTGGTGCACCCGGGTTCAATTTTCGAGCCGGACGACCTTACCTCGACACGACCTCTATCCATCGATCAATCAATTCCCGCATAACCCTACCCGATCCGTTGCACGCTTGTGATTGCGAACAATATGGGTATCTTCGATACTTTCGCCGATCTAATAGCTGCGGCCGCGCCATGGAGTGAAGCCGAAGCCGAAGCCCCTCAGGATGCCGGTACCGACGAGCAGAATGATGAGGGGGGTGTGAAGGTATGTCGTGCGCCTTGTTTCCTTGCGTTTTTATTCAGAAGATATGGAAAGGGGGGTATTGGTGTACTGGGAGTGGTTGGAGGGGGAAGCTGAAAGTTGAGTGTGAATGGGCAGATTCCATGCACGAGGGTTGGATGTACGATGGTCTGATATCGAGTGAGAGGAAGCATAGTTGCTGTATAAAAGACCAAAGGCCTCGTTTTTGAGAGTTGTTTGAATTAAAGCTAATGATATTGCGTTATAGAGCGATAGCGAAGAGAAGGAGGAGGAAGCCGGGGCAGAAGAAGAGGAGGAGGAGGAGGAGGAGATGGTCGATCCTAAGGAGACATTCGAAGAGGGTGAGTTGATTTCATGTGTCTGAGACAGGATCTATTTAGTCTAGGAGATGTCTGCGATGTGGGAGTCCCCTTTGAGCTACGGAGCGCGGGTGGCATTTGAAAGCTGCTGGACAATCGGATCTCTCCTTGGACTGGAAAATCGATGGCCTTGGCCCTACTTATCTTGGACAGACGTTGTGACGTGGGCATCTAAACTAACTTCGTGCAGAATGCAGAGAATCCAAGGCTTGCGCTCCGGCCAAGCACCACTTCGACGATTGCGTCGACCGTGTTACCACCGGTGTCAACAAGCTCTCTCCCAATGAAGATTGCGTTGAAGAGTGTAGGTGTTGCTAAGCTTCCTCTAGACCGCTGCTGATATCCAATATAGTCTTCCACCTCACACACTGCGCGACCGAATGTGCCGCCCCAAAGCTCTGGAAGGTGCTCAAATGAGCGATTTATCCTCATAATAGACGGCATCGAGCCTCCGCTGTCCTCGAATGATTATAGATGACCCGGAAGATGTGTTAGTGGGAGAGATGTTCGCATGGGCGATGTGTTCCGATTTGTTTTTGTACTATCTTCCAGAGACATCCCCTTTTCGCCGCACAATGCATGTAGTATAAGAAAGAATATAGATGGTGTCCTCATTGATTCGTGCTGTCCCTGGAAACAGTCTTTAACTGACATCCTAGAGACGTGAATGATAGCCATATTAGTAGAGGTCATCTCTTGTGGCATCACCTATTATATAGACCATTCCAAAAAGATTAGCAGCTGGTAGTGAGCTTGTGGCTTGTCTCTGCCACGGGCCATTGCACCAAGTCGGTTCTTTAGGACCGAGGCAATGTGACCTCTTGAAATCCGGGGTAGCGACTCCAAAAGGCGTAGCGCCCGCCCCGCTTCTGGGGACAATTCCCCCTCGTTCTGCGATCGTATTATTACTTGCTATTTCAGCAGCAATCATCTTTATATCTCTATCCTATGAATGAGCGGTTGCGAATAATCTTATCATTTATGGTTTGAAATCGAGTAATGCGCGGACGTCGCCTATATCGGGGACGCAACCATGGCGACCCACGCGGTGCAAGCTGGTGAAGCGAGGTCTGAAGGGGACACCCCAGACGGTAGGCATGAAGCATCCAACACTACACGCGACACGTCCAACCCGACGGTAAAAGAGAAGAACCAGGCTCAACACAGCGCACCAACTGTGTCGCATGGAGAGACGTTACCCGGGTGGACGATTATGCGGCCTTTAAGGATGCGCGCGAGGAACAATAATCGGGCGAGACATACTGCAGATGGAAACTTAGGAGGGAATGAGGACGGCATCGTTGATGGCGACAAGAAGGGCAGCGATGACCTTAAGGTTACGGAGACGAACGACACTGGCGATGGTTCGCGCGGAGTTGGGGAAGTCGAGTCTGCTGGGGATTTGAGAAGTGATGATGAATTACTGGATGAAGATGAGCAAGAAGACGGCGCAACCCGTCAGCAACACCAACATCATGTTCGAGCTGGTGGAGGAGGTAGCCAGCACAGGGGTGAAAATGGATTAGATGGCACGGCAGATGTTGGTGTAGGCGAATTTAAGGTGTACAAGAGGAGGTGGTTTGGCTTGGTTCAATTAGTCTTGCTGAACATCATCGTCAGTTGGGATGTGAGCACCCCTTATCTACAATCAAGCTTAATTTCCATGCTAAACCCTCCCATTAGTGGTTAACATTCTCTGCAAGTTCAAATACCGCTGCCCAATACTACGAAGTATCAGAATCAGCGGTCAATTGGCTTAGCACGGCTTTCCTCTTTGCCTTCGTCGTCGCCGCGCCCCTTACCATCTATACTCTCCACCGAGGAGGACCAAAACACTCTATTGTCACTGCATCTGTTCTTCTACTCCTTGGAAATTGGATTCGGTATGGGTCTACTAAGGCAGGGACACATGGGAGCTTCGGGGGTGTTTTGTTTGGACAGATTTTGACTGGTTTAGCGCAACCATTTGTTCTTTCGGCGCCGACCAGATATTCTGATCTTTGGTTCACAAATCGGGGGAGGGTTGCTGCTACGGCTGTCATGAGCCTGGCAAACCCATTTGGGGGCGCTCTAGCGCAACTCATCGGTCCGATGTGGGCAGTTTCGCCTGGAGATATACCAAATCTCGTGCTATATATTGCCATTATTGTACGCATGCTATACCCTTCAACTTGTACTTACGCTAACTACCGTATTAGTCCACTGTTGCCTCTGTCCCCTCATTGTTTCTCCCGGCGGCTCCCCCAACACCAAGTTCAGTATCAGGAACAACCCCTAAACAACCAGTCGCCGAATCCTTGAAATTTCTCTTCACGTCCCCGGAATTCTACATGATTTTAATTCCCTTCTGGCTCTACGTCGCCCTCTTCAACAGTCTCTCCTCTCTTATCAACCAAGTTTTAGAGCCATATGCCTTCTCCGAAACCGACGCCGGCATAGCAGGCGCACTCCTCATCGCTGTCGGCCTAGTCACTTCAGCGATCACCTCCCCAATAATCGACCGCACAAAATCATACCTCATAGGCATAAAAATCCAAGTCCCCATCATCGGCCTCGCCTATCTAGCCTATACCTGGGCACCCCAAACACGTAGCATCGCCGCAATATACACCATTCTCTCCGTCTTGGGCGCCGCTTCTTTCAGTCTCGTTCCTGTCGTCCTGGAATACCTGATCGAGATCACGCACCCTGTGTCACCAGGAGTTTCTAGTACGATATGTTGGACGGGCGGACAACTACTTGGTGGTATTTTCATACTTATTTCGGATGCGTTGCGTGATAGCGGTGTTAATGACGGGACAGCGGATGATGGAACTACGAGACCGCCAGGGAATATGTACCGCGCGTTGGTTTTCCAGACTGTTATGGCGCTGGTGGCCGTGCCTCTCCCGTTGATGTTAGGGTGTTTTGGCCGTGGTCATCGCGTTAGGATGAGGAGGATTGATGCGGATAAGGAAACAGATGGCATCGTGGACCAAAGTGTCTTGGTTTGATTTTTCTATTCCAGCTATAGACTCAGAAGAGACTTCCGTTTATACACCTGTCTGGCCAGGCCTTAAGAACCTATAATACCCTTGGGATAACAGTAATATAAAAAAACTCTATTGCGACCAAACGATCAAATACAAGGGCAATAGCCAAACGCATAAGCAAACCATTTGCTAGCTATCCTTTCTGGTAGCCCCCCTTAGGAGTCGGCCAGCCGGCATAACGTCGCTATTAACTCTAGCAGGTTATATATATCTAAATAAGGGAAACCCATTTAACGACAACCTAGCTCTTTAAGACACTCCCCACAAGTGTCACACGACAACTCATATCGAAGAGAAATATAACTAGGTCTAGCGACAGCCACGAAACGGCAGGGATTAGTTGGCTGTGGGCAACGAACTCTTTTTTGCCATTTTCCTCGTTCATTTTCCTACCATTTTGTCTTGTCTAGTTCTTTTAGCATTTTTTTAAAATAAAGCTTCCTCGCTTCGTATTTTGAAGTGGGAGTGAAGCGAAGACCGCGGTATTCCTTCGTAGTAAGTGTACCACTTAGCCGGCATAACCTCACTACTGACTTTGGCAGGCATATATGTTTTTGTTTAATAGTGATCGGGCATAACGAGGTCTTCCTAGAAAGTTCAGATATTAGATATCTTTCCCAAAAGGGTATCTACAAAACGAGCAGAGTTCAACTTTCAATTTACTCAATTCTACTAATCCTCCTTCGCTTCTCGATTCAGGAGAACTTGCTTAGCTCAGGACAACTTCCCTACATCCCCAACACCGAAAGATACTTACGCATAAATTTCCCAAGCCCTACGGACGACATTTGAGCACAGGAACACCCGCCGTCCACTTCACCCGTATATAGCTAATTCTCAAAGACACCTCACAAGAATCACTTGCAGCAATAGGCAGAGTAATAAAGTCCAAACACCATGATATTCAATTTATTTACTCCAGCCAAGCTATTGATCCGTCCCCAACAATCTCCATCGCAGCGATCATTAATCATGGTCATTCATGCCCTCGTGGGTAATTAAACATACGGCAAGAACGCGGAAGGTTCTTGTAGCCGAAGAAAAGGCGTCGAAGAAGTAGAGCAAGAAATGTAAAATAATCGTCCCAATTTGGCAGACACACGCACTTGCGTTCTCACTCTCAACTAGACCCTATGAAAAGTCCGTGGCATCATTAAACATAAATCCTCATCGCACCCTCGATCAGTGCTTTCTCATCCAAAAGAAAGCGGATACAAACTCCAATCCAGAACCGTGAACATAACACTCAAGGAGAGATTTAGCACAACACAATTCCTACAACCACCCACTGGCCACACCAACGGCACCATCCCTATTATTATTCTCCCCTCCCCCAAAACTTAATTTCATGTCAATCTTTGGCGGCTCAAACTCAGCAACCGGCTTCTTCGGACTCTTTCTAGTCGGACTCTTTTGAGTCTGCACACTAGGGCCACATCTGACGTCTTTAGTATCCCAACCATCCTCTGCAGCAGCGGAAACCCAACACCTTAGGCCAGCATGGACACAACCGTAGAACTTCTCCTTACAGAGGCGGAGAGTACAACCCATACATTTCTCCCAGCCAGAAATTCGCATTTGCTCGCGAAGCATGTTGCGCTCTGCTTGTGTGGGGAGGCACGCGATAATCCCGTTGACGAGTTCAAGGTGGGAGGCTAAGTAGTTGGTTGCATCCCATTCGACGCCGCCAACGTAGGGAGCTGCTGGGACGGGTGGTAGTTCTTGTGGGAAATGCTTAGACATGTATGCGCGATCGGGGTTGGAGGTGTCGAAGTTATTATTTGCATTGAATGAGGAAGTGGCATCATTTTGGTCATTATCGCTGGTTTTGGGTAGTGGGACGACATTTAGGTTGTGGAGGAAGATCCAGAAGACTTCCTTAGTGACATTTGTTACTTCTTTGCACCATACTCGATACGGGCGTTCACGTCGCATCTCGAGGACGAAACCAACAGGTCTTTGGGATTCGCTGGGTTCTTGGTCACGGAGATAACTTAAGAGCGTCTTTGATCTATGAGTTCGTTCCGACGGTGGTGCTGATTTGAGATAGGTAACTAGCAGAGAAGTGATGATGTTCCGGGTGGTGAATTCGCTGGGCCCTTTCTTCTCTTCATCGAAGAGCAGATGTAGAAGGGCCGGGAAGAGGGTAGTCTGGATATTCTCTAGATGTTGGAGTGCCAAAGCTGTGGTCGCAAGAGCCTTGACGCAAAGAAGTGCCTCGTGGAGTAAGGCATCTTCATGTTCCTCCCTACTCAACGTTAGCAATTAACCACCTAACTGCAAAGCATTACTGACCTCCACTCGACCTCCATGGTTCTGTGCAGCAACCCGACAATCTCTTCCATTCCACCTTGGCTAATGAATTCATCTGTCCAGGCAACGGTTTCATTACGGAGGAGCAGTCTGAGCTTATGTAAACGACCAACTTCTACCAATTCTGGCTTCTGGACCTTCCTAAGATAAGAAACGAAATCATCTGGCATCTGGCCCTTGGCCTTTGCAATCAATGTTTGTGCAACCGCCGCTCCAGTTATGGCTAGTGACTTGCTTCCTCCACTAATGCTCTCCGAAGATTTCGTTCGAGTATGTCGACTCATAATGGTATCTGACCTTGACTTCTTCGTTGGAGATGGGGGGTCCTTGCTGCTAGATCTCGATAGTGTAAACGTACGGCTCCTAGGTCTCTTCGGCTTGCTCTCAGCATCGCGGGTACCAGTGGCAGCGTCAGCACTTGAATCGCTACTGTTGGTTCCTGGTCTGCTATTCTTTGCAGCGGCTATCTCGGCCCAATCCTGCTTGACAAAATCCTTTTTCATAGACATTGCAAGGCTCCTCATCTTGCCACGCTGGTGCTCAGGAATATTGCGCCTATCCAACATGGCTTCGAACTCCCGGTCGACATTTTTGTCCTCGAGGATTGGTTCTACCTCTGCTTCTGGCACCTTTGGTCTGGAAGCACCGAATACCGACAGCACGCGTTGGCCTCTGTTCGCGGGCTTTTCGGGTTTAGCCTGCGCCGGCTTATTTCTTTCAAAGCTCGGTCGTTGTTCTCCAGAGATCTTTCGACTAATTTCTTCACTCCGCCTTGAACTACCTCCACTAACTCGTCTGCTAATATCTTGAATACTGAAACTGCTAGGAAGATATGTGCTTTTGGGTCGTTGGGAGCCATCATCTCGTCGAGCAAGCGAAGGTTGTGACCCGGGGCCGGCATAAAAATTTCGCTGTTTGCCAGGAGAATATTGTTGTGGCGTATACAGATCTATCTCATCTTCCAAGAATTTCCCGCCCGACGGCTGTTTCGCGAAACGCTCGCTGGAGAACTGGGCATAAATTGGTGGCCGGGAAAGTTCGGCAGGTGGTGGTATTATTGGGCTCCGGTTCTCCTTGTCTTTGATAGCACGAGCCTCGTCCTCCTCTGATCGCTTTCGTAAGCTCTTTGAGGACTTCGGACGTGATAGCAGACTAGCAAGATTGGTTGCGGATTTCGTCTTCTTGGGTTTCATAGGTTTACAATCTTTCGACTTGGATTGTTTATCCGTATCTTTCCCCGCCAGCGACTTTAAAGATATCGAGCTCAATGTCTTCTTGTGCAGTGACTTGAATGATCCATCTTGAGCTCTGTTCGCTTGCTTCCCCTCCTTGGACTTCCTGGGAGGTGGTGGAGGTTGACTTTGCTGATTCTGCTGAAGCTCTCCCAAAACCCTATGATGCGGGTGGTCTTGAGGGAGGAACGGCATATCTGGGTGATTGTTGTATGCTGGAGATGCAACGAAGACATCAGTCGGTGAGGTCGAGGATAGTGCGGCTCCTGCTGAAGGGGTTCGCTTGTGGATGAATGTCTTTAGTACAGATGATTTCCCTCGTTTGTGTTGATGTTGATAGGCATCTGGTAATGGATAGTGCGAATCCATGGTGAATAGTAATTGAAGAATAGAAGTTATGCTTCAATGCTGCAAATTATTGCTTCATGATAACATGGAAGTTGGATGTCCGTCAGCGGGTTGCCCGTGCCGATGTTGATGTTGTCGCGTTGCCATAGCAACCGCAACCCCTCCCCTTGCATTCTTCGCGTGCGGTCGCCAACCTCGAGTCTTGCATAGTACGTACCTAATAAAGTACCTAGGTATGCAGGGAAATTTAAGAGATGGCTAATTATGGATTGGAGATATGCAAGGCACGGGAGTATATTGGAAAACTGAAATGATTTAAGTGCTCATTTTCATGCCATCTCATATTTCATAGCGACATTAACGAATTCCTGAGCTTCGAGCCAGAGGTCCCAAAAACCGACGGGTGCACCTGCCCCCCCAACCCAACTATGCTCCTCTATATGTCATGCCAAAAAAAAAGACTAGGCAATACGAGTATACAGTTTCACAGCAGGTCTCTACCAACTAAAGACTCCTCTCTGTCTATCAAACCCCCCTCTTAACTGGCTTTCCGGCTTCACCACCTTCCCTTGTAGCACAGTAAACTTAACAATACCCTCGCAGTCCTCGGGTTTCACCCTGGCAATCCAAATACACTGCGCAGCGCCCATCATCTCCTCTTTCTCCTCTCCGCCCGACGGCGGGGGACACACATCTCCATCCAGCTTCCCGCGTTCTACACCATCTAACCCAAATGCATTTGCCTTTCGATAGACCATTACGTTGGCTGAGTACTTGTGTCCTCCGACATGAGAGATAAAGTATATACCCACACCACCGGGCCGCTCATCGTCAAGGTCGCGGAACAGACCGCAGGGGCGAAGATGGCGTTCTAATTCTTTTCGGAGGAGTGGTGCGCTTTGGCCACAGCGGGCGTCCCGGGTTTTCTGGGAACACAGGAGGATCAAGGCTCGGTGGGGAGATGGGCGGGATGTTAATTGTTCGACAGATGGGAGAGGGTCGGGGAGAGACGCGGGTATAGATATTGGGCCCAGCGGGGCGGTATTTGTGGGTGTTTTATTAATGAATTCAGAGATGAGTGTGTTTACCGAAGCAGGAGTGACGTTTTCGACTATGATGAAAGCGGGAAGGAGGAGGACGGTGGTGGGCTCAGAGTAATTTGATGAGTGGGAAGGTGTTGGCATATTGGACGCTGATAGCATCAGCCTCTAGCTGGTTATTAGCATTTGTGTACCCAGTGTGCTTGCTTGTGAGCATTTGCCAGGCATAATTACCCCATCGGTGGGCTTGACGTCAGCCTTCTTCTCAATTGCTTCCATAAGACTCCCCTTCTCGTCGGCCACATCCCTCACCCAATCTGTCTTCCCCGTCGCAACTAGAATATGCCTACTCCAGCCCTTGATATGGCCATAGAGCTTGTCATCCTCGTCTATGTTGAAGCCCCGGGGATATGAGATGCTACATGAGTCGCAGTCATGATCGCAATCCTCGCCATCTATCTTCGGATCTACCTTTGGGAACAATGCGTTTAAAGAAGCACCATCCGGCGGTGTCCCTGGGATGGGAGTGGAAGAACGGGAGACTACCTGGCGCGCGGTGTTGAGGAGGGATTTGAATGTTGGAGGCATCTTTTCTTCGAGGCGGCGAGGCGAGACGAGGCTGTGGGAAATAATTTCTTGGGAGCTCTGCTTGTTTTGTATGACGGATGTGGGGCTGGGCGGGTTCCGAGTTCCGGGATTTAACTCCGTACGGAATGCGCGTCGTCGGTGTATTAGCTAATAATCCGTAATCAGATCCGCACTTAGCGGCACTAGCGTCGTATTAACGCCGTTATCTGATCTGATCCTGGTTTCGCCCAATTGATTGCCTCAACGAGAGCGACACGCGGACACACGGTGCTAGGAGCTTAGTGTAGAGACCGTTGTTTGTATGGGATTATGAGGGTAATATACAGTAGGAAGGATATATGGAGATACGGAGCCCCGCATATGTTATCTTCCATCCCACCTAGCACGCCGATCACACATCATCCCGATCCAGCCAATAGCTATTCCGCTACTGTCGCTGAAGAATCCCAACCCTCGAAAGTGCAAAGGCAGGCAGCAGTTATCTTATACCGCACCGTCAGGGCATACGAAGTATTGTGTTGCCCATACGAGTACGAGATGCCGCCTTGCTGATGACGGCGCGTTCCTTGTCAAGCATTTGACTGTCAACGACGATTGCCAGAAATCACGTTAAACCTTGCCTTCGGTCTGGACGGGCCGTTCATTCCCGATCTGCCGTGTTAAGGACTGGCCTGACCAGCTTCGGATGTTTGTTTTCTTCCGCGATTACTTGCCGTTACCCTAGGCGTCTTGTCCAGTGCAATTGGGGCTTCACCATGCCTCCCAGGGTCAAGCTCTATGTTGGAGCCCCTGAGTCAAGCTCCCTCAACTGGGAAGACGAGACTGGTTTGCTTCACACGTTCAGCGAACCATTCGTTCGGTTTTCTCGACTTCAGCACAGCCCAGATATTAGCGCTGTCCCGATAACTCCCGATTTGCCTTCAACTTCGTCTCCGCACCCGGAATGGAGATCTCTCCCTCTCGAGCGCCAGCATCTAGCCACAGGGTTATCACAAGGCCATGGCTGGCAAGCAGAATCGCAAGGAGCCTCTTTCTTCGCTCTATCGGAAATCGACTCGTTCATGGAAGACCTGTCTCAGAAAGCATCACAGGGAAATTTCAATTCGAGCACCGAATCTGTGGAGCAAATCCTCTCCCAGTTTTACGAGGAATCTTATGCTAGGCATGAGGATATTGTCTCTTCCCAAATTGCCGCTGCCTCCGACTTTGGGACCTCATTTACAACTGATCATAACTCCTTCAACACCACAGAAGCATCGCTAGAATTGTCGACTTCTTATATGCGGCAGGATATTCCAGCTTCTGGCCCTTTGAGTAACTTGAAGGACCTTCCAAATGCCGCGTATCTTCACTCGATTCAGCCTCAAGTGATGACCGTCAATATCATTGTTGGTATTATCTCCCTTCCTCCACCCCGCCTCATCAGGACTAGACGAGGGACAAATGTTGAGCTCATAGAGGCTCTTGTTGGTGACGGCACCAAGTCAGGGTTCGGAATTAGTTTCTGGCTCCCATCCTCGCCATCAGCAGATGGTGGCTTGAGAAGCTCCGTTGAGGCATTAAGGCCTCAAGATGTTGTTCTTATGCGGAATGTGGCATTAAGCAGCTTCCGAGGGAGAGTATATGGACAAAGCTTAAGGAAGGGCTGGACAAAAGTACATCTTTTGTACAGAAATCGGGTAGACCATACAGATATTGGGGGGTGCTACCGCTCAGCTGATCTTAAACCTGGTGGCATCGAGCACCCGCAAATAGAAAAAACGAGGGCCGTGAGAGAATGGGTCCTGAGATTTGTTGGTGCCCCAATTAGTCAGGGGAAGGGTAAAGTGCGAGTCCTCGACCGCTCAGAGAGCTTGCCTCCCGATACCCAATGAACAGTATAACAAATAAGGATGTCGAACTCGTATTAACATTTTGATGGGCAGTGATGAGGAAAGGAACTGCAAATACTTAGTACCCAGCTATCCTCCCAGCATGCCACAGCTGGAGGCAATACGACGGTTGTTTGTTACCTGCCGCTATTAAGGTATGCTTGCTTTAGTTGTTTATCAGTCTCTTTGTTACTCGCCCTGCCTTTGGTTGAATGTTCAAGCCAACCCTAGCTAAATTCCTTTTTGCCAAGCTCTTGAGGTACTAGTCGCGCCATCAATTGGAGATGTGGACTTGTGCAAGGGATCAAACGCGCTTCTATCCGGTTTTCTGGGAAGGGAATGCTACACTTAGAATAATTCCTTATGTCAGGGGTTGTAGTGCATCAATTCCAAATTTATATCTCATAGCAATGCAGCTCCGTGAATAAAACATCGATTAATATTAGTAAAATAGGTTTTATCCCCAGCATTATCCATTTGCCCATAGCGGATCCATCCATACTAAACTGGGGATCAAATTCGAGTCATCCGCCCACTCCCGCCCAGCACTCTCCTTCTGTGCTTTTGGTCAGCATGGTATTTCGCCCTACAACATATTAAAGCCAAATAGCCTCCGCCCAACCCTCTTCGTCAACCAACCAGTGCCTGGCAAAAATTACCAACTTCTCAATATCATCGGTAAAAATTGCACACAGCGTTATCAACTCCTCCATATCCGGCCGCTGCTCAAAAGCTTCATCTAGTAAAAGAGATCTCTCATAAATACTTAGCCCAAACCCATCACCCGGAAGTCCGACATATGCACCAGGGAATATGTGGTGAGGTTCCACGAATCGGCGGGCAAGGCTGTAAATAACACGGCCCCAAATCTCTCTTCCTCCAGGGTGAAGAGTATGACTTCTCGGGGTCTGTCCGCTCCAATGAGTGTCTAGTCCCACCCTATCATGGTGTTGAAATGGACCTGGCTCATAATGAGCACCTGAGATGGTGTTAAGCCGACTTCTCAATCCATTAGGAATAGTCTCCGTGTCCCAACCCTCTCCTCTAGGTTCACCACTAGCATGATGGGGAGTGTTTTGACTACGACTAGTCAAACCACTCATTCCGGGGGGTTGCAGAGTAGACGGCTGAGTTGGTGGGTCGCTTCTTTCTTCAAGGATGCCCCTGATTGACAAGACCTGTGATGTGTCCAGCCGATGGACATAAGAGATTTCGCCGCGGCACGTGGGACACGCCAGTGTAAGGGGGCCATCGATTGATGCAGCTGTGTGGGTGGAAAGGAACCGAGGGCGGATGCAGGCATAGTCGAATCTATGGAGGCAATTGTACAGAACAGTGGGTGTGGTGAGGGGGTTGAGGCAGATAGCACATTCGTCAGCGATCTGGTCGGAGGGTGGGGAGGTGTATGAAGCGGATGGCGACTTGTTTTGTGCTTTAAGAGCAGCGGCAGATGATCGTTGTCCGCCATTAAGGCGCGAGCCGTACAGTCGTGGAATGCGAGACCTTGTTGAATAGGTTCGTGGGGATTAAGAGCCCGGTGCAGGGGCGCTTAAGGCGGTTGGAGAATGTGCGTCGACTCTTTCTCTATTGCCTAGGTTCATTTGGTATGGTCGTGGACCTCGGGTCATTCCACGTCTCAGCTCAGTCAGTCCGTCGTCGTCTGCATCATGAGCACTTGAATTATGGCCTCCTAGAGTACCAGTCGTACTTCTCTGGACTTTGTCGAACGCAGATCCATCTTTATGTTTGCGGGAAGGCAACATGTTGCAAATGACTTGATATTTCTTGCTCGGGAGGCTGAAGGAAAATATTATAGACTAAATAACGAGGTAGAGAAGGGGCGATGGGCGTGCATCTTGAATTATAAGTACTAGCATACTTGTGAATTGGAAGCAATCGGGTGAGCAAATACATGTGAATGTGCAGCAGATCAATATATGGTCAATCTAGCGTATGATTCAATAGAATAAGACCTTTCCACAGACATACACAGCACTTGCTTGAGAAATTGTCCACAACCCTTACATTTGGTATGTCGCCTATAGAGCAGACTTGAGCAGACTTGAGCAGACTTGGCCAAGATGTCAAACTCAAATTTAAGGACTTTTAATTCTGTTATCATTTCTACTTCTCTCTATCTCAGAAATAAACACCCCAGGGCAGTTCCCTTGAAGAAGCTCGCGTCCTTCTCCCACCCCTTAACTACAAAGCCCCTCCCAATCTCTACAACGCCCTCAATCTGCTCCTTCGTACCCCAACCCTGAACCGTGGAACCCCAGCATATCAAATGCGTTCCGACATGAATAGCCGTATTGAATGCTAGGTCCTCCTCCACCGGCCCGTAGCCTTGCATGAATGACTCGATGAGCCAAATGCCGGCGTCTATACCTTTGAAGTGCTTAAGCTCGAAGAGTTCCGCAAACATTTGGCCGAGGTCAAAGGCGACGGTGCTGAGGTGTGAGAGCTCCCAGTCGACCACCAAAACATTCAAGGGGGTTGAAGTGGAGGGGTACGATATGTTGGGAAGAAGGACACTGAGGAACAGAGGAGTGAATATTAGTCTTGCCTCTCAGAACTTTGATATAGACCATGTCAAGTTCTAATATAAGGAAAGAGAACTTACTTGCCACTCCAGAAATCACCATGGATTAATGCTCCATCTTCGTTATCCATCATATTTTGGACATCCTTTGCCACAGCCTGGAATACGTCCCGGCTTCCTTCTAATATGGCAGGAAAGTTATCAATAGTTGCGACTAAATTGCTATAATTAATTTGGTATTTGAGCCCTCTCATCACTGTGTTGCCTTTCATCGTCTCCCTCAGTTCAGCCTGCTCTGGAGCAGCAGCCCAGATGTGGAAGGTCTTGGTCCAGAGGCCGAGACTATGCCCAAGACGAGAACACTGGGCCTGAGCGAGTGGGTTTGTGAGGGCATATGTCTTCAGGTCCGCAGAAGAAGGGAGGTCGGAGTATAGCTGTGTGTTGGTTTCTTGGGAGAAATAATACATTTTGGGCGTCTGTACCGTGATGAGAGAATGGGTGACCGGTGGAAGTTCTTGTAAAGCTGTGAGGATGCTCTGCTCGAATTCCTGGATAACAGCATATGAGTACCAGTTCACGCGTAATGCAAGAATTCCCATGAAAATGAAAATGAGTTCCATACGCAGCGGGTAGAAGTAATTTTGAACGCGGGCGTTGAAGCAACATATCCCTCGGTGTGCTTTATAATAACGGTTTTGGAGCCATCCTGAAGTGCGTTCACGAGTACGCCTCGGTACACAAAGTTGGCGGTTCCTCCTGAAAGCTTGGTCAGAGATGAGCATGCATACGGGCCATCTTTAAGGCTCCCTTGCACTCGCTCCTGGATCTCATCGGGAGTTGCAGCCGACATATCTAGAGTATCGTGAGTGCTTTGTCTTGTCTCCGGGGAACAGGGACCCACTCTTGCTCAACAACCCAGTTATAGCCACACGTATTTTCCGTTCGATACTCAGACCTGAGGGCAATAATGAGCGAGCAATTGTGAACAAGCAACAACGGTGCGTATTATCGGGGCTTAAATACTCAATGCTTTCCCTGAATTAGGGAAACCTCGTCTTATGGCCGAATTTGGTGAAGATTGTCGATTTTGGACTTCAATTCATCCGACTCAAAATAAGTGAGTCATGCGGTGTACACGGTACGAGCCGCCAAGGCTGATAATTACACTGGCTTTGACCTCAACATGCAGAGTATAGCGCCCCAATCCTATTGTAACGGAAAATTCGCTTTTTATCAGGAAAATAAGCAGACCTGTTTTACTCACCACGTATATCTCTGTCTTCGATCCCTCAGGGAACATTCGAGAAAGAAAGAAACGGGTTTCGTTTATGGAATTACGTCAGTGAATAACCTGGCCCGCTTGAAATCTATCCCTACGCATGTCGAATTCACAATTTAAGCTGCCTGGTTTTCAGCTTTATTTTTAATTTCTGACGTTAAAGGCATGAGTGACTTTTCGCGACTGTCCGTCTACCTATTTGACATTATTATGCAAGTTGCTAAAGTGCCGACTGTAATCAGTTCTGCACGAATCCTCTAGCAGCAGGCTCAGAGCGTATATATTATATATTATTGGTTGAGGATCGTGGCATCTGTTTTTGGCATGGAAGAGTTTGAATGTTATCGGAAGTCTTTCCTATAAATATGGGCTTGATAGGGTTCTGATGAACGGCGCTTTAATAAGAAAGAATCATCCCATCATCCATTCAAAATCTATTCAACGTTCGAGAAAGACTAAAACCGAGTCATATATTTCCCCGTGCTATCCCTCAGTGCTACAGCTCTAGCAGGTAGACGCTGAGGGATGAGGAGTGCAGAGACCTGGAGCAGCGCCTGCTCCCCAATGGAAGGGAGTTACAGATAATACTTTGGGCAAGCGGCAGCTCGTCTAGATCGTTTTTGGGATCCGTCAATGCTTTTGACAAAGCTCCCAATATTCCCGATGTATGGCATGACAATAATTGGCCGATATCAATCTTTTGATTTGATAGCCACATTGTCTAAGCGTAGTATCATTGGGGTTTGTGCTTCCTAGAATCAACCAGAATCCACTCAAAAGCGCAAAATGCAACGAAATTAAATTAGTTCATAGCAATCAAACAGACCAAGCGGAGAGTTTCACATACCTGAGACATGGTTTTCGTGATATAACAAACAGTACTTATAAATCACAAAAGACCCAACTTGTTGATTGTTTCTTGCAATACTAAAATACACTTCTGTCAAGAAATCCCTTAGATCATGTACTAGCCGATGGTCATACTCCAAATGAAAAGCATTCTGCTACTTAAAACAAACGCAAATAGTTTTTTAATAGAGAGAAGGAAAAGGCTACAAATTCAAATAACACCCCATGCTTTATCAATAGGTAGCGCAACTCCATTGATGGCTTTGGCCATATCACTCGCGAGGAAAAGAATCGTATTTGCAACCTCATTTGGTGTGATGGTTGGGTTTTCGCTGTGCAGAGCATGAATGGGTCTAGCCACAATCAATTATTCTGCCTGTAATTGCTTGGCTAGTGTAGAAGAATAACTTACGCTTGGTGCCCGTATGAGTCTGCATCAAAATTTGCTGGGTCAAGTGAATCTTTTAGGTGGGTGTCGGTAATGGCTTAAGGGGTCGTCAGTTGATTCCCACGCTGTAATCATTAACTACTGCCGGTATGGAGACGTGCATACCTCCGGGGAGAACTGCATTGCAGCGGATCCCTTCTTCATGGAAACGCCAGGCTGTGTTCTTCGTTACACCCAGCTTGCAGTTGCCCGGTCAGTCAGTGTAGCTAATTGGAAATCAATTCCACACAGTTGGAACTCACCAAGCCATGTTTAGATGCAGTGTAAGCTACACCGGCAGCGGCGCCACTTACAGCTGCCTTTGAAGCCACATTTATAATTGATCCGTTGCCTTTGGCCTTCATCATTGGCAACACTGCACGGATCATTCTGGTAGGAACTGTGAGGTTGATCATCATCACTCGATCCCACTCTTTATCAGTATATACATCCGCTGCGGCAAAAGCATCCATGACGCCTGCCACATTCGCCAATACGTCGATTTTAGGCCTAGGATTTTGAATCAATAAGCACAAATCTAAACTTTAAAGCGGTGACCTCACCCGTATTTTCCAACGCATATTCTAACAACCTCGTTACACTCGTCTTCCTCCATCAGATCGCCTCTATGGAAATGAAAGGACTCTTGACACTCTTGGTTGACTTTGCTATAGTCGATATCGTGGACATCTACTCCGAGAACCTCATATTGGTGGCTAAGGAAGAGGTTTGTCGTCGCGAGACCTACGCCTGATGCACAGCCGGTGATGATAGCTACTTTGCCGTAGCCGGCCCCATCGACAGTCCGTGCTGGGACGCTGCCCGCGGAGTTATGATGTGAGAAAACCATTGTGGCCGATTGTAATTGTTTTCAAGAGGCTGACTTGGTTTGGCGTGGGAGGTTTCGTAGGTTCGGATGCAAGAAAACGGTGGCATGGGAAAAGGACGAAATTTCAACTTAACTTAAACTCGATGGCCCGAAAGATATACCGCGTATCTTGGCCGTTCCTTGTTGATCTCGTGCTCATATATAGAGTAGGTGTATTTATTTTGGGAGGTTGCCTCGGGTTCTCAAGAGTCGTACGATATTCAGCCCCTGCATTTATGTTTATCCCTCCAGGAGTAGATCGTGGCGGACCTCTAGATTTGCCCTCTAAAACAATCCATATCTCTCATTTCATCTTGTGTTCGGATGACCTTTTGACGGGGAATGTCATCGTTTCCTTAGGAAGATGGATGCATTTTACGGATGAAATGGCTTTGGAGAGGATGTCTAGCTTACTCGTAATGGTTACGAAGTGTTCCAAGCGCACCACTTGATTGATCAACTCACCCCCGTCTCACAACCCAATCCTCCTGCTTCGGCAACTAAACCTCTATAATACACTGTGCGCATAACTGAAGGCGAGTAGCTTAAAATTACAAATCCATATTGGAGGAGTACTTACTTGACCTATAAGATACAGCTTAACTGCCGAGATATATCCTAGCCAGTCATTACCTCGTTCCAGGATTCAACCTATATCGTATGATACGATTATTTCATTATAATAGGTTCGTCCCTGGAGTTTACACATACCAGAGAACAAACAATATGGACGGAAAGAATGTTGATCTAAAGGGCCTTGCTGAAAAGATGGTATTGGCTAACAAATACCTCGCTGACCTTAAAGGTGCCTCAACCGACTAGCAACGAAGCCAGTGGCACATATTCCACGCTGAGCCACCAGCCCTATAACGCCATGCTAAATAACAGAAATGGGAACTTTTGAAGCAAGAGAAATCTATGTCATAATTCCATTCCCGACCGTCCCCTTGTTCCATAACCGTCTACTCCGATCCGCCCTGGAACCTCATGCCCAGCACCCAGCTTCCTTCAAATTCGACCCCCCTGCGAACTCGAGTTCCTGCCTTCCTCCACACAGCAGCGCCTAGCCCAATATCCGCGACGAATAGCTGCCATTCCTTGTCCTGTCCAGTCCCGTCTTCATCAGCAACGCCTTCACCTAACGCCATGGCTTCCAGTAGGCCCTTTTTTGGCGCTCCCATGGTAACGACGTAATTTGTGTGAATATAAAGTTTCCGACCATCAATTATGCTAACCTTTCCGCTGGCCGGGTCAATACCGGTGGGAATATCGATTGCTAGAACGGAGCATGTGCTTCTATTTGCCCATTCAATTAACTCATAGGCCGTAGCTTGGTCGCCAGTTCTCAGTTCTTCGAAAGAGATTGTTAGTCCAAGCAGACCATCGATAATGAGTTCGAGGGGGACATGGAGAGTTTTTATATATTCCAGAAGCTCGACCTTGTTGAATACTTTGCCGCCGAAGCCACGAAAGACTTTTAGCTGGCGTCTCAAACCTACTAGAAGCTCTGATTCACGCTCCAGGCCGAGGACACAAATGACGACATTCAGCCCATGATTTCGAAGATGTCGACCAGAAGCGACAGCCCGTAGGCCGCTTTTGTTATTTCCGGCCAGAACCACAACTGTTGGTATATTGTTGCTCTTTCCTTGAGTCAATCTGCCGCCCCCAGCATTGACGGCTGAGAGCGCAACTTCAGCAATCCCACGGCCGGCATTCTCGGCCATCATATCTTCTGAAAGACCAAGTTCGGTATCAGCAATGTTTTCAAGATTAAGCATTTGCAGTGCTGAGATAGGCTCGCAACGCCGGTCAGATGGCACCAAGTAGAAAGAGGGCTTTCCAGAAGCGGCTGGTACCTGTTTGTGGCCATTAGCAAAACCATATAAAGTGCAATATGGGAGAGGGCAACTTACAGAAAGAGTGCGGGTAGGTGGGACCCCAATAATAGAGCTTGATTTTCGAGAGACAGGCCGCCGACTAAGACTCAACTTGCTCTCAGCCCTCTCGGTCTTTCTTGAGCGTCTACCACTTCCACTGCCCCTTTGACTAGCCCTGTCATCCAAGCCACTATCGCCAGCTTCGCTCTTCCAGGGATCATTTTTGGTTTTCGCCGCAGCACTTGGTGTCTCAAGAACGTTTTCCGTATAATGGAGGTTCTTCCCTCCAGCTGTCCCTGGCTTTGCCTTAGGTAGCCTATTATGGGAAACTAATCGGTCCTCGTCGGCAACACTATCCTCCGCTTGAATCTGATTGAAGACCGTATGCTTATCAAACTTTGCCAGACTTCCCGCAAAGTCAAAGTCGCCCATGTCCTGCACATCTGTAGCATCCTCCGTTGCCCAGCCATTTTCATCGGCCTTCCCATTGGCGCGGTGGTTCTTTCGTTTGAGCGTCGAGAAAGGTTGAAATGACGGGTTCGGTTCCAGTAACGGAGTTTGTCTCCAGCCCTTCGACCGTGTAGTATCCCTAACAGGGGTGACATCTGGCTCCTTCACTTCTTCTCTCCGTCCTTGGCCCCTTCTTCTACGACTCCTCTTGCCTGACTTAACGACTAACTGCTCCGGGATCTCCTCTTCCGTGGCAAGTTCCTGTAGAATTTGTGCTTCGATCCCAAGATTCGCCCCAACATCACCGAGATTGACATTCTGCATGGGGTCAACCAAACTTGCAGCAGGTGTAATGTCGTAAAGTGGTTCCTCATCCCTAGATCCAATCTTTCGTACCGTATCCGACCTTTCCATAGAACTCACGTGCCATTCTGAAGCAACGTTTGGCTGGCCGGTAGGTGTGGGCCTCTTCCCTACACTCAGTATAGCTGGATCCTCAAATGCTTTCGGTTTATGCAGCATATGCACCGGCGCAGCGGCGGGTGCAGGAACTAGGGGTATGTCATTCTCCTTCACGGCTTCGATTAACTCGACAATTTCGGCAGCATTGATAGTGAATTCAGGAAGGTATTTTCCGCTTGCAGGGGCAGTGACTACGGAAACAACAGTTAGCAGGTGTTTATGGGGCTGCTGAAGGATCGAAAGTCTTTGTTACCATTCCGCAGAGTCAAGCTCTTCCCCGGTTCAATGCTGCTCACCACACCTCTCAGTTGGGCGCCTGGGGGAGAACTGAGCGTCACCAGCATGGTGAGTCCAATGAATTGGTTCGACATGGTGAACTCCCTGCGGTACGCCGAAGTCTAGAGGGGGCTTCTTCCGCTGCACAATTGATCGCGAGGGCGTGTTGTGGTTGTGGTCGTGGTTGTGAAGGTCAGGAGTAGGACGAGACAAAGCGTGCAGTGCTTAAGCTTGCGAATGTGAACGAGGTAGCAGACGAATCACTGGTGAATAGGGAAGTGACGAGGGTGTTTAAGTTTGGAAGGAAGCCGCATTGTAACAAGGACTCTTTAATATAAATATAATAAAGGGCCTTAGATAGTGAACTTCTTCATTGCCGAATTTACGAGACCTTTGTACTACAAATTAATGGAGTAGAGCCTTACATTACCTAACTTAGTGACCAAAGTCTTGGACGCGACACATTTCACGTGCTTCTATCGCCCCACTTCACGTGATGTTATATGGTCGCCTTCCGGGAAAGAGGTTGATAGGTAAGAGAGTGTGTTTATAACTGGGTTCTTTGAAAGAAAATATGAAGGACGTTGTACGGTATAGGCGCGGTCGCATGGTGAGATAGTACAATGTCTAGCTAGATAGTTCTATCGACTAACATCATACAGCGACTAGGGAAACCCAACATATATAGTCAACCTAGTAATCATTAATGGTAATAGCGGCTGTTCTACCCCAGTTCTCCAGTTCCCCAGTGTCCCTTCATATACCCCAACTTTAAAACAAGGAGGGGAGTCCCCGATAACGCCCAGCAAATGCCCAGGTATACCTACGCCAGCAGATGTACGCAAAATCGTATACATCCTCTAGTTAGCCATATGCAGCCAAAAGCTCCTCTTCATCTACAAAGTCATATTCCGGCCGCTTGTCCCTCTTCACAGGTTGCTCCTTGGTCTCCACTGGCTTTGTAGAAACTTTAGGATGCTGCAACGCCTTATTGACGCTATACAAGCTGTCATAGAATTGAGCAACCCGAGGATGGGCCATGACCTTTGACTTGTCGAAATTATGCACTTCGAGGCCTTCTTGGCATGTCGCTCGACTGAGTGCAACATATGCCTGGCCCTTTTCAAAAACCCGCTTGAGATCAATCTTGACCCGTTCCAGAGTTTGGCCTTGAGCCTTGTGAATAGACAGCGCCCATGCGAGGATGAGAGGGAGCTGCGACCGTTGCGCTTGAACTTCGCCATTAGGAAGCTCTATTTTCCAGTCCTCTGGCATTACCAGCAAGTCCCTGCACGTGCCATCGGCGAGAGTAAACTGCACCAGGGGATATTCTCTACCGGTATTGGGATTCGAGTCTTTATTGCTCGAGAATTTGGCCGCAAGACTGAGCCGGTCATTTCGAAGCTCTTCCCCCAGGCCCTCGTTCACAACCTCCGGATTCCGATCCCAAATTTCGAATGTAGCCTCGTTCATAAAGGCAACAACTTTGCCAAGAGATCCGTTGACTAAACCATCGTCCATGTTTTTGATCAACATGACTTGGGCTCCCTTTTTCAATTCGAGAACCTTTGGGGCCATCATGTTCGACAATAGTTTGTCCCGAATGGTTTGGTCTGTAATAGCTCCGGTATCTATGGAATCGTATCTAAAGCTTTTGCCAACCAAATCTCTCATCCGGAAAGCATTAGAGTTCTCCACCTCGTTTCTTGTTGGGAAGCTGAACAATCATTAGCCTGAAAAAATTCACATAGAATCGTTCTTCGCTTACAGTTCAGTCGCATCCAGGTTATCCTCAAAGTTGGGCTTCCGACTCAATTTGCGGAAAGCTTGTACAGTTTCATCTGTAATTTTGCCTAGGCGCATCTCGTTTAGCATATTGGCAAACACTATCTAATGTTAGTGCATTCAACTCAATCCGAGCATGTAGAGGTTACCTGGATCTTTCTGACGGAAAACTTCGGTCAAACCAATCGTATGGTGAATTGCGGTAGACCAAGTACCAGCATCAAATGCGAATTTGATGGCTCGGGTTCTGTTGTCGAACTCTGGAACAGGGGGTAATTGAAAGAAGTCGCCTGTTATCACAAGCTGGATTCCTCCGAAGGGTCGACCATTGTTACGCATAGTCCGTGCGATTGCCTCCAGTTTATCAAATAGGTCTCCATCAACCATCGAAATCTCATCAATAATCAAGATTTTAGTCCTAATCCATCGATTTTTGGCTTTTGGGTTTCTCTTGATTTTTTTTACGAGAGCCGGGACATCCTCCTTACCAAGCCCGATGCCTCCAAAACTGTGCAAGGTAACACCTCCGACATTGCATGCTGCCAGACCAGTTGAGGCTGTAACAGCAACCCGATCCGGCTCCCGAACGTACTTCTTCCTAAGCTCAGCAATAATAGCTCTCATTAACACCGACTTTCCAGTTCCAGCCGAACCGGTAAAGAAAGCGCTCTTCTGCTGGTTGACAACCAGATCAAGCACTCTCCGCTGTTCCTCGCTTAGGGAAATAGGGGCCATAGCAGGTGTTGTCTTCCCACGATGATGGCTTGCCATGGCTTCTATTGCCCCTTCATCCATCTTTCTAGCAGCCTTTCGCTTATCCTTGAACTTCTTCTTCTCCTCCCTGACCGCACTCCCTGTATTATTCCACGGCATGCTCTTCTCCTTAGGGGTATGGGTTGCCTTGCCCAGTTTGGGACATTGACGGGAGCTGTGACCAGGCTTTTTGCAATTCTTGCATACCATAACTGGAGAGGAATGAGGCGAATCTAAGGTTGACATATCTTCTTCTTCTGCCCTTGCCGCGATTTCATCCGTTTCAGCTCGCTTTTGGACCCATGGCAACGTCCTCCGTTTCGACGGCCGGGGGTTGGGATCTACTTCAAAGGCACAATGGACTGGCTCTCGGGCTGCAGGTTCGTCACATTGTCTTTTGACGGCCGCACCAGGGGGTGTTACTTTATGCGAAGGCGGCGAAGATTCCCAAGTCACGGCACTGCTTGGGTGATTTTGAGATGGATAAGGGCCTGGTGAACCGCGCCGACCTCGAGGTAAAGAGGATGCCACTTCTAAGGGAGTTTCTAGATTTCGCGATGAGGGTCCAGGTGGAGCATTTATCGGCATAGAGGCGGGGATTTCGAAGTCCAAGTCGAGATCGATTTCGGCGTCATCATCAAAATCATTCTCGTCGAAATGAACGGCGGGTTGAGTCGGGGCAAAGGCTTTAGAGGGTCCAGCAGGTGCATTTTGTGAAAATACAACAGTAGACTGTGTATCCTGGAATGCATCTTGTTTGCTGAAAATTGAGCTCAAGCCAGTTGATGGTGCAACGGAGACCATGCTTTCAGACTTCTGCCTCAGCCCCTGCCGAATGTTTGGTGACCTCGGACGAAGAGGGTTTAAGGGCTTCGTGGGTTTTGGTAAACTCTTCAAAGTAGCGGCCATCGATTGTGCCACGGGACGAGGTTTGATGAACTGCTCTTGAATGTTGCCGTTTTGAACCGGGCTGCTAGAGAACATCTGCTTATCGAGGGGCGCCTTGGGGGCCGGTTGATAGTTCTGGGCTGCGCGGCCCAACATCACGTCTGCTATCGACGAATACTGGATTCGTGCATCTAGAGTTGTTAAACAAAAGGGGTTCAAGGTTTTGCGCCCTGTCCTCAGCACTAGCAATCCTCTAGAGGTCGAGGAGAAGGCTGGAAAACGGACCAAACCAGCCGTCATACAATCAACGGAGCTTGTGCTTGGGGATTGTGAACATGCCAGCGAACAAGGGTGAGGAGTCGGTTTCGATATCTGGGGAGGGAAATACACAAGTTAAAAGAAGTTCGGACGCGTTGCGAAGTCGCGACCGCCTAACGCGCCAGGACCACCGTGGACCTCGCTAAAGCTGGTTTTAGAATACATTGCACGTGACTTAAAAACAGAAGCTGCCTACATTGCCGTGCCTAATATAGTACACATAGTAGTTTATGCATCTAACAAGTGATGCAATATACGGCCTAGGTCTTTGCGATATGATGAAATAGTCAGAGTCGTTGGGCTGGCAGGGACACAGAGGTGTTTTATAAGCACGTGACAAGGTTCTGGTTACTAAACTCGAATACCCCTGCACAGCAACCGCAACTTCAGACTACTTGGAAATGTCCTGTCATAGATGTTAAAGATATTTCCAGTCCTGCTTACTGTTCACAGTGGCCCTTGTCAATCAAATAAGCATTTCATATACGATAGGAATTCGAGTATTTGAAACTTCCATACCATACAATGTGGGAAAGAAGGGAAAGTTACGCTACCTCCTACCTCAGGTAGGTATTATACAACGGTGCTAGTGAGTGCGTGAAAGTCTACGTTCAATATAGTTACAACCCAAGTCTATTCACCCTCATACCACACTCCACTCTCTCCTCCCAGTTGATTGAACTATGTTTGTCTATCCGCGAAATCTTTCTGAGCTATACATCTTCATAGCAAAGTATCTCAAGTCATCTTCGCAACTTCCCCCTTCGAGTCTCCTTCGCTCTTATGAGCAATTCATTTTCCCATTATGCTACATCGCAAAACTTTTCTGACCGGCACTAGGCCAAAGATCAGCGCGAGGAGAGGGAAAGCGAACAAAGTTGTCGTGTAGCTAAGTCCCAGTGGCGACTCCGCCCACAGTAGGCAACTGTCCCCTCAAGCCTAGATTTGGCCGCAATGTCAACCGAAAGAATCTCGAGTTTTCCTCGCATTTTAGGTCCCATTTTTCAGCCTTCATTTTGAAGGACTGCCCCTCTGCGAACCACTGCTCAAGCGATATCTCAACCCAGTCGTCCTGCAAGTTGAGCGGGCAAGCGAAGTAACGGTGCGAGTAGGCTGGCCCGTAGTCATAACGAGATGCGAGATGCATAGCATATGGTGTTCGAGGTGTGAGAGGACTGTTTCGAAGTGCGTCGGGTGTCAAGACTGGAGCTGGAGTTGCTGGCTGAGGAGGAGGGACGGTGATCGTTGACGGTAGTTTCGGGCTGCTCTCTGGAGCTTCATCGTTCAGGAGGTTCAACAGTTCCATGGACTGGTGAACTCGGGTTGCGAAGCTGATGAATGATCGGTATATTGCGTCGTGTACTGGCCGATTGGGGTCATTGAACGGCTTGGGTAGTTCAGGTGGGTAGAATGGTGCTGTTGACTGGCAGCAAAAGATCGGTTTAGTAGCCGCCATTTTCTAGACGATCCTTCTTGATAGCAGGATTGCTGGTAATAATGCGATTAATCGCTTGTCGTTTTATTCTCTGCTGTTGAATTCTGGTTTCTAAGGGTTGCGAGAATTGAATTGCAAAATGTGTCGCTGTGCCTAGAGAGGAGGGAGGTGGAATGTCAGTAAATTTCAAGAGGGAGTTTTAGTATACTCTAGGGGAGGATCGGTGATATATATCACGGGGTTTAACAGTGGGTGGATTCACTACGGAACCATTCACAAGCACAATTGTTTTTTGACTGGAGATAAGGACGCATCTGCCATGCGTGATTCACGCCGCCTTTCTGCCACGCTCAGGTAAGTCTGGAATAATCTTCTCTGAATGACCCTTCATGGTTTTTGTAGAACTGTCTTCAAAATAGATATTTCATATCCTTTGCAATAAGTGTTTTGGTCGCCTTAAAGCTACAATCGGGATATAACCTCCCAAACTATCGTGGTGCTGGTAGTTAGGATCAGTATATTCTACTATACTTTATAACAGAACCATAGACAGAATAGTATACCCATTATCTATTAAGCATATTGGGAGAGGTAGATCTGCATTTTCCTACGAAGGCATTTGTTATCTAGCGGTTCCAGAGTGTCTGCTTGGGGATCAATTTTGTGGATAGAGAGAGCTTGCGAGTTTGCAACAATCCACAACGCAGCTCTGCAACTACAATTTCATGCTCAGTCATCGGTATCAGGTTACATTGCGTTAGCCCAATGCAAGGGCCAAGACCTCCCAACCCACTAGATTCTACTTGAAGAATGTACTTCATGGTGAATAATGGTTCTCCTGTTGGCTCCCACCAGAGCATCTAGAGACCCTACCGAGCTGAGACATATTCCAGTGCTCATACTTGCACAAACCCGGCATGAAGTATTATGTCCATGAGGAGCACCTCAAATAAAGGGTTCCCTGAGCCATGATACACTCGTGCTTGTTTTGAACCCCGAGATATCTACTTTCATTATGGCCTGCTCTCAGCTCAAGTCAACTTTACTCTACGCGATATTATGTCACAGGGAGGACCGGGGTTAATAGCCATGGAAGGATGGCATTGTATTTAACTACTAGCTCATGAGTTGAATGGTCCTAATAGAGGCTAGTTCAGGTTAAAGGGGCTAAAGGATAGGGGATAGGGACTCAAATGGGTGTAAGCTATTGCGCATTCTTGGGCGAATTTGGTGCAATACAATTTTCGCTAGAAATATCAGGCACCTACAGCTATTGCTTAGATATATATATCTCCGATATCGAGCTTCTATACTATTTCTATATACTAATCTAGATAGTGTAGATATCTTAATTTCAGTTAGATGTTTATACGACTTGGATATCTCAAATTCTAGTGAGATATAACATGAATACCTTAATTCTAGTGAGATATTCGTGTAACTTGAATACCTCAATTTTAGTAAGATATTTACACGATATTAGACTTATATCTATGTAATAGCCGTTGGGCCTTACAATACTAGCGAAAAGTGTTTTACACCAAAGTCGCCCAAGAATGCATAGTAAGCGAAGGAACTGCCGTAGGCAGGAAGGGTGACCCCATATTAATCGGTTTTTGGAATGAGATATAATCATAAGCCCTGTAAGTTTAAAATACACTTGTTGTTTAGAGTCAGGCATGGGCATCGGTGGAATTAAGTAATTTCTAAATTGAACTACTGTTAAGGGGGCCCTCCAGCAAAGCGAAATATTTCGTCGTATTGAGTGAGACATGCGGATCAAGAAACGGAGTCAACGGGAAGCCCCCTATACTGAAATACGGGTCCTTGTCACGATATATGTTACCTATGCACTCGACGTTCACTGTACGGTTCCTCCCTAGCAGTGGCGAGATGAGAGATATGAGTATGTATGGAGGACCTCTTTTCCATTCTCAGAGCCTTTTCTCTCCACTCTAAGAACTATACCCATTTTGAACTCTCAGAGTTTCTTCATATCACAATCCACCGTCTCCCAAACTTTGTGGATTTCAACCCCGATTTTCACGTATATCCCCGGCAACAATGGCAACAGTGAATATGGCTCCTCTTGTATATATGATAAGATCAAGAAGGCGTTCGCCCGTCACGTAGTCCGGGAGATGCCGGGAAAATAAAAGGAGGCTAAATTCATCAAAGATATGACAACTTGTGGCGAATGCCGCCCAGCAAAGAGATCGATAACGATATGGTATATGGATGATCAAGAAATGGGGTGCAAACATTAGGGGAAAGGGATGGACTGGTCTCTAACGAACAATCTACGAATAATAATGTTTCGAAGACAAGCAAGGGAAGGGGTGGACGGGTGTCTCAAGAATGAATTAGAGAAACTGGTTGGAAAATTAGATATTTATGTATAACTAGTAGCAATTGATTGAGAGTATATAGTAGGTAGAACCCCTTTGGGCAGTGAACTCCATGCATCCACACGCACAAGTAAGCGGTAGGTAAACTCATCAGAATGGAATAAATTACTAGTAATAAACAAGGGAAGAATTATATTGTTAACGTCCGAGGGAAGTTAACAAGCATTGCTTTCTTACGGACATTGACCCACTCCATGTGTCGACATAGGAATCATAATTTAATTAAAGTGGTCAATTTATGGAGGTAAGTCCACGCCAGTGCGTCGAAGTAATTATTCATCCAAAGGTGTATAGACTTCCGTATCGATCCCTTGGGTATCCATGTGGTATATTTCCCCCAATAATTTCGCTGTATACTCCAACATCTACAACCCCAGGAAAACCAGGTACTCTACAAAGCTAAGCCAAATCCACGCATCAACATCCGTTCAAGAGACATTGGGGGATTGCATCACAACTGTGTAACAACATCTGCCCAGTGTCCCTCAACGCCTTCCTCCTTGACCGCCACTCCATTTCTAACCTCCAACGGTCGGCTGCCAAACTTACCGTCATTCAGTTCGTCTTTCTCCATTGGAGTCAATGGTGTCTTGGTCGCTTCTAGCTCTTCTAAGGTTTGGATGGGAAGAGGCAGTGAACATGCCATGTTGAATGATGGGGTTGCGGTAAGGGTTGGACGTGTGAGCTGGTCTGGCCGAAAAGAGGGTTGGAAATCAGGCGGAATTGGAAATCCCTGGTCGAGAACCGTTTCAACCTTGGAGCTATAAGTTAAACTTTCGTCGATACCTATGGAAGGGATGACAGTAGAAACCGTGTCTGAGACAGATAGGCCGGACAGAAGAGGAGGCGAAGCGGATGGAGTGTTTGGGGGTGCAGGAGGAGATGGGTCCGCGCTCTCTGTTGAAAAGATGCCAAGACCAAAGGGGGGGTCGGGATTTTGAGAGGCGGCAAAGTTCTGGGCCAGGAATACTCGTCTTCTGGTGTCGTCTTCGTAATGAGAACGCTAGTAAAAATGTTAGCCCCTAGTAGAAACTTGGGATCTTGCGAGATAGACCATGGAAGGGGATGACTTACTGGGGGAGGTGAAGGTCTCAAGCCAATACTCTTCACATATTTCACAAGTGTGACTGGCCGGACTTTGTCCAAATGGAAGCCGAAGCCTGTACTGGCGGTCAACGGGACATCGTTATCAGCAATGCCGTTGAGGCTGAGATATGCACGTTCACCCACTAGATGTTAACAGAGTCAGCATTTTCTCGTCTAGTAATGAACGGTTGCCCGAGGATGATATTGACATGCATTGGCAGGGCGTGAGAGAATATAAGAACAAGGTAAACCATGGGTCAGTTATCCTTACATGTGGGACGGCATTTGTGGCAGCACTTGAATTGGCATTCTCCGCCCTGGATAGGCAACCACGGTTTGTTTAAGTTCTTTGATGGCGGTTTCGAGGGGGATGGGAAGGTTGATCTTGCACTCTTGGAACTTGGTGGGGTGTAAAATCGAGCCTCTGGAGGGCTAGTGGCTGATTCAGCGGCCAAGTCCAAAACCTATAGTAAAGTTAGCAGCATATTCCTGCAGTAGTAAATAACAACAGTTGCTATGTCAAATCTGACAACGGAGTGGAAGTACATACTTGGGCCCTCTGATGTAATATTTGACTGATCTGTGACTTAGTATAAGTTTTTAGTTCCTCATCGCTAACTTCCTCTAGAAAGCTCAATTTTGATAGGCGTGCTGCAGGGCTTCTCGTTCGGGGCGCATTCGGCTTGTCAAAGGTATCGTAAAGGCCATCGATCTTGTCCTATATATACTTTCAGCTATGTGCTCCAAGGGCATTGATGTCAGCAACACGAACCACTGGATATCCCCGATCTATATCATCTTCAAGAACAAGTTCTCGGTCCTGGGTGCATCTGTACAGCCACCCAAACGGACCTTCTCGGAGGCATACCGCACAACGAAAGCTTGTTGTGTACAAACGCGTCATTGTGAGATGCGTGCATTGTCCATGCTTTGGAGCGCCTATGCGATATCGAGCTGGTGTATTCGCGCCTACCAACCCCCCACCAGTCCGTTTGCGTGGGGTCTGCGGAATGGACATCTCTAATTGGAGTATACAATGTAGTTAAACAGTGTTGGTAACGCGACGATAGCCAGTATCTGAATAGCTGAGCTGAAAGCGACTTCTCGATCGAATCGCAGTGTTGACTGAGCTTCCAGCTCTCCGCCCAAGGCATCCGAGTCCTAGAAGACGATGATAGCGGAAGGTTTTATATTGTTACAAGGTCAAGCCGAGACACACCGCCGTAAAGAAAAGTTATTCACCACTACATCGAGAGGCATCAACGAGAGCGGTCTGTTGAGCAAAACACCTGCTAACCTGAAAGCTCTATCTTGATAAGAATAACAGAATGGTAATAAAAAAAAAGATTGGATCGAACCTTACCAGCTGAATTTCTCATATAGAACGGAAAATGGGATGGTAGCTAGCATGCAGCAAACTTTTGGACTACTTGACCTGCTAAGGACAGTTTATTAAGCTCTATCCTATACGCAAAATCTTGTACCTCTAAGGGATTAAAACAGAATATCATTGGAAATCAGCTATTACAGTAGCCATACCATTATTCAAGTACTAGGCCATGGTTACCATGAGAAGAGTTGTACATGACATCCGAGCATCAAGCAGCCCAGGCTAAATGCATGCTATCTCCTCGCTAGGAAAGGAGAGGAAGCCGAGTTGAGCGCAAATGTTTTGCTCTTATCCCGGGAAATAGACATTAAACAGAGGTGGGCTTTATCATACTCATACTTATTCATATGAATATTCTCTCTCGGACATGTAGCAATGGGCTGCGTAACAGTCGGTAATGTCAATTCTTCTGGTTCATGCAGGCTGCAAGCCTCGAGATGCGAGGACAACAAACATAGCCAGGACTCAACGGGCGAGGGTGTGGATCTAAGAGACATACGAAGAGGGGGGTAGAATGAACTGTTGTATTCGTACGAATATAGGCCATCGGTAGCGAAAGACGGCAATACGGATCATATTGTAGTTCCTACCTATAGGTAAGTTTAGTTGTGGAGACCGAGGCTTTTGAGCCCCTTAAATAATAAAGCCCGAATTCAGCTTGGCGCCCCCCGCCCCCATTTCCCTGCGTGTTTGTTTGTCGCCGGTTGTCTTCGCTCCTCTCGGCTCTCCGCCTGTAGCTCTTCTCTTGTCCAAACATCAACATCAGCATCAACAACGTCGCATCTCAGCTCGTTACTTCGCCTCACTGTCAATTGCACCGCACGGCGAACATATCACAACGGCCCGACGTGCGAGCACGTATTGAAGATGTAAGCTACTCTGTCTTCCCGTTTGTTCGCGCATTGCATTGCATCGAATCACGCATCCCCCGGCCTCTTTGTCGCATCCTGGTCGCGAGTACCTCGGCCTCGTTCTCGTCCCCCGTAAACATTCGAAGTCCCCTTCAGCGATGTTTAGCCACTCTATCTTATACGCCCCTAATCACCTCTCAACACTGACACGGCTTCCGATCGTCCTGCTGATATCCGATCTAGACTAGATTCTCCTGCAAATCCCGTGGCACATCGCCCCTCACCTCACCATGTCGGTCAAATTTGAGAAAGATACGATCAAGGAGACCACCGAGCAGGTTGGGAACATCGCGAAAGGAGGCAAACATGATTTGGTGCACGATTTAGGGACGGCGATAACTGGAGGGAAGGCTAATGAGGGCACAAAGGGTTACCTGGCCGTACGTGATCAATCCAATCCAATCTAGGCATGGAGTGAAGGTCATATTGCTGATGGGATGGGCCTCCCGCCCGTATACAGGCATACATGAAGGAGCTTCAGACGAATCCTCTGCGGACCAAGATGCTGACTTCTGGCACCCTGTCTGGTCTGCAAGAAATCCTCGCATCCTGGATCGCAAAGGATCGCAATAAGAGCGGCAACTACTTCACAACCCGCGTTCCGAAGATGGCTGCGTATGGCGCTTTCATCAGCGCGCCGCTAGGCCATGTTCTGGTCAGCATCCTCCAGAAACTGTTCCATGGCCGCACGAGCTTGAAGGCCAAGATCCTCCAGATTCTTCTGAGCAACTTAGTGGTAAGTGTGCTATGCCCGATTGTACTGCATCGATTCTGATAGTACCCAGATTGCTCCTATCCAGAATACCGTGTACTTGATATCAATGGCCATCATCGCAGGCGCGAAGAGCATTCATCAAGTCCATGCAACCTGGAAAGCCGGCTTCATGCCTGTCATGAAGGTCAGCTGGATCACGTCGCCGTTGGCTCTGGCCTTCGCACAGAAGTTCCTACCCGAACACACCTGGGTGCCGTTCTTCAATATTATCGGCTTCTTCATTGGAACATACGTCAACTCAGTCACAAAGAAGAAGCGTCTCGCGGCCCTCCGCAAGAGATATCAAGATGAGAGAGGAGGCAGACCTGACGATTACTCCGGCGCACCGAAGTACTAAGTGAACACTCGAAAATCGAATAGATGGAGATTTTCCAGTGCGCCCATTGTTTGTGCGTCCTGAAATGCAGACGTCTGATTGAAGCAGAATCGCCGTTATACAGGTTTTCCCCGCAGTGCGATCATTCATAATATGCAGCTTTTTGCGAAACTATGTATGTAACGGGTTCATGCAGGCATTGCGTCGGCATGTTCGCCTCGAATATTTGTATAATCCCGCTATCGTTTGGTTCCCGGTTTGGTAGATGCATATAGGTATCTATTGGCGTTTGCCCCGCAAGTTGTACTTCCCATGCGATTTTCCAGTCCTTAAACGGTAAGCTTTTGTGCCCAATGTATATTCTACACGTTTGTTTTCCTATATGACAGACGGGAAGAGGATCATAATCTTGTCATATGCCAGCGGCATTTGTACAACCTGATGTAGTAACACATATGGCAAAACACATTACGGCAAAACACATATGGCAAAGTCAAGATGCCCTAATTCCGAAGTAGCTGACTCGATCGAGCACATGCTATATATCTCCTGTCTTTAATCTTCGTTTATCCCCATTTTCTAAGCACCTGTGCAATCAAGTGAGGGTATCATCTCCATTTCACTCTCAATTCTCAGATCAAAACCGGGTCTCTTTTCGCTAACGTATTATACGGCTCATGGACCTTTTCAACCTGCCGCTACGCTCTCGCGGCGGGTATGTTCCTCCTCCTAGCTCACACAGGAGACACGTCAACATAGGCATGGAGATCCCATTTCATGACCCGCTACGGCGGCGAAGAGGGATGCTAGAGTTTCCTGAACCATTTGTCGGAGGGTCACTCCCTCGACGCGATCGCCATCGAGTCATGGGCCCAAGGACTGACCCATCACCAGAGATGGGTGACCCGTGCCTTGGTCTCGCCGCAGAACGCAGAAAACCTTCACTCGCCACTCCGGCCTATGACGAATACTCGTTCTATTTTCCAGATCAAGGTCCCGACTGTCATACATCTAGGCCGAAATATCAGGGCCATGCTCCCTCTCTCCAAACACGTCTCCCTATTCCCCCTCAGCGTCATACATACCGACATGCCCACTTTGGACGAGGTTGTTCACCGCATCACCACTGTGGTTGCGGGGGCGGCAGCAACTACAGTAGCGAAGACAAATTCAGCTTCAAAACGAAGGATATCTGCGTACGGGGCAAAGCGTACAAGGTTCGGTCATCCTACCTTGCAGAAGCCCCGAAATTCGAAACAGACCTCATCAAGTATCTGGACAAGAAAATAGAAGAGGTTGTGCCACAGCGGGTAGTGAGGATGCTGGTCGACTTCATCAACTACGATGATTACAACCACGAAGGTGGTCTGCTGGACGAAGCGAAGCTCAACATTCTGGCGACAAATGTGGGCGCTAAAAGCGTTATTGACTTTAGCCTGGACTTTCTGAAACAAAATATCGATTGTGATGTTCAAGCAGAAGATTTGTGCGATATCGTTACTACGGTCATGATGAGCGACGGTGTTGGTGATGGCTTGAAAGAGTGGCTGAAAAAGTACTTAACCCCCGGTCAGCGCCTGGAGAGACTCTTTTACCATGAATCCTACGCAGAATTGATGTTAGATCACCCGGAGGTGGAGACCAAGCTGGAGATCTTGCTTGGAGTTAGGAGGAAGGAGGATGATGGGAAGTATAAGGCTATGTAGCGGAAATTCTATCCCTAGCTAGGCGCTAAGTTGGATGGATTGTGATTTTGGATGAAAAGATGGATGAGAGAACATACGTTTTTGCGTCGCAACCCCGATGCTACCGTGGTCAGTCATGGAGTTGGGCCTTAATTGGTTTCTTGTCGGCAGCATCAAGTTCCGCTTTATCTTGTGCTTTTCCCATTTCCCCATCAAAGATTTAGCTTAGCACTCTATGCTCGGTGATACGATGTATAGAAATCCAAATATGGATAGTTTGTTTTGTTTCCATGACTTTCTATCTTGGGTTGGACGAAATAACATATCATTTTCTTGCCGTCCCGTTCTAACCCTTAATTCTTTGCCTGTCCTATGAGCATTTACCATTCCCAGCCGATGCCGCTCTCTAAGTTGTACACCGCTGTTCAAACATATGTTACAGTTCTACTCTGTCACACAGGTCCATGGTCCGTGTCTTTCCCGTGTCACATACCCCACCATCTCCGGCTTGTCACGTCCAACAATCCCTCGCCCGTTGATATACATGGCAATCAATCATCCATAGCAAAAGTCCCTTCAGAAACTATAGCCGTTATCTTAAATGCCAGCACCCGTAACCCTCCAAGCCTCCCTCAACCCACCCAACCCAGCAATACTCCCAAAAACACCGACCCAGAAATCCCCCACTAGCCCCTTCTCTAAGCTCCAATGCAGAGTCAACGGCGCATAAGCCGCATTAACCACCATTTCCCTCCTCCATTTCCATATTAGTTTCTCCTGCTCTTCCGCATCCTTCCCCTTCTTACTCCATTCTCGGGCCAGTCTAATGAAATCAAGCCCAACGTGCGTCATCCAAAACCGCGAGCTCCATATCCAAGCCCAATTCTGCTTCTCTGTATTCCACCCTAGCACACCCTTTGAACTCAGGTACGCGCCGTTCTCCAGGAACTGGTATAAGATATTGACGAGGACCTGAGCGGCCTCGATACCTGTGCCAACCCTATCGCTGCTTTCATCATCCTTTTCCATAGGGCTCCCTTTATTCCTCTCCTTGTGTATCCGGAGCAAAACACTCTTTCCCCAACCCCACAGCCCAACCAACCCCCACAACCTCACAAATATCCTAAAATCCGATATCAACCCGTTGAGCGCCTTCAGTCTCTTCCCCGCAACTAACAACCGCGAGCCTGGAATCTTTAACTCCGACGCATTGATAATTACTGTCGTGTTCGCCGGCAAGGCGAAGGCTTTCTCGATTATTGAGCGTGCTCGCGTGTGCAGTTGGCGCTGAGAGATTGAGGTTGCGACAGTGGAGGTGAGGAGGGATGTGTAGCCCAGGGTGCAGAGAAGTCTGTCAGTTCCTGAGGGGCTGGAAAGGAGGGCTGACAGGTGGTTTATAACTCGGTCGGTTTTGGAGAGGTAGAGAGGTGCCCAGGCGACGAGGTTTTGGATAGAGGGTGTGTGATTGGAGACTGAGGGTGGTAGTGGGGTTACATCTGAGGGTTTTGGAGGGGAGGTTGCGCCAGATGGCGGGGTTTCGGGTGGTGGAAGGTCGTTGACTTTGGACATTGTAATGGTTACTAGTTTACAGGAAGAGAATCAGATGCTTTGGGCATGGTGGAGGGAAGTTGAAGTAGATATTGTCGTCGGGTTCCCTGTCAAATAATCTTGAATTGGGCTGGACAACGCGGAACGCGATATGCGACCCGGGCCGAGGTACAGCACAAATCATGTGGCCCGACCAAGGATCGTCGGCCTTCCGCATGGGCGGGATAAACCCATCTAAAGCTTCTAATTGTTCCAAGAACGCTACGTCTCAAGACCTCGAGAATAATAATAGTCAAATTCGTCGCAAGATTCAATCAAGGGTAGCGACTTGTTTTATATGTTGAATTTTAGTCTCATTACAGTCTGTCCAAACTACACACACATATCCACCCATCCCAACACCACCACATCATAACGACAAGCATGACTTAGAATTTGAGATGGGTATGAACTGGGTAGTCGCTATAGTAGATTCGTGACTCGTTACGACAAGCGAAAGAGAAACGGCTACAATCAAATGCAGAAGACATCCAAAGTCGACCGACGACAGCCTAGGAAAACAACTTTTGGTCGATGTGAAATCACCCTTCCAAAGACTTAACGAATACAGAAAAAGCGGAGAGTGGAAATCAACGTTCATATGCAATTTTACGCGAACGGCCTAGCCGGTAGATGAGAGGCCGTAGCATGGAAAACCAAATGCAGAAACCGAAAAATTAGCTGCCCAATTGATATCCCCAATCCCTCCACGAAACACGCCCAAAGTTTACCAAAGTGAATATCGTTGAAATAAAGGCGTCGAGAAGTCATGGCAATCATCCTTGGTAACCGCCAAAGCCGTTTCCAAAGTTTTGAGCTGGGGGAGCACTCCACTGAGCAGCCGGAGCTGGCTGAGCGCCACGACCATAGCCGCCAGCACTTGCAGATCCTCCGTATGGCATTTGCTGATTAGGATATTGACCTGGGGAATGGGCAGGTGGTCCACCATACCCGCCTTGCTGGCCAGGGAACTGGCCTGGAGACTGCTGGTTGGTCATCGGTCCGGCTGACTGGGGTCCTGGTTGTTGAGGCATTCCACCATATTGAGGGAAATAGGCTGACGGAGTTCCTGGATATGCGCCAGGGGTTGGTCCAGCCTGAGGGCTATAACCTTGCTGAGTTGCATCAAAGCCAGTCTGGGGCGGTGCTTTGTCCTTACCCCACTAAAAGACGATTAGAACGTGACGGGATGGAGAATTTGAGCCTAACTTACACTACACTTGAGGGGACGGCCATTGACATTGTAGCCGCTCAATTGGCAGATAGCCATTGCAGCATTCTCGTGGGTATCCATCTTGACAAAGGCAAATCCGCGATCGGCCTGGAATCGAGTCTCGACAACGTAACCAAAGTTCTGGAAAAGAGGAATGAGATCATTCTGAGTTGTGTACGGAGTGAGATTGCCAACGTAGCATGTGGTCTGCCAAGCTGGAGTCTGTTGGACGATCATATCGTAGCTCTGAACGCCATGAGTTGGGAAGTGATGATGTCCAAATGGCGTGGTTGGAGTCATGCCCATAGCAGACATAGCTTGTTGCTGTGAAATAGATGGCTGGCCCTTCTGGTTGGCCCAGTTGCAGCGAATAGCACGAGAGCCAAGCCATTCACCATCCATCGAACTCAAAGCCTTCTCTGCATCCTGACGCTCGCGGAAAGCAACAAATCCATATCCCCTTGAGCGCCCAGTCTTCATGTCCCACATGACGCGAGCCTCAGAGACAGAGCCGAACGCTGAGAATGCCTGGAGGAGGACTTCGTCGTTGACTTCGTTTGACAGATCGCCAACGAAGATGTGGAAGTGGTTGGAGGTATCTTCCTTGTTTGAGGTGTTGGATTGGTAAGCCCAGTTAACACGGATCTCCTACGTGGAACGTTAGTATTCATAGATGGCACATCCAGTCATGGTACTTGCCGCTTGATGAACTCGACGTCCGTTGAGAGTCTGCATGGCGCGTTCTGCTGCTCCAGGGTCGTCATATTCAATGAAGCCGTAGTTAAATCCCTTAGACTGAAACTAGACCGCGATTAGCGAGCCGCAACTTTCAACGAGTGAATAATAGGTAGAAGAACAAAGCTGAATAGTTGTGAAACCCTTGTTGATAGGAGAATTCAACAAACTTTACTAGAATTCTCAAGGATTTGACAGAGTTAAAGGGTGATACTGACGGCACCTACATTCTTGTCAGGAATGATTTTGACATTTTGGACATGACCAGTCGTCTCGAAGATTTGTCTAAGGACATCCTCCGTGACTCTAGGATCAAGACCTCCTACATACAACGCCCTCTTATTCGGCTCAGGGGCGGCACGGCGTACAAACCCGCCTGCACTATCTGGTGACATAACACCTCCGTTCTCTCCCATGGGGGATGTAATAGCCGTTGGAATCGGATTTGTGTTTTGTGGGATTATGACAGGTGGTAGCGGTGGGGGGGGCATGTGCGAGGGGTTGGTTTGGCCATTATGACCGTTCTCGTAGCCCGGCGCTCCAGCGGTGGCCTGTGGAGGTGGCGGTAGCTGTGCGCCTGAAGGGGGAGGTCCATTATCCGCCATCTTAAGATAAATCGAGATAGATTGAGATAGATCGAAATTCGCGGAAACTGGCGATTAGGAAGCGCGAAAAAGCGACGCGCGGGTTGTGATGTCAATGGCGAATGCGAGCGCGGCGGAGTTTTCAAAATGGTTGATGAAGACCAGAAAAGTTCGAGCTGACGAATGAGAACAACTAAAGCAGAGCTTTGGTGTGTTGCGCTGGACCTTGCTAAGCCTTGCGACCTTGTGCGACTCGAGTGATAAGGAGCGCGCTCTTATACTCGAAGGACTGCGAAATGGACCGATGAAAGCTCAACGGCGACAAGTGAGAAAAATCGCTTGTACGGAAGAGGAGCAGCAGCAGTACGAGCAGAGGCGATGACTGGGAGATGATGCAACAGAGGGCTGTCGCAGGAAGATGAAGACGAGTGGTATAGGTATAGGTATAGGCAGAGCAGAAGATTGAGGTGGGGAGCTCTGCGATAATCGAGAATGACTTGGAAAGTAAGAAGGCGGAGAGACGACGATGACGATGACGCTTAAACGGATGGAAGGGAAGAAAAGGACCACAAAAAGGACGACAGGAAGAGAGAGAGGAGAAAGGCCACTCCAAATTCCAGACGCCCGATGATGGATAAGAGACGGATGTGATGGTGGATGATTCTTTGATCAGGAGGAAGAGAGGCGGATGGGAAATGGGGCTCGAGAAGTTTATTACATAAAGCGCGACGAGCGAGTAGGGTTGCAGGCGCGGTTTTGCGCTTGGCCTGAGGCGGTTAGGGCGCCGGGATGGGGGGGTTCTCTAATCTCTCGCCATGCAAATCGCAGTTGAAATAATAATAATAGGGGAGGACGTAGCAGAAGAACACACAGGATCACATCAATGATCAACACTAGCTCTACTCCGCATGGCTATTACCTGTATTTTGCTGATTAGATAGTCCAGAGCGCTTCGCTGCCCAGCTGAATGGAACGTCAACCCACCCCTCGGTCAGAAGCACGAAATACAGGTTGCGCCACGAGCTGGGAGACCGTGGGTGGCCGTGCTGCGGCTTTCAGCAAACGGAAGACTTTCCTCCAAAACCAGATAGGCGTGCAGCAGGCTCCGGAGGCACAGGTCTCCATACCAGAGACCAATTCCGCCCAATGGATTGCGAATTATGTGACGAGACCCGCAGCTTTGTTGCCGCATGCATGGAGGGTGTACTCTGTAGGGCAGGCATCTGAAATCACCTCCTCCATGGGCACGAAATGCTATTGGCACGGCAGCCCTTCGCTGCAACCCCGGGTGGGCAAATATCATTAGGAGAATACGCACTAGCAAAGCATACGGAATAGCGAGAGATACCTTCGAGGGTTCTACAAGAGCCAATTCGTCTTGTGCAAAGCCTTTTGTCAAGCCTCGGATGCCTCTTAACTGCAGAGCCCGGGGTATCTTCAGGTCGCTCTGCCAAAATTGTAAATTCCTATACTTCGCCTAGGGCGTCCAGCACTAGGACCTAGTATTGGGTTTGGTAGAATTTAAGCAATCAATTGTTTATATAGGTAATTATATAATGAGAACACAGGCGCGGATTATCTTCCCTTCCCCCTACGACTCCCGAACATCTAAGTAAAGCTGGATACTTGACAGTACTCCGTACTGAATCCTAAGATGTTGAAGTAGCATCTTTGGAAGTAGCTTAGTGTCCTGAGCCTTGAGGTATCAAATAGGCTTTACGGAGTAGGCTTCAGTAGGGGTTCATAATGTCTTGGCGCCATGGGAAGGATTCAAGAGTATCCCAACTTCAGGGGCAACATGCTATAAATGGCCAATTGAGTTTATAAACTGATTGGGCTATTTGAATTGGCTCCTGTAGTTTATCGAAGGTTTTGCCTTCTACGTAGCACTCTGCACGTAGGCGTTGGCCAGGTACAGTACCACCAGTAAGTAGTACTTTGTATTGACTGAGCCACTAGGCCATGATCGCCCGGTGCACGGACTTCAACAACCTCAATCTGTCAGCCTTTAAGCTCTGCACTCCACACTCCAGCATCAGCCTCTCTATTCATATACTCTGTACACCTCCAGCGTAATGCGAGACGCCCCATGGCTTGTGGCATATAAAACTGCAACCAAAATTTGATATCAAACAGACTATACTCTTCCTAAAATATATATTCACAATGGCACAACCGCCTCGCACAAAGCATCCCCTTGATATCCTCCAGGGCATGATCAATGGCATAGTATATACCCCGCTCGCCGTTTTGCTTGAATGGGCAGCTAACTGGCTGGCAGCTCATAGAAACAGGAAGGGCCCTAAAAACGTCCACCAAGGATGGTAGAAGAGCGCTTTCCAGTAACAATCCTCGCCTTCAATCGACAATCCCCCCCGCGGTGGAGACCTTCCAGCAAGCACTCGACGAGCTTGAATGCGATATTGTAAGGGCGAACTGTTATGATTTTGTTTGACATCTGCTAACCGAGGGTTAGCTTCGTGCGAAATCCGTCTTGTCGCGAGATCTAGAAGAAGCACGACTGAAGCGGATCGCGTTGGAAACTCCCGCAAATATCCCCGAAGAAGCTCCTCAAAATAACGGCATAGCGACTGAGAGCACTGAACCTGAGACCCAACCTGTCGAGGTCAATGATTCGCTTCAAGCTACAGAACCCGAGCCTTCGCCGATCAAGGAAGAGCGGCAACCGAGAAGCCCAGAAAAGCAGCAACTACCAGACATTACTCAAGAACCTATGCCGGATGAGCCGAAAGACGCGCCCGCAATTGCGTCGGGTACCCCCAAGGGGTTGCAAATCCCTTCGCCCCCTGCTTCCTACAATGAAGCCAACACAACTACAAACCCGATCGGTCTTGGAATAAACACAGAAGCGAAACCTGATGATTCTGACCCCACGACTAATGGACCTCAAGATCCCTCAATCGATTCGTTGTTTGACATTCCAGATAACGATGACACCAACATAGACCTCAACTTCGATAGCATGGATTTCTCCTTTAATACAAATACCAACACGCAGACCCAAGATCAACCTCAGACGCAAAATGATGACTTTGATCTCTCGGCATTCGGAAACACCTCCCCAGACTTCAACTTACCGAGCCTCAATCCGCCAAAGGATGCCAATTCTGAAAATATTGAAAAGGCCGCTGAAAATAAACCAGTAGAGGACCTCCTCAACCTAGGAGCTAATGTCGGAGGTGGTGATAGTATGGACTTGGATCTAAATCTTGACATGGTTGGAGCAGAGGATAGTGCTTTCGATGACATGTTCTTCGATAATGAGGGTGGAATGAGCGCCGGCGGTGAAATGGAGCACGACACCTATGACAGTGCATTCTTCGGCTTGAGTTGATTGGTGGCGATTTAGCGATAAACTGAGGCTCTCATATATCAAACGAGCTCATTGCTTAACATCACGCCGTCCTAGAGTCACATATTAGACGGAGAAGACGGAGAAGAATAAGGCTAAAAGGCCAAAAGACTTTTACCTTATTTGCTAGTTTACATCCACATCATATTTATAAACTCCACATCTATCAAGCGTCTCAGGGTTGAATTGTGAATAGCTGCTGCTAAGCTAGTTTGTCCTCAATACTATTTCCCTCATTCTTGTTAATATTTCACTTAGCACGACTATATTGCAACTCTTTCATATTTCAAACCACTATCCATTGTCTCAGAAGGGATCAGCTCGAGTCTCTTCCATACATACTGACCTTTTGCTGCTTCTAGGACAATCACTCTCCACGTATATATATGCACCGACCATACGTCGCAAGTTCTCAACATTGCGTTTTTGTTACTCCCCAAACCATCTCTGCATGCAGCGAGCACAGTACACCAACAACCCAAGGCCCTTCCAAAATGTCAAGATTTCCATTCTGGGGCTCCTTAAAAGAAGTCCACCAGCGCCCAGCGCCCTTCAAACATGTCAGCCTCTCCATCCAGGGGCTGTGACGAAAGTCCAGCAACAACCTAACACCGTTTCGTTATGTCAGCTCTTCCATGCTTAGGGACCATTCTTTCGCTATTACATGTCTCTCTGCTTCTTTCTTGTACGTGAGTGAAGCTGACACGTATACCGGTTGTTGACTAAATCGGGCAAATACACCAAGCACCGAAGCAAATAATACCTTGAGGGCTTTCTAATGAGGTTTTATTATTTAAGAAACCGTGTACGCTGATTTGCATTTCATCTTTTTATAGTCTGTAGTATACGCATAAGCCCTCGGATTACCTTCCTAAATACCTTTTCTTTGCGGATTCTTCTCTACGTAGGTCGCAGGGATTGAAACTCAATTCAGTGGGACTATGAAGCTCTGCGAATGGTCGGGGAATTTTGGCAATCCTTTTGGGGGACTGATTAAGGATACAAGTTCACACATATACGTGATGCTTGTCTAAGGCTCCCTCCCACCAAGTTGTGAGGGAATGCATGAAAAATATTTGCATAGCCTGGGGAGGGAGGAATTAAACTCAAGTAGCATGCATAGTAGGAGACACATCAGCAACTACTAACACGTCAGGAAAGATTATTCTGCAAATATAATATGGTTGGCTTTATTTGAGAGCAAACGTATGTACTATACGTAGTACAACAAGGAATAACAACACCCCATCCCAGCCGAAAATTATACAATACTATTGGTATATCATCATTATCGTGATTCATCGCCGCCTTGTTGGCATTATTCATCGCATAAGGGTTTCCGTTTCATTCTTGGCCCATGTCAGTCCTAATCCATCAGTCCTGCTTGGTATAAAAGCAACCATGACTTCTAGAAGCTCGGCGGTGACATCTTCTCCCGCTAGTGGTATCGTGAAATTCATATTGCGCCGCGCCGCCGCCGGTATTTTGGTCGTTTCAATCATTTCTCATTATCGTCACCGGCCTTGGTTAGCCCTTAGAATCTCAAACTCCTTCCTCTTCGCTAATAGACTCTTCACTGCCCCTAACAATTTGTCCAGTGCATCCTCGCTAAGTGCACAGAACTTGTAACTCTTTTCTTCCGTGATCACCTGCAAACAGTGCCGCTTTGTCTTGCTCAAAGGGTCGATCTCTACCACGTTGATAACGGCGGAGAATGGTATTAGGAGGACAGGCGAATATTCAGAATCGTCTTTGTACAAGGCAATGTTGCGTGGTCGGATGACGGCCCAGACGTCTTTCCATTGACGGACTCCACCTTTACTCTTCAGGTAGAGTATGTAGCCTTGCCACACTATGCGCTCGGGATCCATTTCCATGTTGAAGCCACTCATTTGACTCGCATTTCGAGGGCCGAGCATAGTTTGGGAGCCTGGAGTTTTGACAGCCAGGGTTTCTTCTGGTATTGAGAGAGCTGAGGCTCCTGGAGCTCGAACCACCTCAGCATCAGACATATCTGAATGCGACGCGACTTCGTTTCCAGAATATTCAATAGTATGAGACATCCTTCGATTCGGGGCGAGACGAGAGATGTTATTCCTCGACACCTTGGCCACAGGATCGGTGGGCTCCGGGGAGCTTGACCCAAGCCGTTCATCATGGAGTCGTCTTTGCTCGTTATTAGCGTTCATAACTCGCCCAAACCCGTTATATGAACCAGTAATATTGCCTCCCGGGCTTGCGAGTAGCAGCTCCTCCTCCTCCTCCTCAATCCGCGCTTCCTGTCGAATGAGTGAAACCCACTCGTCGAGATCGCTTCTCGTAACTGCTTCCAAGTGGTAGTTTCGAGACGGCGAAAAGAGGCCAAACACATTTTGTCGCTTTTGCTTGCGGTCCTTCAACAAGGCAACGGCGGTGAGGTCGGAGAGGTGGATCTTATGCCTTAATTTGGCTTCGTTCTGGTCTTTGTATATGGAGAGGGAGTTGGGGCGTAGGACAAGAAATATCGGTTTCCACGTCTATGAGATTTCATTAGCAGGGAGGATTTTGGGGGTTTCGCAAGTGGTGATGTATCACGCACCTTGGTTTTTCGAGTCCGCTTCTGGACGTATCCGCTCTTAATCACACGGTCGAACTCAAAGCTGCCATTTTCGTTGACTGGCGAAAAGGCATCGTGCCCAAGGAAAGAGTTGCGCACTCGGCTGGCGGAGGTAGAGATCGGCGGTGCGACGGTAGAAGTGGGAGGAGGTATTTGTAGAGCTGTTGTTCGTGTTGGGATCTGTCGAGGCTGGCTTGCTTCTTGCACTGGCGCGTGCTGCGCTTCGGCCATGGTGGTGTTTGAAATCAAAAAGGAAGCCGTGATTGTGATGGTGGTCTGCAGAGGTGGGAATGGATAGAGCAGCAGTGTACTTCGTAATTGTTATTATATATCCGGCTGGGTTGGGTGGTTGGCAGTGGCTGGGCGGGGGAAAGAGGCCTCGTGAGTGTCGACAAAATGTGTCTCTGATGTGGTGCTTGCTGTCGCTGTCGCTGTCACCATCACACTGACGACCGTCGTGACCGTGAAGCAGTGAGTATAGTTACCTTCGTGAAGAGTTGAGTTCCGGGCCTCAGCAACAGGAAGCTGGCGCCGTGGATGAAGCTCCTTCTGCCGTCGACATCACCCCTTTGTGTGCAGTGTGCAGTGTACAGTGTACCTAGGGATTTTCGCGACACCGTGCAGGGTCGAGTCGGCTGGATCGCACTGCAATTTTATATCAGAAGGGATGGCGGGGGGAGCTGGGAAGGGAAGATTGCGATCAAGGCTCAAGCTCTGGTCTGGCATCAAATATTATTATTATTCATGGGCGAACAGGTTCTGAGCTTCAGAGCTTCAGAGCTTCAGAGTTTCAGAGTCTCGGCCAGGGAGATGTCGGGGCCAGAAGCGCTGTCAACCAATGCTCCGGGCCAGGTCACTTGGCGGTGGTGCAACGGACGCTTCAGGTTGCCCCCGGCGGTTCCAAGAGCTCCGGCGTCTCTTCATGCACTGGGTCTTGGGACAGGATAACCAACTAAACAGAGAGATTATTTCCTAGAGATAGTTCTATTTTTATATATATATATTTTTGAGAACATGACAAAGAGTGTGTGCTGCTTAGGGATGGTGGTCTTTTATTATTATCAGTATTAACCAATAACAGCAGCATAGGTACCCTTACCTTAGTATTCCCCCCAAAGTGCACCTAGATGTCACGTGTCGTCACTATGGGTCTGGCCAAGCTGGGGTGTGACGCATTTATCGCCATCGCCAAAAAATAAACAATCGTCCATTCATCAGCCAAGCGTCTGTTGGTGAATTTACCATATAACGCTCCACCCCCCCATCCCACACAGCAGTTTTGCTCTTGCCAACCGGTATCCTGCTCGGATAAGCATGAAGCATCAATCTGAAAATGCCTGTCGTCAATCCAGAGAAACTGGTCGCTTTGCAGCGGAATCCAGACGGAATCCGAAATGTGCGTTATCTTCTTATCCGTGGTGGGGTAATTTTGTATCTTTTTGCTGACAGCAACTCCCCGTGTAGATTTGCATTTTAGCCCACGTTGTAAGTCCTCCCTCCTCCCCATACAATATCAAGCATGAATGGGAAAATAGAAAATAGAAAGATATGCTGACGGGTGCATTAGGATCATGGAAAAACCTCACTCACCGACGCCCTTATCGCGACGAATGGCATCATTTCTCCCAAATTGGCTGGCAAGATCAGGTATCTCGATTCCCGACCAGATGAACAAATTAGGGGCATCACCATGGAATCCTCTGCGATATCTTTATACTTCTCGATGTTGCGTCGGTCGGCGCCAGATGCTACCCCCGAGCAGAAGGAATATCTAGTCAACCTGATAGACTCCCCGGGACATATCGACTTCAGCAGCGAAGTCTCGACCGCATCCCGTCTATGTGATGGGGCTGTAGTCCTAGTGGATGCTGTTGAAGGCGTATGCAGCCAGACTGTGACGGTGCTTCGACAGACATGGGTCGAGCACATGAAGCCATTGCTTGTCATTAACAAAATGGATAGACTAATTACAGAATTAAAGATGACCCCTGGAGAAGCCTATATCCATCTTGATAAATTACTGGGACAAGTCAATGCCGTCCTGGGGAGCTTCTTCCAAGGTGAGAGAATGGAGGAGGACCTTAATTGGCGCGAGAGAGTCGATGAGAGGATCGCTGCCGCCGCTGTTAAAGGAGCGGAGAAGGCAGGCAAGGATAACCCGAATGATGCCAATGGAAACTCCGTCGACACCGAAAATCTCGCTGAGAATCAAGAATTTCAAGAGAAAGATGATGAAGATCTCTACTTTGCTCCTGAGCGGAACAACGTCATATTTAGCAGTGCCATTGACGGTTGGGCATTCACCGTACGACAATTTGCAAGTTTGTATGAGAAAAAGCTAGGTATAAAACGTACTGCTATGGAGAAAGTTCTGTGGGGAGACTTCTACTTAGATCCGAAGACGAAGAAAGTCTTGGCACAAAAGCATCTGAAAGGGCGAAACCTCAAACCGATGTTCGTGCAGCTAGTACTGGAGCAAATTTGGGCTGTATATCAAGCTACTACTGGTGGTGACAATGGGAAGGGGTGCGTGCTTTCCATTACCCCCAGCCTTTTGTCGATACATTCAGTGAATTCTAAAGATTATCATGTTCTGACTTGCTGTTAGTGATCCTGTTATGACTGAAAAAATCACGAAATCCCTAAACATAACACTGCCACCATATGTTGTACGCTCCCGAGATCCCCGCGTCATTCTCACAACGGTCTTTTCCGCATGGTTGCCTATTTCCACGGCGCTCCTGGTCTCTGTGATCGAATCCCTACCCTCGCCTCCTGTTGCACAGGAAGCTAGACTCCCGGCTTTGATCGATGCCTCGCCCGGTGCCTCCTACGTTGACGCTCAGGTCAGAGAGGCGATGGTCAAGTCAAAGACCTCCGCAGCTGACCCAGTTGTTGCGTATGTCAGCAAAATGGTCTCAATACCGGAAAGTGAGCTACCTCAGAATAGGCGCAGAGGCGGTGGTCTGAGTCCTGAAGAAGCCATAGAACTCGGTCGCAAGAAAAGAGAGGAGATTGCGCGAGCACGAGCTTTAGAAAATAGCACCGCCGAAGATTCCATCAACGTCGTCTCTGACGCACTCGAAGCAGCTGGGCTCCAGGAAGCAACCCCCGACGAGGTGAAAGGTGACCCTGAGCATCTAATCGGGTTTGCAAGAATCTACTCTGGAACATTATCTGTTGGTGATGAAATATATGTCATCCCACCAAAGTTCTCTCCGGCGCATCCGCATAACAGCCCTGAACCACAAAAGGTCACAGTCAAGGCATTGTACCTACTAATGGGCCGTGGGCTCGAGCCACTTACTTCGGTGCCTGCTGGCGTGGTCTTTGGAATTGCTGGTTTGGAAGGTCACATACTAAAATCTGGGACCCTCTGTAGTCAGCTGGAAGGCAGTGTCAACCTGGCTGGAGTCAGCATGGCATCTCAACCTATTGTGCGGGTCGCGCTTGAACCGGTCAGCCCCGCAGATCTCGATAAGATGATCTCTGGCCTCAAATTATTAGTCCAGAGTGACCCTTGCGCCGAGTATGAGCTATTCTCAAGTGGGGAGCATGTTCTACTGACTGCAGGTGAGTTGCATCTCGAGCGATGCTTGACAGATCTTCGGGAGCGGTTTGCCAAGTGCGAGATTCAGGCTGGTGAACCAATTGTGCCATACAGGGAAACAATAGTTAGGGCGGAGGAGATGAAGCCCCCTGCCAATAAGGAACTTGGTAGAGGTACTGTCATCGCAGTAACTACATCTAAGCAAGTTACAATCCGATTGACTGTTCGGCCCCTACCCTCTGAAGTCATTGAGTTTCTGGTCAAGAATTCTAGCGCGATCAAAAGGTTATATTCTGAACTCCACACGGTAGTGAAGAAGCAATCCGAGGGCAGCCAAGAGCAATCCGAGCAAGAAGATATCGACGAGGACGGTGTGGTCGATTCTTCGAGGCTCATGTCACTTGCAGACTTTAAAACGAAGCTTCAAGCCGCGTTCCAGGCTGCCAAAGGTCAACGAGATATTTGGGCCAATTCTGTGGAGCAAATCGCAGCATTTGGGCCCCGGAGAACAGGTCCGAATATTTTATTCGATGCCACCAATTCGAGCATCTGTGGCAAATTGTAAGTTCCTAACGTTGCCTTCTTGTATTCCCGCTAACTATACTAGTCTTCGCGATAGCTCTGCAGAAGAAACACAGCAAACCATCGGTGAAACTTTACAAGCACGAGACTTCTCCGATAAAATCAGCTATGCGTTTCAATTAGCCACAGCAAAAGGGCCGCTCTGCGACGAGCCCGTTCAAGGAATAGCGGTCTTCCTCGAAGAAGTAACCGTTAGCGCTTCATCCGACGATGGATCCTCAGCACGAGATACGCTTGGCCGGCTGACGGGCGAGGTAATTAAAACCGTACAACAGGCCATTAAGCAAGGCTTCTTAGATTGGAGTCCGCGGTTGCTCCTCGCCATATATTCTTGCGAGATTCAAGCAAGCAGTAAGTCACCTCCGTATTTCCTCACGCATTCAAGTCCTAACAGAATCACAGCCGAAGTCCTAGGTCGTGTTTACGACGTTCTAACCCGCCGTCGTGGACGCATCCTCTCGGAATCCCTCAAAGAAGGCACGCCATTCTTTACCATCCTCTCACTCCTCCCCGTCGCCGAATCCTTTGGCTTCAGCGACGAGATTCGCAAGCGCACCTCGGGTGCCGCGTCCCCCCAACTCATCTTCCAAGGATATGAAATCCTGGATGAAGATCCGTTCTGGGTACCTTTTACTGAGGATGATCTGGAAGATTTAGGTGAATTGGCGGATAAGGAGAACGTTGCGAAGAGATATATGGATGGCGTGAGGAGTAGGAAGGGGTTGATGGTTACTGGGAAGAAGTTAGTTAAGGATGCTGAAAAGCAGAAGACCCTCAAGAGGTGAGCGGTTAGTGTTGTTTAGACGTATATGTTAGAGCATTATGTGGCAGTGGGGCGATTGGATAGATGGTTGTATGGGAATTGGTCCATAAATAGGTATATTGGACTTAGACAAAGATCCCCAAGTTATCCCTAGAACTCGGTAGAGAAAACTGTTCGTCGAGCCTCCTCGGAGATAAATTGGAATGTTCTAAATATAGCTGACGATAAAATTAATATTAAAGGAGACATTTGTGGCATATCCTTAACCCATTGCCCTAAGCGGACCGATGATAAATATATTCGAGTAATACGTCGGAAAATAGAAGTAGTCACGAAGTTTGTCAGAAAATGTAAACACCAAACATAGGAGCTGCATTACACGGTACAGATATGATACACGGACATATACCCTCTCTCTCCCTCTCTTATACAATAGATCATCTCCACAGCTGTCTATACTTAGCGCTAGAGTGCCGTGCCTCCCAGCCTCTCGCCTTCTGCTTCGGTTTAAGGGCCTCGACCCTCTTCCTCTTGAACTCAATATCCGCGCCCTCAATGCCGGCTCTCTGCATGACCCCTGCAGTCCCTTCATCCCATGTGCTGCGGAATATGCTCATCCCGATCGGGTCCAGCTTATACTTGTCTTTGAAGCTTCGTAGTCGGAACCCATCGCGTTGCACAGCCTCCTTCAGCTGCGCAGCATCTAGAGTCTCGCCGGGCTGTTGTTGCAGGACGAAGACGGAGTAGCGGTGATATGGCGACCCCTTTTGCGCGAACGGCGGCATCCAAGGTAGTGCAATCGACTCTTTAGGGAGTTGCGAAATGGGTATTGAGGTGATGGTGGGAGAGAGCGGAATGTTGGTCGCAAGGAAATGGCAGCGGGATGTGAAGTTATCCTCCTCGGAAACTGGAACATCCGAATCAATAACCACGATACTGACAAGTCGCTCGCCCTTGTCAAAGACCTGTACTTTCAATCGGAGAGGGACCTCGCTGACTCGAGAATCGACATATTCTCCATGCTGCACACTACGTTGCTTGAATGCTAGGCGTACATCGGCGGTAGGTTCGAAATGGGGAAGCACGTCGGGGACAATGTTGAACTGGTCTATGCGCTGAGCGATGAGGAGCTGTTGGTATTTCCGCCATTGTTTCTCAGCCATGTAGCGGTAGATGGGTTTGTTCATATCGCCTGAAATCATGATTAGCATTTAAATCAGTTGTAGTAGACACATTCTTTGTAAATACCTTCGCCGTCCTCAAAGCGCTTCTTGATTAGCGGATCATTAATATCCGCCTGGATCTTCAGATACTCAAGATGGCTTCTCATGCTAACCAGCCGTCTCTGCTTCTGCACCTCTCCACCCTTAACGTTTGAAGCATCTTGAGCTTCTAGATTCGATATCCGTAATCTCTCGGTTTGAATCTGCTTCAGCTTCTCCTCCCTATCTGTTCGGAAAATCTTGAGAGCCTCCTGAAAGCATTGGTAAGGAAGTTGCTCGAATGGGAGATTTCCGGAAGATTTCAGGGCTGCACGACGACGTCTTGACCCAATTGGCATCACACCACTCTTCATCAATGCCTTTTCGCCCTTTCTGGATGTGACTGTAGCTGGGTCGTAAACGATGGGCTCGGTTTCAGGCACTGTAGCAACCTCCCCGTCCCGCCGGGACGTGGTTGTAAACTGTCGAATTGATCTTGCTGAAAAACATGGTGGTTGAGAGGTCTGCATACATCGCGCCAACGGCCTTGCGGCCTTGTGACAAACAGCCATTCTGAATCGTTGGCGCTGTCGCTGATGTTGGTGTTCCGTTCCTGAAGTTTCGCGATGTCGAAGCTTGGGGAAATTTTGACGGAAGATGCCGAGAACTTTTCTTAGACGCTAGACCTGTTCCTCCTGACATTGCAACAACAACAACAGATTCGTTCATACGAATCAATAGCAACACCAACCATGGCACTGAAAGGTCTCCAGGGCCTTCCGAAGGCTTTGGGCACTTTACGAGCGTTTGCTAGCTCGAAAGACCCGCTAACAGTGCGAATCTGTCTCCAAGCCTTGCATAGCTCCCACTGACCTGCTTCCAGCAATGTCTTGCGCCAGGACTCTCGAGGTCAATGGCAACAGAGACTTCGTTGCCATCAAATGAGACCCAAGACTACAGTCATTCCATTCTCAGAAATACCACAACTCCAGTGGCTGAGTTCACACGTACGCTCTACTCCTGTACTTTCCGCCTGAGATGGTATTAACCACTTCTAGCTCCCACCGTCCCTACAACCATTTACAAATTTCCCACCATGGAACCCCTCCGCTTCGAATCCTACTCCAGCAAATATTTGTACCTACCCCTTCGCCGAGATATTCTCCATCGCGCCGTAATCTTCGAAGGCGACGCTACACGGCAAGGAACAGCCAGCACTAAAACCCGATACGAGGTACACGGCTCACACAGAAAAGTACGGCCGCAGAAAGGAATGGGTAAGGCACGTCTTGGGACGAGACAATCACCCGTGATTAGAGGAGGTGGGAAATCCTTTGGTCCTCACCCAAGAGACTTTTCCACGGAGCTGCCAAGGAAGGTCTATGACCTGGCTTGGAGAACGGCGCTGAGCTGGCGGTATAGGAAAGGAGGGTTGATTATATGCGAGGATGGCATGGATATCGATTATTTGAAGGCGCGATATGCGAAGCGGATTTTCGATCACAATCATTGGGGGAATGCATATGGCCGTTCTCTTGTGGTCACGAATTCATACAGGAAGAACCTTTTTGGGGCTATGCAAGACCTTGGTTCTGAGGGCAGGGTGCAAGTGGTAGATGATGTGGATGTTAAGGACTTGCTGGAGCAGGGAAGGATCATTATCGAGAAGAGCGCGTTAGATGAGATTCTGCGGCAACATCAGAGTGACTTGGTTGCCAAAGTCAGGACGGGTGTATAGGTGTCGTGCCTAGCTGGTATTAAAGGCAGGGGCTGGGTTGTACAAAATGTAACAATTACTGATCATGTTTCCTAGTTGGTTATTGCTTCACTGTGCCCTATTAGATTGCTGGAACGTCAAGAGCGAAGTCTCAACCTTTACACATCACCGCGGGCCTGTTTGAAGTCACCAGTTATCTAATCTGTCGGCATATAGACTGATGTTCAATCTAAGCACCGTATAGGTTGGTAGGTACCTAAGGTATGTCTAATGCACTTCTTGTACTCGTAATACCTCGATGGACACTTATAGTACCGATAAATCCAGTCACCTCCTGAACGGCAGCTCTACCATGCCATCCTATCTCATGTCGATTTTTCTTGTCGACCTCTATTACTATTCCATAGCTTCTAGATCTATTAAAGTAAGTCCATAACGGCAGCACACATACTTGGATCCATCAGTATGGAGTCAATATCCCTGCTTGGTATCATCGCACCGTCCTGCTGAAGACCCCCAAAGTAGGCGCTTATCGCGGTGTATGTTTCTCGAACCTACACTTCAATGACTGATTATTGCCTATAGGTTGCAATCATCTTCGCGTATAATGGACGTTCCAAGATTGCATACTGTACGGCCCGCCCCGTAAGGAAAGGAAAGGAACTATGCCACATGCAATGTTGGTGCTGCTTTAGGGCCTTACAAAAAACCCTACTGTTTTACGACACGTTGCGTAAGGTATATAACTATGGTATTGTAACAATTATCGCGAGATAGGGCATCACCCTATGATTTCTACGATTGATATGAATAGCATGGCTCTATTCTTCAGGTATGCGCGCTTTCCATAGCTGTTAGTCTTTATACCCCGGATTTGGAACTTGACCGCCTGCCTAAGCATCACAAAAAACCCTTGAAATACCATTTGTTTCTTTCCGGGGTTCCGGTGTCCTTGCGTTCGTTCTAAATCCAACCCTGTGTGGGCTTGGCCGCTAAAAGCGAAAGTGCAGCATCTTCCTTTGCATTTCCCATTGCATATTCTTAGGCATTAGAAGCATGAATGCGATTGCGTTTCTCTGCTTCTTTGCCTTTCGCGCCAGCTTCCAAAATCTGCTCATATTTGCTGTTATCGACCTTCATGCCCTTTATCCCTTCATCGTATGCAGTCATTCTTGTATGGCCGATCGACGAGTGGATGTTCCCGTTCATCCTGGCATGGGTAAAGGTCATGGGCACTGCTATACTTCTCGGAGTCCGCAGACCCTATATTCGTTGTCTGGAATCATGTACATAATGACGGTCGAAAATCTAGTATTGCCCGATTCTTCCGATGGTGCCCAACGTCGCCAAAACAACACAAACTTCTGCATTTAGCAATACCTGCGATTCTAGGATCCGTTGCCTAACCGTATCCAACATCATATTCGCCGTCAAAATTTGAGAGATCCCTTTGCAACACTCTCCCAAGAATAAGCACTGCGATTGTGGCTTGCTGGTCTTTCTCTCTCCAAGGCCTGGCGACTACATAGGCAAAGATCAGTGGTTATCTCCGGGGGAATCTTTGGTTGAGTTATCGTGGGCAATCTTTCTCCATCTCTTGTAGCATGGAGCTATATGCAGCCGCCGCCGATGGTGGACGATGGCCGATGCAAGAGTGGTACTCTCCATCTAGGGCGTGAAACGGTTGGTATCGATGACTTTATAGGTCAACCTAGCATGACACCAGAAATTACCTAGGCAGGTGATGGAGTATTCTAACAATACCTCGAGGATGTTTCTAGCACTGCTCCAAATATGGTGAGAGGGGAGCTCGAAGGATGGGCGAAGCTGTGGCCTATGGCGCTGACCCGTTCTAAGCAACAGAAGCCTAATAAAATTAATAAATTAGTGCTGTTCAAGATACCTCCAGGGGCGTCAATTTGGTGTCGATAGCTAAAGATATCATGGCCAAGGTATAGGGTCAAAGTATAAGCTAACGTACCTCAAAGTTGGGGAAATAATGATCCGCGTGGAGTGTTTTTGAAAAGGACTTCATTGTTATATGGTACTAGATTTGGTAGACAAACGGCAATGGCCGTATGTGTCGTTTTCGTACTCGCTGGCCATTAGTCGAGGAGGCTGAGAGGCATCATTCCGCTCTAGTGTTGAGTTGCCTCATTGCAAGTGCGCCAGGGTCGAAGTTGGTGTCTCGCATGGTGGACAAGGACAAATACTATTCCATGAGATGATAACTGCCTATGTTGCTGAAATTTGTTTTGTAGAGAAGCGTCTATATTTTGAAGATCCTGAGGCATTTGAATCGCTCCTGCCTTCCCCAATATATCTACATCCATCCACTAGTGTGGTTGAAACCCACCCAGAAAGTCTAATTTGCTTGATCTCCCTCAACAAAGTCGCGCATACAGATGGGCGAATGGACTATAGTTATTGGGGGTTTACTACGTTTAATATCTTTTTCTATTGCTAATAGGTGGTGGTGGTGGGGTTTTCAAGTTGTAAGCCATGTCAAATGGTAAGGTTCAATTTATGCTCCCCTCAACCTCGACATATCAGGGGTTATTGCTCTGGGTCCGTGGTCCATGGTGGGGTATGACTTCTGACGATCCCCAAAGGAGCACAGGTGGCTGATGATGCCTCCTCCTCCGCCCCCTTCGAGGGGATACCGCTTGAGGCGCTAGGGGCAATGTCCGTGGTACTCACGAGCACCCTAGAAGCAAGAGCGAACCATCCCTGTCATCGTCCGTTCGGAGAACTGATTTATTATATATGGCCGTGTGTATCCAAATGTTAATGGGAATATATTACATGTTTACAAAATTTCAACTTCCATATCATCTTATATCAAATCCAGACAACCCTCAGAAAGGCTGTGCTCGAGGTCTACGCCATCTACCTTGGGCTTTTGATTCCCACACGTCATTAGGGTCGCAAACCTCAATGCCTCTCGGGCAGTTTAGAGTTTCTGTCCACCAGGGTAGGACTCTGCTATCGCAGCAAAAGCAGGCCGCATCCAGGCCCAATCTGGATTAGAGTTTAACGATCCTAAGGTACTCCTTCTCCGCATCTTTCCCCATCGAGTACCTATGCGGGATCAACAGGGCCCTGAAGTGTCTATATCCACAGCAGTTCCATGACAGTAGCTCTGGAAGCTGTACTAGTAAGCTCGGTTCCTGGGGGTTGAGCCAGGCACAACAGTTGGCAGTGGGGATCAACGGGTATGAAAAGTATACTACCAGTCACTGCCCAACCTGGAGTCAGTCACAGTCAAAAGGTAGGTACTGTGTAACGCACCACAAAACAGAAAGGTCTATTTACTTCTCAGTTACCATTATCAAATTCATAGCGAGGACTGGGCATGTATCAAGTGATTTATAACATCCATTCTTCTGGTCAACTTTTGGAAGCGGAATATCAGGTCGGCGACCCTGGTCTGGCCTTAGGGACGTTGCGGCATCCACGGAGTAGAGAAGGACGGTACTTCAACAGCCACCCAAAACAGCCACTGTTGAAGTTAGCCGTCCATGCATTAGTGCCCCAACCCCCTCAACTATGGCTATATCTAGTCTGGTTGACTCACGATAGTTTCGACGTCATAAATCAACCGAACTTCTTCATTTTATGGATGCCCCCAAGGTCTCGTTTGCCTTCCAAATTCGAATATCAGCGTTCTTTAACTTGTCGAGGCAAGAATTATTTCCCATTTCGGCATTTCGAAGGAGCCTCTCCACCCCAATTCCAGCTCTGTGATGATGTCTAACCTTGTAACTGAAGGAGAATAGTCCAAATTAAGTTGGCCTTGCTTTGAGGGTCTCTTGCTGCCATCCAAATAGCATGTAGACCATATCCAGTCTTTCAACAGCGCATGGGGGTATACCCCACAAAGGGTGTGCGGATCCTCTCTTAGCTCAATTAGTAGCGCTAATATCCCAAGTTAAATCCGGCCATATGCTCTCGAATATCATATCAAGGGCTCAACTAGTTGTGTAGTCCAACTGGAAACGGCAAGTCTGACCATTGTAGACCGAGCAGCACCTGTTGATGTAGTTCGTCTTATCCAATTGCTCACTATTCCCACGGCTCTGCTCTAGATCGAAGAATCCTTTGGTACTTTCAAGGACCCTTCTCGTCCACGATTTGAGTTTATTACTCACACACTACTTTTGAGGACCCTTTGAGGTGTACCTATTCCCGTGTACAAATCCCCGTCCAGTAATTTCTCTCTCTCCATCTATTTTTATCCCTCTACAACCAATTCCCCCCTGCTATCAAATCAGGAGTTTTATCATATTCAAGTCACTAAAACCATACCACAAACAATATCTCTCCATCCTCCAGTTGAGTTACGAGCTCTCATCAGCCAACCATATCTATCACACCCTTGCCTCAGTTGCAGCTTTTCAGTTGCCAATAATTAACCTGGTAATACATCAACCCACTGTTTACCTCACTCGTCGAATATGGCTTTCACCAAGGCTGAGCAGAAAGTAAACAATACTGCTGCTGCCAGAAGGCACAGGGAGAAGAGGAAGCTTGAGCAAGAACAAAACTCCAAACTGGTAGCGAGACTTCAGCAGAAGGTGGCTGAGCAAGAGGCCACGATCAAAAGTCTCAACGACTACATCCTGAACCTGAGAACCGCCATCGTGGAACATGGCTTTAGCTGCAATATCCAAACTTCCAATTATATGCAACTAAAGGCGTGCGCATCAAACTCCCCTTCTAACGATGCTCCAAGTCCAAATCCAAATCCAAATCCAACTCAGTATCCAACACCGCCTCGTCAACGAACGCTTACACCGCCTAGTAAAGCAGCACCAGTTGATAATCTGAATCAACAGCGAACAACTATTAGTTTTGGCTCCACAAACAACGTTTATCCGGTGGCATCGGTCACAAATACCGTGGATTCAACCTTCAATGGGCCCTTGGTGGACAACACCGGGGATGGATCTCTTCTATTCGATGACTGGAGGGGCAGTCCAATCCAACAGCCAACATCCGCGGGTTTTGGCTTCATAAACAACGCACATTTGGCACCAGTCACGAATACAATGGATATAAACTGGGGGGCACCTTTGGATGACAGCACCGGGGATGGAACTTTTCCAGACCGGGACTTGATGGGTTTCGACTTCGAGTGTTACGAGAACTTATAGGTCACCAAAGTGGTGTCGATATTTGGTTCATTTTTCAATTTGGTGTTACTTTGTGGAAATAAGGACTATTGGGGCTTGGGCGCTATGGTTGAGGACAAATTGAGATTTAACGCTGCTGGGAGGGGTGGAGTTGGGAATGGGCATGGGCAAGGGGATTCGGGAATATGGAATATGGGATGGTAGACTGTCTTTGCATTTCGGTATGCTGGTTTACGGAAAACAAGTGCCCGGCGTGGCAATGGTGTTCCACTGAGGATATGCACTCAACCTTCATGAGTCGTTAGTTTTGAATTCAATACAAGTTTTGTTTTCCAACTCCAGTTGCATTGATTTAAAATTCTTGTGATAGTGCTACTGATGATACCTAATAACGCAGAGCTGCCCCTATTACTTACACATCGCTGGTACTTATTCACCGTAAGTATGAGTTAGCTAAACCCGTGGTCATATTTTGGTGTGGAAAAGCAGGGTTATGACGCATTATATATAGGAACAAACCGGTGTTTTTCGAGAATAACACCGCGATATCCTTTATATCTGAACCCGAAATGGGTTATTCGAGTCGCGCTGGCGGTATTTGGTCTATACGCTCCGGCCATAAGCCTGCTAGGCCCTACCTATCTATAGGATCAACGATATAATAGTATTAAGTCTGAATAGGAAAAGCCTATAGAGGAAGATAATTTATATTGTACAGATTGGGTCAGTGCTGAGTAAGTAGTTAGATGTTATATAATCTAATAGATCCTAATGAAGGTAGGTAACTGGTGTCGCGAATACCTCAATTTCGGTCAAATGTGGAGGATGTGGCTGGAAGTAATTCCTATATAAAATCCAGTAGCGGAGGACGAAGGCTACCACGGATCTGCGCATGACCTCACTTTGCGACGGCTGAATATTGATTGGAATGTCCCACGAATTTTGACACTCTCTGGGAATTATGGCCTCCACAGTGTTAAACTGACAGTGGTTTCCATGTGCAGAGGGTGGATGGGTATGTTGGCTGGCTAGGGTGTGCATCTGGCTGGGGGCGTGTTGCACTCAGTGCATAGTGGTCTGTTTGGTTTATAAGTAGAAATAGGCAAGTTCCGTATTATAGAGAACACTACATCCATAATGGTGTAACGGTTTAGCATTTCGGCTTTTCATCTTCCAAAGAAGTTGCCGGAGATCGGGGTTCGATTCCCCGTTATGGAAAATCTGCTAGTTCTATATTTTTTTCGATATTTCTTCTTTTTTTGATCCTTCTGTTGATATGATCGTAATAATAGTAGATGGTTCAAGCAGAAAGATCTTGCTTCTTTTTTGTGCAGATCTTTCCTTGTGGACCCCGTAGCGAGGACCATAAGCGAGCAGACCCCGTATTTCTATTGCTCTAACCAAATGTCTTTTTGGGAAACCAGAACGTCTATAAAATGGTATGGTCGTGGTTAAACCTGGGAAGAAAAGTATCCACGTCTACGTGCTACGTACATTAACATTATACATTGATATATATCCGCGTTCTCTAAATTGCTTTTTTGTCAACGAGTTTGATTGGCGGCTCATCATGGAGCAAAGCTACCTGTCAGTGTACTTGATAGGGAGCTATGCTAGTGAAGGCTATAGGAAAGAAGTGCATTGAAATGAGAAATCCTCGGTCCATTTGAAATTAATGACTACATGCCAGTGGTATTTGTTGCATATTCAATGAGAAGACAATGTGGGGCAGGGACGACGAGGGGGACCTTTCACGCACGTGACAACGCGAGCGCGTCAACTTTCAATTCTCGCGTCTCCAACTCCAACACCTAACAACATCATCATCCACCCCCGCCAATACAACATACTTACAAAGCCCTTTCCAACTAATCCACGAACAACTCCCACAAGTACTCCTCATCCCCATCTCTCAAACGTAATAAAACAATGTCGGAACTTATCTCCACCCCGCGCATTCTAACTCCCCACCTCGACTCCTTCACATCCCGCACAGTCCGCCTTATCGGGAAAGTCGTCCAGCTCCGCGGCGACCAAGCGACCATCGACTGTAGCGGCAATGTAACAGCCCTACTGAACCGCGATGCGCACTTGACAGTTGGGCATGCGGTGGAAATCGTGGGGAAGGTGAATAACGATTTGACGGTTAAGGTGCTGAGCGCTACGGATTTAGGGAGGGAGGGAGGTATTGGTAAGTTATATCTTTACTTGTATTTTGGTTCTCGTCGTGGAAGATAAAGGAAGGAACGCTCTCTGAATTGATGCTAATGTTTACATTTGGTATGCATAGATTTCGAGGCCGTGAATGCGGTTGTCGACGCGACACATCGGTATAAGGAGATCTTTTATTCCACTGATTGATGGGTCTGTCGAGTTTTGCGTGGTGATACTAGTTTGATGGTAGGGATATATGGAAGACGAGGCATAATCGAATTGGTCAATATGGTGGCTCAAGGAAGCTGAGGTCAAACGATATGATTATACGATGTTTATTATGGCTACGGCAACATGTAAAGGCTGTTGCTTTAGTCGCGGTTACTTTAGCCACATTGAATGGTGCAAAATTAGGCGGTCCGCGATACAGACGTTGATCACGATTCACGAATAGAGACGTTTACAAATTTGCGAATTGATCTTGTAATAATGCTGTATATCCTTGTTTCTTCCATCTCGCATGTTGGCCACCATCGGCTCGTCGCTATACGGAACCTATTGCCTTTCTTCATTCGCAAATGCTTATCCAGACTCCTCACTTTCATGCACCATGTCTCCCAATGCATTAAACCAAACGCCACGCTATAATGTACGATACAATTAAACAAATTCCCGCGGGGTTTATGATATTATGCTTTCCCAATTCCCGTGGTATTCTCCCCTCGCTTTTGAGGAGAGTCTTCCGGCTCGGGTTTAATCGCCACTTCTCCATCCACACCATTCGACTTGTGTTGACCGCCAATGCGACCGAATTGATTCCAATCAATGTTTTGCATAGCCGTCGGATCTTCGTAGAGGTGGAACATTCTTGGTGGAGAGCTTGGCATCGGAACATCTGTAGAAAAGAAATCCTCTATGTTGAAATTCATGTCACCATCATTAACATTTATGTTCGGTAATTCTGATGGGTGCCCGAAATCGAGTTCCAGGGCATCCCGCGTGGGTGACTGGTTATTAGCTTCGGACATAAGCTGATTCATTGTCGCAGTGAAAGGTGATTCGAAAATAGAGTCATGGTTTCTAGGTGATCGTCGAGGCGTTTTTGTTGGCGTCTGCTGCCCAAACGACAACAGTTGTCCCGGTGATTTTGCAGATCGGATAGATCTCGATACGCTTCGTGTGATCGGTCTGTGGCTCGGGGTCGGTCGGGTTGGTGTCTTAAAAGGATTCGGTATGGGTGATTTCTGGGTAGGCGTTCTAGGTCGCTCCATCTCTTGATCAAAAAGCTTTAAAAGTTCCGCATCCATATCCCCAGCCTCAATTGCTGGAGGGCAGTTCTCTTTGTCGGTTGCCTCGACCGCCCCTCCCTTCGATGGACGAAAGTCGGTTGCAACATGCTCAACATTGATCATCACCTCCCCCAATATTTTGGGTGATCCATCCTTTCTCGGCGAGGGGAACAGTAATCTTCGGGTGGAACCTAAATCCTCTTCGACATCAATTGGGCTTTGTCGTGTGCCATCAACTGGACTTGTTCGTGTTCCCGCCCATCTTGCTGGGCTAGATTGAATAGCTCTCTTTAAAGCTGTCGAAGCAGCACCGGACGTTATCGCTTTTAGACGCTTTGTAGGCTGGGAGCTGGTTGATCGCCTTCTCTCGTCTTGTTCTTGACGTTGTTTGTCAGAAAGTTGCCGCATTTGACCCGTGGTATCGGTAGGAGAGACACCCTCTAGGGGCCCTGTGGTACCTCGCTGTAGTTGATGTACTTCTTGTGTTGGGAAGTAACCTTCTGAAGGTGGGAAATATGCATCTGAAGGAGGGAAGTTCGCTTCGGATGTAGGCACCATGAGGTTTGCGCTTTGTGCATTCTTAGCCTTTGACGGACGCTGTGCCCTTCCACCATTGCCCCCTCCATCCATTCCCTTCCTCGTAGCTGGTGCGTAGCTTTCCCATTTCTCCTTTGGCCGTTGAATTTTGTATTTTGTCATCCAAATACCGCAAGCTGCATTTGTTAGCAGGGAGCATACTAGCTGGTTGGGATACTTACGGTTGCAAAGGAGGAACTCTTTATATTCCTCCTTCTTTTCCCCTGGGGATAAAGATTTTTTGATCAACTGATAAGATGTGGGCATTCCTGCGCTATCACGGGCTAGGATATTGATGCATGTGACCCTGCCTGGCAAGTCAGAGTACTCGTGATATCCTGGCGCTCCTTGATGATCTTGGGACCAAGCTTTACGCCATGTTGGAGTTTCGATCGCGCCACAATTACTACAAAAAGGTGGCATCTGCCCATTTGCAATGGCCAATTCCAACTTCTGTCTAATTGATGCCTTCTTTTCAAGACAAGCGCGACTGTATTCCGAACTATTATCCGGCATTGGTTGACATGGTTGCATTCCCCGCATGTGGGGGTGGGGAAAGACTTCCTCGGTGCCTGGACGGACATCCGACCAAGTTTGAGATCGCTGAAGGCTTGATGGTGGCATGGCCGGCTCACTGGCGGGGACTTCTGGAAAGGTGAGTGCTCCCATCGAGGCAGTGCGGGCCATCATCCTTGACCCATATCTGGTTGGAGGTGCTGGGGCTGGAGCGGATTGGGTGGTGTGAATGGGGGTGACTTGCCCTGCAGAAGCTTGTGCTTTATGCTCTCGAGACTCTGATGGCTCCGGGGCAGGTGACTGTGCTTGAGAGCCGGTAGCAGCAATGGATTGCGGCATCGGAAGGTGCTGCAATGTCGGTTCTGACTGAGGTAAAGCCTGAGGTAGCGAGAGTTGACTAGGTGTGGCTCTGCTATCTCTTCGCAAGGGTGGAAGAGTTTGTTGTCCATCTTCAGACATCACACTACCTGCGCGAGACCTGTGACGAGATAGGGTGCGTTTGGAGGGTGCTGGCTTCGGTTTGTGAACAGGAATTTTTGTGGGCAAGAGCTCCATCGGACCTGGAGTCTCCTCTTCAATTCTGAATCCCGAATCAAAGAAAGGTGCGGTTTGAGGAGCTGGATGTCGATTAAATTCTGGATTTACTTCAATTCGATCATTATCGCCAACATGCGGGCCATCATCATTGCCTTCCCCAAAGAGGTCTTCAAGGGAGGCGCTCATAAATCCGGAGTCCGTTCGTGGCATCTGAGGCAACACAGGACTTGAAGGACATGGTGGGCTTGATCGGATTGGTGAAGGAGGCCGAGTCCTCATAACCGGTGGAGATGAATTAATACCTGGGGGTGTATCCACTGGGCTATCATTTCGTTCTGGAGAGTTGTTTGCCGACTCGATGGAAAACCTGGGCTGGTCCTCAGGCTTTTGCAATGGAGGATACGGAGAAATATGTCGCTGTGGGGCATCAGCCTGACCCGTAAAGAAATCGGCCCGGAAATTGCTCTGTGAAGATGTTCGAGGGCGAGTGAGATATTGGTTTGACATATTCGGAACAGGAGTTGGTGCTCTTGGCATATCTTGGAGGTGGCTGCCCCCAGTGGGCATAGGGCTCATTGCAATTGGACGGAAGAGGCGCAAGGAGCCGGCAGTACTAGCAGCAACTCGCAACGAATCCGTTGCAGAACCAATTGTTGATTTGCTGCTCCAGTCAGCCTTAGTAATTTTGGCTCTTTTCTTGCTCGGTGGGCCATCATCTCCATCTGTCCCCTCTTCATATCCAGAAGTATTTCCACCTTGTGCAGTAGCATTCTTAGGAGGGCGGCCCTTTCTTGGTCTCTTAACAGCTGCTCTTGAAGGTGGGGGGGAGGCTTTCTTGGGGTTTTCGGTGGTGGTTGTTGTCTCAGCTGGCGACCCACGACAAATATTTTCGTTGGTGTTACCTTGATTAGGCGGCTTTGGTAGTGACTGTTCCTGCACACTGGGGCTGAGGAGCTGATTAACAAGTTCCATACTCGTGCCGTCCCTCTGAGTAGGCTGTATGCTGGGGGTCGGGGTAGCTTTATTCGCTAACTGTGCGAAATTCGGGTTCGACTGGAGGAAGGCTGTCCACTCGTTGGGATCAAGTCCGGCGGGTATAACCCTGCTCAATTCTCTATACTTCTCCATGGCATTGATATATTCGCTCTGTAATACCGTAGGGACAGGTACAAGACGTAGCTTAACCTCCAGAGTCTCCTTCACGCCGTTTGCAAAAAGGCCTAGGATGTTTTTGCAAACGCGCCCAGTAATGAGCTTATTCGATTGATGGGCGGGAGAATCCGGTGTTGAAGAAGCTGCTCCAAGTGCCCATGAAAGCATTCCTTGACCCACGAGAGGATTATCGTATTCGGAGAAGTCATACGCGTAGACGGTATAATCCTGGCCAAGTCTGGCAACAAGTTCGGGGCTGCACTGAACTATGGCTTGTATGCATGTTTTCAGCTCTATTACTCCTATAGAAGTAGTCTCATCCATCGCGACGGTTTGTATTTGGAGGACGTGAGGCCATCGCGCTAGGCAATTGGTTTTGTTTTGGTCGTCGAAGGTGTAAAGGACTTTAACTAAAAATTAATGAACATCAGTATTCTGTAGCCAATTGCGATCTCCTGGCAGCACATACGCCTCATTGGCCTGACAGACACCCCATCATCAGTGCTACTAGTATTTGTGCCCATCGCGGAGACTTGAGACTCTGGGTTTGACCAAGGAGTGGGACCTTGGATCAAGGCTGCTGGCGACGACATCGCGAGCCTCTTCCGGGCTGGAAGGCCAAAATAAATGCTCTGGAGAGATGGTGAAGCTCCCCAAAGACTATATTATAGATTATAGAGTCATTGGGGGTTTATCGGGGCGTGGGCTTGTTGGGTAATTCGGCGAGAGGGCGAGACTGTACGTGTAATTGTGGTGGCCGGTACTTCGTACCTTGTTCGCGTGGCTCGCGAAGTATCAACGTGCACGTACTAAGTAGCGGTAGCACGCGTAGCTCGGTCGGGAATGGTCGCAAAACAGCCTTCAAACAGGATATTTCAATGGATTTTTGGAGTAGAGGCAACTGAATAAATGATAGGAAGTGAATAGACTTCTTTCAAAATAATTATAGTGAACGCGTTGATTGTTCCTTGAGCGATATGTGGTGATAGTACCTTGATGTTGACCGAGTTTCGTCTCGTCCAATAGTCGCGAAGGACGCGGAGGGCGGCTAGCGGGGTTGTTTAGCGCAAGGCTTAAATTTCACTGCTGCCTCAGGCGCAAATCAAATACAATAAGGCCGCCACGTTTTTATATTCGCGTAAGAGGTGCGAACCGCCAGCCGTAGCAACGCCTTGAATGGTGAGATCGAAAGGCAGCACTCCAACATGATGGGTTTTCTTGTCATTTTAGCGGGGGCGATACGGCTTTTATACTCTGCGCCAGAGCGGTTCGTTTTTGATATCACACTAGCCTAACATCTATGACTCAGCCCCCCCGATTAGGCTGATACGTGATATGTATGTCAGGTAGCCACACAACCTCCTTAGAAATCACATGATGAATACTCCTTTCCAGGTTTGTACCATCAATACCTTCTACCTTACTTACATTGCGACCGGTAATATCACGACCCGATAGTCTGCACAGTCGCCACACAAATGCCATATCATACAACTCCCCAACATCAACATCCTCCTGTTGTCTTCATACCTGTACATTGTCATTTTAGGTTGCTTTCCAGAAAGCCTTTCCGTTTTGGGTCTCTGTTCTTCTCTGCAGCACATCCGACACTACTTCCTTAACACCTTGCTTTCCTCGCTTTTCCCTCACAAAATAATCGATAACTTCTTTCACACTCTTGCCTCCCCTTTTCACAACGGCCTCGACGTGGCTCTCACTAGGAAGGCCAAAATGATGAGGATACTCCTTATAGTCCCCATCACTCAGCAATTGCAGCCGTTGCTGGCCCTCGACTTCAAAAAATGAATCGACGAGCTTAGGATCCTTTCCGACTTCTTCGAGGGTACTAGGGGTCCACTGTGGTTTTCCGTCCTTCCGGATAAGCAACGCACTCACACCCTCGGTGAAATCAGGATGACGCATGAATTTGGCAGCAATTTGGTGTTCTCGCTGGAATGTTTCCGCAATAGACCAGGTTTTGCCGAGCTTCATTTGTTTGACAGTCACGTAAACACTTGTGGGCGACCGCTGCTTTAGTGTTTGTTGGGTTTTGGCTGCCCATTCAGCCACCTTAGGTTCGTGACGACGAGTGGCTAGTTCAACTTCTTTGAAGATTTCTTCGACGCTGTTTTTCCCAAATGCTTGGTCGATGGCGTTCCGTACTTTGCCACTGAGGATCATTGGCTCATCATGGGGTAATCCGGTAGCAAATTCTTCGATAGTTGAATCAATAAGCTGTAGCCGCTCACTGGGTGATTGGTAGTCCTTGAATCTAAGTTCAGCTAGACGGCGTTCAAGTGCGGGCAGAGAAGTCGAATGGATGTAATGTGTTGCGACGCCAGCATAATATACATTGACGCCCTTCAATTTATCGCTCGTGAGGGCAAGGTACGTGCCAACCGCTCCAGGCATCCGAGGCAAGAAGAATGAGGCACCGACATCCGGGAAGAAGCCTATCGTCGTTTCGGGCATGGCGAAAACAGTTCTTTCCGTAGCTATCCTGAACGGGGCATGTGCACTCAACCCAACACCACCACCCATCGTCACGCCATCCATGAATGCCACATAAGGCTTACGGTATGTCGCAATAAGATGGTCGAGCTTGTATTCGAGGGCGAAATACTCTGCTGATCTGTTTTGGCCCTCCTCTCCCTGTGTGTTGTCCTTGGCAAGGTGTGTGACATCTCCGCCAGCACAAAATGCCTTGTCTCCAGAACCCTTGATGACCACCACATTCGCCATATCCGACTTCGCCCACTCTTGTAATCTGGGCACAATCTTCCGAATCATAGATCCATTGAGGGAGTGAAGCTTCTTCGGTCGGTTGAGCTCAATTGTCCGCAGGCCAAATAAATTATTGAAGATGACATCCTCTGGTTCATCTCCAGGTAGCTCTTTGATGACTTCTGGTGCCTGTTTCTGCGATTCGGAAGCTGTAGACATCTGCCATCTCTTTAGATTAATAACCCGTTATTTATTGCAGGCTACATACCTTTGCATTACCCGCAAAAGCAGGGGCGGTAACCTTTGCTCTCAACGGCATTGCAGAAGTATTGCGGACTACCGTCCCAACCCTCGCAGAAAAGGATCTGACGAACATCAAGAAAAAGAAGGAATCTAAAGAAACATGAAACCACTGTAATAAAGACTGAATGCGGAGTAAGACCTCTAGCCCGGCAGAGGAGACACGATAACCTCGGGTTTATTTTCTCGGTCAGAGTTCGGGTCGTGTACTACCTGCTCTACCCACAGCGAAAATAAGCTTTTGACGCTAAACTGCTTTGGGAGCTATCGCGATTTTGATCTCGACGACCATCTTTATCTGCGAGCGAGGCAGAGCGAAAAGTCGGCTGCTGTATTTACACCCAACAACGACATCATGGCAGACGCAAAGATCACGTATGTTTATTTCTGGAGGTCCCCTCTTCTAGTGCTCGGGATGCTAATGAATGTCACAGAGAGCTGCTCAATAAGCCTCGCAACGAGCTTACGTGCGTCACCAATTTCCCATTCCCATCCACCTGGGTTCTTCCCATCCGAAGGTACTAATAGTCTCCTGATAGCGAATATGAGATCGCGCAACTCGAGGAACATGAATTCACATCGGGGCCTCTCTCTATCCTCCAAACCGCCGTTAGATCACACACCCAAGTCCTGATTTCCTGCCGAAACAACCGCAAGCTGCTCGCTCGCGTCAAGGCCTTCGATAGGCACTGTAACATGGTGCTGGAGAACGTGAAGGAGATGTGGACAGAGACGCCAAGGAATAGTGCGGGAAAGAAGGGGAGAGCAGTGAACAAGGATCGGTTTATTAGCAAGATGTGAGTTTGGCGTTTCTTACTTTAATACCCCTCCCTATGTGGCGGTAATGAGGGATGGGTTGGCATATATTAGGCCTGGTACTGACTTTCCAATCAGGTTCTTGAGAGGAGATTCCGTGATCCTAGTGCTCTTGAGTTGAGGTTATATCATACGGGTTGCTGGAGGGGTGGTCGGGATCATAAAGGGTCGGCTCATAGTGATTCTTTGGGAATGAATACATTGGCGTTGAAAAGTCGATGAATATACCAATTCGTCGTTTCCAGATGAGATCAAGGGGATATATGGCGTCCAGACTCAAGCGCCGGTGATATGGGACTCCAAAATTGAACTCATTGTACTAGGACTTATCTTTTCTGATCACTGTGAGAATGTGAGTACTTCGCCTTGAGATTCGTAACTCACTTCATGGTCAGATTAACCATATGCAATTCTTTGTCAAGGTAAGCCTTTTAAAGTTGAAGAGGGTTCTTTATTTCCATTATTAAACCCCGTATCTCTGGGCAATTTATATAATTATTCTATTTCGCTCCTAAAAGAATCAGCTAATATCAGGTTGCATTCTGTTGTTTCCTGATATCCCAGCCAATTCCGAAAGCTCGAGGAAGAAAATAACGATCATGACAGTCTACCATATCACCTCCAACCGAAAAGAGTTTGTCAATTCAAAGGATCACCCCTTAGGTAACCGCTCCTTCCCGCTCAATAAAACAGATCACCAATGGCGCGATCCATCACCATCTCCGCCCAACCCGAAGCCACTGGCCAGTTGAACGCGGCCATAACCTCTGGCTCCACCCCCAAGGTAGAGACCATGGGAATGGTCCAGCGCTTAATGGCCGGCTCCCACTTCTCGTACCACGGTATCCCCCCATACCGCTGTTCCTCGCACAAGTCCGCGTCTACAGGCCATCTGAGTCGGTGGTTATCGAACCTCCACCAGTTCTCTTGGAGGAACTGGTACACCTCCACTGCGTCAGCATCTGTGCATCTCCATCTTTGACTGTGTTGCCGAAGTACTGGAAACCAAGTTACCTCCGCCCAAGCTATGGAGAGGTTAGCATCTGGTCATATCACTCAGCCAAAAAAAGAAAGTAGTATATGTAGAGATGAATCTCTCATAATACATGGAACTTCCCAAGTGGTAAGGAATCTCTCAGAATGAGTGGAGTATTCTAAGTAGGATAAGAGTATTACCCCTCATGGTTGACTTACCTGGTAGCGGATCCGCCAAGCCAGTATATAGAGCTGTATACTCTTCCACCCCCTTAAAGACCAGCCTGCTCATACCGCACAGGCCAGCCCCTCGATCTCGTTTACTTCGATGGCTCCGACTTTGTCGTTTATTGCTATATTGCCATTCATCCCATACAAGTTCTGTGTCAACCATAAGACGACGAACTTTAGCCAGTTCTTCCTGGTCGCAGTTGGTGCGAAAGTATATGTGGTTGTCCTCGTCGATCAAGCGGCGTCCGAGCAAGAGAGTGTCGGTCTCGAAGTTGAACGGGACCATCGGTGGGTTATAATTCACCGAAAAACTCAACGGATGAGTCTTGTGCGCCTCCCTTCGAGATTCTCTGCAGATATATAGATTGGTAATCTGTTTTCCAAAGGCAATAAAGTCGTTATTGTCCTCGACGACTTCGACGAGGCGTGGTCCAGGCATGTTGAGTGACCAAATATGACGGCGGACTGTGATGGGTAGCCTTGCGAATGGATGGAATGTCCTCGGGATGTCGATTTCGACGATCGTGCCTGAGCTCGAGTTCGAGGATAGTGACATGGCAGTGCTGTCAGTAATAGACATGGTTGCCAGCTGTAGCTGTAGTGGTGGTGTTATGATGGAAGATTCTTCTGGTGTTGTGATTGAAGGCTCGTCTGGTGTTATGATGGAAGGCTCTTCTGATGTTGTGTAAAGTTGTGGAAGCTCGATCTTTTTCCGAAGTGCGATCTGCCAAGTTGGCTCGGTGTCTTTTTGACAGTCATTATTATCACACCGCACTGCGCGGTGAAGATCTTCCTGTTCTCTCGAGGGAGATCTGACAGCATCTGGTGATGGGAAGCGTTCTGCTGTTGCAGCAGCAGATACTAGTTCTGGTTTATGATCCTATTCATCATCCTCCTCGTCTTCCTCGAGGATTACAGAGCACCGGAGGGGCTTGTGTGCCTGTAGTATATGGCGAGACATGCTGTATTCAATAGCTGTCCCGAGGATCTTGGATAATGAAAGCAGCTGATCGATCATATAATAAATCAAAGCAAGAGGAGCGAAGGTGTAGATTGGTTTGTGAAGCGTTGTTAAGGAAAAAAAGACAATGTGAAGCAACACAAGAGAACACAACGTGATAGAACGCAACGCAAACCAACTCAAGGTATAGGATGGGAATCACATGTTACAACTAAAATGTTCAAGGTAATTCATTATTCAGTACACATAGGTGGTGTCAAGTCAAACCATCGCTGAGCCGCAGACTAATCTCATTCCACATCCTCACTCAGGCGTCTCCTTGACCCCTGCAAACCCAAGGAAAAATTCACTAAGTCCCCAAGCCCCAGGGTCGGGTACTTGCTCAAAGCCTGATCCGCCGATATAGACGGCTCTGCCTAGACTGGCCTGCATGCCCTTTGTCCCCGCCGCCCCTTTCCTTGAGGCCAAGGCTGCCTGCTTCACATCGCCCGTCGAATTGAGAGTATCAACGAACGGGTACAAGGCATCGATCAGAGTCCGATCTCCCGGCTGTGCCGGAGTGTACTTGGACAGAGCCTCTGATGCATATTTGAGTGCTGCAGCCCATACCTTTGCGGTTGCCTCACCAGCAGCTTGCTCCTGCAGTGATGTGATCAAGGCGTTGAGATATATAGCGTATATGGCTCCTGAAGTTCCATCCATAGAGCTCTCCACGACTCGAGCGACCTTGCTCACATCCACTGCTGCGTCACCGGAGAAGTTAAGTTCCTTCAAGATAGCTAATTTCGTTAGCGATATTGTAATTGTGTGGCGAGGCATGGGACTTACCTTCAGCTCCTCTCTTCAGACAGATACCACAGTCGCCATCGCCGACAACTGTATCATATTTTGTAACATCAGGCTCTGAAAGAATCAATCTCTCCAGACCAGCGGTCAAGGACGCCCTTGCAGCCTCAGGGTTTAGCTTTAATCCACTTGTCTTGGCCCTTTCTATTTTCGAGCTTAAAGTATCTCGTACTTGGCTTGACTTGGCTTCCCAAGTCTCTTTTCTGATCGGGGCGGCCCATCCAGTAGCTTCGCAAGGATCGTCCAGTAACTGAATCATGCTGGGGCCACCGATATTTGTGTTGACGGTGTTGAGGATGGATATGCTGAATCCAAGGCCATTGAGACTAGTCATATAGGTCCCAGCCAATACCCTAGCCGGCTTGATTTTGTAGGTTTTCTCCAATTGCTCAATTACCTCCGTGGTGATCCCACCGAGCTCCAGAACACTTATACCGCCGAGGTTGTTGATTAAAACGACGACCTCATTTGAATTGACGTTCAAATATGCGCGGTCCTCGTCCTTCCAGTCCAACAGCTGCTGAAGCATTCTGCTTACCAGTTCGGGAAGAGCGACCACAGCCCGTCCGCTTCCGGGCTCGTTGTGAATGCCCATGCCAATTTCGACTTCCTCGGTGGCCAGACGCTCATCAGCGATCGCATCAACCGGGGCGGGAGCTCGGCCTGGTACATGGACATGGTCTAAACTGGCACCAACACTGACAATATTGTCGGCGGTCAGCTTTGCCACGTTGTAGACATCTTGGAGGCTTGCTCCTCTTGCTGCTAAGGCACCAGAGATCTTGTGAACCAGAACAGTTCCTGCAATTCCTCGTCTGCCGACTTTCCCAGACTTTATTCGGCCAACCCCCACATCGTCTCCAACAACCAGCATCTCAACGTTGAAGCCTTCCGATTTGGCCTTTTCCACCGCCATGCCGAAGTTAAGCACGTCGCCAGTGTAGTTCATGACCGTGACTAGTATGCCCTTCTCAGCGTCGACTCGGGCAGTGATAGCTTGGCGGATTTGCTCCGAGCTTGGGGAGGCGAATATTGTTCCAGCTACAGCGGCCGAGAGCAATCCATCTCCAACAAAGGCTCCAAAGCTAGGCTCATGGCCACTGCCTCCTCCGGACACAATAGCAACCTGCTTTGCGGCATCGGTTGGACGGCGGTAGATAACCTTGTGCTCGGCATCGAGGGCGACGGCGGGATTGGTGATGGTCAAGGCCTTTAGGGCCGAATTTACCAGATGGGTAGGATCATTGATGAAGTGTTTCGGAGACGACATCTTGAGGGATGGTAGTTAAGTCAGGAAAGGGGTAAGGAAGTCGAGCAAAAGGGCTCTGGTCTGAGAGGGGTAGCAAGACCCTTATATCGCAAGGCCTGGGCCATGGTGCAACAGTGGGAGTGGGAGTGGGAGAGCGAGTGGCGGGGAACTGGACAGTTATTGATGGTTGATCCATTGATGTAAGATGCGGGGCCCTTCGCGGGGCTTCGAAAGGGGAGCTGTGCAGGGCGTTTTAGGCGTTCAGCGTTCAGCGTTCAGCGTTAGGCATCAGGCATCAGGCATGTGAGAGGCGAGAGGCGAGGGGGGAGTCTGGGGGAGAAGATCAACATCCGCATCCGCATCCGCACCCGCACCCGCATCTCTGTCCCCCCCTTACTCCTTACTTTGGAAGGTCTTCCGATGCTGCGGGAGCCGTTCGGTTGCCACGATGGAGTTAGATGGAATGGTCACCCCACACCCAACACCCGAGTTCGGGTACTTGGTTAGGTCGTAGGTATGCATGCGAATGCGAATTTACATCACAAATAGTAGCCACAAATGAGTAGCCTCATGCTATTATTATTGTTATTATATTACTCGTACATACCTATATAATTAATGTTAGCTTGTCGTGAAGTGTTCCTCTTTTTAGTTAAGTTAAAATTCCCCTTGAAACTACGTTACCTTCAATCTTTAGCGTGTAGTCGTAGTGTGTACGCCTTCTGCAAGAACTACTCTGTAAGAACTAAGAACTAACTATTATTGTCTGTTATCCCTCGGCAATACGCCGCTTATACGGCGGGAATAGAAATCTCATTCGATTAATAAGGTTGTATATCGATGGTGGCAGAAAAAGAGGCGGTGAGAGCGATATAGAGCTTTATTACTTCGGTATCATCTTGCCCAGCACTTGCACTTGTACATGTACGCTAACAGGATAACCAACCATCCCTGCAATGATAAGTAATAATAATTTGTGACGACGACCCTTCCGTCGAATTAACCCAACTTCATCAAAACCCTCTGCAATGGCCGAAGGAACAGTAACGACCCTCGCCGTGCCAGGCCAGCTACTGGGCGCTACGAGCGAGTATCTGCCAGGGCCAGGCACACACATTCACAACTCGAGCGTCTATGCCTCGATCCTGGGGCCGGTTACCACCACTACGCCTCCAAAACCAGCGGGGCCTCAAAAACGATTGACGAAGATCACCCCGGCAGCTCCAGCAGCCCTGCCTACCATTTCTATCGAGAGGAAGATATCTGCGGGCAATCCAAAGGATCCACGGGGCAGAACAAAGACGGAGGTCTTGCCGGAAGTGGGTAGTGCCGTGCTTTGCAGAGTGTCGAGAATAACTCCCAGACAAGCCAATGTCTCAATTCTAGTCGTGGGGGAAACAGTGTTGGATGGCGAGTGGCAGGGCTTGATACGGGTGCAGGATGTCAGGGCGACGGAGAAGGATAAGGTCAAGATATTCGAGAGCTTCAGACCCGGAGACATTGTGCGCGCGACTGTGGTATGTGATCTAAATTGCAGAAATCAATACGAAAAACCTTGAGGCTAACTGAGAACTACAGATCTCTCTGGGCGATCAATCGAATTACTACCTCTCCACCGCAAGCAACAACCTGGGTGTCATCATGGCTACAAGTGAAGCTGGGAACACCATGTATCCCGTCAGCTGGAAGGAATACCGGGACCCTGAGACAGGTGCCAGCGAGGCTCGAAAGGTTGCGAAGCCATTCTAGGAGGATCTCTAGTGTCTTGAAAGATGTGTCGATATATTGGCATAGCGGCCGGAGTCTGGAGCCATTCGAAAAAAATACCCGCACATGATATAAAATTCGAATTTTGATTTCCAATCTGCCGGGGCTGGGTTACATATTCACAATAGAATGTACGTCCGGTATTGCCATTACGTTGGCCCTTGCTCTGGCAACATAGACAAATTTGGGGGACGGGTCTCTGAGAAGCACATCGGACGCATTGAGAAATATCGGTTCCCAGTTGGGGAGTGTCGACCCTTTCGCGGGATACTCTTGTCTTCGACAGGTGGTGATGACTAGATAGTTGCTGTGCTCTGGGATGGCAAGTCATCGAATTAGTCCTCGATGGCTGTTGTCTCCCAAATTTTATATTGGCCCAGCGGCGGAAGATATCTTACGAGATGAAAACATTCTCTGGGGCCCTAGTGTATCAACATCCTAGTATGGAAATTTATCTATGAAGCTTGCTACTCCTTAAAGCTCCCAAAAAGAGCTATTCTCTGATTTATTGCTTTTCCGGCTCCAAAATGCACTGGCGTAATTTCCATCCTTCCATATCTTGCCTTTACTTCTCAACTCTTACCTTCAAATGATGCAGTTTTTGATATGCAACGGCTACATTACCACGACATATCACTCGTCCTGTATATGTATACCCGCAAATTGGATATAGGCTATCATCCTTGATTTCTACCGCGGAAACTCAGCTGTAAGAGCGTTCAGCTCAGACCGATAAATAGCATTGTTCCATAAAGTCAAGCAACCGCCTTTGCAATAGCATTCTACCCTTCTTATCCCTCTAGCTACCCCTCCCCTAACCGCCACCATGGAAGCCATAGACCCGCCAACTGAACGAACATTCTCAGATTCCCTAGGCTTTACTTAAACCCCTCCAGTAACGGTCATATGCTCCTCGGAAGCGGGAGGCTCATCCATCATTTCAGTTTTTAGTTGCGCATTCAATTCTTTTTCCTAAACCGCCAACAAGTATGTCAGTAAGCTCATTGCCCTTCACTTCACCATTCCCGCCTCCCAGGGACGAAACGCCTACCTCAAGAACCGCCCTCGCACTTTCCAACGCCCGAACCGCAAGTCCCCACCACTCAGTCTGCTCCTTCAAGCTATTGATCAACTCTTCTTTCTCCTCCTTCAACCTATTGATCATCTCCTCCTCCTCCCGCGCTAGTTGGATAGCCCATGAGATGAGGATAATGCAATTGGTGACCGCGAACAGAACTACGGGACATGTCAGCAAAGTAAGGATAGCATAACCCCAGAAAGGATACTACGTGCTTCGATTTCCTATGATCCCCGAAGGACACCTCATCAACTTCTCATACCCCACCCATCGAAAGACCTCGCGATTGAGGTATGTTAAAGCCCAGGATATAGGCAGGCCGATGAAGACATCCCATATAACTGTGCAATCCGAAAACGCGTGCTACGGTTAGCCTCTCCCCCGTCTTTAAAGAAGTATCTTGAGCAAAGAAAATGCCGTGTAATTAGGAAACGGGTAAACACGAAGGGGAAAATGGACGTGGGGAAAGTGAATAGTATGTACTTAGCACCAAACCCGGATTCCTCAGATCGAAAGGCTTTTTTTTGTTCTCACGTAATAGGAGAAAGGACGGTGATGGCAGTGGAGGTAACTCGCCAAGGTCTTTCATGGCTGCTGATTTATTATCGCAAGTCCTTGCTTCTATGATACGAGTTGCGGTTAAAGTCGCATAAACAGGGTCCCAACCGAATGGCCTGAGGGGGTGTTGTATCTGTGGTCGTATTTAGCGTAACGTCGTATGGCATGTAGAGCTGAAGTTGACCCCTTCAAGACGGAGCCTGGGAACTGGGAGGGGGTACAAATGATGATGAGAACCCGAGAAAATACGATGGCAGGTCATCAATATAGCAGGTGATAAGAAATACTGCGTGAGGCCTTGTGTAGCGGTTCTACTCCTAGTGTGACCCAAGGTACCTTTCCGGAAGTCATTCACCGCCCAGGCGAAATCGTCAAGGTTCAACTAATTTGATCCCATGTATCCATCACTTAGGGCTACGTACGGTGTTGATGATAGCACATTTAACAGAGTTAGGGCTTCATTAATTCTAATAAACGCTGTTTGAACTAACATGACACCTCCTATTCGACGGATTCTAAGGCATATTTAATAGTGGTTAGTCATTCTCGTCGTTTTGTGATCATACCCTGCATCATACAAGAACCTCTGACTATTGTCCAAGCAAAAGGCCTATCCTGATAGACATAAAATTTGGCTTATACTCAGAACCAGGCGTGGAGCAGATTCCACAACCGCCATGGTCTTTGCTATCTGCATACTATTATTCTTCTCCGGGAACAACGCCATTGATATCATGAATGGCAGTCCCACTACTCTCGTATCGACTTAGCTGAGATGGGCTTCTTACACCCTCCACCCCAAGTAGACCTCTGTTCGTTATATCCGCCATTGCGGGATTCTCGCTTTGATAGTCCATATTCGGCCCGCATACGTTTTCATTATCATGCGATAACCGCGGGGTCCTCATCCCTCGACTAAAGTTGCTCTTAGAGCGAACGGATACCTTCGAGAAAATTTCGACTTGCTTTTCAGCAGTTTCAGCTCTGCTCTTCCAAATCTGTATCTCCCATTTAGCCTCTCGAAGCTGGGTACTCAGGGTTCTAATATCTAGAGTGCTCTTTGTATCTAAATCCTGTTTCAACCTTCGCATATCAGCCTCCATCTTCCCGATATGGAGGTGGAGAGCCCTGATTTGCGAATGCAGCAGCGAGTTGCTACGTGGTGATCGTGGGCTTGACTCTTGGTTGCGATATTGTGTCTTGTTAGAGGCATCTATAAAGTGACGAGGATGTTGCATAAAGTTGGCGGGAGCTTTATTTGGGGCATTGGAAGGCGGCCGATGAAATTTCATACGTTCAATCACTTGAGGCGGCTGAGTGGCCGACATGACTTTCCTTTCGACATTTCCACCACCTGACGGACGATCAACGTGCGCGCTACCCTGGTGCTTTGCCATTGAACCCGTACAAAGCTCAAGATGTTCCGAAGAAACAGAGTATGGGCTGACGCTACCCACTGCAAAAGCTGCAGGGAAGTTGTTTATCTCTCTAGAAAGCTTTCGATGTCGTTGAGGTGGCTTAGACTTTCCCAAAGGCTGCTGTATAGAGGTCCGCTGCGGAGTCCAAGGACTCTCTTGTCTCGAACCCCGATGCACGCCAGCCTTCCAGTTGTGTTCTGCTAGCAAAATATTGCGATTTGGCCGTGGAGTTAGGTCCAAAGTTCCCGACTTTTCGGATTTTGTAGGCGACGTTGGACTTGCATGGTATGGGGCGACGAGACCAAGTCTCCTTGGTGATTCAAAACCGGACGATGAATCGATAGACAAAGATTCTGCCCCCGCACGCCCTTTTGAAGTGGATGGTGGCCTATCAAATTTTGCGGCAAGGGCTTTGACACTGCCTTGAGAACTGCCGCGACCTACAAGATCCTTCCGATCATCGTGACTAGTTGACGGCGTTTTGGTTGTCGATAATATGCTATTGAGCTTCTGGTTATAATTCTCATGGACAACTTTTACCGGGCTATACTTATTCATAGGAAGTAAAGGGGGGTCCTTTCCCTGTATCGTGAAGGCATTTAGTTCAGGTAGACAAGAAGCGGTTGCAGAATTGGCCTGGGTTGATGTATTGGATGCTGGACCGCCGTCGGCCCCATTTTCCTGGGCATGTCTAAGGGAACTGTGGATCTTGGTCTCTTGATCATGTGTCTCCCCCGCCTCTACGTTATTATCAGCCTTGTTTAATGGTTCATTGGGCATGAACTGTGCAAGTACAGCCAACGAAGCTAAATCTTCATTATGAGAGATAGCTGATAGATGATCTTTAGTAGGGCTCTTAAACGACCCCCAGATATACTCAGGTGTCAAATCTGGAAACATGGGATCCGAGAGTCGCCTTGGAAGAGTGACCTGCAGTTCTGGCAGATGGGTTGGCTCGCGTTGCACAGCCGGATTGGATATTTCGATGCCGGGTTGTTCTGAAGTATAAAACGGCCAAGTTTCACCTTTCAAGCCGAATGGAGGGATTTGTTGGGATGTCGCAACTTGTTTAATCGGTGACAAATCCACGACATCAGTGGTGAAGTTTTCCTCTTGGAAACTCTTCTTTTTGTCCGATGGATGTTGCTTTCGCAGCTTGATACGCTTTCCAGGTATTTCCGAAGACTGCCCGCTTGGATCATCATGACGGCTGCCGGTGGTAGCCCGGATCGTGGTAGACTTCCGTTTTCCCGGAGACGTGGAAACCACCAGCTCCTTGTTGTCATCATTTTGAGGACTCTGTGGCAGTTTTCCCCTGGAAGAAGTGGCATCCGAGTCTTGACAATGAGGATATTCGCTCCGTAAAATTTCCCCGAACGTTCGAGGGGTTGTTTGATTCTCAAGAGTCATGTGGCTGTGGGAGCCATTCTCGTCTGATGCTTCTATATGATACTCCATTTTTATCGGAGCAACATCGATATTTGACATGTTACTGACGACACATTCTTCCTCTGGAGGAGTAGTGGGGCTCCCTTCTTGCTTATAATTTGTATCCGGTCCGCCGAGTGGTCCTGGAGTGTGGACCGGGGCGTCGAAAGGCGGAGATGATGAGCAGGGAGGCTTATTGTTACCATCTTCGTGTGACCTTTTTGGAACATTGATCCTTTTTCCTATCTTAAACGTGCTTCTGGGGGTCTTCAACAAATCCGGATCAATTAGTTCCTCGACAGTTGGGGAGAGTGCGCTAATCGACTTCGATTTTGCGAGGATATGGCTAGAATTTGATCGAGTTCGTGATCGCTGCTTTTTAACCATCAAATCATCGTTCTGTTGCGATTCTGAGATCCCTCTAGGATTATCTTTACTGAAGTCACCGATCCCTATTCAATAATCTAAATTAGCTACTAGAAATTATAAACCAAGAGAGATAACGCCTACATCGAGTTGGAGTTGGAGACCCGCTTCTTTCAATGTTCCTTAGCGGAAGCTTAACACCGTCCCAGCTCGGCGGTTTTCGTAGAGCAAATGTCTCTGATATCGAAGTCCGTGGGAATGGGAGATCTGAATCATGGGATTCAAAGACTTGAGGGCCACCGATAACTTTGAGCGAAGTCAACGTTTTCATGTGGCGGGTGACATCACTCCAATGAGTGATAAGCATCTCTGTGATGCCATTAGCAATCTTGATTTTATCCACCTGCGTATTGAATGAGACGCCCTGCTCTGTGCTTTGCACCTGCTTTAGCCTTTGCTTTTTGGATTTCGGCGGGCTAATTGGAAGCAGAACTAGTCCTGCCCGTGATTTTGCCAAGTGTATATTCCAATCATCAAGCAATTCTCCAACGAGTAGCGGACCAAATACGATCCCTAGGGCTGCGTAGCCCATGAGATCAGATGTAGGGAGCGGGCTTCCTCCGTCCCTGGACGAAATTTCGGCTGTCCGGCCAACCATGCAAAGAAGGCCGAATACTGCACAGATGAGCTCCCGTCGGTACTGGGATCTCAAAGTAGATATGGCTAGGGCGATGAGCCTTGCTAAGGCTTTCCGCTGTTTAGTCCCTGTCAATTCAGTATCCCATTGCAGCTGGCTTTGAATGGAAACGAAGGCATCAAAGAGTAGCAGAGAACCCAATATTCCGCCGGGTAAACCGGAAAGTAACTTTTTGAACGTTGACGCAACATCGTGTACGTCGCATCTAATGTGGCCAGGGAGGGTCGGGCATCTAACCGTACCGGAGATTACCTCTGGGTTTTCGTCGACGGGGCAATAATGATCGTATAACGCTTCAACTACGTGATGCGAGCCAGGAACTCTGAATACTCCGCTGGTAACGGGCGCTTAATGTGTATCAGTACAGGTAACGAGTGAGGTGCGGAAACGCCCTACCGTGCTGAATAAGATATTGTGCCGTCGCACGAAAGCATGTCGGGATGGCCAAATTCCCAGTAGCGTATTCTGCAGGTAAATATAAGGGACTCAACCCACAAAGTCGGACTAATTCCGGGAGACTCTTGTTCTTCAGTTTATCCTTTCGAAGTTTCAGCCGTAGAGATATATCGCTAATGCTACGCCTATGCTTCAGGTGTTTCTCCGGTTTAGCGCTTTGCGTTGCCGGTATTCTCTTGAGAATCTTCCTCAAAAACCAACTTCCAGGTTTGCCATTAATAGTGGTCGAACGATCCTGTAATATCTAGTCAGCATTTTGTCGGCGTAATAGAAGGACTTTTGCCTACACTATCTTCATAGTCATCCGCAACGATAACGCGGACTCCGTGCTAAAACAAGAAATCAGCAATGAATAGTGACGCAGCTCCGGGTCCTTCAAACCTTCGCTGCGAGTCGGTTATATTCCTGAACAAAGGCTGATCGGTCCTCGAATTCTTCACGGTCAGAGAGAATGTCTTGACTTGAACAGGTCCAGGTAGTGCTGCTGCGCATCACCCGCCGAGGTTTGCTTGCTTCGTCCGATTCCGTACGTCTACCCTGCATTTTCAACGGCTCGAGAGTTTGGTCTCCAATGGGAGGGCTTGTAGATGATGCCTGTCGTTGTGAAATATGAGATCTCATGAGAAGGCCTTGCGCAATATTTATATTGTCGGATATGCCGCCCAGCGCATCTAACGGGTGGGGATTTGATATGGTTCCCGATGATGAACGGGAAATAAGACCATGATTGAAGAATGGCATATTGACGCGTCTTTTTGTTTCAATAATAAGTAGTTGTGATTGTTTTGATTCCTTTTGACGCCTACCACTTGAAGGACAGATCAAAATTCTAGCTTTGGAGGGCACGACCGCACCTACTAAATCTTAGACTCTAGGAATTATAATGCGCACTTGCTTTGTTTCGCTCGAAGTTCTATTTGTGGTAGGAGGGTCTTGCCCGTTATTCCTTTTATTACCGGGAAGGTGCCCTTGACGCCTTCCTTCACGCTAACTCAGATTTAAGTTTGACAGGGAATGCATGGAGAATGGTATTATTGAAGAAACCGCAAAGGAAATCTATATGGACTCCGCCTCCTAGTATGTGCGAGGCTCACCGGACGCCAGTTCGCTATGCAACGCCTTCCCAATCGTAAGCTTTCATGATAAATCCAACAGATGTACTTATCCATCCTCCGCTCCGTGTAGAAGAACATATTTCAGAATATCGGAAAGCGATATAACACCTTTCAGACGGTTCTCTTCGTCAATAATAACCAGTCGATGAACTCGAGATTTTCGGATCGTATCGAAAATCGAATCTAGTCTATCCTCCTCGCTACAGGTGTAGATCCCGGGGAAATCTTCAGCTCGCTTTCCCAAGGCATCCCCTACATTCGTAGTAAGATCGTCGTAAACCCCGCCTTTAATGATGGTGATCACGTCAACGGCCTCGAAAACGTTCAAGACACGGTTGTCTTCGTCAACGATGGGCACACTTGAGATATTGTACTTGACCATTAAATGGATGACGTCGATGACTCTGGTATCCACGTTTGCCGTCTGCAAGTTCCCGTAAGTGCCGAGGTTGATTTCCGAGACACTTTTCTTCAACATCTCGGTCTCGACCACGTTGACGGCTATGAACTTCAGGATTCTATACTGTGTGATGACGCTAACCACCATCTCTCGCCCGGTCTCATCATCGATGTCAACGAGCGGTATTCTTCGAGCTCGGGTTTTTAACATTTGGGTGCAGGCTTCATAAAGAGGTCGTGTCGGGTTGACTGATAACGTTTCTAGCGGTAGAACACCGATCGCCTTCTCGATATCTATCAAACATTCAGCCTAATCTTCCAGTGGTGTTTATGGGATTCGGCCCTACCTCTTAAGCTGCTCAGCCGGAATTGGTCTATCTGATTCAGGGCGTCCGGGTTCTGCCAGTAGTATTGCACAACGTTGATATAGTCCGAAGTTGTGAGGAGGCCCGCGAAGGATGATGTGTGAGAATCCCAGAGCGGGGCGGAGACGATTCCTGCGGGGTTTACTCATTAGCACTCTATGCCATTCAAACGGGAACATATATCTACCATTCTGCAGTAATATGTTCAAGCTCTTCTTCACGAGCAGATCAGTGTTGAGTATGATGAGTCGGAAGGAGAGCGGGAGGACGTCGTAGCTTGTCCGAATCTTGAGGAAGTCCCGGATCGCCTTCTACAGGATCCAAGTATGTCAGCCTCGCGGATTCAATAAGGAAGCCAAAACATCTATCGCTCGTCTCCGGCGTCCACGAGCGGATAGCAACATCGTTATAAATCGAACTGGGGCCCCACTTACCAACCCGCTCTGCTGGTCCTTGTCCACGGTGCTCAACGGTTTGTCCTGCATTGCGCGGTTCTGGGCTGGGGAAAGGAAGGTGGAAGGTTGGGCAATCTGGGACGACTCGTGACCATGTCTAGCGATGCTCGTTGGCGTTGCGATGTTCTTGACGGGATTGGGTGCGGGTGGCCGTGAGCCCTCAGCCGTATCAGACATGGGTGATTGAATATGGGGGGGAGATGGACATTGAAGAGGGAGAAGACTCGGGGGAGTGATATCTGGGGGGTGATTGCCCTTGCCCTTCGCAGACTTCGCGGGTAGATCGTGCGGAAGGTGATTTGGAAGTACAATGACCAGAATGGAGAGAAAATGGATATCCCTAGGGCGAGCTTCCTGGCGGTTGATGGGGCTGGAGAAGATCGGCGGGGGACCTTTCGACGTCGCGTTTGGCGATTCACGTGACGTGTTGCTGTGGGGAAGGGCGATTATCAAGCAGCTCGCCCAATCATTCTACTACGTTTGATGTTTACTAATATGCTGCTTTGGGCGATTTTATGTGCACATAGTAAGAAGTACTTCGTAGCCACGACTGATCTCCTCCTTGGTTCTCTTTGGAACTTTAACTTAATTTGGAACTTTGAAAATCTAATAATGTTATTGGTATAGACTGCATAATCTCTGGTCTCTCCTTTTATATGAGGATGCTACTCGGCGCGGAGAACCACCGAAACACTCCTTGCATTCCTCTTGATCTCGAGGTAGGACACGAGTAGGAGATGAGTAGCCTGGATAGGATAGCTGATAACAGCGAGACTCAACTGATACTTGCCCGTCATATAACTCGGTCCCCGGTAGTTCACGCATAGATGGACAGGTAGGTACCTAGCTACTGATGTACTTAGGTACTACTGAAGGCTCCGAGTAAACGCTGCACCGACGTGCAATGGTCCGCCTATATATCTTGACCTCCCTCCCATGTATTCAGCCTCCTTGAACGAAGTATTTCTTACTCTGGATTAGACTCAGACTCAGGCTTAGACTCAGACTCAGACTCAAGACACTGTGTCGAAGTGCAAGTCGTCTGACATCCCGTCAAGTGCAAATGTCTCGTCTAATTAAGGGAAATAGTCGAGCAAGGCCTGCCTTGGCGTCCGCCGCGCGCCGACGTACGAAGTCGCATCTCCAAGCTAATCCAGGACAAGCTTCAACTCGTGAGCTCTGCAGCTGTCCAACTCCATGACGCCCCGAGCAACGCGGTGCACCTACACAACGCCGACGTAGGTTGCCTCATCGACCTCTCGCTCCGTCTGTTACTCTCTGGGTGGCCGCGCTGTCTCCTCCTGTATCACCGCCAGCCTTGACCATACAAGTACCCAACTGCCGCCTCGCCCGCTCACCACCTGTGTTCCGCCTGCCGTGCCGACTTGCTTGCTTGGTTCAACCTTCGGCTCGCATTCCACCAACAACAACACAGTTAACCTCACGAATACAATAAAAACACCTGGTCCTGCAGGACCAACCTCTAGAGATGGGTGCCTGCAGCTCGTCGTGCTGTGGAGGTATGCATAGACTGTTTGTCCTGGGTTCATTTTCGGGGTGCTGACCATCATTCCATTGACAGGCAGGTCTCGCGATGGACTGTATGAACCAGTCTTGGCCGAAAGCGAAAGAGAGGCCGTTGCAGACCTACTTCAATATCTGGAGAATGTAAGAATGCCTCACCTGGTCAAGGTATCTCTATCTACATCTACATCCACTAATACCTCTCCAGCGTGGCGAGACCGACTTCTTCTCTGGCGAACCCTTACGAGCTTTAAGCACCCTAGTCTTTTCCGATAATGTCGACCTGCAGCGCAGCGCAAGTTTGACATTCGCCGAGATTACAGAACGAGGTACGTCTATAGTGCGATGGCGGAAGAGCCGCGATCTGGATGCCCTCCACGCGCGACGATGCTGTCCTGTTGCGTACGGAGAGATGGAACTTATACCACGCTCGCGGCTGTCACTTTGGATGATTATCATTGGGCAACATACTAAACGGTATTACAGATGTCCGCGAAGTCGGCCGAGATACGCTTGAGCCAATTCTATTTTTGTTACAAAGCGCGGATATCGAGGTTCAGCGGGCAGCTAGCGCGGCGTTGGGAAACCTTGCTGTTAATAGTAAGTACCTCAAGTAGAATCTTGAAACCACTTGGTGTGCAGTTTCTGACTTTGTCAGCCGAAAATAAAGTGGCTATTGTTCTCCTGGGGGGTCTTACCCCCCTTATCCGCCAAATGATGTCGCCCAATGTTGAAGTACAATGCAATGCGGTTGGTTGCATCACAAACCTGGCAACGCACGAGGACAACAAAGCCAAAATAGCCAGATCGGGAGCGCTGGGCCCTCTTACACGCCTGGCAAAATCGAAGGACATGCGGGTACAAAGAAATGCAACTGGAGCTCTTTTAAATATGACACATTCTGGTAAGCCCTTGTAGGCAATGGTTAAGTTGTCAATCTAACTTATGGCTTGTAGATGAAAACCGGCAACAGCTTGTGAATGCCGGCGCAATCCCGGTCCTCGTACAACTTCTGTCTTCCTCGGATGTCGATGTCCAATACTATTGCACGACTGCTTTGAGCAACATCGCCGTCGATGCCAGCAACAGGAAGAAGCTCGCTCAAAGCGAAACCAGGCTCATCCAGTCCTTAGTTAACCTCATGGACTCGTCATCTCCAAAGGTTCAGTGCCAGGCGGCGTTGGCTCTACGTAACCTTGCCTCCGACGAGAAGTACCAGCTTGAGATCGTCCGCGCACGTGGATTAGCCCCTTTGCTCCGACTTCTACAGTCCTCATACCTACCTCTTATTCTATCTGCCGTCGCTTGTATACGTAATATCTCTATCCATCCCCTGAACGAATCGCCTATTATCGACGCCGGCTTTTTAAAGCCCTTGGTGGACCTGCTAGGATCAACAGATAACGAAGAGATACAATGTCACGCTATCTCGACGCTCCGGAATTTAGCTGCCAGTTCCGATCGCAACAAAGCCTTGGTCTTGGAGGCCGGTGCTGTCCAGAAATGTAAACAGCTAGTCCTCGACGTTCCATTGAGCGTGCAGTCGGAAATGACGGCAGCCATTGCAGTTTTGGCTCTGAGTGACGACCTCAAGACTCATCTATTGAACTTGGGTGTTTTTGATGTACTCATTCCCCTAACCGACTCTCAAAGCATCGAAGTGCAAGGTAATAGTGCTGCGGCTCTTGGGAATTTGTCTTCAAAAGGTGAGGCGGTATCCGAAACCTTCCCCTTTCCTCCTACTAACAGTTTCCAGTCGGCGACTACTCCATATTCATCCAAGACTGGACAGAGCCTAATGGAGGCATCCATGGATACCTCAAGCGTTTCCTTGCAAGCGGAGATGCGACGTTTCAACATATCGCAATCTGGACCCTTCTTCAATTATTGGAATCCGAGGATAAGAAATTGATTAGCCTCATTGGGAAGTCAGAGGAGATTGTTCAAATGATCAAAACGATTGCCGACACACAAATCGAGTCCGATGATGAGGGCGAAGAGGATGGTGAAGGAGAGGTCGTTCAGCTTGCTCAACGATCCCTGCAGCTCTTAGGGCAAGGTAGCAAGACCTCACATATTGAAGGTTGAACGACGTGCGTCTCGAATAGAACTTTGCTTTGTTTTGCATTCTGCGGTGTCGGAAGGCGTGGTGTTAGGCGTATGTACCTGGGAGGTCATCTTTTAGCAGCGCGCATTGGTGGAGTGAGGATACTCAGGACTTATCCCCTGCGGCCAGACACAGTGGAAGACTTCCCCTGTCGTTATCAACAAGTCTGCATACATATCTTTTCAGACGTCTCCTTGGACCTGTTACAATTCATATTCATATTTTGTTATTCACTTATTGTTTTATGTACTTAGAGAAGGGGTTTATGATATCCACTAGTAAAACCAGATTCAAGGCTAATGATACATTCTATTCATTAAGAGCAATTTTAGGTGGCAAGCATAGCAGGCGACACAATCTAATGCTCGTCGATAGGGGTCAAAATATTCTCAGTCCACTGCCGCTCGCTCCAAGGTAAAACTTTTGCGATAACTTTACCCTTAATCAGCGCCATAGGCAAGGGCCCAAAATGCCTAGAATCCTTCGACCAAAGTAAATTATCTCCAACAACCCAGCAATGTCCCTTTGGAACCTAGCAAAACATAAGCTTCTTATGCACCCCAACTACATACATACCATCATGCAAAACTCACCTGTAGCATCTTGTCACTCATACTTTCCCTTGGGGAACCCATCATCACATAATCCCCCTCCATGCCCAGCACTCTCTTGATCACCTTGGCTCCCGGCTCATCCACGGAATCGAACGTGACTACATCCCCAACTTTTATACCCCTTCCACGGCGGTAGTACCGGGAAACCAAAACACTATCCCCGTAGGCGCTGAATGTGGGAAGCATTGAGGGGCCTAGCGTTATCGCGGTTGCGAAGCCATATTGCACGAACAAGTGGGCGGCGAGGATAGCTTTAAATGTACCGATAAAGAGGCGAAAGGATTGGCGGGCGCGCTGGGTTTGCAGTAGGTGGATTGGCATGGCATTACCGTTCGTAGCCTGTATTCAAAGGGATTTCGGGATACAGTATTTGATGAGTGGTCGTTATAAGGCAATGTATTGTTTGATGGTTGCCGATTTGAGATCACGAGGTTTCAAGTCAGGTGTTTCCAATTCGGAGACCCAATTGGGCCAACTCCCAACGCCTCGTTCAGATTTAACATCATAAGCACTATGCTTCTTCCTTCTATTCCTACACCTATAGCAAACAAGCAACAACACAACAACCCAAAGTCAGCATCCTCAAGATGCAAAGCTCAAAATGTATCTTCAGCACGGCTGCAGCTCTGCAGCGCACTTTCATCACGCCCTTTGAGCAACGACAGCTCCAATTTGTATTCCAATCCTCCCGCGCAAGCTCCCTGTGCAGACAAGCTCCTCGGCTCCTTTCCCCTCTCGCTCGACAGCAACAAAAACGATATTACTATGTGGCCGGCACCAACCCAGTCAAATCGAGGCTCCCTCAGAACGATGAAATTAAAGCTTTCTCCGTACATTTGGTAAATGAGGATGGCACGTTAGGAGAACTACACCGAACACGATTTTTACTCGACAGGCTGGTCAAAGGAGAAGCCCTGATAATGGTTGCGGAAGCGGAAGCCGGCCGCCCTCCCGTCTGCAAAATCATAAATCGCAAAGAGCAGGCCGCTGCAGACCGCGAGAAAAAGAAAAAAGCGCAAGCGACGAAAGACCCAAGTTCAACGGTTAAGAACATCGAGCTGAACTGGGCTATTGAATCTAACGATCTGGGACACCGGATGGACAGGCTCAAGGAGTTTTTGGGGAAGGGATACAAGGTTGATTTACTGCTGCAGAAGAAGAGGAAGGGAAGGCCTACGACTATGGAGGAGGCACAGGAATTGGTGAATACGGTTAAGCAGACGGTGGAGGATGCTGGGGGGAGGGAGTATAAGGAGATGACGGGCGATTTGTTGCGGCAGGTTATGCTGTTTACTGTGGGAAAGGTACAGAAATAGATGGGAGAGTTTAGGTAATACAGGTGATGTTCTGTTTTCACGCCGAAAATGAGATTCTGGCTTGTTTTAAGATATCTATCAATAGAGACATCCCAAGTGGCAAGCGATCATGCATACTCTCAACTGATATAGAACATTATGTATTTCAGCATTTCTATTTTCTGTCTCTACATCTCTAAACTTATATTCCTGACCTTCGTAGCCGGGGGACTCTCTACAAGAAGCCAAAGTCGGTTATCATCAGGCTTAGTTATACTGTGATATAAGAGTGATTCTTCCCCTTGAGTTAGCACAAGGTGGCAGGCTAGTGTTAAGAGAGAAGGGGGTTTATGCCATGCTCAGTGGGTACATATTTATCTGGAGAATACTTCTTATGAAATAGACAATTTGCCAGCTAGGTGTGCAAAAGTTGCCGGTTCTTCTGGAGTGCTGCGATTGCCTCCATAGTTCACAATTGCAAGTTTGCAGTTCGTGAATTAGGCTAGGATGCAAAGTTTGGCAGTTGGGAATAAGTGCAGTCAGACTTGGAAGGATAAATCGGCTATGAAGCATCGTGCATATTTAATTGCTCCTATTTATTCCATTACTCAACATCGTACATGCCAGCATTTGCCTGACTGATCAATTACTTCCGCGTTGATTTAGCTATACCCGCTTCATACCACTCAAGCCGTCTCATTCGCGTCTGTATCGAGGAGATTATGTGTCGAGAATTTCCTCGAAGGCACCTTCCTTTCGAATAGGATATCCAGTTCCTCGAAAGTACGTCCTCTACTCTCAGGAATTCTGAACCAGCACCATACAAGACAGAAAAAGCTCACAGGGCCAAAGAGAAACCCAGCCTTTCCGCGCCAATTCGCTTGATCAGCATTAAGCATGTATGGGATGGCCACGGTGAAAATAATGGATGCACCGGCTTGTACAGCAGTGGCAATGGCGACTGTCTTTCCACGAAGTCTTGTTGCTGATATTTCGGAGATGATGACGAAGCAAATTGGCCCGACGGTCATCTGGTACACGAAGGTCCAGACGTCCATGAGCGAAGCTTGTGTCCAAACGACCGCAGTATTACTCCGACCGAAATCGAGGAAGGCGATAATGAATAAGAGCGTCGTCATTAGGGCCATGCCTGAATTATATATTGTCCGTCGGCCGAGCTTTTCCTATCAGCAAAAGTCTTTCAAAAGAGTGATATACGTACATAAGACATCAGAGGCCAGGAAAGGCACGTTCCGACGAAACCTAAGGCTGTATTACCGACTCCCACTATTTGCTGTTAATATTCATCTCACTCAAATTCCAATGGGTAGCGACTGACTGTTAAATGCATCTGCCGACTTGAGGCCGGCCTGCTCGAAAAAGTAATTGGCATAGCCGATGAGTGGATTGCCTCCGATAACTTGGATAAGGTACACCATGACTGAGATTTCAGTTCTCTTCAGATTGACACCCCTAAAACAATCAAGATACGTGGTTGTAGCTTCGAGCTCTTTTTCGAGGAGATCCGTCTCTTCAATCATAAGCAAAACCGAATCGATGTCTGGGCGATGTTTGGCGGAGGAGAGCTTCATCAGTGATTTTTTGGCATCCTCCTTTCGTTGCTGTCGAACCAGCCAGTATGGGCTTTCGGGGGCAAATGGCAAGCCTGCGAGCAAAATGATAGGCCATAACCATTGAACCGCAAATGGACCCCTATAAGCCCATTCATCCAATCTGCTCTCGAGGCCTGCCGCGCAGCCCTGGGCGATGAATTGTCCGATGACGAAAGCCAGGTTTACAGACGCTGTAAGGACACCTCGGAGTGCCAAAGGGCAGACTTCGGAGGCATAGACCGGGCCGATGACGACGTAAAATCCATAGGCCAACCCTCCAAGCATCTCTCCGGCGCATAGCATTCCAATACTTGTCGAGAAGAACTGCACGAAGACGAAGATGCTCGACCAGACACAGCACACGGCTAGAGTTTTTTTGCGTCCGAAACGCTCAAGCGGCCAGCCAGACGCAAGAGCCCCGAGGATTTGTCCGATGGGATTCCCCATGCCCAATGCAGTCTGCCACTCAGCCGGGATGATATATTCGCCTTCGTACTCATACCCAAATCGCCGTTGAAATGCGGGTAGGGCATAGAACGACGTGATGAGCTGCGCATCAAAACCCGCCATGATAACTGAAATACAGAAAAAGAGCGCCCAGAAAATTGCTGTTGGGTATTGCTTCACAGCTGTCCAGAATCCAAGGTTATGCTCCGCACTGGTGATGTCCCGAGTCGCGTCAATCTCAAGAAGGTTGCCTTTCTTGACATCATGCGACACCTGGTGAGTGTTGGTATCGTTGCCGTCAGCCATCTTGATATCCCCGTCCGTATCCTGCTTTGTCTCCGTCGCCATCTTTAGATTGCCCTCTGGTGTAGTGTGACGAGAGTTAAAAGGTGATGAGGAGGATGCGAGGGGGAAACGACGGTATTTTAAGCCCAACTATAAGTGACTTCTTATCTACGAAGTCACGATATGAAGGCTAACTAACATGATCGCCATTGGCCTATCTGGTTCGGTGGATAGTTGCGGGCATCCCCAGTTTGATTGATACCTAGGTAGGCAGTAACCTTGGGTTTGAACCTTGCGTGCAGCGTACTCCGCACCATGATGAGGCCCAATAACGAAGTGTCATATTCCCCGCAATGTCTAATTAGCTGGCGCTGATAGGCTTCTGCTTGTAGCCAGCAACGTTACATGGGTAGGAAATCAAAGCTCGTACTCCATAAAAGGAGTTAGGGTGGCACAAACAGAATCCAGTGATAGATGGCGTACAGCAGAGATTCGGTAAAGCTCGGCTTTTGATATTGCATTTATGACCTCGGACGGCATCCGGGGGAGATCCCACTTTTGTCAGTGCCGTTATCAGAAAGCAATGCTTATTATTTGCTCGGAAACGTACGAATATAATCCGAGGCGTAGCCATAGTGTAACGTCGTCCCACTAAAAGTATCCCGCTAGGCATGGAGTACACACGGAATACGTACATACCTAGACACATGTAACCATCCACGTGTCGCTTCTCCTACCTGGACTCCTAGGATACAGTACCGTTACCAAATATCAAGAAACCCCAGCACTCTGCTTTATCAAACAATCAAGCGCCGTAGTCCTAAGATTTGCCCCGCCTTCTATCATTTGCGAACCTAGTGGTGGCCTGCAGGAGCTGGGGTAGGTCATCGGGCACTGGAAGTCTACGGAATCGAAACAACATTTCTTGCTTCTCGTTCTGAACAAATTTCTCTACTCAACCCATTCTCTATTTCCGAGATATTTCGTTTTGAGAATCGAGCCCAAGACTTTCTAGCTAAGCTATACAGGTTCCATCACCTCCACATCCACGGCCAGCTACTTGTCCCTAATAGCCCACCAATATGGCAGCATCACAACCCCTCTTCTCGCCGGACCTGATATCTCCAGCCGTATCCAGCTCCCTCCCATCGCCATACAAAGTCCGCCCCTTGGAGCGAGGCGACTATGGGAAGGGCTTCTTAGACTGCTTGCGGGTCTTAACTCACATTGGAGATATCTCGGAAAAGCAATTTATTGAGCGGTATGAGTTCATGGCTACGCAGGGCAAAGGAACTTATTACTTTGTGGTTATTGATGATGGGACTCGGATTGTGGGAACCGGAGCATTAATCGTAGAGAAGAAATTGTAAGTCCTCTGGCATGAAGCCCTGTGGAAATGCATTGCTAAACCTCATCACTCAAGCATCCATGACTTCGGGACTATCGGTCACATCGAAGAAATTTCCGTCTTGAAAGATCAGCAAGGCAAGAGTTTAGGGAAGAAAGTGATCGAAACCCTCAACGACGTGGCCGTTAATGTCGGTTGCTACAAGACAATTCTGAATTGTAGCGAGGAGAATGAGAAATTTTACGCAAAGTGCGGGTACTCGAGGGGATCGCTCGAGATGACGAATTATTTTGAGGTAGAGAAAAGCTCTTATTATCGCGGTTAGATTTACGACTTCAAGATCTTGGGAAGGTGTTTTGGGAAACTAGAGGGACGGAAAAGATGAGGAAGCATAGACTAAAGGATCATCAGTTGAGATGTCAGTGGATATGCGCCTGGATTTAGCCACCAGTGTCGGGGCACAAGACTTGGGATTTATTTGATAATACAACTTGGGGAATTGGCTGCATTCTCAATTTATTCAAGGACGAATCGTGCATAGCAACAGCTGAAAATAGGTCGAGCTTGTGATATTATGTGACTCGTAATGCTTCGTAGTGTAGAAGTGCCCTTGAAACAAGCAAATGACGAGAAGCCAATTCCCGCCTAGAAAAGCCTCTTCAGCACCTTTTGCTTGGACTTGTGGCTTGGGCCTGCGAAGCTATCCCTGCTGACCTGCTCAAACCAACCACACAGCGCCAAAACTAGATATTATACACCTAGCCCATCAAGATAACGTCCAATGAAGTAGAGTGCCAAGCCAACTAAGCCGTCGGAAATGAACACAAACAGACCATGTGCTTATCCCGAAGCTGTGGCACGCCTATGCAGATGCCCCCTTCTTGGAACTCTACACGATGACACTATCCGCGGGCTGCTATTTGTATTGTGGGACCTGAGCATCCCCTCATTCTAGGCCAAGGCTTTCAAAGCCCGAAGTCTCAATCTCATACCACATTCCATTCTCTATCATACGTTACGAAAATGGGTAGATAGAGGAGCTGTTAACTACGTACAAGCCATCGATCAGCGTCGCATACGGTGAACACGTTACTATCTTGCTAGACGCCAAAATAACACTAGTAGAGGTAGTCGGCAATCGGCCAAAAAGCTGGCTTTTTCTAGGAATAACATTCTGCTGGTAACCTATTGCTAATCCTAATTTGCCTGGGCAAACCGCCCTGGCAAAGCCTCGGCTAAAAAGGGGGAGACCGCCCACTGGTTTCTGAAGGTTATATAGCCCAATAATAAGCCTTTTTGCAATTACAACACAACAGGCGGCCACTGGGCTTGGTGGATCGGGACAAATTGTGTTAGGCCGAGAAGGAGAAGAAAAAATGGGCAACAACAACGACATAACGACATAACAACAAGAGATAGGCACTCGACCGGGCGGAACTCTTTTTGCTTCTGCTATATCTGGATTCCTGACAAGTTTCCATATTAGCTATTTCCTCTTTTCCTTCGTTTTTCTGTTTCTAATCATTTTGAGACGCGTTGATAACATTTTACATTTCTTTTGCGCGTCGGTGAGGGGTTGTTTTGTCGGATCTCCAGCCAAAACCTCATGACCGCGGCACCGCCAATGAGACAATCGCCAGTGTTTGCAGCCCAATTCATAATAATTACAGCCTCGAGCATCACCTTATTTGCAGGCGTATAAGTAATCCCCCCAAATGCAGCCCCAAAGCTGAGAGCATTTACCAATTGCTCTTGAGACCCTACTATCTTTGAGGTCATCTAGAAACCCGCTTGGATCTTATAGTGTCTGTGTGCGGCTACCCGTATCTGATACGGTATGAGGGGTTTCGAGGCGAGCCATAAAGGGCGCGTGAAAGTAGATGCTTAGGGGAGGTATAGAGTATATAAGGATGAGATACGAAGGCTCTGGTCAAAGGCTGGCAGAGCAACAGTTACTGCCGTAACATTAGGGCATCTCTAGGCGCTGTAGGTCTCAGCTTTAGGGGCTGAAGCCTAAAGCCCACGCTGTAGCCGAATATCCTCCAGGCTCTTCAGGCTCCTCCCGTTGCTAGGTGACGGGTTCATAGCCCTTAGCATTGGCTCCCCCTGCTTAGCGTATATCAGGGCTTTTGACCAGAGCCTTTGTATTGGGAAGATGTAGTAGCAACTTGGTGGTGTTGTATTGTATTGGAGGAGATGAAGGTGAACTGAGTTGTCATCGGAGCAACCCCTGGGCCTCGCCGACCCCTCCAGCCCCCGCTAAATTTTTATCGTCCGAAGCTTAATTCCTCAGCCTAACTCGCCTAACTCCGACCGAGAGAGGAACAAGCGCAAACAGTCATGTTCATACAATACTACTCCCGTCACCACATCACCTCAAAAGAACACCAGAACAATGGCATCCCCTTCATCCGCGACTGTAGAGCCCGCCGGGCCAAATCCTAGTACCAAGCCTACCCAACCGGAATCTGCTGCGCCACGACTCTCGGGTGCCGAATTAAAAAAACAAAAGCAAGCTGAGAAGGCTGCGCGGAGGGCGCAAACAATCCAAGAGAAGCAGGCTGGGGTTCCGCCAGCAGCCCAAAAAGTCAAAAGTGACACTACGACAGGCGCAAAGACCCAGCAGAAAAGGCCCAGCTCAGCTGCAGCTCCAAGAGACCTTCCAGTCAGATCGCAACGGCCGGCGGCAGCAGCTACTCCCGAGGCACCTAAGAAAGAAGACAAGACGGTGGAGCTATTTAGGCATTTATATAAACCGCGAGTGACGAGCATTGCGGGCGCGGGGAAGGATGTTCATCCTGCAGTTCTGGCACTGGGATTACAGATGAGCAGTTACACCATCTGCGGGAGCTGTGCAAGGCTTGTTGCGACATTGCAGGCGTTTAAGAAAGTTCGTTCCCCTGGGGGATTTTTGCCTTTGTCTGTTAAAGGGTTGCTGCTAATGTTTGTATAAGGTTATCGAGTCATATGCAACCCCACCAGGAAATACCCTCACTAGACATCTCACATCTCACGTCCTCTCCCCTCAGATCGAATATCTCGCCGCTTGCCGACCACTATCTATATCTATGGGAAACGCAATTCGTTGGCTTAAGCTCGAGATTTCAAAAGTCGATATAGACGTTCCTGATGCGGAGGCTAAAAAGGGTCTTTGTGACGCTATCGATGTCTTTATCCGCGAGCGAGTCACATTTGCCGACCAGGTCATTGCCTCCAGTGCTGTTGAAAAAATAAAAGACGGCGACGTTATCCTCACATATGCAAAGAGCAGTGTCATCCAGAGGACGCTAATGACAGCACACCAGGAGGGTAGGAAATTCCGAGTTATAGTAGTCGACTCCAGGCCATTACATGAAGGAAAACATCTAGCTGCAGCTTTGGTGGGCATAGGTATAGAAGTCAAATACTGTCTCATTAATGGGCTAAGTCACAATATCCAAGATGCGACAAAGGTCTTACTGGGGGCTCATGCTATGATGAGCAATGGAAGGCTATTTTCAAGAATTGGGACGGCTCTCGTTGCGATGGAAGCAAATGAGGCAGACAAACCTGTGCTCGTCCTCTGCGAAACGATAAAGTTCACAGAGAGAGTGGCTCTTGACTCTATCGTCCATAATGAGATTGCGCCTGCAGACGAGCTGGTCATTCCCGGGGGGCCGTTAGAGAAATGGGGTGATGTGAAGAAGTTGCAGTTGTGTAATCTGATGTACGATGTCACACCGGCAGAGTATATCCAGATGATTGTTACAGAGTCTGGAAATGTACCGCCTACATCGGTGCCGGTTTTACACAGATTAGGCAACGAGAGCCAAGGTTGAAATGGTGAGGGCAGGGGAAATCACCATCTGGCTATAATTAAGCCTCATTCGCACAATCATATCGGGCCATGGGGCTTAGGGTGGCTCATCCGTATAATGGGTTGATCGATAATGATGTAAGGGCCCATAGCTACATTACAGCCTAGCAAGGCTACAGCATCAGCGGGTGTAAGTTATTATAACGATCCGGACCACCCGAAACACCCAGAACAATTGAATCCGAATGTCTTTATTTGTCTTCCGCAAGCCGTTGTTTAATTGTTAACCGTAGAAATGCCATCTTATTGTAGCACATCCTCCTCAGCCCAGTTCTGTACAATGGCTCAATTTTCCAGCCCTCCTTCCCCTTTCCACCCACTCATCAGGACTCCTGCACTTTCTCAAGACCCTCCCTTTCCGCCCTCCTCGCCCTCTTCTCTAACAATTGCTGCTTCCTCGCCTGCAAAATCGTCTGCTGTCTCTGATCCACGCCCAAAAGCCAATAACCGAAACTAGCGCCGAGACCGCCATACAGAGGGTATCCCCATAGTGAGCCACGGTTAAAGAAGGGACGCATTTCCAGGCCCAATTGCCAGGCGCGAACTGCGAGGCCTATTAAGAGAGAGTGGGATTAGTGGGGGGCAATGTAAGAGGGAGGATCGGAGCGCATACCGAAGCCTGTCCAGAAGACAACTTTGTGAACCATTGTGGGGGTTGAAAGCGCCTGATTTAGGGAGTTTCCAGGAGGAGAAGGCCTTCAATCCAATGTGCTTGGTTGAATGCTGCGATGGGGCGGGAGTTTATGGTGTGGTTCGCCAGCAATGGCAATAATTTGTAACTTCTCACCTCAATATCTCAACTTGACGTTGGAGCTCAAGGTTCAGCGATCGACGCTAGCTCAATCGCACGTGATCTCGTGGCGCGGCGTGAATCTAGCAAATCGCGAACTTATACTCTTAATCCCTATCGAGAGCCTACAACTTGTACTTATAGCTTGGGCGCATACAATCCCTTCCCACTATCAACATTGAAGTGCCCTTTCTAATTCCCTCTCGGCCAGGGCCAACACACCAGCCCATGCTGTAATACAACCCAGCTCTGTGGCCTCCCAAAAATGGCACCCTCGAAGGAAGCCGTTTTTGATCCTACGACAGGCAGGAAAAAGCTGAAGACTTCCGATCTGCCACTCACTTCTGCGACGCGCGGAGCAATCGAGGGGCTAAGTCATAGGTTTAAAAAGAAAGGCGGCTATGACTCCTTGCGGAAGCAAGTGTGGGAGGACTTGGAACGAAGTGTACGCATCCCTCCTTGAGCTCCTTGCCTCAACATTTACCCTCTCCTGACATTGAATGTACACGAGGCTAATGGTAGTGATGAATGCGCAGGACTTCGAGGCCGGAATTAAAGATGAGATCCTCAAAGTTGCGGAAGCCGAGATTGATAAAAACCCGGAACAGCTTCTCAAATTAGATAAAGGCAAAGCGACGTTACTTATTGAGGGCGCCGTGGATCGTGCGGGTGTTTATCAGGAGGCGGAAAAGAGGATTGATGCGCTTATCGATGCACATCTCGCCGCCATCGTGAGTGGGGTCAGAGGGCTCAGGGCCGAAGATATTGGCCAGGAAGCTGCAGCCGAGGAAGAGTTGAGGGGTAGCAAGACAGAGGAGCAGTATGCCGAAGAAGCGGCAATGAGACGAGCCGAGAGAGAAAAGAAGAGGCAGGAGGCGAGAGAGATGGAGAGAGAGGCCGCGGATGAGAAAAAGAAGATTGAGCGGGCAAAGCGGAAGGAGGAGGAGAAGAAGATTGAAGCTGAGCAGGAGAAACGACGGGTAGAGAGAGAAGCAAGGAGGAAGGCTGAACGGGAAAGAGAGGAGGAGAAGGAGAGAGAATTGCGTGCACATGAGCGGGAGAAGGAGAGGGAGAGGGATGCAGCTAGGGATCGCGATCGTCACCGTGAGAGAGATCGCGAGAGAGACTACGACCGAGAGCGAGACGAACGGCACAGAAGGCACGATGATGACTCTGCCCGCCGGCCCTCAGCCAGAAATGACAAGGAACCAACCAAAATCCCAAAGGCCGAGCTTTCCAAAGAGGATATCGAACGCCTCGAGCAGGAGGCTCTCAATGATCTTCTGAAGGAAGGCAAGCGCGTTGCACAGCGATCAAGACATCAATTAGAGCTCGACATCGACGAGACTCTAGCGCCACCCCCTCGAAAAGCCATGCCAGCTTCAGCCATCAAGCCCATCTCCAAAGACTCCAAATCTACAGAAGTTAAGAAAATACCAACAGGGCCAAAAGCAGCTAAGGTCGATGCAGACGGGTTTAAGACGCCCCTTCCGAAAATGGCTGAAGAAGAGAAACTCGATAGTCGCGAGAGGCGGAGTCGTCAGAAGAGCCATAGCCGTGATAGAGCCTCAACTCGGCGGCCAAGTCGAAGCAGAAGTCGTCGCCGTGACAGCAGAGACCGAGAATCTGTACGTTCCTCAAGACGAGATAGTCGGGAACGCGATAGAGACTCAGGCCGTACCCGGCGTGACAGTCGAGACAGGGACAGGCGACGGCACGATAGCAGAGATAGGGACCATCGACGTGAAGACAGTAGAGACCGGCGCCGGAGAGATAGCAGGGATCGCTCCCGGTCTCGTGATCGTGATAGGAGACGAAGCTATCGATCGCGAAGTCGAAGTCGAGACCGTCGCGATAGAGACAGGGATCGCATTCGTGCATCCAGTCCTAGAATCAGCAGAGAGGAACAAGAAGCTATCAAGCTGCAGGGTATCAAAGAGCGTGAACTGGAGGCCAAGGAATGGTTGGCCGCTAGGAATGAAGCACAAGAAAAGGGCCTCCCGCTCCCAGTGTGGGGTGAGTGGAAGAGAGAACGGGATAGGCAAACTGCCAACGCCAACCCGAGCCTACCTGCAGCTCATGGCAAGGATGAACCAAGCTCTTCTCGCCGGCGGGATTCGAAGGATCGCGAGCGGGATAGGGTCGGCAGATCTTCACGAGCCGATCGAAGCAGATCACGTCCCCCTACTGCCAGGAGAGAAAGGTCTACTAGTCCGGTCAATATCGATCGCTATGTGCCCGGCGCTGCCAGGCGCAGTAGCACAGCCCGTCGAGACAGGAGTAGGAGTCGGGATCGAGATCGTGACCGCGACCGTGATAGGGATAGGGGCCATGATGGGGATCGAGATAGGGATAGACACCCGAAAGACGGCGACCTGAAGACTAGAAAAAGGTCTCGGTCCCGGGATAGGAGTCGTAGAAGAGATAGGAGCAGAGACCGGGATCGAGACCGTAAGGCTAGGAGTAGGAGCCGTAGCGTGTATAGCAGACGCGATAGGGACAGTCGGAGAGATAGAAGTAGAAGTCGGGAGAGGGAGAGGGACAGGGACAGAGATAGAGACAGGCGGCGAGATAGAAGTCGAAGCCATGGTAGAGATAGGGAGAGGGAGAAGGATAAAGATAGGGAAAGGGGAAGAGACCGTGACTATGACAGGAAGCGGAGTCGAAGTAGGGGAAGTAGGAGGGAGTCGAAACGCGGCGATTAGTGTATAGAAGGCTACATAAAGGTGTAGCTGCTAATATTATATCAAAGATTGTCATCTGTTCCATGAAGCCAGTTTCTTACTAGATAGTTCGACGCTAAGCGGAATGAGTTATATACATGTCATGCGATTACTGGGTATCAAGACAGCACACTGTGCGAGGTAACTGTTTGTACATTGTACTTATAAATTAGCTGTAACGGCTAAGCCATAGCCCAATAAGAAGGGAGGCTATATTGGAAGATATTATATTCGACTAGTATACCTGTTTCATTCAAGAAATATTCCAAATAGAAAGGATGCCCCTAACTAAATCCCGGCTCATAATAATTACTTTGTCAATGTTTGTAGTTACACCTGATAGTTTCCAGAGAGATAATGTTTTGGTAACAGTCGGAGTCTGAGGCGCAAAGTAAAGTTCTTGGGAGGTCAGGAGACCTCTGATAGTAGGTATTAACTCTAGTTTGTATGATAAAATCCAAATCAAACCATCTTCATAGGTTTAATTTTAGATATCTCGTTTAGAAATATATTCATACCGTTGGGGTCGATAAAGCCGCAAACGGAAAGACAATTAAATAAGCACTATTTCCAAGCTTGATAGCACGAAAAATCCAAAATAATAAACCACCCAAGAGGAAAAGGCTACTATATAAATCCAAGAAATATTCGACTATTATTTCTCAGACGAATCGCCAGTTAAAATCTCTTCCGACTGAGCGACAACAACCTTACTCGGCTTACCCTCTCCCCGCTCAATTCGGGACTCCGCTTGTGGGGAAGCTCTGTGTCGACGGTATATAAATTTTGGCTTGAGTTTGGCCCGCAGCTGAGTTAGACCTGAAGTACCACTCGTTTTAGGCACAACGTTTTTTAGTCTCTGGGTGATGGGCGAAGAAGGTTGTTTGGGACCCTTGTTTTGGGAGGCACGAGGACCAGGTCCAAATAGATCTAGCAACTTGTTGATATATATGGCTATGAGGACTAAGGGAATAGTAAGCGCTGCAGAGGTGCCAACTATAGCCAGGTTAGCCGTTTTGACTAGTATATACGCAAGAGTTTCACGAACATATTCTTGAAAATATCCAATCCGATGTATACAACAGGTTTCCATCTGCGTGCGGGAATGACTTGATGTTTAGTGCGAAGAAAGATGATAGGAAGGACATTGGTAACTAAAGCGCAGTGACTTGGTGAGCATTTCGAAAAGCATAATTGCAGAGGCTTCTTACAAATATAATCGTAACAATCGTGAAGACGAGGATCGTCCTTCCCTGTTTTGTGGTCTCTATCGACTGCTTAAACGTTTGCTCAGTTTGTATCCGCGCTTGAGCAGCTTCCATGATGTTCGCATTCTTCTGCTTAAGATCCAGGAGATGATTAAGCTGCGTAGATCAGCTTAGGTTCTCCGTTGTAGACAAAGTATTGGGGGAACTCACCGAATTATACGCGGTGCCAGCATCCATCTGCAATTTCCGGATTTTCTCAATTCGCAATTTGATATCACTGCGTTCTCGGTAGTAGTTGAGTACAGGGTCTTTCTCGATTTTCTGTTCTGCCACTGTATCTGGTTGGGAAATCAAGGTGGATAACCTCTGCAACAAATCTTCCTGGTCTTCGAGAATACTGTGAAGAATGTTGAGTTCATCGCGAATATCCTTGATCTCCTCAAGTAGCTTGATATCTTTCTGGAGGTCCAACCCATGGGAATGGGAACTAGTATCGTCCATCTCGTGGGGGTCCTCATGTTTGCTAATCTCTCGTTTGAAGACCTCGAAGCACCTAACCTCTTCATCTGTCTACAGATTACGTGATAAAAGTCAGACACAATAAGTAGAGGAAAATAAAGTGAGAACAAGCTCACGGTTTATCTTACCACAATACTAATAGAGCCCGAGAACATATGAAGGAACGATTCAGGTCCGTCGGGAAGACTTGCGTGACAGTCTTCTATGAAGCCGGCACACAAGCTCGTTATAACTGTAGCAAGATGATAAATCGATGAAATTTCTGGGCGCGTATCTTCGTGTATGTGCAGGCGAATTTTATCAACCAGCTCACGCCGGCTGCTCTCCTTGGTTTCTCCGCCACAACTTTTTGGGAAGCAAGTGACCACGGTCTCTGGAGGATAGCAGTCAGTAATGGAACCGCGTTCGAAGAAGAAACCTACTATCATCTATGACCCAGAGCCATAGTTGGTCCACCATTCCCATCTGGAAATTAGAATCATCATCTGGCGTTTTGCTGTTGCTCCCATGGTTGTGCTCCGCTTCTTCTTCCCACTTCCGAGTTTGATATCGACGTACGACCTGATCCGCATCACGCCGACTGGTATCGGCAAGTGACGAGTAATAGTACTGGTCGATCGATCGAGACGTGTGAATACCTTTTTCCTCTCCAGGCCGAAGGTACTGTTGGTACAATCCGTTGGTTTTCGAATCATTTTGACGGTTCTTCATACCTTGCTTGACGATGTCAATAGAGTCCTGAAGCCTCTCACGCCACTCCAGAACTTCGGAAGGAGTATTTTCCATCCTCAGCTCTTTGAGACACTTCTCAATTGACTTTAGATTTTCTTTCGATTCTAGACTCGTGTTGTCGTTAGTGTTGATACTAGCGATCGCCTCTCGAAGCCTCTGGAGTTCGTCGCATGTACAAGAGCCCAACTTTAGCCTCTTGGAGTCACAGAGCGTCTTCTCTAGTAGATTATTACCCTGCATAATCGCGTTCGTAAGGAGGGCCAATCTGGCTGGTCGAACAAAGTCCTCCAAAACTGCATTCTCTTGTGGATTCTTGCTCTTGGGTGATATACGATGGACCTCCTCCGCCAGTCGGATCGCTTGTCGTAACTTTCGGTGGGCCTTTACAGTCCGAAACGTGAGATATGGCAACTAAATAACATTAAAAATGCTGTAGTGTCTTAATTCATATCGGCCAGGAGCTGCTTACGCATAGGGCCATTCTACAGCCTTCTAAATGGACCGTTGCGGGCTCACACATGGACTCCCCCTGGCCTGATCTTGGAACCTCCTTATTTGGCTGGTCATTTGTGTGGTGCTGCTTGGGTTCCGGCTGTTCAGCGCGCCGCTCGAGATTTTTCGTTTCCTTGTCGTTTTTCGTGACACTGTTATCTTTGATTGTAGTCAGTTGCACCCGATCCTCCACGTCCTGCAGGTTACCTCTCACTTCTTTACCCCCGCGTTCTTTGGTAGCATCTGACATGTACAGATTCGTAGGGCCTCCGTACTGTCCCCTTGGTTGAACAGGGCCAGCGACTATACCTTTGGAAGTGTTGGCCACAGCGCCCGTCTTATTGGTTTTAGGCTCTGGAGGGTTCTCGGGTTTCTGTGACCCTTTTGGTTTTTTAATTTTGCCCAGTTCTTCTTTCTTCGCTTGATTTTGAAGCGTGGTGATGTTTGCTCCGCCTCCGGTGTGAAAATCCTTGTTCTCAAACTATATCCTCTTGTCAGTGATTTCACGCTTATTATAGTTCAGTTTCCAAGCCCTTACAGTGAGAGCTGGATACATAAATCGGCATTGAGTTTTTCCAAGATGCTCACGGCGGTTCTGTTCCACAAAGTGCCTCAGTCTTGTATATTCGCCGGCGGATTGCTTGGATTCATATGAAATTCTTCTCATGAGGTCCTGTACGATAATGAGCGCAGTTCAGATGAAAGCAATGTTGACTATTCATACCTCTACCCATATCCACTACTCGAGGCTTTTGTTAGAGTACGCTACTGGACGAGTTGGCAGGGATAATTTAACTTACATTGTTGGCAGGGATATGAATCCATCGGAAACGCTGCTGGAGCTTGATATTCCAATTATCTCTTGCTTGGGACATGATCTTCTCTGGACCTTCTTTATAAATAATATCATATACAGCACTTTTTCTCTCGAGTGTGTAGAAACGACCATCCGAAGGGTAAAAGTCAATGATATTTGCATGGACCCTTTTGCAGACCTCTTGAAGGCCACCAGGTCCCAAATGCGGCTCAACTAACTGGATAGGTTTCCGAGGAAGCCTTAGCGGCGTTTCCAATAGGCTGACGATTGTTCGGACGAGATGGAAACCATCCTTCAAACGTCTAGCCATATTCACAGCGGTCAAAACGCCTTCCCCTTCGTCCCCTATAGTAGCCTCAGGATTAGCCCCGTTCATCAGCATATATCTCACCACCTCCACTGCCCTTGGATCATTATAGTTGACAGCCCAATGAAGCGGAGTCCATGACTTCGTTAGCGAAAGGGTGCGCGTGTCGATAAATCCGATGCCGCTGAAACCCATCATTTTTCGTAGTAATTGCTGGACAACCTGCTCGTGCCCGTTCCGGGCCGCTGCCAGAACAGATTTGGGGCCAGCATCGTCAGAGAGTATCATTTTAGGATCAGTCTTTTCGTATTCATGCAGCAACATCTCAATGATATTTTCTTGACCACCAACAGCGGCCCAATAAAGTGTATCTCTAAGCGCAGCGTGGGTTCTTAGTTTCCGGACCAGCGTTATGTGGCCATTACGAGCAGCCCAATACAAGGTCTTCTTGGTGGATTCCTCCAGGTTGAACTCAATGTCCAAGAGCAGGGCACCTATTGCCTCGACCTGTTTCGGATTTGGTCTTTCCATCTTCGGCCACTTTTGTCCGCTTTCCATCTCTTCCAGAGAAATATCAGCCTCATTGTTCACCAGAAGCTGCACTATGGTCTTGTTGCCTGCATCGGTTGCGATTGCAAGTGCAGTCTCTCCGTTGAGGTTTTTCTCCGCGATGATATTGCGAACCCCCTCTGATAAATGCTTCAGCAGCAATGCAATCGGGCCTTCACCTTTCTTGTCGCTGGCTAGATGTAAGGCAGTATTGCCGTCGGAATTCTTTGCCGTCAAGAGAGCGGCTTTCCTGTTCAAGAGTAGCTCCATTGTCTTAGTGTGTCCGTACTTGGATGCATGGTGCAAGGCTGTCCACTGTGCAGCATCTCGTGTATTGATGTTGGCGCCGTTTCGTAACAAAACCGCTACAACATCTTCGCTTCCATTCACCGACGCAATGTGTAATGCGGTTTCGCCAGCTTTTGACTTCGATTCGATGCCAACTCCAGTTTTAGTGGGCACAATCTTCGTCTCTGGTTGTTTGTCCTCTATAGTTAAACGTGGGCCCGATTGCTGATCGACATCAACTGGAGCGCCATCCTTAAGTACTAGCTCAGTGAAGGCGACGCTTCCTGAAATGGAAGACCAATGCAATGCTGTGTACCCGTCATTATCTGCTGCTGCAGGATCAGCTTTTTCCAAAAGCAGCAAATGCCCAACTGGTTCGTGGCCTCCCCGAGCAGCCCAGAGAAAGGGTGTCATGCCAACTTCATTAGCTGTTCCAACATCTGCACCTTTTTTAAGCAAACTTTCTGCAAGTTGGAGGTTTCCATGGAACGCCGCGTGGCTCAATTCCGAATCTCCTTCTGCATCGACTGCTCCAAGTCTGGCCCCATTGTCCAACAGAATCTCAGCAATGTCCGCTTCATTACATATGGCAGCCTGTAAGAGCGCCGTGGCCCCATTCGGAGTCTTCACATTGACATCTGCGTTACTTCTCAGCAATAGGTTCACAGTCGTTTTGTTTCCTTCAGTGACGGCTCTCCAAAGAGGGGTCTCTCCATCATCGTCTCTGATCTCGATACCGGGGTTTTCCCACAAAATGCGCTTTACAGCCTTATCGCAATTCCATAACACCGCGCGGTATAGTGGTGTAATTCCACCTCGCCCTTTAAAATTAACATTGGCGCCTTTGTTCAATAAGAGGTCCAAAAATCTTTCATCTGGCATCGTGGCAGCTCTCCAAAGAGGGGTCTCTCCATCCTCGCCCGTAGCTTCGAGATCTGGTATTTCATGTTGATTCATCAAGAACTCCACGATTTGATACTGCCCGAACAATACTGCTTTATATAAAGGAGTCATTCCATAACTATCCTTGGTATTGATGTCGGCGCCTCGAGCAAGACAAAGTTCAACTTCATTAAGGGCGCCCTCTCCGGCCGCTTCAACCAAGCGCGTATTAAAATAATTGCCAGTAAACTCGGGCATATTGATATAAGGGCTCGGGCAGATATTAATGATTCGGAATATTAACGGGCGGCGCCCATGGAAACTCGAACAGTTCCACCAGAAAGCGGAGATTGCTTCCGAGATGGGATGTTTTCGAGTCTCTGGGTGATTGGCCTCCCAGCTCAGGACAAGACAACACTGAGTCCAAACTGCAAAGGCCTTTCCCCCGCGACTTGGTATGCAAAATGTGGCTTATTCCGGTCAGGCGGTGGTAAATGATGATGAGAAGCGGACATTGTCAGAGAGCGTTGTCGTGATCTATCGTAGATGCCATGCATGGATGAGGCTGCAATGGTATTTGGGGTGTACTCTGGAGGGAGTAAGACAGCATTGAGGTGGCAGCCGATCAACCCACCTTGGTACTTCGCACTCATACTCTCCCCCCCCTAATTACTTGTAATCGTGGGCCCCCTGTCCTCCTATACAAAATAGCCTTACGACCAGGGGGCCCACTGCGAGAATACTTCGCACTCATAGTGTAATCCTCGAAACTTCAGCCCAAAGTTCCAAACAGACCCTGCGCCGGCGCACTTGTGCTCCCACACCTCTCGTAAGCGGACATTACGAAGAACTCCCTCAGCATGGTCACTGAACCATGGTGGCGCACAGCCGTGGGGTCCTGGGAAGGGCAGCAGGGACGCATATAAATAAATGATCCTCTCTGAAGGTGTCCATACTGCGGATTTTGGACTGCTCGGAGACCACCACATCTAAGCAAGCTTCTTTTGGCGACGTCCTATGAAAGATCGCTAAGCACCACCACGTGTCTCGGCTCTGCTATGGCACTAAAACTAAGCTTTATCTAGGTACGTAAACTGCGTAGCAGCGAATCACGGACACTTGGTTTGTCGCTCGAGAATAGCTTCTCTTTCACGCTCTAAAGCTATCAAGGTAGCATGGCTCGCATGGGTGGATCGGATTTAAGTAAAGCCGAAACTCAGGGGCTAAATTGGACGACCTCCAGCTAACCACCAGCAGCCAACGGCTTCCAATCACCAACGTCCTTGTATACAGTAGCAATGACTAGCGAAATAATACGATACATAGGTACCTAGTAGCCTGTGCTGCTTAAGCTGGGCTTAGTTGCGAACCTTCCAAAACAAGAAAACCAACCCGTCAAATCCTCACCATGTCAGATACGTCCGACGAAACCGAAATCCCAGATGAGCTTGAACGCTTCGTCAAAAACCTCGAAAGGGAAGAATCTGAAGGACACTGGGGATTCACAGTTTACACCACATATCCAATCCCCTCCACCGCCACCTCTACTTTAGAAGCGTCTACCGATGAAGCATTCGACAAGAGCGTTTGCGAGCGATTCCAGTCATACATCGCCGCCTACCTACGCTTTGAGGCCGAGAAGCCATACGGAGTAAAGATCCCACTCCACATCGAATACATCCGACTCCCCTCCGCAAGCCTCTACGACGCGCGAACACATTTCCGAGCTAAATACGGCTGGCCTGTGAAATACCAGGAAGGTAAGGAGGAGAGGACCCACGAGCATCATGATATGCGACATAGATATTTTGTTGTAATTAACGAGGAGACGATCAAGACATTGTTCGATGCTCCCGAAGCTATTGCAAAGATTCGGAGAGGCTTAGACTATAGGGAGGTAACCGAGAAAGAGGATGAAATTGTTATAACAGTTGTGCAGGTGGATTATAATGAGGCGTGTGAGGGGATAATATTTGCGACAGCATCAAGGCAACCGACGAAAGGTAGTTCCGATTGTACTACATTTTATAGTTATATTAAGACGACACCGAGGTGGCTAAAGGAGATTTGGCTTGAGATTATAGATATGGATGTTCAGTTCCTCTTTAAACACAAGGACCACGTGTATAAAGGGGGGTGGTAAAGGATAAGGTAGAATCCAACTCAACTGATCCTCCTGGCTCTAAGGTTATCGTAAAATCAACATCGGTACTTGGTAATATCTTTAATCACCTTGAAAATGGACGTAGCAACCGCCATTATCCGTGGAGATGGTAAAATATCATTTTCTTTACAATTCTTCCCACTCACATTGCTGTCTTATTACTACCAATTCTTCTACAAGCTTTGGACTTGGGAGTTAACACACATTTGTTAGGAAGCAAATATTTTGTCGAGTCGAGTTACCCGAGTAGATATAATAGATATAAAATCTACACTAGAATTTTAGATATAATATTCTATCTTGTGTCTACGTGCATTACTAAAATTCCTACACTCTAGATAATAACAATTTGTGTATGACAAGACGGCTCTTAGTAGCTAGGAATAGGGTTGAAAACGTTTTGTCATTTGTGGAATTAACTGATCGGCGACAACAGGCATAGTCCTGGGGAATATATAGAGAAGCTAACACCCAGCTTAAGCTAAAATGTTTGAAAAAACACTTGTGATAAAGAGTGCGAGAAATTTAGCATAATACTAGTGCACTGGCTGCGCCGTCAAACTTTGGGTCGCCTCTCTTTCACGAAGTACCTTCACACCCTCAATATCAACGTATCCGGTCTCAAATCCAAGTTTGTAGACGACAGCACCGGGACCAATTTCCATCGTATACCTCCTGAATTGCTTCTTGTTCGAGCGCGCCACAAAAGGGTTCGCTCGGAAACCGAAGAAGTCCTTGTACTCCACCCACCAACACAGATGGCCGCAGACTAGGGTCGGTGCTTTGAATCGTATGTCCGGGGTCAAGGTCGGCGAGCGGCATGAGGCCTTTTGTTCGTTCTCAGTGAGAAAGTCATATCCAAGGCGCCTGAAGCCTGCTACGAAGGCATCCTCAGCAATCTGCGCCTCAACCGTCCGTACTCTTTGCTTCTCGATTCGCCTAGCCACACCTTGTGGCGTGTTTTCGACTGGCAACAGACGTAGAGCAGCGGCAAGTAGCGCAGAGACGATTGCTTCATCTAGAGTTGTTTTGGTATGCCTGACAATGAAATCAACTGTAGGTTGCTGGGAACGATGACGAACAGCGAAGGCAAAGACGGGTGTAATAACCGAGCGATCGAGGCCAAGGTATTCGACTAGAATTTCTTTAATAGAGAGAGCATTCGAACTAATCCGGGAGCCGGTGCCACTGTTATGTATACAATGATGTTGATCAAGTTGTCTTTCCGTGTCGAAATCGGCAACATAAGGACACCGAGGACACGCGTTGTGGCGGGAATTATCAATCAGCTGGTGGGTTCTACCCTCCCCTTCTAAAGACTGGGTCAGCTGGCTACTGGACTCTAGTATATAGGATTATTAGGAAGACTTGTATATATACCTTCGCAGAAAACTTCCTTGGGCACAGCCTCCTTTCCATCGCCCACTTTCAGCTTGGCCCTGATGGGTTTTGTCGTAACTCGAGTCGGCTTTCTGATGCGTCCCGACTTTCTGTCAACGCGATACTGTCTGGCCACCGGAGCACTCTCTGATGAAGTACTATTTGGCATAGTAGTATCGCTTCCAAGCCCACTAGGCGACAAGAGCGTGGGGAAAGTAGCCTCCGCTGCTGACTTTGATTCAAATAAACCCGCTGCTAGAAGATCTCCTAAAATCCTGCAGGTTTTCCTCGTATCCACTGATACGGCGGATTGCTCATAGTAGAGGTGATCTTTGTGCTTCTCCACTACCTTGCGTATCTTACTCCGTTTCCTTAGCTTTGCAAGTTTATCTTTGAAAATGTCGCGATAGGCAAGATATACTATCCTCTTATCAAGGTCTGTATCTGACATAGTGCATCCGATGACCTAATGAGAGCACCAGGACGAAGATTATGATTTCGGACGAGGGCAATGTAGAGCAAATCTAGATTGGGAATCTGCAGGGTTCTGTCCTAGATGCTGGATCGCATCAAAACATAGGAGCGCGTTACCTGTTGGACGCGTTTCGTTCGGGGATTTAGCCGATTCAGAGGGTGGAAGTAGATCGAAATTACAAGGAGTGAATCGTACGCTGTAACTTGCAAGGCGGTAGATATACAGAGAAAGCTGGTGGTTTTTCGTGACTATATCACCTAGATTGCCCACCACTACACCAGACCGCCAAGTGCAGACGACCCTACCAACTGCAAATGTACGTACGTAGATGACTAATTATATCTGGCAGGCACTCTCAGCGCCCAGGCTGTATACTAGGTCTGCCTACTCCAAATGCAGCAATTCAGAATGAGAATTTAAGTCTGTTCATCGTCATGTTTCTGGAATTGAGCGAAGACTTCCTACCTGGAAAGTGAAGCCTAGGTACCTATACCTTTATATATTATATGGCGTCTCTATTCCTTTTTTGTCAACCTCCTTTCCATTGCCAATGCACTAGACGTGTTACCCCGAACGGGTCGGCCCGTAAATCCCTCACGAACCAACTCAGCATGGATGACGGCCTAGTTAGTTTTTGTAAAGCCGGCAACTACCCAGAAGTGATAATTCCAGTGCCCACTTGCGTTGTAAAAAGTTCCGGTACCTTTGAGATCAGCGCAACATATGAAGAGGTATATTCTCCTAAACAAAATTGGTTGGCGATGTGTGCATATTTCGCTCGCTTCTAATATTCGAAGCTGCCTGTGAGAGAATCTTTCGGACGTCTGAGTGTTTTCGAGCCCTAGTTTGGATACATAAACCATATGAAAGCGAAAGAAGTTGCCGTAGCGAGGAGCATTATATAGACGCCCATTGCTAAAACCCCGAGGCGAGTAGACTTCGGAGAGATAATTGTTTGGGTTGGGAGAACTAGGAATAGTGTACATGGAATAAATGAATGAACATAGAAAGACGAAGATGTAACGATAAAACAATATTTGATAGAGATGGCTCGAACAAGCACCCTATACCCCATAGTCGATTTCCAAGGCTCAGGCATGCGAGGTAGCATCTTGGGATTATGTCCCGTAGCCATGAATGAGCAAGAAGCACCACCAATAACAAATACCAGGAAAATTAAACTAACATTAACGTAAAAGCAGATAATAATTCGAACTCCTAGGTGATCGTAGAATGATTTGACCATGGAAGATAGAGACAAAAGTTGACAATGGATTAGGGTCGATGCCGCCTTTAAGTGTTTAGAATGACCACTTGCTGCATGGTGATTCTCTGTACTCACATCGTATTTGGCTTCTGGTTGATATTTCGCATGGCTTTTGTTTCTTTGTCGGCGGCGTCCACGGTCTACCAAGATAAGTGAGAATATGCAAACCTGGTAGTATTTAGCAAAATTTATATCTGAAAGCCAATCTGAATCCGGACAAGTGGAAGGGCTGAATGTATGGGTACGTACTGGTTCGGCTGCCTCGCGAATGCATACGGCTATTGTAGCACAAGAGCCTGGGAATTCTGGGAAACGAGAAATGGGCAGACAACTATTGAAATCAAGAGCTCTTTTCGCTTTCATTTCATCTGACAGAGTTTGGAATTATGAGAAGTTGAGATCACGTACAATATGATGTCGTGCGCTCCTCGCTCAAGCCCCTTTAATGCCGTCGCCTGTGTGTAGGTACGGTACATGTGTTGCGGCCAGTAATACCTAGAACCATATATACATGAGTAGATATGATACATGCTGAATTGAGCTACACCCTGAGTTGGGGCCAATCCAATTCTGCTTTGAACGCTGGCTTACACGGTATGATGCTGTGGGCCATCCCGAGACGCCGTGGTTTAGTAATAATACAATGCCAGACCATTCTTCCGATGGCAGCACTATCAAAAGTGCGGAGAAACTCCTGCCATTCCGTGCCCCGAAACGCCACGCTATGCAAAGGAGATCCTAATCCCATTCCACCCATAAAGTGCATTATCACTTATCCCTCGTGTCGCTGTTAAACCATCAGCAAGCTCCCTGTCGAGCCTGGTAAAACGCCCTCATTCTGTTTCTTCCCACCGGTTTGCTGAATATATGGTGGGACGATAATCGGCTGAGGCAGATCATAATCGTCCTTGTCACCCTCATGAATTTCCTCGTCTTTAAAGTCAGAGACGCTGGTTGCAGTTGTGGCACTTCCTTCGCGGTCTATGGTATTTTGATCCGAAATTGAAGAGAAATCGGTGTCGTCAACTTCCGGGATTGGTGTGTTGATCGCGAGAGCTATATCTTCCGGATTCGATTGTTCTAACACGCGTAAGGGCTCAGGTGGAACAGGTTCGGCTGGGACAGTGGATTGGAGCTGCACAGAAGGGGCGGATTGAAGAGGAGCTGTCTTGGCTGATAGTGGGGTTGCTGGTTCGATGCAATCGTAAAATAACATAAACACACCCCCTTGACCCAAGACATTATCCTCGCTGACCTTCATTACGTCGTCATCGCTCAAACGCCACCACTGCCCTTTCTTTTCTGGATCCCGAGAATCAGTAGCTGGGGGATGCTTCCTGTAACATATGTAATGCCCATTTTCATGGCGCCCGTAGTGAGTCACGACAGCCCTGAGTTCATATATCGGACCCTTTATTCTTGATGGTCGACTACTGCTGGCAATCATAGGTTTCTCGGGATTGAGCAGCCATTCTTCCATTCCAGCCTCATCCCCGCTGCCCAGGCTCCCGAGAGACCAGGAGCCAAGATCGAGGAACTTCGGAAATCGGACTTCAGAATGGTTTTTTCGTAACTCGCCAGTCTGTTCATCAAACAAACTGCGATTAAAGTGTGCCACAAGGGATCTAGGAGGGCGTGCTATGACCGCTTGACGGGTTTTGGTTGCAGAGACTCGACTTTTGGGAGGGATTTTGCACTTATGAAGAAGAGTCTTGTCGTCATAATTATCTTCCTCTAAGGCGGAGTTGACGGCTTCTAGTCTCTCGGTGCTTTGGCGATGTATATGGTTGCCATCTGGTGAGTCCTTGGTGCGGTCTAGGATCGTAGAAAGTAATCTTTGAGACTTCAACAGCGTACATTTCCCACATTCGACGCCTTCGATGTTCTCCAGCTTCGTGTACTCGTCTAGACATTCGGTTATATCTTGGCCCCATGACTTACCTAGAGGCACAGTTAAACAATTAAAAGGGATCATGGAAAATCCCTCAGAATAGCCGCATTTCGTGCACCCAACTCGTTGAGCAATTAACCCTTCTAGTGGATTCCGATATATCGACAAAGGCTGCTGCGACTGGGTTGAGGATCCGGTTCCCTCAACTCCAAATCCCTGAGACCTCCGCACTAACTTTGCAGCCTTGCCAACCTCCTTATCAATCTCATCCAGGACCTTCGAAAAGTACTCCTGAGCATCCTGCTGCTGCCAACTACTCATATTCTTCAGGGCTGCAGGAGTCCATATTTTTCTTCCGTTATTCTGCGGGTCGTTTAGCGTGGCAATGAGCTCCTTCAGCGCTTCCGCCATCTTCATCTCTGGCTTCTCCTTTCCCTTAACAATCCGTACGTCAATACTGGGATTGGTAAGATAACGTGAGAGAGAATCCAGTGACGCCAGCCCCTGGAGCACACTGTTTTGATAACATGAATTATCCCAGTTTCCCAGTCCCGCAGGCCGGCCGTCAGCTCCAGAAGATGTCACGCTAATACCTGGCAAAGAGGATAATCGCCTCCTTGACGCTTGCGCCACTGACCCTATAATCCCACCCGGTTTGTCCAGCCCCAATATGCGCCGCATGGCCTCGCTTTTTGCGGCATGAGTCCGGGGTATGTGCCTTGATGTGGGATTCGGAATTCGGAGCGGGTTCGTGTAGGTTTCGATGGCATCAAGGAGTCGTGAGGGTGTGAGATAAACAACGTAGTTCCAGACTAGCTCAGGGAGAGGTAGAAGATCGTAATCGAGGATGTGAAGAATATGGTAGATGACGGGGATGAGGCAGAGTATGAGCGGGAGTATAAAGCCGATCTGAGTGAAGGATGGATATGTAGTTCCACGATAGTCTTGATGGTATTCAGCGTCGATGCCCAGGTCACCGTCGAAAAGGTCCTGCATTCGCTGCTTGTAACGATTCATGGTAACCCATATGGGCACGGTTCACGGTTCTTTGCGTGGTTCAACAGATTCCACCGGTACGAAAGAACAAGCGTTAACGGTATGATTATGTAGCACATGCGCTGCAAGAATCCTACGTCGAAGCTTTGGGTTCATCCAGGTTGAAGCTTGGCGAAGTGGTGGGGCGAGGGTGCGTTTGATTTGCTCAGCAGACCGATGGCGATCGAGAAGACCCCTGCGATCCTAGGTTCAACGACAAAGTTGTAGATGCAGCAATTTGGGATTCTAAGAATCCTATTTCTGGATATAATACTTTAAGTCGCTCTTCAATCAATTAAGACCTCTAGAAGTCGCGTGTCTTCCAAAGGCGCTGGAAGGGAATGAAGAAGCTGCCTTGAAATGCATCATCCTAAGGTCGGACAAGGGAGCCGTTCTGGTTGCCCGGCTCCAGTTACAACCCTCATGTAGGTGCCTACCTACCTAAGGTATATAGCTATATCTCTGCTGGCACGTGGCTAACTAGGAGTATAGCCTTTAGTCCAATCCCGTGTCAACGCCAGTGCAATGCGGCACTAAAAAGTATTCAAAGTAGATCTCGCCATCGTAGGCTCTCAGACCACTTTAGCACTACACTCTTTTCGACACAATTTGTCAATTGCTCTCCGTGCTATGAGAGAAGATGGCTCTGGTATGCCATAGCTCAATCTATTGTTATCTATTTTGCTGATTCGACAGTTGAGGACATTCCGGAGGCAGATCTCTACAGATACTCTAGGCATCGCTGGGTGTCCGCTTATAGCAACCCCTTACTGGTCATGTGTGCTGACCAGTCAATTACAATGAAGCACGTAATCTATCTCAGAAATATCTCAAGTTCAACCTACAGGAACTTGTACGCATCGCAGTTGAAGCAACCGCTAAAGGGGGGGCCATCGATGTATGCTATTTCAAATTTAGCATAACGTAATATTTCGTACATGTGCTAACCAAATTTCTAGGTACGAATGTACTCAAATGTAAGGAAGGCATGAATAATAGAGCGTATCTGCTCAAAATGGATAATGATTTAGTGGTATTTGCGACGCTACCCAATTTAGGTGCTGGGCCAGCCTTCTATCATAAGTTACTAATCGGAAAGCGTCCTAAAGAACTCGGCTGCGAGGTGCTTAGCGATTATTATTTTGGGCAAGGCGCTGCACGTACGTGATCGCGCTCTTTGATATATCCAGGACTGCGATTACCGTCGTCCATTATCCGTTAATTAATTATCACAACATGTCAAAACGAAATCATTTACCCTAGCCATGTCCGTCACGGGCCAGCCGCTCAGCCCCTGCCTACCCAACGTCGCTGTCTTCTCGTATACAGATGTCACCATAGAATCTCTTCAACCTAAAGTCATTGGGCTCGGCACTACATGCTACGTGACGACCACGGACAATAGAACTGTCCTAAAGGGGTACCAGGTCTGGTTTGACGACAACCTCGTCTTTGACTACGGCGTTACGTGCGAGGAGCGCCTGGCTCGGGAAGCCACAGTATATGAGCACCTCGGCAAACATTCTCGAATCCTGACTTGCTTCGGACTCGAAGAGGAGCACCATGGTGTCCACTCGCTCCGTCCAGAGATGGCTCCCTTAGGGTGCATCCGCGCGTATATACAGAAGCACGCTGAAAACACACCTCCTATCCAACACCGCCTACAGATGGCCCTCGATGTAGCTACGGGCTTAAGCTATGTGTATTTACGAGGTGAAATGCCTTGCGACCTGTCCTGTACAAATCTCTTCGTCTTCGACAAACTACGTATTAAGCTTGGCGATTTTGTGGGGGCCCTCCTTGAAGGATTCGACTTTGAATGGGACCAGACGCACGAGTCTCGTTACCACTTACCTTCACGAGGGCGGGAGTACGACGACGTGCCGCTTATGAAGAGGGAGCTCTTCGCCTTGGGATCGGCGATATATGAAATCACAGTGTGGAAAAGATCATTTTCGGAACTGAATGATGACGACGACGACGACGAAGTAGATAACAACTATGCTAAGGAGAAGTTTCTACCACTTGACGGCAATGTTGCTAGAGACATAATTTGGAATTGTTGGGCTGAAGCTTATGCAACTGCGCAGGAAGTCGCCCATGATTTGAAGAGCTGCGGGTCGTCTTGAGGTGCTTAGTAGGATATGGTTTCTCTAGGTCTGTTTATCTGGGAGTAGCGGCAACAGAGAATTCTGCCTGATGCGACGCAATCCCCAGTAGAGCCCGAGTACCGCAACGGCTGCTTTCATGTCCAGTTAGCATTATGGAGGATGGCCATGAGTGGAGATGGAGAGCCTCACCATTCCGAATCAAGCAGGGCAAAGGGGACAATCTTTCGGGGAGTTGCTGCTGCCGAAAACTATGCTTGTGTCAAGCTCGAGATCTGGGCAAGCTAGGTCGAGCTTCTTGTCGCACGTGGTGGTGATCTTGCGGCAGGTCGTGACCTGTTTGTTCTCCGTCATTTTACACTCCCTGTATTTAAACGTGGCATTGACGTACTTGCGCATTGTTGAAGTGAAGGTCTGATTCTCACAAGTTTTGAAAGCCCTGAAAATGACTAGGAAGGGTGAGTGTTGTGGTTGGGGTTTGCGTTGGGGAATGTTTGTGGAGAACTGACCACTGCTACGAAGGAGATAATCGGTTGACTTATACTACCGCTGTCACATAAATTAGAGATGCCAAGGTGTGGTGCGACTCTCCCACCAGCATCATCTGGGCAATTATTTACCTTGGAAACCAAATCAATGATACAGTTTTTGCTAATCACAGGAGACGATGCCGTCAAACTTCGTGCAAGCAAATACAGGGCTAGGGAACTGCCCAGCTAGAATCCTTGCTCAGCGAGAATGACCGATTTTATGCATTGCCTCTTGTATGAGACACTGCCTACCTACCTACTTATGTACCTAAAGTAGGTAGAATCAAGCCATTCACGATGAATTAGAGAGAAAGTGAGTTGTAGCAAAGCTGCTCAAGGCCATATGAATGCTTGGCGATGGGGACAAACCTGTACATGTGACAAACGCCCGAAGTTTTGCCGGGCAGCCCAAAATTTCTAAGGAACCCCACACTAAAGTGCACAGAGAATCTGGTACTTCGTAGCAACTTGCAACATTTCGAACCTCAACCCATCTTTGAAATGGCAAAAACGGCACCGAACAAGAAGGCAGCTCGTGAGTAGAATACCCAGCCATCTTAGACGACTCAAATTCTAATGTACAACAGCGGTCTCCATCCATTCCCGCGCTGCGAAACGTGCCTCGTCTCCGGGAATCGACTTGGACAAATCTCTGAAAGATGTCAAACCTCCTACCGATTCCAAAAACCAACGTCCTTCAGTCCTCGCAGTCCATCAAGGCGCAGGTGTAACCAAAAAATCTAAACATGGGCGGAAATCAGTAATGAGTGCAAGAGCACGGCGGAGACATGAGAAGGGATTGGATCGTGCGGAATCGGTCATGGATAAGACGGAGATGAAAGTCGAGAAGAGCAAGGGGAGAGCGAGGACGGTGCAGGAGAGGAGTAAGGCCTGGGAAGAGTTAAACAAAAAGATTCTTGCGAAGAATGCTGCAGAGGAGGCGGCGAGGATTGAGAAGGAAAATATGACTGATGAAGACGAGGTTGAAAGCATGGAGGATGTTGATGTCCAGGGTGGAGCCGAACAGAAAGATTTACCTATGGAAGCTGTGGCACAACAGACTCCTCTCCCCGACGTGGGAGATGACGACGATGAGATTTTATAAGTCTTAGGGATTGTTCGTTATGTTTGCTGGCTTGGCGTTTTGGGTGAATAAACTACTGGAGACTGGGCAAACAGATAGCATTGCAGGGCGTTTCGCAGAGAAAATTATCGAGATCTGTAGTTGTTGTTCACCCCAAGACTCTGAAACGTTATGACTGATTCATGATATGGTTTGAGCTCTATTACATGAGTGCGAGGATTTGTATGTGGGAAAAGAAAGTTAATCTTTGGTTTAGAGGATACCTACGAAGCCAAGGTGAATATGAAAGGTTTAACAATAATAATCAAGACTATATCGACTGCCCTCATCCTTTTATGCCGATGTGGCTTTTGTAGTATTGTTGACTTATTTCCTATTTAAGGCGAATCTTTCACTCAAAGATCCCCTCGCTTATGTAATCACCTACCTCATTCTAGCGTTCTGGTGGCTTGGTTAGCCTATCAGCTCCTCGATTGCGCTAGTAGCAGGTACGTACTATTTGGCTGGGACAACCTCAGCCTTGCCGACCAGAAAACCTCGCCGGTTCGCGCTCCAGACATTCCAGATTCCAATCCCATACCACTCAGCCAACTCTTCCGCATACATCCCCCAAGATGCCTCCCAAACGCATGACCGCGAATCCTATTAAAGCTCCCAGATATCGCCCTGGGAAACCCCTCGCCGAAGAACCCTCCTCCGACTCAGAAGCCAGTTCCGAAGAAGACGCCGAATCCCCAGCCCCTCAAAGCAAACCAATTCCCGCGCCGCCAAAAGTATCCACAGCCGCAGGCATCACAAGCAATCTAAGCAAAGTCGATCTCAATGAGCGACGGAAACAAGCCATCGCGAGGGAGGCTTCGCGATTAGAAGAGGAAAAGGCTCTGAAGGCAAAAGAGGAAGAGGGATTCGTGACGGAGTCCGAAGAGGAAGAGGAATCTGGATCGGAAGATGGGAGCGAGGATGAACAGGATGAAAGTAGCGAGGAGGAGGAGGCGCCGAGGAGGGTGATGATGCGACCTACGTTCATTAAGAAAGATAAACGGAGCCAACTTGCCGGTAATGGTGGCATAGGAGCTGGCTCCAAAGATACGAAGACCGAGGAGGAATTAGCTGCAGCTGAAGAAGCAAGGCGGATAGCCGCAGCGAATGAAATAGTCGAGGAGCAAATTCGAAAAGACCTTGCAGCTAAAGAGGCGGGCAAACGGAATTGGGATGATGAAGAAGATGAGGGCGATGACGTTGATGATACCGATGATATCGATCCTGACGCCGAGTACGCGGCATGGAAGTTACGAGAACTCAAACGCATCAAGCGGGAACGGGAAGCTATTGAAGAGCGCGAGAAGGAGATCGAGGAGATCGAGCGCCGGAAGAACCTCACCGAGGAAGAGCGGAAAGAGGAAGATGATGCGTATCTAGCGAAGCAGAAGGAGGAGAGCGAGGGCAAGGGAAAGATGGCATATATGCAGAAATATTACCACAAAGGGGCCTTCTTCCAGGATGATCTGAAGGCCGAGGGGCTAGATCAGAGGGATATTATGGGCTCGAGGTTTTTGGATGATGTTCAGAATCGGGAGTTGTTGCCGCAGGCGCTGCAGATGAGGGATATGACTAAGTTGGGTAAGAAGGGCGCAACGAAGTATAAGGATCTGAAGAGCGAGGATACAGGCCGATGGGGTGTGTTTGATGACCGCCGGAAAGGCGGAGGTGGATTTGGTGCTGATGAGAGGTTTATGCCCGACAGAGATAGGGGAGGACCTGGAGCTAGTGGTTCGAATAGCGTGCCTGTTGGTGACCGGAAAAAGGTTGTTGGTGCCCCCGAGGGACCCAGAGCTTTACGGGAAGGCGGTGACAGCAGAGATGGAGACCATTATCGCCCTAGAGGGGGTAAAGCAGACAGTGCACGCTCACGATCACGGTCACGGTCAAGGTCTAGATCACCAAGTCGGCAGAGGCATAACGATGAAAGGAGCCGGAGGAAAAGATGTACATCCAGGGATCTGGATCGTTATGAGGGCGACAAGCGTCGAAGAATAGACTCTAGATAGCTAAGCAGCAGCTAGTTATCAATATGTAATATAAGCATAAACCCACACTTGATACCCTGTGGCCCGATTTAAGACCACTAAACGCCAAAGGCATCTCAACATAGCATTATCATGACTACTCATCTACTCATATCCTCAAAATATCCACACGCGCCCTCTCAAACAGCCGGTGCCCTACCATCTGAGGCGAATCTCGCTCCTCGTCCGTTAAAGAAGGTGGATATACTGTTAACTTAGCATAAGTGCCCGCACCTCTTCGCTTAGACAAATATCCAGGATTAATGGCAACAACACTCTCGACAACCTATTCGCATAGAGATAGCACATATTAGCAATCTAATAATATTCTAGTAGGAAATAAACCTGGGTGGAATACAAGGGATAAAGATATTCATACCTTGGCAAAAGGAGGCAAAGCACTAGGCACGATCAACACATCGGGCCTAACATTAACCATCTCTCCCAACTTTAAGTAACTCGTATCCAACATAGCACCTACAGGTCTACTATCCCCTGCCCCTGTTTTCGGAAGGCTCCCTCTATCAACAGGCGGGAATAGTGGGAAGAAATTCCGCTGCTCAATTAAATATTTCGGCAATCGGGCAAGGAGAGAGCTCTCTTTTAACCTGCCACCTACGACTTCGGATTGGCGGAGTTCGGTTAGAATATCTTGGGAGGAGATGCCGATGGCTATTTCATTTAGGGAGAGCGTCATAGGGTTCCCAATTATTTTAACGGATTTAGGAAGGCCGAGTTCTTTGCGCGGGGTTGGCTCCTGAGGCCAGGATACGTGTTTGCTTATTACATCTTTAACGGACGGGACGAGGAGAATAGTGATGTTTGGGTTAGATGATACCAGGGTTACCAGGGCGGAGGATATCAGGTATTTGAAGACGGTCGTCATGGTTATCGTATCGGGTTCGGCGAGGGCCTCGTCGGGGAGATCAAAGTCTCCGGTTGCGATGAGAGGATGATCGATATCGATGAAGGGGCCGACAAGAACAAGGGCATCAGCGTATGAATCCGCGGCTTGGCTGCAAAGTGCGTGGAACGGCTCAAAGTCGAGGTTATCATCTGCTGTGTATGGGCCTGCGGCAACGAGGATGTTTAATGGAGAGGGATCGGTGTCCGATTCCATGGCATTGAGGTCTCCTCGGAGTCTCTGGGTGTGTTCGCGAAGTCTCGCTGTTGCTGATGCCGCACCGCCCAACAAAGGCATTTCTAACACCTCAGTCACGGTGAAATATTCCCCAGAAGCATTGATGCCTTTTAGTGCAACGATCTGGCCCGGAAAGAATTGAAATCCGGGGAGGGAGTGCACTTTCAGGGGTATTCTCCGGCCAGCACCCATTCGTCGTGAAGTTTCTAATACCAGAGACGAGACATTAAGCTTTCCTTCCGAGGAATCGCAGGCTATTCGTCCAACCGCCACTATCTCATTTGTATTCTGACTGGCAGCACTTCCAAACGCGGAGTCCTCGAGGCTGTGGTGACCCTGAACAAGCGCCATAAATTCATCTATCCGATCATCCAGAACTTCCGAGGCCTCAGAAGATTTCATGGCCATTGGTTTGTATGCCAGCTTTTTGAAATCTGAATTGGCAACGACTTTTAGACGAGGTTCGGAGTAAGGAGCGATTGGTGGTTCTGAGACTTGCAAGTGGTCATTGAGAACCTCGACTGCTTGCCCGGCGTTTGGGCGGTCATTGAACACGATTCTACGCCTAGTCAGTTGGATATATTTGGAAGGGAATTTTATCAAGACATACGTTGCGCCGTTTTGTTCCCCTGGCTTAAATGGTGTTTTAAAATCAGGAGGACTGCTTGCTGGTTCGGCTTTGACTCTCGATATAGAGGGCGTTTCCAGTCTTCGTTTGCTGGTTGACCCGTTGGCTCTATTCGTGGCTCTAACCCTCGGTGTATTTGGAACCACGCCATCCAATCTAACCAATGTTTAGCACTCTGTGATACTGCTTATCCGGTTTACCTACATTCCAAATACATCCCCATTACTTATCACATTTCGCGGTGTAGCACCTCCACGTTTATTCGTCTGCACATGCGCTTTACTCCTGTTCTCGCGTTCCAATCCATCCTGGATATCTTGTTTGAGGTTCCTCGCAGTTTCAATGTTCAATTTCATATCGTCGGAGCCCATCTTCATGCTATATGACTCCCATTTGTACCAGAGCTCCTCCACGTCGATTGAATGTAGCCTCATAATGGATTGCATTTCGGAGAGCACGTCCGCCTCTAACGAGCGGCCCGCCGCAGAGCTAAAGCGCATCTGAAGCTCTTGGGTGTCAACGTCAGCCATGATGAACGTTTAGGTTGGGAGATATCCTGTGTGTCGTTGTCGGCTTGTATATTTCTGTGGTGGGCTGGTGTTGGGGAAACGCGTCTCGCGTAAAGAGCTTTTGGAAGTCGCGTCAACATCGGGCTTCTTATCAGCCCAAAGCTCCGAGGTAATTGTGCAACGATATATGCAAGAGTCCAACATTTAAAACCCGCATGCCGTCCTTAGTCTTCGATATCTTTGTAGGGTTTTAATTTACAATTTATTTTATATAAACATTAACACCCCTGCACAGAAGCAACCAAAAATTTACGCTGAAGAGGAGGTTACTCTAAGGCAAGATCACCACACTGTTGAAAGATAGGGTAGGTATTTGGTACCTACCTACCTACCGTATCACGATCATTACTCACACCGCTGGTCACATATCTTAATTTAATTGATTCAATTCAGCTCAATTCCGTTTAATGTCAAGGTCGATCCCAGCCTCCCAACCATCTCCAAAAACACCATTTTCAGTGCATCCAATGTGCAATGCTAATGGCTGGGCGTTAAATAAGTACAAACTCTGAAGTGTCAACTAAACAAAGGAGATGCACAGAACGTGCGCGTGCCCTTTGGGTGCAGTACATAGAACAAATTTTAGTGACCTGGCGAAAGATCTGGTATCTGAGTATGATACAACAAGAGCTTAACATGAGCATTCTTGTATCATAATCGCCGAATGGGACTTGTCAATCCCGGTGAAAGACTGCGAGAATATATGAACAAGAAAAAATGGAGCGCGAATAGATCGCGGTCCTCAATAGGGGCAAGGAAAAGGAGGTGAGTGTGGGGGAGTGAAGTGGCATGGCTATCCGTGTGCTGACCATGTCCGGTGAGCTTCTTGAAGAGCTGTTATGTGCGTTAGCAACTGGGATGTAAAGAGCAGAGCCGAGACATACCCTGAAATATCCGTCCCTGACCAGCCCGATCTTCACACGCAACCTGTAATCCCCCTCCTTCGAAGAAATCAAGTACAACACTGTTTGGAAGCTCCTGCATCTCGACATCCGGGATCACAGGCGGCCTGAACTCGCTGAGATGGAATCTTCGAGTGGCGCCGCCAGTTTGATTCTTTGCGTTCCCGCTAGTTGTTAGCGGCGCCAGAAGGAGAGATCCACGAGGGTCGAGTAGCATCGAGCGTCTCTTCCAGAGTAGACTATCAGGAAATTGGACATTAACATCTCCAATATTAATATTAGGTGTGGGGGGCGTTGAAGGATGAGGTGACATAGAAGTCGGGAAACCGTTATTCGGCGGCTCAGATTCTTCGCGGACGGTGGGAGACACTGCGTGAGATATGGCCTTACGACCCGATGAAAGAGAAGATGACATTCTTCGAAGCATTCGACTAGCTCGGTTGGACTTCTTGTCGCTTTTTTCCTCGCCAATCGAGGACGCATAGTCAGATGTTAGAGGTGCTGGGGAAACTATGTTCTGGTCGTGACTAGAAGAAGATAAACGGCTGCTAATAGACATGGATCTTTGATGTATGGGGGATGCGTGGGTAGATGGTGGGCGGGATGGAGACTTGACGGAGGGTGGCCGAGAAGGGGTCCTAAGATTTGTTGATGAGGCTGATGGGTCAAAATTTATCGACCGGCGACGCTCAGCGAACGAGGAACGGGTATCATTGATCAGGTCTTTTACTACCGTGATAGATGATCTTCGACCTTTCGGGGTGGTGTTTGTTGCCTCGGACGACGTTGACAGCCTCTTTTCTTTCGAAAGACGCCTCTCTTGGATGGTTTCCTTTGCAGGCTTGACAACTGCTTTCTGGTGGTTAATTACCAACGGAGATTGTTTGAGATCTAAAGGAGCATATTCAAAGGGGTCTTTGCCGACTTCTGGCTGTGTTTGGAAAGGTTGTGCTGGGTCTCTAATTATCCTTGCAGTGACAGAGATAGACTCAGGCCGTGATCGAGATGGCCGATCGAAGGGAACCGGACTGGGTTCAAATGCGCTAACACGGTTTTTGATAGAGCTAGATCTGTCACGGACCTTCACAGTTTCTGGTGAAGATTCGCGAGATATAGAGGGTGATGGTGTGTTCTTGGTTAACGAATTTGTTCTCTCAGCAATAGACGAAGATTTCGAAGGTCTACGGATACTGCTCTTCCTAACCGAGAAGAACGATGTGGCTCCTGCAGCAGGAGAAGCCGCAGTTGGAGCAGCGGTAGCTCCTGGGGCCGTGCTGGAGAGCTTCTCCAACGCCTTGATTCTTTGCGAAATCCCAGAACCCAGATTGACTTTCTTGGCGATGGGCTTTGCAGCCTCCTGGTTGATCCGGTTTAAATAAGCAGAAGATGCAGAAGCGGACCGTACCGTCTCATGCTTAGCGGGAGGTGTGAGTAACTGAGACTCCGGTTCTTCTTTTCGTAAAGGATTGGAGGCTGCGCGGGAAAGTCTGTGCCGCCATGTGTCCGCTTTCTTAACAGTAGGTGATAAAGGCGTCATCGGAGTCTTTGAAACCGAAACGGGTTTTGCCTCTTCAACCACTGCCGACTGTAACTCGTCCATAAGATCTTCATCGGAAGAGAAATTAGCATCAGAATTGCGGTTACTTCTATCAGTCAACTCAAGATCTGTCCGAATAGGCTCGATAAGCCCCCGTCGATTTTGGCGTTTATTTGTTATCTGGTCTGCGTTCGCTTGGTCGTCTTCCGCGGTTGGCTCCCTTACGTCAACGGAGATGGTGCTTACAATTGGCGATTTTTGAGGAGTATGGAAAGTTGACAAGAGAGTTGGTTGTGGGGTTGGCTGTGTTGGTATGCTTGGAGTTCCCTCATCGGATTGGAGGTTTTGCATGCTGAACTTCGATCTAGGGATTTTCAATTCCTTGGGTTCGGGTTTTGCGGGAGACTTCGTTGGGGCGACAGGTACTGGAATAGCCGTGGTTTCTGATTCCTGAACAGTAACTGGGATTTCCTCTGTTGGGATTTCCTCTGTGGTGGAAACTTCGACCGGAGCTTCTGCAACCTGGGGGTTTTCCGCAACCTGGGCTTCTGCAACCTGGGGGATTTCTGCAACCTGGGCTTCTGCAACCTGAGGCACTGGAACATGGAAGGTCGCGAGAGGGTGATCAGTTGCAGTTGCTATCGGTTCATCATCCTTCTTATAAGGCTCCTCTAGTGCTAATTCCGATGGTTCCGAGGAGGACTTTGATGTACTATCTTGCGTAGGTGTTGTCTGGCTTTCAGGCTCGTACGTGGTTTGTGGTAGTTGAAAGTCGGACTCAACATCCCCTATTTCTACGCCCTTCTCGTGCAATGACACAGGCTCTTGATTGTCCACATTATTAGAAATATTGTCGTCCAACTCTGGTTCCGCCACCTGAGGCGGTGGCTTGGAGTTGTCCGCGTCCTGCACGGTTTGGTCTGTGGATTCGGAAATTGACGAAGCCTTCGTTGATTCGGCATGCTCTGAAGGCCCGACAGGTGATGCTGGATATGAATCTGATCTCGTTGCGTCGGACTCGTCAGTTTTCAGGGTCGAGCTATGGCCAAATGAGATCCCGGAATCATCCCCCCTCAACATGTCATCCAGTACAGTTAAGCTGTCATTAACGTCCTTTGGCGTTCTAGATAGTCTATTCGGTTCAGCTCTTGGAGCGTCGAGATTGGTACTGGGACTTGGTGAGAGCGGTTCCACTGGATGTGGTGCGCTCATTTGCTTCTTGCGGAGCTCCAAAGCCTTCATAAGTCGTGCCTTTTCAGGAGTAATGGAAGATGTTTTGGCGGCATTCAGGTTAGTTCCTATTAGAGGCCTAATTGAAGCAGTAGGACTAGGTGGCGGTCGACCGCCGCTAGTATGAGGCCGTGAGGGAGCGGTTGCGAATGATGGTAACATGGAATCTGGTACTGGCGGGGGCGAAATAGTCATGCTAGGGGGTTCCACATTGTATTGGGACTGCGGTCTCCCAGTTCCTTTCCTGGATCCCTTTGAGAAAATTTTCAACCCAACAGGAAGTGTAGAGACTGGACGATAATGGGAAGTTGCTCCGGAAGTATGCGGCCTCCCGCTCACATCGAGTGAAGGCCTTGGTCCCAACTTTACTTTTGGCCTGCCCATTGAACTATGACTATTATAGGTGTAGAGGTTGGGTCTTGTCGACTGGGATGATTTTCGAGGTTCTGGTTCGTCGGTATGTTTTGTTGGGGAGCGTGACCGAGCCCTAGAATCGTGAGGCTCTCGAGGGGGAGGTGGTGATGTTTCGAGCTCAGCGATTTTGGCCGAAAAGGAAGTGGAAGTCGGGAGTGAATTCGTAGGAGGCTCTGGTGGAGAGGAGATCTGCACTCCGGAAACTGAAGGGGCTTTTGCAGTCACTGGGCGCTCTTCTAGAACAGTTGACTGTCTCTTTCGAGTGTCTTCCTCCTCATCTTCAGCAATTTCCATTAGCCGCCGGCCCCTCAGAGAGCTCGTTGACGAAGATGTAGACCCAGAGGCGGTATGTAACGAACATGCTGCAGAGAGTGAGGTATCTCGAAGTTCTTTAGAATTGGATATGGGAAACACGGTATCGTGAGGAGAAAATCGCTCCGTAACAGCGTTGAAGTGAACGGTAACGCGTGCTAGGGCAAATCTTAGCTTGTGTCCTATAGGAGTTTTGGATTGGGTAAATATGCTCACCCTGAACCAATCTCGAACAATCTTCAGGAATGTACTTGATAAGCACATTTCTCCTCCTATAGCGTAGGAATCCGAATAGAGGCGACGGCTCTTCGTAAGTCGCTATGGTATTCCGAATCTCCACGATGCCCCCATTTCCACGTCCTAGAAGACCCACCTCATCTCGCAAGATATATTTGAGAAGAAACCTGCAAAGATTCAGTAAGCCTGTGGTCCAGAATCCTTCGCGGTGGGCAACAGAAAAGTCCCGGGGGGGTCTCACCATCCTCCTGGCTCGGCCACAGCGGCATCGTGCGCTTCCTTGAGCTTCACATCATCCAAGCCATTCAGCGACATGGCCTTGCGATTCTACTCGACCGCACACAGTTAGATCGTGGTGTTTTGGTACCTCGAATCGTTGGTGATATTTCGGAGTTCGCTTTCAGGGGTAAGCTTGTGCCGGAACATTGATCCTCCAAAGCAGCTTATCTGCTGCCGACGGACTCAGGGCATTAAAGCTCCCATAAACCTGGCGGTGGGCGAGGTTTATGCTATTAGTATTGGTGTTGCAATTGCAATGCGATTGCAATGCAATAGCAGAGACTGTTGAGGGGACTGTGTCTGCTGTCAAGGTTTCCAGATCGGCCAAAAAGATGCTTCCTGTTCCTGCCCTGGACCCCTGCGGTGCCACTTTGGAGCTTAGCGCGCGCGTTGAGAGGCGTGATTGACTATTGCTTCTTCCGCCAGTGTTCCCTTTAAGGCTTAAGCTGTTGTGGCCGTTCGACGACGAGTTGTTCGTGAGTACGTGTGCGGACGATTGTTGTCAACGTTCAGCTTCGAAGCCTTCGTTCGGGATGCAGAGTACCGCATGAAACTCTTTGCCCGCACTCTTCTCCAGGTTGGCGATGGATCCGCTTTGACCGTCTGTTCTCGCCGTGCGGTTTGGACGCACAGAGCTCCCCGCTCCGATTCAACTGGACAATAGAGCCAATAGAACATGACGTTTGAGAATATATCCGCTGCGTTGGATTGGGAAGGATGGGCGACACCGCCACGTTATTGAAGAGTTCCTCTGATGATCCCTCGAGGCAGCATCACGGTCTGGATTCTATCATATTCGCAGGGGCTGGGCCCGATATTGGCACTACTGTAAATGATCCAACACAAGCACAGACTACTGTCTCCCGCCGAGGCCATTCACGGCATCTCGACACTCTTTTCCTCATTGCAGCCAATAAAACAAACCAATCGTCTTTGCGGCCGAAATATAGGTCTATCTGAGTCTAGTCTATATGGGTTGTGGCTGTAGTGCAACATAACACAATGGGAGTTCCATCTAACAAGCTAAAATATAGAATAATAAGCAAAATGATGGCGCCTCTGTCTAGCACTACCCAAGCCACCATAATACTTTCTGACTGCAAATGCTCTCCCAAAACATACCTATCACAGCCATAACCAATCAAGTAACACAGAGGTGCGTTTATAAATTCACCTTCGATACACGATTATAATCGCCTTCGCTTCGATCTTTCCATTGACTCCATGGTGGTTCACGGGGCTTCAATCGTGCTTTTACACCTGTGAAGTGGCAGTCACCGGCAACATCTGATATGAAGGTCCCGATAACTCGGTGCCTTTCTTGCTAGATGTTTGTGCTGAGCTGCCTAGTTTGAGTACATTTAGGTTTCTCCTTCGCTAGTTTCTGCAGCACACCACCTATATCTCCACGTTGGCTGCCGAGCTGTTGGCTTGCCTTTGGCCCCTAAATAAAACGTTTTTTCGGCGTAAGTTTCCTCGGCCAGTTCATCTTCCGGGAATGATGGAACCATGGACATCTGGATATCTCCATCGGCATCCATTTCATACAATTTCCGCATGTTGGAAGTGTCTGCAGCTGTCGGTCGTCCTTGCGCCACTATGGACTTTGCTTTCGATTTGATAGTCGGAGCCTTAAGTTCAGAACGCTGCTTGGAGGACGAAGGTCCCACTAGTTTGAGGTCTTTTGCTTCTTCTGCTTCACAGGTAACTCTTCATTAGTAGTATTTTATTTCCGCGTCTTTGGAGTAAGTTCCCGCTAGCCGTTGGTAGCTTCAATAGAATTGCTTCCCATTCAATTTTCCTCAGCTAGTCCCGTACAGCATCCCTCGTCCGTCCTATAATTATCCACCGATCTGGATTTGGTTTTCTCCTTCCTGCCCATGGGGCATCGGACGATACTGTCCCTGGACCCATACTCTCCACTTGAGCAGCAACTGCAAGCCGTTCATTAACCCCCACTTTGGGTGCTATGATATACCAATCGGCAGGCCGTTCTATGCTACCTTTGGGAATTTCTTCTGGAAGGGACCTCAAGAGATTTAATTTGGTTTTCTGTTCAGCGCTCTTCAGGGAGCTCCAAATGTATCCGGGAGAGCCTTGTTCCTCGCCTTGAACTCTTTATTTAACTCCATTTCGACTGCTTTAATCTCCCGCAACATTTCCTTTTTCGACCCAAATTCAAAGCTGTAGGCCGTTTATAGCCCAGGATTGGTTCAATCCACTGAATGCGCATTGTGCCTTCCAGTAGCGCGCCGGCTGCTTCTGAATTTCCTTTGGTTTGCTGCTAACTTTGGTAGATCTCAGAGGGACGGGTTTCTCGGGCTTCGGATCGTAATACCAGTCGTCTTTGCGTAAATAAGTCGTCCCGCAACAAGATAAATTGAATGGGCTTATGGATATGTTCGAGTGGAGGAACGACAATGGGTATATTAGCCCCGCCATTGAGCGAGAGCTATGTATTACTAATATCAATTCATCTAATTCATTTTCAAAGGGGACTTCCTCGACTTACGCCACTTAGAAAAATTATAGTTTGCTGTATTTCCTCCAATTTCTATGCGTGCCTAGGCAAACCATCAATCTTTAAGGTACCCATTCCGGAGGCAGGTAGTAGTTGTGACAACCTCGGGATACATCCGAAGAGCATGTTACTCGAGTTAGGATAGCGCGTCGCGACTGACATGGGTTAGTCTCTAGCGTTGCCGAGACCAAAAAAGTTGACGAAGCCAAGTTCGAAGGTGCTCCAGCCTGCATCTCCATACCAAACTCTTGCCCTCAACCGTCGCCCAGCTCTATCCTACGATACATACCTCGCAGTCGCAATACATACTATACACCTTGCGGGATTTACAAGATGGTTGAATTAGTCGAAGTTGAGGACGAGTCCTTCGAGACAAAGCAGGCTGGCCCTCAGGAGAACGAGGACGACTACTACACTGACACTGGTTCGTGCATCGTGCGATCAATACCTTCTTACTACAGCTAACATCCTTTGTAGATTCGGAGATATCTACGGATGATGAAGATGATATTCCCGATGAAGAAACGCTCGCAGATCGTCTGGCTGCGCTCCGCGACATAATCCCCCCGACCACCCGATCATACATTTCTCAGAAGGTTGATACAACCACAAGCTGGATTAAGTCGGGTATTTTCCTGAGTGGCAAGACGCTCTGGATTGTTAGCACGAGTGCGCTTCTATTAGGCGTGCCTTGGGCGTTGGCGTTTGCGGAGGAACAACAAGTGGTTGAGATGGAGAACGAGATGAAGATGAGAGAGCAAGGCACTCGTGAGGTAAGCATTATCATTTAATTGACGACCGTTTTTATCTAACACAGGCTGACTCAATGGAACTAGATTCTCACCCCTGATCAATCAACAGCAGCACAAGTGAGCGCCCAATTGAATGCGCAAGCAAAGCCAGCGCTATAATGATCAAATAATGGCTGTTTATTGCGAGCATGGGGATATGGAATAAGAAATAAAAGGGGGCATGCTAGCATTGTATATCTATGAGTGTTGGGTTGGGAAGGTTGCTCTACAGGCATTCGGGTTACAAAGCCTGTGTTGTAATTATAGTCATCTCATCTCGGGAAAAGGTTTCTACAAGTACGCTATTCGTAAACTTCCCTACTCCGTGTAGGCGTGATTGAGATGGAATGCTTTCGATCAGCACCCCCGCGCATTGGTATGAAAATGGGTTTGGTTTTGCTGTCTCACCACCGCCAGTTTCTAGCGAACCAGTCAAACTGTACACAACTGTTTCCAATGCCGGTCCGTAATGTAAGGCTTCAACTTCTTTGCGTCATGAGAGGCCGCGAGCAAACACCAACTCATTCCTCACATATCGCAATAACACGTTCGTGACATGCATTTCGCCCAGTCTAACGATGCCCATCTCACTCTCTCGCCATGGGTCTATGCTACCCATAGCGAAGATGCGGGCGAATGATAGAGATCGATCGCGAACCCGTATTGATACGTACCCCCTAGCTAATAGCTCACGAAAAAAGGAGAGGAGGTAAGTGCTGCACCAGTATACACTGAGATTCGAATAAGTTTTGCAATATTAATACGTTAGTAGATGGCCTCTCGTTCTGAGGTTTTGGAAAGGCTCCATTCATGGCAGTAGGTAGCCCATCGAGAACCGTATACACCCAGTAATCTAACCATACCTCTCAGCTATCATATTTCCTGTTTCCGTACACGCTCTCCTGGCCGCATTTATCGTCTATGTCAACCAGCGTACCAATAATGACTTTAACCTCCCGAGCAGCATCGTGAGCCCCTCTCCCTCCGGAGTTGCACAGTATCACGTGCCTGACAATAATTTATAGATACCTTCTCTGTCGATTGTGGTCGGTTTGATGCTCGTGTTTCGCAATCAAACAGCGTATTCGCGGTTTTGGGGTGGCCGCTGTGAACTGAATATAGTTACGACAGCAATCCGATGCCTTTCCCGAGAGCTCTTGGTCCTGGTACCGGCCCCCCAAGCGTCTGGGCTCCATACAGTATTATCCAGCGACAGCATGCTTCCTCGGAATATCAGAGCGCAAATGATCTCGCGCGAGCGAGATGCGAGTCCATCTGTTGAACGGGAACCGGAGCTATCGAAGGCTGATGAAGCTAGGACGATTGAGACGGTCAAGATTTTGATTGCGATGCTTTACACTATCAAGAACCATTTGAGGGCAGAATGGGGAGTAGCTCTTAGCCCTGGGACCAGCCTCACGGAAGATGGACAAGATGCCACGACGGAGGAATATAAAGATTTGCTACCCACCGGATTGAAAGGGTACGAGCATCGGGGACTCGGTTTAACTCTCGAGTTGGCAACTTTTATTGAGAAGTTCATTAGCGAAGGCGTAAAGAAGTGAGTTCCAATCAGAATAGCCTACAGCTAAGCACTGTAATATTAATATTTTTGATTTAGGGGATGGTTCCATAATGCCGCCTCCTCAAGAATGCTCTCACAACTAGATGATTTGATTAAAGCATATGGAAATATGGAGGTCATTCGCCTGGTGCCGATACCCGTCGCTCATCTGCAAGTCCTCTCCGCTGTTCTCTGACACAAACTCTAATTGTTGAGGCAGCATACATCATAAGCAAACGTTGGCCTTATTTTGCGGGATCCTCCCTTTCGCCCTGGCTTCTGAATTGGACTGGTGGGCTGTACCACTGGTGGCATTCGTTGCGTTTACATTGTAAGTCTCCAGTCTGAGTGCTACTGATTAATATACAATTACTGACGATCCACCAAGATACGGAATAGAAGGCATTGCCCAAACATACGAGGATCCATTCGGTGTAGCCAAAATTAATATAGACCTGGACGGATTCGTTGCAGATGCACGAAAAGAAGTGGAGGTTCTACTCACTGCCTGGCAGACCCAAGGAGCCGGCAACGGAGGCATGTTCCGCCCTCGCATTGGAGAGTCGCCAAAGTCGGATAACAGCAGCATGCACTACACCGACTTGGTTAACGAAAATGGGCAGAATTTGGCACGAAGCCAAGTCAGGGTTGTGGTTAATGACGACGACAGTGGCAGGTTGCGAACGAGGATGGCGAGCGTCGTTAGCCCAGGGACAGTAGTAGAGGGTAGCGAATACTTTAGCGCTTAGCATATAGAGTTAGAATTTAGAATTTATTCTGTATACAAACTAGGAAATTTTCACAGGCCGTAGGATCGATTTCCCTTTAGGACTAGTAGTCCTAATCGAAATAGACCCGAACAACCTCGAACCAACGGGCCCATGCGGACGTTCATCTCTGCCTACCTAAGATACCTGTAGGTAAAGTTCCGGTGGCAGAACTAAAAGTGGTGAGACGTCGAAACGCAACGAACCTGGACGCCGCCTAGCATAGGTAAGGTACCTAGGTACCTGATAAAGATGGCAGAATGAGAATCAAAAAGTGGTGAGTCTTGAGGCTTGAGTACAGTAAGGTATTGATGGGGCAGGTCACATGCTGTCGCGTAAAGACTTGTGAGTTTCGCCTCGCATCGCATCGCGAAATCGCGCTCCCACATCATCCCAAGTGCGTCCGATCTGGAAATACACCACCAACAAAGGATCTACTGGACTGGCATATCATTACTGGTAAGTGTCGCACATTCTAGCTCCTTTATACCCTTACTGCGACGGCCATTTCTCCACTATACTGCACCCTCCACTTTCTGTTTTAAAATCTCAAGGCAGCCCCACCCTCCCCCCATACGCTACCCAAAACTCAAAGCGTCATTGCATTCCCATCTACCTACGCATCTGCTGATTAAAACGCTACATAGTCGATGATATGGCTTCCAATCCGAAGCGCACAGATCGACGGAAGAGGCAAACGCGCCTTACTTTCGACCCAGTCGATCCGCCTGCCAACTCCTCCCCCTCCCAACTTACTCCTGCCAAAGTTCGATATGAACATCCAGATAAATCACGAACCGCAATCCGACCTCCAGGTTTATTTACGACTCGTACCACCCGCTCTGGTGAAAAGCGCCAGCCGATCCAAGTCGACACAACAAGCTATCGGGACCCGCCCACAATCTCTTCCAGTCAAGCAGCGCCAACTCCGCGCCAAACGATTGTCCAATTATCGGACGAAGATAGTGACGTGGTGACACCTCTGAAGCGCCGCAGACGACCAGTTTCAGAAGAAGAAGAGGTCGATGACGAGGATGATTCTGATATCAGTCCACATCCTGCGAAACGGCTGCGGAAGTTTTTAGAAGAGCGTGACGACGACAGTGATAGTGATTTGCCATCTTCGAGTGGGCTTACATTCAGGAATAGGAGGACAGCAACTCCCGGAAGTTCCGATGCAAATGACCGCTACACCCGACAGAATAAGACCAAGAGACACAGAACAGAGAAGGAGAAACAGCTTGAAAAACTGAGGCGCAAGCGTGCAGGCGAGAAGGACCCTGAGCTGACTCCTTCGGAGTCTGAATCCGGTGAAAGTGATTCAAACCTCGTGGAGGCACTTTCGGAGTTCGAGGATGAAGAAATGGAGGAGGAAACAGTAGAAAAGCCCAGAACCAGCCCCAAACCTCCTCAACCGGACAAGGATGGTAGTGACGAAGACGATTTCATTATTGAGGACGATGAAGAGAATCTTGGTGTACCTCACCACGCTATTCCCCTCGAATTCACATATGCCAACAATAAACCCGAAAAGGAACATTTCAAAGATGTAGTGGAATGGCTCGTTCACAAGAAGCTCAACCCAGCCTTTCCTAGCCGGGACCCAGTCTACGTGAGAGCTTTTGAAAAGCTTAACCAAAAGCCCGCCATTTTACGAAGCAGCAAATATGGATCCTCACAGTGGACGGCGGATTTCAATGCCGCCCTAGACGCTCGCCCCGTCTTCGAGGAGAGACGATTGGGACCTGGTGAGGGCTTAGCACTACGGGGGGAAATCAGATGCGAAGCATGCAATCGCGGGAGCCACCCAACGAGTTACGCTATCCAGTTTAAGGGAAAGGCTTATGATAACCATACCTTGGAGGAGCTTCAACAGGAAAACGACAGTGATGATGAGTCAGAGTGTAACGATAAGTCGGGGTCGGAGTCCGACAGGAGCAGAAGTGTAGATGGTACTGGCCGTCATCTTCCAAGTGAGGAAACAGAATGGCTCGCTGGACGGTATGTACTCTGCCGACTTTTGGTCACTGGAATTAAAGTGTACTCTTCCACTAACCTGTCTGTGCTTCCAGATTCTGCAGAGACAAGGCCAGAAAAGCACATCTCCTTGCACATTGGAAGTATCACCTCTACGAATGGGTCCTAGGCACGTTGGAGGCTGAAGGGGAACTTGATGCCGAGCACTTGGTGAAGCGCGAAAGAATGAGGTCGTGGGAAAAGAAGAACTACGCGAATAGTGTAGTGGATCGGTGGGACGAAAATGGCCAGCTCCGAGGCTTGTATGAAGATTATAAAAACCAGATCAGTGAGCTGGAAGAGGCCAGAGAACATGGTGGCTGGGGTAAAGGCGATTAATGAGGCTGGGAAATAAAGGGTTGCAATTAGCGGGAGTTTGGAGTCGGTATGAAGATCAGTTGCTAGTATGCTACGCGGTCATGTCATGCCTTACGATTCAAGAAGATACCCCAGACCGAAATCCGGATTCTGCGCGACTTGATTACCGATGTATTAAAATGGAGATCCCATTAATATATTCTGAACGGGTGTTCTAACTCGCCCTTTCCGGGTGCTGATATAATAGTTCGGGGATCGTGCTAAATATACACAAACAGAAATCAGTCAATTCGACGGGAAGGATTATGCCATGTCCGAGAATAGAGCTATGCCCAGGCCATTCTTCCTCTTCGGGCTCGTCCCAACTTGCCCCGTCTTCTACACCATGCAGCCGAAAGCTTCCTCCCAGCAGGTTTCCACCATCGTAAGCTCCGACACCTTGGCAATCCCAGGGCAAATCGTCGAAACGACCGAGATCCTAGATAAATACCAAAATGTACCAACGAAATGATCCGGAACGTGAGTAAAGAGTGCGGTTATTATTGCTATTGGTACTTTTCATTCTACACTGGGAGAATGTCATGATGCGTTGCAATAATGGATATATAAAATAGGGATCGACAATTCGAGTCTTCGTGGTAATTTGTAGGGGAGTCTAGGCCCCGAATCGATGTCGGGTGGCAGTGCGGCCCCCCCCCACGGGCGACGGTGTTTTAGAAGTCATTCGATTCCGACAGCTTCTAGCCAGACGCGGCCACTCCAGGGCTGAATGATGAAGGGTGCAAAACATAACAATCTCTGGGCACTTCTCTGTGCATGGGGACTGTGCGCCTTCATTTTGGTCAATCAAGAGGCTCGGGTTTGCAGAGCAGGCCGGAGCCGCGGGATATCGACACGCCTCGTTTGCCCAGCCTACAGGGCCGTTTGGAAGTCGTAAGAAGGGTCATCTCCCAAGACTTTCGAGCTCTTGGTATAAGCAGTAGTCCAGTGAGCATCTATTGATAAGGGCAGCCAAGAGAAAAGGAGTTGCTTGTTGTTGCAATCCAAGACATTCGTGAACCAAGCCCCTCGTGGGTATATTGCGCCTCCTGAATCTTCGGTTCACTATTGATTCACGGGCTACTTATCTTCATCAGTATCTCTCGCTGTTTTGTGTCTTACCAGCTTTACTTCTTTCTTCTTTTCGTTTCTTCTGCACCCCAACTATCAGTGTCTCTTTCCTTACACTAATCGCAAAGTCCTGTACTATAGTATTTTATTTTATCCTATTGTCAGCTGAGCTGCAAGCGGTAATCATGAAGTCTTCAACGTCCTACCTAGTCCTTTTTGTCAATCTTTTTGTCCAATCTGCCACAGCATCATGTGGTCATGGAACAAGTTTGCATAAACGAACAGTTACCACCAATGGTCTTGTCAAGAGGGTTGAAGTTGGGAAATTTGGATATATTGGCACCCAAGGACCGTATGTCACCCAAGTCTTATCACCACCTCGGACTCGTCATCTTGGACATTCATATCAAGGATCTATTGCTGACTAGAACTCAGAGCAAACTGGCAAAATCTCGCACCGGAGAACGTTCAGTGTGCAAACGGCAGCAATCAATCTCCGATCAATATTACACCTGAGAGCAGTACGTTGGTAGAGCCTGGTTCGCTCACCATCAATATTCCAGCAGTTGAAGCAGCCGAGTTTGAGAATCTTGGGACGACGATTGAGGTTTTGATGGAGGGGAAGAACGCCAGTTCTGTTATCGGTGGCAAGAGGTAATTCCTGTCTCCCTCAAATCCCGGCCTAGCACAATATGGTTGAGTGAAGCAAAGATATGCTGATGCTAACATGTTATGGATGAACAGTTTCAGCTTGAAGCAATTCCATTTCCACTCACCTAGTGAGCATACTATCGCTGGGGAACACTTCCCTCTGGAAATGCACATGGTTCATGAAGCCGAAGGTACGAATATTTGCCCCATCTCCGTCCTATACCATCACATCACGATCCCCCTTTTCATCTACGCGTCGCTAACTCACCTACCACAGACAAGTCCATAGCCGTGTTAACTGTCCTCTTCCAACTCTGTGAGGCCAACGGCGGCAACCCGGTCATAAATGCCCTCCTCCCTTCCATTGAAGCCATCAGAGCCCCCGGCTCTGTCACCGAAACCGGTCCCATCGACTTCGCCCCTCTCATAACAGCATTGAATGCTCAACCCATGCGCATGTATCAAGGCTCCTTGACTACGCCACCTTGCACCGAAGGTCCCAGCTTCGTCATCACGACACAAACCTTGCCACTGGATATCAAGGCGTACAACATGTTTAAGAGTGTTGTGGGATTCAACTCAAGGTTTCTGCAGACGTCGATAGGTGAACCAAACGTGTTGGCTGCTAAGTAAGATATAAACGGTTTGAAGGAGTGGGTTTCGTTTGCAGCCTGGAGTTGATGGACGGATCTTAGACACCTGGAAAAGTAATAGCGAAATTTGGAAATAATTTGCCAAGCTCATTAGCTAGTATTGTGATAGTGATAAAAGAGAAGTGAACAATGTTGTTCTTACTGTACTTCGTAGCACTCAGTGTGAAAACAAGGGAAGCTTACTCCGTGGGATTTGGCCGCAATCTGACATCGCACCCAAACCTCGGCTGTGGTCTTGAGGCGTGGACAATGCTTACGAAGTACACCTTCTAGAATGGTTGTCTAGCGCTTACTAACATTCCATTCCTTGATAATATGATCATCTTACCTCCCTACCTACCTAGATAGGTAGCTAGGTACATTGCAGCAGACTGACTAGCCCACTTCTCATGCTTGATATTGCACGTTAGCCAGTCCATTGTTCGCATCTGCGATTTTGAGGGACAAGTGGAGTAAGTATCTAAGGGTATGCTATGCCACCACTATTAGGGCAGTAGCCATAGCGATACAGCACTCAATAAAAGCATCCTTCTTAAGGAGTATACAATACTTCCCAGAAAGGACAATTCGCTACTATACGGCAGGCAGACTTCCGACGCTCTCCGCAATGATCTCGAACTAGGATTTTGGTCACAATTGGTCACACTCCGGGCGTCCACTTGGTGCACGAAAGCTCCTTCGGAGCCTTGGATGACGTGGCTGGGTGAGATTTGGCAGATATGACATAATACCATTGGTGGGCGAAGTTCCGACAGTATTAGAAGTCGTAATAATAACGGTCTGTTAGAACTTTTGACTTGAAGATGGGGAGTTTGAGGGGGCCGACCCACGTGAAATAAGTAATAACTGGTAATGACCGAGCAACTGACTATTGCGCCTCATCCGTCCTAGTGAAGGAATCGTCGCAATCAGACCCGTAAGCAGTAACTTCACCGGCCAGTGTGATCACCTGAAAGGCTGAGCTAGGAGACTACGCCCCAACGCGGACTGTTTATTGCTGTTCTCCGAAGCTTCCCCGCAGAAGAATCCCACGCTGGGCTCCTTTCTCTCGGCCTACCAGACCCTACACTCCCTTACCCAGCTCTTAACACGCCAACCGAGCCATACACCGTTCCGATAGCCGCCTGGCCCGACGCCAATATGCCCTCGGTGGGTTTATCGTTATTGGACATGCAACATGGCGGCTCCATCCTCTTGGTTTAGCTTGATTTTCTCCACTACTCCACCTTTTCAATGTACGGGGAAAGGACGAGGCAGTCGCGGCTGGAGCTGGAATGGAGAGCAGAAAATATTACCGGCCAAGTCAAGTAGCTGAGCTCTCCCAAAATGTCACCGTCATCCAGCTTGCTCTCGTTGTTTTCTATATCCGCTCCTCAAGATGAAGACCTCTGATATCCTCCTTCACTTGAGTGCTGCTTTCGGCGCCTCTGCCGCATCCATTGGGGGTTTACAAATCCACGAGAGGGCTTCAAGCTGGAAAGTTGGCCAAACGGTGCAAACGAGCAGCGGTCCAGTTTCCGGCCATGCTGCCACTAATAGTAAAAACAACTCGGGGGTCTCAGAATATCTAGGTATTCCTTTTGCACAACCTCCAGTTGGGGACCTGCGGTTTGCTGCTCCGGTCAAGTATGCGGGCAATTCCAGTATCAATGGCACATCCTTCGTAGGTTACCATGCAACCCCGTCCTTTGATAGAAGCTAATATGGCATTGGCAGGGCCCATCGTGTCCAGTGAGGAAGTCCAATTCCAGCTCAATCCCCTCCGCAGATGTTCTTGAGGCTGCAAACCTTACCGTGGCTGGCCTCGCCATGAACACCATCTTCAGCGATTTGACACCCAATTACAGCGAAGATTGCTTATATGTAAACGTATGGACGAAGCCACAGACAGGAGACACGAAGAAGGCAGTTCTGGTTTGGATATATGGAGGCGGCTTTAGCAGTGGGAGCACGTCGTACGAAGGATATAACGGAGCAAGCATTGTGGAGCAGGAAGATGTTGTGGTGGTCTCTCTGAAGTAAGTGGCCTATGTTACTTTTGTTATTCATGCAGATGTACTAACAATTAGCAGCTATCGCTTGAGTATTCTGGGCTTCCCGGGGAATCCCACTAGCACAAATAACCTCGCTCTTTTGGATCAAAGGCTTGCGATAGAATGGGTTAGGGATAACATTGAGAATTTTGGAGGTGACAAGTCGCGAATTACACTCTTCGGCCAGTCAGCTGGAGGCGCTTCTGTCGATTACTATTCTTATGCATGGAATTCGGATCCAATTGCTGCTGGATTCATCCCGGAGTCTGGCACGGTCTTCAGTTGGGGTCTACCAAACGCAAAGTCCGTGAGTGCTGTGGCTTGGTTCAACGTTACGACAAAGCTAGGATGTGGCAATGCCTCGTCTGACGCCGCATCAGTCCTTTCTTGTATGCGTTCAAAGGATTATGCTTCGATCTTGAGCGCAATACCTTCCGCAACTGGCACCACCGCAATCTTAGGCTTCTTCGGGCCCACGGTCGATGACACGGTCGTATTCTCCAACTATACAGACCGAACCCCAGCAAAGGTTCCTGTCCTTGTTGGCAGCAACAACTATGAAAGCGGCTACTTTAGGACACAATTTGCTCTGGCTGGCATAACCTACCCAGATGTGTTTTGGGATATTTTCAACCTCCAGGAATTTACCTGTCCGACAGGTCTCCGCGCCAACGCCAGCGTATCTTCTGGAAATCCAACCTGGCGCTATCGCTACTTTGGTGTTTTCCCCAACACTGCAATATCGTCCGAGGCCGGTGCATACCATTCTGCCGAGCTCCCTATTCTTTTCGATACTGCACCCACAATTCCAGCCAATACGCCCGAAGAGGTGTCGATTGGACAATACATGCGTGGTGCCTGGGCTGCTTTTGCGAAGGACCCGGCAGAAGGATTAACAAAGTATGGCTGGCCGTCCTATAACGCTTCGGGGGATACTTTGATCAGACTGGCATATGACAATGTTACCGGCACAAATGCTGTTAACCCGTCCCTGTATGATGCCAATTGCAAATACGTTAACGTATCAAATACGGATCCAAATGCATACACTGGACTAGCGACAGCTATTCCTACAGCCACTGCCACGAATATCCCCACAGCCTCAGGGACGAATGCACCAGCGGCTAGTACATCAAAGAGTGCAGGAAGCAGAGTCTCATGTTCGTTTGCTATGGCGATAGGATTCGTTGCAATGTGGCTTCTGTGATTTTGGGGCTTGATGACATAGCTACAACGGGGTTGCAGCCACTAATACTGAATTATGAATAAATATATATATACAATTTCATCATCAAAATCAAATTTGCTCTGAACCAGTAGAAACCATCTCTGACCCAAACATAATTCCCTGCTGACGCCCCCAAACAATGTGCATTGAGAAATTCATATCACGTGATATCAATAACCGCCGGAACCATCCCGAAATCGCTTAGCGCTTATCCTGTTCCAATCGGTTTGATGTTAAGTCAAGGTACGGAGATCCTCTCAGGGAGCGTCTCATCTCATCATCTACTCCTTCTTTGCCATATTTGGCCTGAAAATCCAACCAGGGCGGAGCGCATCTTACCTCCAGGCTGTATTAATACTTTTTCAATGTAAATGGGTAACTACCGCCGCCAAAATTCATGAACAGCTGAGTGAGACGCGGAAAGTGCAGCGTCAGCATCCTTACTTAGTATCACGTGTTAGAACGCCGCAACGACAAGCTCTTGGGGGGCAGCAAACTGGGGCCAGGGCCTTAGGTCCACATTAGAAGAAAGTTCGAAGCCTTGGGAAGGCTGGTCGGGCGAAGAAGCAAGCAATGGCGACTAGCAATGGAGGGGGACGAGCGAAGGAAGGCAAAGGACCAGGCAATGCTGGAATGCCCATCAGGAGAGAGGACACGATAACGCCAAATCCGCCTGGCATACTACGCGATCCAGCGGTAACAAGAGCGAGGAAGTTCAACACGGACATTCCAGAGATCCTTCCTCACGAAAGGGTGTTTCCTATTCAGATTGGAAGTGAGTTGTTCAGGTTAAGTGGGGCAAGTATTAGCTCTGATGGTATGTACCCTGTTTCCTTTCCTTGGGAAGACGATCCTTAGAGCGGTTTTCCGTGAATGAAGACTGAGAAACCTAGAGCACCCTCATACTTTTCCCAATTTTTTCAGTGTCAGCTGAAACAAGCCGAGGAGAATGGCGATGATTCGAATGCCATACGGACGCTGTATATCGATCGGGATCCGGTGACATTTCAAGACATCTCGTTACATTTACAAGGCTATCATATCAAGCCCACGGACGGGAGCCATTTTGTGAAGTTATTTGCCGATGCGCAGTTTTATAGCTGTAAGAAATATTCTATTCTCGGTCTACGGTACGTGCTAACAATCGGAAGTACCACGATTGGTATCTCAGCTCTACGAAGAGAGTATCTTTATATCGATTGGACATCGAGATTTCCAGATTCCGCGAGATATATTTTCAGACCCAGGCAACAGCCCCAATTACTTCTCCTTGGGCTTCGCTGTATTCTTTAGTACGCCAGCCGAAGTATTTCCCGGCCTCCACCGCGATGGTCTTCTTCGACCCCCCTCCATCCTACCACCTTCAATACCCAATCGCTCCGCCGACGTCTTTGCCCAGCTAGTGCAACTTCTACGCGGCTATCCATTACACATCAAAAATGAAGACCATCGCGCAGAACTACTCCGTGATTGCAGATATTTCCATCTCAAGGGCCTCGAGCAAAAGCTCATCCGCCACTCCATCTCATTCAACCTCTCACGCAAGAAAGAAGAAATTACTCTACGACTAGAAGACGTCCGGCAATCAGGCATTTCAGTCGTTGGGGATCAGTCTCAAGCAGCCCCGCCTCCTCCGGCAAACTCCGTGTACGACATGCAGCATAATCCACAGATGGGTTTAGTCGGGTACGTAAATTATGCTCGACCATTCGTGGACACCAAACCATACGAGTTGGTTCTAGAGATAGGCGGCGAATGCACAAGGTTGCATTTCAAGTCAGGTTTTGATTCAGGCTGGCCAGCGATCCGCGCGGAGTTCTTCGGTGATTGTAAGACGAGAATAAGTAGACTCTTTGAGGTTATCGCTACGAAGTTGAATTTACCTACCAACCAACCGTTGGGTCTGCTCATGAAGAAAGGAGGCGCGAGTTCGCAGCCTGCGAGCCCTGGGAATACTCCGCTTAATGAGGGGGACTTGGTGCGTGTGGTGATTGATGACGATTCATATATAAGGTTGGATGGGAGGGAATGGTCGGGCCGCGAGAAGGAGAAGGAGGAGGATAGTAGCGTCGCCAGCCTAAATCTTGATGATGAGAATCCTAGGAAGAGGAGGAGGACTGAGGATGGTGGCGTTATTAGGAGGTTTGCGGATGAGAATCAGTCGTGGATTGTGAGGTCGGGACAGTGGAGACTGAGGATCAAGAATACCGCTAGGGGCGGGAAGGCGAGTGTGGAATGTGTGCTTGTTGCTGTGATGTTGGATGCGTTTTCGGGGGAGTTGGGGAGAAATGCTCAGAGGCAGTTCCTTGGTGCATGACCTGGTGGTTTTACTCGCCATTAACGTATTTAGTGCTTAGATAACTGTATTTAACTGTGTCAACATTTGACAGTTGTTAGACTTTCCAATAGTCAACTTACATGAATATTAGACCCCTTCCCTCTGCCCTGATATCGCCAGTGCCTTTACCGGAGTTTTCCCGTTTACTCTGGTCAACGTCAACGGCTCACGGACGTCATTCATCCACACACCAGAACTCTACTTCCTATCTATTATTATCAGTACTCATCTTCGCAATTTATCTCACTGCGGCACATTAAGACTACTATGCCATAGACGGAAATGCACATCTCTCTCGAAATGTCTAAAACGGGGGTTTGAGAAGAGATGCAGTCGAAATCAGGGCCACCACCCCCATTTTTTCCCTCCACCTCATCCACCACCAAGCGTAAGATCAGCACATTTGAAAGATCAATCAGTCCTCCGGCTTTAAAAAGGAAAAGGCCTGTATCCCGTGACGGTATCAGTGCTACCTCTTCTACCTCTGCTTCTGCTCTTACTCCTCGCTTTTCGGAAGTTTCCCATGCATCCTCACGGGAGGTTGTTGAGAAAAGCGGCGATGATGAAAAAAGACGAGAAGAAGTAGGCATGAGAGATAAGAGCACAGAGATTAACATATTGTCCTGGAATGTAAATGGACTTACACATCTCCTCCATAAATCAATGCGGACAATCACATCTTTTTTCAGCACTACTTTTTCGAGGAAGAAAAGGGATGGAGAATTATATGACTCCGAGGATGAGAGGATGGAACAAGAGGAGGGACGACGTGGAAATGGAATACCGCCCATGAGAGGGTTTTTAAAGAGGCACCATTGGCCGCATATTGTGTGTCCCCAGGAGGTTAAGATTGCTCCTAGTGAAAAGGAGAGAATGGAAAAGGCCCTGGAGAAGGCTGCTAATTTTGAGGAGGATGGGAGGGGGAATGAGACCGTTGGTCCAAAGTATTATGTGATTTTGTCATTGCCTAGGGATCAGTATAATGCAAAGGGGTTCGGAGGACGAGTGCATGGTGTTTGCTCGTTGGTACGAAAGGATCTGGAATGTTGCGGCGGCATCCCCGAGAAAGCTATGGAAGCAAAGAAGAGGGTAACTACGAAAGGTGTAGAATGGGACCTCGAAGGTCGCGTCCTCATTACTGAGATCATAAACCAAGATTCCACAGGTGACAGTGAAAGGAGAAGGGAAAGCCTAGTAGGATGCTGGAAACTGGAAGTAATCAACGGATACTGGCCCAACGGGACCACCAACCCCTATCGGTCCCCAACCACGGGTGAAATATCCGGCACCCGCCGTGATTTCAAAAGGAGTTTCTACAAACGGATGCTAACCCAAGTCCAGACCTATCAAAAGGATGGCTGGCACGTCTTTCTCATCGGCGACATGAATATCGCTCCTCAGCGTATCGATGGGTTTCCCAATCTTCGCTTGGGCGTTGAACATGTGCGGAATCGGGAAGACTTTAACAGAAAATTCCTCTCGGGTGATAACCCCAACGGGATGGGAGGTGTAGATACTTTCCGCTGGATTAGGGGCCAGCTGAAGAAGTATAGCTACCATGGGGAGAGAGCTGATCAATGGGGAATGAGTTGTGATAGAGTTGATTTAGGGATTGTGAGTCGTGGAGTTGTGGAGCGCGACGCGTTGGTTAATGCTGATATATTGGAGACTGTTGAGGAGAGAGGTGGAAGTGACCACGTGCCTATTGGGGTTGTTATTGATGTTGAGAAGTTGGCGAGGGTATCTAGGTTAGGAGAGGCTGTGTCTGACCTCCAGATAGGTAAAGTTTGAGGCAGATGTTGATGGCTTGTGGATAAGCGGATGTATAGTTCCTCTGCTATGCTTACGAAGAGACGAGAATGAGCGGAATTCGACGGGGGCATAAGTTGATAGCTGGTATGCTGTTGTTCTGTTCCATGGTATGTATCGTGACTAAAGAAGTGTAGCAATACGAGGCATATACAGTGGTATAAAGACTTCACTAGCCTTGTCCATGCTACAACCAAGAAGCAACTGCTCTACAAATGAAAATATAAGACTATACAATGCTAGCATAGAAGCCCGGGTCATTTAGAGTTTCGATGCTACTCTCACGGTGGGTTGCACCTTCCCCCCCCCATAACCGAACCCGTACTATATAACAGCCTTTAAGCCTTATACAAGAAAATAAAAACGCCCTGAGCCCCTGTGGTTCAGTGGTCTGCTTGGTGGAGAGCCGTGCGCTTACCTTCAACCCTAAGCACAGTTGAGCTGGACGTAGTGAAAGCGAAATCCATCATCTGTTACTGGGTGTTTCGGGGAGAGTTGCGAACTTCAACGATGAACTGGGTAGTGCGTAAGCAGCGTGCAGGGACCCTTGGAGTGTCCGGCCGGTGGCCTTCTTTTTTTTTAAATAATTCTTTTTAATCTATTTACTTTTTTGTTGTTGTTGTTTTGTAGAGCGTGTTGTTGTCGTCGCCTCTTGTAAGCGAAAAGGGGGCGGTGAATGTAATTTGTAGGTAGTGGCCGAATATTGGTGCGAGGCAGGAGCTGCTCGGTTGCTGATTTGGTAACTGGGTTCAATAACGGAAGAAGTTTGATAGGAGATGAGGTATTCTATTTTTGATACTATCTAGGTATGGATGGGGAATTGGAACGAACGTTTGGGTTTAGTAAAATCATCGCAAGGCAAAATACAACCTAGGGAGAATTTGGCAGATAAAAGTTATACAAAAGTAGGTAGCCCTCGTTCGTTGCTACTATATCCTACTTAAGCCTGGGTTCTAAGTACACCTTACCATTCTAGTTATTTTACCTTGGTGTCGTATACTTCGCACGGCCTTCGATAAGAAAGCCAAAAGATATTTTGGGAGTTCTAGAGGGACGACGAGAGATATTGGAAGGAACTGACGGTAGGAACGCTGGTACTCATGAGGGACGACCAAACTATACCTACCTTCGGCCTAAAATATGTTTGGGCATAGGTTGACTAGTAGGCGTTTCCTTTCACATTAAAGTATGTACCTAACAGTGAGCGGTATATCAATTCTCATGATCTGTATTGAGCTTTTTGATTTTTCGGTAACATCACCGATCTATTTTACATTACACAACATACGGTAATCTACTCTATCTCTCCATGCTGAACTCCGGTATAAACCCTCATATCCCTAACAAAATGCCATGAGTGAAATAGTGTGCCAGTATTGTGCTTCTGGCCTTAAGCTGTAGGTGTCATCAGGTCATTCATTGCTATGCAATCTCAACATTCATATTACTGCGCTGGAGGTGCAGGACCGCCACCAGGTCTACCACCTGGAGTCAAGTCCCTTTGTCGTCCTTGGCCCTGCTGTCCGCCTGTTGGAGCTTGTCTACCGGACGGCGAGCTTGAAAGTGGGTGTAGTTGCATTCCTTGACCTTCCGGCTGCGACTGTTGAGTGGGAGGATAAGTTAGGTATGTGGGGCGGTTAATTTGTTGCTGTCGGACATATTCCGAACTATCATACCCCCGCGAGTATAATGGTCCCGTTGAATTGGTTTGATGGAGTCCCAACTCCGCCTCCTCGTCCACGACACCTCGTCCGCCATAACCTGACCTTGTTGGACTAGCAGCCGTCACGCCGAGGGCTGGTTGACCTTGAACTTCTGCAGGAGGGATGGTGTCGCCGGCCTTTCGGCGCCCACGGGAAGATTTGCGGTGCGCCAGACCTCCGTCGAGCCCTCCCACTTCACCGGTGCGATCCCGCTCCTCGCTGGTTCGGGGAAGATGGACAGTCGGATCACCCCTTCCACTGGACCAGCCAGCATCAAGGTGCGCCGCATCAGCGACTGGGTTGCGAGAGTTGATGGCCTCAGCTGCCTTTGCCTCTCCAACTAAGGCATCATCACTGTCGGTCTTGGGAGGGACGGGAATGAATCGTGCCTCATTCTTGTCCTTTTTTGATTTTTCTCTTGCTTGAGCTGCCCAATCGTCGTTGATCGCTACGCTGTAAGACGGATTACTTGGGCCTCCAAGGGCGTCGCCGCCGCCTCCTGGGCCATTGATAGGTATTTTGCGAAGAGCGAGGACGAGCGCGCACATGAATTTCGAGCGCCGAGCAGCACGGATCGTTTCGTTATGCCAGTTTGATTTGTGACGGATCTCGATCTGTAGTTGCAATTTATCCATGTTTCCAACTCCTGTAGCCTCAAGTAGCAGATCAGGTTGGAAGTCACGGGCGTTATCTGGATGTGTCACAAAAGCCTCCATTTCGCTGCGTAGAAGGGCGAGGTCCTCAAGCGATGTATCAAAGGAGATGGCCATGTCAAGTTGCTCCTTCATTGCGTTGGAACGAGTGATATTCTCGATCCACAGATTGTTGAGGACAATGTTGGGAACTTGCACCATCTTCATGTTGTCAATGCGTTTGAACAATGTATACAGGAGAGATATTTGTTCGACAACCAGGTATTCCTTTTCCGGTCCGGTGATGTCAACACGGTCGCCAACATCGAAGGGGTGTTTGACAAAAAGGAAGATACAGCTTCCAAGGAACTCCTGGGTAGTGGCAGCGAAGACGAACGAAAGGGAAAGAATAGCTGTCCCGGCTGTGGCAAGCGTTGTGACGAAATTAGTGTTTTGAAATGCGACTACATGTTGTTAGTAAACCTTGAGAGATTGAGGGGAGGTAGGCCATACCGAATATGAATATCGTGATAACTAGGAGGACGGTAACCAGGATCTGGTCAAGAACACCAATGGCCTGTCCAATATCTCGCATGCTCGTAGCAATGGCCTTTCGTTCCCTTCCGATCTCCACGACTTTCAAAATCATCTCTTCGAGACTGATATCACCGTTCCCATCACTATCGATACAGGCAAAGACCTCCTCTGCCTCATCGGCCCGAGATGGCCCAAGGACCTCCCGGATATCGTCCAAGGATAAAGATTCCTTGCCCTCGACGACAAACGACATCCATAATCGTTTTGCCAAGGCTTCAGACGACCTAGTTTTCTCCAGAGCTTCGATCACGATGGAATGGGCGGAAGTGGGATTGAAGACCTGCTTGCCAGTGATCTCAGATGCAATGTTTCCAAAAACAGAAGTGACCTTATCTCCAATGCGTCCAATATCTCCGATTAACTTCAGTGGGGTAGCAGCGCCCGAGGGACCAATTGATTTGCCAAGAAGGGACTCGATTGTGGCATTGATAACATAATCCTCCTCTGCGAATTCGGGGCAATACATAGGGAACAAGGTCCTCGATGCGTCGTAAAGAAGGCCTAGAAGATGGATGGTGTGCTTCGATTCCTTGATTCTCGCGTCGAATGAACGGCGGTGGTAATGTATACTGATGATCTGAATTATCATCTTCTCGGCGAGTAAGAGAATGGTTGCAAACAGGGCGGGGAGCAACAGATTGGTCATCACCAGAATCCAGCGCGGGTTATCCTCAGGGTTTCGATTATTGATACGGTTTCCAGTTAGGGCAGTGAATGTAACCAACGATGTTATTGCCCAACCCACCAAGCTAAGCGGCATCTCGACGGCTCTCAAGACTTGGGCGTATTTTCGAGTTCCTGAGCTCACAACCCCACAAAGGAATATGAACAACCAGGGAACTGCCTTGGACAACAATTTTGTAACCCAAAGTGATAACCAGACAATCTCTATCCAGAGGAAGAATAGATATACCCTTACGCCAGTTGTGGTGAGCTTGGCATTGGGTTTCTGTACGGCGTAATAGATAATGGGTGCCGCAAGCACGAGTGCCACCGGGAGCACGTACACGAAGTAGCGAGTGACGATGGAGAATTCAATGATTTTCTTGTAGAATCTGCCCATGCTGTTCACTGAAGTTTCCTCGCCATCAGTAACCGCCCTCGTCGGTCTCTGGCCGGGGCGCCTGCCCTTCATCCCGCTCCTGAAATAATCGTTCTTCTCGTCATCCTTCGATGAGGGCGAACTCTCAAGGTCGTGCGATGAGTTTAAGCCATCGCCTTGCTTGCGGGCGCCGGTAGAGGCATTCGAGCGAACGGTGGTCAGAGGAATATCGGTTTCGTAGGGCATGTTGGTTTCATTCGTATTAGAGAGGGGTTGGAAACCGCGGCGAGAAAAGTCTGTTGGTGAACGAGGTGAACGAGGGGACCGCAGAGACATTTGATCAGCGAGCGGAGGGGGGGAGTGAAAGTTGCAAGCCTTCGGAGGCTGCTTCGAAGATCTGGAGGAGGTGGTTTGCTAGCAGCGGGAGGTTTTGATTCCGACTGCAAAGTTGGAGTGCAGCTGGGAGGCGTGGTGGAGACGTGGTGGAGACGCTGCCAGAGAAAGGAAAGAAGGGACAGAAAGTAAGTCAATCAATTGACTCTTTTGGCTAGTGAATGGAGCGGAGGTGAATGAATGGTAGTAATGTCGAGGATTCGCCAGGGGAAACAATGGACCGCGTCAAGCGTTCTGCGGGGAGGGCAATAATAATTGAGCACACGAAGCACACAGGACAAGCAAGACAAGCAGAGGAAGGGCGGAGCGAGTGAAAGGGATAGAAAAAGGGAAAGAATGTCGATGATGACCGAACTGTGGAGTTGGCGTTGGCGTTGGTAGTCTTCGACGATCGAAGGAGTACGAACCCTCGAAGTCCTGTACGTACTACTCAGTACTAAACTACTACTACTACTACACTGGGTCCGGATAGCAGCAATTTATTCTTTCTCCCTGCCAGGAGCTAGGAATAGCATCCCGGTAGGTGGCGGAATACCGAGCAGTGGCTGGGCATCCCGGCACACAATATGCTGTTGGGTGCAACTTGGTGCAACTTCGGTGGTGGAAATTGTGGGATACGGGCTTGTTATGATCGCCTGTCATTGCCTCCGTATCCTGCTGTATATTGTCCTTATCCACCATCGGCTCGCCACATATCGGCTCCCATTGGGTCAGCAGCGCTAAGCAGGTCAGCCCAGCTGTTTCAGCGTCCCACAGGGGATTCACGCCCCTGAAGGATCTGAGACGGCGTAGAATAGCCCCCGGTGTCAGATCCTCCTGTTGGACCCCCAGAGCCCAGGCTCCAGAGCTTCATTTATTTTCAAGGTGGAGAAGAAAAAGGGGAGGACTTTAATTACTTACTACGGAGTATTGTAGTTGCAGTTCCAAGCTTTACACGGAGTAATATACGAAGTACCATCTTTTAGATCATTTCCCACAGCCTTCTCTTGGTTAGCTGTACGAGTCCGGCGCTCGAAGTACTGTACATATTATTATTAGTTACCTGGTGTACTTCGTCTGCGCTATGAGATGCTGAGTACCTTATTCGTCCTGACTCAAGTCCGCTATGATTCGATCCTTTCACGCTCCTTTTACCATTTTCAGTAGCTAGGCAACTCTCTATCTTCTGTTAAGTTACTAGTATGTACTTTCTATCTGGTAGTTTATTAATGACGGGGCCAGATCACATGATGTATCACGTGTCACGCTGCTCCTCGTCACACAATGCGCTCCGCTCGGCTCAAGCGGCCTCCGCCCCTTATCATATTTCCTACTCACTCCGCACGAAAGGGTGGATGCACACTGCATACTGTAAATGTACATGATGAGCGATAATCACGAAGACCAACCCAATATGAAAATCGACCCCGCTCGCGCTGCTTCCTTGGCCGCATCGCTGCAGTCCGTTTCCCAGCGGGTTGTGAAAGCTGCAAATGGCCGGAATGTAAAGTATCCTTCCTCCCCTCCGCTTCAAGTTGCCATAGACTGATGTGTGAATAGGTGAGAACAGTGGCCGTCTCGAAGCTGAAGCCCGCGGCCGACATTCTGGCTCTTTATCAGGAAGCCAAACAGGAGCACTTTGGAGAGAACTATGCTCAAGAGTTGATGGAGAAGGCAGAGATGCTGCCAAAAGATATCAAGTGGCATTTTATTGGTGGACTGCAAAGTAGTAAGTGTGTATCTTCATGTGTGGTGATCTACTTGCGTATTTCCCTTCCGGTGGTAGGTAAGGCGGGGTTACCGGGCCTTGCCATGGGCGTCCTGCAAGTGCAGCTTTGAGTTGCAGGAGGCATCGTGCGGGGATATTGAGGGAAGCATAATGCCTTGCTACAGTATGATTTCTTATGAAGTGTCTACTGTATCCACCAGGCGGATCACTCTGGCCGTATTGTGTGGCACGTGACCCGTATTCTCCTCTTTCCAGGTTTGGAGAGCGACGGCGTTCATATCTTCTCATTCACGGCTCCTATCTTTTGATCTACAAATCGGTATTCATCAAGTTTCAGACTATGGTTTTGTTTTGTCACGCTTAAGGCTCGTTAAGAGACCTTACTCCTAGGAAGCGTTGTTCTTTGAGAATGATTCGCTCCTATGGGAAATCAGAGCCCGCTCTACTATCATCTCATCTGCCACAGTTCACTTTTGTATTATATTCATTATATCTTCAGTCGCTGATACACTTCTAATTTAATACGGGGATCCTTATCCGTTGTCCTACTTTCAGCTAGCTAATCCATATCCATAGATAAATGCAAGCCCCTTACAACAGCCATCTCGAACCTCTGGTGCGTCTCCTCAGTTGACTCGGAGAAGAAAGCCACTCAACTTTCCCTTGGCCGCTCCACTCATACCTCCCTCGCTCCCTTGAACATCCACATCCAAGTCAACACATCTGGCGAGGCCGCCAAATCCGGCGCCACCCCAGGCTCTGAAACCACCACACTCGCAAAACATGTCCTAAGCACTTGTCCACACTTAAACCTCCTCGGACTGATGACCATTGGTGCTATCGCGCGAAGCAAGGAGATGAAAGCCGGGGAGGAGAACGAAGACTTCAGGATACTGAAGGAGGAGCGCGATCGATTGGAAACAGAGCTTAAGGAGGAACTGGGAGGCAGGAAACTAGAGTTAAGTATGGGTATGAGTGAGGATTTTGAGGGCGCGATTATGATGGGCAGTGATGAGGTCCGCGTCGGAAGTACCATATTTGGGGAGCGGCCTAAAAAAGAAGAGTTCACTGTTAAGTAAGGGGTAGGGAGAGTGCTGGGTGTCATAGACAACCTACTCGCATCTTATCCTGCTATCATCTCGGCAAATTCAGGCTCCAAGGTCTGAAATATATTGTGTTATCGAGATATAGTGCTCCTGGAGCTAGCCATGGCGGAGCATGTTGTGGCAACGGCTTTGGCCAACGTTGTGCCAACCATGGTTAGACCATGGTCGTCCTCAAATTATGCCGCGTTTACTGAAGATCACGGGGAGCCACAATTCCCATTAATTCTGTACAATTACCGTTCTGCCGGGGAAATTCACATACAGGGCATAGGTCAACTGCCATTCCTCAGTATAGAGAAGGGAGGTTGGAGCAAGCCCCTAGTAAGGAGTGAACAATGGGGTGACTGGCTGAGCGAAGCGGTCACAAAATCAACTGCACTTGTCTCTACTGATTAACTTTTTGCGCGCCAAACTCTCAGTCACAAATATCGATGCTCTGGGACAACTTACAGGCAGTCTGCATGGTCTGCACTCCGTGCCATTCTTCAGCCGCAGGCACCGACACCATATGCACTTTCGTCACATGCAAGCTATAGCCGCCTCCCCAACGAGGCTGAAACAATTGGAGCTCCTGCTCAGCTAGGCCCGCCGCTGTAACCCCATCTTCTCTGCAATTATATGCTCAACTATTAATAACTGCATGGCGTCAAATGGATTATGCCGCACCAGGCGTAGCCAGGCGACGGACTACGCCCTTAAGTCTGGCCAGGGCCGCCAGGCTCTCTGAACGAGCTGGAACCAGAGCACATGGCTAAGGGACCATTGAGACATATCGTAACTTTTCATTTTTAATGTTGGAAAAGGCTTGAGAGACGCACATCCAAGTACAATCCCCAATCATCACAAACAACAACTCCGCCATAATGGATCCTGCCAGTATTTCGGGCCTGGCGATGGCTGGCCTGACCCTTCCAGCTCAAGTCTTTACTAGCGGCGCTATCACGTATACAACAATTTCCCAAGTGCGGACTATGGGTAATTCCCTTGGCAAACATTACTGGCGCTTTAAGATCCAAGAAAACCGTTTCATCTTTTGGGGGATGTCCCACAAAGCCTGTAGCCCGGGTGGTCTTGATCCTAATCATATGCCGAAGCTTATATTTGAGTCGGTGGTCAACACTCTCATTCAGATCAATGGGCTGTTAGGAGATCGAGACAAGCTCTGTGAGAGATATGGATTGCAGGAAGTGGGCGAGGTGCGACATATTGAGTTATCGGTCATCAAAAGAGAATCAATGAGGCAACAAAATATGGTCAAACGGCTTCAGAAGAGCAGTTCGCTCCTCCGAAAAGTCCAATGGGCAGTCAAGGACCAGAGCAGATTCTCAGACCTGGTTCAGGAATTGACCGAATTTAACAACACTCTCTACGAAATGCTCCCTGTGCTGGGAGGCGCGGTTCTTGAGGGCCCCATTATAGCCCAAACACTTGCGGACGAGCTCGTCAATACAGGCAGCTTGAGGGCCGCTGATGGCCTTCTACAGACGACGGATATTGGGTTGTCAGACCTAAGGCAAACATATATAGCGATGAGCTCGGCTTTGAGACGTGACAGCGCAGAGGCATTTACATTATCCGGCCAACCTACTCCACCCTCTCCGCATCTACTCCTTGATGTTCAGTATCTAGAATTTCCAGATCGGATATCGATTCCAAACCCAGCTCCGGATCTTCGTTCATGGGCACGACCACGGCAGAACAACCCCTTCTCTAGCGCGGATTTTATGGTGGTTGAGTGGCTCCGCTATGACTTACGACGCAACAGAGCAGAAGACGTGGACTTGAGAGCAATTCTACAAGCTCGAATTGAAGCATTGGCGCAAATGCTAAAAGAAAAACCCAGATCCGATTCTTTTCGAGTTCTCAATTGCGTAGGCTACGTTGAAGACAATACCGACAGCAGGTTTGGCCTTACATTTCGCTTTCCCAATATTTCGAGCGGACAGCAAGTCTCAGTGCCGCGGTCGCTCTACGAGACTATAACCAAATACCCCTATAATACGCCTTATCTCGGTGACCGTTTTCGTCTTGCCTATCTCTTGGCTGAATCTGTCCATGCTTTCCTCGCAACTGGGTGGCTGCACAAAAGCATATGTTCCTATAACATCCTCCTTTTCCCTGGCAACTCACAAGTATCTCAAGGCAATTGCCAACACCCGGTCTCCCTGGATAATCCTTATTTTACCGGCTTCGCTTTGTCGCGTCCTGACGACCCCAATGTTGACTCTTCCCGTAGTGCTGCTGGAGCTAAAATGGCAATATATCGACATCCGCAAGTGCAAGGTTTTGGAGGCAAGGAGATTGTGACTTACCGTGCTATACACGATATTTATAGCCTGGGCACTATGCTTTTAGAGATTGCAACCTGGCGTACTATGTCCAGATATTACCCCAGCAGCCCCCCGCCAGGGTATGATTTCAAGGCATTTCTTCTGGAGAAGGTAGTACCAGGCATCGGCGTGTCAATGGGTGAGCGATATATGACGGCGGTCAGGAAATGTCTCGATGGAAGTTTCGAGAAACTCGATGGATTTAGTCAAGACGAGTACGACTCCGCAGACTATAAGGAAAATCTGCGCCAGGGCTTTTTCTGGGAGGTCGTGAGTATTCTGCGAGACTGCCGTGCCTAAAACCCAGTATCATAGGAATTGGAATAAGGCTCTACAATCCTGCCTAGAAGTGAGCGATTTCGACGTTTAGACATGCAAACCCCATGTTTAACAAAGCCTTCTGAGCTCTAGATGTCGCCCGATATTTTGCTTTTTATGGCCAGAACCCACATTGATACCCATAATAGCCAAATGGCGTCGCTTTTGGCGCTGCTGCAATGCAATGTGGCTGGGCAGCCAACGAATCCCATTACTGGGCTGCCAGCCTTGCCTCCAAATGCAATAAAGCAGCGCATAGTTGAAGAAGTCGTCTCCGAGTTCCTGCATATGGAATTCAGATATCTTATGTGCTTCATGCTCGAAATTATACGCTCGAAATTATGAGCTCAAAATTCTTTACTGCTAAAAGCTAGGATGGGCGAACGTATACTGTACCCAGGAATTCTTGGTGTCTACGAACCCGACTATTCAACTCTTGCAGCCTCACAGCGCATTTTGCAAAGTAACAATGGCGACAGCCGCCTTCAGCCGCTACAGAGTATCTCGGAGGTCACATCGTGTCCTACCTTTCCGCCCCTCTTAAGAATTCTGTGCATATTTCTTCGGCATACAACCAACAATAACAACCAACAGAATTTCAAAGCATTTCTCACCAATGTGGCCGCTCTTCACGACGTTGCATTTTCTCCGAAATGTCCCATTTTAGGTATGGGCCACCACTTTGCCGTTTGGGCTAGCCCATTCGATGAATCCGACCTGGGCTTCACTGCTATCGATGGACGGTCTATTAATACCGAGGTCTATTGTCTCAAGACTCCAAATTTTGCTTCTGGAGGGAAGGTGGACGCCATAGGCGCGTTCTGCAGGGAATATTATGAGACCACGCTCCAGGAATTGAGGGTCTTGCTGCACCCTCATCTAAGAGATTGTGAGTATATCATTAGTCTTTTTGGATTAGATTTCCAGCAAGACTACGATGACCACACATTGGCATGGCCAGTATTGCTGGTGGAGTACGCCGAGTACGGTACGCTAGATACTCTTCAGGAAGATATATGCCTGGGAACGGAGTTGTCGAGAGTCTTGCTACTTGATGTTGCTCGTGGGATCCAGGCGCTCCATGGGTGCAACATCGTTCATGGAGATGTCAAATCGGAAAACGTGCTCATCTGCCGACACCAGCATCGGAAATATGTTGCACGGCTTGCTGATTTTGGTCTTTCCGTGATTAACCCTGATATCACAAGGAATGACCACCGACTCCCTGGCGGCACTTTCCTCTGGAGCGCACCAGAAGTTGACCAAGCTCTGTCCGTCCAAGGTCTGAAGCAAACAGACGTTTATTCTTTTGGCCTTACTGCGTGGCGCGTGTTCAGCAACAATCCAAACCCGTTTTCTTTGATCTCAATAGCAACCCTTGGATTACGAAGCCCCGGTACACTCAGTGAGATAGTAACTCGGGCGAAATCGCACGAAGATTTCACACAAATTGTCTTGCAACTCATGACGAAACACCAGGATAACCCGCCATACTTTCCTTCCATAGTCGAAGGCACCCTTTGCAATGACCCAGCAAGCCGTGACCTGGGCCGGGTGATATTTATATTAGCTCAGGGCCAGGAGAATATAATACCCACGTGAGTATATATACCAGAATGTCTAGCGAGGTCTGCGGAACGATCGAAGCCCGCTGATGATGATTATCTAAATAGTAATGATGATGATCAAGCGTATTGGGCTTCGGAAGAGCCATTAATAACTATGGAAGAGGTAAATCTTGTTTCATCTTATAAGCCTAATTGTGCCCGTTTGCGGGGGATGCCTCATCCCCTTATTTTATATTTTCTAGCATTCCCCACCTCGAATTAATTATTGCTGTCGCCTTAGTCGTTTGGTACCTCGGATTTTCTTAGCTAACACCCACTTATATTTTATACACTGACATGAGACCCGTAGTTAGGTTCGTCATACCCGGAAGAATTTGTTCCTTTTGTATTCAAGCCTTCAATCCTTTTATCCCTTGTCAATAGCTTGGAAGCCGTTCTACATTCAGCCTACTCAACATTAGAGCTGGCTCGCTACACCGGGTGGCTTCTCTTTCAATTTACATCTGGCCCCCAGTTCCAGGCAGTAACGAAACGTGCTGAGGATTGCTGTGCGATATTGATCCGGCTATGCCAGTTAGACTCTGCCTATGCCAAAGGGACCGTGGTCCGCTTTCATGAACTGCATGGCTTAGAAGTTGACGGTTTAGATCCAGAGTGGCTTGAAGCTGCGGCATCAAATGGATCATACTATGCTGCGGAGAGTCTCCGTTTACTATATCCAGAAAAACACAAGTGGCTAATGCAATCCCATTTGATCTTCGAGGCTACACCATCTCCGCCCGATGAGAAGATGTACCGCCTTATCGACTGTTTCCGTGCAGGAGACTATGAGGGCAGTAGAGTGATGCTCAAAAATGGCGTGACGGCGCATCCTCCAGAAATCGGAACGGTTTCTGCGCTCCATTGGCTGGTCTCTTTTGAAGACCCAAAGCATATCGACGACCTTTTGGAACTCCTTTTAGAAAACGGCGCCGTATTAGAGGCATTCGAGGGGGAAATGGATGACTTCATATTTGGAAGGGCTGTCGGGACCCCGTTGCACTGGGCTGTCTGGCATCGCAATATCTACCTGGTTCGCGCATTAACAAGGGCAATTGATGAGCCAGACCAGGAGAATGTCAACCGAGCCATAATAATTGCAGCTGCCATGCATTTCCCTGATGCCTTGGAAGCTCTCAAAGACTGGATCGTCAGCCTGAAAGATTCTACACCCTCGGCGTATAATTGGCAAGGTGCTTTGGAAAGTGCGACAAATAGCACCATATACCAATTACCGCGGCGGTTTCGACATGGCGATAAAAAGCTTCCTGAAGCTCTTGAGCGCACTATGGATATCATATTAAGTATCCAAAAGCCTGCACCAATCGAAGTCCAGGCTATGTTCTCAACAGCGAGGCGCTATAATCAACCGGCACTGTTAAGGTATCTGTTCAATCGCTTAGATATTGGGAATCGAAATGGGTTCTTCAAAGAAAGTGGTAGCGACATTGTACTCGAATCACTCGTAATGGGTTTCAGGGAAGTTTTTGAAATGTACATTGAAAAAGGCCTGGTCACACCCCAGACCGAGCATTGGACTGATAAGTTCACAACACTTCAAATTTGCTGCATTACGCGACAGAGGGACCCAGAGTTTGCCAAACGGCTTCTTGAAATTGGCTGCCATGTTGATGGGGTGGGCTCGACTGAAGCGTCGTCATGGACGCCATTCATGATAGCTGTCTCCCTGGGACTATACGATATTGCCATTATGCTTCTCGAACACGGAGCCGACAAAGATTATATAAGCGGGCGTTTGGGGGGCAACACAGCAACAATGAACTTGATGCGGAGCTGGCCAGATATTCCAATCTCTCGCCTTAGATTCCTCCTCGAAGAGGTTCCCCGCCTTGGATTCGGGCATGTGACATTCTGGGGCTGGCCAGGGGCTGGAGGTAATATCCTCTATGCACTCTCTTGTAACCACTGGGCTTCTTATGCTACTGGAAGTCGCCTGGAGGAAACAGCTAAGTACATATTGAGTCAGATGGCGGACAAGAGCTGTTTAAATAAAATCGATAAGTTGGGCGCGACAGCTTTGCGGATGGCATGTGCAAACGGCAACTTGGAGATCTGCCGAGCCCTAATTGATGCTGGCCAGGATGTTAATCTGGCACTTGGATTCTCTCCATTGAGGAACGCAATAGAGTGGAGCGAGAAATGCAAAAAGCGCGAGAAACGAGCATTTGCAAACCATAATGGCCCTGGCCGGGAGGGGAGATTGGCACAAACACTGCGCGTTCGATCCGAGAAGACAATTGAGCTCCTAATTGCGAATGGGGCTGTAGATCGAGGGGTCCATGAGTCTATAAGGAATACCATGGACTACATGGCCAACGGCCAGTGGCAGAAGCCAAGCTTTGAGGTAATCATCATCCCGGTGGATTCATTTCTCCCTCAGAAATATATGACTGACATTATTCAAACCAATATCTAGACGGCTCTAGAAATGTTCTCCGGGTTTATCGATTCATCAAGTATGGTGAAACCTGGCAGCACACCATTAAATCCAACCTCACGAAAACACTTCAAGGCAGGCCAGGGAAAAGAGACAACTGCTCAAAGGCTCCTCCGCAATTTAGGGGCTAAGATGGACAATGCTAATGGAAAATCTGAACCTAGGGTGGCTCTACGTTATCAACCGCATGATTGTTTTCCTTGGCGCAGCGACTGTTGTACTTCCTCGAGCCGCTCTGGTTCGGGAAACCTCGAGATGAGCTCTATGACAAGCCATTCGCCTGGTCAATCACAATGGCACAAACCTGCCTCAGGACCATCCTTTCCAGGAGCATCGATTGGCCTTACATCCCCTCCCGCTGCCCTACCCACATTTGCAAATCCAAATCTCCCTCAACATGGGCCTCTCCATCCCCAGGCATCTCCACATTCAGGATTGTCTGGACAAAGTCCCGTCTCATTCAACACCACACTACCCCAACACCCCCCTTTAAGTATAAGGCCGCAATCCTACTCCACTGCCTCTCAAACACTCCTATCAAACATTGAAAACAGACAGCACATATACAATCCTCCGCGAAAGGTCGATGATGTCCTCCAAACCATCCGGAACAAATTAATTCTCCATTTCCTTGAAGGGCCGGGCGCCACGGCCACACCGTCAGAACTGCGACTACATGCAACACACGTTCTCAATGAGCAATTGCACTTACCGGTTTTTCTCAGTGTGCAACGTAATGATATTAGTTCGTGCGAAGAATTTGATGATATTAAGGAGACGGTGAAGAGTTGCTTGGAGGTAATGGGGGTTCAGGGTGCTTTGAGCTTAGTGCCTGAGTTGGTGGAGGATGGCCGTGGACTTCAGGTTCATATCTTCTCCGCTGAATCTGGTAGGGGGATGATGACTAGGTGAACTTGAAGCTGAAAGTGCGGTCTTTGAAACGATATTTTCTAGGTTGTCTCTGTAAGTAATCGAAATGTGTATCACTAAAACTCGATATGAGCTATTTCTGTACCCGATGCCTTGTCTACATTTGTTTCACTGCATAGCAATTTCAACAGTATAATTTATGGTGATAGTGTAATAGCTATAGGATCGGCATAGGAGGAAAATGTGTCATTATTCTCCTATAAGGACCGCTGTTTATCCGCTGCAAAACCTGCCTGGAAGAAAATACATGCCCATGATGTAATCGAGGCAATCCTATGTGGGTGGAGATGAAGTGTGATGAGAATAGTAGCTAGGAGCTCTGTGGAACTCTGCTCTGAAAAGTCATGCCGCAAACGTAACTGTTCATTGAAGCCCCTTAGGAAAGGCTTTAGGGCTATGGTGGTAGGCGACTAAGTTGTTCAAAAAGGACAACTTACCTAGGAAATGCCAGGCTCAGATGTAATAACCACGAGGTTAGGTAGGTTGTGACAAACAATTCAAAATTGGTAGTAGCAATATTGATCAAACGCTTAAATGCAAACAAAATCTCTATCTAGTCTTATGTCCTATTTCATAGCTCGTCTATTTTATGCTCCTTCGGCGGCTCAGGCTCCTTGTCCTTACTCGCCGCATCCCCATTCGTATTAGACTCCTCCTTCAGCTTCCTCGCCTCGTCCGCAGCCATCTCCTTGTCGAGAAATGCGCGGAGCTCCTCCTCAGAAGGTAACTTTCCATCCTCGCCCACCTTGAAGACAGGCTGGCCCTGGTCATTGAGCTCGAGGGTGTTCTCGGCCTTGGCCGCTGAAGCAGTCTTTGACTGAGAGGCCGACTTGGGCTTCTTGGGCTTCTTAGCCTTCTTGGCTTTCTTGGTGGGCCGTTGTGTTTTGAAGGGTTGCTTCATGCTCTTCATGATGAGGTCGACTTGGATATCTTCGAGCTCTTTTACTTTTGCCGCTACATCTTTGGTGAGAAGGATAGGATCAGCGGTTATGGCGAGTTTGTCCTGTTTGGCGAGCTTTTCGGCAAGCCACTTGGATATTACCTCGTGTGCTTTTTGGGGCTTGATGAGATCATCTGTTTTATACACTGGAGGGGCCATAGTCTCCTCGGGAAGCGGTTCGTCATCAGTGGTTGTTGCCGGCTCATCCTCTAGATCGTCAAAGTCATTCTCGACCTTCGCGGATGGTTTGACAGTAACGGTGGCACTGGCAGCACTTAATTTGGAAGCGCTGAATGCCTCATGAGCCTTCGTATCGTTCGCGATCTGCTTGGTAATACCGGCAATCATAATTTGTGTTTGGTTCAGAGATTGTTGAAGCTGCTTAAGCTTTTCTGGGAGTGTCACAGCTTCTTCCTTCCGCATCTCAATTGGCGTAGTAATATCTTTTATCTCTTTCAGTTTGGCCTTCAGCTCCTCTCGGCTGGCGTCTACGCCGCCCGAATAGATCCACTCGCTCGCTGCCTTCGATTTGGCCTCAAGATTGGCTCGTTCATCAGCTGTAGAAACTGCGACGAATTCCTCGTCATCCAATAAATCTCTTACTCTGTATGTGAACCCCTCGAGTTGATTGAGGGACTCTTCTCGCAGTTGACGATTTCGATCGGAATCTTCAAATGCAGAAATCCGGTCTTTCATGCGTTTGATGTCGGACGCTGATGGTTGAGGCAGCCCCTTGGACTCAATTGTGAATTTCACTGGGATGATTTCGAAACGCTTGATCATCTTTCCTTTTGCATCTTTTGAATCTTTAGTCTTCGCATCCTTGGTGTCCTTTGCTGACGGAGATGCAGAGGCAGAAGCAGTCGACGTTGAGCCGCTGGCAGACTCGGAAGAGCTGGAGATGGTCTCGACAAGCTCATCTTCCTCTTCAGAAAGGGGAGCTTGGTCTTTCTTCCCAAAGCCAAGCATATTCTTCACGCTATCAACAACACTTTCCTTTTCTTCTGTCTCTTCAACCTCGCAATCAACGACTACCTTAAGGACCTCTACCCGGCCTTTGCTAGTTGAAAGACGGGCGCTGAGCTTAAGATTGATATCGGCATCGGAACACCCGAACTTGTCCTTAAGACGGGCGACCGATTCTGTCAAATTTTGAGTTGTCAATGTCAGAAGTTGCTGCTCTGTGTAGGTTTCAGTGGCTTCCGATGATGGAGCTTGCTGATAAAAGTCGATCGAGAAATCCTTTTGGTTCTTGAAAGTGTACTGCTTTTCCGCCCCGAAGAACGAAGTTGGTTGCCATAATTTTTGATATTGCAGTTTCTCGTTTGTGTTAATCCATTTGATGCCGGCCGGGTGCATGGCAGCTTCTGAAGCTCTGATCTCCTTCACACGGAATGATGGGCTGAGGCCGGCACCCTTAAATCCAGCGCCAAATACAGCAGCCTCGTCGGAATTAACATTCGTTCTAATTTTGTCTGTGGAGCCAACAAAATTCTCGAGCGCCTTCTGAACAAAAGGAGTCCGGATAGCGCCACCGTGCAGAATTATAGAGTCAAGGTCCTTGATTTTGAGACCTGCCATGTCTAAAGCCTTTTCCAATGCAATAGTGGCACGTGCCGCATGAGCTTCGGAGAGCTTCTCGAACTGTACCCGAGTAATTTTGTACTTGAAATCGATATCCTCGTAAAGGCTCTCGAAGCTAGCTTGAGTGTTGGCATTGGCGCTGAGAATATGTCTTAATCGTTCGGCTTCCTTTAGCAGCTTGGCCGTGGCTCGTCCATGTCCTTTGACTGCCTGAGCAGTTATTGAGGCACTTTTTGCAGCGGGTGAAGCAACGAATTGAGCGACCATGTCGTCCACAATGACCGCGTTCAGAGCATCACCGCCTAGTGTCCTATCCCAGCCGCTCCCCAGAACTTGAACTTCCTGGACTGTCTTGTTGAATTTTCCAACGTCTTTCACAGTTCGTCCCTGGAATTTCAGGATTGTAGCCTTTGTAGAACCAGCACCCATGTCAAAAACCATGTGGCGCTCTGGACTTCCACCTTCATTGATACTCTTGAATTGCCGTGACATAGCGTAGTTCAGGCCTACAGCTAGTCCGTCACTCACGAGCTCCAGGACCCGAAGTCCAGCCAATTCAGCCGCTAATTCCACTGCCCTCCTCTCCTCCACCGTGTAAAAAGGAGGCACAGTAACAACCAGATCCTTGACCCGGCTGCCCTTTCCTGCATGCGCTTCGGCGTTTTTTTGTATGCTCTGGAGCTCCATGGCCAAAAGCTCCTCTACCGTCCATGCCTCCTCGTCTGCCGCAAATGCACCGCTTTTAAATGCCACGGTACCCCTCGTCTTTGCTGCCTCGATCTGCAATGCTGGATGTAGTGAAGAGAAATCTTTGACTATTGGATCGTCCGTTCGCAGGCCCAAAAGGGTCATGAGGTTGGGATACACATCGCCCGGGAATCGGGCACTTAAAGACATAGCGTCGGAGCCGTATAGTCGTTCAGGGAATTCACCCTTCTTTGGATTCTTCGGGTGCTTAAAGGCAACGGCGGACGCCTCTTTCCGCCGCGAGTCTTTCGTCAAGACGATTTCGAGAGGGATTCCGGGTTTGACGAGAGCTGCTTTAATATATTCAGTGCCTAGGTCGACTCCCAGAACTGCCGATGCAGCCAGTGCGGTCGAGCTGAAGAGGTAGACAAGGCATAGTAGAGAGAGGATGGGCGAGGAGAGCATCTTGCTCAATGGGGGGCCCAGAGGCGCCATGTTGGGTCAATTAGTTGTTGTACACTGCAGAAAGAGCTGCTAAATGAATGAAGCAACACAGGTAATGGCGATAGAATAGGAAGGGGACACGTTTATATGGAGCCTAAAAAGCAGCCCGCATAAATCTGGCCACAAGCCTCAAGTGCCAGTTTGCATTTGTAAAACCAAGAGGAAATGGAGTTTCTTGGGGAGTATTATCCTTGTCGCCACCACAAAGGACACTTTGCGATTGAGAGCTCCAAGATATTCGCTTCGAGGATCACGGCGGTAATTGGTTGAAGCCTGGGATGTCGGGCATGTGGACTTACTGCCGACTCAGCCTTGCAGATGCTGTGGACAGACGACTGCGAAGTGCAACAAGCAAGTGGCTACGTAGTGCAGTACGTACAGTAAGTAGCACCTATTTTTGTTATCTTGATAAGTACTTTACTTTATTTGCAGAGAACAGTAATGTACTGTACCCTGGAAGATGTCTCTTTTCTCCCTGGGGATACTCGAGTGTTCAACGGACACCCCGAGTCATACTTCGTCCTAGTACTTATTAATATCTACTGGTAGCTCGGCCGCGTAGCTTTATAGATCAACCAAAATACGACATCCAGCAGGGATCGCTACTCCAAAGATAACGCTTATTGTTTGCCTCGAAGCCATCAGCTCTTGTGTGGTGTTACTTCCACAACGCAGCAAGTGCGGAATATACAACTAGATCATACTTCAAATTCAGCGCAGCTCTGTAACCTTCACAATGGCTCCAACGCCCTTCATTACCTTTCTCGGGCCGTCGAATCTCATTGGATATGACCGCCAGCGCAAACCATCCGAGCAGCCGCCCCACATCCCAAAGACTTTCTTGGATGCGATGGAGGTTAGGGAAGAGGTGTTTGTTAAAGAGCAAGGCGTTGCGCTACAAAACGAGTTCGATGCGGATGATGCCCGAGCATGCCATTGGGTAAGCATTCGCTGTACTCCTTCGCTGTCATATCATCGCCCTCACTAACGATTATATTCCCCAGGTTGTTTATGCTTCGATCAATACCACAACTGAACCCGAGAAAAGAGACGACAAGGGCAATATCACGCAAAACAAGCAAAGCGTGACGAAGTCTCAGCCAATTGGCACAATCCGTCTTGTACCATTTCCGCATCCTTCACACCCAATGCCCGGCTCCTCTTACGCGGCCGATGCCCTTGAAACCGATTCCGAACGAGAGTCATCTGGTCCTCCACCATACATTATTGATCGAGCCACAACCTACCACGATGGTAAAGAACCATATATCAAGCTTGGAAGGCTTGCGGTATTGAAGGAATTCAGAGGTCTAGGAATTTCTAAGCTCCTCGGGAGTAGCGCAATGAACTGGGCGCAAGAAAACCCGACCTTGTTCAACCCATCAATCACAAGCATGGGTATGGAGAAAATGGGAATTTCAAGCGCCGACGAAGTACCCAAATGGAACGGCCTGATTTGTGTTCATGCCCAAGAACAAGTGACGAAATTCTGGCAGAAATGGGGCTTCAAGTTAGATGACGAAATGGGAACCTGGATTGAGGAGGGAATCAATCATGTCGGGATGTTTCAAAAACTAGACGTGAAAAGTCCAAACCTCCTTTCAAATATCAGCTGAATGGACATTCCTAGTGGATTTCGGTATGGAGCTCGCCAGTAATGCCAACTGGCAGGTCATGAAGCGGGAAGAAGCACATCCGTAGGCCCTAACTTGATAAAAGGATTGCCCCACACTATGATATCTCAGAAGTCATCGTTGGTCGAATTCAACACACCTGAAAGAAAGGGCTGAAAGAGGAGTTATTGACTAAATACTCATTATTATTAATCCCTTAGAGGGCGAAGCGGCCCCAAAAGTGGTCTCGGAGGGGCCATCATCATTACTCATGTTTCATCACGAAAACTATTAATTCGGCATCCCTATCAGGACAGTCGCCAGCCAACGGTACTCCTAGGAACCTGCTTCGGGCCTATTGCACAAAGGGCGTTCGAACTGCTACACTTCCGTCAATTAACTCCCCCTTTTACACTCACTATCGCAAAATCATATATTATCCGAGTTAATATGCTTGAAGTCTCCATGCTACACCCTGTACTTTAGTCGTTGCATGATAGTGGAGGTAGTGTTTATATCTTCTGTGATGGTTTGCATGCGGATGTTCGTCCAATGTTTCGCCAACAATCGATATCTCTTATTAATTAATTTTAGATTATCTGTATCTTTGAACGTCGTAGATAGGCGTAACACGCTCCATTTAGCGTTGAGAGTAAATTATTACTAAGATCCCTTTCCCCATAGCTTCTGATCCCTAACAAACAGCTTGCATGGCCTAGAAATCGTAAACCGTTAGCAACCTTCTTCCTAAATATCGAAAACAGAAGCGCAAAAGGACTTACCCTAGTACAATAAAACTCCCCAACGCATTCATCTCCATCACCATCCCAAACCACCTCCTCCGCGCCCCTGAAGCAATTTAAGATACTATACCCCGTATCCTTACAGCTCTCAATATCAGCATACATCGCTCTCCCGATTTTCTCATCCACTGGCTTGGTGTACGCATCAGCGTTTATAGTGATGATTAATGAGTCCTCGAGGATTAAGCCTCTCGTATAGGTTTCATTCCATTCGGTGGGTGGGAGGGTGTAGGTGTCGGTTGGGGGGGTTGCGGGATGGGGAGAGGTGTTGTCGGCGAAGTACAGGATTGAGGAGTGGTTTGAGCAGGCTGCTAGGTGGAAGATGTCGGCCGTCATGGGAACTTGTCGAGTGACGAGGGCGGCGACAGACAGGAGCGGCGAGAGCAGGAGCAGGGCCGCGGGAGAAGAAATTGGTAGCATCGTGATTTGTATATTGCGGTTTGTATGTGGTGCTTTAAGGGAGCAATTGTGTAAAGCAGGGAGAGTGAGTACTTGTAGAGAACTGTGGCAAATGATTAGGGGAAATGATCTTTTGAATTATTAGAGTATAGCCCTGGTATATATGCGTTAACAGAAAAGCCTAGCTATACGAAGAACGCGCAGTGAAAATCAACAGATCGACCGGAGCGGCAGTGTTCGTATTCTATGATGTTGTAGCAGGCTAAATCGATCTGTTTGCTCCACTGTGCCCCGAGCCAAGATACAGCATAAGTAAGGATTTACTAGGTACCAGGTACAGTAACAAGCGCGTACTTTGTACGTACGAAAGCGAGCAAGGGAAGAACGAGCTCGGAAGAATCGGGTGCCTGCAGAACAGGATAAGAATATCATTACCTTGTATAGCTATCCCCGTCATAGCAACCTCGGCCTTGCAGTTTGCTGGCCCTGCAGGGGAGGACGCCTATCTATAGGTACCTAGGTACTTTGCACAATTGTTACGGAGTACGAAGTATGCCAGAGAAGGATGACGTCTCCCGTGACTACTCCAGCAACTGAATTACCTCATTTACCACCACCACTGCCAGAAGGTAGAACGCGTTTCCTGGGTTATCTTTCTCGCTTTTCCGATGACACTTTTAGGGTGAGTAGAAAATGGATGGCCCCTATCCCCTATGGAATATAGCATAGCCGTATATTTCATCCACCATTGCGCTCATTGGCAAGGTGCTCCAGCAGCCTGCAATGAGCGAGGTGTTGCCCCGCAGCTCGCTCGCTGGTGCGGTCTTCTCAGCTGCGACATGGAATGCACATAACATCGGAGGACCGAACGTCGCGAGGCAGAGACTGTGGGGTCGTGTTGGAAAAGGAAGAAGGAGGGGGGGGCGATAGGGAGCAGCGCGGTTCTTATTTATACAAATAGCAAGCCTCCTACTCTATACACTTGTATACAAGTAGCCGCATGTAGCTGACTAAGCGCAAGTAGTAAGTTGCAGGACAAGCCGATGGTGCGGAAAGCCAACTGAACCAAACAAAGAAATATGTAACTCGTACATTCCCTAGAATACCTAGGGCGAAGCAACTACTGCTTTGTTAGTCCTCTCTTATCACCGCCCTTGAGGCAGCTCTATAGACCCTACGACACGATGTGCGATAAACGCCTGGATCTTCTTCGCCCTGTGACCCTGTCACCCTATAACCAATCTCCTGTCTAACTTCGCCAAATTGCTACTCAAGGCTCGACATGCCTTCCATTTTAACTGGCAAAGGTGTGAAAGAGGCTCTGTTGCTCATTGAGAATGCCGGGCTGCCTCACCCCTCTGGCCCGCTGCTTTCATCCTTCGTCGTCGAAGCTCTTAGCCCTCCGCTGGCCGCTCAGTATTTACTGCCGGCATGTCAGTCCGGTTACAACCAACAGGCCGATCTTCTTCAAATTGTGTCTGATTGGAGCTATATTGTTGAGTCTAGTACATCTACGTGTCACATCTATTCCTGTTTTTAATAGTTAATAAATGCTTAAGTTTCAACACACGGCTGTCCTCCACCACTGCTCGACCCCGTCACTCGGGCTGCTATCACTAAACGCGGTGGTGACAGGTGCTGCATTACCGGCAAAGCCGGTCGTTTCTGGGATCCACTGGTCGTGGTTCCTGTTCTTCCGCTTCCGTCTCGCTGGATCGAAGTTGAGGTATGTCCAGTCGTTCAAGACGATTACGACCCGACGGGAAGCTGACCCCTATCGTTGAATGCCCCGAATCTTCGACGTGCTCGGTGCTTTCTTTACCCCCTCCTACCGCGACTGGTGGCTTGTCTATGCTCAAAATCCCGGTTCCATGAGCCCCTATCACAACCACTGGCTTGTCCGTAAATCAGTAGCCGACGCCTTTGCACGGGGAATTGTAAAATTAGACAGGTTGCAGCCGTCTATGGTCGAAGTAAGTTGTGACCGATGATGCAAAACACTGGAACTTCCATTTCTTTCTTCCCCTGTCTTCCACTTTCTTGCTGATACCCCGGAATAGTATAAAGTCAAACATGTCTTCTCCGCTGTTGGGTGACCATTCTCGCCGTCGTGTCGGAAAGGTGGATCCACGCTTTATAGGGACTCATGCTCGGCTTGCCCCGAGCTGTCGGTGGCTTGACATTTCCAAGCAAATTGCCCTGAACATGGAAATTCGACTATCCTCATCGATAGGTCACGCAGATCATTCAACAACAGATTTCCAGGCAGGCCAAAGGAGCTCGTTCGATTTTACTGGCCCTGTGGGGACTGCTTGCTTCGCAGCCTGGCTCATGTTCCCAGGTAGGGTCCGAGTAGTCGCCTATGAGATGTTGCAAATGGTAGGACATCGACTTTACGGGAAGCCTCACACCTTCGAAACCGTCCAGACCCTACCTTTCGGTCTCTACCTAAAGTCTCGAGGAGACCCTGAAGGGTTTCGCAACGAATTCAACACCTTGTAAATGATCCGCCGGTATACTTCAGTGCCTCTCCCTCGCCCACTTGACTTCGCCATTATGCCAACAGACTCAGATGGCTCATTCTATCCCCATGACGCATACCTTCTCACGTCCCGTGTTCCAGGTATACCCCCTTTCAGACTGTAAGGACATGCTGTCAGAAAGAGACGGTGCTGAGTTTGTTGCTCAGATGCAGGACTACCTGGCTCAAATACGAGCTCTCCCCAAGGCTGTCAGTCCAGAATATGCCATCTGCGACTCTCTGGGCGGAGCTTGCAGAGACCCTCGCACTTGCGATGCAAATCCCGTAGGGCCTTTCGTGGACGAGGAGGCTTTTAACCAGGTCCTGCGAAACCCCGACGAGTTGAGCCGCAGAGGACACAAGGTCTTGTTCACGCATGGGGATCTGAATCCCCGGAATATCTTGGCTGATCGGGTCATCCGGCCGGATGGGACTCGCGGATGGAAAGTGTCGGGGATTGTGGACTGGGAGACTTCCGGGTACTTCCCTGAATATTGGGACTATACTAAGGCGCTTTTTGAGGGATTTAGGTACACCTAGCGGTGGCATAACTTCGTGCACGATACCTTCAAGTCGTTTGGGGACCTTTCAAAGGATTTTGAGGTAGAGAAGAGAAGCTGGGAAGCGGGCGATTATGTATGAACATCCTGCATCGTTGACCCAATTGATTGGCGAAAGTAGACACGATTGCCTGGGTTCTTTCGGTCACGATATTTAGTTGAGTTGTACAAGCAAATGAGGCCGGTCACAGTCTCATCTCCCAATCGTCGGCGAGGCCGAGAAATTGGGGGCAGGGAAGACATCGGCGATGGCAAGTAGAGTGGTTTGATCTCGGATGTGGTAACCTTCCGCGATCTTGGTGGAGGCGGAGAGATGGAGTCTGACAATTGAGGATTGCGTCACGAAGATGGCCATAACGGCGTGCCCCAAGAAGCACATTAACATGCAATAAGTGGTGGTAGCAGCCGTGGATAGGGGATTGGGGTCAGTACTTGGAGGCGTCTATATAGTTCTCCTGAAATTCCTGCTTCAGGAAACCGGCGTAATAAATTCAGCTTCTTGATATGTTTTCTCCCCACTTTCAATCCCTCAACAATAGCGACTGTCGATATGGGCCGTGTCCAGTTTGGGTAGCCTTCCTTAAACGCTTCATTTCACTTCATTTCACTTCATTTCACTTCATTTCACTTCATTTCACTTCATTTCACTTCANCTTCATTTCACTTCATTTCACTTCATTTCACTTCATTTCACTTCATTTCACTTCATTTCACTTCACACTCGCAAAAAAGGACAGTTTGTTACTGCACAACAAAGTAGTTGGAGCACTCATGCACGGTAGCGAGGCTACCTTAAGTCTACGGTCGCAGCGACTTAGCCTCAAGGGCGTGACTTTTCTCCCCAACTGGAAAGGGAGCAGTTGAAGCCCAATGTACGATCAAGAGATGATTCCGGAGATGAACCTGGCTAATAGATTATAAATACTACAGGCTGATATAATACCAGTGGTGACGGCAAAGCGGACGACGACTTCCCATCGATCGTACAGCTACTACGTCAGATCTTGACGCAGCTGAATTATGAAGATACTGCACACCATACCTACTAAAGATTACGTCTAGCTCCCGCAAATTCCAAGACATGTGTGGCGCAGTCTAGAATGTTACAATGTCCTGTGAAAATGCACGCGGTCTGGATGCCACGCGTGGAGGTGACAGGTAAGGGCATCGTCGCGGCTAGGTCTTCTTCTCGACAATCATATGCCATAAAACCCCCTGCGCTTGACCTCATGTTGTTTCCGGAGCTCTAAGTAAGGCACGGCATTTTTTTATTGACTTCAAAGATGAGAAGCTGTCTGATTGTGAACCAAAGCATGCAAACAGGAAAAAAACCACTAATTCTCATAGGCCTCCATCACCATACTTGTCAAGTGCCTGCTTGTACCACGCATCCCAATCGAATGTTTCTACCCCATTGGTGGCTTTCCACCACCCACTAAAAAGTCTCACAAAATTCTGCCGATCCCAAGGATCAGTCTCAATAACTTGATCTACTCTAAAATTCGGCTTTTGCTCAGCTAATGTAGAAAGCTCAACTGCCCTTTTCTCCTCCCGCAAGATCTTCGAAAGGCGCCTTTCATCTTCGCTTGGCGTTGAGAGACCTTCATGATACAATTCGCCCAAATTGTACAGCAAGAGAGGTGATTGGAATGCCGAGCCTTTTGAGGTGACAATAGCTAGCTCCCAGTCGATGATACCAGTAATATTGTAGTCATTATCGACTAAGAAATTCGTGTCTCTAGAATCCACATGCCGGAGGAAAAAAGGACCAGACTCATTTACTGGGAGATAGTCAAGGAGACTCATATAGACAAGGTATTGATCAAGAGGCGCAGAAGATGCGATCTCACCGGTTTTGATAGCTGGATTCTCTGTTGAATTAAGGCGGTGTAGTAGTCGTTTGAAGAACTGAATGAGCCGAATGGGATCAAGTTTCCACTCGGGCCGTAGTCGAAGAAGGCTGGTCCGGTTCTGGCAGCTCTATAGATGAGAGCTGCAGACGTCTTAGCCTATTAAGAGGATGCTGTTCTAGGCTAGTATAAATCTCTGCTAACTGACGAGAGATCCTTTCTTTCTGTACATCGCTTGCTTCATCCCAGGCCAATGGCTTCCCAGCTAGTTTTTCAAGGAGAATATACCCAGCGCCAACAAGGTTTATAGGATCGTCGTCATCAGCACAGTCGTATACCTCGGGGACTGGAACAGCAGTTCTAGCAAGGAAGCGATATGTTGCAAACTCACTGCATCTGTCGAAGTTCCTCTCTTGCAGTGGGGGCTCGTTGTGATTTGGGAGTCTGAACCTTGCTAACCAAGTCTTACCGTCTTCAAATACAATCGAGCCATGGTAGTTACACCCACCAAGGACGTCAAAGTTGAAGTACGCTGTATCGGCTGACGGGAGATTGACAGTACATTTGATCCCATCACGTAACGTCTCTGCACGCGCGCAAAGGGCATCGCAATTGATAGTTTCTAGCAATCTGGAGATCACATTTTCGCCTGCCGTTCGTCGGACCAAGTTTAGATCTGTGAGCCTAGCAGGGTCACCAGATACGTATATCGCGTGGATGTCCTGCAACCATGTTAGACATTCTGGCCTTGTTCAATTATCGTTTCACCCATTCAAACCTCTTTTGCAGGACAAGTATGTAGCGGTGAAACCACATGTTTTGTGCAGAAATGTCAATGGCAAAGTTCGCACTGTCCATGGAGGGCCCTCAAAGCCGGCAGATCGCATGGCTGAAGCGCACAAGACCACTTCATATTGGAGTTGGTTGATTATTTTGAGGACTGTTGTTTTCGAAGGAAGGGGGATAGGCTTAACTATGTAAACGCTACCTAGATGCGTCCAGTTTCTGACGAGAATTCTAATATCCAGTCAGGTACGAATGTTAACCAACAAATCAATCCTTGCTGCATATGTGATGTGTGATGTGTGATGACTACTGCTCTTCTCACGTCGCCTCTTGATGTCGTTAGAACTAGGCTACATTCCGATTTCAATCGACCAAGGCTGGCTACTCCTAGAGTCCTAGATATCGAAACCTGCCAACATCTCGGCCGCTCCCTTTTCTCCGGTTCTCTATTCTCCACTTCCGCGACACGTTCCAACTCTCTTCAACATACCGCGTCGAAGGATAGCGCACGCTTTTCAAAGGTCTCGGTCCCAAATCTTGTCGGCGTCGCTCCTTCTAGCGCGATAAAGTTTTACACCTATAGCAATAGCAAGGGCGTGATCTCGCAAAAGCTGTTTGGGAGATAGGAGACGGCATCGGTACACCTACTTGCTGCTGCTACGGCAGGTGTGGCAACGAGCACAGCGGCTAATCCTATATGGCTTGTGAAGACCAGACTATAGCTTGACAAATCGCTCACCAAGACGACAGGCCGCAGATATAAAAATGCCTTCGATTGCATGTTGCAGGTTATTGGGCAAGAAAAAACCAAGGGGCTATATAGAGGCTTGAGCGCAAGTTACTTGGGTGTTACGGAAAGCACGTTACATTGGGTTTTGTACGAGTAGATGAAGATACCCCTTGCGAAATTCTCTGACAGGAATCAAGCATGGATGTGACATGAGGCTGTAGATTTGGGAGGGAGAATTGGTGCTGCAGGAAACTTCGAAATTCCTTGCTGTTATGGTTACGTATCCTCACAAGGTTAGATGTCTTATCCTTGGTATATCTTAGTGAACGTTGACTAGCTAATAATAGGTCGTAAGAACTGGGCTACGCTAGGCGCTAATGAGCAATGGACAGCTGAAATATACCAGTATTTTGCAGTGTTTCCATCTCATATATAAGGAAGAGGGTATGGCGGCGATGTATGGTGGCCTTACTCCCTATCTTTTGCGTTCAGTACCGTCTACTGCTATCATGTTTGGTGTTTTGAAGCTGTGATGAAATTCCTTGAGTCTCGGTTGAGTGGAAACAAAACGGTCACTGCTAACAGTAGACAAGCCTTATGAAAATTATTGTGTAAACATATAGACTGTACGCTAGATAAGTAATGGAAATAAATGCTGCCACATACTTCATTGCGTGGTCCATCCTGAACCGCCCTTCTCTCGTGGGTCATTACGGCTACGACGTCACGTTCTGTCGTTTAAACCCCTATCCGAGCCGTTTTGCAGCCTTCCTAGTAGCCAGCTGTTAGAGTTTTGCCACGTGCAACAAAAGCCAAATGCATTAGTTGAATGATTGATTTATTCATACTGGGATCCAGCTGCTAAGATCTGCAGCTATTCCAGAAATGGCAGTAATAGCTAGAAACCAATAATCTGTGTGGTTGCGAGCAAATTTTTGAGCACAATCTCGAAATCCATTGGTTACTGTTCCAGCCCCCGGTGGCCCAAGGCAACGCCTGTTGTCAACGACCTATTCGCCAATCACGTTTAATAGACGTATCTTATTATAATTACCTAGGTGGTATACTAAGGGGTACAAAGGCTACCTAGGTAGGGAGTGCAAAGCCTGACTCAGCAACACGAATCCATCTTCTAACACTCATAACCACTTTCTTTATATCTCGAGTTATCCAAATTTAGATATTCTTTGTACTGGTTATCTATAAAGGGTAGAAGGATTCCTTTAGCAAGTACAGTTTTCATCATTTCAACACTCTTCCAAATTTAGGCCTCTCTATACTTATATTCACCACTTCCATCAAATCACCATCAAATCACCATCAAATCACCATCAATTCTATCCTTTTAAGACTTCTACAATTTGTTCACTATGGATCTCACGGTGGTCATCATTCCTCCCTCCGCACCTCACACGCATACGGTCATCTTCTTACATGGGCGCGGAGACAGCGCCAAAAGTTGCGCTTCATCGTTGTCTTACTCAAGGGACTCAAGCAGGCGCAGTCTCTCAGAGATATTCCCCTCCTTCCGCTGGGTGTTCCCCCAGACCAAGATGCGGGAGTGCGAAGCCTTTCCTCGCCACAAAATGTCCCAGTGGTTCGATATATGGAACGTGAGCGACTTCTCACAGCATGAGGAGCTGCAAGCGACGGGTTTAAGGGAGAGCGTTGCCAGTATAAGGCGCCTCCTCGTGAGCGAGGCTACCATATTAGGCGGACAATGGGATCACCTTGTGCTGGCTGGTATTAGTCAAGGTGCTGCGACGAGCGTGCATACGTTACTGAATCTCGGTTTGCCGCCGGCTGCGGAAGCTCTGGAGGATCAACAGGTGCCTTGTGCACTCGGTGCCTTTCTTGGGTTTTCGTGTAGGATGCCTTTCCCCGGGAGATCGCTCGCTGAGACCAGGAACGTACTAAGCGTGGAGGCCCCCCGGGACAATAACGAAGTCCTGGACATCGATGAGATCCTACGCAACACGCCTATGTTGCTTGAACACCGCGTCGATGATGCACTCGTTCCTGTAGAAAGCGGCCGGGGCTTGCGAGATACGTTGCGGGGGTTTGGGGCCCAAGTGACGTGGAAGGAATACCGTAATGGAGGACACTGGTTCAACTCGCCGGCCGGGATAGATAATGCTGTGGAGTTTCTGAACAACCACGTTCTTAAGAAGCTGAATGCTGGGGAAATATTATCGAGCCAATTCCATGGTCTGTCTCTAGCTTGATGGGCACGTATCATCCTTGGTCTTAGTAACCACAACCACTCCAGTGACGACTAATTTGAACATCGAAGGGATCCAATAAACCGATGAATGGGTTCGTAATCATGAGGAGGGCGAGGCAAAATAAAAATACATCCACGCCGGCCTTGGTACCATTTGAATTTGGAGTTCTAAGTCATGAAGCTGCCGGGTACGGGTACCAGTGACAGCAACAATGTATAGAGGTCGGGTAAGAAATTGAGCAGCTCTGTTAAACAGTGAATCATTCCAAGAGCTGAGCTTTCATAGTCCGAGTTAGATGCGCCACAATATGCCCAATATAGCTACTTGTCTCAGCCGCTACTTGCCCTTGCTTTGTAAATATATATTGCGCGCCTTCAACCACCTTTCAACCAGAATTTCATTCGGTCTAGTTATAACTCCTCGCTTCTAAGACAAAAGTGCACATTTGCAAATACTTAAACACTAACAAGAAGAGGATATAACGATAACATGTGAATCAGAACCTCTGTAAAAGATAAGGCACTGACTGGTGCATAGAGGACGCCACAACTTGTGAAGAATCAAGATCAACCAAAAACAGGGGTAAGCTCACGGCCTTCTGCGGAGTACTACGTACCTAAGAAGCTTTGGTGATCCATCTGCACTTGCAGATGTTCACAATAAACAAGAGCAGCAGAGACATGCAGAGACATGCAGAATCAATGTTTAAGAGTTCCCCATACGGAGTAGATACATCCTCTCAAGAACGTGCAGAGGATGATTGGTTCGATGTGTCTCTGCTGGTGCCCGCGATGTGCATATCCGTGAATCTGCGAATGCGCAATCGACCTGGAGTGCACGGACTGCAGAGCCGATCGATCATGCGTCGGCACTGCCTGTTACTCCGTCCACCGCCCAGAAGTAAACAAACCAAGGCAATACCCCGGCCCAGATATAGCTCCCGCTGTGCTGATATACAAACAAAACAATGCCATTCAATGCCATCTTTGCGTGAGATTGCTGGTTGTTGTCAACATAACAAGTACAGCCGGCTCTTGCCCCGTCCCACTGGTTTGCATTAGAGGGCCAACAGAATAACCTTGAAGAGAGAGAGACAGGTGTCACTGACAGCAACGTCGATAGCTCGTTGCTACACCAACGAGTGGAGCTGCATCTGATCGACTGAGGGAGCTGGTCATTGGGCGGCAGCTCTCTAGCACACGGCATCTAGACTCAGACTGATCTTCGTCCCAAGCACAAATTCCGATCCAGTTCGCTACCCAAGGTCGCATCGCACGCAGTATTTGACGCAGGAACTAAATATCCTCATGTACATCATCCCGTTGTACCTGTGTTTTGGTGGTGGAAAGAGCTCGAGTTTCCGCCGTTGATAACTGAGAGGTTCCGGTACGTAAATCAAGGTTGAGAAGCTCATACACTGTCGCACATTCCATTGTATCGAAAGCATTCCAAAGGTAGAACTCGAGCTAACATAGGGCATTCTTCCCCCTTTTCAGACATGGCATCTCCCAAAGCCGAACCTCCAGACGATGAAAGCCAGCTTCCAACACAAGCCCGGAGAGAATTCGGTGCGAGTAATACCCCGCGACGTGGCCCTGCTTCCAAGCGCAATGCCACGAACACTCCAAATGCGCCTACCACACCTATCGGGAGGACGTCTGCCCTGAATAACAAGCGCATACCCACATCAGCACCAGCCCGCACGAAGCCCGGCACCAGGAAAGCAGAGCCTACGCTCCTCGGAGATTTCCTACTTGGAAGACCCAGTCCAGCTCGTACAAGGAGGAAAAGTCTCGATGTTGTCAAGGCCGAAATGCGAGAAGATGTTGTGGGGAAGGTGCAGGCGCCTGGTGGAGTGAAGGACCGAGTGAAGCAGTGGCAGAAGACGAGTGCGGCTGCCGTTGTAGCTGACCCTCTTGCGGATGCTGCAAGCCAGCCGGATGATATAGGTGGCTGGGAGAATGAAGACGATGAGAGTGTTGATGAGCGGGAGCGACAGAGGATTAAGTTTCGGGCGGCCAGGCGGCCGAGCGGGAGGAGAAAAAGCAAGGACGGAGTAGAGAGTGTCCCCAAACAGAACGCTGTTGCTCCGAAAAAAAGGGTGATAAGTGATTCGCATTGGATGAAAAATAAGAAGAAAAGTCCATTGGGGAAAGGAACTGCAATTCCGAAGGATTTCCTGAAGACGACGGCTATAAACCCTCCACTAGAAAAGAAAATTGAGGACTGGGTCAAACGGACAGAAGGCGAAGAGCCCGTAACTCAAAAGCCAAAGGATAAGCCACGAAATCGAAATACTCCCAGAAAATATACCATGGATGACGGAATTCGAGTGGCGCCTTCGAGTACAACTTCTCGGGAAGATGGAATCCGGGTGACTCCTTCAAAACATCATGAAGAATCCCAGCCTAATAGCTATGAGGATGATGGTATTCGAATCACGCCTTCCAATGGTCTAGCAAAGGAGGGTTCCCGTAATGAAGGCGCGAAAGATGGCAGCATTCGGCTTACACCTTCAAAACAAGATTCCCAGGACGATAGCATCCGGATAACGCCTTCCAAAGAGAGCTTGGTGGAGGATGGCGTTCGGGCTAGGCCTGTACGGAAGGATACAAATAAGAGGAGACCTAACCAGTCTGGTTTGGAAGATGCTCTGTCAAGAAAGAGCCGCGGCAAGAACTTGAATGCTGGCTCTGGGTCGAAGAGCAAACGCATGGCCAATTCTCAGACGGCGGTAGAACATGGCGAGGAGGACGAGGATAAGTTCTCTTGGATGACACCGAGCCCGCCTGAGAATTCCAAGCGCCGAAACCGAAATTCGCGGACCCCTCCCGAATCACTCGCTGATATACCGTTCGGAAATTCTGCTTTCAGTGTTCTAGAATTGCCGCTTGGTGCTGAAGCTGGCACAATGAAGCGGCCCCCTCCAAAACGGAATCCTAGCTTTGCGGGTGTACCAAAGGCGTTGAAGAAAGTATTCAACGAAGGCATGAAGATCGCTCATGATACAGTTGAACCACCTCGAGGTGGGATAAACCAACCACCGAGCATCGAGTCTTGGTTGAATAATACCTCTGATCCTTTTGTTGACCACTCAAGCTCACCGGCACCTTCATCCCTAGATGTTCCAGAATCCGGATGCTCTCGGAAGCCGAGCTTCAAGCAGGATGATCCGTCTGAGAAAGCGCTTACCGCTGACCACAATTCCGAACAAAACGACGAAAGACGAAACCCCCGTTCCCGTAGCATTCATGAGCCCGAGGCAGGTACTCCCGAAAAGGCATCGCCCGTTGGGAACCCGAAGACCCGTCAACATCTTCCGAGTATGGTGAAGTCCCAACCAATGGCCCCTACTGGCCTGAAAAGAAGCCCAGCGGCTCGAAATACGTCGTCGCCGAAGGCCAAGAAGCTGCCTCTCAAAGACGCGTTCATTGATGCTTTCAGGGGCGAGTCAACAACCTCACGTCCAAGAAGTGGCTCCAACCCATTTGTTGACATCACTGGCCTTCGAGAAAGGGATGTCAATAGCGATCTTCCGCATGCTTCAGATGTCAAGCCTAGCCATGACTCTCGTGATACATCTCAAGACACCCCTAGTAAACGCAGTCCGCGAGCCCATCAAAAGAAGGATGTTGAGGACCACCGGTTAGAAAAGCCATTGGCACCGCCCGAGAGAAGGTCTGCTCCAATGACTGGCATGCATAGGTTATCGACAATTTTATCTGTTGAGACTCTTAGCACATCATCATCAAAAACAGAGTCAGCGTCAGAACTCTCGCAAACCACTGTAACCCAGGACACAGTCTACACTGGAACCACAATGTCGAGCCTGTCACGTAGCAGTCAAAGAAGCAATAAACAAGGACTGAAGAGGCGACTAACAAAGCATTCAGATCTAGTCTCCATGCTGTCTCTACCGGATGCTGTCGAACCAGGAAGAGCAAAGAGCATAAAGTCTGCTCGCAGTATTCGTACGACAAGGACTCATCTTGATACGGCCACCGTGCAAGATCTTATGCGAGAATTGGCCGAGGATGAGGTTAAATATATGCGAGAGTTGAAAACCTTGGTCGACGGGGTGATCCCCGTGTTATTGACGTGCCTCCTCTCAAAATCCGACTCAGCGATTGCCGCAGGGCTGCTTGACCCCAACCACGATATATCTGACGCCGCTTCATTCACAAAGCCCATCGTTGATATGGGCGTTGCTCTTGAAAGACTAAAAAGCTTACACAAACGCATTCCGCTCACTGACGCCGATGCCTTTATCACTTGGGCTCACACCGCACATAAAACATATGAAGACTATCTTGCTACTTGGCGGGCTGGTTTTAACGACGTCGTGGTCAATCTTGCGCCAGCATCACCTTCCGCGTCTGCACAAGAGCAATTAGATCTTGACGATATCCCAAGAAATATGGATGGAGATGCTCTTGGCTCGAATGGTGAGCGCGCGGATGTTGCTTACTTTTTGAAGAGGCCGCTGGTTAGAGTCAAATATCTGAGCAGAACGACAAAGGTAAACACCCACAGTTCTCTGTTTTAGATCACCTAAACTAATGATGTATAAGGGATTGAGCAAGTTAATGGATTCAGATATGGCTCGGAAGGTCGAAGAGAAATATAGAAAGCTCACTCAAGTGGCTCGACGTCGGCACAAAGAAGAGCAGGCGAGACTTGAGAATGAAAAGGCTAATAACACTGATACCACGAGAGCTCGAGACCCGAGAACCTTGGATCTCGTTGAGGGCATAAATATCGATCGATCTAGGCAAGTCTGCGCAAAGGACTTGTTCTCCTTGGATCTCCAGCACTCCAGTGGACAACGTCTCGGCTGCCGTGTCGAATTGATATTGCGCGACAAGCCCAATGATACAGGCGATCTCCTAATCTGCGAGGCCGACGAAGCGGCACGGTTTCTTCTATTTCCTCCGATCTCGCAAGATCTAGTATCAGCTCGGCTCGGTGAGACTACTGATCAGGTCGTTGTCATGATCAGGGGTATCAGAGGAGTTGATGAATGGGATGAGCTCCTGCTCCTCGAGGCTGAATTTCCCGAGGCTGCCAAAGAGTGGATTGAAATGTTAGGCACAGAACCTGCTCCTCCTGAAGTTAGGAAGGATGCCACTTACATCGATCCGCTTGATTTACTAGTTTCAACTATTACAGGTACAAAGGAACCGAAGAGCTACTACATGTCAGGAGCTCTTGATCTACAGGACCCCCAGATTCCCATTGGAGAAAGCATCAGACGAGAGGCTGAACAGATTGAAAGCTCTCCAATACAGGACCGACAACGGGTATCTAGACGACAGGCAGGGACGTCCAACTCCATGCCGGAATCCATCAAAGAAGAGTCAATTATTAGCGAAGATATTAAAGATCTTAACGATGCGATGAACAAAGCTGGATCCCCTACAACTTTACCGCAGCGGCAGAGAGCTGCCAGATACCATGGCCGAGTCAATAACTCGCGGCCTACAACACCTCAATCTGACCCAGTTGACAGTGACTCGGAGCAGACCACACCTACACAGGCCCGACACGCAGGAAATAACACGAATGACCTTGACTTCTCTCCTATGGACGAGCTTTCCATTCCCAAGAGGCGTACTCCATCCACTACTCCTACTCGGGATGACGGTGCGCCCCCGCCTCCAGCTCACAGAACGCCAACAACTCCGTCCACACTGAAGAAGGCACCAATTCTTGATACACCTACTCCCCGAGCAAACAATCGACGTACATCGTCCCCTCTAAAGCATGAATACCAGCTCTCCAATGCATCTGGGACTTCTTCTGCGGAAGAAGATTCTGATTCTCAAGATAGTGACACATATACCGAGTCATCCTCCGAGGAAGAACTTGAAGCTGCTGATGTTCCCGGACCATTGCCTATATATGGAAGACGTGTATCGCCTTCTGGCTCTATCTACAGTCTCCCAAATACAACACTAGCCCCGTCAAACTCTGCTTCTCAAGCCCCATATCGCCAGGCTCCGCTTGAATGCTCAGCAAAGGATACAGATAAGCATACGGTTATGAGCATCTCCTATTGGAATGACAAAGGCAAATGGATCGATATACAGTCTAGTCCTTGTTCCGTTGTTGTAGGTCCTGGATGGGTCCGGGCATTTAACCTGGACGAATCCCCTCCTACTATCTCTCCTGGCGCAACCCCCCCTTCTAGCACTTCGGATGGGACCGAGGATGACAGCAGAGTGGCACCAAGACCTCTAGTGGCGCAAGAACTTACACCAAACGTGCCTATGCAAAGACATATGATTGATATTCACGTCCGTTCGCCCTTAATGACAGAATCCACCCTAAAGTGCAAGGGCATTATGATCAGATACCATGTCCTCACGCCCATTGACTGTATTCGCCTTTACCAAGCGCTGTACGAATCAAGCAAGAACAACATGGTTTATAATAAACTAGAGGAGGAGCGTAGGGTCAATGCTTTTGGGAGTCAGCCACTCGCCACGAAGAACCGAAGGGGAAGCTGGTTTGGTCGCAGGAATAGCTACCGTGCTTCAGCCCGTGCCCCATCCGAGATGGCCTCCGAACAGAGCGGAAAGTCTTCTTCGTCTAGACTCTCGGCCCTTAAACAACGATGGAGAGGCGGAAATGCATTTAACATCGCTAAATCCTCTGTTAATGTTGCACAGCGCGGGAATGGGGATGGATCCGGGTCGACCAGCCTCTATTCCTCGGATGCTGGACTCACCCCCCCTCGAACGCCTATTAGCGGCAGTCTGTTTTCCGGCACAACCACTTCACAAATGATCGACCTGGGATCTGAAAATATCAAGATCAGGCTTTATGAGCTAGCAACACAGAGCAGATGGGAGGACTATCATTGCGCATTTTTGACTGTTACTCCTCCACCTCCAGGTCGACGTCAGGTATCAACATTGCATCACGGACTCGAGAAACATGTCATTGTCACCCGTAGGCCGCACAACCATCCCGACGGCCCTGGCCAAATACTAGTTGATGAAGTCCTAGGCGCCGGATGCTTTAAGATGCTCGGTGTCAAGGGCGTACTGTGCACCATCTGGCTGGATATCCGCGGACCGAATGGAGAGGTGGGTATGATAGGCGCAAGGGGAGGTGTTTCCGGCAGGCAGCGAAAAGTCTTGTTTCAGACAAACCATGTTGCGCACGCCAACTGGATCTTTAATCTTCTTGCTGCTGGCCATTAAACAGGCAGCTAATCATTTCTTCTGCATGGGTTGCCAGCCAGGTTTTTATGAAGGAACGATCATAACGAATTTTCTTTGATTTTGTACTGTGCCTTGCGATACTTTTGCATAGTAATGCATATAGGGTATCCATGGAGTTTTATGTCTTTTGTATTGTATGCATTTGGGCGGATAGCGATGCGACGGTTGCCCTTGTTCTAGCACCGTATATTTGCATTTAGAGGGGTGGGGGTATTCATCTTCGATGGGCGGATGGATGGAATGGCGTTTAACATGGCATAATTCCACGAAGATGTAATCATTGCAGCAATTGAATTGAACTACTTTATCAGCCCTAGTTTAAATGTATACCTTAAACCTGTGCGTTAAAGATAATTAATCGACTCGTGCTACCAAAAGGCTTGAGAAAATAGTACCAAGTGGAATTGTGCACATTCCACAAGGACCGACTATATGTGTTCTATTCTACCTTCTGGTAGCAAGAGGTATGCCTGTTTAGCTGGGTCTCAAAGCCGGGGATCGACTCTGAACTGTTACTAGCCAGCCTCCTTGAATAATTTATAGCAGACAAGATATGTTAGGATTGATCCGTTTCAGTACGTGCAATGTGAGTGGACATATGATGGATGCAACACTTTTCTTATTTTTGATAGACAACCCTATGTAGAACGAGACCTGGACGCCAGGACCTGTAGTTACACCAGATAGAGAAATAACAAGACAACCTTCCATATCCTGACAAGTGAAAGCGCAGACCGTAAGCAGAATTTTGGACACTAGGTTCCCCAATAGAGGATGCGCCTGATAGCGTCCTGAGCGATTAAGAGAAAATCCATGGGCGGAAGGGGGGGCGGTCCTAGGTGGTCGAGCGGACATAACGTCCCACGACAACACAATGATCTCTCTCGAACGGCTCTGTGATGGACAATTAGCAACTAGGAGCAGACGAGGAAATGCAGGAGGGTTGAAGAGACATACCAAGCGTCAGTTGCTCTAAAGGCTTAATTCTCTCCTCTCTCAGCTTCGTTACCTCATTCGCGAATACTTGCTCTGCTGGTGCGGTACTGTCGATACAGTTTGCCTTGATGGAAATAACAATGCCTCCTCCGACCTTCAAGAACAGATGCGCATTCAATCCAACAATACGGGCTTGATCGGGTTGCGCAACATCTGCAAATATGACATCGACCATGGAAACTAACATTCGGTACCGTAGAGGGTGGCGAGCGTCCTCGATGATAGGGATGACGTTAGTGCGGTGCGTAGCCATGTTGATCAAGTCACGGCCGGATCGGTGAGAAAACTCGACTGCAAAAACGGTACCGGTAGGGCCAACAATATCTGCAACATGGGAAACGGAAGTTCCAGATGCAGCACCGAGATATAAGACTTTCGCGCCGGGCTTGATGAAGATTTCGTCGAGACCGCCCAAAACACCTGCTGCTAACTTGCTGCGGAAGGGATTCCAGACGCGGTATTCGGTCTTGGTGACATTGGGTGTGCCGTCTGCATTCACGGAGCCGGAGTTCTCGACACTGATACGCTTCTCGCCGTAGACTGATTCACCTGGGCAAAGGTTCTTGGTCACCAACATGTCTTCCTTTCCACGGGCAACGAAAATGCCTGCATGACGATGGGGTTCCTACTCATGTTAGGAATTGAGATCTGAAGAGCGTGAGATGCACAACATACAACAATAGTCTTTGCTCCTCCTCGGGCACCTGCTCCTCCTCTTCCTCTGGGTGCACCACGGCCTCGTGGTGCGCCTCTGCCTCCTCCACGTCCGCCGCCTCTGCTATCACCTCGACCTCCTTACCCTCCGGTCAGCTACCCTTGTTCTCATAATGTTTCTTGAACCTGAAACGCAAACAATGATCCAATGCCCAGCCAGCCATTCAGAACCTCTCAATTGCTGAACAGGCAGCTGAGCATTGCCCAGAATGGAGTGTAAACTAACCTCGTCCACCACCTCGAGAGAATCCTCCTCTTCCACCACGGTCGCCTCCACCTCGAGAGAATCCGCCTCTGCCGCCACGGTCGCCGCCGCGTCCTCCTCTGGGTGTGAATGCCATCGCTGTATTAAGTTGTAGGAATTTATGGCGGGGCAAGTGTGTGTTGTGTGGTGCTTGACGGAGATAGAGCGATAGAGCTTAGATTTCGAGATTCGCTGTGAAATTTTATTTTTTACCGATCGAAAGCTCCCACCAATAAGCGAGCTCAGAGCTAGCGGAGTGGGGTTTGGAGTCACGTGGTGCCCAGTCTCCACCCGCAGAACGAATTCTTGCTCTTCGTCTCTTCATTTGGTCTTCATTCCAAGGTGGATCGGGTCTTTAGGAGCCCAGGCTCACTCCTACTCGTGGATGCCACCCTCTCAATACAACTCAGAACGAAACTTTGGGAAACCATCCTCACTACGCTGACTGGAGGTGATTGCTGCTGCTGTCCATTGCGCATGAGCGATCTTCGAAACTCAGGGCTTTGGCATTGGCTTTGATGGTCATTGAAACAAAAGATCCGTGGGGCGCGGCATTCGAAAATCTACCCATGACAGGAAAGGCAAGGCCTTGAGTTCAAAGTCTCTGATGATCTGATCGCACCTTACTATCGTTTGTTCTTCTAGTAAGTGGCGTCCCGAAGGCAGCCAGAGTTTGGTATGCAAGTTTTAACTTACCTTCCATCAATCAAGGAGGCTCATGGCCCCTTCAAACTGTTCCTAGCCCTACAAGATGCGTACGGAGGGGAGTACTCTCCGTCGGCCCATGAAAGCCAACTACAACTACACATGTTCGCAAATTACGGAAGTGTCAAGGCTCGTTCGAGTGAACAGCCGGCCACTTCCGGGAATTCGTGTGATTGCGTGGATACTGGTCCAAGTTATCAGACGGTTCATCTTCTTCTGGGCCTGTTTTGAGGCAATCCCCGTCACATGCCCGCTGGTTGCCCCCATGCCAGGCTGCGGCATCTCTTCTCTTCCCTTCTCTTCAGACGTCATGGATCACTGTCACTTGCTTATGGCTCGGGTTCAGTCGACCCCAGCATTGGCAGCGGAACGGACCAGATGGGGGGACAACGCTGTATGGCCAATCCAACAAACTTCCTTGGGATTAGTTCAACATCTATCATCTCTATCTTGCAAATACACTCTTCGCGTGACTTCTCACTAAGATATCTCACACCGTCTGCGTCGCACAGTGGCCAAAATCCGGCCATTTAAGCTGCCGGGTTTCGCGTAGGTCTCAGCTCTGCCACCGAGACAGGGAGCTACCCCGCCAAGTCTTTCTGCGCTCGTCCTTTAAACCCCCAATTGCCCTTCATTCACTTCCATTGGTTAATTCTTGTTCGATGTTTATTTTTATTGGTGCATGTTCCACGGTTTGCTCACATTCCGTGCCATTTTTCATGGGATGGTGTCTGTGCATCACCACGACATCAGACGCACTGAGGTCTATGATGATGGCACCGCCATATGCCACCAGCACAACACTCCCCTCAGGCTCCCACGTACGACTTCCGGCATCTATTCGATCCTTGACATATGCATTGAGTTCAAATTGTCAAGGGCAATACCCAGAACGGAGCTACCTGTGTCTGGAATGAGCCTAATTCGATTAAACTCGGCTTGCCGAGCCTCTAGAGCAGCCTCATGAGCGGAAAATGATGGTTCCGAAGAAATCATACACCAACATTTGAAATGCCGGGTCAGTATATTAACTCTGGCAGCCCGTCCCATCGAAAGTACTTTTGATCAGCACGCTTTCAATCTTACAACCAGCCCACCCTCCAGTCCCTTCATTCCTTTCAACGAGCGCCCTAGTGGCCGCCACAGTCTTTTTTTTATTTAAACAAACAACCTTCTAATATATACCTACCTACTACCCTCGACCTATCTATCATCATGCTCGTCCCTACATTGTCTGTGTCCGTGTTGGGATTTGCGGCGGGTGTCTTTGCTGGTCAGTTTATTTCGATTCCGATCACTTACCATTTGGCTAACTCGAATTCGTAGCTCCTCATCTCCATTCTCGACATGAAATAGTTGCGCGGGAGCCGGCTGAACATGCTGAGAGGGGCCTTACCTGGACCCCAACAAAGCGATCTCGATCGAACGGGTTTAATGCGTTTAATTCGCTTGGAAGCTTCAACAATGTCAACAATGTGAACTTCATCCAAGACTTCAACCAGTTCAGCCAAGCAACCACGGTGGTCATCACCGAGATCCAGCAGAATTCGATCAACCAGCAACAGCTTTTGTTGGAACAGCAGCTTTCACAGCTCATCCAACAGCAGTTGTTCGCTCTCCAGTCACAAAACTTCCTCATCGATAACATCCGAAGAAACCATTTCAACAGCAGGAACAACAATGTGGTATGTCATATCAACCGTCCTGTTTTTAGTACATGATCTAACACTTTTATAGAACACTATTATCCTGATCTGCCAACAGGTCCTCGATAACCGAAATGGCAACAACAACAACAGATGGTTCACTCGTCAAATTCAGAGCAACCCCAACATTCAACAGCAGGTCGTGGTCGTTATCCAGGATAACAACGTCCTAAACCTCGGCAACTTCGGCAACAACGCCTTCGTCCCTAGCGGGACTGAACAGTTTGCTGCACAAGCAACTGGAGGCGCCAACTTCGAAGCCCCTGTTTTGGGAACCTATCAGCCAAACTCATCGGTGTTCCAAGGCTTCACACAGAACGTCGCTCTCCTCCCAGCTGGCGTGCAACAGCCACAGTTCGGTTTCGGCAAGGTCGGCGTCGACCCAGCTCTGATCATCCTCGAGAACCAGCCAATGTCCATCTCATTCGGACAACAACAGCAACAATCGATCGACGCACAAATCCTAAACATTCCATCATTCGCCGCGTCTAGTGTCGGTGGAAACACGCTCATCATCTGAGCGGTGAACAATGTGAAGGCAGTTAGGGGTTGAGGTGCAATCATCATAATGTATATAGTCAATACTCGAGCGTTGGAGCTAGGTAGAGGGAGGGAATTCTATGATTGTCGACGGTAGACCCGAGGCATGAATAGCGGGGGAGGGTGAAGGCCTGGGTTGGGGGGGGAGGGCGAAGGTGAAGGCGTAGGTGTGTGGGTTTTTGTTAGCCATTATCGGAAATGAAATTGGTTAGAAATAGGTATAATGTGCATTCTTCAACCACCTAGCCAAATGTGCAATGTCCATCATTTCGCCCCAACTCTCTGCTCTCGATATGGCATGTTACGCTCTACTCTACCCCGTAGAAACGTGCATATGCTCTCCGGTCAGTCATTCGAAGCACAGAACCGTCCTGTACCCAAGCGTTGACTGCCGTTGTCAGGCCAGGCAGGGGAGGCAAGCTTCGGTCAATGCATTGTGATCGAAGCTTATGTAGACCCTGGCGTCGGGGTGCGGATGGCATATTGGAACGGGGGCAAGTTTTGTCTGGGGACATATCTGAGACGACCATTCGGCATTTTTCCCATGACCGGCGCCGTCCTGCAGATGGCCCCTTGGAACTTGGTTGGTGACGGGTGCCAGGAGGGGTCGCGGCCCATACCCCGCCATGGAACGCGGGTATGGATTGGAATTTGCAAGTACAGCACAGTACAGTACAGTATGCTGCGATGGACTGGTCGAACTGGCGCTCGAACGTGGATGTTGTGCTGTATCCAGTCGTGCTCCATTACATTACCCAGGATGTCGCGCCTTAGGCACCAAATGCCGCCAATTGGCCAAGCCCGTTGACGAGATGCCTGACGTAGTGTCGTGCTGGAGCGCATTACTCGCAACAGTACTTCGACCTGTACTGTACATGTACAGTCAGTACCCCCATCCTCGTCGACAACCAACACCACCGTCATTTCGCGACACTCACATCAACGTTACAGTAATGGCTACCTCGGCCATAGGCAATACGCGGCAGCTTCCCAATTCTTGGCTCCATCGACGAGGTCTTGGGTCTATTTATCTATTTCCCTTTCAATTTCAATTTCTATTTCAATTTCTATTTATGGGCTTCAGGTAGCACTTCTGCCCTTCCAATTACCTGCCTGTTTGGATCAAACCCGCCCGTCAGCGAGAACACCAACGTCGCTCACCACCCCCCGGCGCATCCGGAACAAGCACATTAGGACAAAACAAAAGCATTGGGGACCTCGACGGCGAACAACGGCGTATCTCAACAAGGGAAAATGGCATTGAAAGACCGATTGCGTCGCGCGATGGGTCGCTCCGAACCATCCCCGATCGAATATACCCGTTCAACATCCACCATAAATCGTTCTCGCTCCACTAGCACCCCCACATCCACTCCCACTTCCACAGCCTCCTCTTCACCTCCCATCACACTTATCAAGACAACATCCTCGCGGCTGTCAAAACGATTCACATTTCAAAGCAAGGCCAAGCGCGAAGCGAAGAGCCGGCAGCGATTAGAGGATTGGGAAAGGCGAGATGCTGAAGAATGGAATGTGCCGACGGTTAAGCGTCCCGGGCGTAAAAGCCAGCACCATCAAGATATACTAAGGACCTTTGAGTGGCAATTTGGGAGGAAGAGCAGGGATGGTGTGCCGAGGCGGAGTGCGAGTATTTGGAGCGGTATTAGTCCGGGTACTAGTATGATGGAGACTACGGATGAGGGGGGTTTGGATAGGGTATTATCTGTGAATAGGAGTGAAAGGAATGGGAGGGCAGGACAACAGGTTCCGGGGAACGCTGAGCCGGGCAATTAAACGCAGTTGGGAATTTAGGATCAGGATCCTAATAGAATAGGCAGCCGGCGCCAATTACGATCGACGAATGATTACCACGATAGAGGCTTGTACATACGAAGCTTTGGTTCTACATTGGGGCTTTTAAGTCTCCGACTACCCCATTGGTTTCTCGTCAACGATACCTAGGCAGGATATGGGAAACGGCATATGGAGTTTGGATATTGGAGTTTGCATCACAGTGCAGGGACTGGTGGTGGGGTGGACGTAGGGTCTACGAACAAGAACATAACATTAGGAACCATGCCGGTACGAAAATACATATTTGAATTACTTGTAAAGCACTCGCTAGTTGGGTTGATTTCCCCGATATAGTACTTGGACTCGTCTAACGCTTCCAGTAAGTTATCCGATAGCGTGATCACGGCCGCGTCTGCTCTTGTCCTGCGCGCAGTTTACCACTCTAGTCATGTCAAAATACGGAGGGAAAAAGACCACTTCCGGTCCATGAGAACCCAGCTTTAGAGGGAATCGTGAAGTGTAGCCTAGTGGTGTGCATTTCCCCCCCCCCCCCCTTGTTTGCTCCCCATTATCTGACGATATCCCTACTCCAGATTTAATCCTTGAACTTTCTTTGTTAGTTTTTGCCAATCCTTCGAATACCTCAAGTTTGCGACCATATGCACAAGCTCTCTACTTGCAATTATAATGGGCAACGACAACAATCTGCATGAACCTCTGGCCGCCTTAGCCAATATTGCTAGCTTTAATAGTATGCTAGTATGCAACAATTAGATTCTCCGTATTTCTCATCGTATTGCGATGTATCTGTCGGCTCACGGCTTAAGACAAGTAAGTTCTGTAGAGATACAGAGATCGAAGATTTACATCTCTCGTTACCTGTCTTCGGTCTTTTTTTGAAACTATGTCTCGTTTCTAATACGGAAAGTTACTTTCAACTCTCAATCCTGGTTGTCTATACTGGACTAGTTACCAATTCAAAAAATCTATCTAAAAACGTCCAGTGGACTATATTTGACAACGCAGCTACATTTACAACACATATCTCTAGTATTGCTAGTCACCATTGTACTGAGAAGACGATCGTTTACCTTGGCATGCAGCACAATCATAATACTAAATCCATAATGCGTGTCGGTCTAGTGCCAAGTTCCAAGACACGGTTAGGGACGAAGGCTACCTTGGGGCATAAAGAACATAATTAATCCTTTGAGATTATCAACGGGTCTCGGTAATAGGACGGGCTCCCTACTGCCTCCAAAATGAACAAATTTATTCGTCAGCTTCATCGTCCCGTATAACAACCAGTACTATGGTAACCGAATATGCCTACAAGTATGGCATTCGGTTCATTTTTGCGCTTAGCTAGTTGGCTAAGGATTTCTACAGCAATAGATATCAAAGCATAAGCCTTGTATTGTGAGGGATATGAGGGATAGGTAGGTGACCCTTTTGGTGCTTGGTAACAATTCAGAAAGCCTTTTACATTATTTCTAAGGGTTTTATCGGAGTGTTTAATAGTCCCAGGGACAGAGAACGTGTAAAGCTTTATGTTAGAAAAGACTTGCCGGATAGGTAGGAAAGGAAAAGGGGAGCGGATCAGGTGACGGTGTTCCTAATAGGGAAAGGATAGCCGAGGCTGACTATGGATCAATACTACGTACACCGGACGTCTCTCGTTTCGAAACCAAGATACCAACATCACTCCAGCTGAAAGCCCAACCAGAGATCCATATCTGCTAATTTGTTATTCGGGAGGCGAACATCCGAGGAAGCCGATATTCTATGCCGATCTCGGGATACTTCCTTGGTTATTGGAACGGGATTGATTTGTCTCGAGCCGGTTCTGTAGACGCGTCCCCAACCACCTTCATCCAATTCCAGACGGGACACCGGCCCGATCGCATCCCCGTCTTAGTCCCTACTAATTGGCAGATGGTGCTGATTGTTATATATCACCTGGTTTACTTATAAATTCCCCGCCCTGTCCGCCAACGTGCTGTTCACGTTCTCAAGCTTTGCAGCACCACCAGTATGGGTGCTCGTGCGTGGTCTGATGCCGTTTTCCTGTTTTTAAATACTTTGTTTACTGATCTTGCAAGGTTTGGTGAAGTTATACGGAGTCCTCCTACGTATGGTTGACCTCCTTGCATTATTTTTGCTTTTTATCTGTTTCTCCGCCCCCTCCGGGATCTTGCTTGTTGATAATCTACGCAGGGCCATGGAGCCCATGTTGATGACCCGACTGTGGCAAGTGCAAGAGCCTCGATCATCTACTTTAAAATTTGTGGCTGGTTTCACCCGCCATCCTCAGAAATTTCCGTTAGCTATGAAGTACAGAGTATGGTGCGGCAGTTGTCATCCTGTTATCAACAGCCCTGTCATCCGAAAACGGGCTGGTTTTTAGGGCGCTATTAAAGATTTGAGGAAGGTTAGTGCTAAGCTGCTGCCCCGGATCACCATTGCATTTGTGCGACAGCGACTGACTGCAAATCATGGCCACCTACAGACCAGCATTCAGCACCAGAACTTCAAGCTTGAGAGCTACAATTCCAATACTCTGGAGCTCTCTCCTGCCCACTAAGTTATTTTTTGAAGTTCGAGGCCGTGGAATATTATCACGGCCACACCCCATAGACCCCCCACTCTAGTTATGGTATCTATGATGATTTGCTGATCAGATCTCAGGGCGATAGCAAACTACCATGCTTCTCTCAACAATGAGTGGCTTGAAAATGGAAGCTTATGCTCGCCGTAGCCATTACATGAGCCTCTCCTCTCAAATCGTCGTCTCCTGGTCACGATGGCCTTGAGATTTCAGCCAAGATGTTGGAACGAGTTAAAGTCTCCAATAATGCAGCATCAACCTTTTCAGATCAAGAGGCTCGCGCCGCGTCACCGCAGAATCCACGAATCTACGACCTCTCATCTTGACTGGCATAGACCTGGAAACGGGACGAGAACGTGTTGTGGCGGCAGCGTGTATAGCTTTACCGATTTTATGCGGGGAGCCCATGTTTTGTTTGCCTGTGGCTTTGCTTTGATTGATCCAAGTCGCTCGCAGTTTCCCGGAGCTATTATTTATATCCATACTAGGCTGTAGCGGTCAAATCGGGCTGCAATAAGCGAATTTGTCGTCGAGTTTTAACTCGGTCAAGCAAACAACATCGCCAGATCCTCCATCTCCACCAGGCTGCAGTCCCCATACCCCGTGTTTCCAATCCAGTCAACATCACTTCCGAAGAATGTTAGAGTTTTGCTATATTGCGCACGGCCGCACCTACATCACCCCCACAGCAAATGTAAATGGAGGATGTAGATTCTTCGTACCGCTGTATCTCAATAAACGGCTTCTAACATAAAGGCTCCCGGCCCTGAGCATGTCCATACCCCAGCGGCGGGGAAGCAATAGGCACATATCCGGAATGCGGGCACCATTGCAACCGTGATACGCGGTTCTCTTTGCCTATTTGCCATGGGGCGGGAATTAGGGTGACTGTTGTTTCTTCTTTGGAGCGCCTACTACCAATGCGATCCCGAGTACCTGGTTTTGCGCGCCAAGGCGTCCACACTGTTACGTTCCGTATAACTGCTTTCATATCTTTCCGCCACCCCACCCTTAAACCCCGACTTGCCACGCAGCATCAAGGCTTTGGAGGCCACATAAACTGCCGGACTTCTCTCACGCTTGCTTTGAGGCCCTCATAGGATGCGATGGCGTCACTGTAAGTTGCCTGGATTGTTGGTGGCGGTTGGTGGCAAGCATCACTCATAGGTCTCCAAAACGTGTCTTGGGCTATCGTTACTCGCGTCTGTTGGGCATGGATAAAAATACTCCCCTGCAAATAGGTCGGTTTGTTTTGGCGGAGTATATCATTGCAGAACGCCCAGTTATAGTGACCGATTGCATATGCATAGATATGTGATTGAGGAAGGTGTGGCTGTGTTCCGGAAACCTTACCAGGATAATGGCAGGATTCAGCTAGGCCATATAAGCTTGTTGAAGCAGTCGAGACTCGGCCCAACATTTGGTCACATTTGTGCTTTTTCCATGTTACGGGGATGTGATAATAGAAATACCTCTCTTCCTTAGGAGCACATCCTCAAAAACAGTTGCTTTCTTCTCTTCAACTCCATTTAAGTAATGTCGCTCAGCAACCTATTTTGCCCTACTAACATATCCATCCATCATTGCTCCGTTCTATCGCACTTAACTACTGTATCCTTTTCAACTTGAACTACTGCCAAAAACATCATGACGCCTACCTCTCCTCAATGTCTCCAACCACGATCACCTGTTCCACCGGGTAGGGACACTGGACTCTATTATATTAATGTTGCAGGATTACCCTGGCAATGCCCATGGCAAGACTTGAAGGATCTCGCCCGAGCTGCCCAAACTGATGGAACATGTATCAACGTTGAGCATGCAGTAGTGTATCCTGGCTCCACTAATGGCTGGGTCAGCATTCGTGGAGGAAGGGATGAGTTCCTAAAAGTGTTGGGTAGGAGAAGAACTCTTCCCAACGACACAGAGACTAATATTTTGAAGCACATCTAGATGGGGGGATTCTTGATAATCGCTCCTTGATTGCTGACGGACGCAATGAGACCGAGTGGGTCCATCTTCGGGACCTTGATACTTTACAGTCTCGAAAACACCGAGTCAATAAAACATCCACCGGCGGCCCTTTCATGCCCTCTCGCTTTTCTTGTGAACAGCCAGCCACTCCACCCCAGTGCTCTTACACATACGTTATTCCAGACCCATCTTTAGCAGTAGGAAATCAAACCCTGAAACACCTTTGACCGAGCTAATATTTTCCAGTGGCACTTCCCACACCCCTCAGCTTGTGGCAACTATTCTCCAATACTCCCGACAGGATTTGTGGCCCCTATGATGCAATTTCCGAGTTCAGCAACTGAATACTACCCGGGGGCGCCTGTATCAGTTATACATCCAGAACCGAACAAGATCATTATCAAAAAGCTTCCGTGTGGAATCAATGAAACTTACCTTTACGATTTTCTCCAACAGAGGCTACCACCAGATTGCAGCACTATTCAAACCGTCAAAATAGCCCGTCACTCTCCGAAAGAACCTAAACGACATGCATTTATCACGTTTGATAGTTATGCTGCTGCTCAAACTGCGGTGACAATTCTAGATGGGACCGAGTCTTGGGGGTGCTATCTACAGGCACGCTTGGTCAGGGAAGGGGCGTCTCCTACCAAAAGACATGCTCCACAGCGGTCACTCGCTTCCCGAACGCGAACAATACCGAATCCGCCGGCGCCGGTAATTACCAGCAATTTCTCGGACGATTCCCAACAAAAAGTGTCCCCTGTTGTTTCTTCATTGATGGCATATTCAAACTGTTCGAGATCACCGGAGCTGGAGTCCCCATCAAACTCTGATGACATAGTTTATACAACCCCGGCTGTTGTGGATGGATCTTCGAGGGCTGTAGTAGCTAGTTTGGGATAATATAAATACTTAGGTATCTTTATGCCGTATTACAGCTTTGGATATCAACTTATTTCGTTATATTTTCACCAGCGGATTACGGTCCCCTATACTTGTGACGACAAGGCGTATTAAATGTGCATAGTTTAATCACAGCCGGCTTGCTCCGCCGGAATATATCAGTACCGCAGGTGAAATACATCTTTTGGATCTCGGATTTATAACTGCTTAAACACCTCTACCTGGTCATTCCTCCTGCCCCTTTCACGCAATTACAGGTTAGTTATACCTCTTACTGCTCTCATAGCAATAATATTAATAGCTCACAGGCACGTATTTGGAAGAAGAGCTCGTTCATAGAGTTACGAATATCGAGACTGGACTGCACGAGTTTAAGTCGGGAATGTACGAGTACAAGATGGGAGTGAAGGAGTCTGACATCGAGAGGAAGGCCTTCTTCTATGTATGGCCTTATGGCTAGCTACAGACCACGCACTTGCTACGCCTTGGTCGGTGATTTTCGCCAGTTAGGCCCATACTTTATGACCGCGGATAATCCTGACTTTCCTAACCTGTTCTATCGGGCCGCGACTCACTCTGTACTCGCACTTGCTCGTGACAATCGACTGAGCATCATCACTTTCTATCAGCAAAACCGTATGTGGACACCCCACCTAGCGGCTTGGATTTCTCATAGAGCCTACTATGGCATGATATAGGACGGTAACCATGGGCGATCATAGCCACCACAAGTTCCCTTCGTGTAGGAATTCCTTTCTACTCGGTTCGCAATCCAGAAGAAAGAGAATTTTGTCGTCATAGTTACCTCTAGTAGACGGTCATCAAAGGAAGTAGAGGGTACCTCGATGCAGAACCTTCATCATGTTGCCCAAGTCGCAGATGTTATAAGCGATTTCAAGACGTACCTCGATAATGCCAACGTCAAATTCAATAAGGACCATTTCACAGTTATCCATCTCACACCGTATAAAATGCAGCAGATGCTATTCGACTCCTACTAGACGGGCGTCTCTGATCCATAATAGCCACAGATAACACGATACCGTTTTAGCCCATCCTAATTACCAACATTCCTTTATTCGCTAATATTTTGGGACCTTTGAAACAGGTGATGTGATTGACAACAGGTGATGTAATTGACAGTATCAAGGTAATAACAATACAGGAAGTAATTGACATTTAAATTAGAATGATTATACGGTATAGGTAACAGAAGCTCGGCGGATCTATCCGAATTAAATCAACGCAGAAGCTTCTTGTAAAATTTTAGGAACTCTATGTTCTGCTATGCCCCGTGCATCGAATATGGGGAATATCGTTCCTGGGCTTTTGCTTTCTTACTAGAAATGAAGAATTTACAGGGTTGATTTTAATTATTTGCCTTTTATTGAACCTCCCTGTTCAGCCCTTCTCTATCCTCGAGATAGGAAGTACAATAGTGGTAGATAATTTGCATATGTATTATTCACTTCGCTCTGATAAATAGAGGGTATCCGCAAAGGCCATGTCTCAGCGAGGATGGACTACAGTGTAACCTAAAGGATATGGTTAATTGCAGGGTGGGATTTTAGAACAGTTCCTGCCAGTGATGGGAAAGTAAAAGAGAAAAACAGGTACACAATGGTGCAAAGTTAAAAATATTGATTGGAGATTTCTAAGATACAAATACACCGGAGGCCTGAGTAAATTGAGTGGCATATCGGGCGGTACTCATTCATTCGGTACTCCCTAATTAATGTGGATGCTAATTCGTCCACTGTGCCATCACAGGGACGTAAATCGATCGTTCCGCAGAGGTAAGGCTCTTGTAGAGAAAATGCTAATAGTCTCACTAGTTTAAACTCTTTAAATAGCTTCATCCTCCCAGTGCAATACGCCAACTGGGTCGTCATTGGGAACCAATGCAGCTCCCGGGATAATGCCCGATAATGCCCGACCTCTGCATAGTTTCCCTCAAGTTTCCATAATATAATGGCCGTTCACAGCCCAATCCACTACTTTCCCACCGCTTTCCCTTCATAATTCAGGGCTTCTACCTCTATTCCAGCGGTTCCCGTCAGCTACATTTATTATTTGCTCTCTTTCAGTTCGAGCAGTGGAGTTAGGCATCAAAAGCTTGACAACAATGGGTTGTTCAGCTATGTCCTCTCGAATGCTGTACAGCAATCCAATGCATCGTATCCGATGTATCGTTGAAGCCCGTCTAGAAGCATATATCGTCATCCCTCCTGGCGTGGATCAGAAGTGGCCAAAACTTCGAAGCCACCGCCCATGGTTTAGCCAAAGATAATACTGAATCCATGTTCTGCAGAGATATCTCTCCAATCAACATCGTAATCGACTAAATCAGTTCTCCTCCACACTTCCTGCACGACCTCCCATGCCCTCCTGATATTGTTCATCTTCTGCCTGTGCTCGGTGCCACAGAATGCCTTCAGAGCTAACTCTCTATCGTCATCGGTGATAGCTTCACAAGCAGCCACGAAAAGCGGCCAGAGAAGAGCTGACATCGGCCCATCGTTACATTGGTTGGCATACTTCACGACTTCGGAGCAGGCAAGGAGAGAGAGGTGGGCGTGCTTTTGTACTGATATGTGGTTTCGAGGACGGGAGTGAATCGTTCGATAGAGGTAGACAAAGGCCGAGTGGCGGTATGCTTCGGCATTATTTATGATGCTTTGGATCCGAGGATCAACGGAGAGATCGACGTCAGGTTCTTGAGTTGGGAGCTCATCGTCATCGTTGGGGAAATTAATCCCTGTGGCTATAGAGGGCCTCCAGCCTGCAAGTGCCAGTTCGATGGCTTGAGAAGTATTTTCAAACTCGGCTCGTAAGACTGAGGCTTTCGTAGTTTCGCCAGCATCTTGGGCCGCTTCGAGAGACTTTTTAAAAGATAGGAGGTGGGATAGACGATGAATAATGGGCCAGAGTTCTGTAGAAAAACCAAGGAGGGTGTCCACAGAGCTCAACGGCGAACCAGCCATATTTTGGTTGTGCAAGGTTGTAAATGCGAATGGAGGGGCCGTGGGTTGGATGGTAGTATTGGGGCATGTGCCAAGTGAGAGTGCTGCAATCACATCGTAGAATCGAAAAGCCTGCTTTTTGTCAGCCGTGTAAGATTATGCAGCCACCCGAAAACTTACATGTTCCAAAAACATACTTGTCGGACTACGAATCCGAGGACCTGACTTCATGATTGTCATGGCCCCTTTCAAATGACCAGTAACAATATTTGACGTGCCTCTTTGAACCAGCTATTATGGCGTTAGTAATTTATCACCCCATTCTACGTCGATAGAAACTGGCAAAAGACGTACAACTTCGTAATACACCAGCAGCATGATGGCCCCCAGGACTTCTTCTCGGTGAGATTGGTCATTCTTATCAATGAGTTGAGCCAGCCCCTGCAAAGCGCGGTTATGAAATGTTAAGGACTTCTCCTCGGTCTCAATCCCTCCGTACTCAAGATGCGCACTGGACAGCGCAAATATCGCATTCATAACTGGCGAGCAGGCATGCGACAATGGCAGTACCAATTGGCGGAAGGGATTCCCAGTATCTTCTTTAAAAACAATCAAATGCGACAATACATTGCAGAAGTGGTCAACCAAGGAGCGACGATTTCTCTGCTCCGCAAACTCCGCGTATAGCGGAGCGCTGAACTCAAGGAGGGGCGACACGACAGGCGAAGGAGCAATCATCGCAAGATCTGGATATTGGCTTCGTGAGCGTACGAGAGGCCACGATGTTGTAACGTTCTCCGGCGGCTCTGTCCGAACAATCTCTTCTGCTTCTTCATTGCCCGGTGAAACTGCCCAGTCAAATGCCGAAGCCTCCGATTCAGCATACCGAAACAGCGAACTCGTATCCCAGTTATGTACGGTTTCCTCGTCGTCGTTACTTGGCGGATCGTATGCCTCGGCGTCATCGTATGGGTTAGACCAGAGGTCACTGGGGAAACTGGGGGATCGCGGCGTGTGCGAGACTGCTGAGTGTGCCACCGAGGGCCGTCTTCGCTTTCGCGGCTTCACCGGCTCATATTCGCACTGTAGGCCATGCTCGATGCATCGATCGCATTCCGGTCGGTTTTCGTTACACTTCTTCTTCTGCGTAGCTGTCAGGAACTATGCAACACGATTGCATCTGATGTCGAAGGGCTACCTTTTTTTTACTGCGACAAAAAATTAGTAAGAGGCAATGTCTGTGCGAGGTGCCGAGATGACTTACCATGAGATACATCCTCCAAAACCATCGCTATTAGCATAATTCCGAGGGGAGGGGCAATCCGTCTCTTACCAGCTCTTGACCTCCTCTTGGGCTCTTTCGGAGCCGCTCGCCTTGTGTAGATCAACATGTTTCCCAGCCAATTACAGCTGGCGATCGGCCATGCTGCGAGTAAACCGCGTCCCCACTACGGCGTAGCAGCGTAGCAGTTGAATTGACTGAGTTTGCAAATCAGAGGATCGAAATAGAAGGTATGCGTATACATATATATATATATAGATAGATGATTGCAGTAGGCGGACTATGTTGGAAAGGAAGAAATTGAAGGATCTGATACGTAGACGGGGTAGGACGTGCCTGGGGATGGATGGGCCTAGTACTTGTAGCCGTATTATATATTATGCGGGGTAGGGCGACGGTCGGATAGCGATCCCTGCCCAGAGCCAACGAGAGCCACGGAGAGAAACATCCAAGCAACCGTGGCTTCGGGGTTCTGGGTTTGCTCTGCATAAGCGACAAACGGTTTTAATATTTAAGCACCGGACCTTTGAGTAGGGCCGTGGGAAGGGGCTCCGAACCGCTGGATTGGGACACGAGCTGGTGAGGAGACAATATAATTAAATAGAATAGAATATATAACGAAGAGACACGTCTCTGGCTAAGGAGAGGGGAGGAGAGGAGAAGAGAGCGGACGAGGAAACGGAGCTACCAGATTAACATGGCAAGTATTGGCGGTTTTGGTAAAGCACAGAAGATGCAGTGGGTGAGCTTGGCTTTGCTTAAGTGCACGACGAATCTCGTAGTTTGGCTTGTAGGGGATAGTGACTGCAATGGCTATGGCTATGGCTTGGTGGGTAGCCCTAACAATACGAGCAGCCAAGGAACACTAATTAACACGCCCACTAAGTCTGCTCAAGACGACAGTTCGTTTATAAGTGCTTGTATGAACTAAACGCAAGCAAGAAGCCATGTCTAGAAACCATTACCTGAGCTAGCCCAGCAGTTTTAATTGGGTGTTGATCCATCTATGATTCGCCTCTAAGTTTTGCCCTTGGAGTCAACCGTAAATCTATACAATGAACATGTGTCTACGCGCAACGTTATCCCCAGCAATCAAATCTAAATCTAGGCCTTTTTCTTGGTTGCGCCGGACTTCGCCTCCATCTTCTCCAGAGTCTTGAAAGCGTTCGCAATTCTTCGGACGCTGCTGACAAGTAGAGCTTTAAACAAAACGTTAGCAAAGACGCGTTTTAACGAAGCAGGGGGATTAGACTTACCTCCAGGGAAGATCATCCAGAGGAAGTTAATGAAGAAGTAGTAGATCCAGAAGTACACGAATTCCGGGCGACTGTAGGTAACCTCCTTGTAGTAGTGATCGAACATGCTAGTGGCATAGTAGAGGATTAAGCCGTAGATTTGGCCAGTGCAGACGATTATCTGGAGGGGGTGGCGGAGGGGGTGCGAGGTCGTGATGAACGCGGCGACGATGAAGCAGAGAGGGCCCCAGGTAAACTATCCAAACACAACATCATTAGCGCCCATTATCAAACAAAAGCACACACAAGAGATAGGGCAGCCCACAGCAGTGATCGTCTCCATGCAGAGCACAAACGGATCGGAGGTCAAATATCTGGAATCAGACAGCGCATATTCCTTCCACAGCTGGCCAAACAGATCTTGCGCGGGACCCATGCGGGTATGGTTGTAGGAGAAATATCCCTCGAAGAACAGATGGATGCATCCTGAGAGGACGAACCACCAGATGGCAGCTTTCTCCTTGCCTGGCAGGTTGGGATGGAGGCGTTTCACGATGGCCAGCGTTCCCAGCAGGATGGCGGCGCAGAGGGTAGAAAAGCTGCCCAGCAGCACTGGCACCGACCATTCGTTTGCGAGGTAGCTTGCGATCTCGACCTCCAATGGATAGTAGGGGTGGTTTGTGATCATCAGGGGCGACGAGCTGTTCATCTTGAGGGTTTGGAAGGAGGACGCCATGGCGGATAAAGAGTGGGTGTTCGTATGTCTTCGGAGACGACACAAACGGGAAGGGGGTGAAGATGAGGGGGATTGGAGAGCGGTCTGGGACAAAGCACGGCAATTGAGGTGAATGGAGGAGAGGAGAGAGAGTCAAGGGGATGAAGAAGAAAGGAGAGAGAGGTGCTGCGAACCTGCGACCCACGAAGGAATACGATCCAGCCAAGGACTTGCGCCCAAAGCAGCAACTTAGAGGGGACTTGGTCCCTCAAGGAGCGATCCAAGGCTCCAGAGTCGGGAATTTGACGAATTTATCTCTTTGGGCGCTGGCTTGGGGGACCAACCTTGCACGCAGGTCGAGATAAACCCACCGCTGCTCTCTCCACGAGCCAGTAGCCAGCGATTCAGCCCTCAGCCGCCTGGTGCCAAGGGGCCCGAGGTCCGGAGAAGGTCGACTTGGTCGTGGTCAACCACGGGCCAACGTTTTTTCTCCGGGGTTGATATTGGAAGTTATATTATTGAGCCGCCATAGCAGGATGGAATACGCATATTTTCTATTTCTACAGCTCCTACGGCTTCTACAGCTACTATGTACAACTACTCCCGCTATTTTCCCGGCTGCCCTTGTGCACATCACATCAATACCAACCCCAATACCACTAGCAGGCACTTTGTATAATCGGGATCGTTTCTGTTGAGCTCCCCTTGGACGGTGTGGCGTAACACTGCAGCCCTGGGATCTCGCTTCTCTGCAGTGTGTCGGTGTTGGTGTCCCGGACAAAGTGCTGACACTCCAAGTCGTCCAATCTAATCTGCGCGAGATTATGATTTTCCTAGTTTTCCTGTTTCCATGTTTTCGATTGCTGGGACTCCTTTATACACGTGCAGACATGTACTCCATGCAACCGCATCTCCAAACCCTCTCGTGGCGCATTCTTCCTTCCCCTGAGCCCGTTGACGATGGTTTGTGCAAGCTCGGCGCTACGACGCAGTAGGAAACTAGTAACTAGCCAGAGGCGATATATTGCCCCCTAGTTGACATCGTTCATTTCGTACTTCGTAGGCAGGCCGCGTACCTCGTACTTCATAGTGGGATAATAATGTGGTACCTACCTCCTACCAGGCTGCGTACGACGCTCTCAACGCCACACACGTGGAGTCGCGGTGCGCATCTTTCAAACGAAGCCAATCTCAACTCCCCAATTACTCAACAAACTTTCGAAATTGGAAAGTATCTTCCACCTCATCACTCCCACTACTCATTTTAGTAAAGCCATCGTCCTCCATTAGAGCATCAACTGATATCTTGTGAGATCCCCTCTTCTCGTTCACTGGTACCAGGTTCAACGGGGATTCCTGTCTCTGTCCATATATATCAAACTCTCGCGTTGGGCCATCTTGCCACGGCAAGTCGTCGTCGTCAGATCCGGATATGGAAGCAAGAAGATAGTCGTGCAAATCACTAAATAGCATTGCCGGGCTTGCACTCTGAGTATTCAGCCATCGGGCAATGGTCTTTCCAAGAACCTTGTTCCCACCCATTTGTGCTGCAAAATCAATGATCTCCGGGTTTTCCCAAGAAGGATCCCATAGGTGGACAAGGCCGCGGCTGTCTTCATTTTCGCATCTAATCATAAGCACCCCACCGATGCTCGGATGCCAGGTGACTCGTGCGATGGGAGCATGCATTATCATAACCGCTCGTAGTATCTTGGTCCCAATATCCCATATCCAGATTGTTGTTGGCATATTCTCAGTTCTCGTCGCCAGAAGCGTGCCGGAATTATCAAAGGACATAATATTTGTACCAGCCTTTTCGTCCACATTGCTATTTGGCGGAGTGCTGGATGTTGGGGGGTACAGCACTTGTGTTGCACGTACAAACTTCCGACCAAATCCTCCATGCTGTGATAGGAGTACTTGTTCTTGCCAAACCTACTAAAGTCAGTATGATATTGGCTTAGGGAAAAGCAACAGTACCTGCAGAGTCTCGGTGGGTGTGATAGCTGTTGGATGGAGGATCTTCATAGATTCGACAAAAGACGGGACAGACAGAATTGTCACTCTCCTGCTATAATCGCCCACTGCCATATGAGTCCCCGTCCGATTCCAATCAAACAACTTGATCCCCGCTCCCAATTCTATATCCCCATCCTCGTCTAACACAGGGATTGGGCCGTTCCAGACCTTGAAAAGATGGCCATCTGCCGTATACACAAATAACCTGTGTCCCTGCGCCGCCGACTCCCAAACCACGAGCCATTTGCCATCCGGACTCCACGCAATCCCCTGGGCATCAACAGTCTCTGGGTGCCATGATCTCATAACCCCCGAAACATCTCGTGCATGAATGCTAATTATATCTTTCCCTCCACTGCGAGTTAAGAGGGCCAGGTTTTGTGTCTTAGGGCGGTACGCGAATCCCTTTCCAGCAACAGCAGGATGATAAAGTTTGGGCGCAAGGATATCCACTGATTTCGAAGTATTGAGGTTTATAACAGAAAGTTGGATTCCAAATTCGGAAAACACGCATATCTCATCATCCGTCGCCCCGAATGCTACAAATGTAATTTTCGTTGTATCCGATGTCGGGTTTTTGATATTGGCTGAGAATTGGGAGTTGCTTGGGGAATAAACGCGGATGTTGTCCGTCGATGCTACGAGGAGCCGCGCGGAGGATGGAGACCATAAGAACCAACTGATGGAGGCAGAAAGTTCCGGAGGTAATGATATTGCGCGTATAATTTCGAGGGTGGCTGTTTTTCTAATGCTGAGCTTTGAGGGGAGGATGGTCGCAATGTATGCGCCATCGGGGCTGGGGAGACATTGTGGTGATGCTAAGGTTCAGAGATACATTAGTAGGCACTTCATATTGCACCAGTTCTCTGAGATATGAATCTGGGGCTTACATTTCAATGCCCGAGAAAAGCGCATGGTCAAAGACACCTGGTTCTTGGATATGAGGTGGTAGTAAGCACCCCGCGATGTTTTGTTTACATGGTAGTATACGCAAATACTCAATTGTCCGCGACCGAATTGCTCTCACCGCCTGTCATTCTGCCGCTCCCCTCACTAGCCTCGGATCTCCGGAACGTGCCGCAGCTACCCCACCTAAAGTAGATAAGAGCAGGATTCTGTTTGCTTACCTTTATCTATGACTAGATTCGCCCTGCAATACAACACCACACCTGTCGAAGAAGAGCCATAGTTGTTGCTCTCTAGTCGGAATGGCTTGGTCTCCTACTCATGCTCCAACATACACTCATGGTACTTGAGCGGAACCTTCCTTGAGCCACCGCCATCGATGGCACTGTTAACCAGAGTCCCTCGAAGACATTGCTTGCAAACTGTCAAATCGGCTTTGCTCCTCGCTGCTCCTCGACGGAGCATTGCATCTGGGGCGTCAGCGCCAACTATTCAGATTCAGGATGAACAGCCGCAAGGATTTCCTTCAGCTCAAATACCAGTCCCAAGCCGTCCAGAGGCAATCAAAAATGCGAAGCCATTCTCCGCCTTCCTCACCGACACCTTTCAACGGCAGCACAGCTATCTCCGAATATCCCTAACAGAAAAATGTAATCTACGATGTCTATATTGCATGCCCGAGGAAGGTGTCCCTCAGTCACCGACACGCGACCTCCTCACAACCCCTGAAATATACCTTCTATCCTCGACTTTCGTCTCTGAGGGTGTTACCAAGATCCGCTTGACAGGTGGCGAACCTACTGTGAGGCGGGATATCATCCCTTTAATGAACCAACTTGGTTCTCTCCGTTCACAAGGCCTGCGAGAACTCTGCATCACGACAAATGGCATATCACTTCATCGGAAGTTGGACAGTATGGCCGAGGCTGGATTGACGGGTGTAAATCTAAGTCTTGACACTCTTGACCCATTTCAATTCCAGATCATGACTCGGAGGAAAGGATTCGAGGCAGTGATGAAAAGCATGCAACGGATTTTGGAGATGAATAAGTTGGGTGCCGGGATAAAACTCAAGATAAACTGCGTCGTCATGCGTGGCATGAATGAGCGTGAGATTATCCCCTTCGTTGAACTGGGTCGCGAGCAGGATCTCGAGGTCCGATTCATCGAATACATGCCGTTTGATGGCAACAAGTGGAGCCAAGGGAAAATGTTGGGTTATAAGGAGATGTTGGACATGATCCGGGCCAAGTATCCCACGCTGCGGAAAGTCCAGGACCATAAGAATGATACCAGCAAGACTTATGAAATCCCTGGGTTTGTTGGAAGAATGGGGTTTATTACAAGTATGACGCATAATTTCTGCGGCACTTGTAATAGGCTGCGTATTACCAGTGACGGAAACCTTAAGGTATGCTTATTTGGCAACGCCGAGGTCTCATTACGGGACATCCTAAGGAAATCAAACAATGGCGAACCAATCGACGAAGAAGCCTTCGAGGCGATGAAGCAAATATCAATGGATCGAAAACAAGGCTTGACGACCTCTAATGATCCCCTTGGGGGGTCGGAACATGAACGAGAACTGCTCGACGTTATAGGTCTGGCAGTTAGCCGAAAGAAGGCGAAGCATGCTGGAATGGGCCAGTTGGAAAATATGAAGAACAGGCCGATGATCTTGATAGGTGGGTAGGTTTCTATATTCTTATTCATGAGCGTATATATGATTTGGAACTGGCATTTATGGCGTTGAATACTTGTACACCCCCAAGTGTATATAAGTTTTGTCACATAGGAAATGAAGTTATGTAAGAGATGAGCTGCGTTTGCCTCCCTACGATTGTGGTAGCTAACCAATCCATAGATGAGAACTCTACCCGTCAAACCTACTCCCCCGCCATGTGGAAGCTCGGGAAAACCGTTCCTATATTCCAATCGCTGTCGACTAGGATCCATATTCCCACGCACCTTCTAACCACGACATCAACGCATCACAGAAGCCTTCGTCTTCATTCTACAAAATCTCCATCCACTCCTCCATCGCCATCGCCACCACCAACAAACCTCACTCACCTAACCCCACAAGGCCACGCACACATGGTCGCTATATCCTCCAAAACACCCACAACACGTACAGCCATCGCAAAATGCACAGTCTACTTCTCCAACCCTACAGCCGTGCCTCTAATCCAGACCAACAACATAAAAAAGGGGGACGTCCTATCAGTAGCGCGGATCGCAGGCATTATGGCAGCGAAGAAGACGAGCGACCTGATACCGCTCTGTCACCCAATTGGCATCACGCACGTTGCTGTTGATCTCGATGTTGTTGGATTAGGGGTGCTTGATTCTGCGGATGGCAAGGATGATGGATCTCCTAGCCTGAAAGGGGGGGAGGTGGCATTGGCTGGGGAAACCGGCCAGCAGAAGGATGTCGAGGGTTTTGGGCGTGTCGATATTAAAGCTACGGTTACATGTGACGGCAAGACTGGAGTGGAAATGGAGGCGTTGACTGCAGCGAGCATAGCGGCGCTTACTGTGTACGATATGTGCAAGGGTGTGGATAAGGGGATGAGAGTTATGGATTTAAGGGTTGTGAGGAAGGAAGGGGGGAAGAGTGGAGTTTGGGTTGAAGGGGAGAAGATGGGCTGAGAATTGCAATTTTGGATAAGGTATATGTGCATGGAGCCGGATTACATAGAAGTAACCTAACTAGAGAACCTGTACGATGGGGTTGTATAGTGGCATCAAATTTATTGGCAACTTATAGAACAATTCCAAATAGTTGAATTTATTTTTGACCTTAAACATACTTGTGCTTCTCTGCTAATATGTACTTTACTCGACTTGGACTCTAGGGCCCACTATATGCATATAGAAGACGAATGAGCACTGATTTCAAAATCACTATCTAACAAACCGGCCGATCCAGACATCCATACACCTCATCCCCGACAGTCCCCCGTCGACGCCACCAACAGCACCAACAACAGCATCTCCCATGGCTTCAATTACCGTCCGCTCCGCATCCCCCAACCCATCCAACCCCGCCAACAAACCTCCCTCCCCATGTCTTTTCCGGATCAAATCCCTAACTTCCCAATACGCATCCTGCATGCCCTCCCCCGTCTCCACAACACTCTCCCTCTCCATCCCCCAACCCGATTTCTGCGCCGCCCTAGAGATCTGTTCTGGCGATAACACGGTGCGGATATTCCCGCTGGACTCAACGGTCTGTTTACTCTCCAGGAGTGAGCATAAAAGAGCCGTGAGGACGTGGGGGGATGAGGACTGCGAGCGAGAGTGAAGGGACCATTCAGCAATACATAGATGCGTGTTATAAGCAGGGAGAGAGGAGAGGGAGGATAGGAGATCAGGGAGGATAGATGGGTTGGAGAAGTAGTAGATGCTGTGGGAAAGGACTATATAGTCATATGGAGCGCCAGTGTAGGATTCTATGTACGACGTTGGGGTGGTACAGTGGAAGGCGATACGGGGTCCCAGGGCGGAGTTCGTGATGTGGGATTGTGCTTGAGAGAGTGTAAAAGGAGCGCCTAGAGAAACCGCGATGGTGAGTTTAAAAAGGAGGATATAATCTTTTGCTCAAAAGACTCGATATAAAAGAGAGGAAAAAACACTTTCGTAAAATGAAAATTCATCGCAAAGGAAGATCGAATCCGCGTACCATAATCCGGCGCCCCGGGATCAACCGCATCGACATGTCCATGCTCTCCTACTGCATCGGCCAGAGCTACGGTGCAGTCACCTTGACCGCATCCGATTTCCAGAACTCTGGATCCGGGAGCGATGGCCCAGAAGGAAACTAGCTTTATCCGATGCTCGATTTGAGCGAGCAGACTGGGGGAGCTTTTGGTGCTGCCTTCCGGTCGCTTTTCGATGAAGTATTGGGCTAGTTTTTCAGCTTTTGAGGATGGGGGTTCCGCCATTATTTATTGGATATGGAAGGGGAGTAAAGTACTTGGGAATGATGAAACAGTGGAAATTCTAGGTTGAGACTCGGGATGAAGGAATTGCAGAACATAAAGCGTATGGTTACTCCATTGACTGCAATGGGAAAACTTGTGAAGCTGTTGCAGCGAGTGAGTCATCGTTAACCCCATAAGCGACAAACAGCGCTGGTTGAGTTCAAGGTAACCTGCCAATGTTTAAAAAACAGAAAATAAAGACCAGAAGATAAGTAGCGTAAAGAGTTAATAATAGAAGTAGAAAATGGTGCGCAATTGATTAACTGCTGCTACCCCGTACTACAATTATTCCTGGCGTCAACCCGTTAAGAGTCCGTAAGCTTACCCCAACTCCCGCCTTGGCAGAGGCTTTTCAAGTACGAAGTACTGCGTGCTTTAGCGGATACAACTTAGAAGGTTGCATTTACAATTAATGTATTGTTGATGATTACTGAATTGCCTATGGGCTTCCACATTGTGCTAGTTGCGCTCGACCCTAGAGGCAAGAAAGTGGCGTCAAATCAAATTGAAATCGCGGCTTTGTGTCCTTTGAGTGTGGCGGCAGGGTGAGAGAGGGGACTGCCAGTGGCGATAATAATGTCACTACACAGGTACCACCACATGGCAGTGGATACCTTACTTGTTCCTTATCGACTGCTCTCAGCAAGAGAGAGACAGCGGGCTGGCATCTGGCGTGCGCGGTGTACAAACGAAGTAATAAGCAACCTTAAACTGATAATCTGGCGACCTCCTTTTTAGGCGAGCCGGGTATCTACGTACTGTACCAACCTTTGCACCTCCGCCAAAATTAAACCTGGAACTCGGAAGCGTGCGGAGAGCTTCAAGCCTCAAGCTTCAAGCTTCAAGTCCTTGGAAAGTGGACGCTCGACAGCTTGACCTGACCAAATGAGGGCGAGGAGGGGTAAGCTAGCAAGAATGGTGGAGTGAAACACACTATTCGCGGGGGGCATGGCCAGTTGAAACGCACCACCATATTGGCGCCATGCGAAGGCAACTCTGGAAAGTCCAGAACCCAAGAACCCAGAAGCCGGTACGAAGTAGTGACTATGTGCAGCAGCAGGAAGGACGGAACGGGGTTCTCCAGCGTTACAATGCAAGCTGCAAGATCCGAAATCGACAGCTGGGAGTCCGAGATCCCGAGCCACCAAAGCAAGCCGGAATCCACCGGCCAAAACGCTGGGTCAGATCCCTAGATACTCGAACTTTTGAAGCCTGGGAAGCTCTGAACCGTACATGTGCCTGGAACTGTGGCAGAGCAATTTAGGCGCGCTAAGCGGGACTCAGTTCACTCTCTGGGAGTCTGAGCTGAAAGAGATATCTGCCTGCCGTGTCTGGCGAGCCTAGCCAACGGCTTCTCAAGCCTCGTAGCATTCTTTTCGACAGCTACTTGGTAGCAACAGAAAGAAACAACAGGACGGACAAATCGGGGCGTCTCCTGGCCCACGAGCACGCGCCGCACCGTGCCATCCGGAAGTGCCATGTCTCAACTGTGCCATGTACGAAGTACATGTACATAGCACTTCTCTGTACGAAGTACCCACTCAGCAAGCAGTTTATTACGGAGTACCCGTTGCTGATTATCTTCGGTCCAGGTTCAAGGTTGAAGATGCGGAGGTTGGAGCTGCACTGTGAGCCTCGGTGGTGTGGGATCGAGCTGTCGGAATTCAGCAGGATAACTGTTCGTGTAGGGAAGATCCCGAGAGCTATGTAGTATCCCAACACTGGCAGTCCCGGAGATATAGAACCGGTGGAGGGGAGATCTGGAAGCTATGGAGGAATTCCTTCAGCTACAGTAGAGACCTAGGAGACAAGTACTTGGGTCTCGGTACCGGGTGCGGACAATATTCAACTGTCAAGTTTCAACCGCAGCATCTTCATCGTCTTTAGATCCCGAACCCAACACATCATTTTCATACCTGGTACTGGATCCCCGATCCTCGATACAACTTGTACGACACGGATACACCCTGCCTGCCCTTCGGGCCACCTTTCGCTTTCTCCCTCTCTCCATTTCCCTACCTAGGTATCTCCCCTGCGCGTCTCTGTTTTTTCCCTCGCCCAGCCAACTGCAGTCAATGACAGGGCGGAGCTCGCTGCGGCGACGTGGGGCCGCTGTGACAACAGCCCAGCAGCCAGCACCAAACTTGTGACCAAAGCGCTGCCGGAGAATACGTCTTACGCCGCTAGACATTGATCGGCCGTCCACTCGTACAGAGTACGGAGGCACAGAGGACAGAGGACAAAGGACGGACTCCAGAGTACGAAAGAGTACTGTGCAGTACAAACAATCGGCAGAGGCCAGCAGGCGAACCGGTCGCGATATTATTAAGAGTACGGGAGGGTTTCGCGGCAACGGCAACGACAACAGCAATACTCGAGTAACGTGCTCGCATGGGACAGGGCGAAGACTGACGGGCGCCGGGCTTTGAGGCTTTGAGGCTTGAGTTGCACTGTTGCACATTGATGAGTCTGCAGGCCTATTCTGTAAGGATCTCTGCTTCTGGAGCAGCGAGTTACAGGTGCTGTACGTCGTAGGGAGCAGTGGCTACGAAGTACTCCGTGCAGGTTCCACTGTTCCTCTGTGCTGTTCCACCACCTTACTTCGTACAGCACGCTCTCCACTCTCCACGCTCCAGCAGCCAGTCTCCAGGGATCCCCCATCAGCATCCCGATTCCTCGCGCCTCTAGCGGCCTTCGAGAAGCCCTTTCGAAGCGCGAGAATCTTCCTTACCGTGGCTGCCAGCCAAGCCAAGCCGGCCCCCCGTCCCCCCGTCATCCTGTGCTGCAAGTCTGCAAGTGAGAAGATCGATCACGACTCAAGGCAAAAGTCCAGTTGCCCGACAGCCAGCTACCTCTTTGGAGCCTACCACTGTTCACAAGGAGCGATCTGGAAGCAAGCCAACGACGAAGTACCGACGCCCATCTATCTCGATCCCCATTCCCATCCCCATTCCTATTCTCGTCGCCATCTCCGTCGCTATTTTCAACTCCCGGCTCCCTTCTGGGCATCCATTCCTCGTGTGTCCCGCCCGCGGTCCCCGACGAATCACAGCACCGTCAGCGACTTGCCCATTCCGAACAGGCCCTGCCTCCGTACACCTTCTCGAGAGAGAAACTCTGTCCGAGTTTGTGCTGTACGAAGTACAGACTTGCAGACTTGACTTGCAGAAGACGCTCTCGTCTGCTCTCTGAAGGACATCCCCCAAACATCGAATCCTCCTTCTCGTCGTCGGTCGTCACTCCAGTGGCCACATCAGCCCATCCGAACCCGATAGCAAATATTTAACCTTTTTCTCCCCTAAGTCCACCGCTACTGACTACAGTACTGGTCTCCATTTACCACCACTCATCCCCCTTCGCTCCTGGATCCCGATCATCGTCCTCACTCGTCATTTGCATCGTCGCCACAGCCGTAATGAGCGCTATTCGCCATTGAAGTCTGCAGCGCAGACCGTTCCAACCCTCGCATTCCCCCGTTGTGCGCGAACTGGGAATCACCTGCCTGTGCTGCTGCATGCGCCGGCGACTCGAGTTCCATGTTTGCAGAGGCCCCAGTCGTACAAATTGCAATTGACGTGCGACCCTCCCCACGGCTCCCGCGACCCTCCAAGGACCATCTTTCCGAAACCCCCCTCCCCCGCGACGTGTGTGCTTGTACAATAATTTTGGCGTAGAGCCATCATTGGCGTTAGGCATCCTTTGTTGTATCGATTGTCAGGCGTGACGTCGGCCCTTCGGAACCAGATCCACCCTTCGATCGACATCTTCAAAGATCCCTTTCTTCCCATCGCCGCTGCCTTGCGCCTGGTGCAGAACCCTTTAACGAGCCGAATATTTGAGGCAATACTCTTTGTCCACTGTGGGCGACACAGATACCGAGAAACGTCCTTCATCGCGAGCCGCAGACGTCAATCAATTTTCCCCCGCGACATTCTGCCTCGATCGTAACCATTGCGCGCGAACTAACGCTATCGCGACACGACCGATTGCGACAATCATCGCAGATATAGGCCTGGTTCGTTGAGTTATACATATTCTGAAGGAGCCTAGGGACTCTGACACCTGCTGGCGGCGAGAGGATCCGAGGAATCCTGCGCCGCCGTGTGCGAAGCAGTCATGGAATACGCTGCTTGCAATGTTGTGTATGTGGATTGCGCAGCTCCAGAGGATAAATTAGTAAAGCGGAGCGATTCGACGTTTACTTCTGCGACAAGCAATGGCCAAAATAAATTGGCAGAAGATGGCACACTTCCCCGGAACTCCTCGGTCATGGAGGAGAATCTACGAATGTTACTAGGGACATTCAGTGAAGGTTGGCTACGACCCTTTCCACACTAGGTATCTGCGTAATTTACTGATACACTATAGTCCATATATGCGCCACGGGCAAGTCTTGCATATCCAAGTTATCCGAATTGAATCAATCCTCCATTGTCGAATTAATACCTACGCTGGTCCTCGTCGATATCCCATACGAAGACCAGCTACAAGTAAGGCCGTCGAGGGATATGCGAACGCCTTCCCCTAGCTCGAAACAGCAGGTTGATGGGTTTCTAGAGGATCCATCAGTAACCGAAGCATATGGGTTAAGCTTACTGCAATGGATAGTGTCGGAAATTCAATATCAGAGCCTTTCGAAGCTCATCGTCCCCGTAGCCTTGGTCGCCCTCCCAGATAATAATTCCCTGACAGTTACTCCAAGGGGCCGCGCCGAGTCAAGGTCCGAAGGATATCTCAACTACGATCCTTTTGGGTCCAACTCGAAAAGGCGGGGAGGTTCGGGTAACCCACTAGATCAAGTGAGGACAATGAGGTATTTGGACATTGGAGCTGTAGATGTATTAACGAGCCCGCTGTTGCAAGACCGATTGCCTAGCCTTGCCGCACATGCATATCGAGCTCATAAAGATGCTTCGAAAGAGCAAAGAGCATTATTAGAGTTGAAGCGGGGAAGGAAGCGTTCTTGGGTAGGAGTGGATGATCAGAAGCCATACGCATATTTACGAGAAGCCATGGTATCGGGATTAATGGATGGGATTTGCAAGCTTGGTGGAGATGATGAGCCGTTTGGCTATATCAGAATCACTGTGGCGCTAGATCGCCGGGAGGAGATAGCCGCTGCTGTTGGTGCATGGCAGTTTTCGGCCCATGATTTCACAGACGACGAGCTTCTCCATGCGGCGTTACTGATGTTACAGCATGCGCTCGCGATGCCAGAGCTTGAGAAGTGGCGGATATCGACAGGTACGAGAATCTGTTTTATGGCTATGTTTCGGATAAGTTGCGGTGCATATGCTAACACCCGCTCCAGAAAATCTCACAGCCTTCCTGTTTGCCAGCCGCTCGGCGTACAATGCGTTTGTCCCGTATCACAATTTCCGCCATGTCATCGATGTCTTACAAGCAACATTCTACTTCCTTCTCCAGCTTGGCCGGCTACCTCCATACCCATCTCCTTGCACAGCTTCACCGAAAATTCCCCCCTCACCTATTGCCACTCTCATAAGACCCTTTGAAGCTCTAACATTGCTGATTACCGCTATTGGTCACGATGTGGGTCATCCGGGGGTCAACAATGCATTTCTTGTTGCTCTCAACGCGCCTCTCGCCCAACTTTATAATGATAGATCGGTCCTAGAATCATTCCACTGCGCCGCATACTCACAAATATTGCGTCGCCACTGGCCATCTGCCTTCTTAGAACCTGACATGAGAAAGTTAATGATTAACTCGATCCTAGCGACGGATATGCAATTACATTTTGATTACATGAAAAAGCTTGGCTGGCTACAAGAGAAACTCCATGAGAATGGAGGAATTGATGGTTGGAATGGCAGAATCATCGAAGACCAACGAACCCTTGCTTGTTCGTTATTAATAAAATGTGCGGATATTAGCAACGTGGTATGTGTTCCATGTTGTTTTATTACAGCGCTACATACTAATGATCTTCAGGCTCGAAAATATGATGTGGCAGCTCAGTGGACTATGATTTTGACGGACGAATTCTCTCGTCAAGCTACCATGGAACAAGATCTTGGTATACCAACAGCTCTTTTCGCAGCACCTGTCCGCGAAACTATCGAACTGGGGAAGTCCCAAATCAGCTTCATAAACATGTTTGCGATGCCATTATTTCAAGGGGTAACCGATATAATGCCGGCTATGGCTTTCTCTGTTGATGAACTACAGCGCAATAAGTTGTTTTGGAGCGAGAAGATTGTAGAGGAGCAAGCGAAAAAGAGACAAAACAGCGGTGATTCAGCTCTCACTGAAGGCACATTCTCACCTCGAACGATGAGCGTGGCGGTATCTTCTGATTCGACTGTGCAGAAATCAGCTAATGCATTTCCCGCCGAGGTTGACCTCAGGATCAAATCATTGCTACAGAGCAATCCTTTTACGCCAGCAAACGGTACCTTGGCGGAAGAAACCCCCCAATCTTTACCGAAGCTATCCACCCAGAACGCTACCGACACGCCCATTCTCGGTTCGAGTTTAAGTGAAGAATCAGGTTCTCACTCGCCACCACGCCTGAGCATTGCTACTGCCAATGGTTACGGGGTTCTAGATCACAAAAACAAAGCCACTGAGATTGTCACCAACGGCAAGGCGCAACGCGATAGAATGGCAACACGCCCCCCAGTCGATATACTCTCCAATGGCTGGTCCCAAGGTGATGAACCTCCAATATCTTCGTCGGTTTTCGCTGAGCGTGTAGTTCTACCCCGGGAACCGGAACAAGTTCTCAAGGCCGAATCCTCAGATAAACAGCGCAGCAGTGATGGTACAGAAGGAAGTAGTTCGGCAACGGGAGATTGGACAAGCCAAGCGACTAGCGCAAATACCCCCAAAATGCCCCTTTCGCCAAGCACTCGAGGGACGAGCATCACAAGTCGGGATTCGAATGAAAAGGCCTCGTTGGGTCGGACACCGACGGGGAGCCCTTCGGGAAGTGGATATCGACCTCGCTCAATGGTTGCCCCAGATTTAGGGGAATATCACGGTTCCGCCGATCAACAATTAGAAGGTAAAGGGGTCATGGTTATGGAAAAAGTGCGGAGTCTTAGGAAGAAACCTAGCCGGTTCCGGATGGAGAAGCTCAATTTCTGGAAACGGAGCAAGAGCGCTAGTCCACCTGTCCCTGTTCCCGATATATCGAGGATCCATAGGAGGGCTGGCAGTGAGGATCAATCTGTGCCAAGACTCACGAGGCAATGCTGACTCCAACTATTCCGACGTTCAACGAGCAAGGTCACAGTGCGAGTCGGAAATTCATAGGCCCATGACGCGACCAATCTGTCCGGTCAGAAAGATGAAGGAGATATAGGATTACGGCGTGCATAGCATTGATCGGACTCCACTCTGTATATTGTACACACACATACGCTACCCTACCCGACGATACGATACGATACACCAAGATTACATAACGGCTGGCTTCAGAGCAAGCCTCAACTTTTGCCTTGTGTTTATGGGAATGGCATTAAGGAGTTTTCTTCGAATTAGCCGAGCTTGTTGGGCGGTCGGCGTGCAAAGACAGGCGTTTTTTTAATTATTTTTAATCATTTTGTTTGTTGCTGGGACTGGATACGCAAGCATATTTGGAATCTGTTTATTGTTTAATTCCGCGATGGAGTAGGTAGTGGCGTTTTTGGGCGGCTCCAGTGCAACGGCCATGCCATGAATTGATGATTGGGTTGGTCGATTGCGTGGAATTGTTAGATGCCACATATATCCGGTGCTTGCTGGCAATAACGTGGCGAGAAAAAATGGGGGGAATTTTGTGGGAATTGGGAGTTGAAGATGGCTTTGGGCGGGCGGCTCTTGTTCGTTCGACGGAGGTCTACGCATGGGCTGGATATGGAGTAGGGGATATATATAACAAACCTCTGGTGGAGTATGATGATGCTGTGTCTAGCTGAGATGGATTTTATTTATCTATATAGCTGGATGCTGGCTCATTATACTCGATACCCAATATAAAGGAATTATCAAGTACTGTACCTTAATCCACGGATCAAATACTCATCTTTACACTAAAAGTTATGTACTGCTTTTGTCGGCCAAAGAATGAGAAAACCACCTAGACGGAGTTATGCTGGTTGGCTTTAGTAGCAAACCCTTGCAACTATTTCAGCACAGCTTTACTAACAAAACGGGCACCTTCACAACACTTCCCTTTATACCCATGTGCTTTCCTTCAGTGCACTAACAATTTCACTTCTACCCGGATATAAACCTGCACGCCATACATACATCCATACCTTCATTAACATCCATATCCATATCCATATCCACACCGGGACGTAACCCTCCGAGTCCACCTCATAGCCCCAGATCCAAGCCCTGCTTTCAGACATCCCGCAATTTTCCCCGGCAAGAGCAGACCGATATATGTACATACCGTATATGCGTTTTAGTTCCTCTTATCAGTAAGATATTATTTATGGCACCAAGTACGTGGGTACTTAGGGTCGTATGTAGGAGTGATATGCACTACTGTACTCCACGGTTCAACTACGGCCCGCCAATTCCGCTTTTATGCTTCCGTGCTCCGGAGGAAACAGGGAAGTGGCCCTGGTTGGTCACTTCGTGTTGCTTGGGGTAATACTGAAAGTGCGCTATGTTCTAATTAGTATAAACCTCTACTCCGTAGGGAGGTCGACGTCTGTGGAGCTAGGAAATATGCCGAGGTAGGTGGGGGGGGGGAGGTTGTGGGGTTGTTTGCGGGTGTGCTGGGCAGGATGGCTATCTGGGCTGTAGGGGATTTGGCGGGCGGTTACAATGAGAGCGCGAAGATGTGAAACAGAATCCTAAGTTTAGTAGTGGCATTCCATCCGATTTCCGAGTAGCCATATGGCTATATTTATATCTATCTGTGCCTTCACCGTACTATGTATAATCTTGCCAACAGCTCTCGCAAAGAGAAGCAAGAACCCCCCCCCTTAGACTCTCGCCATACACAACTCAATATACTCCTTTGTATCCTGTATCCCTTCCCCTGCCTCCTTCAACATCTCCCTTGGGAACACAACAAACGCATGCGGAGCCCCTGTATAAATCTTAATATACGTCTCCCCGCCATACATCGTCCATCTCGTCCCCATAAATACACTATCATCTAGCAATGGATCCACCGTCCCACATGTGAACAGTGCGCTGGGCAGGCGCCCCCGGAATGGTGCGAGGTCTTCGTACATTGGTGATACTGAAGGGTCGTTGCGCTGCTCTAGCGACATGTTGGGGAGGAAAGCATCGATGAAGTGTTTGGACACGATCTGCGGGATAATCGGGGCATCGGTCATGTTGTAGTATAGGGGGAGGTGGGAGAGGTCGTAGGCGCCGAAATGGAGAAGGAGGCCTGCGAGGGTGAAAGTGGGGAAGGTTTTTAGGAGGTGGAAGGTTGTTAGGAGCGAAAGGTGGCCGCCGGCAGACTGTGGAAAGTGGTTTGTGTTAGCATAGCCATACGTTTGTTGAGAGAACATAGAACGCTTAAAATGATGTGAATGGAATATATCAGAAATAGTTTGTAGTGTAATCAACGGAACAGCTGCTCTATAGGAAGCAAATATCCCAATCATTCAAATCCCTTAACTTTATAGATCATCACATCTAGTCTTCTCTATGGGCGCAAATAAGAAATATGATATCGACGTACCTCGCCACCAATAAACCTTAACGGTCCCCCATACTCTTTCTCGGAATTCTTGACGAGATATTCGGCCACGTCTTGGCAATCCTCTGGGCCTTTAGGAAATGGGTTTTCGGGTGCAAGTCTGTACCCAACGGACAAAACAGCCAGGTCTCCGACGTTGGCATAGAATTGAATCAATGTGTCGTAAGATGATTCATCTCCTATCTACACAGCAGGTCAGGATTCTCTTCTTATAACAAGCCGCGAGATATCAACGTACCACCCAGCCGCCTCCATGTATATGCATTATTGTTCCCTTGCAGTGTCGACGGTCTTCCTCGCTTTCGCGGCTCGACGGGTACATGATTCGACACGGTATGTCCCTTCCGGAATCCCGAGAGGGGATCTTGAAATTGATGCCCTGGGGAAGCACAGGTGGAGGAGGCCCTGCTAGCTCGCCGCGCGATTGCATCTCCCGGTACTTGACGGCCCCAACCTAGAGACCGATTGCCATCGTTAGCGGAAGGCTCTCTTCTCCTCACCTTCGAACGTTGGGGTAGACAAACATCCCACCAGTTTGGATTCTTTGCTGAGAGTGCAATGAGGTTTTTGTTGAAGTTGTTTGCCTGTTCAGAATAATTGGCGGGGTCGAACTTCGCTGCGTCAAAGACGATGTCGGATTTGAGAGGCATGATTGGATATTACGCGGCGTGCAAAGGTCGATTTGTTGCTGTGATACATATATGAAAGACGATAGTATCAACTTGGAATGAAATCAAATATTGGCGGCAAGTAGTGGGGTGTTGTTGGATTCGCGGCTTGCTGGCATCAGTCGGCTTCGAATACCCTGCAGGTACAGTAGTTCGGTACGAAGCCAACTAATATATACCCCCGCAGTCTGAGCGTCATTGCTTTTTCATCATCCTGCCTTGAGACCGAGGTCCATCACCAGTCCGCCCATACGATGTATACTTCCCATTGGTGTTTTTGCTGGTGTTGTCGGAATTGTGGCTGGCTATCTTTGGCCTAGCAAATTTGATGAAGACCCCTATTGCCTTGAAGGGCAGGCTGGCAGCGGAAGTAAGGGCCTGGAATGGCAGCATCACAGCCGTCGCTGCCCATTCCACAACAACGGTCGTAAATTTGCGGTTCCTGTTCCCGTTGTTTGCTGCAGCGGCAGCTAGGGATATCGCGTCGCCGAGTCGCGCGTCCAGATCAAGCAATCTTGACTCGATTTGGAATGCGTGGAGGGTCGCGCGCTTCTCGTATCGGCGTACAGCTCGATTGAGAGCGTCGAGTTCAGGTTGAAGCTTCTTGAGGACTTCTGTTACAAGAATAGCTGTCTGTTTATTATTCAAGACAGGTTCGGAAGGGGGTGAAGGTTCATCGGCTGAGATTCGAGCTTCTAGCTCCTCCAGTCTTCGAATGATATCGTCCGGCGCGTTATTCGCCCTACCAATCGTGCTGGAATGGGGATTTGAGGCCACTACTCGTTGGAGATGAAGAGTTCTCGATTGTATGAGTCTTACGAGGTGTGCCATTGGGCGCAGCTCTGATGCCAGTAGGAAGATTGTCAAATTGTAATTTGAGACGAGTCCCTCTGATGGTCGACTTAATTGTGACCGAAGTGTATGGAGGAGGTATGCACCGAGGACCGGGAATAGGAAACATGAGAGGAGGGCGAGCAGCTCGTGTCGATATAACTCTCTCCTAGCAGCTTCGTGGGCAGGAGATGGAGGCACTGGTTTCTGTGATGATTCTGGTGCCTCTGTAGTCTCTGCTTTTGGTACCTCGTCCGAGTCGGCGTGCGCGAAGCTGGGATCATCATCATCGCTCTCTTCGTGGAATATTTGGTCTTCAATGCCTGTTTCCTTAGCTCGAATTGCCTGCGCAGAGTGGTACCAATCCCTATGAAGTTATTAGCGGCATAGCCTTCGTCCGTGGCGTGATGTGAATACTGACCATGGCAGTCTGACGGACCAGTTCAAGAAAATAGCAGCGAGTCCCAGGAGAATAATATCTGTGATGACCAGGCTCCCATTCGTGAAGAGCATACCACCGATGGCAGGCAAGAGCGCAAAAGCAAGCGGCACCGAGTCCCATGGTGAGGAGTCGTGGCCCAGTTCCCGGTCCGCCGTCCTGGGTTTGGGTAAGAGGAGCTCATCTGTCGAAGATTGGAAGCTCTTGCGGGCTTCATTCAGAGAGTACTCGGAGAAGTTGGAGCTCCTGCGCCTCCTGGAGCTCGAGGAACGGTGAACATCTGGATTTGTAGACAAGCGGTTCCCTAGAGGTCGACGTTGAAACTCCGGAGTCGAATCATCGAAGGTAGAGGCCCTTCGAATAGATGCGCCAGATGGAGACAATGACGCCGTTGTCTTCCTTGCAGGCGTCTCGGTGCCTCCCATTGCGATGACGCCTGATGCAGACGCCGACCACTGGAGTGGGAGATTGGGACTCGAGTAATAAACAACCTTGTTATAGCTTGGGTACTTATAGGGTCTGGAGAAACCTTAGACCATTGTCGAATAATTGTGATTATAGCACATCAAGAACGGTGCTCTTCCCGCCACTTGGAAATATTAAGGCGTTAAAATCGTCACGAGCCCATTACGGTGTCTGGCTTGAAGTTGGACAAGCTGAAATCAGCGAAGTGGAGTCAGCGCGCCCCGGATTCTGCCAATCGAGGCATCCTGGCCCAGATCCCGCCCTGCATGGATTCTATGCAGGGACAGTCCAATATTCCTCACAGAGCACTACGAAGTAGGTAGTTGAGAGATATTTAGATTAAGAGCAATATTGATGTATTATTCTTTCTTTCTCGACTTCCGGGTGCTGAGGGACTCGAGTAAAGCCCGTTCTCACATAGCAACTTTATGCCGACCGGACGAGAATGTCCACAACCACAACTCCAATTACATATGCTCAACCAATCAGAGCACTCATACATATATTTCCACATTCGATTTTCCTGGGATGACTATGAAATAACAACCAAAGTCATTTCCCAGTCTACTTTGTATAATATTCGGTCTCATTTCTCGTTGACAACGAAGTGCTAAACTTGTTCGAGTTAGGTAGGCCTCTAACAGACAGTGTTGCCCTACAGAAGTACTGTACATTGGTAGCAGTAGTTAACCAAGATAGATAGCTTCTCCAAATGTGCGTTGCTTTTCATACCCACGGCCGGTAGGTTCAGATGCACCGTAAATGCCCGCGAGCGCCTATTCTAAGATTGCCTGCTGTAGGGTAGCCACCCGGCCAATATGCTTCTGCCAAATCATAGATCGCTCGACGCAAGTATCCAAATCTGTTTAGAGAAGGAAAAGGTAGCCATCGACCATATGGAATCTCGCCAACGCCTTGAGATATAGTAGTCTTAATTGCGCCAAAATATACCTTAGTCCCCTCTCCCTAAGCCATTTCCTAGTATCCTCAACCCCCTATTTCCCTTCCTCTCCTTTCCCAACAGCCAAATCCGCCTCCGACCCTTGCTTCCCAGAAGTCCCAGGCCGAACACTGGCAGGTTCTGGATCTTTATTCAGTGGCTGCAACTTCACCACACGCGTATTCGCTGCAGAGCCTCGAACGACGTTTGTTCGTTCCTCGATCGGTCTGTTGTTGCGGCGGCCAAAGAACCAGGTCAGAAGGACTCCGCACATGGTTCTGTGGGTGAACTTTTATTGGAGTGTCTGGAGAATTCAGTAGATCTAAGAGCGAATATATGTCTGTAGTTCTTTTTCCTGGGTTTGTTAGTCAATATATATTTTTTGACATAGTGGCGCAGCTTTTGAACCAGATTAGCCGCGCTCGCGTTGCCTAGGGGGAGGTCTGCCCTTCGAGATGCCAACAGTATTTTTGCTAGGAAGAAGCGCAGAAATTATGTTTGCCAAGTGCGAGAACCAGGTAATAATATGGCCACAGGGCTAAAGATGACGCTCTCACCGACTTACACAGCCCCTCTAAGATCTTCATCAAGTGTCAGACTCGTACTCAAGAAGCAAAAGGGAAGAGAAAGAACAAACTAGAGGCTTAAGGACGTAGGTTATTTTGATTTCATCCATTGTATCCTACCAATCCCCATCATCCCCTCACCGATGTCACAAATGCTCGCAATTGTTTGGCAGTGTCTTTGCCAACCTACCTTAGGTAGAACAAGGTGATATTCTGTCCTATCAAACCTCGAAATACATGACCACGATTCTGCTTCCTAATGCATACTCGTACAGTGCAGGTTCTCGCAATTCTTTCCCTTAAGGCTAAAGTATGTCAATATCAAGTATTTGGTGGAGAGGGCGCGGCTAGTTTAGTTCGTTGCCCACTCAATTCGACTGTCGCGTTGAGTTCGAGCTAATATCGTAGGACTATGATTGGGTCTAGTCGTCGTGATGTATTTCGTATGTTCTCCGGAGAATGTTGGACGATCTTCTAGAGGCATCGAATCCTATTTCAAACATCATTTCCGAGATCATCGGCGCTCAGATATTCGTGATCTGTAGTTGGCCAATTGTCTGGTTTTGGGCTGGAGCTCGAAGAAGTCTGCCATCTCTCGTTTTCAAGAATGCTGCTAGTACATCGGCTCGTGATGGTCTAGGATAGGAAGAAGGCCATTGTAGACAAGAATAGGCCGCATCCTCACGTATCCCCTAGTTGGACAATGTTGCGTTCATATGGTGGTTATGCGAGGACAATGATCGAGCTCTAAGATTTTTCAAAAGTGAAATCGTGCCGGTGATGATAATTTGAGAAGGTAGAGACGCCAAGGAGCTGGATAATCTTCAGGGAAGCTTAAATACTGTGGCTGTAGGCCGTTTAAGCCACTGCATCACTGAGCCACGCTATTTCCTCGCTCCACCATCGTCTGGATCTTAATCTTCATAGCAACCTTTTCTCAACGTGATTTTGTTGTAGCCACATATCGGGACCATCCGAGCCCACGCAAATCCTACCTAGGCACCTGATACAAGGTGAACAGCATAACTACCGCGATTCAATCCGCAGTCTCAGCTGTCATCAGAACATCACCATCCACCTTGCAAGCCGCCCACGGGAGCAGCTCGGGCTTTCTTTTAGATACGGAGTATGGCAATAGTCATGGCATGTAACATGGTGCCAGAGCGTGCTCTGCTTTCCAGGTTGGCAGCGTGACAAAGCGTTGAAGTCGATGTTCTGGCCCCACATGGCAAGGCAAGGCAAGGCCAGGCCCGGCAATCAATGCAATGCCGCTTCCCATCGAGGGACCGTATTTGAGGGCAAATGTTTCGCGCTGGAGGATGCCATTAGTTGGATTCCAGTGTTTCCGTCGAGCTGGGCGCCATAGTTGTTTTGTTTGTTTCGAGTGTGTGTCGCTCTTGCTGCTCCTGTCGTTTTCATCGTCACTGCTCGCGCCTTCCCCAAAACGCGCCTCAATAGAGCTATTGAGGATTCAGCCACTCCCGCACGTCACAACAGCCACAACTCGTGGCAATACCATGATTAATCCCTGCCCCACGTTTTTCATTCTCAATAGCTAGCTATCTTCCTATCTGGGCTATCCGCAATATCAGTTTCTTTATTCTATTCTATCTATAGGCTCAATACTATGCCGTCACCATTGGCCGTGAATCTATCTTTGACCATGGCTCCCAAACCTTACTCCTGTCCCTTCCCGTTCCTATCCTTTTCCCTCCACGCTTTCCACAGAGATGAGATACTTGGGCTTGGGCATCGAATTACCATATCCAGGCTACTGGCGATCCTTCTTTGTCCTCCAAGATTACCATTCCACTCATCAACCTGACCCCTGTCTGACCTAAGTCTCGGTCCTAAGCCAGGACCCTAGGTTGAAGTTCCGTCTCCTTTCATATGAAGCGGAGTAGCTCCCCAGGGTACGACAGCTCTCAAACCATCGTTCAAGCCCTCATCATACCTGAGAATATCACTGCTGGACAGGATTCTTTTGATACAATATCATGGATAACTCTACGTCATCGTCACCCACTGCAGCGATGCTACAGATGGAGACTCCTGCAAATCCTGGCAACGCTATTGCTCTTCCAATATTTGCCGCGTTGTCCATCGTCGCCATGATCCTTCCCCTGCGAGACTTCTACCGAAAGGGGAACTTTGCAGCGTGCAGCATGATCGTCGCCGTCACTATCTTGAACTTCTATACCCTCGTCAACGCTATCCTATGGCCGGACGACGACTGGGAGCATTGGTGGAAAGGAGAAGGGCTTTGTGATCTGGAGGTCAACACGAGAGCTATGATGACCACAGCAATGTACTGCAGCATGTCCTGCTTTACCAGGAACCTGGCCGGTGTGTTCAACACGGACAACCATTCGTTCTTTCACAGCTCCGCAATGAAGCGCCGCAAACTCATGATTGACATCATCTACTGCTGGTTCCTCCCAGTCCTCCAGATTGCCTTGGTATATACCATCAGTCTTGGCAGGTACTCAATCTTTCCGGTGTATGGTTGTTACAATGGGGTGGATCACTCCTGGCCTTTCGTGGTATTTTATCTTATTCCGGGGCCAATCTTTACGCTCTTTACGGCATATTATGCCAGTAAGTCTCATTTTACCTCCCAAAGTTCTGTACTAATGAAATAATGTAGTTCTCATGATACGGGGCCTTCTCAAGTACCGCAGAAACATCAGCAGTGCACTCGCAAGCAGTGGCTCAGGAATGACTTCGCGCTACTTCGTTAAGCTTTCCATAATTGCCCTGTCACTCCTGGTTGTCTATTTCCCTGTTCAATTCTACTTCTTTTACGCCCAACTCCCAATACCGTTCCACGCATACAACTTTTCGGCGATCCATAACCCAGCCATCTGGAATCCGGTTATGTTCTTCCATACCTGGAACAGCCCTGGATTTCAGTACATTGGCTGGGCTTCGATATCCTTCTCATTTATGATATTCTGCTACTTCGGTTTCAACAACGATGCGATCGACACGTACCGCAGCTGTCTCGCCATGTGCGGGTTCGGGATGATCTGGCCGAGCCTAAAGAAGCCGAGAGTACGTCCGATGCAAGGTAGCACTGAGAGGAGCGGCTTTTGGGGCCGCTTCGACTTGGTGAGTAAGGCCATGAAGCACTTTGATATGAGCAGGAAAGATAGCCATGGAACGAGTGGTACGACAATGGTTGCTCCATCTGAGGTGTACGTTTCTTCTTCAAAGCTTAGGTACTTGACACTAATTATACTTAATCCAGCACGCAATCTTGCGGGGAATCCCAGGCTACATTTCCACTTACGCATATCAGCACAACCACCGGAGAGTCGACGAACGCACCCAGCTTCTACATGCACGCCGGTGCAGATTCGACTCCTGCCGGTCCATCAACGCTCGAGGCGACACCCTCTTCCAGCCTTCCCTTACAAGTCCCTCATACTATCCCTGGATCCGAAACACCGCCCTCACAGCCAAGGACGAAGACTCTATTCTCAATGTTTCGCACAAATATCAATCTCCCTTTTCCACCATTCCCAAACTCAAAGCATCACATTCCGACCCGACATAGAACCTCCACGTCGAGTACCCACTCTTTGTCTCCCTACGAAAGCAATAACCCGGACATAGAAGCCGCACATCACTCGCCCACGTCCCTGAACCACGGCCTAACAGGCACCACGACCAATATCTGGAGCGATACGCAATCTCCCTGCAAAGAAATGCGAATTGTGGAGCTCCAGAACCTAAAGAAAGGTTCAAGGCCATCCCGCGAGAGGGAACGTCGGCAGCCATCGGGATCGCAGTCGGAGAATTGTGGAATGCGCGGCGTTGTGGTTAAGAAGGAATTGGAAAGGAGGGAAAGTGATGCTGAAACTTCTAGTACCCCTTGAGGCACTTTATGTGCGGGAGGAAAGGGGCATTTCCTTTCTTGACGGTGGTATTTCCATGTAGTAGCTCGAGAAGGAGGACTAATAATATCGTGCTGATGAACATGGGTGAATATAGGGGTACATAGGCCACTATATAGTTTTCTTTTGTTTGTCACTTCATAGCTTCTCTTCTTTAGCGTTAGCTTTGCAGCATAATACCATTCAATGCCAGATTGCAGATAATGAAGAATATATTTATTTCCTCATGCTGTCCATAATTGCCTCCTGCTTAGAATGAACAGCGCCCCGACAATAAGAAGTCGAATCTAAAGCGAGTGTGCCTTATCTCGACAGAGGGTCTGGGCAGATATGACCTTTTGATTCCTTTCCACGTCATCATTTACTCCGGAACAGAGATTCGTTGGGAAGCAAACAAGTCTATGTATCTTGGGTGATCGTTTGGAGAAGAGAGAGCGAGCGCAGGCCGAGGGAGCACCCATCGGGGCCCCGTCCTTGCTACTATGGCCACGGGGGCGTATACTACCGTTCTGACTATTTTATAAGTGGGAATCTCGGTGGCGCAGCAGGGTCACCGAGAAACATAGCTGCACTAGGGGCTAACTTACCCGACCTTCAGCCCAGATAGGAGTCTCACGTGATCTGCCCCCCTTTTCCGCTTGCTCAGGTGAGTACGATATATCTCCTTGCATGACATTTAATAAATACGAAACAGAGTGCCCCCAGTATAACTTCCTGATCATTCTCCCAAAGGTACACCAACCTAACAACGTGATATACCATCCCATCCCCAGTACTATGACATATCACGTGTCCCCTCGCCATTGCTGGTCATGTGGGCACAACCGATGTCTCATCCACCCCTTTGTCCGGGAAGCCGACCACATATCATTCGGAACTTTTGCGACACCCCAAAAGCCTGATAGTAGCTCGTGAAAGATCCGTTCCCTGACTCCGGAGCTGGTTGGGGGGTCATGCGAATCTTGACGCTGATGCGGGTATATCTCCAGTGACAGAGTGAGCGTGTCCTGGAAAAATAGACTTTTGTGAAATGCGCGCTTTGCAGCTGATGGGCTACAATACGATAAATGGTACATATCATGGGGGTGGACGTCATTTAAAGAGGTGGTTTGCCCTGGAAGGGTTGTGTGAGGTTGAGGAGATGACTTAGGGACTCATAAACCTATTTTTGAGATTTTGCCTCAGCAGACTGGTGGGTTCTTGATTAATATGTACACCTGAGTTTGATCATGTTGCTTTGTCCTTTCCTATTACATATAGTTTTGTTCTACATTTCAGTTACCCAGTTTTCTCATACCTATCGAAAGAAGTCAGTTGGGGTTTCAAGTACTACATTACCCCTTCCTTTGTCTCCCTCGAGCTTTTACCTTTTCCTTTTCCTCTCCTTTCACTCCTCTTCCTCGGCCTCATCCCAAGAGACCATCCCAGCTACTTCACTATATTTTATACCAAGCCCCCAGCTCTAGACAGAAACCAGCCTTGCATAGTATCTATATATTCTAAAACATGCGCCGTTCAAACAGGTACCCCAGATCGTTCTCCCTCCGCGCACTCTTCCACATACACTCCTCGCCATCCTACACAAAGAAACATCACTCAAGACGGAGAAACTACCACACCCCAAGAACATACGTCCCAGCACCACCACCAAGCTACGGCTACTATCCTCCACAAGGTCCGCCACCCTTCCTCCTTCCTCCCGGCAAATCAATCTAACACATAAACCAGATCCCACTCCATCCCTTCCCCACAAGCACAAGCATAGGAGCAAACCCAAATCCGCATACATAACCAGCCTCCCACCAGAGCTAAAGCACTCCCTCCACTCCCACCTCGACCCCGTCTCCTCCGCCTGTCTCGGCCTCTCCTCCAAGCACTTCTATCCCATCCACTACGCACAGCACCCCCACGTCTCCCTAATGGAAACGGGTTCACCACCACCCCCAACAGGCCGCCACTCGCGAACCCGCCATCCACTCCCCCTCGCCATGCTTCTCCGGAAAGACAGAGATAGATATGGCCAGACGCAGTGGTGTCCCCCCGCGGAAGAATACGCGCTTGATTGGAAGGGGGACCGGTTTGTTCGCAAGAATAGGGAGAGGGATGATAGGAAGCCGAGGTATGTGTGGGAGGAGGGTAGGAGAGAGAGGGAGCAGGAGATGAGGAGGTTGTGGGGGAGGGAAGGGAGGTTGATGAGGAGGAGTGGGTATTATAGGGATTTGGATGTTGGGGGCCATAGATGGCGGTGATTTGTAGGCATGATGAGCATATATGATATACCTGTGCTTTAGATTTCGGTGGTTTTGGAAGGTGGGGTTTTGGGAGTATTGCATAACATGAATGGCGGACATTATTTGTTATATCTTTTAACGGCCACCTAGTTAATAGCTGCATTTAAGACAATAGCTTATGCGCGAACCCACGGGAATAGATATCATTTAAATATATACCCCTTTAACAAGAAAACGCTCGTAATACGTATCGACATCATGTATTCCGTCTAAAACAGCAACCAAACGGTTATAACGATATAAACAGCTCTGTAGGGCTATATGTAACCATGAAAAATTAAAAATAGACCTTCATAACTCATCCACCACCCAGCTCTCAATTCCGGTAAGGAAACATCTCACATATCCCTCAACCATTGGCCAACGGGATCCGGTTTCTCCTCGGCATAAACAACACCTCCATTGACAACAACCTGCGAGCCGGCGTACCTACTCCCGTAACCCTTCACGCGCTCCGCAACCTCCTTAGCCTCAAACAAGCTAACAAGTCTCCTCTTTGGATTCTGCTCTTCAGTATTCTTGCGATATTCTTTATCTGCAGCATCACAGATTTCCCAAGTTCGCTTTTTGCCCTGCTCGACTACGTCGTCTTCTTCAACAAAGCTACTAGCCGACTTTCGGATGATTGGTTGGTTGTTGTAGTGCAGGTTCCAGATCTCTGGTGGGTTTTCAACGCAGGAGGCGAGGTAGATTTCATTGGACATTTCGAGAGGCGTGCGACCAGTTGTATTTTCACGGTATAGGAGTGCAGGGTTGAGTGAGATGAGGTGGGAGATAATATCGCCAAACCCTTGTTTAACAGCCTAGGAATATATTAGTCTTCGAAGTGCGTGCTATAGTGGGAATTCGCTGGGGAAGAATAATGTGCTTACCACATGCAAGGGCAGCTCTCCTTCTCCATTAATCATCTCCAATTCCTCCCCAGAAGAATAGCGGCTCAAAACAGCCATGAAATCAGATTTCTTGTAATTGGTATTCATAGCCATCCACGATGCTAAAGGTGTATACGCCCCAGAATCAGTAGTGCCACGCTCAACGAGCATAGCCTTAACAGCTTCTTTGTCAAATAGTTCAAGCATGCATTGCAGCTTCTGAATGTCGGTCTTGGGGTTGCTATTAGTCTCCCACTTAGCGGTGACCATGCTGTGTATCATGTTTCTTCCACGCTTATCGCGCTGACGTTGGTTGGCTCCAAGAGAGAGGAAATAGGCAACGAGATCTTCACGGTCAAGCCAGACTGCCTGATGGAGGGGGGTCCAGCCCTCGATTGTTTTTTGCTCGAGAGCTTCGGGGGCTATAGAAATGAGGTGTTTGATTAGAGCCAGATGTTTATCGGTCTCGTCTTTGGCGACTTTGTGGAGAATGGCGGCATGAAGGACAAGTTCGCCTAGAGAGATGGTCAGCATTTCTGTGGGCACTTATGACTCTAGAATACTAGAGCTGTATCCTCTGGTCGATGTCTAGCTACAACTTGAAATAAAGCTGAAGAAGAAATACGACAAACGGAAAAGAAGTGCAGAGCCTTCATTTCCAGTACTCCGTCCAACAGCAGCAGAAGAATATGGGTTAAGCAACGAGGTGAAATACATACTCTTGGTAGTTAACCAGGATCCGATGGTGCTGTCAAAGCCTTTTCCAGCCCCGTCCAAAACCTTGATTCGCTTATCATTCTTATTCTTTTCAGCGAATTCCTTGTATCTCCGTAGAGGGGCATCACTCATGAACCATTCAACCGACTCCACGCTGCCAAGGTGAGCAGCCCGGAGCAAAGGAGGGATCTTCTCTTCAGTGACTTGAACATTGTCGTCTGGCGCCTGGGCCCAATCTGCACGCTTCTTCCCTCCCACTGACAATCCCTGGTAGTATTTTGGTTTTGTCTTGAGTTCCACTCCACTCTTCTCGACGAGTGCGTTCAAAGGGATACCGACGCCTGTGGTTTTAATCATTTCAGCGAGCATTTCCGTGCGGCCAAGTTGGATTGCCAACATAAACGCGGAAGGCTGGATGGTGTATGATCTTGGATCATCATGTTCCTCAGCAAGACGAGCTTTTTGCTCTGCTCCGAGCTCGATGATAAATCTCAGAAGCTTAATGTCGTTCGCGGCAACGGCATACTCTAATACGCCACCCCCAGCGTGAAACGCGCCACGGTTCGGGTCTGCTGGATCCAGGAATCTTTGGGAGTAGCACCTCCACTCAATCATCGTCAATGGCAAGACGTCACTTTTGACAGCTTTCGAAACTTCTCCTAAATTATCGATGGTGAAGTCATCACTGATTAATTCGCTGAATATAGGAAGAATATGTTCATCTTCTGATTCTTCGTCGGAGTACTCGTCTTCGCTTTCGTGGATTTGCATGCTCCAGCGTTGGCGCTGTGTCTTGCTATCATCCTTGTGGTATTGAGCCATGCATATTTCGATGATAGTCTTTGCTAGGTCGAAGTGGCCTCTTAGCACAGCAATTGAAAATGGGCTGAACTGCTTGGCATCTTGGACAGCAATTTTCAACGGAGCATCGGATGAAGCCCCATCGGCGTTGGAGAATGGAGTCAAAGTCATTGCCTTAACGGTATCCGAATCACCAACCCACGCGGCCTCGAAGAGTTTGAGATATCTATCTTTGTTGGCGTCCGTCAAGTCCGGGACTATAAAAGTCACGGATGTTTCATAGGGCTTTACTTCTGGGGGCGTGTAGCGATAGCTGCGTTGATTATCGTTGTACTTCGTGATTTTGGGATACTTTTCGTAGAAGGATTCAGCACCAGCCTTGATTAACAATCTCTCGGTATTTTCTAGCTCCTTGATCACTTCTGCTATTGCTGCACTTTTCTCCTTTGCCCCTTTCTGGATGTTTGATTTCAGGGACTCCTCATACCAGCCCCAGGCCCTCTTGTTGGCTTGTTCTTGGTTCCTGAAATCTTCCAGTGCATTGAAGTACTGGTAGGTGCCTTCGGGAATGCCACGAGTATAAACTTCTTGATCCTGAAGTTTCTCCGGTTTCTGTTGGCCATGGTGGTATGGTTCCTCATATTCTCTCAGTTCTTTGAGATTCTTCCGAATGATATCTAAGAGAAATTCGCCGCGCTGATAATTGCCGCGCTGGTGGTCTTGGATGATTAAATGTGTCATCGGTGAGCATGAGGCTTTATCGGCACCATATTTGATGAGTTCATCAACTGTCGAGCCCATAAAGTTGTCTGCCGCCTTAACAACTAGCTGAGTTACTTGACTGTGGAATCGTGTCTTAGTTTCTTCCGAGTTGAGATGCTTCGCCAAGCGATAGACAGCTAGATAGGTCTTGACCCAGTCGTCAAACTCGATAGAGGGTTTTGCTCCGGCCTGGAGCAATGTTGAAACCATATCACCATCCCCTTTATCAATAGCAGTAATGAGCGGCGCTGCAATCTGCGAGAAATATTCGTTGGACGATCCGACATTGTTGATAACACTGAGCGCTGCCGGTCGATCATCCGAAAACAGAACGTTTAAAATATCCTTGTTGCCTCCAGCGACAATATAGTGAAGCGCGGTGATACGTTTCATATCTCCCTGAGCCGACGTCGCACCGAGTTTCAGAAGAAGCTTTGCTACTTGCTTTGCCTTCTCAGCTGGGAGAGACATGGTAAGGACGAGTGTCATGATTGCTGCACGAGGACTATTGTTGTACGGATCAGTGAGCTTGACGGGTATCAGGACATCCGATCCATATTCTGAGACGAGAAGCTCAATGACATCCAGGTGTCCATTGAGGATGGCGAAATGAAGAGGAGAAAGACCGTGGTCCCAAGCAATGACATCAACATCATAGACATCGGGGCTATCTGGAGAGTCTTCGAGAACCTCATCCTAAATTTGTCATGTTAGCTAAAAAAGAGATCTCGCTCAAGTTCATAAAATAATAGTAGGAGTGCTCTTACCTCCTTCGGGTGTTCTTTGTCCACTTTAACGAAGGAGCCCATGGTCATAGCATCCGAATCATCGTCGCTGTCCAGAGTGATCTCAGAAGCTTCCGAGCTTGCATCGTCCATATCAACATCTTCCTGTTCCGTATCCTGGGTGTTGCGACCCTTACTAGCCCGTTCAGCCCGCTTAGCCTTGTGTCGAGCCTCCTTCTTCTCATCTTCTTCCTCTTCATTCTCTAAGCTCTTATCCATGAGTGCTGCGACCATTGCTGTACTTCCGCGTGCAGCAGCAATGTGCAAAGCAGTTCTGCCGTCCACGAGTCTAGCGGTCAACCGGGCGCCATTGTCAATCAAACATTGAACAATTTCAGGCGTGGAGGTCATAGTTGCTAGGTGTAGAGGGGTTCGCCCAGTGTAGTCCCGACAGTTAACCTGTGAGTATCGAGTTGTCAGTTAGGGTTCGATTAAAAATACAAGGTAGCTAGAGATCTTCTAGCACGGGAACGGCCCATATAAGATTCTCTAGGCAATAATGCGCAGCGATATGCACATCAAAAGTGGCGAACAGGTTTTAGGGAGGAACTTACATCTACGCCTTCTTGCCCACACCAGTCCTCGACGTGCTCCAGGTCACCGTCCGAAATTGCTTGGCAAAGGCGTGCGGTGTCTCCAACGTACGCCATGGTAGTCCATTCATCGTCTGTGATGGGGTTGAAACTTCCAATTTCCTGCCGGCCCGGATCATCCTTGAGAAATCTAAGTTCTCCGGAGAGATATGTCTTGCTCTCTTCTTCAGCGACTTCTATTTCTTCATCTGTCTTCGGAACTGGGCAGTATCCGCAGCAATCCTCCATGACTTCCGCAGCATTACCGAAGAAACAGGGATGCCTATGTAAATAGACCTCGCGATCCTTGGGCTGATTCCATTCCGCATTGAGCAACAGATCTTTGGCGTACAGCAAGCGATTGATGTTGGCTGCATGGTACTTTGGACCATATGGGACAGTCATGGTATGGTACGAAGCAACTTCCTCTTGCTCAACCCACTACAGCGGTAGAAAAATTAGCATTGAGTAACCTAAACGCTATTTCTTGAAAAGAACTCAGGTATCTAGCAGCAGAAAACGTGATTCTCTCCAAAGGACTTACTTCAGCAACGTCATCTTCTTCCTGCTCCTTGATATTACCACTGTTTCGAGAGTTAAAGCGCCAGCGATTAATAGCCGGTCTTCCACGCTCCTTGCGGCGTTTGTCCATGTAAGAATCACGATCAGCAGCCTTCGGAAGCTTTTCCAAAATCAGGAGTCGAGCAAGCCCTTGGGTGCGACCGAAAGTCCGCTCGAAAATCGTGGGATCAATGCGGGTTCGGTCTAAAGCTGGCCAATAGACTTCGAACCCACGGCGGCTATACTTGGAGAGACGGTTCTCGTACGACGGTGAGCGTCGGTTGAGATCGATTGTATTGCATTGGGTCATGAAGGCGGCGATAGCCCTTGGGGCCGCATACACTTGTTTACCATCATAGGCAGCACAGGCGCAATCAACATCAAAGCCGGTGATGATCTGAGATATGGAATCATAAAGACGGAGGACAATCTGGACATGGCGGGTAGGATATTGACTTGCGATAGTGATGGCATTCTTGGTTCGAATAGTCGTAACTTCATGAAGAATGCTGTCCTGGATGCAGCGCTCGATTTGCTCTATCTTTTCCATAGCTTCCTCCTCGTTCAAGCCGTATAGGAAGAGATCAACATCACTAGCAGGGGCGAGATGCTCGTGGTAGTATTCACGCATGCTCTTCTTGCTGTGTGCCCGTCCTTCGGGGATAGGAAGCATGGCAGTGGTGACCGAACTTCCAGCGGCAACGACGTTACTCCAATCAAGGTCGGCCAGCGATGACTCGGAAAACAGGTTGAAATTCTGTTGAAAATCCTTGAAGGACGAGACAACCGCCGGAGCACCAGAGGGCTTGCGCTCATCTTTGCCCAATGCCATGATATACTTTGACATTTCCTCATCGGATTCCTCGTCCAGAGACCTGGCTCGGATTTTGAGCTCCTGCTCATGACCAGCAAAAATGGGGACGAGGTTGACATTGGGGTCTTTGACGACCTCGTGGGAGGGCTCTTGGGCATAGACCTTGCGTAGTTCGTTCTCATATGCCTTGTAGGGCTCGAGGAGTTCTTCGACTGGGGTGTCAGGGTGGGCTGACAGATATGGGATGAAGCCTCTAACCCCTCCAGAAGGAAGCTTAGGGATCTGGATCTTCACAGGGCCTGGGATGATTGCGAGGGGAGCCATGGCTGGAAATGGATTGCGAGGAGTTGTATTCAACAGATATGATTCTGAACGGTTTATAAAAAATGGTACAAGGAAGCTGTCACTAAAACAAGAGTCGATGAGACCCGGACGTGGCTAATGGCTCGTCGGTTCCACCGCAAGACAAGTAATTAATTGGAGGAGATGGTGGCAGGACTTGAGATTGATGTTGATGAGAGAGAATGGTGGAGTAGAGAAATATAACTGAGGATCACGACGCATTTAAAGAGAAAGAGCTCCCGTCGATTGCAGACGACGTACGAAACCTACCCGAGGTTTACGAAGCATCGTGAGAACGAGCGGTCAGATCGCGTTATTTCCAAGAACGCCTAACACGGTTTGACACGAGTTCCCGTGACATTTTAGGCAGCACGGAGGTTGATGCCTTGCGCTAGAGCGTAATTGGTGCTCTAAGCGAGGTCCAAGACAAATCCGCCTCCTTTTTCAGGGGATGAAGAGGTTTTAAGAGTCACCAAAGGTCCACGCTAGGCGTCGCTGCCTTGAACACGCCAACTTCGATAGATTTGTCGAGTGTTCCTGAGCTAAGTATAGACACAACACGCGCTGTTCAGGTGGTACGGTTCTTGGTTTGTTTCCCCGTGTTTGCTATGGGTAGGCAGGTCACATGGACTCCGGCATGGGACTCTGGTGGCCATCAATAGAACCCGAGACTTATTTATGGAGTGAGAATTGGCCGAAACCTACTAGATCGAACAGTACCAAAACCCTTCTTCCTAGTTTCGTTCGGTGGCTTCATATATGTATGGCAGCTATGGCCTTTCTGTTGGATAGTAGCTGGGTGCCAGTTGCCTCAGGTACCGCTATCCGGACTACTGGTACCTACCCTCCAGCTCCAAAATGAAGCATAGGCCGTCATTCGGTAGCTACACATATGCATAGCAGCTACAGCGACCCTATTTACTGTCCAGGTGGCAGCCCATCACCCTGTGCCACTACATCTCAAAAAACGGATCACAAGTCGATAACCACCGGGGACAATCAAGATATTCCGTGTTGTGTTGAGCACAGGCAGTAATTCCTCCTCTTCCAAGCCTTTACTTTCCAGAGCGGATATCTCAATGCTGCAGTGTATCACCCAGGTCCAGCCATAAATGCTCGAGAATCCTGCGGGACATCGTACGAGATACGTTGGGAGAAAATGCTATCCTAGAGAAGATATATATCGAGTTCCATATGGTTTTGGGTTCGAGGGGATATTTCTGCAACTCAAGAGACGGAGCGCTTCCGGCCATAGCTCGACGAGGTGTCGTAAAGTCTGCGTGTACCGTTTTGGTTTCATTGCAGCATCATCCCAATCATTCAGAGCTTATGCATATTCGAGAAACGGTTCGGACGTATCCATGCAACGGATTGGTTTTCTTCTTCGATGTAGTAGATTATCATGCGACTGGTTGGATTTCTCCATCGATGTGGTAAGCTTCGGCGGCTAGTTTCGAATCGAGTGCATCTGTTCGAGTCAACCTATCCTATTCGAAAGAAGAAAAATTAATTGAAGGGACAAAGATTGGCAGTAATCGATGGGATTACTGCGATGTGGTATGACAGCTAGCAGACAATTCAAAGTTTGTTTGATATTGTAGCTTTCCAATCAGAGAGGTATGTTCGAGGCAGGCTAGCAGTGGCTAGGAATGTTGAACGAAACGGGTTCCTCTTAACGAAAGAAGCCCTCCAAAGATGAGCTCAAGCACCAAAGTCTCGACTTTTGACTTGAAGAGAAAATGATTCGAGGTTCTGTAGCAAGCAAGAGGGAAATCGGGTTTGAGGGGGGTGGGCTACACCACGCAACAACAGGTCCTTTTTGGCCGGCCACTGTCCATCTTGGAACCCCAAGAAACGGGAACGTGAAGCCTCGTACGAAGTCTCACGCGACCAACAAACTAGACGAACCCGAACCCTTTAGTCGACGAAGGAAATATCCGGGAACATTGAACACCTCGGTCGGAATTGACGTCGTGGGATTGTCGACATAACGCTGTTGGTGGATGGTTCTAGGTATGCTGACGGAAACTTCTCGAATAATAAGAATAGCTTGCTGATCCTTCTGACGGATGGATTGGTTTCCGATGACAGGGTGGCGATGCTGTGCAACATCACATGAAGCCAGCTACATCAGAGGCACCCGGAGCGTTCGACGCAAACAGCCTGCCCTTGCGAGACAACCGCAATCGGCAAAAGGCTGAAAGCCTTCAATTCAAAGTTTTGAAACTGTAGCGTGAAGTGGTGGCACGAGGTACGTAGCTAAAACTCAGCAGCGAAAAGTCCCGAACCTGTCAGAAGGAATGACGATGTAGATCTGCCAACAACTTCGCACTTTACTTATATTACCTGGTGGCGGGCGTAGCACCTCAAACTGCCAAGTTCCAAGCTGCCAGCCAAGTTTGGAACCTGCGATTCGTTGCCCGGTTAATTCAGGGTTGCACTTGGCGGGCCGGACGATATTCCGCTTTGCGTACTTGAAGCTCCGGAGGGCCCGGGGTGGCTCATCCACAACAGAGCATGGTGTGTTGTACCCAGGATGTGCATACCTGCACTACGTACTGTACATGTACGAAGTACCCTTATCTGTGTGCTGTGCCATAATAATAATAGATGCGGAGACACCGGGGGGTTCTTTCTTTCACATGGGACCGACCGAGGGAAGCACCGTGATTATTGCTGTGTTTGTTTGTTTTGTCGGTTGACATATGCAACGCTGCTGCATGGAAGTATGGAAGTGTAGTGTAACTGCAGGCAGGTTACGGCGTAACTCCAATTGTACGGAATAATTAGGACATGCAGCCGCATTATTGCATTTGCAAGCAGGGAAAGGGCGAAGCTGTTGGCACTGTAGAATACGGAGTAATGTGGAGAAAATGCGGAGTGCTGGGTGTCAGGATGCTATTGATGCTGCTGCTGGCCATGGCCATGGCGGTTATTGCTCTTGCTAGTCAGGAACCGAATGTAGATTTGCAGCAACAGGCAATGCGTATAGTACGGAGCAATGTAGTGCTGCTTGTTGGAGCTCCATACGGAATTAGGGCGTAGACTCGTATGACCATAATAACAACCACCCCATACTTCGTACTACCATATTAATAGCCTACCTACCTAGGAGGCAGGCTCTGGGGAAATGGATTCCATGGAAGCTTGATTTGCTCCGTAGAGACTTATTATCGACTCGGTGACTTGGTATTGCCCCAGATGTGGCCCCAGGCCGGGGGTTCCGATCGGAACGCGGCGGATACAGAGCGAGCTGTGTGTTTCTCTGGGGAAGGATTCGTGGTTTCTCGCTCTGGAGCCTGGAGCCTGGAGCCTGGAGAATGGAGAATGGAGAATGGAGAATGGACCGGTACCAGTAACGAAGAGGGAAAATCGGATTAGGATTAATTAGGATTTAGGATTGGGATTGGGATTGGGATAGGCGGATAGCGAGAGTTGCCGGATGCGGCGGTGTTGGTGTTGGTTTCGGACTTGGGTTGCACGAGGGAGAGCGTTGAGCACTGTAGCGCTGTAGCAGTCAGGTACCTCTGTTGGTACAGTGGTAGCACCTGTGCTACAGCGCTGCAGTGCTCAACTAACAGTGCTGCAGAAAGGTACATTCCATTCCAGTGGTACTGTATCACATGTGGTGACCAAATGCCTCGGTGCGCACTGAAGAGTTTTTGCCTAGAAAGATTAGGGAGGTACCTAGTCAGTTTTAGTGGTGATTTCCCCACACTGCCCACAGTTAGCAGCGGGCCTAGCAGCGAACCTAGCATTGTTCGCAGCAGCCCGGGCGCCCGCTAGAAGAAACGCCGCCTCTATACAGTACAGTAGATGTCATGTCCTACAACGTCCGCCCGCCACCGCCCGCCACCGCCAAAACCCACGCCCCAACCTCCCCCCGCCTAACCGTCTCCAGCCACTTCTCCGCCGCCATCATGCACACGCCAAATCATCAACGGGCCAACACCAACAAACTTATTCTTATTCTTATTATTATTATCAACTAACCAACTACTACAGTAGCCAATTACCCACTAACCACTCTAGATCGTCGATCGCCACTCCCTCCCCCCCTCCCCCCGTCTGCGTTCCAAGTTCCAACCCCGCCGTTAATCGCCACCCAGGTTTCTGCCCTGATTTCCCCTTTCCCCCCGCCGTTTCCAGTCAACTCGCTCTTCTCCTACGTAGGTACTCGAGGGCTGCACTGTACCACCACTCTACCTGCGAGATTACGGAGCTGCCCAGCGCGGCAGTGTGTGGATGGCACGAGGGTAATAATCGTACCGTACGGGGAACACTCGCTCAAGTCGTACAGCCAATTTCGAAGGGCCTGGTTTGGACGCCGGCCCCGTCGGATTCGATAATAGCACACACATCTCGATCCCTTGGCGATCACAGCTCTGCTATTTGGGAGTTGGAAACGGCCAAATTAGCCCTTTGAGGATTGGGGGAAAGAGCGCATATCGCATGGCATACGGTATTATTGCACGCAGAGGGTTTTTCTTGCTGGACTACGTGACTGCCCGGCCATACCGATTCTCTCTACGTAAAGCAGCTAAAGCTGAACCATGAGCAGTGGGCTATGCTGGGCCATCTTCGGCTTTGCAACGTTTCAACCTCACGACGATCCGGGTGGGCAGGCAGCTCGTCTCCAATAACGGCCCAGGGGCAGGAAAGGGGGAAAACAGGGTTGGACCCCGGGGAAAGAATACCGCCCTGTACGTAGGTACTGTACCGTACTCTGTAAAGTACGAAGTACATGAGGAAAAGAGTTGGTCGACCAGGTTATCACCAGTCATCATAGGTCACCACCAAGTACCAGGTTCTCCACATCCACGGTGCAGTTGCGGTCCGCACGCGAGTAATCCGTAATTGTTGCCACACCCACACCCTCCGAGTACTCGTACGGTACACGTACATGTACCTACGTCGCACGTAGCACTGCGCTTAGGGCTTTTTGGTTATTGCTTCTTGGGACTTTTGTTTAGGCCCGGGACTTTGCCGCTATTGACCTATTGGCCTCTGATGGCCCCCTGAGAGGCTGAGCGACGGAAAGGGAACCTCTCGCCGATATGGAACCAAGGCAATTGGCCCAGGCGAACCTATGTCATTCTGGTTGCGGGCTCGGGGGGGCGACGGTTCGCTGCACCCAGCTACCTACGAAGTAGGTAATATCCGCCCAGGCCCCAGGGGGCCACTAGCTGCGAAGTACTCTATGTACAGTACGATGAACGCAGGCCACAAATCCACAATCCGCACTACACGAACGGACCGGGTTAGTACTGTCTCTTATACACATCTAGATGTGTATAAGAGACAGGGCTGGGGCAGCAGCAGAGCATGTGCAGCGGTGGATCGATCTCCCCAAGACGGGGGGAGGGGGGAGGAGGGGAGGAGGGGGAGGAAGGGGAAGCGCAAGACAAGGGGAGCCCGGGGCCGCGATGCCTGTCCTCTTCATTTCATGCTTCTATATAACCAGCCCCGACGTCGTTCTCCTCCTCCTCTTTTCTTCCCACTCACCATCCTCAATCTCAACAATCAGCCTCCATCTCTAACTTTGCCATCACTCGTTTAAAGGCATTTCCCGCAAATCCCCAAACCCAAACCAACCATCAAGATGAAGTTCTCCTCCACCATCGCCATCATGGCTCTTGCCGGCTTCACCGCCGCTGCTGGTCTTGATTCCATCCCAGCCTGTGCTAAGCAGTGCATCGACGATGCCGTCACCAAGGTCACCACGTGCACCACCACCGACGTCCCTTGCAGCTGCAAGAACATGGACAAGATCCAGACCGAGGCCACTCCCTGTGTCTTGAAGGCTTGCGGAGCCAAGGCAGTTGGTAAGTTTTTTTTTTGGATGGTTTTTGAGTGTTATTCTCGGACAATCGCTAATATCATTCTTTATAGATGTCATCACTGCTGTCACGGAGCTCTGCAAGGACGGTGGAGCTGCCCCATCCAGCTCTGCTGCCCCAGAGACCTCTGCCGCACCATCCAGCTCAGCGGCCGCCCCTTCCAGCTCCGCTGAGGGATCCTCCAGCGCTGCTCCATCCAGCTCCGCCGCTGCCCCAACCTCCGCAGCCGGAACTGGATCCGCCCCAACCGTCATCTCCTCCTCCAAGGTCGCCGCTCCCACCAACGGCACCTCCACCGGCACCGCTCCTCCCGTCGAGGTCACCGGTGCTGCTGGCCAGCTCGTCATCGGTGCCGGAAGCTTCGTCGCTGCCGGTATGGCTGTCCTCGCCGCCTTGTAAATATCTCATCCTTTACTGGATTGGGTTACGAACTAGGCTGGAGTGAATGATATCATCAAATAACGCATTAATTCGACGGGATGGGTTTATTTTTGGCGGGGGGAGTAATGAGTGTGCATATATGGTCATTGCTGTAACGATGTATCTATTGCTACCTTTATGTTGCTCGCTCGAAAATAGCTTAGAGGATGTAATAATGAACTGAGTGTACCAATACATGCACTGTTTTCGGATCAATATCTCTTGTCTGCAATATGTGATATCAATTGACTTATTCTTGCCTGTTCACAGTATGCCTTTTGGGCTAGCATCTCCAAGATATAATTACCATATTGACTTTATAGGTACCGAAGAAGCTTTCGTTCGCAAATCTGACTGATGGCTAATGGATGGTAGAAAACCGTTGAAGAGAAGGAAAGGTGCGCAAAAGCTCAGAGAAGAAAAGATGTCGAAAACCGAAAACTGGTCCGGCTTCGAAGCCAATGAATAATATATTCTCATATAAGTAACTTCTTAACCTCTTCAACCAAATTCCCTCTAGATACAAGGTGCCCCCGATCCTTCGAATCCGATTCATCATCACTATCTCTCAAAACCTTCACCCGGACTTGACCGGCAGCTAGTTCATCCTGGCCAAGGATAACAGCAAGACGTAAATTCTTCGCCGCCTTGAACTGCTTGTCAAATTTGGGCTTCACCTTAGCAGCAAATTCCGCCGATATACCAGCATTCCACAGCTGGCGAGCCACCGACATGCGTTCGAGAAGCAGCCCGTCGAATTCCTTGCCGCCAAAAGCCATGACATATACATCGACCTTGTGTGTTAGTTTTTTCTTGCGGCACGCGTTTAAGATGTTGAAGATACGGTCGACCCCAAATGATATGCCAACACATGGAATGGGGTTCTTAGCGTACATACCCACCAGATTATCGTAGCGTCCGCCCGCGGCAATGCTACCAACCTGGCTAGACTAGTTTTCGCTCTTGCCATTTGTGCTCAGTGGTTTGTTGATCACTTCGAATATCAGACCGGAGTAGTAGTCTAGCCCTCGAGCAAGCGAAAGGTCAAAGGAGACCTTATCAACAACGTCTAATGCCTCCAGGTACGAGATAAGAAGACTCATGTCGTCGATTCCCGCTTTCACATTTTCATTTGCACACAGTCTTGGATCTGACTTGAGAAATTGTAGCATCTCGCTCATATCACCGCTGCGTCTCACGTATTCGCCGATTTGGTCTGCGACCTCATCCGAAATGCCTTTCTCGTCGACCATCTCCTTCTTGACGTCGGCCCACGTCATCTTATCCAATTTATCTACCGCCGAGCTGATCGACCGTATCTTTTCGTCCGGAACACCTGCAACCGCAAACAAGCCGTCTAGAATCCGTCTGTGGTTGATTTTTATAGTAACCTCTAGCTCAAGAGCCTCGAACACCTCAACAATGACACGTAGGGTCTCGGCGTCAGCGATCATAGGGTCGTAAAGACCAGCAATGTCGAAATCGCACTGGTAGAACTCGCGGAGCCTGCCCCTTGCTATCGCTGGCTGGTCTCGCCGGTAGACCTTGGCGATCTGGTAGCGCTTAATCTGCGACACATTATTCATCGCCAACCAGCGAGCAAACGGAACCGTCAGGTCGAATCGCAAAGAGCAGATTTCACCACCTTGGTCGGCTAGATCGTACATGAGACGCGCATCCTCGCCGTACTTTTCTGCGAGAATTGATTTTAGCTCGAAGGCTGGTGTATCCAGGGGAGTGCCGCCGTGGCGTTTGAAAACTTCGCTGGCTGTCTGACTGTTGATGAGTTAGCATATAGAACATTTGGTCAAAGGCCTATATCTCCATCTACCTCACTTACAGGATATGGTCACGTAGAATCAGATCTGAGCCAACCCAATCACGAGTGCCTTTGGGGGTCTTTAGCTGGCCGCCTGGGCGGGCGGGTATCTTGACATCTTTGGTGGCCATATTGTTGTTCGAGGTAAGATAAAGCTACGAATAAACTGTGATAATCAAAGTTTTGTTGTGTGCGTGTACAGGAAATGAAGTACATCCCCAGATTCCCAACCTTGACTCATCGTAGACTCACCGCGACGTCTGCACAGGTACATTCCTCCTCCACTTCATGTGATAATAAAAGAATACATTTTTGGGTATCTCTAAATATCATTGTATAGAATTGGCAACTTTCGCGCGGCAAAAAAGAATACTAAAATAAATTATGATTAGTCCCGGAAAGGAGATTAGGGTTCTCATTAAAACTGCCACTCCTGGAAACGAGAACTCTAGAGAATCCTTGGAGCGAGAGTATAACATCTACCAAAGACCCGCTATCGCATCATCTGCATGTATCCGGACCTTGTACGACGTCGTGGGAAGGTATGGAGGCATGGCATAAATCTTTTTGAACTAACAAGGCGGGAATTGCTTGGCTAGAAAAGAAAATACTTGCATATAAAAGATATTTCATATGTCCAGATGATGTTTATGCTCCCAGGAGAGTCGAGCCAGGGCTAAAAATTTGTTGAGAAATTGTTATGACTCTAAATCTAACTACATAGTGTTTGGTTTCAAGCTTATTAGTATGTTTCTAAATTGTATATTTTTAATCACTCTCAACCACTCTTGATCAGCTAAGAATAACATACGTATATAGTTAATCCGGTTCCTTTCAGGAATATCGCGTTCAATATTTATTTGATCTCTTTCTTATATAAATATCTTGATTTACATTTAATCCGCTACTTATGCTTGATAATCCCCTCAAAAGAGCCTGTGTATTGATCACGTGATATTTCCCCGAGAGAGGCATCAAAATAATGGCCCAGTTCTTGGCCTCGGGTCCCAAATCAGCGCCGTTATATATCTCCGCGTAAAATTGACACAGTTTATATAGGACAGCGGATATAAAAAATGTATAGCTGCCAACAAGCGTAAGGGCCTAGAAATAGGACTTGGTACGACTCAATAGTAGTAGCGGCTCCTCAGGTAGAAACAAAGGTTGAGAGACTAGTGAGCAGTTAGTGATGAGCTGGGCAGTGGCAATGTGCCAATACCATTTTATTGGCATGGCAACTTGTAAACATTCCTGAAGGAAACTCTTGGTCGTTCGATTTAGATGTGTCACAGCTTCCAGCCATGTCTCACTTCGCCCGCCACAATGCCACGCCCAGCCTTTCCCATCCGCCACCAAGTAACAACTCGTCGTCATCCATCCGCGTCGAGCCCATTATTAAATGCAACAGCCCGGATCAACGGCTGCATAGCAGATATCACCGATGAAGCACATTTTTATGCTAGCTACCATGCACTCTCCCAATCTCACAAATGCTACACAAACAACCCTAATTTTGCCTTCTAAGGCTTTTCCGTACGTCACCGCTTACAAGATCACAATAACATAATACTTTCCCCCAAAACAAACCCAACCCCTGCCCACGTACAATACCGCAACACAACAGGTACCTTATCCATATCCCTCCCTTTTCTACGGGGTTAGAACCTAAGGTGGAGGTGAATAATTGACGTGTATAATATCGTGAGATAGCATTAAATCGATTATAATTAAAAAGACTTTTACTCACAGCCTACTTGTTCTATATACCTACCTCAGGCACCTAACCTACTAGCGGTGTGATATCAAAAACCAAATGGTGGGGTTTTAGCGACCAAACACCCTCCTTAAAGATATATGGCCAAATAAGCAAAATATCCTTTAACGAGTACAAGGGCGTGGCACTTGGTCAAGTGTGTTCTGGTCAAATTGTACTTTTCGTTATCGCCAGGGACGAATAGGGAAAAAAAAAGGAAATCAACAACAACAAAAAGCGACAACAACAACAACAACAACAACAGAAAAGCGACAAGAGATGTAGGCAATCGACCGGGCCGAACTCTTTTGCCATTTTAAATCTCCTTTTTTATTATTATAGCAAACTAGAATACGTGATATAGGATTTAAATTGAATTTATTTCGCGATAGCCTCGTTTTGTTTTTTGTAGGGCGTTGATTTGGCGACGACGGTGAGGATGGGCAGATCGGTTTGGTAGTCACCGCTCTGAAAGGTGACAGTATAATGTGACGAATTGCTAAATAGTATGTATAATATATCGATCTGAGAAAGAATCATAGTCTGATAAAAATTTGCTAATTACAGCACTCAAAACATTTATATCTTAGGAGGATATACACATAGAGGTCATGTTGCGGGTTTAAATAGAGCTGTTATTAGAAAAGCGACGGTGCCGGTGCGGCCCGCTCGTTGGTTGCGTTAGCTACCTACCTTACCTTAGGTAGTATAGATAGAATGCGACGGGAAAGGACCAGATATTAGCTCCCCCTCCTCCTCGATCACAGATATCACATCACAACACTATCACTTCACTCGCCAAAATAACCATTCTAAAGAGCGGAACGAGAAATTATTCAGTTATTTTATAACCATGCGCTATATAAATAAGTGTACAAGTGTGTGTGTATCTCTGCACCAAACTTTTTCATAATCCAGCTTTCCCAAGCATCATTCTCAGGAGAAGATTTGATTTTCAAAAATAATAAGACGAAACTCTAAGTCAAAATCTGCGATGCACACACATGTTCTAAACAACGTATGCCATGCCGAATAGTAGGTTGTTTTCCAAACATAACGAGGGGAATGAGAGATGTGAATGTACCGCTGTATGTCCGAAACGCCATCGCCATGCATGCTGTGGAGCGATACCAAAAAAAAAAATTTAAGACAGGAGAAGAGGGGGTATGCGGGTGGGCTTGAGGGAGGGAAGGAATATTATGCGGTGGATGACCCAGAGGTATTTGGACAAGAGAGGGGACGAGGTTTTAATTCTTTCCCAAACTTTGTAGATTCACCAGCTCGGAATACCGCCCAGCTTTGGCCATCAGATCGTGATGCGTACCATGCTCAACAATCCTGCCCTGGTCGAAGACGTAGATAATATCCGCCTTCTGGATGGTGCTCAGACGATGCGCAACAGCGATGGTCGTCCGGCCCTTGGCGGCCTTATCTAGAGCAGCCTGGACAACATGTTCTGATTCCGAGTCCAAAGCAGAGGTGGCTTCGTCGAGGAGCAAGACCTTGGGGTCGCGGAGGAGAGCACGGGCGATGGCTATCCGTTGCTTTTGGCCACCTGAAAGCATAGAGCCTTTGGAACCGACCACGGTATTGAAGCCATCGGGGAGAGACATGATGAAGTCGTAGATGTTGGCTTCTCGGCATGCGAATTCGATTTCCGAGTCCGGCACATCCTTACGATCGGCTCCTAGGAGGACGTTGTCGCGGACCGTGCCTTGGTAGAGAGTTGGCTCCTGAGATACCAGGGCGATGAAAGAGCGGTAATCGTTGATGTTTAGACTTGAGATTTCCTTGCCGTCGATATAAATACCGCCAACGAGTGGGTCATAGAATCTTTCGAGGAGCGCAATAGTGGTAGATTTTCCGCAGCCAGAAGCGCCAACGAGGGCAATGTATTGGCCGGGAGCAACAGAGAGGTTGAGCCCTCTAAGCACCGGCTGTTCTGGACGTGTCGGGTATCGGAAGTGTACGTCTCGGAACTCGATATTTCCTTCAACTGACTCGAGAGGAGCTCCGTCAGTGGACCAAGTATCCATATTTGGCTTGCGGTCGAAAAGGATCTTGAGCTCTTGCGCCGCTTGCTTGGCCTTGCTCATGTCCGCTATATGGTGTTAGCTTTCGGAGAGCTTCCTAGAAGGAGGTATACTTACGTGCGAAAGAAAAGATGGTGCCAGCAGATTGAGCACCGAAGATGACAGCTGAAAAGCAGACGAAGAATTGGAAGAGCGTATACTCTCTATCAGCGATGCGGTTACCGCCATACCTACGAGGGTGTTAGAGACTGTTGAATGCAATATCACTGAAAATACGTACCAGAAGCCAAGAGCCACGCAAAGGAACATCAGAGATTGCGACGCGGCATACAGAAGCGACGTTTTCAAGACCGATTTCAGACTTCTCTTACTTTGGGCGTCTAGGGAGTCCTGGTACTGCCGAAGGACATCCTGTTCCCTCGTCAAGGAAGCAACAGTGCGGATGGCACTTGTTGCCTCACAAGCAAAACTGGCACTTTTCTCATATGCCTTCTTTGCTCTTTCTTGGAACTTAGCCAACAGCCAAAACCTGAGGAAACCGCAGCTAAGCAGGACGGGAATGGTTGCAGTACACACCAATGCCAGTTTCCAGGCGATGGCGGTACTGACGGCGATAGCGGCGATAAGAGTTGTGATAACTGTCAGGAGCGTGCCCAGAGTGACGCCTGATAAACCGGCTACGTGGGTTGTTTGAGTGCTAAGGAAGGAGGTCAGTGCCCCTGCGGTGTTTTCCTCCTTATCAAAGAACTCGATATCTTGTCGAAGCATAGTTCTAAATGCCAGGTTCCGCACTCGATGGATTAGCCTCTCGGAACAGAATGCAAAGGCAACACCCTGTCCACAAAAGGCGATAAACTGAACAAACGCCAACATAAGGTACATGAGGGACCAGAAATTTACTTCAGAACGTAGGTGGGCCTTAGCACCCGGGATCTCCTCTTTGGTGAAGGGGTTAACTAGAGGGGTGGAAAGAGATATAATCTCCTTGGCGAAGAAGACAGCTTGAGTGGGATTGCCTCCTCCACAGATAACTGAAAAGAACAGCCCCACAAGCATCAAATGCCATTCGGTCGTGTTAAAGGATGCAATGAGTCGAATTAATGTCCAGAGCGAGTCTCGCTGTTCCACGCCTGCTTTCCGGTTCTGTAGCGCAAGCGATGATTGAGATTTCTCGGATTGTGTGCGTTTCAACTTATTTGCGATATTCTTGTCGTCCGGATCTTGGATATAACCTTGGCCACTTCGGTTGGATTGTTCTCGTGTAAGCTGCTCATCCTTGGCATCCAAAATCTCTTGCTCCTCCGGGGTCAAGTCATTCGTTTCCGCAATCTTTTGAGCCTCGATCAGGGAGTAGTATGGACCGCGTGCCGCTAACAGTTCGTTATGGGTGCCTTGCTCCACGATACGGCCTTCGTTCATGACAACGATATTATCAGCGTCCTTAATTGTCGAAAGGCGATGTGCAATAGAGATGGTGGTTCTTCCTGCAGAAGCAACTTCAAGGGCAGCTTGAACAACACCTTCGGACTTGGTGTCAAGCGCAGATGTTGCCTCATCGAGCAACAGTATCTTAGGATCGCTAACTATAGCTCTAGCAATGGCTATACGCTGTTTCTGACCTCCAGATAAGAGGAACCCGCGTTCTCCAACATTGGTCTCGTAGCCTTCAGGCAGTGCCGTGATGAAGTCATGGGCGTTGGCCTTCTTAGAAGCTTCGATGACAAGTTCTCTCAACTTGTCCTCCTTCTCCTGTTCGAACTTTGTCCCAATGAGGCCATGGCGAATATTATGGTAGATGGTGGTACCGAACAGGGTGGGTTCTTGGCTGACCAAGGAAATCTGCTGTCGCAACCATCGGAGGTTTAAGGTGCTCACGTCATGCCCGTCCAGATAAACATTGCCGCCGACAGGATCATAAAACCTCTCAACTAGGCCAACAATTGTACTTTTTCCAGAACCGGAGGCACCGACAAGAGCCGTGTTCTTGCCGGCTGGAATCACCAAGCTTACATCTTCCATAACTGTAACCTCGGGTCTAGATGGGTAGATATGCTTGATGTTTCGAAGCTCAATAGTCCCTTCCACGTTCTCAAGAATTTCCCCCGAGTCCGACGTGGGATCTAGAGGAGATACTCGATCGATGGTGTTGAAGATCTTGACGGCGGCCGAGATAGCGGTCGTAAATGCCTGTGCATTAGGAGCGACGTTTCCAAGCGCAAAGGCTCCAATCATGATAGACAGCAGGATGGTAAGAATGTCGCTTAGCCCAATTTCTCCTTTGACTAGGAATCTGCTACCCATCCAAAATGCGAGACCATAGTTGAGATAAATGGTCATGAACATGCCGCCAACCATAATTGCCAGCGCAAACTTAACCTTGTAGCCAAATTTTTCAGCTGCAGCGAGATGGGCGTCATACTGGCGTGCCAGCTTATCCTGGGTGCCAAAAGCCACGGCATTTCGGATGGACGAGATGACCTCTTCTGCAATAGAACCACCAAGAGCGTAGGACTCCAGGGATTGCTTGCTGTATTTGACGATGAAAGTTGAGCCACCGCCCATAATGGCTGTAATTGCGGCGACGGTGGAGATCAAAATCAAGGTCAACTTCCATGACTTGATGAATCCGATAACGAAAGCGGTGATAAAAGTGGCAGTGGCGTTCATGGTCAAGGCGACCTTCTCGGAGATACCATCTTGTACCAGATTTGTATCGGCCGTGATTCTCGTGGTGATCTCTCCAGAGCCAAGATTGTCGAAAAATCCAATATTCTGTCTCATACACGCCTGGAGATAATGGGCTCTGATCTTGCCACTGATATTTTCACCGGTATAGATAAACCCAACAGTCGAGATATAGATGGTGACGAACTCCGCGATGCCAATGTAGACGAAATACAGGACCATATGCGCAATGGTATGGTTGAACTCAGAGCGAGTGATCACGCCCGCGAAGAAGTTATTGAATTCTCCTGCCAAATTACCAAAAACCACTGTCATCAAGGGCAGGGCAGCACCGGCGGCAATGGCGCATACGGAGCTGACCGCAATGATCAGGTAGTCGTTCACGGTTGCGTATCGGTATAATGCTTTCCAGCCGCTCTTGACCACGGGGGTCTCGACCTGCCGCTTCAGAATCAGGGCCTCGGCCGGGGGAAGATGGGCGTAAAGATCCTCCTCATCCTTGGACGCAGGAATGTTGACGACCTTGGAGTCCAGCTTCGAGAGAGCGGCGGGGTCTTGGCCTTCGGTTGCCTGCTTTCTGGCGGAATCGCGCTCGTCGGCAGAGCCAGCGCGGCTCGAGGGTTGCGAGGAGGAGGCCTCTGCCTTTTCTGACGGTTCGGTCGTCATTGTGGTCGCGACGTTCCTAGGAATTCGTTGACCGTGGTGGGGGGGGGATTGCGACCCGATCAAACGGGGGGGGGGGGGGTCAACAAAGAGTTAGGATGGCATGGGCGAATCGCAACGCTCTGAAGAAGATATGGAAGGGCTGCTGGTGAGGCAAACGGCGAGGAAGTGGCAAGTGGGAAAGAAAGGGAAGGGAATTAGAAGTATTGTATTTTTGTATTGTAGTTGGTATGAAGAAAGAAAGGAGGGCTGGTCTGGTCTGGAGAAGGTGGCGGTTGGGGAGAGGAGGAGGGAGAAGCTTATATTCGAGCAGAGGGAAAAAGAGGGCAAGGTTACGAACAAGGGCGACTTGGATTTTTATTAACCCCGTCCTGTAAGGTGCTATGGACTTATCGGAGACACAACAGGAACATTGAATAATAATTGAACACGGCCAGGCCACCACCCACCACCGCGACTTACTTGCACAGACGAGTTATCCATCGAGACGGAAGGGAAATGCCCCGATCTGCGTCACGCCGTGTCGAGGCGTAAGAATTGTTCAGGACCGAGGCTAGCGACGGGGGGACGGGGGACGTGGGGACTGGGGGACTGAGAACTACTGGGGACTGGGAATGGGAATAATGGGGACTGGGCACTGGGGAGTTGGGGTTCCTTTAGATTACGTAGGACCCCGTTGGAGTCATTCGGAGTCATACTGTAGAAGACATTAGGTCTGATGTGATATGGTACGTGAGATTCGTAATGTGTAATGTGTAATGTGTAAGATGCTATTCGAATACTCCATCTGCTTCTACTACGTCCTACTTCCTTCCTACTTCGTATTTATTATTTATTTATTTGTTTATTTATTTATTTATTATTTATTTATCCTTGATGATCTCCATTCTCCATTCCCTCTGTACCAGTACGCAGTCCTGTATCTGCCGGCGCCGTATTCGTACCCGCAGCTGCGTATTCCTTCGTGATGCTGACCGGATTCGGAGCGAGCAGGGGTCCCACGGGGGGGAAATCCTCCGAGGCCGAGTTTTTCGCTCTCGCATAAACCACTGATTGGCTGGACTGGAGTCTGGTAGTGGCGGCGAGCAGGCACGTAGCGTACGGTAGTTTGTTTTCTTATATTGACAATTACCTACTTCGTACTCCGTACAGCATCACTGGGCACATGTACAGTACAGTACACAAAGTGGTATCATTGTGCTTGTATGAAGTACTTCGTACAACGTACTACTAAAGTAGATTGGATGCTTGCATGGTCCACACGTGGGGGATGATTATTATTACTCGTATTATCTATTCGCCGTGCGAAGGACGAGGAATCTGACGAGTACCTCACACCTCGTACTACGCGAGTGCACACCACAAAACCACAAACCACAACCCAACCGCAATCATCGTTCTGTGGGCCAACGCTTACCTAACCCGAACTCCCTAGTGCCTAAGGTACCTACCAGTTGCTACCTGCCAGTTGCTTTGTGCTAGAGTTGGTTGGAGTGGGAGTTGGAGACGAAGGCGCTAGCCAACACATTTATTACTGTGTGTGAGCTGCCAAATCACATGCAGTTAGCATGCCGGAGCCTCTGTTGTTACAGTAGTAGGCATATCTCTATGATTCGCTATTGACGCCATTCCTGGGGAACTATTGCTGGAGCTGAAACCAATTCCCATCGTTAAGCCAAGCCACGACCTTGCAACGCGGCTTTGTCTCACCAGCGCGGCTGAGAGTATGTCGCGCAGCTAATAAGCATGAAGCCAAACTCCGGAACGAACACGTAAACGCCCAAAGCTCAAAGCTCAAAGCCCCAAGTTCCCAACCCCACATAACAGAGCCTGTTACTCGAGTAGTACGAAGGTAAGTACTGTGCTCCGTACCATAAAATAAGAAAACTCGGTTCCATCCTGACCAAAGCGTTTTCGTATATGGCCACCTGCGATTGGCCGACGCGTACCCGGACAGCTGTGCAAAGTTATGCAAAACACCTAGGCCAGACTAGGTAGATTCCTCGTCAGGCGAGTCGGAACATAGAAGTTAGCGAAGTCAATGGTTAACTCCGCCTCCGCCGTCGTAACTCCTCCGGAGAGAGCCCACTTTCTGACGCCCGCCGCACACGGAGTATTCCTGAATTGCCTGCTCCGGTCCAGTGTCCCGATTGCCAACGTCGATCTCAACGTCGTCCTTCATAACAGTCGACTCCGCTTTAAATATATTGTTATTTACTTAGAGCAGAATATTAATTTCGTATTCCTTACTACGTAGTACGTACCTAGGTCGGTAATTAAGGTTGACAGTTTAGTTGACGCTGAGAGGAGCACTCAAGCATATATATGGCTTCTCAAAGATGATGCTACCAAGCGCATGCTGTGCTAGTGCCACGGTCAAAGGGCTCTACGCTTTTAATTGCCTGTGCGATTTTAATTAATACCTAACAAGTAATATCACGACGAAAGGTTTCTGTCGCTGGCAATAGAAGCAATATTTAGTATACTTTCGATCTGCTGGGAAACTAATTGTTCAGCAGAGGAATGGGACCAGCAACTTGAACGTAGGCATAGATAATATCATTTCAGCCGACTTCAAAGCCGTAGCATTGAAAAACATAATTAAAATAGAACTGAAATAAGTCCCAGCGCAAAACACATAGGCTTTGATAGACTCCCAACGGTGGGACAATAATAAAACATCCATCTCAAGCAATCGATAAATATTAAATGTCAGTCAATAATGTTGCAATGACACAACAAGATGCGCTGTCCCAGTTGCTCAATCCTGTTGTGCTTATGTCCCAGCAGTTCTAGAACATCACCAAAAACCAGTGCACTCGAGATGCATATTCGAGGACCTAGACTCTTTAAGTTACCATCTTTAATCAAAGTAATTATATGTATTATTGTGTATTGTGTTACCATGCACCACGTTGAACCTAGATGTTTTCTGGAGCGCGGGGGAAGTCGAGGAGGCAGGGTCTGATCATGTGACTCGCTTAGCCTTACCGGAATGTCGGTGAACGGGTGTTTTTCTGCCGACATCACCACTGGCAACGCCAACGGAATATTGTCGGCGCGGTCTCACCTTTTTCCGACATCCGACGTTTACCCACCAAGCGATCCAACATGAGTCGAGAATTCTCGGATTTGGGCCGACAGGCTGTGGAGGAGCAGCGCGTCTCACAACTTCCCCAATCCAGGATTCCACGATATCATCTAAGGCCTCTCCCATCGCGCGTTAGAAACGGGGTGAGATCCAATCGCGCTTTCGAGGGCTTGAGGCGCGTAAGCAACCGACCAGTTCAACAAGTTACCAGGAACCCAGTGCCTGAAGGGATCCCTTATCGGAGTCCCCACGGCCGACAATCAACTGAGTCTCGAGCTGAGCTCAATCTCGAGGGCTCCGAGCGTCTATGCGAACGAGTAGATCGACAAGGTGTCAGGAATCCAGTACTTGAAAGGCCCCCTGGTCTCAAACCCTACAGTGGACATACAAGTGAGACTCGAGCTGAGTTCACTTTCAGGGTCTTAGGACGAGCCGAGCGACAACCTCAACTAGCTATCAGGAACCCAGTGCTTGAAGGCTTCCCTTACCAGAGTTCCCCCGGCAGTCAATCAACTGAGTTTGGATCTGAATCCGCAATCATGGTGGGGAAGAAGTCTGGAAAGGCGCTCCTGCGCGAGGAGGGTATGGGAGATCCTCTCTCTTGTGGAATATCGAATCAATGCTGACTAGATACGTTTTTAGGGCTTGCCCGTACAGATAACGGCATGAAGATGACTAGTTGGCCGGAGGTGTCTATGATTAACCAGAAGAATTACTACACGTAAGTGATCCATGATATTTGCTCCTGCTGGGCAATGCCCAATTACAGCAGAGGGGTCGCGCATTTTCTATCTATTAGACTTAAGACGCGCCTCATCTTCCTTTGACTTTGCTTCGCGTATGGGGGCTAATATATATCTCGCAGGGACTACATGAAGCGCGATGATCAGATCCTCCCAATTCGTCTCCAAACTGAAGCCAATCGTGACCGAATGATTCGAGATGCGAAGGATAGAGATCGAGCCCTCGCCCGTACAGGAACTACCGAGGTCCCACTTCCTCTGCCTGCTGAGGGTGAGCCGGACGAGGATAGTACAAGTACCAGCTATAGCACCGATGCATCAAAGCTCATTGTCATCCATCCTGGAAGCCAGAATCTCAGAATCGGCTTTGCCAGTGATGCTTTACCAAAGACCATACCTAGCGCGCTTGCTGTGAAGAGCAAATCCACCGAATCGGAAGAATGCGAACCTGCCCCAGCGCGGCTCAAGATGAGCGGCTCTCCGGAAGATAAGTTTGGAGAGGAGTTTTCGAAGAAGTATACCAAACTGTCTAGTGAGCTGAAGGTCGAGATGCGCGCCAATAAGTTCAAGGTTTTACCGAACTCGAAGGAACTGGTGGTCAACTACAATCGCCGGGCCGTCCCGGATGTCATTCAGGAACACAACGACCCGTTCAGAGTTGAGTGGACAGATGTCAGCAAGGATGATGAATCGATGGCTTCTTATTTTGCAGGTATGGAGGCTTTGCGCATCCCTGAGAACTCCAAACCTCCTTACCGGATCTTTCGTCCACTCCAGCTGGGTGTATTCCATGAAAAGGATTACACAAGTTCAGATGCTCTGCTTGATGATTTTGAAGCCACCATTGAATCTGCATTGAGGAAGGAGTTGGGCTTGACGAGTTCGACCTCTTGGGCGCAGTACAGCTGTGTCGTTGTCATCCCGGATTTGTACGACAAGCGATATGTTCAAGAGATCCTTCACATCTGCTTAAAGAGCATCGAGTTCAAGCAGGTATGCTTTATACAAGAAAGCCTAGCTGCGACATATGGCGCCGGCTATACGAGTGCCTGTATCGTCGATGTTGGTGCTCAGAAGACTTCCATATGCTGCGTTGAAGAAGGCATGTGCGTTGAGGACTCGCGCATCAATCTTAAATACGGGGGCTACGATGTCACGGAGACTTTCATCAAGATGATGCTATACGATTACTTCCCATATGCGGATATCAACCTCAACCGACGCTACGATTTCCTTCTGGCGGAGGAGTTGAAGATCAACCATTGTACTATGAACCTAGCCAAAATCGCTGTTCAACTGTGCGATTTCCACCTGCGAGCCCCGAACCAAGATACGCGCAAGTACCAGTTCAAGACTTACGATGAGCCCATATTAGCTCCCAAGGGGTTCTTCGATCCGTCGATCTTTAACAACAGCGGAAAACTCGAGGGTCGTCGTAGCCTCATCGAACGTTCGTACAATGCATACGATACTGAGACCCCGGATGACCCGACATCCACAGCTCAAACGGCCATCCTGACTAGTATCAAACCCTCCCTCGTTACGACCGCGACTGGACTCTCTTCTAATGTTAATGGAAACGCCGAATTTGCAACACCTTCGAAGGAGAAGCCAAATCCTCTCAACATCGTCGCCCGTATGGACAGCGAGGCCAATGGCGGATCCCGAGTTACCTCTGCAGCCGCATCGCCTGCCCCGGAAGGTACAAACACACCAGTCCAGTCAGGACTCTCTGTCTCAGGCGTCAATGGTGTAAACGGCGGCTCCCCAGGTCCCAGTGGTAACGTGTTCGCTTTTGGTGGCTCCCATAACGGTGGAACCCCTGCACCTGCGGGGATGTTCGTCGACCAGCAGGCACGAACGGCGAAAGACTTGGCCATCGAGCGGGATTCTGTGCTGCCTATTGCTCCTCTCGATGCCGCCATCATTACCAGCATAACCCACGCTGCCAAAGGGGACGAGAAGAAAGTCCGGGATTTCCTTGGTGGAATCATGGTCATAGGTGGCGGTGCAAAGACTCCTGGTTTCGTACCCTTCCTCGAAGAGAAATTGAAGAGCAAGAGACCTGACTTGGCTGAGAAAATCCTCGTTGGCACTAGCCCTAGAGAGATGGATGGCCAAGTCGTGGTTTGGAAAGGCGCAAGTGTGTTCGCACGTATGACTTCTCATGAGTGCTGGATCGGACCTCTGGAGTATGAGAGACTGGGAAGCCGTGTTTTATACACCAAGGTTCTATGGAATTATTGAGCGAGCATCTGGCGTTTGGGGCGGAGATGATACCTTACAAAAAAACGGAGTTTTAAAATACAAAGGGGCATCTTACATTTGGTGGCGTTTTTTATTGAGCGGATCAAATGGATGGATGGATACCTTCATGATAACATATTGTAGGATTACAAAACAAACTAAGTCATCGCATTTGATGATGGCAACAAGCTCAAATAGATAAAGCTTGAGTATGGCGGCATAATGGCTAGCTACCTTAGGTAGATCAAGTTACAGAATCGAATTTCTCAAAACTGACATAAGCCATCACGTACTTGAACTCTTTTCTGCATTAAACAGTGCTAAGCCTCCTCGGCCACCTAATAAATAATAGGACGATGCAGGGTCCTCATATCATATTCTAGTTTATGAAACATGGAGGTACGTATGCCAACATCCTTGCATTGTTTATCTTTATCCAAACAAGGCCCCTCTTGCGGCACAGCCTCGAAGGCAACCAGCTCCTCAAGAATCCTCACTTCCCATCTCACACTATCAATAATAACCTCACTTCCCTTGGTGAACCAAATTCAGCGAGTTATAAATACCATATTCTTGTTTCTCCAGATAACGAGAAATCAAAGTTTCCCACGCAACCCATCATCGATCATCCTGCATCCATGGCGTCCTCCTCAGCGCGCTATACCCTTCTGGCCGACGACCAGCGCCCCTCCATCGACTCAACCTACGACGAGGATGAAAGACTCCTCCTCGGCGGCCTCGCAAGCACATCTCCCACCCGGCCTCTCTTCACCAGCTTCCACCCAACGCTCTACACACGCGCCCTCGGACTAATCCTCGCTCTCCCCGCCTTCATAATCTTCATCATCCGCGGGGGACATTTCGCCCCCTCAATCCTCTTCCTCTCCTTTGCCATCGCGCGACAGGTCGTAGTTATAGGCGTGCATTTCGGAAGCCGGATTGTAAGGATCCGTGTGGAGGCTGTGCATCAGAGGTTGAAAGGCGTGTCGGCGGCAACGCAGGAAAAATGGATTCAGAGAATTTTTGGGCTGGTGGTTGATGGGGTAATTTTGGTGGGGATGTTGGTTACATTGAGTTTAAATGCGCATGAGGTTGCGACGTGTCACTATAGTTGTTACTATAGGAGGGGGATGAGGGAGATTGAGCAAGCTGTGATAGTGGGGTTTATTGCGTTGTAAGTTATTTTTCGTATTTCCTGGGCTGAATGATTCCTTGGGTCTGCTGTGGAGGAACATTGCTAATGTAATGCTGGTATAGTGGTTTGCTTCTCATATCCGCTTTTGATTTTGGGAGCCCCAGCGAGGTAACTATGGTGGTTGCCATTGAGAAACCCCGCACGGGACTGCTGAAGTTCTCTTCCAGTCTGTTATACGGCCGGTCAGAAGATTCTGATGTCGATGGTGTGGGTGCTGAGGCTGGCGGGAACGTTCAACGCAAGAATTCTTCCGGAGAGCATATGGTTTGAGTCTCTGTGTTAGGATTTTGGAATAGGATAGCTTTGTTCGGGGTGATTTATTGGGGATGGAGTTTTATCTGAGCGGATATATTGTGGTTTACGGCCTTGGGAATGGCAGTGGCACTCTCGTAGCTAGCAATCCGGAGTACAATTTATTATCACTGCAATTTATTAGTTACTCTGCTCCATAGACACTACAGGAACGAACAAGCAGCTACTTGGACCCCGATACTGGAGCCCTTACTGAATATTAAGCGTAGCCCATCAAGTTGGTTTATACTGAGAGCCTAACCTTAAGCTAGTACTTTTCAACAGGTAAGGCCTACCATCCCCGAACCTCTTGAGGAAGCAATGGGAACGGCAGGAAATCCATGTGCGGGCATCTTTCTGTTAAGCATTTGTCATTCCGTACGAACTTGGATTGACGATAATTCTCAAGGTACATATTTATCTCACACGCCCTTAACCCCTTCCTTCGCCATGACATGCTTACTCGATTTATTTTTACATTTTATATCTAGATGGCAAGCGCTCACAGTTATAGTTGCAATAGTATGGAAGCTATAGTATAGCGCAAGTAGAGTAATGCGAGAAAAGCCCAAATCAGAGCCGCCCATTAGGGAATATAAAGATTGCCCAGAAATTACCCCTCTAATATTAAAAAAACCAGTACCTGTCCTTAATCCATGCGTCTATCTAAACGCAATAGCACCCTCACATATCCGAGATTGACGCATTAGCAATTGAATAATAGGTCAGGGTTCTTGGATAGGTGGTCATGGCTACTGGCGAATATATATACCCTTGCTAATCCGCGATGTGGCGTAGTGTTGCTTCGATGGGGGTTGAAGGGTGAAGATTGTATGAGCATGTGTGAGAGGTCGATTGTTGTAATAGGATGTGGAAGTGTATTGAGGGAGAATATACCTACTGATTGTGATCAACTAGGTCTGGTAGGCAAAGTAGAAGACGGATGGGTTCTGAGACAGATAATTGCTTAGTAGAAGGCCTTTTAACCACGGTGATGATGGTGGGTGTAAACATGCTGTGAATTAAGACGTCAACTGATTAATTTGACGATCATAAATATTTAGATCTGGGATAGAAAATTCAAAATATACAGAACTAGTCAAAGTAGTAAGTGATATTGGGATAATATTCAAGGGGTTTGACCCGCCTAATATATACTTCCGCACACCCAGCCCTGACTCCATTGTCCATCACCCACTAATTAGCCTTCATTCATAACCCATATCATTCTATCAATAGTTTCATCCTCATATCTCATTCCTATCACTCCTTGTCCGGGCCTGCATCCAACAAGACCCAATCCAATCCATAGCTCAAGGACACGGGTGAAGAAAAGGTCCTATAATTATAGAAAAAAACGTCGAAACAACACGCTCAAACGAGCCAACCTAAACCGCGACTCAAATACGCAAAACAAGCAGCGGTAGAAAAATCTTTTCCCAACCCCTGCCCCCAAATCTTTCAGGGCACATTTGTCTAAGGAAATTGTCGTAAAATAATCAGTCATCATGTTGAATCCTCGTGGAACGTGGGTTCCACTATCGCCTTTTTGCATTTGCTCCACATAGGTAATCATATCTTGCCCAGACACCTTTTTAAAGAAAAGAAAAACGCCCTCGGCGCCGTTTGAAAAACGACCTTAAAGCAACGCTAAATCGATGATTTTCCAGAATGGAAAGATGCGGTAGGGTATATAAAAAAATCCGAGGAAAACAATTAGCTGGCCAAGGCGCATAAATACCGTGCCGATATTAACTTTGAGAACGACCTTGTAGCTTGGGACATACTTGTGATGGCCTGCCGGCCAGGACATACGTGAATCTCAGCTAATAGTATAGAGAGTTGGGTATCCCACGATACTGTGAGATCTAGGTGAATGAATGCACTTAATATTTCGAGAAATAGAATGCTTGCACCGCCGATTTAAGATAAAATATTGACGAAAGATGAGTCGGGTATCCGCGAATAGCATTGCCTCATTTGCCCGGTTATGGAGCAATCTGAAAATCACTGCCGAATCTGTAGGTCACAATCATATATTGCGAGTACCAAGTCATGGTTAACTGGAGCGCATGTGGTGCTCTTCTTTCAAGTCGGAGTCGTGGTGACCAAACGAGTTGCCGTCTTGAAGATATTCACCGAAGCTATGACTTGGAGACATTTGATGAGGATGGCCCAAACTACCAGTTCTCAATTGATTACCGAGTGCAGGCCCTGAGTCGTAATGCCTGGGGACCGGTGGTAGCCCGTCATACGCCCTTGGAGGTGCGATGCCCTGTTGAGCATGGGGTCCAGGTTGTAGTGCAGGCAGTTGAACTCCCCCATGCGGTAGTGTAAGTGATGATTCAGGCATGCTCGTAACGTAACAATTTGATGGAAGCGATCCATTGCTGCCCATAGTTGTGCTTGGCCAGCCTCCAGCATACATGTTCTGCTGGGGACTCGTGAAACCTGGACGATAGCCATCTTGAAGCCCTGGGCTATGGGATTGGAATGTGCCCATGGGGCGATGGAACGTCGAATAATAGGGGGGATGGTCTTCGATATGTTGCGGATGTGGAGTATTGCGAACCATCGTTGGATGTGGTCGGGACTGAATTATGTTTTGAGAGTCCGAATCGAACTGGGATTGATGGTGCTGCAAGTTCGGCATCATGGTGGTGGGGGAGACAAGGCTGTCAGGGGTCGTGGATACGTTGGTAAGGGCTACATTGCCCTGTTCATCGTCTTCTTCCTTCAGTCCATCGTCTTCACCATCCGATTCTTCGACCCCAGAAAGTTCACCGCACATAATCGGGATCTCGGTATCGGCATCTGCGATCAAGGTAAGCTTTGGAGTAAAATTAGTGAGAGCGTGGAAGGCTACCAATTTCGCCATTCTTGTAGCGTTCCTCGGCCTTCGCGACTTTGAATATCTCTTTGAGGAAGGGCCTCTTGGCTGCATTTTCGGGATGCGCCTCTTCGGAAAACCAATTCGACATGACCTCCATGGTCACATCTTCCAGCTTCTTTACATTGAGACTAAGTTTCCGCACCGTTGGACATTGGTTCTCTGGACGCTCAACAATCATGCGGAGAATGTGGACTAGGAGCCGAATGCGTTCTGCACGCGTACGTTAATACATGGTCCGTAGTGCCCGTCGAAAAAGCTTACCAGGTTTAAGTAAATGATCTGGCTCCTTGTGCCGAACGGAGTTCTCGCCGGTGGTTGGCGGCCACCACGGTGGAGCTTGCGTATCGCCTTTGATATATGGATGGTGCGTTTGCTTCTTGGGCTCAACCAATTTAACAAATGCCTTCCCCATGACCTTGCATGAAGACTGTTGCATATCCTTAAACCGACCCTTGTAGTACTTCTCGACTTCAGCTGCATCCCCGATGACGAGAGGTTGGAATTTCTGGGCAGGGACTGGAATAGGAGCATCATTATCAGGGTGATGAGTTCGCTTCCTTTTACCCCCTATCATATCTTGACCTGGCCCTTGGGCTCTCGATTGACGAGGGCGGTAAAGACGTCCCATATCGGACGATGACTCTCCTCCACTGCTGGACTGTCTCCGGTACCCATTGGCACTATCAACGTCGAATTCACCATACATGCTCTCTTGACTATAGGCTACGAGGGAACTAGTTAACAAGCCGCCGATATATAGTAAACGAGATTTCTGACGCACCTGAGGTCGGATACGATCTATCTGCACCGGCCTTCCGCGTATGATCATGGAACAGGCGTATGTAACTTTCTGGGAACAGCTTCTGGTGATATGGTTTCAAAGAAGTTGAGGTGTATGTTCTTGTTTCTCCATTCTCAAGCTTCACAACGAGAACGAAGTCTTTCACGGGAACTTGAGCACCTTCTCTCAATGCGGTCTCGATCAGCTTGCAATAAATTAGTTCGATCACTCTGAAAGCTAGGAAGAGAAACCAACCATAGGATAGCTAGGATTAAGGGGCGCCGAGTATCTCGTTTCTGGCGGGATCTCCATATAAGGTCTTTCATTGCGAGTCCAGCCATCCCTGGTGGGGTGGAACTCGCCTTGTAGTAAGGAGTTCTCACGTCCTATGTTGACCATGCTGGGCGATGAGAGACAGGTAAGGAGATACTAGAGATACAAAGACTCTTCAGTGCGGGGCCGATGTACAAATCGAGCTGTCGTTTTGAGAATATATTTTTGCGAGATGAAATTGTTTATCAAATAGATTGATCAGGGCTAATTGTATCAACCCGACCGATTGGGAATGCAAGGCTCGTCGAGTGTGTGTGGGGACTGACACTTATATCCGATCGCTGCACACAAGACAAGTAGCTTGAGCGTGGCTGAGATGCACTGGGGTGGAACAAGCGGACAAGTTTTAGGAGGGAAAAGAAAATAGAAGAACAGGTGCAGCGCCGTGATGGGTAGGGCGGTATCGAACGTTTCTTTTTAGAGAAGGGTGGATCATGCGTTAGCTGGCTTTTGAAGTGCTCTGGCGGCCTTGTTGTGGTGGGCGTTTGCTCAAGATGAAGGAGCCCCGGGTGGTAGTTAGATGCCGTGGGAGTAGTGGTACAAGTGATCCAGGAGGTCGAATACGTGCAGCTAAGCGGCGGCGGCGGGGGGGGGGACTGTGCGGAGAAGCTGGGAAAGCTGGGAAGCTTACAGTATTATTAGCTATTGATTGCGGCGTGAGGCGTTGATGGTGGAAGGCTTGTCAGCATTGCAGCAAGCATGAGACCTGGACGAAGCCGACCGAGATCCTAATGAGCCCTCCCTCCCGAGACGTCACCCGTGTGTGCCGATTGGATCGGGGTTCTCCCTCGCAGAAACGGGAGTAATAAGATGAAGGCGGCGAGGTGGAGATGCCAGTTGCAACGACGCCGTTAACTCTGTTTGGCAGTGTGTTGTTTGTGTAGCTCTCTGTTGACAGGCTGGGCTGGAGATGTTGGGACCTGTTGGACCTGTGCGAGGTGCCCTTTTGTGTTTGATTGCCCTCTACTGCCCCAGAATTATACACATTCCCGAGCAGGAACGGGTATAAGACATCCGCCGCTATTATTAACTGTCTTTGATCGGCAGCCGGCAGAACTCGAGGGGGAGCTCGAGACTAGGCTGACAGGATTGGTACGATGGGACGGCCTCGCACTGCTGGATCACTGAGCAACGTTTCGAGCTGGCGGATGAGGCGAACCACAGACGCCAGCAAAGGGTGGAACAGGTAATTTGGGAAATTCCCGCGGTATCGGCGAGGGTTGAGACCTATATCCTAGGTTCGTGGACGAGGGGGTAGAGGGCGGAGGGGTTGGCGAGTCTTGGAGGTAAATAATGTCACACGAAACACATGGTATCCAAAACGCTCTCTCGTCGGGGGGTCTGAAAAGCAGGTCTCTCCCGTATTCAGATGGGGGGCGATGGACGAGGGCAGAGGGTGCTGCTGCGCTGCACGAAAAGATATAGAAAATTCACCGGCCCGCTTTAGCAGCACATCCCCGCGCAAATCGTGGAGGGTGTGGCAGAAGGTTGCAATGCTGAGCAAGGTTGGCAAGGTGGTAGTAAGGCTCAGAAGAAACAATATAAACGAGGGGTTGAGCTGCGTTGGACCCCGTCCTGGCGCTGTGCATCCTCTGCTGCCGTGACGCGATATGCAATGAGCGATTGCATGACGGGACCAAGTCCCGGTTCTTGCTCGTGCTCGTGGCAATAGTAGCGTTCTTGGGGCAGAGACACAGAGAACCCGGGAGAAAGATAGCGGTCAAGGCCGGTGTTCGAGATCAAAGCAGAGGTATTAGGTTATAGGCCAGGCCAGGGCAAGGCAGGGCAAGGCAAGAGACTCGAGAGACAGACAACAACAAGGAGCCATCTGCAGCGGACTGAGTGCAGATGGCAGACACTAACTGGCCCCGAAGTCCAACGCACCCTGTCAGCCCGTCCAGCGTACTGCGTATTGCGTACTCCACCGAGCAGAAGCGTTTGAAGCAGCGATGGGCAATAATTTACCAGTCCAGATGGCTGACGACACGCAAACATGCTTCCCACCAGTAACAGTAACCGTAAGCCTGGAGAGCTTGCGGTTGGCGCGTCTTTTGCGGACGCAAAACACAGGAGTATCAGTACTTCGTACGCTGCGGCAGGCCAGCAGGGAGGGAGAAAGCCTCATCGACGCCCACCCTGGCTGCCATCAGGGAGGGGGGCCGATCAGTAACGGTTCCTGGCGAGACACGCCCTGGACTGTGGACTCTGGAGGTCCTGGAGCCCTTGGAGCCCACTGTCGCGCCCTTGAATTGGGCGGCGCTGCATCCGCTCCCGATGGATGGGAGATCGAGGGAGATCGCGAGGGCACAGTGGCCAGAGACAGAGAGAGTAGAGAGAGACAAAACGACGATTATCAGGAAATAGCGAAGAGAGAAGATGTTCTGCGCATTTGTCGCGGTTTCAAATAAGCCGTACGTACACTCAGGAAGCCGATATAATTAATTGTGGCCCTTAGCCCGTTCGTTATTATTCAGTCCTTGTTCCCCCTGAGCTCCGCCATGCTCGCCTCCGCCTTGGCCGGTGATCTCGCCCTCCTCGTGTGAGTTCGTTTGCGGGCAAAGAAAGCATTTAGCAGCACCGTCTATCTATCTCTGTTCCCAACGCTCCCCAAAGCTCCCCATCATTCAGCGTCTCGCCGTGGCGGTGGCTGTCGCCGCTCGGCCGCGGGGCCGCGAGTATGAAAGGGGCCCCCAGCCAGGGCGTTTGGTATTCGAGTTCTTCGTACTTCGTACCTGTACATAGTACGTACAGAGTATCGTAGTATACAGGACGAACCTCGTAACTCGATGCTGTCGACCGCGGACGCTGGGGGCCACTCGGTCGTGGGTCTAATCCGGAGCCCAAAGCCCATACGACAGTGCTATTTGCGGCGGGGATGCAGCCGGCGGGGAGCCAACCAGGCACTATGGGTGATAGCATACTATACTCCGTACGAAGTATAGTCTCGTCGTCTCGTCGTCTCATCGTCCCATCATCTCACCATCCCGTCGTAGGCACAGGCTCCAGGAGACACGACGCGCATGGCATCGCAGCGCATGGCATGGAAAGGCGTGGGCGGGCGTGGGGGCTGCTATCCTGTCGACACGTCAGGCTGGGGAACTTGTAATAAGAAAGATCGCTCTCGACCCTCCAGGCGACTTACTGGCACCTTTGTCTGGAACAATTTCGGTCTGTGAGCTGTAATAACACCACGGCTCCGTACAATAACAATATTAAAATCCGGAAAGCACGGCTTCACCCTGGAGTAGCAGTCGCAGGAGTAGTAATAATACAAAATGGCATATTGGTCGCGTCTCGAGGAGTCTTGTGGCAATGGACTTTTTGGAGCGGTGTTTAGCGGGTGGTTGAATAGTGATCGGGCGTTGTCGTACAGCACCCAAATCGCTATGGACGTGGTGTTTTCCGTGTGGTATTCTCCCCGACTACACCATTGGGCGTCGCGGGTTGCAAGTCGCACAAACATTCTTCATTCTTGGTACTGGAACTGGGTCAGGAAACCTACACTGCTCTTCTTCCGGCATGTCCCGTTGATGCTGGCTCAAGTATGTGCTACGTACGAGCCTCGGAGCGCATACCGCGGCAGGTGCCAAACTCCAGGACATGGCATGGTACTATCTACGGAGTATGGTGCTATAGGTACGTTATATAGAGTATCCAGCAGCATAGGAAAGGGGCAACGAGCTACGACCATGAGTTTGGGGTTGAGTTTGAGTTTGAGTTAGAGTTTAGCACCTGAAAGCTAAAGAAGTTTGAAGCCACATCCCCAGGTCCAAGTCTTCATTCCCACCCTCATCCTCACTCTCGTCACCATTGCCATCGCCATCACTGATAATTCTAGATCTCGAGAGCTCTCAAACACCCCCCACCGTCAGACGGTTGTGAGGTGCCGCAGGGCAGAGAACCGCGCCGTCCTCTTGCTTGTAGGATCAAGCTTGGGATATTCAATCTTCGGGCCCTGTTGTTGAATCCCAGCCCCAACGTAGCATCCTCCGTCAAATATTCCGGCTCCCAGACGAATCCAACGATGGTAGCGATCCTCCAGGATTATTTTCTACTAGCCGGTCTCGCATCACGCTCAAGCATCCCACCTGTAACCGGGACGTCTTCTCAAAATATTTTTTTACGGGTTGGCGTTTGATGGAGCTGGTACCGTGACTGATCGTCGTCTTGTCGGGGCTAGGCGCCGGAGGTGCTCCTGCGTATAGACTACACTTGTCGTGAACAAAGTATCCTCCGAATCTCCGATTTCCAAACAATTGGACCTAGGGACATCACCGCTCTAGGAGGTATAGTACTTCGTACCGCTACGGGATATTCCGTTTAATTCAGGTTTGTCCACCACTCCCACACACTCGTAACTGGAAGTTGACAACTTATCTAGGTCTCGGATATTTTCGGCATACTTCCCTAAGCATCATACTTCCTTGTTATGGTTGAGCGAGCCGACTGATACAACGACTCTACTACTGTAGCTCGAGTGGCGACAATGTCTTGCTATCCCCACGAATGTTTCGAAGCCTTGTTTCGGAATCCGTCATCTAGATGTGCTTACTCAATTTTTAGGTACCATTCCTATTTTTGGCCAGTTCTCGACTGTGGTAAACTTGCGCTGGCACCACAGTAGATTGGGTACCGTACCATGATCCGTGTCGCTGGTCGCCGGTCAGTGTTGGGCTTGCATCGAGAAGTCCGAGAAGTCGCCATAGATGGTATCACACGACGAGATCTTCCAGATTATCTTTAGGGCCCTACCCGCCTTTACCATTGGAATTCCGAATCCAGCCCCGTTAAGAGTCAAGATACTTTTTGGTGTGCTCGTATAGGCCGGGCAGTGTAACGTGCCTGCACTGAGATGGTGGTGCACCGAAGATACGGCATCACCTTGTACTGCGTACAGAGGGATGGACCCCGACGCATGCCGCCTGGTTGAGCATCATGTCAGTACATGGAGGACTGGTAAGCAGTAGTGATTCTCCCATATGCACATGCACATCCATACCCCTATTCTATTCAAGGATGAACATCCGCGCTGGATATACTTCAGTCACGCGTGTCTATATGCAGCTATTTGCAGTGATACTTCGTACTCACTTCGCACATCTCGCCGCCCGCTTCGCACTATTACCTGCGCCGGTTGTCTCGCGTGGGCTCCGCGCCATAGAGCGGCGGTCCTTCTGGCCGCAACGGGCGCAACCTTATGTCGCACAACACACCACAGCGCAACTGAGAGTACGGTGGCGGGCGAGGGATATTTCTTCCCCGGGCCAATAACAATGCCAAATGCCAATCCTTCCGCAATTTATGGATCCCCCGCCATACGGACGCTACCCGCTGGGCTGGCTGGCGTTGGGCTTGCTGCGTTGGCCGCGTGCAGGTTGATGTGAAGATTGTTAGCGTGTGTAGAATGTCCATGTAGATGTACATAAGATCCAACAGAGGATGTACTATGCGGTGCTAGCACTATACAGTAATACTCGAGTACATCAATCACACTCTCCCTGTCTCCCTGTCGCGACCAGTCACTTCTCATATCAGCCGCCTCCCAGCGGGTCGGATACCAGATCTCCAATCCCTGTCTCGGGCTAGGATCTCGCTGCCGTCGGGAAGTGGCCGACTCGGCATGCGCCAATGGCGGCACGGCTCAGCCAATCGACCCTAATCCACGGCGCGGCCCTTCTGGCCCGCGGGCAAGCGGGCCGGCGGTCTCGGCTCGGCGCTCGGGCGTTCCAGGAGAGGGAGTGGGAGAGGACAAGGACGAGGAAGAGGGCGAGGGAGAGACATAAAGGCTGCTCCGTGTATATACGGAGGTCCATACGGAAGTTCTGCATAAGGTGGGTACATACGGCGCAGACTCCGTTATAGATACATAAAGCCACCAACAACCGGCTACCACCACCATCGCAAGGGCTGCGACAAGGGGCAGCGTACGGTACGGACGAGGCATGCGGTGCGATAGAGGATGATGCCTTCCGTACGTGGCATTGCAAGCATGTATTTCCATATCGGTAGGCGGGGTTATCTTTCGTGCTAAGTTGTTTCCCCAGCGGGTGTACTTCGTATAAAGCAAGGGACTTCTCACCAAATCAATCCAAATTGTACTCTACTTGACCGTCCACGGCCCTAATCCTCGATATGGCGTGCGCCCCGAAAAAGATAAAAAGAAATAAGGCTTAGGACCTGCAGTGTATTCCTCCTTAGGTGAGTTTGACGTACAAAACCGGCCACGTGCAGAAGGGAGGCTAATCGAAATGCAGCCCTAGAGGTCATCGAACCTGCTTTCCTGCTTGTTTCTTGTTTCCTGTTTCTTGACGAAACAGTTCGCAGCCACCAGATACTGCGGAGAAATCCACGCCTATCATAAAGGAGTGGAGAACTTCGAAGGCGGCTCATGGCTTCGCTGCTGTCGAAATATGTTTGCCCGTCTAGGTTCTTCCCGCCCGGATGCAGGGCCGTTCCCTGGAGATGCCGCTGTTGATCTTGTTCTGCTGCAGAAAACGCGTCGTACGCCCGCATCCTGGGTGGCGCCTAACAAGACTTGTGACGATAACGATGTTGTCTGGAGTCGCTGGTACCCTGGCATACAACGCTCAGTCTGTAAGACATCCTGCCATTGCACCAATCAATCCTCACTATCCCGTCCGCAGTAACCTTCCCAGCCAAAGACTTTGGTCAAACCAGAAACCTACACATCATTGCCCAATAGTTACGAATCCACCTCGAGCCTCCAAGAACGGAAACCATTTCCCCGGCGCCTAGATTCCTTGATATAACAGCGCTTGTTTAGTGGTGTGTGCGGAACGGGGGCCGCTTGAGGCAGCTAGTGCTTCCTTCGCCGTTTGTAGGTACACAAGATACATACATGTACAACCCCAGCCACGCGGAGTACGTTACGCAAGGTCTCGGATCGTCGAGGCCGGGGCCGAAACCATGATGATCTTAGACATGTCTTGGGTTTATGGACCAGGCTCATACAGCCCCCTACGTCCAAGAATCTGGACTCGCAACTCTCTGAATCACCTCATTTCATTTCACTATTCACGGAGTATTCCTGGGCCGGAGCAAGGATCTAGAACAGCACGCCAATGTTTAATAACCTAATTCTCACAGTATGGGCAGTAGTGCGACATATCCCAAATGAATTGATGGGCCTGATGACGTTGAGCACTTCCGGGTTCTGCGGGCATGTAACGCTAGATCGACATCCCATCCGAGTCAAATCCTACTCTTATGCTATGCCACGAGTCGTGGATCTCTGAGGCTATCCTCCATTTTAGTAAACAAGCCTCGGTCCCTTATTTTCAGCTGCAAATTCCACCCGTGTTAATTAGTTTGCCACCTCCTGGATTTCACACTAGCGCCTAAGCTAAAATAGATACCAATATATCCCTACCCAGAACCAAGTTTCCAACCTGGTTATTATTTCTTTTCCCTAAAATTAATAGAAGGGAGCAGCAAATCAATTCAGTAGAGGCTGACAGTCATATGGTATCACTGGTTACACACACCTGGAGTGGCAAAGTTTATATAACCTGTTGGCCCATTTCAAGAAAACCAAGACATAAAGATTCTCATTCATATCGAATCAGTGCTTACTTTGTACACACCTGGTCGAAATATAGCTTCATTTCCTTATATGCCATTTATTTAACCTTCCAATGTCTATCTCTCTCTAAGTTGCAACTGGGGATCCTGCATATCCAAAACTACAGCCCTACGTAATCCTACATTAGCACAAAAAGCAAGGAAAGAGGAGATTCTTATAGCATCTTGGAGAAATCATTGTGATTTTATTGTTTATGTGTTTATTCTGTCGATCATTCAATTTTAATTTTATTAGGCTACAAGCTATGGCAATAGGTATTTGGCGCATGATTGGTATTTGGACCAAAAACGAACGCCAAACCCCAATTCACTTTTTATCCACCCAATTGTACATCCGTAAAGCAGCTCAAATGGTGTCACCTCATCGGATAACAATGAGGGGTACAAACACCTCGATACTATCTAGAACCGTCCAGCCCGGCCTCCTTAGCCAGCTTCCAAAACAAACTCTTCTCCTTCATCTCGAGCAGATTCTTCGGCGTATCAAATTCCATCACCTTGCCCTGCTCCAGGACTACAATGCGATCCGAGTCCATAATGGTATTGATGCGATGAGCGATGGTGATGATGGTGCGGTTGGAGAATAGGGGGGAGCGAAGCGTTGTTTGGAGGAGAGCATCGGTTTCTACGTCCACTGCGGCCGTGGCTTCGTCAAGGACAAGGATGTTTGAGGGTGTTAGGAGCGCCCTTGCTAGGGAGACGAGCTGACGTTGGCCTTGGGAGAGATTAGAGCCACTATACGGGTGAGGGTTGTGTCAGTAAGGTTGTGGAGTTTTAGCTGCGAGGTGGTGCATATGTAAGGGGAAGCGGGAAGTAGATAGGAGCGGCGCATGCCTTGCTCCGAAGCAGCTGAAGGGGGAAGTGGGGCTTGTCTCAAAGGGTATGTCTCAACGCGATAGTGCTGGCAATGTGTGATAGGAGGTAGGTAGGCGGAATAGAAACGTACCCTTCATGGATTTTGGCTTCGAGACCGCCATTCATGCTCGCAACGTGGTCCTTCAACCTAGCATGTTCTAAACCATCATTAGTACAAGTGCTGCTGTATGTGGCACCGTTTGCGGTAGCTGATCGCTCATTTTCACAAGCATTATGCCCGTCAACAAGCGGGGGAAGCTGCCAGGGAACCAATGTACTTACCAAGTACGCTCCATAACTCAGTGTCATCATGAACATGGCCAGGATCAAGATTATCTCTAACCGTGCCTTCAAACAGAGCCGCATCTTGTGGAATAATTGCTAATCTTCGCCTCAAATCTAGTAGCCCTATGGTTGATGTATTTAACGAGTCGATGCTTATGTTACCTTCAGCTGCCTCAATGATGCGGAATAGGGCAAGTGTTAGTGAGGATTTCCCAGCTCCAGTTCGCCCAACCACACCTATCTTCTCGTGAGGTTTGATATCGAGATCGATGTTATTGAGCACCAGGGGTAATCCTTCTCGGTATCGGGTGCTATAGTTATTGAACTGGACGGAGCCGGCAGCTGGCCAGCTGACTGCGGGGCGGTGCCGAGGAATAACCTCGGGTGCTTCGCTAGGCAGCCGTGCATATTCCAGAACACGTTCCACGGATACAATGTTGGTCTCGACTTCTACGGTCTGCCTAACAATCCAATTCAAAGACTGGGTGATTTGAAGAGCGTATGACATCGCCAGTCCAACCATACTAGCAGAAAGTTTGCTGCCCGAGGAGACAGATACAATGGCAAATCCTGCGGCACTGAGAATAATGATCGAGCCTAGGAACTCGAGACGCACAGCCAGCCATCTATTACAGGAGTCAGAAATACTTCCAAACCCAAGTAGCGCCGAAACGGAACGCAGAAGACTTGCCTATTTGCATTTATAGAAGGGAAATATGCACGCAAATTGGCATCTACCTTCCATTCATTCTCCATGGCAAAACGAGCCTGTTGACGGTATGCCCGGATGGTGGTAATGCCGCCAAGGGACTCTTGGAAATGGGCATAAATTGGGCTTCGACTAACAGAGTCTAGTCGCTTCAGCTCTCGAGACGTTCGCAAATAGTAGCGTTGAACCCAGTAATAGACACCAGATAATGGGATAATTAAGGCGACGAAGGCTGGGGTTGACGCCGAAATCACAACCAACGTGAAAATTGCGCGGGCGCTATTAACGAATAGCATGTTGAATGTCCTTGCAAGCACCTAGCAATCTCCGCATTAGTTCAGCCGTATCGACGGACAATGTGGGGTTGGATATGTCAAGGACTTACCTCGTCGACACGGTAAATATCGCTATTTGCAAAGCGATTGGGTCAGTAAAACAGCAATCAAAAAGGGGCTCGGGTGTCATGTTACACAACATGCACTCGACAAACCAGGACCCGGGGTACATAGTGCAGAATCTGTGCCCCAAGATGGATGGACGGAGGGTTCGGGACCACTTGGTCCCTGTAGCGATGTGATTCGGCCAATATCGATAATATCGCAGTTTGAGTTTGAATGGCAATGCACCGTCCCCGCACTTGATCGGGCGACGAAGATTCGAGATCAGCAGATCAGATCTCGACCACAAATCAAGAAATAGGAGCATAAGACATGAGATATTGCAAGGAGACATACCTTGAGAATCTGTTTAGGATGCGGCCGGCTGGGGTACTGATATCTCGTCAGTAGGGTACAGATTCGAACATAATAGGCAGCGGCCACTCACGTTTCAAAGAAGCTCATAGGCGACCTGAAGATGGCCAAAGCCATTCTTTCATGGAGCTTTCTAGATGCCTATTGTGGAAGGGACACATTAGCATCCGTATAATCCAGGAATCCAATCACACAATTCACTCACCTCAATAGAACAGAATATCCACAGGATCAAGGTCTGGATAAAAACAAGAAGTGCGCCACCGATGCCGAAAGCAAAGAAGACCCCGATGTATTTGCCAACGTTAGGGTTTCGACCTTCCTTGCCGTTGATCTCAGCCCATTCCTTCAACCAGAAATTCGACCCTAAAATCTGGTTAGCATTATATTTCGACGGTTAGAGAATCTTGGGAAACGGGAACGTATGCAGGAATCTCGGATGGGCGGGCTCAGACGACGACTTACCAACTTGCGCTGTTTGGCCGCCGAGTAACATCAACGCGTATATGGCAACAGCAAGGAGGTTGCTAGTTTTAGCATATTCAGAGTATACTATGAGCAGTTAGCAAGGCATGAATGATAGATTGCCGATTGCAATTTCACAGGTGACGCAAGTGACGGGAATCCTTACCATCCCATTTGACCTTTCCTTGCTCGGAGAACTCCTTATTCTGTTTCGATTTCACGTTCCCATTCTCTTCATCGCGAAGCTTGCCTCGAGGTCCCTTGAAGCTTGCAGCACTCGCGCGTCTCAGGCTGTCAGTGCGCGCCTTCCGCTTCCTAGCATCAGATGAGGGTTGGATGGGTTGTAGTTGGGTTAGGTGTTCTTGAGCTTCTTCCCGTTCTTCTTCCTTTTCATGATCATCAATTGCACTTTCTATATCGATCATCGTGGATGAGTCGCTCGCGACTCCCTCTGATTCGCCAGAGTTGTCCTGACTTCCGACCGTCTTCATGAGGGTTGATATTTCACCTTTCATCGCCATGAGTTGGTCGTACGTGCCACGTTCAATGACCTTCCCATCTCGAAGCAAACATATGAAGTTCGCCTCCATCAAAACAGGGATAGAATTGGTGGCCAAGATTCTAGTTTTGCCGCTTAGTAACCCATTTGGTCCTAGGACATTCTCGATCAGATGTCTTCCAACGTGTTGGTCAACTGCTGATAAGCAATCGTCAAGCAGGTAGATGTCGGCCCTTGCATAGACAGCTCTTGCCAATGTTAATCGTGCCTTCTGACCGCCGCTCAGCGAAATGCCACGCTCCCCAACTTCAGTCTCATCTCCATCAGGTAATTGAGCGAAGTCTTCTAGTAAAGCACAAGCCTTAACAGTTTTGTCATAAAAGATGGGATCGTACTTGTGACCAAACAAGATATTCTCTTTGACGCTAGCATTCATAACCCAAGACTGCTGGGCAACGTATGCAGTTGATCCGTGAACCACAACTTGCCCCTTCACCTTCCATAGGTCTCCAAGCATAGCTTGAAGGAATGAGGACTTGCCGGCGCCAACCCGCCCAACGATACATGAGAGCTCGCCTTTTGCGGCGGTGAAATTGATATCTTCTAGCGCGTTTCGTCCAGCGTGACGGTCCCAAGAAAAGGTGCCATCCCGGACAGACAGAGACTCCTCGCCATCCTCATCCACGGGGCCCTTCAGAATAACTGCATCAGGTTGGAGTTCCTCCGCGGCAAGGAATGCGGTCATACGCCCCACCGCAACCGAAGCTTCGATGATGGAGGTGATAACCATAGGCAATATTGCCAAGGGGAACGTGAGCAAATTGAACAGGGTCAGGGCAGGGAAAACAATCTCCGTAGTCAACGGCGTATCCTTCGTCAGAACAAACACGGTAAAGGTTGAGCATGATACCAAGAAAGGGGTAGTGGACCAGGTGAAGTTAGCAACAGCTTGACCAGCGCCAATCTTTCGGAGTGTCTTCAACTCCCGATCATTTCGAATGTAGTTGAGCTTCTGCATAAATGCACTACCCCAAGCGTACAATTTGATGCTCTTCATGTTGTTGATGATCTCGGCAATAAGTCTTGTTCGAGAATCCTTATTCTTCATTTGCTCTTTCTGTAACCTCTTCATCATTCGTGCAATGATCCCATTAATAGGAATCATGAAGATCATCGCGCCCACTCCCGCCAGCATGGACAATCCGACAAGTTGATACAAGCTGATCATGCAAAGGGTAATCTGGTAGGGCGCGGACCACAACTGTTGGCCATACTGGGTCAGGTCCTGGAGACGCTGTGTATCCACCGCCATGTAATTAACAATATCGCCTGTCGACTTAGCAGCCCTGCCTTCATTGGACAGTTTGAGAGATTTGGAATAGATTGCTGAAGTGAGAGACGTCTTGATACGCATGCCAGTCTCAAAGGCCCGCTGGAAGTATTGATGCAGTGCTGTAGTCTGGCCTACAGAGACAGCAAACATACCTAGTGCAATAGCAGCACCTCTAATGACGGGCTGGGGGTTTTCAGAGCGGTAGGAGTCCACCCAGCTGATGAGAAGCCTGAGCAACTGAGGCTGGATGAAAGCTAAGGTATCCGAGGCGATTTTGAAGAGAGAACCGCGGAAATATGGGCCAGAAAACGCCCGGAAGATAGCCATCCAGAGGGACGGGCTTTTCTTATGGTCCAGTTCGTACTCCCACGCTTTCTGGAAAGCCCCTCCTGTCGCCTTGGTTGTGTCTCTCTTTGCCAGATTCCAGAGATCATCCTCAGTCAAAAACTTCTTATACCCTCGCTTCATCATAGGTGTCATCCAGCTGAATGTGAGGATAGAGAAGACGGTTGCATATTCAACAGGGCATTCATCATCATCCTCAAGAGCATGGTAAGTACTCGTCTTCTTTGACACTAGCCATTCCAAACCAAACTCCATCCATGACAGTCCAAATCCAACGCAGTATGCAATGAAGTATGTCAGACTTTTGTGGTATATTTGTTGCGAGATGAGACTTCGGAGCTTGACGCTGTATGCGGTGAGGAGCAAGAGCCAGTAAAAGAGCACTACTCCATTAGGATTCCGCAGCCTACTATGCTCAAGCCATTGGATAGTAAAGATCACACCCAAGGATACAATCGTAAGGAAGCTACTCCACACTCGAAAGTCACCGGCCCATACATCGCGGTAAGTGAGGATCTGGACGACGAGCTGGATAACTACAGATATAGCAATCGCGATAATAAGTGCCTGTTCATAATCCTACGTCAGCAATATCCTCACAACTAGGTGCCATTCGATCCAATATTCTATACTCTCAAGCCAAGAGGGGCAGTGAATTCATACCTGTTTGGTCCAGAAGTGCCAATCCTTCGCTATCACAAACTTATGCTTCCTCCTGGTCAACCACCAGACCGCAATCGCGCCGCCAAGTATACCAAATGCAGCTACACTTGCTACCCAGACGTCCATAAAGCATGGCGTAAAATCATATCGATGGGGGGCCAGTGGGCCCCATCCCTCTTTGTTCGCGCATAAAGGCTGCCTACGAGAGCTTTCTGCGGAGAGGTATCCGGATCCAATCTGGAATGGAGAGGCAGGATGGTAGCCTGTGAAGGATCCTGTCGAATAGAGGGGCTTTTGCGAGGAGCTGCCCATGGCGGATGGCTGCGGATTTTGCTGTAGATGCTTGCAGTATTCGGCTCTGGCGAGCTTCTCGACGCTCCAGGGAGATGGAGCTGGTCAACCCAGGTTTGTCTCCCAGTGGAAACCGCGCGGTTGAGCAATGAAATAGAAACAAATCGGATCGACTATTTAGAGGGCATGGAGACGATATAGCGAGTAAGATATCGTATCTACCCGGCAAGAATGAGCGGAAGGAAAGGGAATGTTTTTTGAGGTGAGCGATTGCGGCGTCATGACTGGTAGGCTCGGAATTAAACTCTCGTCCACCGCCTCGCGCCGTATGACAAAGCTTCTGCCTCGCTATCCCTGCTTCTGCTGGCTTTTGATTACACATCAGCGACCTCTACGGATAATATAATTCCGCCCTTTCTCCTAGAGGGGGATTAAATGGCTAAAGTAATAATAAACATTCCCATTGAATACCCTTAGTGCTACCACTGCATTACCTACAACTTGGCTGTGGGTAGTATCCATCATGCTATTGGGCAGACATCGCCACCCAAGCTTTGCAAGCCTCTTCATTCATTGTCACCCTGAGCTTTTATATTTCCCCGTCTTACTGTCATTATAAATAAAGCCTCGGTCTCTGCCCCTTGAAACTTAAAAGGTTGATGTTCCTGTCATTCTTCGCACACGAACAGGGTCGTCACTCGCTGCATATTCACTAACAACATAAGGTAGGTAGGGAGGGACTTGACAGCAAATAATGTCTCGATTTGCTAGGGATCCAACCTACGAAGCTCTTTCAAGTGCAGCAAAGTTGTGCGTAAAGAAAACCCTCCCCCATCTTTTCTATCCGGCGCATTGGCCATCATCAAAAGTTCCCTCCCGCCCATTCTGTGCTGGCCAAGCAAAATTACAAAGGAAAGGAGCCGGCCCAAGATGCCGACATCTACCAGTAATACCCCTGGATAATTGCCAATTAGAAACTGTAACATTGAAAAGTCCATACATGAAGTGGTAGGGACAAGCAAAAGCCGTCAGCCTGCCGGGATATCATCCTATCGAAGTCGTTAAACACCGCAGATGATGCCGTGAGAATTGCCGCCCATCGACCAGATAAAAAGAAAAACCGCTAGTTCTCATCGGATGCAGAGGCACCAGCTTCTTCCTTCTTTGGAGCCAATCCCGCACTCTGGCATGTCCGTTTCCATGTCTCTACCTCACGCCACGCTCGCTCGCATTCGGCCTTCAACTTGTCGTTACTGGCGCTAAGCTCGGCGATGGCCTGCTCCGTGAGAAGTTTCTCCAAGGTCCATTTCTCGATGTTCTGCGTCTCATTGTCCTTCAGTTGAGTGATGAACGAGACGGCACGTTGCAAGATAGATCCTTTATTCTTCTCGCACCCGGGGACGATCTTTGCCAGCTCGTTGATACCCTCATTGATCGTTTCTCGGCGCCGCCGCTCAACTAAAATCATGTTAGCCCGTGAGCTAAAGGTAACTTAACTCTACTACTTACCCTCCTTATGATTGTCTTTTCGGACCTTATGCCACTCTTCCGAACCGACTGCAAGCTTGGCCCGGGGTGCTGGTTGGGTATTGTCTACGTAACTATCTTGACCTTGCTGACTATTGTCCATGAACGAAGACTCCTGATTGCGGTCGGTATCAGAACCCTGGGTGGCTCCAAATGAGACATCCGTGGGCTGCGGGATGGTGATAGTTGGGAATATACCAGCGAGGGCCGCCGCGGCGGTGGAAGATGCATGTTCAGCGGAGCCGTTTTGGTTGTCGGCGCCGCCATGATGGTGAAGACCGCTGTAATCTTGCAAAGCTTCAACCGACGCATCTTGGCCATGGCCGGATTGGTCAGCGCCCGTATTTGAGTTGGGGGAGACACGTTTATTGAATCGTCTCGCGTCATCAGCTGATTCCGACTCCCGCTTCCGCTTGTTGGCAGAGCTGATAAGATGGCTCTCCATAACGTTCTCCTCCCGCATCGCATTCGCGACCTCCTGGAGGCCGGATTGCTCGAGGTCTAGTTGTTCAGCCATTTGAACTTGTGTATTGGAGGCTGCTTGTCGCAGATGACCTGGAAGGGGTAAACAAGTAGATTTAATGTTCTGACGTGTTCGGCCGAACTTGCACAAGTGCTACCAGCTAGAGTACTGGGCTCCTGATTTAGTTGACAGATGCTCTCAAAACGATCTGCTGCAGTAGTTTGCCCAAGTATTCCCGAAACGGGCAGTTTTTGTGGCTTCTAAAGTCACACCTACAAGGTCAGCACGTGTCATTGCAGTCGAGGTAGGACATTAAATTGGACAAGTTACGAGATGTAAAAAGGGATGACGGCCGTTGATTTCGACGCCTTGTTGCTGAGCGGGCACTACCAACAGCTCCAAGGGTCGCGCGCAAATGGCTATTTTTGATCGAGAATCGCGCATCGAGCATTGAGAATTTGCTAAGCCTCAAACATCGAAGCAGAAATAGGAGATCGCGGTAAATGTTTTGTTCTGGGGGCTGAGAGCGGTATCACAAGCGGAGGGAAGAAGCAGTTCCTGTGCTTGCAGGCCAGTAACAAGAAGCGAAGCGCACCAGCGCTCCACCAACGACAAAACGCCGTGGAGTCGAGCACTGAATCACCTAACAAGGGATCGTGACCTGTCTGGGAAATCGCGTGGGGATGGCCCACTGCAATTTGCCATCCATGGTTTCACGAATGTGTGTTTTAATGTAGCATTGGGGAGGAAAACAAAAGGCAAACAGCTTTAAACGCGAACATGCCGATAAGACACCCAAGGGCGACGACTCGACAAGTTGCCAGGCGAAGACCCCGCGGAAAGTGGCTGGGGAAAATGCCAAAGCCAAAGCGAGGAATTAAAGTTGACACGCGTGATGGTAACTGTGTGGCGCGCTTGGGGAAAGGAGAGAGCAGAAAGAGCAACGGGAATCAGGCATAAGGCATACCTTTTTAATCGCTATCTCCTGATTAGACTCGAGGCCGCTTGGGTGTGATGATGTGTGATGGGCTTCCGAGGCGAGGCGACGCGACCGGCACAACGACAATATATGGCCACCGCCGCGCGCAATAGGTTGATTCGTTGGACGGATATTGCGTGTCGCAATCTCAGGATTAATCCTCAGACAGATCCAACACAGCTATTCACCTGTTAGCGGTCGGGGGTTCTTGTATGGGCGATGCGATGATCGCGGAAGTCTGCTGACTTGGGGATCACGAGTTGATCACGGGCTCAAGACGTTGCGCGCGAATTGGAAAGGCAAAGGGCGAGAACATACCAGGATGGGGGAGAACCGAGAGCAGGTGAGTTGAATTTGGAAGATCGCAACGACGAGGAACCACCGATAAGACCTGGTTATGGACTGGGAGGGGACACGATCTTCGAGAGTTGGAGCCGCTGCCTTTGCTTGATATCTTGGGGGGGGAAGAGGAGAACACGTGAAGGGGGAAGAGGGTGTCATGTGGTTTTTGTGCTCGAAGAAACGACCAAGGCGCTAGGCCGCATCGGGAAGCCATCTCGATCATCGGCCATTCTGCGGAAAAGGTGCGCCGCTTGGCGGTGAGGTGAGACGGCACGTGCCACTGCAGAGATGCGGAGTACGTAAGCCGTACGAGGGTGGTGGTTGCACTTGTACCGTAATCGCGATAACGATAAGGTACCTAGGTACTGTAAGTACCTACAGTAGTATGAGTAGGACAGTCGGAAGAAGTAGAAAGCACGCAAGAGGGGTTGTTTGAATGGGCTAATAATAATAAGTTCTACTCGTAGTAGTATTGCTTTTAAAGAGACAATACCACATGCTAGGCTCAGTCGTACCAGGTTTGGCATCCATAAGATCACATAGCCTTAGGTACCTGCGAAGTAGCACCTTCATCGCTTCTGCTACTGAGACAAGAGGCAATCGTTTGCAAAGCCGACTCAATCCTACAGGACACCAGCATTTGCTCTTTCCCAAGATAGGGTATCTGTCTAAGGCATGCTGCCCGTTTCAGAAGCACCATTTTAACAAAAGTAGCGGGAGTTGGGCTTGTGCCATCTTTCTCAACCCCCCGCTCTCAACGTCGCTGAAGCCAAAACTGCGCTTTTGGCCTATGTAGTCTGCCGTACTTTGACTTTACCGTTATAACCTCTCGAGTCTCGAGATCAGGTACTTTGTAATAACAGCAACTAATTAATTATGACTTAATTTGTTCAGATACTGTACAGTCTGTCCCATATAAAATTTGCAAGTTGATAAAGGGGAGTCGTCTAGACACGGTCACTTCCACTCTCTGTCACAGATCCAACTACATCATATAACACATTCGCGAAGCTCGCGAAACACCTCAACTCGACCTCTCTGATCAGCGAACATCCAAGAGGAAGCTCCCAACACCGCCACTACCACTATCTACCGTCGAAAATGGCAGATCACGTAACCTCGAAACTCAATCCAGACACCCATCTACTCCTTGTAATTTGCCCCAACAAGACTCACTGTCCCCATCAGTCCGTTCCCTCCCCGAAATTAGCTAGCTAACCAATCCCCAGGACCAACCCCTCCTCCGCCTCCCCTTCGAGCTCTTACGGAAGAACTTCAAAGTTGCACACTTCAATGTCGAGAAAGAGAGCACGGCGGTGAAAAGCGCGCTCCGCGACACTGCCAACGCCTCCCTCACCGCTCACTCTTCGCCCGAGGAAGTCCTCAAGAATGTCGACTCGATGTTAGCACGCATGCGGGGCTTGAAACGGAAGCTTAACGCTTGTTCGGAGGAGGAAGCCCGTTTACAGAAACAGTCGCAGAGTCGAGTACGACACCTGGGAGAGCTATACGGAATGCAAAGTCTAGACGATGTGAAGTATGAGGAGTGGAGTCGGACACGGCTGGGTCGATTACTGATTGATTATTTGTTGAGGAATGGGTATAAGGAGAGTGCGCACGCCCTTGCGAAGGAGAAAGGGATTGAGGATTTGGTGGATGTGGAGACCTTTGTGCAGATGAGCAGGATCCGAGACAGTTTGCAGAAGGGGAGAGTAACGGAAGCGCTTGCTTGGTGCAGTGAGAATAAGAAAGAGTTGAGGCGGATGGAGGCAAGTCCCCTAGATCTCTATTCGATCTTTGACCAAAGATCACGGGTAGGACATCTGCTAATGCGTCCGTATTTCAGAGTAATTTCGAATTCATGCTCCGCTTTCAGCAATACATCGAGCTCGTCCGAACCCAAGATCAAACCAAACTCCTCGAATCGATCAATCACGCAAAGAAGCATCTCATTCCCTTTAAAGATAGCTACCCAAAAGAAGTTCAGCAAGCCTGTGGACTCCTCGCCTTCCCCCCAAGCACACGAGCAGAAGCCTATAGCGTTCGTCTTCCTCCCGCTATCTCAGTCTCAACCCGTGACCTTCCATACTACAAATGCTAAACAATCGAAAAATAGGAACTCTACAACCCCCAACGCTGGACCATGCTCGCCAACCTCTTCATGCAGACCCATAACAGCCTGCTCTCCCTCCCCTCTGTCCCCCTCCTCCACATCGCCCTATCTGCCGGTCTTTCAGCCCTCAAGACCCCCTCCTGCCACTCCTCCCACATATCCGCTATCTCCCCCACTTCCTCCTCATCCATCACCACAAGCGTATGCCCCATCTGTTCGACAGAGCTCAACGATCTGGCGCGCAACGTTCCATATGCGCACCACACTAAAAGTCACGTGGAGAGTGACCTAGTGCTCCTGCCGAATGGCTGCGTGTATGGTGCCCGGCGGTTAGAGGAGTATAGTCGGAAGGCGGGGCTTGGGCCTGGCCTGCTGAAGGATTTAAGGAATGGGGATGTGTTTTCGGTGGATGATGTGAAGAAGGTGTACATATCATGATGGAATAGCGAAAATGATGCTAATACACGATTTATGAAAACCATGGGTCTTGGCGTCACATATATCTCTCTCCCCTTCCTTCCTTTAGCCATTCATCCCACATTCCCTAAAGATCAAAAACTGTGCGCCACCTATTCCTACCTTCCTACAGCTTGATAGGACTATGTTCAGTTACTTTCAGGTAATATCAAAATACAAAAGCCATTCAAGCTACTGCTGAAGGTTTTGCTTGAGGTGCTGAGTCGCGAACTAGATCTATGCAGATATCACCCCCCCTCCTAAAAGCACTCGATCGAATCCACTTCCCTTTGGAGCTCCAGACACCAAGTAGTCTAACACTGGATGAAAATCTTACCACCAGCTGGGACGCAGCCCAAGAGCACCATCAGCATGGAAATCTCACGCGGGCCCAACTAGTTGAGGGAGAGTTGGAGGCCATTCAGAGATTTGGAAGGCAGCACGTCGCATGAGTCACCACCTAAGTGTGAGTTACCAGGTCTCAAAGGGAGCTCGTCTTCACTAGATAGGTAGGTGATGATGCTTGCAATAACTAATGAGTACCTTTACCAAAATTGAAGCTCTCGTGCAAGTGTTGTTGCTAGCTCTGGATACGAGGTATTTGTATTGAAATTGTTAAGGTTGTCGCGGATCTAAATAGGGATCTGGGGTGGGTTCTATTGCAATTTTATGGAATGGCTGTTGATTTTACAAGTATATTTGACTTTGTCAAACATAGTTGACCTGATAACATGTATTTTCTGGCCAGGCATAGAGAATTATATCAAGAGCTTGCAGAGCTGCATGACTTTGACCAACCCACATACTCATATGCTAGGCTCTCTCCAGATAGCGAAACTCAAGTAGTTTGTTTGCAGACCGAAGTTAAGTTGCTATAATATGATGCGGATTTGCCAGGTCCTTGGCAGGCACCTCCTTAAGAATTTCCTCTAGAGCCGTGACCTGCCCTTACGTTTGCAGCCGAAGTAGCAGAAGGGCGTAGAGGTGTAGGAGAGTAGTCCCGAAGAACGATTTCACTATCTCAGCCTTCAAATGCTTTATAACGGTGGGAAGCTCACAAATAAACACATCCTATTCTCTGGCGTTGGTTAAGAGCTCGAGAGGGTAATTGCTTTGACGAAATGGTGGTCCTCACATCACCTGCATGTGGCCGTTCACATATAAGACCGGGCATGTTTTCCCTGGCTTCTAGACACTGGTTATATATAGTACTTAAGTTAAAGCAGTATGGCGCCCCATACAATAGATAGAAGTCCCAACTTTCACAACATATGCTTTTAGAGCCCAGTATGCCTATAGATATAAGGGGGGAACCCTTAGAAGGGTAAGTAGCGATAGTGATATCACAGTATTGCAGCAATAGCCACCACCGCCCTCTCTCGGCTACCCCTTTCACCGCCCGAAATTGCCAGCACCCAACACTATACTTTATAAGGCCAAATAAGCAAAAGGCTATTACTCGACACAAGGGCCGGCCACTTGGCGAAGTGGTCGATGATCAAATTGTGTGTGCGAGGTTGGAGAGAGTTATTGTCTTTATTCTTAGAGAGATCTCGAAAAAGGCTCAGCCAGCAAAAGCATAAAACTCAGTTCGTCTGGTTTTAGCCAGTGGCGGGCGCCGAAAGGCGCTTCCTGGATTTTTGCAGTTTTTTATTTCTGGCAATTCTTTTTTATATCTGTTTTATTATTTTTTTAAATTATTTTTTTGGGGTGGGCCGAGAGGGTTGTTTCGCTAAATAGGTTTGAAGGTTCACACAGTGGAGAGAGATATTCACTTGATTTGATTTTTGGAAGAGATCAAGGGATTGAAAATACAGAGGCTAATCCTGAATTACCTGGAGTCTCTCGTGCTCAGGAGGAATACCGCGTGATTGCTCAAGTGTATAGAATGCAACAGGAGCTTTAGGGAATAAATCAGATACACAACTGATCAAAAGTGGTTCGCGTATATCATTCCCTCGCTCTACAACGTGTCTAGCAAATGGGTTGTTCATAGTCCCCCTTTGCCGAGGGGTGCCCCCGCCCCAAATGTCGAGATAAGACAGCACTACTGCAGACTAGATGATGTTTGTACGAAGAAAATAATGTTTAATGTTGAACGGTGTAAAAGCAGCTATTGAAAGACAAATTTGTGAGATCCTTGTGATAAGCTTGTGTAGGCTACCCGCCACCTTGGAATAAATTTCGAACTGTCGTCGGGTCACTAACATAAATGGGAGGTAGACAGAGACCTACCAATTTGACGATCACATCCGCACTTAATACATCACCCCAACTTAAGCAATGCAAATCTTATATTACTACACATGGTATCATCAAATCATCACATCACATCACCACCCCCCTAGCCCTCCTACCCTCCTCCTCCTTCTTAGCCTCCACCCTCGCCAAGAACTCCTGTCTCGCCCTATAAGCACCCTTTGCCTTACCCGCCGCATCCAACTCATCCTTAATTCCCTCCTTATCCACAAAGCCCGCCCAATCCATCGCGCTCTTCTCCACGGTATTGAGTTTCCGTTCTTTGCCAGCTCCTCCTACGGCCCCTACAACGCCAACTGCCGGCCTTCCACCGAAGTGTAGATCCTTTCTTTGCTGTACAGCATCTGAGATGGGTTCAAAAATCGAGCGTCGAGCTTTTTTAGGCGGTCGTTTGGGCTTCGTGAAAGGATCTGAGGGTTTGGAGAGGTCTGCGACCGTGGGTTGTGTTTGGGATGCTGGATCTGGCTGTGATGCTAGATATAGCTTTGCCTCTGCGGAATTCCGTGGAACGAGTTTCTGTTCCGTGTGTACTTTTCCAGCGAACTTGTACGTTCGCTTGATGAGAACCATGGAATCGGGACCTTCGCTGAATATGCTTGGCGAGCGGGAGGATTTCTTGCCTTCTTCTGTTACGGGGAGGGTGCTGCGTTTTGGGTCGGGGCTTTGAGAGGGTTTGGCAGGCGGTTCGGTGGACGGGATGGGTGTGGGTGTGATGGGTTTGCCCGATATCATGTTGGCCCAGAGGGCGTCGACATCGATTGTAGCTTTGCTCGTGTCTACTAAAGTAATTTTCTTCTCTGTTTTCCTGTTGATATAAAAGTCAGCATGTGTCTGTCATTCAATAGCAGGTGCCATATTTACTCTGCAGCCCTCATGCTTCTCGTCTTGACCAAACCCCCCTCGCCACCCTCATCCTCAACCGCCTCATCATTGCCCTTCTTCCCCTTCTTCCCCTTCTTCTTCCGTCTCTTCTTCCCCTTCTCTATAATCGCCTCATCACCAGAGTTCTCGAACCCGGCATCTTCAGCCTCCTCAGCATCAGTTCCTCGTTTTCGCTTGGCTGGCTTCGTAGTCTTCACAGACTCGGCTTCTAGCTCGGAGTCGGAAGATACCTCCTCATCATCTCGAACCGGGGCCGCATCGGGCGCGAAATCAGAGTCTTCCGAAGAAGCGTATTCTTCATCATCGGGAATGAGTTCTGGCGGCATATTTTCTGGTGTTGTATTTGTATGTTGAACACCTACTTCAGAGAAGCAGGGTTCTGGCGGTTGATTGCTTTACGCGACGCACACGAGGCTGACCATTCACGCGACGGGGTCTGCAGGCCTCGGAATACGCCACTATGGCTCCGACAGGCTGTGCACCAGCCTCGTCAGGGATAGTGGAGACGATTTTTATTTGAAATTCATTCAGCCTTACTGTTTTAAAGCGTTTTGCTACATCTCGACGTGCATTGAATTATTGATCTGATACTCTGTACGTCTCTACGAAACGCACGCCCTTAGATGGCGGTTTAAGGTGCTGTTGGATGGCTATTATGCCGGCGTTGTGAGGTATCTTGATTTATTCAGCCGATTTATTATCGAAACGCACGATAACCGTTCACTGCCTCCTACGGTCGGTGTAAATTATGTCGTGGTAGGCCAAATATCTCGATAGTTACTTTGTACTCCAGTATGTCGTCAAGGCGGTCTAGGAGCTGCAGATATAGCATCATGCTGTGTTACGTGCGGAGGCTTCACCGATATTTCAGATTTATCGGGATAAAATGATATCTTTTTGCAAGTTAAACTGGGTTGGCGCGCTTACCTCCCTCTCGAATGCTGCTGCGACTGGTGTTCATGAGTTGTGAGTCCACGCTCTGAAGGCTGCAAGTCTGCAAGATGGTGCAGAGGATGGCGCAGCAAGTCACTAATGTAACTTGGTGCCGGAGGTGCACGTCGAGAAGGGAACGACACCCGTGCTGAGAGCGCCCTCGGACTATCACAAGTATCGTGGTTGGGTTGACTAATAAGCGGCGGATCCAAATACAAGCCGCTGCTAATGCGGGTGGAGCATACTATATACTTCAAAGGTGCCTGGCGGTTCTGTATACGAAAGCTGTGGAGTTGGAGATGTAGAAGTAGGACTGGAGTTGTCGACCGCAGGACGAGGCCAATACCAATATCAAATATTAATATCAATATGGGTGAAAGCGAGGCAGCACGCCATGATTGGCGAAAAGACCAGAATAAATATCGCCAAGCCAAATTCGTCATTCGGAGCCAAAAAAAATAAGGGACTGGTCAGTTGCAGTACCTAGTTGGCTTCGGCGCCAGGTGAAGCCAAACCTTACCGGCTGAAGTTTAACTCACCAACGGTCCCCCATTTCAGCACAGACATCACCGTATATAGTTCGAGTTGTTGGGACTAGGAAGTGTTATAGCCTGGGCATCGTCTGATACGCACATGGAGTACTTGGAGTCGCCGACCCCCCGGCTACACCACGTAACCTATCGCCTGCGGTGCACTAGTCAAATGTGTTAGCAGAGAGAGAGTGGGGGGATGGGAGTTGCAAGATGCAGAGCCATCATGTGAACGGAACACGATTGGTTGTGTATTTCACCTCGTAGAGAGGATATACTTGGAAAGGGTGCCTCTGCATCTTGTACGTACAGACGCAGGAGCAGGTGTGTGTACTAAGTATGCAGAGGTTGACCCTCGAAAATGACAAATACGGATTACAGTAGTGCAGGACTTGAGTGCAGTTCAACCCAACGTTCCCTGGGTTCAGTCCCAAGGGATGGTCTCCTCCTGCTGGGGGAGATGGGTAACATATCGAAAATCGGTACGGGGGTTCGCGAGGATATCGATCTGCGAGGAGGAGATGATGATGATCCGGAGTCCTCAGCCCTAAGGATTGGCAGGGCCAATCAGTTGCAGGATGTTGATTTTCGACATTTCATCATTCATGTTAAATGCTTGTGACCTTCAGATGACACGACTGGTCAATGTGCGTACTCCGTAGGACGACATCTCGGAATCTACCATATATCCAAGGAAGAGCGTTTTGTTCTTGCGGCTCCATCACTTTAGGTGATTCTTGAACTTCGAAGGATGATCCCTCCTTCGATGTGTCGAGTAACGACTTGTTTTGTCCGAAGCACAGTACCAAGTAGGTGGTCTTTAAATACGAGGGGAGGTGGAACGCCGTTCAGCCGGGGGTTGGCGTGGTCATCCCAGTAGGAGTGCAACTCCAAGATGTCTTTGAGCTATCTCCACCGAGGCTATCCAACACCTCTCCACACTCTATCGTCATTAATATGGAGTTGTTGGATAGTAAGCTCGTAGAGATGTCGTCTCCTCACCAGGTAGCCGGTAGCTACTCCGAAGAAGGTAGGTAGCTGCCAGTACTTCGTGCCGGGACCAACATCTAGCTTTGCGTCGTACACATAGTCCAGCAGTGGGGCAGAGAATCGAAGCAGATTGCCCTTGTAAATGAAGTCCGTGGGAGACGGCCACACTGTGGCATAGCGCCATGCATGACAGACAGAGGCACTTCGTAGTCTAAGACATATCCAGGTTCGTGTACGTCCTTCGCAGCACCTAGGAAGAACGAGGTCTGTCCTCCTCTCCATCAGCCGCCGTTGGCGAGACCTCACGAAAAGTGGCATCTGTATGACCGTGGTACAGCAGCCAGGAAGCTGGGGAGTAGATGCCGACGCCGACCACCGACGCCGGACGACGAGGACTGAATATGATGGTCATGATACTTCGCATGAGCCCTCAGCGGAGCACTGCTGCTGGATTCCGATGTTGCAGCTGCTGTGCACACGAAGAGTCTCCTCCCCCGTCTCAACCGCCACGCTCCACCAAGAGACTTGTCGAATCATGGAGTTGTGCAGCATGGACAGCCGGGACAGTAGCGACGAGGGAGTCCGATGCATAGCATAGTGCTTATCGTATTACCTTAGTCGTGTGCTTGCCGCTGATTTGGTATTTACACGCGGCTTTATGCCCCCATTGTTTCAGAGGTCGAATGTGTCTCGTATGGTACATTACCGTACTCCGACGGTAATCATAATAATAACGGGCAAGGACCAGAAAAAGGGGGAGTTCGCCACACTAGGCCTCGGCCTGCGGTGATCACTGATGATCCGCCAGCAGCATATTTTTGCCCCCCTCCCCCCCTTTCGCATTCACCGCACTTTGTTTGCGTCTGGCAGTCTGAACTGCTCTGCTATGCTACGGTAACATTTCTCTTCTTGCTGACCAGCGAGCCGGATATTTGTTTCGTGGTCGAAGCCCGTCCGAAGTAGAGTAATTTGTACCCTTTTTTCCCCCGTGCCTGCACTCCGAAGGTAACGAAGCCCCCTAATTCTAAATTAAGCTAGGAAGCAGAATAGGCAAAGGCTTACCGGGGACTAGGCCTTGGAGCTTGGTAGATTTGCACGGGGGCGCTGTCAAATGTCAAGGACCGGCGTCATGGCATGGCATGGTCTGGGAGGAAGAAGCCGGAAATCATAACGAATACTGGGGATAATGTGGGAGGAGGTACAGTACAGTAGCACGGGAGGAGTGCGACAGCGTTGTTGCACATCTGCTTCTGCTCTGGTGGTGTGCGGTGGTGTGTGGTGGGTGTGGTGGTGCTGGTCCACGAGGCTGGGGATGGGGATGAGGATGAGGATGCTCGGGGCTCTGAAGCCTGAAGCCTGAAGCCTGGGCTGTCTCCTCTGTGCTGTCCAGTACTTCCAGGTACGCAGGCACTCCGTCCAGTGGCCACAGGCTCCCGAGTTACGGTGCGGTACAGTACCTGGCAGCGATGCGTTCATACTCCGTAGGGGGTGGAGATGCCCCGTACCGGTGGATGGCCCTACTGCAAGCCCCTAACTAATCGCAGTGGCTAGCCTGCGCCCGGGTCTCACACCCAACAGGTTGCGCTGGAGCGACTGGACTCCCTGAAGAGCCGCCCTTGCAGCCTCCGAATGATGCGACGCTGCACCTGTGCGACGACGCCTTCGCGACGCTGGGAGCTCCTGTAGGCTGTACCGTTGGAGGTTGTAGGCGGCGGTAGGCTCTGGGCTGTGGGCGGTAGGCGGTACCACCAGCACTACTTGCTTGCTTGGTACGGTGCTATTGGAGCACATCTTCCGTAGGTCGTATAGCTACATACTTACGAAGTACCTGACCTACCTTATTACCTTTACCTACAGTACGAAGTACGAAGTACTCAGACCAGAGACTCCCGTCTAGTGCTCTGTTCTAGCACGGTGCACGCTCTCTAGGCTTGTCCCTCCTAGACACCCCGAACCCACGCTACCACCTACCGAAACTCTCCTCACTACGCTCGACTCTCACATCCTCATCTCCAATTAATATTCCAGCCTGTTCTCACCACCACCGCCGTTGAGGACACCCGACCCCCGACAACCTCAATTCCCTCTCCTCATCTCCCCCCCCTTCCGTCTTCACCTACGCCTTCATCTTCACCCTCACCCTCACTCCAATTTCCTATTTACCTTTTGCTTCCCGTGTTTTTGTCCTTCGTTTCTTCAGCCACCCCCCCTCCTCGCCAGACCCCCGAGCATTCCTCGCTGCATTCCTCCTCGACACTCGCTTCTCCTGGATTCAGAATTTCAGACCCCTTACCCCCCTCCCCCCCAGAACCCTTCTCCCAGACCAAGACTTGGCTCCAACACGCAATAATTCGCCACGCTGGATGCCATCGTCTGTTCTGTATCCATCGATCCATTGTTCCTTGGGCTTCGTGGGAGACTCTGCGGCTCCGGCACCCACGGTAACAGTGCGTTGTGTCTGACGCGAAGCAAGAATATCTGCTCGCTCCCTCCCTTCCTCCTGGCCGCCGGCGTCCTCCTTCGATTCCGTCCTTGTGTCAACCGTTAGCTCGCGTTGGCATTCAATTCTGCCTTCTTCATAATAATTGCTCCTTCTGTGGAATCGTTTAATTGAAGGTGAGCTTCCTGTCGTGCAACGCGTTTGGGATGGCTTTTTTGGGCGTCGCCCGTTATCAGAAAACCCAACGCCCCAAGACCACACGCTAACCTTCCCGTCATTGCAGATTCCATTACATCTGTTTCCTTGCTCTATTGCTCCGGTCCCAAACGATCCCCTTCGAATGATAACTTCATATTCCCAAGTAAACCGCTACCCGTTTTCCCACGCCTAGCGAATTCACCGAGCCGCAGCATGGCTGCCCTCGTACAATCATACCCACAGCAGTCGAGCACCGTTACCATGCTCCAGACTCGCCCTTCATCTGCCTCTGGTATCCTTCAAACGTCCGCTCAGAGTCAATCCCACCAGTATCCGACAAATCCCTCGCAGATGCAACGGAATAGTTTCCACGGGATGAACAACGGGACAGGAATGCCCAACTATCGGGGCCATTCAGCGGTTGCTCCGATTGCTCCATATGCATTCACCAGCACACCCAGTCTTGCCATGCCGAACCAGCGGCCACAGTTGATGCCACAGTTCCGCTCCGAGCAGAGAGCGTCCTCAGCCCCAATCGTGCCAACTATACAACAGCCTGAGTCAAGCTCTAATCCCTCCCGGTCACGCTATCCCGCGGCGGCTTCCATATCAACCACGTCCTCTTGCAGTTCATCCGACCTATCCTCACTAAGTCAAAAGTCTGGTTCTAAAGATGATTCAGCTATCGTCAAAACGGCACGTATTGTCTCGGGTACTACTCGGCCTCACTCCACCGTCATATCAGGCTCGGCCGTGAATCTCGCCCCTCCTCAATCATCTGGCAAAGCCGCTCCGGATCGGTATCGCCGACCAAACAACCGTCGTGTGGAGACTGCTCCTGGCCAACAAGCTGGCCCACAGTCTAGTATGGCTTCGTCTTCGGCCCTGCCAAATGTTATGCAGTTCTACAACACTGGGGTTCAAAAGCCCGCGGCGACTAGCACGCAATCTAGCTTTAACATGCCAGAGTTCTCCAGCCAGAAAGCCGGATCCTTACCAACACTGGGTACCGCAGCTGATGATCTACAATTGAATCGACCAGCCGTCGTGGACCAGGCCAAGCGATATCGCCGGCGAAGCATTCACACCATTGATGCTGGCGACTTTACCCACTCTATTCCCCCAGGATTGCTGCCCCAAGCATCAAGGCAGAGTAGCAGTGCCAACGGCCGGATTGACCACCAGCAGCATCCGCTACGCAGTTCACCGTTTGCCGGGGCTCGACCAGTCTCGTCCCACGGGCGAAATGGTAGCAGTGACAGCGTGAACTCTGCACGGAGCGGTCGACACTCACGCCCCAGCTCAGTAAGTGATATTCTACATATTGAACCCCATATTCCCGTTTCCATTCTATTTCGTTGTCATCGTCATTTACAACGTTCAAACCCACATCGCACCCAATTTACCCACCGTCCAATTAAACCAGCATTTTGTGTTCATCTCGCTAATATGCCAATTCCAGGCGACCAAGCGAGACCCTGGCGGATCCATTGCAGCTGGAAACCCCGCCCCATCGCCATCGGAGGCTGCTGCGGCTGCAACGCCTGTATTGGCCGCCACCGACCAGAATTCACTCAAGCACGATGTTCCAAAACTAGTAAATATTCCTCCTCGTGGTTCGTCTTCCGATGCGGCGAAACGAATTGCCAATCCCTCTCCTTTGTCGAAGCCGGTGACAATGAATTCCGAGTCGTCGGCCCCTGCCTCCAGGGATTCTTTCGCATCGGCGGTAAACGCGGCCCTCCAGCAGCCATCTAAACCAACGTATGCGCAGGTCGCTAATGGCGCAAATGCTGGCAGTCCCGCCGCCCAGAAATTGGCAGCTTTAAATGAGAAGGACGGAAAAAAGAGTAAAACATCGCGGTTGCGGAGAGCCTTCTCATTCGGCAGCGCTGCCGAGTTGAGGCGAGGGGCTGCAGAGAACAGTGCTGCCAACAATGTTGCGTCCGCGTCGGCAGCTGAGCGGTCAAAATTTCGAAAGGACCAATATCAAGATGAGCAGGAGGCTGAGCAGGCTAGAATTGCTGAACAACAGGAGGCTGCTGGTATCGGCTCCGGGATCTATTCTGGGCAGGGCAATTTCTTTAGTGGATCGACTGATAACCTTTCTATTTCGTCAACCGCGTCATCTGCGTCCATTATGATTCGGAAGATGGGCAAGGGAATGAAGAAATCCACTCGATCACTCGTCGGACTCTTCCGCCCCAAATCCATAATCGGTGTTCCTGCTGCCGATTCTTTGCAACAAGGTAGCCAAGCTCAGGTGTCAATGGTAACTGTGGAGGCTGAGCGGGAGAAGGTCAATGTGAACGCGAGTCCTCTTGACCAAGTTGGGGGAGGAACCGGCTATCCTAGGCTCGAAAGAAATTCTCTCGATGCAGCCAATGCCGGTGGTCTCATGCCTGAACGCTTGGGCAGCTCCTCTACAGAGAATTCGGCTTCCAGAAGAAGCATTGTCGGCGGCGAGAAGGAACGGGCGGAGGTCCTTGCTGCCGTTAAGAAAGGCATCTTGAAACGTGAGTTGTACACCCTATATTTTTTTTTAATACGGAAATGCTAATTCTAACAGGTACCGGCACAGACTCAGGCAACTCTTCTCCTGTCATTAAGCCCCATGATCAGAAGACTCCAAACTTCCAATTGCCACCAATCCCACACGTCAATGACTCACCGAGCTCCTCAGCGCCTTCCACTCCTAATGATGAACAACAAGGCCATCGACGAACTGGTTCGGTAACGCTAGGTGGAGAAGACTACTTTATGTCTGCTCTGCGATTCCGTGGCGAGTCATCGAGTTTGCCAAATTCTCCTCAGGGAACTGTCAAACGCAATGCAACCTTTAGCCCTAGAATCCAATTCCACGATACGTGGCCCAGTGGCGAGTATGATAGACGGGGCGAGATTGCCACCTGCAATCGTTTAACACCCATGCTTGCACAACAGATCAAAGAGGAACTCAACACTTTCAAAATGGTTGGTTTATATAGTCTCAATGGAATACCCATTGCTAACAAGTATTATAGGAAATGGAGGTACACGAAAACTCCAAAATCTACACGCATTTCTTCTAATGACACAACGATTATGGCCGGTCACACGGCTGACGAATACCACACAACCTGTCCGCATAACACAGGCATATTAAACAGTTGCTCTGCACAAACACAAATTTCAAAGGCGTTCATTAGGGCCGCATTATATGGTGTACTGGAGTCATTTCACATATGAGCGATTTGGTCGAACAACGTTATATTTTTCATTAGACTGGCGTCGGCCGTCTCTTTTACGAGCATACTTGGGGAAGAATGCAGTGGGTGGAAATATTCATGGGACTTGAAGAAGTTGCAAGAGGAGATCTACGCTGCGAAGCTCACAGAATTGCGAGAATGCAGCGTAACATGCTGTGTGTGTATTGGGCTTGGCGATCTGATTTCCTTGGGCTCATATCGGCAATACGGGCTCCTCTCTTCAAAAAGCTGTCACATCTTTGATTTCACTTTTCCGCTCATCGGGGTTGATGCATGCATTTAGTGAGATCTCATGCGTTCGTCTCTTTTCGTCAGGATTAGTCCATAGGCATTCCTGTTAATTCGGATCGTATTTCAGCGTTGGTCAAGTCTCATCGTTTGAGGGATGGTTAGGAGATAGGCACACTTTTCATAATCAATGATACTCTTCATTTGAGAATTGGTAATCCCTCCTCGAGATTGCCCTTCGGTTATTAAAGAGTGCCGCGTACTCACTACACAGTCCCGTAGACCGTTCAAGGCTACATATGCCACAGTACACTTAAATCTCCATAATGGACTTAGCAGAATTGAAGACCGGTCAAGCATACTGGATATTAATAGGTCACGTAAGGCTCTAAACAATGCAGATAAGTTCGTTTCATTTAAAGCACGAGTTTTACACAAGAGATTGTGTCCACGGAGACGCTATTAACAAACATGTCTTGGTGGATGTTGTAATAAGGTGGATGGAAACTAGTCCCTAGCCTTCCCGGACCCTGAAAACCACCCAAGTAGTAGCCTCGCCTTGGCACGCAGCCTTCTCGGGAAGGCGACGCTAAAATAAATTTATAATTTTGTTAGAAAGTTGCCAACAACACGCTTCTGGCTCACAAAGTGCCAACGATCCCGCCCAGCTCTTCAGCTATCTCAATTAAACTGGCTCTGCCTAGGAGTTGCCATAGGCTGTGGGCTGGCACCCGGCGCGCGATTTCCCCTACCCATACAACGAGACGGGCCACCTCCAACGCAGGCATAATGACTCCGACTACGCCCTCATTCCCAGAACCCGCCTCGAACGGCACCAATGAGGCGCCATGTCCTACTTCTGCAAAGAAACTACATGGGCGCGCATTTTATGAGAGTATCGGGAGCCCGAAGTTTATACTTGCGCCCATGGTCGACCAATCTGAATTTGTATTGTCCCCTCTACCCCAGATGAATGTTTAGTTCATGGCTGACCTCAGTAACCGCAGGCCTGGCGTATGCTCACACGCTCGTTCATGCCCGCTTCTTCGCCACAAGATCTCCTAGCATATACTCCCATGCTACACGCGCGACTCTTCAGCGGAACGCCTAAATTCAGACACAACCATTTCCAGCCACTGCGCGAGCCTCTAGCCTCCCATCCTTCTCCCCCCTCTACCGCCTCCCAAAGCCCCGAAGATCTCTACCTCGACGGAAATCCTAAATTCGACCGGCCGCTCATCGTACAATTCTGCGCGAACGATCCAGAGGAGTTTCTAAGTGCGGCGAAATTCGTTACTCCCTTCTGTGATGCGGTGGATTTAAATCTAGGATGTCCACAAGGTATAGCGAGGAAGGGGAAATATGGGGCGTTCTTGCAGGAAGATCAACAGCTTGTTTTCAACCTGATTAATAAGCTGCATAAGGAATTGGATGTGCCTATCACGGCGAAACTCCGCATCCTTGAGACGAGAGAAAAGACGTTGGAGTATGTGCAGACCGTAGTGCGTGCTGGGGCTAGTATAGTTACTATACATGGTAGAACGAGAGATATGAAGGGTCATAAGACGGGACTGGCGGATTGGAAGGTTATTAAATGGTTGAGGGAACAGATACCCCGAGAGGTTGTTATTTTTGCTAATGGGAATATTCTGAGGAAGATGGATATTGATGCTTGTTTGGAACAGACGGGTGTGGATGGCGTAATGAGTGCGGAAGGGAATCTTTATGATCCTGCTATATTTGCAACTCCGCCAGCGGTAGGGGAAGAAGGGAGAGAGTATTGGAGGGGAGTCGATGGGAAGGGTGGATGGAGGATGGATGCTGTGTTTAGGAGGTATATGGATATCATATACAAGCATGTTATGGACGTCCCACCTCCGGCGAGGAAACCGCTCTACCTCCCTTCAGATCCTGAACCGGATGTAGCGCCACCGGAAGTCAGCGCAGAACACCAGCAGAAGAGGGCGAGAGAAGTTGGCGAGGCGGATGAACAGGGACCGCCGGCGAAGAAACAGAAGAATGAAAAGAGGGAGAAAACTCAAAACCCTAATTTCCTCGCTATGCAACCGCACCTCTTCCACCTGCTACGGGCGTTGGTGGGTAGGCACCACGGCGTAAGGGATGCCCTGGCGAGATGCCGAGCAGGAGATATTGCAGCCTATGAAAACGTGCTTCAGATGGTTGAGGCTGTTGTCAAAGACGGCTTAGGAGAATACGAACGGACGCAGGGCCGAAGCTGGGAAGAAGAAGTGGAAAAGAATGAGAAGGATCAGAAAGAACAGAAGAAAAATGTAGAAACATCGGAGGAGGGTAAGGAAAACGCAGAAGTGGCTGATGAGAAAGATGAAAGTTCCCTCGAGACAGTCAGGGCCTGTAAGAGGCCCTGGTGGGTTGTCCAGCCTCATGTAAGACCGCTGCCTAAGGAGGCGTTGGCGAAAGGTAGTTGGGCGTTAAGTAAGAAGGATAAGGCGAAGTTGGAGGCGGAGGCGGATGCGGAGAAGAAGAAAGTGGACATGAGTGCACATAAAAGAAAAAGGTCTAGGTCACCAAAGAAGGACTAGTTTCTGGTTAGAGTTAAACCCTTTTGAATGGTCGTCCTTCTCTTAGTTATCGTGTTGCGCTTTGAAGTCGTTGGTTGAGTGGGCGGTTGGGGGATTGGTATGTTAGTTGTGTTGATGAGAGTGCTCAAGAGCTGATGCACTGTTATAAATCACATTGCCTATTGAGATACAATTTGCCTTGAATATGACTACATGTTGCATCACTTTCGGTAAGCAGCGTACTACAATTTACTAAATGGGAGGGAGATTGGAATAAGGGGGATGTGTGGAGGCACCGAAGCTAGTCCAGCTTGACAGAGCTGCACCAAAGGAAAATTGGAAGGGGTTGATGAGCATGGTTTGATAGGGGATAATATTACTATCTAATTAGATTAATATTGTAGCCTACAAAGCCACAGACCTCCCACTCTTAGCACTCTCCTTTGCCGCTTCGATGATCCTCAAAACGTCCCTGGCTTCGCTCGCCTTAACTGGCACGGCGCTTTCTCCACCTCCTTCGATAGCCTTTGCGAAGCCCGCATATAGAGAAGCGTATGTAAGCGGAGTTACATTCTTAAGTGTGCTCCCCTTGGGCTTAGTCTCCCCGTCTAGAACGACCAATGAACCAGCACGGTCATCAGACTCGATTCCGAATCCTTGGTCTCCCGGCTTTAATCCAGCCTTCAACTGATCTTCCTGGACATCAAGATGGAATTTCTTGAAGCTGCCCTTAGATCCCCGCACCCAGTACCGCAGCTGCTCAGTCTCAACACACATAACACCCGCCTTGGCCGTGACCAGCGGTCCCCCATTGCTATATTGCAACATAACTGTAAAGCTGTCGGGTTCCGCCTGGCCATCATTCCTTTGGTTTGCGAACACGCCGGTCACGCTGGCAGGCATGCCAAACAACACATACGCCTGATCGATTAAATGAGTTCCAAGATCATAGATGACTCCACCAGCTTGATCCATGCCCAGCGTCCCTTTCCAGGTCTCGGGCCGAATGGCCTTGTAGCGGTCAAAGTGGGTCTCGAATTCCACGCAGCGCCCAATCGTGCCCTCATCGAGTAATTTCTTCACCGTGAGGAAATCCGTGTCCCATCGACGGTTCTGGTATACGCAAATCAGCTTCCCCGTCTTCGCGGAAATATCGACCAGCTGTTGTGCCTCGCCGCTGGTGGGAACGAAAGGCTTCTCGACGATGGCATGCTTTCCGGCCTCCAGGGCAGATTTTGTGAAGGAAAAGTGCGTGTCTGGTGTGGTAGTTATAACAATTATGTCGATGGAGGGGTCGGCGAACATCTCAGGCGCGGAGTGGTAAATCTTCGTGCTTGGGTGGTCTTTGGAAGCATCGTCGTTTGGCTTCGGCGTGCGCTGTACGATGGAATGGAGAGTGAACTGTGGTGTGATGAGGACGAGGGGAATGTGGAAGACCTTTGCGGACATTCTGCTTCATGTTAGCTGGTGGGATCAATTGGATGAGTGAGGGAGGATAACACACCCATATCCGATCACACCGACGTTGTACGTTTTGCCTGCCATTGCTGATGAATTCTAGGTTTATATGCTCTGTTTTGTTTAATTGAGATGAAGTGAAAGGAAAACAGAAAGGGACGAGACAAGAGGGATATATGGAGGCAAAAATGTAGCTGTGTTTTCTAGACCCAGCCTTACTAATAAGATATTCGGCGAATGGAGGGGCAATACGAAGTATGCGGGGCTTCCGATGATCTTGATTATAAAACATACAAAACCTGGATTCAACTTGACTCAGGGGAGCTATCCCCGTGGCTGGGCTCTTGCATGACTCAGTGCTGATTCAATCGAATTGTCTCGTTATATCAATGGGTGTAAGGGATGCAGTTTTTGATTCTGCTTTTGTTGAACGAAAGATCTTGCACTGTTTTGTTGTGATGACGTGGGTAACTCCTTGAGATACCACATCACGTGGAGCAAAGCAACCACCTCGGCCCTACTTTACTTTGCAGGGCATTTAGCGTACCATTCGCTAGATTTATAGGGTGCTTTAGGGGCAAACTTATAAATTTGAATGGCCAGTATTAACCGCCACAATTACACGATTATTCCAATCTTAAAATTTGGGGAAGGCCTAGTATATTTTAATATATACACTGAATTCAAAGTGTTTTCACAGCTTTGGTTGTGTTCCTATTTGGAACTGGGAGGTTGCTTAGTGGGGATTCCACTGCTACTGCCGGGATGGCAACTTAATTTGCAAGTTAATAATGTCACAAAGGCAACGAACAAGCGATATTACTAATTGCCCACTAATAAGAAGTCATTAAATCCAAATGTCGCTCCTAAATAGTCTGAGCCTAGTAGTAAAAGCCATTATTGTATCTCTTGCTCATCAGGAATAGTCAGGTAGTGAGATCGATCGCCCACACCACCAGGGCTAGGCACCGATATCCATCTTGTCTCTATCTAGTTGTACATATATTACATGACCCAGTGCTTCTACCTGCTCCATGTGGGAAACTTCAAATTCCAAAGTTCTTCTGTAAGTTGTATTTCGTATCATCGCTGCCCTCACTCGAAGGAAGTATCTAGCCAATACTTCGTTGCGAGCGTCCTAAAAGCTAGCCGCTAAGGCTCCGCCATCAGTCTTGCACCCTCGTACAAAATGGAGAGTACGAGGATCGAGAGAGCTCTCCCGGGGGGGGGGGGGGTGTTGAAGTAGAGTCCGCAGGTGCTATTGGCAGCGTAGAGGGAATAGGATTTTCAGGTGCAGGGGAATAGATGATATCTGTAAGCCAATGTTAGACTATCTGACGTTCTAGGAATGTGGAAGTTCTGTACTCACGGATATCATCCAACAGTTGGGTCGCATCTTATAGTTGGCTTGCTAGCACTTATTGATGATATTCTCCATCTCTAGCCTAAATGTATTCGGAAACTCTCCCTTGTTATATAGCTGTGCCACCTCTTCTTCGGGCTTGCCGTCGTATGGTTCATTTCCAGTACATAGTTCGCAGATGATAGAGCCTAGAGCGAATAGATCGTCGATGTGGACGTAACTGCTCTCGTCTTGTCCTGCGAGAGCAAGATACATCGTAACAAATACCAAGGTCTTGTTGCCCATGAATTGAACAGCTGCCGAAGCCCGTAAGAACCGTGTCTGACTCTTTAGTTATGAGGATGTTTCTTGCGTTGAGATCGCAGTGGAGGAGGCTCTTCTGATGCATATACTCGACACCCTCCACGATTTGCCTCGCCCATTTAACAGAAGGAACTTTTTCATTAGATTGAAGTACGCTTCTGAGACATCCTCTTTGATGGTATTCAAGAAGGGACCCAGAGCCCTCTGGCCCGAAGTACTTCACAATTCTTGGATGCTGCCCTACCATCATCTCATATATAGTGACTTCGAGATTGATGTCGTCTACCACTAGACCGAGAGGCCTACCCCAAGGGACCTTTTGAACGACTTCTGAAGAATATTTCCATATCATCCCGGAACGGCCACTGCCGACCTTTTTGATTTGCCATCTATCCAGAGCGCTGCCAGGGTTCAACTGCGTCAAGGGTCGATCTGCTTCTTTATTAAAGGAGAACGTGAAATGGACTTAGGCACAGACTACGAGGGGCTCGATACGATTATACGATCACGTGCCTAAGATCTTGTACTCTAATCCAATATATAATATATGTATTGTCGACACGCTCCGGTGCCTAGTAGGGCTTTAGGGGGTGACTCTTTTAATAAGCCCCTACACACGATCCTCATATCCATGAGTAAGTTCTCCAGATCCGCTGTGGTAGAGGGCCAATCCCCTAAAACTTGAAGAAAGGGGACGGCGAGGAGCAAGAGTCATCAGAACTTGTGCTGAGACTAGAGCGCTGTGGATTTGCTGGGAGGTTGTGGGAGATTATCTTCTGCTTCGTTGTATGTGAAACGCACAGCGAGAAGCTGAAGAATCCATGACCTGCTTCATTGCGGTAGAACAAGAAAAATCGATTTCGGGGCTTTGATGTCCATCCAGGGAAGGTCGATAGCCCATGGCACCGTATGTTCTTGAGGGGTTGTCCTTCAGTGCCTGCTGCTGAGAAGGTATGAGTATTTTTTATGACACCCATAGTATTGCCTTGAAGGCTGGTGTCTTGGGAGGTGTTCATCGGTGTCTCTCGAGGCACCGTAGTAGAAGTTCGTGCAGGCAGCCAAAGCCACATGATGCAGGCTGAAAGCTTCGAGATGAAGGAATCCAAGAACAGCCTGCATGAGTATTTGCAGGAGATAGAACTCGAGTGTCATCTTTCTGGTGCAGTTTGTTTGCCAAGTCAAGAAGATAGACTTCTGAAACTACTCGGGTATAGTCCGGAACAAGATGTCCATTCCCGTCATTCCGCTGTGCGAGAGGGTATCCAAGACGAGCACACATCTGGTCCAGGAATTCTCCACACCACCGCCTCGTAAAGGTGGTTTTGCTGCTGCTTTCTGGGATCCAATCAACACAGTCTATACCTATTCATAGCAAAGATAGACACCCCAGCCAGCAGCTCTAAAGGTTTTTACGAAGAGCCTCCCGTACTCCTGAATATTGTAGGTATGCCTTGGAGAGCGGTTATGAGAGATGAGAATCGAGGGACTCGCAATGTATGAGAGCTCGAGGTGTCTTTAGCACTCGGCAAGTCATTATTTTGTCGCTTTAATAGCCGATTAAAAGTCACCATCACTATCATCTTCATCTCTAGGCCTGATCATCTTGCTCATATATGGCCCTAAATCAAGTTAGCTCAAGGCATGTCTCGTAAGCATCATGTTCAACGTACCGTCAAGCCAATATCCCAGTCTTCTGTAATAGTCTCTGGTTCCAACTCCAGAGATAACACTAATTTTCGTACTTCCATGCTCATCTCTCGCAATCCGCTCAGCCTCTTCCATTAGAAGGGTGCCGTATCCTTGATGCTGGAATTTCCTAGGATCACGAGCATGTACCGGGACAGCTGATCCATAAACATGCAATTCACGGATAATGCTGGTGGGTTGACCAGTAAGTTCGGGTCTGAAGGTATGCGTTTTGGAACACTTGCGTAGACGAAGGAGACCGATGAGGATATCTTGCTTGGGATCTTCGTATGCGAGGAAAGTTTCCCATCCGCCGTTAGCCGTGTAATCTCGTCTGACGAGTTCGACCTGTGCTGGCCGGATTTTATTCTTGACTTCGTTGATACCAACCTCTCGAGTGCGGACGTCTCTACAAGTGGTCCCGAAGTCCTTCATCCTGCTTAACGCTAACTCTCGTAGGTTTCCGTTCTCTACCCCAGACGTCACCAATGGCATCGGAATGTCTCTTTGAACACGGTAAATACGAGTCCACGGAGGTACAAGCGCCAAAATCCGAGCGACTATGTCAATCAAAGCATTGGGAGTGTAGTTCTTGTAACGTCCTGTCCGCCACAACTCATACAGCCCGGTACCTCTGATGACCAGAGTTGGATATATTTTCAAGCCATCGGTCCGGAACGCTGGGTTCTCGAAATATTCTCTGAACTGATCCAAGTCTCTCTCCATACCCACATTGGGCAAATCTGGCATCATATGGCTCACCACCTTGAAACCCGCATCTTTTGAAAGGCAAAAAGTCTCGGCGACTGACGCAACGGTATGCCCTCTGTTTGTGTCTCGTGCAACGTCTTCGTAAAGAGACTGGACGCCAACTTCCAACCGCGTACATCCATATCGTAACATTGCAGACAAATGTGGCTGTAAGCAGTAATCCGGCCGCGTCTCAATAGTAATGCCAACACATTTAATGTTGCTCATTTCGCCCGCCTGCACAGCCTCGTCGACATTGTTTCCCTGGTATCCACTGAGGGCGTTATGCAATTGTGAAATAAAGCCATCTCGGTAGCTCTCGGACAATGACATGAACGTCCCTCCCATAATGATGTATTCAACTTTATCAACACTGTGACCTAAGGACTTGATTTGGTCTACCCGCCCGCGGGCTTGTTCAAATGGATCGTACCGTGCCCGAATCGCTCGCATCGATGTGGGTTCGTAGCCAGTGTAAGATTGCGTGGAATATTCGAAATCAGAATCGGGACCACCAGGACAATAGACGCAAATATTGCCAGTGTACGCAATATGCGGGCATCGATGGGGTTTGCACATAACAGCTACCACAGCTATGCCGGAAGCACTCCCTACAGGATGTTAGAGGTTGCCAGAAACCAAGCTTAATACGGTCTTACTGATTGGTTTTGCGATTAGTTTTGGCAGAATGTACTTCTTGTAATGTTCAGGGATTGCGGCAATAATGGCAGTGAGTGGCGGAATATTGCTCAGCCGGTGCTTCTTCGACATCTTCGCGCGCAAGGCATTTAGATTGACATCTTTCTTTGGCTTTGACGGGTCTTGCTGAGCCTCATGGTCTTGAACCAGGAAGCTTGCAATATCCGAGCAAGCTCTTATGAATCGTTCGTTCTCTGGAGGCAGGTTTATATCTTTTGGCTTCCTCTGCCTCTCCGATAATGTCATAACCTCAGTGGCCATCTTGACCTTGCTGGAGAATACTAAGAAGTTCGGACGTAGCTAAGCCAACTTTCGACCCTTTAATTCTGCGGACCACAAATGGCGGAGTTGTGCTGGCGATGTTACAGTTGCGTCGAGGCTCGAGATACTGTGCATGGAGGGGCACTTGCTGTGGCTCGGGTAGGTTCGCAAAATAATTTTGGGAGCTGGTACGACACCTGACGGGCGTCGGCAAATTTCGCGCAAGCTCGCTTCGTGAGCCCGAGAACCCGTGTTTCTATACGTAAATGGAAGCTTGGAAAGTAGCTCCTTGAACTTTGAAGACGTCGATAAACTTTACCACAGAACACCCATCTTTCATTCCCATTCCCTTTTATTCCCTCTCCTGGCATCAATTGTCTCCGGCAAGATGCAGGCTTTCTCAAGATGTGCTCGGCCTTTGGCGCAGACTGCTGCCCGGCGACAAAGTTATGCTACAGCGTCGGCTGCATACACTTCGACGGTAGACAATCTCCGCATCAATAAGGATACAAAAGTCATCTATCAGGGTTTTACCGGCAAGCAGGGAACGTGAGTACCAGCAAGAGGGGATTACAGGGGCATAAAGGCATTTTCTAATCGAGTTGCACCAGTTTCCACGCACAACAAGCTATCGAGTACGGTATGTTATTACAATCACAAGTACAACGAAACGGGATGGATAGGGTCTGATAAAACGATTAGGCACACAGGTTGTAGGAGGAACGAATCCAAAGAAAGCTGGACAGACACATCTTGGTTTACCCGTCTTTGGAAACGTTGCCGATGCAGTGAAGCAGTCCGGAGCTACCGCTTCTGCGATCTTTGTCCCGTACGCCATTTCCCAAAAGATGGGGTATTGGAGACAGTGTATTTGACTGACTCTTCATTAGCCCACCTCTTGCTGCTGCTGGTATTGAAGAAGCTATTGCCGCCGAAATCCCCTTGGTAGTCTGGTACGTCCTCCTTGTTTCAAAATGCGATGGTTTTTAGCTAACGATCTCAAAGCATCACCGAGGGAATCCCACAACATGGTTTGTCTATCCGAGTCTCGGTACACTGCTCAGCAACTGATACAATGCAGATATGGTTCGAATCACCGATATCTTAAAAACGCAAGGGAAGACACGTTTGGTGGGGCCCAATTGCCCGGGCATCATTGCGCCAGGGCAATGTAAGATTGGTATCATGCCAGGTTTCATCCACAAGAGAGGACGTATTGGTATTGTTTCTCGATCTGGAACTTTGACCTATGAGGCAGTCAACCAGACTACTCAAGCTGGTCTTGGCCAGTCACTAGTTGTAGGGATTGGTGGTGACCCATTTTCCGGAACCAACTTCATTGATTGCTTGAAGGTATTCCTGGAAGACGAGGAGACTGACGGTATCATCATGATCGGTGAGATTGGAGGGTCTGCCGAAGAAGATGCGGCCGAATTCCTGAAGGAGCACAACCGCGGAAACATGCCAGTCGTTAGTTTCATTGCTGGTATCTCTGCACCACCAGGACGGAGAATGGGCCACGCCGGTAAGTCAGCTAAGTCCAATGAGTTATCCGTTTGCTAAAATATAATTAGGCGCCATCGTCAGTGGTGGAAAGGGAGGAGCTGATTCTAAGATCGCAGCACTTGAAGCTGCTGGTGTTATCGTGGAGCGAAGTCCAGCTCAGCTTGGAAAGACATTGCATGCAGAGTTTGTGCGACGGGATATGATTTAAGGGGTCTTTGACTTTTTGTATTAGAGGTGGGAGCGCTGCACATGGAGTGCTATTGCATCCTGTTTTAATGTGTCCGTTGTCAAATACCTTTCCTTGATTCATGTACAGCTAGCAAGCCCTCCTAACCTGTAACTCCGACCCAATGCTCTCATCTCTCGGAGCCTAGATATACAAGATCTCGTGAAAGCAGAGATTAGCATCTTCATATACCTTACATTTGAGAAACCAATCTAAATCTAGTCGGTGTAAAGTGGTATTTCGTGGAGTGGATGAGCTTCTGGCGGTATTAACACTGTAGCCGAGCCCCCCACTGAGCCAGACCACCCCTCGAGACCCATCTGCAACATCAACTTGGACCCTCCAAAATAGCTTCCACCGCCATTGTCCCCTCTCTTTCCATCCTTATCCTCAACCTCGCCCAGAACAAAGATCAAGATGCTCTCCGGCATCCTAATCTTCAACCAAAAAGGCGAGAACCTTATATTCCGGGCATTCCGCAACGACTGCCGCCCGCGCCTCGCCGACGTTTTTCGCATCCAAGTCATCTCCAACGCGCAGGTCCGCTCCCCCATCCTCACCCTCGGCAGCACGACATTCAGTCATGTTAAACACGAAAATATCTACCTGGTGGCCATTACGAAGAGCAATGCTAACGCAGCGCTGGTGTTTGAGTTCCTATACCGGTTGATTGCTCTGGGGAAAGGGTATTTTGGGAAGTTTGATGAGGAGGCCGTGAAGAATAATTTCGTGCTAGTCTATGAGCTCCTGGATGGTTAGTTGCGAATACGTGGTAGTAGATACATAAGGACTGAATGGTTACTGATATGCTCCATAGAAGTTCTAGACTTTGGGTACCCCCAAAACACCGAAACGGATACCCTCAAGATGTATATCACAACTGAAGGCGTCAAGTCAGAACGAACGATGGAAGACTCGGCAAAGATAACGATGCAAGCAACGGGAGCCCTATCATGGCGAAAAGCAGACGTCAAGTACCGCAAGAATGAAGCATTTGTCGATGTTATTGAGGATGTGAATCTCCTGATGTCTGCAACAGGCACCGTGCTCCGCGCTGATGTCAACGGGCAAATAATCATGCGCGCATATCTTTCTGGGACACCGGAATGTAAATTTGGCCTCAATGACCGCCTCCTTCTGGACGGTGACAACCTTTCCTCTCTGCCTTCTGGCAACAGAATGGGGACCAAAGCCACTAAAGCAGCCGCTGGGAGCGTCACCCTTGAGGATTGCCAATTCCACCAATGCGTCAAGCTGGGGAAATTCGATACCGACCGCATTATATCCTTCATCCCGCCAGACGGTGAGTTCGAACTCATGCGCTACAGGGCTACCGAGAACGTGAACCTCCCATTCAAAGTCCATGCTATCGTCAACGAAGTCGGCAAGACAAAAGTCGAATACAGCATCGCCATCCGCGCCAACTACGGCAGCAAGCTCTTTGCTACTAATGTTGTTGTGCGTATCCCGACACCTCTAAATACCGCCCGCATCACGGAGCGGTGTACACAGGGGAAAGCTAAGTACGAACCGAGCGAGAACAATATCGTGTGGAAGATCCCGCGCTTCACGGGCCAGAATGAGTTCGTACTCTACGCCGAGGCGACGCTGACAAGCATGACGAATCAAAAAGCGTGGTCAAGACCTCCGCTAAGCTTAAATTTTGGCTTGTTGATGTTTACCAGTTCGGGGCTGTTGGTGCGGTATTTGAAAGTTTTTGAGAAGAGCAATTATTCTAGCGTGAAATGGGTGCGGTATATGACCAGAGCGGGGTCTTATGAGATACGGTACGTCTTCCTCTCCCTTCTAGTTATCATGAATTCTCAAAGGCCTTGGAGGATGACTTACTGATGCGGCAATATAGGTTTTAAGTTTGCCGGAATCGTTCCGCGAGGGATGGAGTTTCGGTTTCATATAGCAATGGACGGCGCATGGGATGGACTCGGTTGGCATTGCAGGCGTCATGTACCAAACATCTCGAAGTATAAGAAGGAAGAACCGAATTTAGTTCTAGGGTATATCAGAAACTAAACGTACAAGTTACTAGTAGTACATCGCACAATGCATGACAACACAGGTTCTTGCTCTTCCCTGCCATCCATATCCCATTCTACTTACTCCAATATCCCAACACCATAAATCCCAAAACATAAAGCATTCCATCACATCATAGCCTGGTCTTGCCTTGCCTTTGCTTTCCTCAAATATTTAGTACCGGGCTGCCTCGACTCCGCCCCTTTTGGCCCATCGCTGGGACCTCGATGAGAATAACCGCATGTGAATACTGCCACATTAACTCCATATCCTCCTTTTCATCCCCGGTTTCGTCTTCGTCTTCGTCTTCCCCATCTTCCTGCTGTTTTTGACCCATCCGTTTCTTAGCGGAGGAGTGGCTGGGATTTGGGTTGAGTTTTAAGTTCGCCATGGCGATCTCCCATCCATGATCTGAGGATTCGTTGAGATATATGACATTGCGTAGGAGGTGAAGTGGGTAGTGCTTGTTGATGAACTATAGTATAGTTAGTTAAGGTGTGGCCAAGCTGAAAGGGTATGTGGTTATGGCTGGAAAATATATAGGGGAGCGAGCAAAGAGTCCAATAATACTCACGCTTGAAGGGTCAACGCCGACCCTAAAGACACCGCCTTCACCACTCTTCTGGGTTGGTTTGCCCTCTCCTTTCCCCAAATTACCGCCAACAGCACCACCACCATTACCACCAACCATCCTCAACCGGTGCCACTTCATCCCGAGCCTCATTACTTCTCCCTCTTCTTCATCATCTTCATCCTCTCCCTCCTCAACATCCATATCTTCATCATTATCACGATAAATCTTACTAAACAGTCTCTCCTCTTTAACCTGCTGCCACTCGTCCCACGCCTCATCTCCTAGTATAGGCCCAACATAGGTGTTGAGGCCTAGAGTGCGGAACACGCAAAAGACGGTTGCGTCGATGCCAAGAAGGGAGTATGGCATTAAGTTTTGGGTGCTTTTGCTTGTATGCGAATAGCGATGGACGCAATATTGAGCTAAGACACCACCTGTTGAGGAAAGAGGCTTAATGTCAGCTTGACCTCTTTGTATTCTTTACGGGGGAGATGAGAATAATAATAACCTTCTGGTAAGAAATCAGGATTTTCAAGCATTCCCTTCCCTATTTTGAAAAGAGGAGATAATCTCGGGTCCGCAATAGGGTAGCGTTGCATGATCCCCCCGATGGCTTCGGTAATGTAGAGGTTGTAGGTAAGAGTTATAAGGTGCCCGCACGTAATAGGGAGGATAGAGTGAGAAGTGGTGCGTGGGAAAGCTGCCCAGGTGATGGTTGGGTTGATGGAGGAGGTGGGGAATAACGTGCTATGGGTCTTGTTTGTAACAGGATCTTTATGGGTGATGAGCTGGCCGCCACCTAGTGTAATATGTTTAGGGGGTTGTAGGTAATAGAAGGGCAAAAGACATACCTTGGTGGGCATATGGTAAACAAATAACTAGAGTAGCAAAATGTGACCCCCATTTTGGAAGTGTTTCAAACGGCGTTTGTGTGTTGCTGGATGAGCTGAAATATGCCTATGGCTCATATTTAGCTCACATGCATGCTGGATTGTTACTTGATAGGTATTTCCACTTACACTAAGCTCACACAATTCCGCTCGAACACCCCAATGTTCTTTTCTCTCTTTCCAGTTCTGGTTTCCCCCTCCATCCCAGTTACCCTTTCCTCCTGACGGTGAATTATCATTACTACTCGGTGATCCAGCCCTTGGCAGCAGGATCTGTTTGATGGTATCAATGATCCCAAGATCGCTTGGGTGGACATCTACTGAAAGCTTCTCCTTCCCTAACTTTGCGGAACTTCTCCTGCCTCTAACGCGTGTACCTCTACCGGGCTTCTCATCTCCGGATATATCTGGCGTACAGGAGCCAAGCAAGTCCTCTATCTCTACTTTTTTCTTGCCTTTCCCTTTCTCGTCTTCGGGCTCGGGAGGAAAAGTCAATTTGGACACATTGCCAGAGATGGTATCAAAGCGTAAGGTAACTGGTGATGCGGTTATAGGTGCCTTCGAAGGATCTTGTGGGGACCGGGAATTTCGAGAGGAGGAAGTAACGGGGATGTTGCCTCCGCAGCAGTAGTTGGCGAAGGAGGGATATCCTTCAATAGTTGATCGTAACTGATCGAGGAGGCGCTCAGATATTCCTTTGCTCGGGTCCGACGTGATACGACGAGGTGTCGAAGGGGAGAGTGCAGAGGGTGTAGCAACGTCCGAGTCAGGGTCGGAATCGGAATCGGAATCGGAGTCATGATGGGAGGGCGTAGATATCCTAATTGGGTGGTTGAGAGTTTGTGGCGGCGGTGGAGGAGGCATATGGGCCATTTTGAAGGCATGAAAGATGTACCGGTAATAGGTCAGAGTACTTGGTAAGACTTAAGTTCACGCTGAACAAACCAAAAGTACAATACCAATACAACACGGCACAACTAGACTACTAGATAAGAAAATTATCTTTTGCTTGGGAAGGAGTGGAAACTATATATGCTATTCTAAGAGACTTCATTCAACTGGAATTAGCTAAGCAGGTAATTAGGCAGGCCCGTTCCAGGGCTAGGAATTGTACCACCCACGCAACTTGTGGGATGGATTGATGCAGCGCTGGTCAATAATAATTTCCTGCTGAAGGAGACAAGGATGGGGCAGTGCCTCCTGCCTGGAGTACTACCAGGGGTAGTCACGTGCACGGCCTGAAATAGGTAGGCAAGTATTCTGGTTAGACCGCACTATTTCTGGCCAGGTTTGATCACTAGATCCCCATCCCATAGTCATTAAATTAAGGTTCTGAATCTGTAAGATAAGGTGTGCGCGATTGTCGCAGCCACAAGAGGGAGGGGGCTGTGAGACGAGGTGAATCCATCCTTTGGCCGACATGGGTCTGACGAGGATCATAACACCACACAGGATCTTGCTGAATCCACCCGGAAAAGTAAGACTGGACACAATTGCAATTTATCGAAGTATGCAATCTTTACCAAAGTTGAAAAATGTAGAGAAAATATTAGCGATATGATAAGTGAAACGATAGCACCCCATGGCCAATGAGATAATTGCCGAGCATCTTCCGGGAGTTAAGACACTAACTATTAGCTACTTCGTTGCGAGACATCCCCATTCTTCAAACCCCTTGCATTCCTGGCAATAGGCATTCTTATCAATGAGACAATTAATTAATTCGTAACTATATATTATGATCTCCTGAGCCGGAGAAAGCTCTCTTGTTTTGTGAATTGGAGGACAAGCGACTTCGCCATATAAGCAAGCCTCTGTTTTGCCCTCGCCTCAATGGTAACACTACCATAGCGATGCAACAATATACAAATAAGGTCTTCATTACTTTCATCGGGGTACTCGGATTTCTGTTCTGCCTGGCCATATGCATCTGGGTCCACCGTCTTTGGACTGCCCGACGATATTATCTATTGGACTTCGAGAGACTTTCGGCAGAGGCCAAGGCATTCAATGAAGAGACGACCAGAATCACAAGAAATGCGGATCAAGACGGCGGCGCGGAATGGGCGACAATACCCGCAAATATAGAAATGATATGCATGGCTAATGACTATGATGCTAGCATCAGGATCGCACTCGCTGCCTGGGATGATATCATACGTCTGGAATTGGAGGAGGACTGGGACGAATCGAACGGAGACAAAATGCTCAAGCGGCGTAGGAGGAACCACAGCCTATATGTGATCAAACTCATGAGGAATAAAGCCATCGAGGGCGTGAGATGCAGGAAAAAACTAAGCGGGCAGCTACAGAAGATAGATAGCGGAGCCATGTTGCGGTACGAGCCACTGCCTTCACTACCGCTTCCAAACTCTCTCCTTGGGGTAGAATATCATCACATACTCACAAACCACGCCAGAACGCCGGACGACAACCGGATCATGCCTGGAAGCACCATTATCGTAAGCCAACAGAAGCCCATGGCATACTAGGCACCTTAGACTGATCATAGCAGGGCAAGGAAGGTCGAGGCTCATCGGCTCCAGAATATTCCCAATCAGCTCGTAAAAACGCCGGCACTCTATCGTCCCCAGACGTGTGAATTAACTAGCACCATGGTTGGCTGTTGGGCGCTTAAGCTGGCGGGCATTTCAGGACAGAGATGCGAACCCGGGGAGGCCGGTGCAATGTGTATCGGGCAGCTGGACTGCATAGGGAGCAATATGTGGACGTGGATAGCAGAGGCATGATACGTGTACCCAGCAGTGGTTGGATTGCTATGCAGGCAGTCAGTCTTTCAATGCCTAGAGCTAGAAATTAAAGGGCTTGTTTCCAGTCGAGTCGAGTATTTTCTCCGTGTCATGGTGTTGACGTTGCGGCAGGGCGGAAATCTAGCTTGGGATTGGGATCTCGGGGTTGCACTGGGCGCCTGAGGCCGCGACGCATGCCAGGAGTCAAGATACGAGGCCGCAGGGACTCCTAATTTGGCGAGCCGAAAAGGGGCAGGGGACAATTGTCGGGCTCCGGTTCTACGACAGAGTACGAAGTACGAGTACCCAGGTCCCAGGTCCCAGGGAGGTAGGTCAGCTCCCTGCTTCGCCGGCGACACCGGCGCCTTGGGATCTTGCGCTCGGTTGGGGAGGAGACGCAGGTACAAACTAGGGACCTAGGCAGGCAGGTAGGTCCTCATATACGCCCAAGTATGTAGAGGCTTAAAATCGACGACAAACAATAATAATATCACGTGATGGATGCCGGCGCTAAGCGAGCTGCAACTGCAACTGGAGTGTCCGTGTCCTCCGGGCATCTTCTGTATCGCCCCGCGATTTCAACTTCATCCTCACTCATCGTCAGTCTGACGGCAACCCAATTATCCCATCGCCAACAACTCAGAAATTCATCTTAATGCCCATTCTTAGAGGATTTGTTCCTACGGTTTGCCCGTCAGCCCCCATCCATATCTCACCAAGCAAGAAAGCCCCGGTGGAGTGCCGTAGGGAAGAAGTAGACGTGATCTCCGATGCGGCCGAATCCAATGGCCTTATCTCCATATCAACGCAGCTCTCACAGAATGCATGCCGGAGGTTGCCGACCACAGCAAGCCGAAAGAAATTTGATTCTCAATACGCAATGATCTTGGTTAATTGCCATTTCGTCCAAGTGGTTGCCTGAGGGCAGTGTTGATCCTCCCGACGAATCCTTCCACCACGAACGCCGTGACGTCTGGTCAGCCCTCCACCCAACTGCCGATTCTTGGTCATTTGGCCCCCATCTGCTTAGCATGTGGATCTGCGTCAATTCAAAACGTCCTCAGAGTGCTAGAAAATCTCTGCTCGAAATGACCATTTTGAACCCGGGCACCCCGAAGCTTGGTCGTGTTCCCCCGAAGTAACACTATGGGCCGCAGATATAAAATTATTTTCTCCTCCACTGCTTCATTATGCGGCAAGGCCGATCTAGCCAATTACTTGTGGAACTCGACGGATTCATCGTAGATGTAATTGCCCAATGGTGGGGGCCCTGGCGACGTGTTTGCTCTCCAGCTTGCCATCGGCAACGCCTGCAAGTGTAGCACTATATTTGATATGCTATTTCAGCCGAAGAGTAATCAACAGCTTCTCTCTGCATTGGGGATTATTGTCGAATTTGCATTCAATTTTTCTGCAGACCTCCTTGGCACAATTTTAATGTTCTCCATACGAGCATAACCCCAGATATTCCAAGACAGCAAGCAATGTTATGTTGGAGGTGCCTTGAAGTGAAATCCTCCAAGCGGATGCGTTTGAGACACTAGAACGCTATTTTCCGTATCGCGAGATGACGGACTCACCCCCGAATTGATCTTAATCGTGGCTGAGGAAGATTCCTCCTGAGGAGTGGAGCATTACAGACACCTGAAACAGGCGCTTAACGCAGTACTCTCTCTGGTTCTACCCAACCTCATTTCACACTTTCTGGGCGCCATAGGCGCCCTTAATTGAATGTATACCTATCGTCGATCTACTGATGACGTTGAATTTGAAGATAGATCCACAGCCTCGTTGCTGTGCCGATGGTAGGCATAACTTGCGCCGCATGGCAAGGCATTTAACTTTTCTATATAAAACCACCTCTTAGAAACCTCCATGAGATGTCTGCCTCACAGGGCCGGGTCCCGGCCTTCTTTCGATATGTTTTTGTTTCGCATCCCACCAGGATGGGTCTAGTGCACTTGATTAAGGAGGGATGGCTGAATATCCAACCGGTGGGGTTGAAGTTTAGGTGGATATCAGGGTCAAGATTATGAATACCCTCATAAATAGCAGTACAGAGTTATCCACCTGCACAAGGTTTCAGTCTCTTGTTGTGTTTACAATATATCACCAAGGAAATCTGGCCACCAGCTACGCCTCTCTTTTCTGTTCCAAACTGCTATCCGCTTAGGAGTGAATTTCTAAAACTGTACTCTACGTATTTTAGTAAATAGCCAACACCTGCGAGCTGTCGCTCATCGCTGAGGCGAGACACATATAACTGTGTGTGTTAGGAGTCTTGGGAAATATCCCGCATACCATAAGGATCCACCAAATTTTGACACGCTGCTTGAAAAGTACATGAAGTTTCAGTCAAAATTTCCCTTGCTTTCTTCTATCAAGAACCCGTTTTATAGTAAATACGTATCTGCTACACTTGGGATATATGTGCTGTTGGCCGCGACCTACTTCATCTGGAAAACGCACCCTGTTCCCCTGATCTGGATAGACGGTATGATTGAAGGTAACAAACCCACAATGAGCTTAAGAATAAACGTAAAACATAACTCTATATCCCTAACAATCCCAAACTCAATGGGGCTATAATATCAAACACGCCCTAACCACACTCATATGGCCCTATTTAACTATTGTTAATTCCATGTATTATTACACTCCAGTATAGTATAGATTTAGCAATATTAGGCACAGATGCAATATGGATTGTGCAGCACATCCGGATGATAAAGGAGCTAGGTTTGACAGGATAGGACAAACTAAGAGATTGTAAAATGATTGTGTGTTGTACTGTGTATCAGTGTTCAAGTTATGGTGCAGCTAATAGGGACGTTCCTTTCGCTGGTCAAATACACAACTCGATAGTGTGCTGTATACATCCTTTGCAGGTGGAATTGGCTACCCCCTACATATGCACTGTTCGCATAACTCTAATCCGTTGTAACATGGCTTACTTTCTGGTGATAACGGTTTGGGTGAACATATATAAGGTAGTAGCTCATAACAGGAAACCGCTCTGGCAATGGCCTTAAGCCACCTAAAATATCAGATACAATGTCCGCTAGTGGAGTCTTACGCTCTAGCGGCGTACTTACAATCGTTCAGATTTAAGTTTCGGAAGGACAATATGGAGCACCATGTTTATAGAGAACTGGACTGTTATCACAACAAAGCACTAAATCACCATAGCAATATTTCTGCTGAAATTCCATCACCCAATGTTCATGCATTATGGTCTCTAGAATACAACACTGCGAATAGAAGCACCGTGGTATGCTCTAACCATCTCTCACGGAGATCCTTCCCTACAAATACAGTCCCTCGGGCTCGCCTTCGGTCTTCGTCTTCATGACACGCTCTCTGGCAGCTCGGAAATCCGCCATTTGCACACGCATGCGCCGCTCTCTTAGGGCCAATAAACCAGCTTCGGAACAAATCGCCTTGATATCAGCCCCCGACAGGTCATCCTTCTGGTTGATAAATTCCTCCAGGTCAACGTCCTCATTCAGCGACATCTTCGATGTATGAAGAGTGAAGATCTTGCGTTTGGTGACTTGATCGGGGTTTTCGAAGAGGATTTTTCGGTCGATACGTCCAGGACGGATCAAAGCAGGATCAAGGGTATCGATCTTATTTGTTGCCATAATGACCTTAACATCTCCACGGTCGTCGAAGCCGTCAAGCTGGTTTAGAAGCTCCAGCATAGTACGTTGGATCTCTCTCTCCCCTCCAGATGTCGATTCGTATCGCTTTGTCCCGATAGCATCGATTTCGTCGATGAAGATGATTGAGGGCGCATTTTCAGTAGCGACCTAAAGACTAATTAGCACATATTCTGCCCTTCCAGCCGGATTCCACATACCTGGAAAAGCTGTCGAACAAGTCGCGGCCCGTCACCCAAATACTTTTGGATTAGCTCACTTCCGACAATTCGCAAAAATGTTGCGCTTGTCTGGTTGGCAACGGCCTTTGCCAACAGAGTCTTCCCCGTCCCGGGTGCACCATAGAGGATAACACCCTTTGGTGGCTTGATACCCATCTCCTCGTAAAGCTCTGGGTGAAGAAGCGGTAATTCCACTGACTCTCGAACTTCCTGGATCTGGTTTTCCAAGCCTCCAATGTCTGCGTAAGACTCCGTCGGGGCTTTGTCTAGCTTCATGACAGTGACCAAGGGGTCCGCATCATCAGTGAGAACACCAACAATAGAGACTGATTTATGATGTAGCAAGACGCTTGCACCGGGCTCTAGAAGATCCTTATCGACGAAAGACATGATGGAGACATAGTATTCAGGCCCAGTGGTGCTTGAAACGATGGCATGGTCATCATCAATCATTTCCTCCAATGTACCGACCCCCATCGGGCTCCCACGCATATCATCCACACGCCCTCGCTCGTCCGCATTCCGGTCAAGAGCATCAGGATCGCCCGCAGTAGATGGGGCACCGCCTTCCTTTGCCGTTTTTGCCTTTCGGAGACGTTCCTGGTTCTCGACATATTCTTCTTCAAGGAGGAGGTGGTCGTGGATTCGTTGCATTCGCAAGTACCTTAGCTTACAGCGGGAGGTTGGATAGACGGTGGGTAGCTTTGCTGCCGCATTTGGGCCGGCAGCCTTGCGCTTCTTCCGGCCGATTCGAGTGGTTGGCCGTGGAGGTGGTTCGTACTTGGGCTTCTCCTTCTATCCATCGCCAGGACGGTTAGCATACATGAATACAGTGGCGACGAGACAGCACAGCTGCCACTACACAACTATGTATGGGTGTATCATGTACCTTCTTATCTTTATCGTCCTTATTGTCGCCTTGTCCAGCTCCTCCGAGCCCGGATGGTTGTTGTCCCTGGTGGCAATGTCAGGACGGGGTTGCATACTCCCGGGACTCAACAAGCTCACCATTTTACTTCCAGCAAGGTATTCACGCTTCAGACAGAATGCTCAATAAGAGACTGTATTGATAGAGGCTTGATCAAGGCGTGCGCAGTTGGCCGCCCGGATGATGTTCAGTGTTGTTGTTGATGGGAGCTGGGAGTGGTTTGTCAGGAGGAGGGAGCTCTGGACGGTTGATGATACCTGGTTACTAGTACGAGCTTTCGTTGCAGGCGACAACGACGCGCGCGAGCAAGGGCAGGTTAAAGCCTCAGGCGCACATCATCGGCAAGGCACCAACTTCTGAAGCGCCGCACAAAGGTGCACGGACCATTCCAGCGCTGGTACTTCGGTACTTGCACGGCCAGTGATCCCAACTCCTGTTCTGCAGCCTCGAACCAGCCATATTATGACTGGAACACGTCTGTTGTCTGCGAACAACACCACTATCACAAGATCTTTCCTTTCCTCACCTGGTTCAAGGCCACCTTCTGCTTATCTCCCATAAAGATATATATTTTTTCTCCTTTTCTAACGGCCACCACGCTCCAATCCTAAGTCAATACAGGAAGCCGTGATACCCCTCCAACGAGCTCCCCCCGCCACATAGCCAAGACTACCTGGTGAGTGCTTTGCCAGCTCATAATACAGTGCGACGGTGCTATACTCGGGCTTCCAAATACTCCTACTGGAAGCCTTCATTCAGCGCACACTTTCGAAAGCTGTGCTAATCTTCATGTAGTTCAGGCCGCCCGAGCCCCCCGAGAGTAAATCACTACTCAGCTTACCGCCTACCGAACTTCTGCGGACCATCATGACTTCCAACCGCCTCCGAAGAATCGCCAAGGAGCTCGCTGATATCCAGAATGACACAGTCTCTAAGATATTCTGTGAACCATCAAATGGATCGGATCTGTCGCACTTGTTGGCTACCTTTCCTGGTCCTCCCGACACCCCGTATGAAGGGGGAACGTACATTGTGGACATTAAGATCCCGGACGAGTACCCCTTTAAGCCTCCTATTATGTACTTCACCACCAAACTCTGGCACCCAAATGTCAGCAGTCAAACTGTACGTACTCTCCTATCCCTCTGATTTGATTTTATAAGGTAACAATAACATAGGGTGCCATCTGCCTGGATACTCTCGGCTCAGCCTGGACTCCAATCATCACTATAAAATCCGCCCTCATCTCTCTCCAATCCCTCCTGGCCACGCCCGAGCCGAAAGATCCCCAAGATGCCGAGGTGGCCAGCATGCTGATGAACCACCCCGAACAGTTCCAGCGGAAAGCGCGAGAGTGGGCAATTCAACACGCTGCAGCTCCTCCTCATACCAGCTGGGATGTCCAAGCCGCAAAATCACTTGGGCCATCGAAGCTGAAATCACAAAAGCTGCTCTCTCGTGAAGAGGAAATGAGAAAATACCATGGCTATAATAAGGATCTGATTGATCGCTTCGTCAATATGGGGTTCGATATTGACCGCGTAGTTGAGGCTTTCGAGTTTGTCCACATCGACAAGAACAACGGGGATGACTACGAGCTCGAGGAAGCGTATATGGGCGATATCACTGCGAGATTGTTGGGTGAGCCATGAGTTCGACCCATCGACCCGTCGACAGTCGATTGAGAAGATTATATTCGGAAGAATATCTGATTAGTATGGAAGGATATTGCATTGGAGGGCAAACACCTAGTTGGCGTTCTCGAGCTGCTCTTCCGCTGGGGTTTATCTGGTCGCATTAGCTGCATCGCATATATGGTAGGGGTGTCGGGCGTTTACTACTTGCTCTCTAACAAGACCGTTTAGATATGATCACACCTCTCAATCGTGACTATCCATGGCATTGCTCGGGTCTCATTATCTTTCACCCATATCTTGCCTACTTCCGCATCAGAGCCCTCTGCCATTGTTATATTCGCCATTGTTATATTTGCATTGTTATATTTGTCATTATTATATTTTCCATTGTTAAACCTTTGACCCCTTTGTATTCCGATAGCGATGAATTTGATATCCCCAAAACGTAAGATTTCCAATAAGCCATACCGGACAACAGTGAGATGAAACGGCAATTAAAACTAGCTCGGGTGAATACTCTTTACTCGACCATGATGAGTTCGAGGACAAGTGCATGTTCTGCTGCGACAGACCATAGGTGGAATCATCAACGAACCTAAACTTATCAAAAGATTTGTATTCCTTTGCTCTTGCAACTCTCCCTCCAAAAATTCTAAACAGTAGCTAAGCTCTCGCTCATCCACGGCCTCATGTGATGCCTCCACATCTCAGCTTCCCTTCCTTGGCCTAAATTTGTTTTGACTTATTCACCGCGCTGAATTTACAAGTTCCACAAATCGATGTTTTGTTGTAAGCAAACGGTTGTTAACCACAACAACGACAACTACAACTCCATAACTTCCAAACTTCAACAGCAACGCACCTCCAAAAAACAACAAACACTCAAAGACCTAAGAATCCAAAATACCACAGACAATTGATCGTTGCACCACTTGCAAAAAGGAGCAGCAATGGACATCGCATTTATCATGACTCGGCTCGAAAACGAGACCTTGCCTACGGCGACCAGTGCAGTGCCTAAGCCTACCTCCTGTTGCGTCTCCAGTACGTCTTATCAACCCCTAATCACCTCTCGTGCGCTAACTTCCACTCTAGCACTTGATAAAGCGACTAAAAAGCACAACGAAGAAGCAACGAAAACAAAGCGGGATGGGAAGTTTGATTTGAGCGAGATACAGAAATTACTTATGGTTCACTTGTGAAGCTCCCATGCTGCAATTGGGGAGGATAGCATGGAGTGGGGAAGATAGTGCTCCGTAACGTGGTTGTTCGGGAGAAGGGCGCTAGATCGGGGGTGGGGAAGTGGAGATTTCGTGAGGCGCTCTCATGTTGGTTCTAGGTCAATTACTTAGATAAGTTATCACATATACTTCCCTGGCGAGCGTGCAATGGATTCTTAATTGAATAATAAAAAATAAATATAGGGAATATCTTCTGGGCGAGAGTGCCGAGTGATGCTGTTATAGGATTTGGCTCAGAGCTTCCTCGCGACTGAAATTCGTGTTTCGCCATCGGGAGATGTAATCATCGTGATTTACTTTGCAACTTGTTAGCATATACCTAGTAATCTATGGGAAATTGGGGGCTTACCGTATCCACCGCAAATTCTTCGCTTCCCTGTGAAGGCAGACCGACCATGGAGAACCCGCCAATTATCGAAAACTGCAGAAGCATGTGATATCAGTATGCTGGAAGAATTAGGGCAGAAAGGGAGGCCATACTCAGAGGGCGCCCTGGCTCCAACTGAGCCCAATACTCTATGTCCTTCCTATTCAGGATATCGTTCCATTTTCTGGCTGCTGCGTACCACTTAGGGGAGAGGATCGGATGAATCGGGCCTCTATCGTCGTTATTCCACCTCACTTGAATCAAATGTGATTTTTTACTATCATCCCATCGACTAGGTGCCTCTATATTGAAGACGGGAAATTTCATCGCCGGTGTTATGGTAATGCCTTCATTGCCACTAGCGTGCCAGGTGATGGGCCTTCTAGATAGCACTTTATAGGAATCCGGATCTTCTTTTTCTAAGGTCCGAGCTGCATGGAAGCCATCGACGAGGAGAGACTCGCCACCTGATCCTTCTTCGTGGGAGAGGAGATGGAACATTTGGAGACCAGCCGGATCAGTGAAATATGTTGTGTCAGTATGTGCTGGGAGGGCGAGCGTTGTATAAGCAGTATCTTTCATGGTGAGATCTGCTGTAAAGTCATAGAAACCACCTATGGATGTAAGTTGCCAGTTTGAAAATCAAGATGGGATAGGTACCATAATGCGTTACCCGGATAAAGGCGATCCGCTCGAGTAGCTGCTGCGTCTTCTCTGGCGAGACAGGACAGCCATCTACGTAGCAGAATCCATATCGGCGCTGGAGGATGTTAGTTGGTGATCTTCTGGAGTAGGTTCTCTTACAATTTTGTCCGTCCAGGTGCCAACACCGGCATCACCAGCCATAATTTCGTCATAGTGTACGGATGGGGGATTTGATTTGATTTCTGCTCCCCAATAGATACGGCTGAATTTGTTAGCAACAAAAAGTTTCCTGGTTTTTCGTTTGCTAAACTCACGGATCTTCACTCATCGAGATTGGCTTCTCATTCTCGTCACAAACAGTCGCTGATTTGGGGATGTATTTTAAGATCCAATCCCAGGGGTAAAGGCTGCTATGCTTATCATGGCTCCCTAAAGAATGAGCAATAGCACTACCGTTCTTTGAACATGTAATACTTACATTCTACACGTAAGCCTCTTGCCTCTGTGACTACTTTGTTTGGTCGGACCTTTTCAGGAATCTAGTCACTGTCAGAGCCATGATCATCCAGTTTCAGCAAAATAACACGCTCAGTACCATACCGCAAAAGTATCAAATGCCCTTTGCATGGTATCTTGATTCACACACTTATTACAACGGCAATTGTCCCTGAGCAGGGAGATATGCGTCAGAAAGTCACATGATTACTCTGAAATGGATCGTTTTAGGTTCAAAGCACTGCACTAACCTCAGCCACATATGAGGACTATAATATAAAATCAGTATCCGAATTGTCGTCTCAAAAAACCAAAACAAAGCAAAGGCCATTTCTTACAGAAATATCGTCGAGTAGTGGCCGTCCACAGTCCGCAGCTTCAACGGAATCTGATGGTTATCCCAGACACCCATGCTATCTTTTTCGTTGTTACGTGGCATGTGGCGAGGAATGGTACCATTAACTTTATAGATGCCCGATAGAAAAGGATCTATATTTGGAGGCCACGATCCAAGGGCCTCATCACCTATGGGCGCCTCGGATTCCGGATGCGGCGCATTATTTTCAGTTCCTGGCTTCAGAATTCGTGTAGTATATGGGGAACGTGTTTTTTTCCAGTTATTTTTGAACCGTGGTTGGGAATCCGGGCCTGACCCATTTGCTGTTGGTAGAGGCGACGGTGCATTATTGCCCGAGTTTGAGGGCTCAGCAATATCAGCACCAGAAGCTTCCGTCACTACAGAGCGTTTGATAGCGTTAAATAGCGGTGTGCGTGAACGGCATCGCCACAAACGTTGGATTTGGATATTCATGGCGGCACTGGCAGAGGAAGGTTGCGGTGTAGTGCTGGAAGGTTGGTGTCTATGGCTTGTGATCGAGCGACCTTTAAGTTAGCCAAACCCTTGTCCGTTATCGCTTAATACGAGTGCGGCTAGTGATACGAGCACATGGGCACCATAAATGTCGGTCTGCGCGGTATACTAATAAATAGGTAGGGAGGGCATTCACCGTGACGTACTGTTCCTTAGTGATAAGCCTGTATATCTGATTGTATTCTAGGGGGATTATCATATAATCGTCTCGACAACCCCCATCCGACGGGAAGATAGTTAGTGGCCTTGGTGCCTTAGGCTGAACCGTCCTGCATCTTCGTTGATCATCTCACCTTCCGATGTCAATAATCCAGAGCTACTCCGTACTGCGTATTCGCCCCGCATCTGCCCCGCATTGTTCAAGTACGATGCAATCACTCGATACCCTCCCGCCGGAGATCCTCCTATACATAGCACGATTCACCGGGAGTGATTATCTTCGTGCTCACGTTGATAGACTCCTCGTGTGCAAAGGTTTCCATCTCCCTCAAATTCAAGTCAACATATCAACTTCAAGCTAACAGTACTCATACTACTTCCTAGGTACCAGGTTGCACAGTTCGTGGCTTTTGAGAACCTCGCGCTATCGACCGAATCCCTCCAACGCTTCCTAGCCGCCCCAAAACGGTCTCATCTCCGCGTTTTAGCAAGTGTTAGAACGTTATCAATTGAGGGCAGGAACTACGACGATTATAACTCCCCCATCGACGCAGCGACCGATCCCGATCCTCTGGTACTAGAATCCGAGGCTGAAAATGACCATCACCGCGCACAGATAGAAGCTTGGAGAATGATGGGGCTGATAGGAAACTGCGTGTTTCTCGACCTCCAAACCTGCGGAAGCTTGGTGTCCTTGGCTGGATATCTTCGTCATATGGCCGAGCTCAAAGCCTTCCGACTCAAAGTATCCATGAAGTCGCCATTGAATGAGTGGGTCGATAAACTGCTCACCCCAGCCATAGTATCCGTCATCAATTCCCTTCCCAGGTCCATCACCAGCCTTACGATAGACAATCCGTGGGAACAGTCCGGTTTTAGACACGGCCCAGATGACTACCATCAAATCTGCTGTCTGGTATTGTCCCCAGATTTTTTACCTTCCCTGCGTCATCTGCGACTTCGCCTGCGTAGTATTTGCCCAAGGATCTTCGAGATGAACGATTCTGCAAAGCACCCCTACCTTGAAACGTTCATTATAAACCTCAGCCGCAAGGAGCCAGCACTGCATCAGGCTGAAGGTCAACAATCAGAGTGCTGTCTTGAGTTTGGTACTATAAAAAGAACACCTTTCCCCGAATTGTTGGATGCTGCAGAAGCTACCATGGTTCGCCTGCCTGCTATAAGAACTTTTAGAATTCTTCGCTGTATATTCCCAATGTTGCAAGTTGCTGCTCATGACATCCTTACGAACAGACAGGCTCTGTTACCGGAGAATGCTCGTTGGAACGATCTAGATTGGATTGGTGATGAGTTCACAGATATCGATGTTCATGATCAGTCAGACGTGGATTTGTTTGATGATTCGGACTTTGATGCTCCTTGGATCAGTCTAGAGGCTGAAACTGCTCTGTAATTATTCAAGGCGGGAAGAACACAGAAGATATTCTATAGGCGTCACATTATTGTTCTTCAGTCCTATCTTTACGACCATACAAGTTGATTTGGAAGATAAGTGTGTTTGTCTAGTGATTCAGAGCGACAATTCAATTCTAGCTACTATAATGAGTGTGCGGTATACATGTGACGAAAAAATGACCTTAACCAGCACATCCTTCATCCTTCATTGTTATCATATGTTCTCTTCCATCTATGTTGATGATTCAATGCCTCTGTCCCGAATACCGTCCATCGTCATTGATAGTGCGCGAGAGGAAGGCACAAGGTGGATTGAGCGTTACTACTGCCCGTTAGTGAATTTCCTGGCTATATTTCTCGTTCAACGCTGGCTGACCAATTGTAACTCTCAATTTGGCACATTGCAATCGGAGTTGGCGCAGTCACAAGGAGGGACGGCTTCGAGTTGCGAGTGGCAGTCCCAACACTCGGGGAATGTGGTCATTTTTTTGATAGGCCTGTCGACATTTCTTGAGTTGGAATCGGTTGGGTTGGCATTGCTTGGGTTGTTTGAGTTGACGTTGGATTGGTTGGCATTGCTGCCACTGGTAGTTGTTTGGTTTGGCATACTGATTATGGTGCGATCAATAAATAGAAGGTGGTGGTGTTGGAGAGTGAATGGTTCGTCCTGGCTAGTGATAATAATTCTCGAGGTCTGTATGGAAAGTTCCGAGGGTATGAACCTTTGACTCTCGTAGTTGGATGCTTATCTTACGCTATACCCCCACTCAAAGTGGCTTTGTTTGGGCTGCTGTGAACTCTCAAACTTGGGCAAAGCTGCAAACGCAATTCTCTTCGTCGGGCCATTTCATACTCTTGTGTAGGCTATATAGAGGGGTAGAAGCCAATAGCCAATGCAAAGCTGCAAACGCAATTCTCTTCGTTGAGCTATTTCACTCTCGTGTAGGCCATACAGAGGGGCAGGCGCCAATAGCAGATGATGGCCAAGTGCTCTGGCGAACGGAAATAAAGAGTTGCCCGTTGGCCAACGGGTAGGTGAAAAGTAAGTTGGCATGCAGCGCGGGAGTGCAGCCCTACCAGATGGAAGGGTTTGGACAACTGTGGCCAATACACCATAAAGTGTGGAGCCAGAGAAAACAACAAATGAATGCCGGCAGGCGCAGAGGCTCAGCCAGACCGAGCGATTTTGTTTCGGTTTTATAGAGTATTACAGTGGTTTCAGGACTTTTTGTTTATTTTGTAGCACCTCGAGGTAGGCAAGTACAGCCTAGCGCATTACGCTAGAAGCTCTTTATTGAGCTCTTTATTAGAATGTAGACATATGACTGGGGCATCCTTCAACGTTTTCTTGGAGATTGATTCTACAAACAGTTTCTCTTCTCTTCTCTTATTTTCTAACTGCTACGTATATCTATCCAAGGCCCTATTCCGACCCAGACTTTCCAACCCCGTGTCCAAAAGTGCGATTCTCCATCTGAATTGTTCCGATCGCTCTTTCTTGCACCACGTTCTAAAACGGTGTTAATGAACGGATATGGCACCATCAGATTCATGGACATCATACCAAAACATGAGTTGCGATAGCGAACAGGCACGAAAAATTCAACAGCTTCTGCTTACCGCAAACTTTCCGTTTTTGTGCACTACAGCAGTGCAACTTCGTTCCACATTGGCTGAAGCGCCTCAAGCAATTGGCCAAACGCTTACGTGCTCAATCGACTCCACCAAGTTTGCCAGTGGCATGAACAACGTCGTAGTTGAGCTCAGATTCTCAGATTCGGAATACTGGATTGCCAGAATCCGACTTCCTACCAATCCCATTCACGACGCAGCCGTCGAGGCTTCCATTCGAAGTGAGATCACCACGATAAATCTGGTGAGCTCTCGTACTTCCATTCCAATTCCCAAAGTCTACGGCTCCGACGTTTCCACCACAAATCCTTTCGGCTTCCGCTATATCTTGATGGAGGCTCTCCCTGGCCACGTTCCCGATTCATCCTTCGCGAAAACAGTGCCACAGAGTAAGTGGGACAAGGTCGCTGAGCAGTTTGCCGACTACTATTTCCAACTCAGTAATCTCCGATTCGACCACATCGGCAGCCTATCCAGCGGCCTCGACACCGCTGACGAGCTCTCTATCGCACCTTATAACGGCAGTGGACCCTTCTCTACCTCACTTGAATACTTCCACAACACTCGCAAGAAACAAACCCGCGCGATCAAATCCGCACACGGCAACGACGAACAATGGTCCACAGCTGCTTGGATCCTTGAACAAGCACTTCCAGCAATGGTCGTGGAAGAATATGTGCGTGGGCCATTCCCGCTTTGCCACATGGACCTACATTACGGTAATATCCTCGTTGACGACGACTATAACATTACGGGTATAATCGACTGGAGCGATGCACAAACTGTCCCGCTGGAACGTTTCATCATCACTCCGGAATTCGCGATGTTTCCGGGTCTTTCGGACGAGAAGAGTGCTCCTTCCATTGCGTTCAGAGAGAAATTCGCTGCGGTGCTGAGAACGAAGGAATTGGCTGCACGGATGATTCCCGATGGGCCACCGCCAATAGCAGATATGCTTGGCACACCGCTGTGGGAGATTGTGTATCGGTGCACGTATAGTTATCACTGGAGGGCGTTGACAGACTCTAGATTGGTGTTGCGGCAGATGTACGGGGAGGATGCGAAGTTTGAGGATTTCATGACTTTTTATAAGAATGGACCTGTCAACTTTAAGGGTGCAAAGCCAATTAGTGGGCGTTTGAGGATGTGAAGCTGGAGGAATGGGTTGTCTAATGTGTATTGCTCTTTCAATTAGCTGGTGCGGAGTAGTTGTACTGACTTGGAAAATTATTAAGGAGACGTGCGAAGGAGGACTGATTATCTCAGTGCTAGTTAAGGGCAAGTTCTAGATCGAGTTAAGCTAGAATTCACATTAACGCTTGCGGCAACTGAAAATATTATTGAATACAAGGAAACTAATATGTCTTTATATAACCACATAATTTATTAATTCCCAGCGGCTAAGCCGAAAGGGCAACTATTACTAGTCTACAAGCATAATTCACAAAGATATGTCTTAACCCCCTTAAAACCGTTATACTTTATTCTTTTTAAAGAAGAAACTAGAAAAGAAGGTATAAAGTTGTAACAATAAAAGGAATTCTTATTTTATACACAGCCAGCCTATAGGGGCTAAGGTCTTGCCTGGCCCACAGGAATTGAAACCTTCAGGTTGCGTCGACGCCAACCTCGCCTCTATCTCATGCTCCACCCTCCTCGTCCACGCAAGAGAAAGTATGGACTTGTAATACTCCAACAGTCCTGGCATAAACTGGACGTCTTGAATGTAGTACAGCCTAATAGCGTCAGGCAAAGGGCGGGTGTTGAAAATCTCGAAGCTCCCTCCAGATTCGGGTACGAAAAGCCTCCTGCCGCTCTCCTTGATCTGCCTCCATGTTTCCCTGTAGGAACTAGGGAGCGAGGAATCATTTTCGATGCACTTCTTGAGCCCACTAAGCCATTTCCTGGTATCTGAGCCTAAAAACTTTCGTGATGCTACTTCCATTAATTGTATGTCTTGTATACCAGCAAGCCGAATACCATAAAGGCCAAATAAAGCGTCCGAATCGTTGCGCACGTCGAAGAATACCTTCAGGATTTGTTTAGACTCTAGAATGTCTTTTAAAGTCGTGCCTGCCCTGCCAGGGTTGTAAAATGCGTTGCGGTCAAGGGTATGGATATCGATGAGGTAGATCTTGTTTAATGGATGAACTAGCATTTGCATGATGGAGATGGTACTATGCCGGGATAGATTGACACCTTCCAGATCGACATATAATGATATGTTTGGCCTGTTGGTGAGACCGTCAATGAGGTTTATCATGGCTGCATGTGTGTCGATAAAAGTACTGTCAGTCGCTGAGGCTCTACGGTCCATTTCTGAAATGCTAAAGCTTTGTGGCATTTCAGGCCGCCGATTAGGAGAGTAGTGATAACCAGTAGAGGAAAGGTTAGACCGAGATAAAGAGCTTGCATTTTAATACGAGAGTCGAGATCAACATACGAGGAAGATGAGGAAGGTGCTGAAGGGGAGAGGGGGGGGGACTTCATGAGATACATAGACAGGAGGCAACTTAAGAGATCAGATATAAAACACACAACAGGCTGTGGCCATCGAACATACATAACCCTATTCGGTTCTCACAAATATTCGCCCAGGACCACTTGCTACCCCTAGTCTCTTCCATCGCAACTATAAAACAATAGGAGGTTTCGGTTACCCCAATGTTTTACTTTATTAATAAAGGGATCGAGAGAACAAAGAAGCGTGCTTGTGCAGGCAGGTGACCCGCTTGAAGGCATAACACTATTTTTCGATCGGCTGGCGGCTTCTTTGTTTATCAAGTTTACTATTGCTCAGTATATTCCAAGAAAAATCGCCAAGAAACAGACGAAATTATTAAAACAGGTGAACACAACGGCATAGGTGTAAGGAGCCTCGAGAAAAATCCTCGAGTAATGGAGCGAACAAAGATACGGTCTTAGCTCGCCATGAACGACCACTTGGCGAAATATTGATTGGGATCTCCACTGATGAAGTGACATAGTTTGTCTCAAATAATTCGGTAGTCGCTCAAATTATAGAAACACAGGCTGCAGCTATGTGATCCTGCCGCCGGGAACACCTAATAAATAGTGAAATGGGCGAAAATCAAGTACAGATAGACTAGTCAAGATGGCATAACTGGCGTTAAAAGCATCAAAACTATAATCTCAACACTAGCTGAGTAGACCACTAAACGCTGAGTAAGAAACAGCCTTTTAAGGCATCTGGTATTCCACAAAATGACCTAGAGGCTCAAAAGAGTGGACATGGTGGTACATCATTTTTTTTGTTATCCCCCCCTTATTTCCTGCCAGAAGAAGATGGCGAGAGACGGGGAAAGACTCACATTTTAACAAAAAGAATTCTTCGACGAGGGAATTTCCGTACTTGGTGGCCAAATACAAAGGTGTTGTCAGCACCGATATTGTCTTAGATCCGTGGCTTTGGAACAAAGGAGATACATCCATGGCACTTGGGACAGACCATGGTCACCCTTTGGTCATCTCGTATAGGATGAGTCGTATAGAGACAACAACCCAAGAAGCAAAGGCAGAATGCCTGTAGAAGGTGCTCGGCATCCCGGCGAAGAGTTTGTTCATCCACAGTTTTGTTCCAGACTCCAGAGTTAGGAGGGCTGGCTAGATACTGCCTCGTGGAGATGTAATGTATGGAGATGCCCAGACGTTGCAGCAGTAACCATTGCTCTGCCAGCTCTGCGGCTTGCTTCCCTCGGCCTTGACTTTTGACCAGAGCCTTCGTACGAGTTGGAATGAAGTTGGAGTAAGGTTGCTGCTATAGTACCTAGCGCGCACGGACCAGGCCGTCACGCTACAACATACCGACGCGTATCCCCGACGTTCTTTCAGTTCCTGTTTGTTTCTTAACCATCTAGTCACTCACTTCCACTTCATGCACGCAAATATTCTTTCTTCGAAGCGGAGGAAGTCCGGTTTCCCATGCCCATACTGCGAGGCGAGGTGGTTGGCTATTTCCATTTAAATCCCCCAAGTCGATAGCTAATGTACAATTTAGCTCGCCATAGGCAACTATTTTCCCAGTTGCTCGAAAATTGCTTTATAGTTCTTCGAGAAAATGTTCCAGGCATAATGCGGTCCCAAATGCCGCATAGAAGACTCCCTTCATAAGGGTAAACCGTAGACCCGGGCTCGGAAGTACCTGGCTGTGACTGTTGGGTTGCCCGAATTAAAATTAGTACCTTGGTATTCACATTTCTCGAATTATCTTTTCTACATATATGATTCTATGCCACGCATGGTACTCCCTCATTCTATTCCTGTGGCCGTATCTAATCTCTACATGGAAACTGATATACTGTCAATACAAGCTCACTGAACTTTTCCAATCTCTCAAGAACTTAACATTAGTGATCATTGTATCAGGACGCTGGAGTACCATCAAGATATCAGACCTGTATAGCAGGGAAACCCGCCTCTCGTGTTCCCCTCAAAGCATACAAATTTTGAACTTCTGAACCTCCAAACTGCTCAATAATTCCATGTGGGTTATACTTGTTGGAATTCCCCAACATTTCGTAGTTTTACCTATCCAAGCATTTATGTTACCGTATTCCGCCTACTGTAAATATTCATTACGATACCTATGCCGCTTCTCCACTTGGCATAATGTCATCTGCCTCGGCTCCAGATCAATTTATGCACCGTCGATTTCCGCGTGGCACCGCCGAATTGTTCTACCCTAGCCAACACCAAGACCGAGTTGCTAGATAACATCATGCCATGCAAGCATTACCCACGTGGAGCTTTGCTCTCATGGGGACAGCCGCGAGGCGGCAACCGGAATGTAGGGCGAGACACCATTTAAATGAGGGTACTACAAAAACTACAAGATGGAACAAGTGAAGTCATATGTAAAGCCATGATTTTATGAAATATATACATTTGAAAGCTGACATCAGACCTCAGTCCTATCCCCTGGAAGGGAGATTCCGTGATATCCCTAATGCCCATTCCTGCCGGTTCGACGAACGCCCTCCACCAAAAATGAAAGCCTAGGCACTTACCAGCCTCAGTCCTATCAGATCTCCCACCTCACAACTGGTACACCTTGACCGAATTGATCGTCCAATAGGCCGGCGCAAACACTCCCGGATTTTGTGCAACATAGTTGTTACACGAGCTGGCCCTGCTGGCACAAGTACCGCCCCAAACGCCCCCTGCCCAATCACCACAGAAAGTGGTGTCAAACACAATATTTTGATTCATAAAGTGCTGGTCAATGTTACAGCCACTGCCCCCGTTGAAAGCCACAATGGGCAAGCCCCAGTTACCCGTGACAGGATTGCCGCTCCTGATATCAGCGGGAATATTATTCCGAGGGAAGAACCAAACGTAGATACCCGAGGACTCCCACTGCATAGCGTATACTCCACCTCCGTTGTTGTTAAAACCGTCGCCGTAGGCATTGGGTACCGTTGTGGTAACGCCACAGCCGTTATATCCGTTATTGGAGTTGCAATTCGCGTCGTTCAGATTGGTACCACCTTGCGAACCGCCAATGTTGATCGTGCATCCCGCCGATGTGTGAAGGGTTATGCTGTTTGTGCCCGCTAGATTGACACCCTCGAGGACGTCGATCTCGCCACTGTTGGGCCAGTTGGGACCGAAGAGCCAGAAAGCTGGCCATACGCCACAGATACTACCGGGCATATGGGCGATGTCCGCGATAAAGAGACCATGGTTATAGGCTTTATTGCTGGTTAATCGGACAGAGGCGCGCCCGGGAGAAGGGTTGGTGGTGGTGTGGTCGACCCCTAGGTAGATTTGGCCATTGTTGGTGTTGATAAGTCCCCTGTTTTGGGCGTTGGATTGGGATTGATAGTCCACGAACCCATGCGTCGGGTCACTTCCAGTGAAGAAGTTGAAGGATGAGAAAAAATTGATGCTGGTATAGCTATCAACCTGTCTGTAGCTTGCGACGGCAAATTGAACGGGGATCGTAAGGTTACTGGCCAAACTCATCGCTGCGGCGTTTGCGGCATGGAGATAGGCCAGGGTGCTAAGCCCGACAAGAGAGGTTTTGGAATGCATGATGAGAATATAATACAATAGCAACCAGGTACTTCCAGCGTATATAGAGGGATTTATGGACAAAGTATAATATTTACAAGTGAAGCATCAAAAGAATTGATGATGAAGGACCTGGAGGTTGGAAGGAACGTGAAGAGCTTTGAACACCGGTGGAACTCATCAAGATCCGAAATGAAAGAAGCAATACGCATATATATACTTTTCAAGGCACGCCTAAGACATTCTGAACAGGAGGTAAATGAAGTAATATACGCCACGCTTCCTCGGCGGCTTTCCGCCGAGAAACGAGTCACCCATGGCAAACAGGACCTGCTCCTCTATCGATAAAACATCGCCGCGTGGGGGGAATTCAAAGAACGCGAACATGACCGAAAGACGGTAGTAACAGCGCAGAGTTGCATCTCCGAAATCGAACGCAACTGATGATGAGGTTGAAGCCCATGCGACGAGATCTTGGCGTCATCCGTCCTTATCCACGCCACAGCCGGTGAGTGTGGCCGAGACGAGCGTTTTCCTCCCAGCTTGTTGGATAACATGCAAGGCCAAGCACTCACCTGGCCGCGGCAGTCATCTCGGGAGAGTATACAAGAAGAAGGTGTTGGCGTACCCCAGGTTGGGGGACGTGGAGAGAAGCGACGGATGAGATGCTGGAAACGGGTTAATATTGTACTTGGAACGCCTGTGCTGTATGGTACAGCATCATGCGCTGGTTCAGCGGAGCTGCCGACCAGGCCCGGGGCGCAAAGCATGAGTTTACCGACGACGTGTGACATGCGATAGGGTCTCGGGACTCATCGCGATCATAGGATGGGAGGCGCAATCCAGAAGGGGCAATCAGCCTCCGCTTTCGTCGCAGATCGACATGGAGTTTAAGTTGACCTTAGGGAGTAACCTTACAGCGAGAACCTAGAGCTTTGGTCAGGAAGCCTAGAACGCGAAGCCCCTAACAGATGTGATTTCATGCATAGGCCCGAATAACGACCGAAAGAGTTCTTTTTCAATGTCCGGAGGCTAACCCTGAGTGCGTAAAAGTAACCTGTTATAGACCTTGGAAATAACAATTGGCGGTGTTGATAAGTCGTCTCATACTCGAGTATGCCCATTTTTTCGAGGTCGCTTATTCTTGTGTCTACAGAGTAAGGACACCGGACGGACGACCTATAAAAATGTAAATATCTCTATTAAGTTTATGTGATTCGGACCTAAGATTGGTGGGGGTTTTATTTATAATGCATCTATATGTATGACATCTAAAAAAGCTATACATAACTCCGTGAGAATTTGGCCGTTCTTTTGGAAGGTTTAGTGCATCTGCCAATGTTATCAATGGACGCGGAGTCTGCGGGCACGGCGACAGAGCTAGATCGAGGGAAGCCGTCGGCCTCATTTTGCTCACTAGGCAGCGAGCGTTACAGGTGCAAATGCAAAGGATAAAATATCACAGACCAGATGACTATGGATAACTTATAATGGCCCGAACCGAACTGGCCATGTTAGCTTTGTTTGGCTAGCCCGGCGCATAGAGTTGAGAGGCGGCAAGGCCTCGAAGGATAAGGAGGGCACTGTGAGTTTGCCTACATGTACTGTACAGTACAGTGCTTCGTACAGCTAAGGAAATTCTTGAGATTGGGTAAGTAGACGCACTGTGGCTTCCGTATCTCACATTAAGGTTATCGAGTACTTCGTATCTGCAGTGCCGATAGATCTTGAGGACCCTTACGGCTCAGTCTGATCGCTCAGATCAAAGTCAGGTATGAGCACGCGATACTAGGGTACTTCCTTCGGGATCCGGACCCGCCTGCCGGGTCCCCTAATTTCCGTGGAGCGAAGAGTTCAATTTAATTCAGCATGACAAACGCCCCTAGATGCCATTACTCCCTAGCTGATGAGATACAGGGTCCGTTCTAAGTAGATTGACCCCGGAAAACTGGTGGTCTGTGATGGAACAATCAGCATGACGGACCATGCCGTTTACGGGAGATCCGCGCGAATCGGCGATTGATATAAGACTAGTTATATTACGTCTCTGACCTTATTGGATACAGCCCACCGGACGAACCACTGCGAGCAAACATACTTTTTAGGTTGATGGAGCGTGCACATGTCGAGCTACTCATTCCGAGTAGAAAGATAGGGGGCTTTGTTAGGCCACTCTAGGCTCGCTTATCTCCCTCCCCCTTTTATTTACCCAACGAGAGAGCTTTTGGAAGTCGGAAGTCTTCCATCCGGATATTACATGTGAAATTCCTCCAGACCGCCATTTGTTTACGATATCCTTTTAATTTTCTCCTTTGAGATCTATTTTCTACCGTTTTCCTGAATAGCTGGATTCTTTCTAATTCAACTGTCGCGGTCGTTCTCGAAGCCGAGCGGATGCTCAGGTTGCCTATATCCGTTATATGACCGAATACGAAGTAGTAGCTCCCAGACCCTCATATTGTATAGAAACCAAAGGGAATTAAATGCCATGTTTTACGAGGGGTTTATACATCTTAATCGCTGGATCCATATTCTGTTGTTTCTTGTTGCTTCAAAATATCTCACTCTCAAAGTGATCTCAAGATTAGTGATAGAATGTCACAAAAAATGTTCGAACACAGGTAGTCTTCTGACTCGCACTGCTGATTCAGCGACGCGTTGGTCTTATTCTCCTCGGGCCAAATATTACCCCACACAAGGAATATCAAGTCAATGGTCCATGAGCATCTGCATTCATAAACGTATCTAATATCGTCTTTCTCAAAATATCAGTAACTACTACAAGCGCTCAGAAAATATGACCACCACTATATTATCAGATGTCCTAGAAACTCCCATCCGCACCCCTATTCCAGAAGCTGAAGTCACTGAATACTTGAACTCCGCTCCGTTTCTTCCCATTGCTAATGCACTTAACCTTCGAACTGTCACTTCCCTTACTCTCCCACCTAACCTCATATTTCGCTCCGGCTCACTCGCCCACCTACCAGCCACTACACTAACATCTCTCAAACAAACGTACAACATCACCACGATCTTCGATCTCCGCAGCAGTCAGGAAAAGGAGAAATCTCCAAACCCCGAAGTTGACGGGATTGAGAATGTTTGGATCCCGAGTACGGTCGATTTTGGATCGCAAGTCCGGGGAGAGCGTGGAGCAAGTGCACAGGGTGCTGAAGATAGTAAATTAGATGGCTCACACCAGCCTGCCCGACTTTCGCCGTCGGATTTTGCCCAAAATGAGGGTGTGGATGGCTATGTGAAGTTATATGGGCATTTTCTGGAGACCCATCGAGATGCGTATCGGGCGGTGTTTGAAAAGTTGAAAGATAGCGAGAGCAGTGGGATACTATTTCACTGTAATGGTAAGTACTCTATCTATGTCTCCGCTTTGTCCTCCAATTTACTTCAGCTACTGACTTGATACTACTCAAAGCGGGTAAAGATCGCACAGGCGTGCTCGCAGCGCTGATACTTGCTCTTATGCACAGTGTACCCGAAGAGATATCGCGAGACTACGCACTTACTCGTATTGGCATTGAGCCATTTCGGGAGTATCTTCTCAAAAGTCTCCTGCAGCAAATGGGAAAGACTCCAGATGACGAGACCTTTTCCGAGCCAGGGATGGAGGCTATATGTGGAACGCGAGGGGACACTATCCTAGCTCTTCTAGAGTGGATGGATGGAAAATGGGGCGCATTTAGTGCAGAACAGGACCAAAGCGATAAGAAAGGGGCATTTACTGGTGTAGAGGGCTATTTAATTGAGCGTTTGGGTTTTGACAAGGAGGAAGTTGAGAAAATCAAATCAAGATTGGCTAGAAAAGCTAGCTAGATTTAAAGGCGCTTGGTCGATATATAGAAAGGAGATACGAATAATACTGGTAATACAGTAGCTATGGGACGAATATAATTAGCTTGCATTAAGTATCTGCTGCTTATAGCGATGTTGTGGCCGGATTCTAGGTTAGGATCGCTATATTTTAGGGACCTACTCACTTGTTGACTTGCGAACTAGGCCCGTGATACAATTGATAAGAAGGAAAAAATGTTAGAACCCACGATGACGGTATGGAATAGGAGGGCTGTCCCGACGGAGATACAAAAGAAATAACAGAATCAGTGTTAAGTATAGATCTACGGGTAGATCACATAGAAAGCTAGAAGTGCTGCGTTAAATGCAATAACCTGGACCACATTGTCATGGAAACAAAGCAAGAAAAGGGTCCAGGCAACTCAGAAGTAGGTAATCAAAACAGTGTAAAGCCAAAAGAAAAGAAACTCAGAGGGAAACGAAAACGGTATCACACAAACTTCAACTAGCAGAAAGGGTTCGGCCGAAGGCAGCGGATTAGGCTTTATGATCGATGTTCGTTTATCTAGTCGAAATTACTAAATCTCCTCTGTATTATAGTTTTGAACCATAATAAATCTATATATCGACCTCAAAGTTTGGCAGCCCTCATCTTGGCACTATCGGTTCTCCTACCCTCATCGGCCTGCTCCGCAACGGTCAGGTCAGGAAACTCTTGAGGCATGATACGGCGAGTCGTAGCCCCGGGGACAACAGAGTATTTCGAGAAATCGCTAACGCCTTCATGATTGCGTAAGAAATCTTCATCTGTATCCAGAAGTCCGTTGACGTCTGCAACTGGGGCGCGAATCATCGCAAGAATAGCGTCGGAGAAGATGGATGGCTTTCGAAGATCTTTAACAGCATCTGGGTCGATATTTGTCATCTGGCCAGTGGCTGCTGATTCGATGGACTGGTCGGGTTAGCAACGACTGTTGTAATTTGCAAAGAAACATACCGAAGCAGGCCAGATGCTTGTCATTGCCATATCTTTCTTGCCCTCTCTCTCCCAATCCATTGCAATGCCTTTCGTGAGAACACTCATACCAACCTTCCCCATTGCATATGCAGTCTTTCCCCGGAAAAAACGCGAGTAAATAGGAGGGCTGACAACAATTACACGGCCCTTCCAGCCATTGTTCTTGAAATGGGGCAACGCAGCTTGGATAGTCCCGTAGAGGCCTTCAGGGTTAATGCGCTGCATAAGCTGGAATCGTTTCATCGGCGTATTTTCAACGGATGCCCACCATATTGCTCCGGAGTTATAGATGATGACATCAATGTGGCCGTATATCTAGCCGTAAGTTAGTAGTAGCACATGTCGATGTCCACTTAGCCCATCCCTACCTTGACCGTTTGGTCCACAAGTTTCTTAACATCTTCAAAGTCCCTTGTGTCCACAGCAATGGCAGTAGCTTGACCGCCAGCTTCTCTGATCTCCCTTTCCACAGTATTGATTGTCGATTGCTGTGAGTTTGGATCCGGGGGAAATGGTTTCGTTGTCTGCGCATTGCTAGTCGACTTAGCTGAGACGACCACTGTAGAAATATATTAGAGGTAATCTATTCAAAATATATTGCATTGAAGCGTACCGGCATAATTGTTCTTCGCCAGATCGATAGCGACCTGTCTTCCGATGCCTCGCGAGGCACCCACCACCAGCGCAACTTTTTGTGTCGAAGGCATATCGAAGTTTTGATTTTCAGCGTTCAAGGTGGCCAATTCGACAGAGCACAATGGCAGGTCATACTTAGCCGCATCAGATAACCTCTTTATTCCATTGTAGATGCGAATGTTGGCACGGTGTCGGCATCAAAAGTTTAGTGATCATGACCGCCTGGGTCCGAAGCTCAAACCTCGGCTGGCCGGGGTCTCGTTGACCACGGTGGAGAATCCCCGCCATCCCCCAGCGCTAGATATGTGGGTGGCTCGCATCTGACCTGCCGACTACTTTGCACTGTTCCAGATCAGTAATCCAATACTTCATATAAATGAGAGATCGTTTATCTACTAGGAATTGAGGATCTCCCCGAATAAGAACCCCACTGATCAGTGATATTCAAAGCATTGCTTGTTATTCCGTTACTCGTACTTCCGAGTCCAGAAATCCACAATATGGGAGGCCATATTGACTGCTATATCGATTGTGGTAAGTTTGGCTTTAATTTACTGGATATTTTATCCTTCTCTGTTTGCGACTCATGCGACATGAATAGTAGTTACAGCTTCGTTATCAGCTATGGCCTACCTACTGACCCCAATCAAACAGTATCGCCCTACACTTACATGGCACTTACACACCTCCGCAAAAACCGCGAGCTCCTCTTATCTCATGGTGTAACAATTGAGTAGGCATGCCCATTCCTCTATATCCAGAAAGCAAGCCACTATTTCTAACAAATGCGCTTAGATACCATCCAATTTTCCTCGGTGGCGTGAACGTCGGCTCAGGCAACAAGCCCCCATGGACTCTTCCTGCCAAAGCCAAGTATGGGAAATTCGATTTAACCCGATCAAAGAATCACCACGGTCTACTGAAGATAGAAGCCCCACCTTTCTTTCCTCCCTTATCCCTCCTTGTAAGTCGCCTCTTTCTCGCCCTTCTCCAGTATCGTCTCTGTTCCAGTGGTCATTGTCCTGTCCATTGTGCCGCTCGCCCTTTTTAGAATCAATAATGCTCACACTTATAAAATAAGCCCCAACGATCATTATGCTACGTTAAAGCTACCTTTCCACCTGAGGTGTATGAGGAGACGTATGTCCACCTTTTCGAAAAGCTCTGGACGGCGCCAAACCAAGTCGACATTACCCAGCCGGACAATTTCCTAGCCGTCCTTGAAGGATTCGGGAAATTCTCCAAGAAAGAGGCCGAGGATATTCTCAAGGCTGCTGGAGAGAAGGAGTGGAAAGATAAGTTGTTGGAAAATACCCAGAAAGCCCTTGATCTGGGGGCTTTTGGTGCGCCTTGGTATGTGTTTCATTTCATAACCCAAGATTTATCATTTTAAAATCCAATATCGATGCTTACTTTCATCATAGGTTGTGGGTGCGCAATAGTGACGGAAAAGAAGAACCTTTCTTTGGTAGTGATAGGTTCGTTTTTCCACTATGTTATTTCAACTCGCTGACGGCTGTTAGGTTTCATTTTATATGGGAATTCCTGGGGTTGCCTTGGCAGGATATCCAGATCCTTCCTCCAAAGCAAGGAGACAAGGCCAAGCTGTAAGAAGTGAGAATGATGGCATGCTTATAAAAGCAACTGTAGTTAAAAGAACGTACAGAGAATGGACATGTTGTAGTCGCTGAAAATTATGCTTTCTGAGCTAAGCCAACTCTCCCTTCCATCCGCGGTCTGTCAAATTTGTTTTTCAAGATCCTCCCTCATTGCATCCAAACTCTCGCCCTCGATAGAATCCACCCCCTCCTTGACCACCCTTTCCACGGCACTCGCTACCCCCTCATCACCCTCGAGTAGGTCAAACCAACCCTTAATCCCCTCCTTCTCCAGCAACCTCACAGCGACCTCAGCGACATCGCCCCTACTAACAGCACCCCTTGCCTTAGTTTTCCCGAGACTAATCTTATCGGTTTCTTCCTTATCACTCAAATTTCCCGGTCTTAAAATAATATACCCAAAGTTTGGAGACGTAGGCCCTTCTGGCTGGCTTCGTATCCTCTCCTCTCCTAGAATAGTAAGCGCCTCATCAGCCGCGAGCTTAGCTTTATAATAATGAGGCATCATCTCATTATTCACTTTCTGTACCGTGGCATAAGAATCCTCATCCCACCATGGCGCCCGATTCCGGCGGATTGATAGCGCAGAGACGAGAAGAAATTTGGTGATTGATGGACGGGATACCGAGGCTCTGATGAAGTGGATGCATGCATCGCGATCGATGGCATAGGTGCGGTCAGGACCTCCATGGCCCCCTGCTCCTAGGATGTAATATTAATATCGGATAGAGATTATCATGTCGGAGGTATTAAATAATATTGGAAATATATCAGGGCCATAGCATAAACAAAAAAGTGAAAAATTTCAACCAGAGGGTAGAAAGCAATATGACCTCTGACGTCGGGAGAGAGACTGAGACATCACGACATACCGGCAGACCAAACCACCCAATCTGGTTTCACAGTGTCGAGAATCCTCCCAGCATCGGACACGCTCTTGACATCCTCCAGACTCTCCACCAGCGCATTTATCTTCCCTGGTCCATTCTTGCCCGCTTCAACGAGGGCCGGTTCTTGGGCGGGGTTCCGGATCACAGAAGTGAGGTTCCACGCGCGGGCGAGAATCTTCGGAGTTAGGAGCAAAGATACCTTTCCATGGCCACCAAGAAGGAGAACATGAGGTGTGCGTGACATTGTGCACCGTGGCTTGGAAATATAAGTAACGTTGTATAATAGTTGTTGAGGGTGATGTGGGGTTGAGTGTGAATGTGATCCGAGAAGTGGTACAGGATCAAAAGAACACTACGGCTGGGGAAAGGGCGAACGTCAAGTTATGTTGATCGAGGGATATATTTTTAAGGTAGGTAGGTGATAAGGTACAAGGAGGTATTCTTTCATTCTTCGAAATATTGGGAAACTGGGAAGTGATGTAATGACAAAATCCAGGTCACCTGACCGTATCACGACGAAAGTCGATAGCTAGACGTCGGCTTTGGCCATACGGAGTACCTATGGTGCCATTTACGTTTAGCACATATTTCCTCTAGGAAAATATCTCGAAGGCTAGAAGAAGGCCAGTGTAATGGTTTCTATATTTCCATAATGTACACATGAACAGACACAAGTAACGAACTCCTCCAGCTCAGCACGGCCATCACGCCAGGTAAACTCCAATGCAACCATCCAGCCGGCAATGTGTTCCGAACCCCAATAAACCAAGGAGAGCCATCACCTCCTATTTGTTACTGAATTGAAAAGAACCGAAGACACCCCCACCGCCTCCAGGCGTCAAAGGGCCTATGCCTGCTGCACTACTGTTGTGAGCTGGAGTGCTGGCGAGGTTTGCATTTCCGGTATTGGGCGTGCTTGGCGCCCCATTTGTATACGTAGTAGTACCATTCTGTCCCGGAGTAGAAGTCTCTTGAAGCTGTTGGTGATAATGCTGTGGAGTAGAATGTTGCTGAGGAGCGTGGTGCTCTGGCAAACCGAGACCCCACACCTTCCCAATGTGCTCGTCGCCGATTTCGCCTTTGAATATTCGCTCCCGCATCTTGAAAAACACCTTTCCAGTCAACAACGAGTCTGATCCTGCTTGATGTGCTTGTCCTTGCCGCTTGACTTTGAAGATCTCGGCAAGACTCTCTAGTCCTTGCTTCTGCTCAAACTTGGCTAGTATTTCAGTGCTTGCGGAATCAAGAGGAGTCAGTTGGCCCATTTGATTCTGGCGAATGGCATATTTCATGAGATATTTGATGTCGTAGATACTGGGGAAGAATTTCTTCATATACCTGTCGAACGCTGCTTCATCATCTGGTAGAGGAAGCCGGAGCAATACTTTCGTAAGGTATCCGAAATCATAACCGCCATGAAATGAGATCCATCGTACATCTTCGTCGCATACAAGGCCGGAGCTTATCAGAAGCGAGCCAAATTCGAATGGATCGATCCCATCCCGTTCGAGTCTCTCGAAGTCAACACCGGCGGCGACCAAAGCCTCAATCGATGCTTCCGAGTACATGTCTTCTTTCGTAGAGAACTTGAAGTTGAACTGCCATGTACATGGAACTTGGACTGCGCCATATTTTCGGCCTCCAGATACCGTCATATCGTTCGAATCCATCGTCGCTGGAGGACAGTCCCCATCCTCTGTGAATAAAGTTATTCCGAGCTGTATGATTTTCAAGAGATCTACATTGCAGCGTAGACATTGATAGTGATAGTCGCTCTTCCCATTGAAAGCCCCCATAGGCCGCGCTACTACTCCTGGGAACTCGGTGTCCTGGCACGGTGTCAACTATTGATATTGCTCTCTCAAACAATCATATCCTCACCATTGCAATGTATGGATATTTAGCGATAAGAGTGCGCAGAGTTGCCATCTCCTCGTGTAGATTACCCTTCCAGACGTCTCGTATCCTGCCCTTATTTGCCATAGCCCGCGACCCAGGCTCGCCCATGTTGTTGTGTCCTTGTTGTACCGAAGCGCCTGCGAAGCTCATCTGTGCAGCATGACTTGCCAGACCTGTTCCGCCGGGCATCCCTAAGCCCGAGCCTCCAAAGTTCCCAACACCTAAAGCATTGCCGTTCACCGCGAATGGATTGCTCATAGAGTTCGCGTTCATAAATCCTGGATTAGCACCTAGGGTGGGCGGAGGTAGTCCTGCGGTATGAGCTTGAGAGTGGCTTGTATATTGTTGGTAGTGAGAAGCAAGGCTATTCGGTGCGCCGCCGAAGCGTTGCATCTGCGGAGGCATGTTGAATATGCGTGCTGTTTATGCTGGTCCAGAAAGATCGGGGGAGGTGTACGGTTTTCATGGGCGGAGCGTGTCGCGCGAGGGAAGGTGAGTCTAGACCGGAACGAAAGTGGCGAAGTTGGTAAGAGCAGCTCTGTTTTGCTGTCAGGTCAATACTTGGCCTCGGTTTTACTCGGAGGCAGAAGAAAATACAATTCTTGTGTAGATCTGGAGTTGACGGTGGCAGGGCTGGCGATTCAACAGAGACTTGCGATACGAAGGACCTGGTGGTCCACCTGCCTGGTTGATGGCTGACCAGACCCGCTTACATAAGGCACGGCGATTAAGCTTAGTTTCGCGCCAAGCATTTCGACATCCAACGATTGGGGAGCTTCACTCTGCCTCATCTACACAGCCTTGCGCAAGATCAAAGACGTCAAGATGCGTTTCACAAGGTACGGTATCTTTAGAAGAACTTCTATGTGTTGATTGGGCAGAAGGCTAATAGATGATCTTGCAGTGTTCGCAGAGCGCCGAGAGCGAACCTCACCGGCTTCAACCCCAAAGACTTAGCGGCAGCATCTGGTGCACCAGCAAACGACCCGTGGGCAAGAAGGTGAGCCTCCTATGGCAGTATATAGAGGGATAAAGAGCTACGTATATTGATCAACATGTGCAGGGAGGCGTGGCGATACAGCGGACCTTTCACTCGATGGAATCGATTCAGAGGCAGTTTTCCCGGATTGGGCATCGCGACGGTGGCATTTGCAGCGTATTGCGGATACGAATATATGTTCTTGAAGGATGACCATGGAAGTCACAGTGATCCTCATCATTAGGACAGCGAATTGTTGTTGGAGGTCAAACCACTGTACATATACGACGAATTTCAACGCTGGCAACCTTCCTCGCCATCAAATATAGCTCTGCCCTTTGTCTCTATTTGTCAGAGGTTATCATGGCCTCTGCTCAGGAACCCGAGGATCTATATGCTTTTCTCATCGCTGGAATCTAAGTACAGGCAGATTTAAGCACTATCAAGTTGTCTACGATCTTGACTTCGGCCATGACGCAACATTTAGTGACACGCCGGGCCGTTAAGGGTCGCTCCAGTGATAGGCCTTTTATTGAAATGTGGCATTTAGGGTTTGCTACTGCATATTATGGATGACTATAACTAGGACATATATTGTGAGGGCGCTATATGTGGTGATGTTTGAGTATTCCTGTGGAGGGATAACTTGCTTACTTAACATTTATATCTACTAGGTTTACGGGACCCCAACCCAATCAGCCAATCTACTCCAATCTCAACGTCTAGTGGACTTACAGATAAACAATACGGTTGGTCGGTCGGGGCAATTTGCCCTTCGACATAGGTGCCACCCAGCAGCACTGATTAGTGGTCACTCTAGAAAGAGCTCTCAGGTGGGACTTGTGAAAGCAGAGCTTCGCGAGGATTTCCAGCAAAACCTGTATTATTGGGGCCTAGAACTAGCACAACGGCTCCTGCACTGAGGGTTTCAATGGCTGAAGCTTTAGGCCAATCAGTAGTGTCCCGTCAAAGTCGTGGCATTTGATACGGAATCTAATGTCCTTCCAACTCTTCTATCCATTCCGGTCGACTATACTTTCAGTCACCTTGCCCAATTTACATATCAGTGCCCGCCATGTCTCAAAAGACATCCTCACTCAAGACACGTGTTGATGAGATAGCTGACACCGATGGTGATGATGAAGTCATGGCTTGGTTAAATCGAATATTCGACTCAAGGGCTGAATTGGCCACTTTTTTGCCAGCTGCCGAGAATAAAGTGGAGTCGGAACGCTTGTTGGTTTCCTTTCACGGATCCTTTAACCTTAACTTTCGCATCTGCTTCAATGATGGACTAGACGCTATTATTTGGTTCCCAAAACTCGGCCATACAGCTTTCAGGGACGAAAAAGTCCTTAACGAATACCGGATCATGGAAATCCTCAGCCAAAATATCACTATTCCTCTCCCTCATGTGCACAGCTAGGTCCTGACCGCAGAGATCCCGCGAGCAATTTGGGCCGTTTATTATAATGGACTTTATTAGCGGGCTGTCCTTCTTGACAATCCTTACGACCCCGACCGACAGCGATCAAGATGACTTAGTCTTAAACCCAGATTTCGAAAACACGATATTAGACAATATCTATTATCAAATCGCCGACTACATACTTCAACATTCTCGGCTCACATTTACTCGTATTGGAGCCCTCGCTTATGCTCACCATCTGGCAGTACTCTGTATATGGTCGGCCTTGCACTTCCTACCTTACCTTACCACTCCAGACAGCCAAGACTCTTCCACCTCCCTGACGCTTCGCAACCATTATATAAACCACTCAGGTGTTCCTTGACCTTCTCGCCGCTCGCGTCCTCTCTTTGAGATCAATATCGTATTTCTCAGAACTCTCACCGCCAATAATGTACAATCATGATGATTGGCCTAAGATGTCGGATGGCAACGACATCGACGGCAAATAGCTGTTCACCCTGGTCTGCAGCGGTAACAGCCCCTTCCACGGACTTTGGGATGTAAACCTCCTTATTCAAGAGATTGAGCAGAATCTCGACGCCCACGTGATTGACATCTCGGTCATCTCCAAAGGCTCCAATAACTACGTGAGTTCCAGTTTGAAATCTATATTTTTATAATCCGATTCCATATTAACACTAAGGATGGATAGCGCACGGGGTATCTACCTTAAACTGTCGAATCGACCGGACATCGTAGTGCGTATGTCTCGTGACGACGTTAATATGCCTAACTTTGACGGCGCCTATTTATAAACAAGTTCCCGAGGTCAAGTTCGAGGTGGCTGTATACGAGCTCTTACGCTAAGAGACTGATATGTTGGCCTCCCGCCTACTTTACCACTGTATCCCAGTGCAGCACAGTGGTCCTAGACCTGATCTCTCTTAGGATATCGCCGGCCGTCACTTGTCTTTGATTAAAAAAGCAGAGGGAGAAAATAATATATGGCGGGATCTTGCCCAGAACAGAGAGGACGTGCCTATATTATTTAGTAATATATTCTACTTAATTTAAGTTAACTCTACTAACCGTCTTACTAGGCTTGTCTTCTAACTCAGTCGGCCTGTATCCGCGCATTGTTGTTTAACTTTAATCTTCCACTCCACTTTGTTGCTACTTCTCTCCGCGAACGACTCTTTGAACAGAAGCCCAAATTGCTTCATATTCCTATTGGTCCTACACGCGAGTTCTGTATTGCTCTTTTTATATCCAAGATCGAAGCAATAATTAAGAACATTGGCGACATGATTGGGTGGGAGAGTGACAATATTACCGCTGGTCCTATTACTGCGGCGGCTAAGCAGTCTCCATTACGCCTTATCCCACACATTACGTATATAGATAGCGACCAGACCTCTCTCTACCGTCTTGTTCTCGAGCATGGCGATTTCGGCATTCACAATATGTCGATTAAAATAGATATAAACGGTCAACCCCTCGTACGTCCTTCTACGACTAGGAAACTGGTGTATTGTGCCGGCTATCCTGTCCGGTCCGTTAATGGCTGTAGGGGTCGATCTAGTAACAGATGAGAATGCCGCCCCTTCATTTATTTGAGTACCTGACGACGCAACTCCGGGCGACCATGTCCAGTACATGACAGGGACGAGGCAATATTTCATGGTACGTCCTTCGTTCAGGTACGAAATATCGCCTTTCTCAGTGCATGAGCAGATAGGTAACCGACTTTCTCGGTGTAGGTTCTCTTTAATCAAGTGCCTAATTACGAACGTGCAATCCAGGCAGGGAAAGACGCACGCTACCTTTGGTTTGCTTGCGAGAGTGGCAAGGTGACGATCTGGAACAATATTTCGGTGACCTGGCAGTTTGGGCAGAGAGGAGGATGAAGGAGCTTGGTGTTTATTCAGTAATGTCACGGATTGTGTACGATAACTGATCGCCTTTCTTGTTCCCTTTGCTTTCGATATTCTGCCTAATTCCAACGACCTCCCACCGACGAATTTGACGGAAGGTGGGAATAATTAGAAGGGGCACTGTAGCCAACAGCCAGATGGCATGTACTAGGTCAAGTTCATGAAAAATGTAGAAGTTAGAAGGTACAATATAATACAAGGTCAATCAATAAATGCTGTTGAATGACAGGATTCGCGGGCAGCGATCAGCATAGCTAAGTGGGTGTATAGAGTTGACGTAGGAGTCGGGGTTATTAATTAGCAATAGGGGATTCGAGATATTTTGTAAACTGGACAGCGAATGAATAAAGCCTCCATGTACCACGTCAGGTTAGTCGTGTCTTATACTTTCATCTAGTAAAACTCCAGATGAGCGACTTATAACAACGTAGGCAGACCACTGGTGGGGTAACTGTTTCGCCGTTGTAGGTGGGATGGTGCTAAAATTATCGTTGGGGATACAGTTCCAAAATTGAACATAACGTTATCTTCAGCCACATTACTCGGCGAGGATAGACAATTTTCAGGAATTGAAATCAAGTAGAACGCGGGACGTGGCTCATCCCACAACCGGCATGCCGTTCTACATAGTGTTTTGATACTCCTTCAACTATGGCACAGATGACGCACCGCAAACTTATATAAACTTGAAGTCCCTAGCACGGGGTTGGCTGGTGGATGTGGCTGGTGACCATCTACGCTGTTCGACTCTGGGAAGATTTCGGGATCCTGAGATACAAGTACATGTATGGCGCATTATTAGAAGGATTTGGTGCAAACTTACTTTTTCAGGCACCTACGGCCATTACCCAAAAGTCATTCCGGCATCGTCCTCCTATACATATATCGTAGATTCCTATACAATCTACGAAGTAGATAGCCTACGTATTAGAGTGTAATAATAAGAATTCTAATTCTGTCCGGTCGTAAAGTGAAGCTATTCGCAAGTCGTTTTCGTACCTTTACTCTATATACTATCTATACTCTTTATTAGTATCTACTACTGTATTTTATATAGCTCTGAAAGGAGTTCCTGTGATAGTACTTTATAGGGGTAGATATAGTGGGTGTTTGGCCTACGGAGTAAGCTACAGGGCAGAAAAGCCTACGGAGTCGTTGGGCGAGCGCTGGGTACCCGCGCCGCGGCCGAGTTATTAGGTAGATGTAGTTCCCTAGGCCCGGGCTACCGTGTACCGAGGCCTGTAGCGAGGCCGGATAGTAATGCGCTATAGGAGGGCGATGCCAGAACCATACTTGGGTAATGGCCGTTGTGCCTAACAATACAGGCAAAACCAGTTTTGTACCAAATCCTTCTAATAATGCGCCATATACGAGTGCAAGTACTCGTAAAGCTCCAACGTCGCACGAAGTACGACATTACATCACACCATATTCGGCTTTATGAACGACAGCTCTGCGAGTGCATTTTCCCCAAAGAGGATAAGACGGAGAGCTCTACAATCCCCACAAATACTTCCTACTTTCCGCTAGGCGTACTGGAGTACGGTGTAGTGACGATCCCATAATCTAACGCGCATTCTCATTCGCATCTGACCTCTCCCTTCCACCGAGGATGGACATCGGCCTCGCCTCACGCTCCACACCCTATAGGCCACAACGAGGCCCGCTAAGGCAAAGTTGTCTCGGATTGGGCCAATTGCCCAGGAGACTACAGTCTAAAGGTACCACAACAGTTGCGCAGCAATTGAGGCGTTGTCGAGTCTTCACTCTCTTGTGTTGACAATAGTCCGGCTTCTTCAACCCCGCTTCAACCCCGCTACGCACTACATTACCATACGGCCAAGGGGTTACCGGCGTAGTGGGGGTAGTTGGATATAAATGGTCCCTCTTGAGTCGTTCTTATGTTTTTTGTCCTTGTGCTCCATATTCATTTCGTTGCCCTGCCTCTATAACCACCTGTAATTGAGACAGGTACTTCGAGTCAAGCTGCAAAGATCAATTTGTCAACCATCAACCTTTTGAAAGAATTCTCACTACCTAGCTGGGAACCGGAAACTAGTGCCCACTCCAAGTTCACGTGGGATAAGCTAGAGGTAACACGTAAAGAGCAGGAAACGAAGGATACGATGGCGCCAGTCCATACATTGAAGTCGGAGAGCGTTGCGGCTATCAAGAAAAGTCCTTACCTCCATTTGCAGCTCGCATTCTCTAGCCACTCATCTAACTATCCTCACAGCCATTGATGCCGCGACCGCCGACACCAAATCACAAATCCCAGGCGCAGTTTTTGTAGCGGTCAATGCCCGTGGCGAAGAGCTCGTATCCCATGCCTCTGGGTTTAGAGGAGTTGATTCGCCTCAGAAGGTGGATTTGGACAGCGTATTTTGGATTGCGAGTTGTACTAAGATGATTGTTGGAATTGCTGCTATGCAACTCATTGAGCAGGGAAAATTCTCCTTGGATGATGCGGACGTGGTTGAGAAGGTACATGAATGTTCAAAATCTACTATTTGACTAACTGCTAACGAATGTTTGTGTGTGATAGCTCGCCCCAGAGCTGAAGGACATCAAAATTCTCAAGGGATTCGAGGAGAAGACCGGAGAACCAATCCTCGTGGAAAAGAAGAATAGGATCACTCTGCGGAAACTACTTACTCACACTGGTGCGTACTTTGCTCGACCCTGCCACTCAGGCTAGCGAAGGATGTGGACGGGCCAAATGAGTTGATGGATACAAGGACCGTGTTAATTAATTTTGTATAGCTGGCTTTGGCTATACCTTCTTCAACAAGGAGATCAGGCGATACGGTTTCCCAGCCGGAATTGACGAGTTTTCCGGAAAGCCCGAGGATATGACAGCACCACTTCTGTTCGAGCCTGGAGAGAAGTTCAACTACGGCGTAAGTTCTACCCTACTACTTTCAGCTCCTATTCCCAATCAACTTGTATTAACGAATCTTATGGCTGATAAATTTACAGACCAACATTGACTGGGTCGGCCTCCTCATCGAGCGTGCCACAGGCGTATCTTTGAGCAACTATTGCCAAAAGAACATTTTCGCTCCCCTCGGCTTACAAAATACCTCTTTCTTCCCATCAAAGTACATGAAATCCAAGCTTGTCCACATGAGCCAGCGCTATCCAGACGGCCATCTTGCAGGCCGGGAGCATCCCCAACGAGCGCCGCTCTCGCCATCAGCTGAAGACCCAGAAGGTCAAAAGCACATCTTCAACTCCGGCGGCGCAGGCTGCTTCGCCCAGCCACGTGAATATGCCCAAATTATCGCCACCCTATTAAATAACGGAACTTCTCCACGTACGAATCAGCAGATCCTCAAGCCTGAGACGGTTGATGAGATGTTCAGCAATTCGATCCCTGAGCTGCCAAATTTTGGTCGAGAGACGATTCATGCTGCGAACCCAGAACTGACCAACGAGCTCCCCCAACTGTATCCCCAGCCACCGGAGCAAGAGCAGGGTTGGGGCCTTACTTTCATGTTGACCATCCATGAGGGAGCCACCGGAAGAGGAAGAAACACTGGATGGTGGGCTGGTTTGCCTAACCTCTTTTGGTGGTGCGATCGCGAGAGGGGTGTTGGCGGCATTATTGCTAGTCAGATTCTGCCTTTTGGCGGTAGGTTTATTTCTGTATTTGAATCGCTGTTACATGGAAACGAAGCTAAGGCTAACGGGTTTAATAGATCCTCAGGTCCTCGGTCTTTGGGGGCAACTTGAGGCGGCTGTCTACCAGGGCTAAGCAACCCTCTAACCGCATCTCGTAGCTACACAAACCGGAAGCCTGTAAACTCCTATATTCAATTAGCACAATAATAGCAAGTTCATCCATAACCCCTTTTGCACGAATAGTCAGGTTCTTAAATCTTTGAAAAGGAGATCAGGCTCATCCGGATGAAAATATTTTTGATATGGCAGCAAGGATTAATGCGCCGGAATAACTCTTATTCAGCGAAATTGAAACGATTTATGATTTTACAACCTGAACACCTGCAATTCCATGCTATATTTTCGCTTCCCGTTCCTCTTACGCCTGACGATGTGCCTCCCAATGGTATATTCATCAACGTTTAGCCTTTTTCCTGTCTGGTCCTTCCTCCTCTTCATCGTCACTAGCATTCGCATATTGCGTTACAGGCTGCGTATCTTTCCAAGCATTTGTGAAAAGCGGATCCTTCTTAGCAAGTTCGGCATACTTCAGCAATGCCTCTCGCGGATCCTCGTCTCGCATACTGCTGAGTGGGATGCTCTCATTGATATGCTGTTCATCCGGTTGGCTCTTCATGAATGGCGTGACCAATGGCACTTGGGGTCGACGTGGATCCCGCGATTTGCCAGAGGCTGTCAGCCCGACTGTTGGATGTCGAGCGGCAAATGAGTTCGCGTTCGTGTTGCTAAGTACGCCGCCTGGAGTGACAATGCTGTCGCCCGAAATGCCACCGGATTGATCTGTAGTGAAGTTGGGGTCGTCATCCACGTGTCGTTTCTTGGGTGCCCGAGACATCACGTCGACGGCGCCTCGGGAGGAGGTATTAGGGCTGTAGAGGATGTGGACTTCGGAGTTCGTAGAGCCTGTCACGATTTGGTTGAGTTTTGGGTGCCACTGCACTGTGATGAGGGCGGATCCGGGAGTGACAGGAGTGACAAGTTCGGGTTGGAGGTTGCCGGGATTCAGGATGTGCAAATGACCGGATGATGACCCCGTCAGGATATTGGATGAGTTAGGAGAATATTTAATGTTGGACATAGAGTAATGGTCGGAAGTTGACGGATGGGCAACGGTTACCACAGGAGTCTTGAATTTTCGCGTATCCCAGAGCTTGATCAGATCATCGCCACCTCTCGTGACCACCATTCTGCCATCTGAGCTGATGTCGATACCGCCGGTCCAGGTATTCGGTTTATGAGCCTCTCTGATTTCAGCCGCGGGTCGTGCATAAGGTCCATCCCCACTCCACATAACAAGACTTCCATCCAGAGCTGCAGCAACGAGCACATTGTTGCCACCTTGGAGCGGGCTTCCCCATACCACAGCTGTCATCCTTGTCCTTCCAGCTGCTCCTGCCGCCCTCGACTTATGGACAATGACTTCTTTCTGGCTTCGTTTGAAGTTTACATCCCAAATTCGTAATGTACTATCCGTCCCAGCTGTAACACATAAATTTTTATTCACCGGGTTCCATGTGCCGGTGGTGACCTCCGAAATATGCCCTTTGGTGTTGTTCATATCCCTCAAATACATATCGCCCTTCACAAACTCTGTAAGAACATCACCATCTCTGCTCATAATCTTTGCTTGAGGATGCGCCGATATGCATAGAAATGACCCTGGCGATAATGTGTTGAATTCCACATGGTTGATAGGATGTGTCTCTGAGTTTGCCGAGATCTTTGATGCACTGGGGTCCACGCTTTTGAATGCTCGCAGGGTCGTAGGTGTCATCGAAGCAAAATCATGTAGTTTTAATGTACAATCAGTCGAGCCAGTGACCAGCCTTGAACCTGCTGGATCGAGAGTTGTGCTAGTCACTGCCCGTTCGTGGGTTTTGAGGACTAGTTCGTGGGAGGTTGGAAACTCGTCGTCGTCAGACTCGCCGGAGTCTTCTGAATCGTCCTCGTCGGACCCATAATCCTTTGATGCTGGCTCTTGTTGAGCCCGGGTTCGTTCGTCTTCGTCTCTGACCCTTTCTTCTGCTTTTGCATCTTTCACAGCTGGAGCTTTCTCGACTTGTCTTTTCGTCCGACCAATTTGCGCCGCGACATCTGCCTCCTTTGACCTTTTCCCAAAGGACTGCGGCAAGAATGCCCGCATAGGATCATCCTGTGCCAATTCAGGAACCTCCACTTCGAAATCTTCCCCGTCGCTCATTTTGTCGTAGAGTTGAGTTGTTGGTGAGCTGAAAGGGCGTCGAGATTTGGAGGCGGCGGAAACCTTAGGTGAGCCTTGTCCCCTGTCAGTCCGCGGCTGGCAAATGACGACGGCCTGCATCTGCAACCCGCCCGCGCCGACTTCGTTCTTACGATCACCGACAACGACGACGACGACGACCATAGCGACAAGCATAACCCGCAGAGCGGAATCGATCGGCACTACATCCTAATGTTTATGAAGGAATTGGCTGCGCTCCCCAACGCTCCTGGAGTTTTCCGTTGAGGGTAATGCGTGGGGTGAATTTCGAAGCCTCATCTATCAACGTCCGCTACCATGTATATCTCGACCTTGACCCGGGATTGTGCAACCAATCTCCACCCTTCCGACGCATATCATTTCCACAGATCCGAGCCTCTATGGGGTCTCAGCAGCGTCATCCTCTTCGATGATGGTAACTCGCAGCTCCAACGGTGGTCGTCGATTATTGGAATCGTTACGGCAATCGTCGGGAATATCCTCATTTCCTTTGCGCTAAACATACAACGATATGCGCACATACGGCTGCACAAAGAGCGGTTGCAGCAGAAGGAACTTGCAAGAAATGCAGCAAAACGCGCTCAAAGTGGATATGGAGCCACCAATGCAAATGGAGGTCAGGATACAGAGGACCATGAGCGCTACCACGAGGGAAGTGACGAGGATGATCCTCTGCGGAAATCTTTCCATTCAACGAACTCGCAATCCACGACCGACTCGAGCCATCATTCGGCGCAAGCTAAAACCTATCTCAAGTCGCCATATTGGTGGGGAGGAATCATCTTGATGACGATCGGGGAGACAGGAAATTTTCTAGCTTATGGCTTTGCTCCGGCTTCAATCGTATCCCCCCTAGGTGTTGTCGCTTTGATATCGAACTGCGTCATTGCGCCTATAATGCTGAAAGAGCGCTTTCGACTACGAGATTTCTGGGGCGTCCTCGTTGCAGTTGCAGGCGCAGTTACGGTTGTGCTCAGTGCGAAACACCAGGAGAAGAAATTTGGACCGCATGAAGTTTGGGGTGCTATTACAACCCTTGAATTCGAAATTTATATGGCTATTACCGTATCCATGATTGCCGTGTTGGTGTGGGCAAGCCCGAGGTACGGTAACAAAACCATCCTCATAGACCTGGGGCTTGTCGGGTTGTTCGGTAAGCATTAAATCCCTCATTTGTAATTTATCATTTAGAAATTAATGGTATCAGGCGGATACACTGCCCTATCAACCAAAGGTGTTGCATCCATGCTTTCCTCAACGCTGTGGAGAGCCTTAACGACACCAGTCACATATGCACTGTTAGCTGTTCTAATTGGCACAGCAGTAATGCAGGTCCGCTACGTGAACAAATCCCTGCAGCGATTCGATTCTACCCAGGTCATTCCAGTTCAATTTGTCATGTTTACATTATCAGTTATTATTGGAAGCGCTGTTTTATACAGAGACTTCGAGAAAACAACACCCCAGAGAGCGGTGAAATTTTTTGGGGGGTGCCTCCTCACCTTTTTCGGTGTTTTCCTTATCACTAGCGGTAGGCCGCCACATGATGACATGGGCGATGAGGATCAGGAAGTGGAGGGAGAGGAAGAGAGAATTGGGCTTGGAGACCAGGAGGCTGCTGGTGGGGAGACAGCACGTCCCCACACAGATTACAGCTTCGATCCCTGGCGGACTAGCAAGACGGTTGTTCGGAGTGAGGATGGTACATGTGAGGATGCTGCTGGGCCGAGAAGATCTTCTCGCGTGAGCTTCGCAGCACCTTCTTCGCGACCACGGACTCCCAGAATGTATTCGGATTCCTCTCAGCAATCTACCCGGGTGTCTTACTCTATACCTCCGTCGGAATCTAATGAACCGGAACAGGCACCCCTCCTCAGGAATCCTTGGGGAAGTTCAGCTGAAGACCTCCTGGATGTGAGGCGACCTGGCATGCCTAGCTCATCCCAGTCGGCTAGGCCACTTCTGGAAGCGCAACCAACCTCAACGGATGTACAGACTGACTCGACTTTATTGGGATCTCATGCTCTACCACTTGCGGACCGACCAGTTACTCCAGTTGCAAGGCATTCCATATCGCGGATGATACCAGGGCCTTTTATTTCTCCACTTTCTGGAGGATTGAGCGTGGTCGTTGCAGACACATTACGGCGCAGTGTTGACGTATCCCGCTCGAAGGGCATGAAGCGATCACAATTAGCACTTCAGCGGTCAAAGTCTGGATCGCAGCGACTATCGTATACAAGCAACGGGACCCATGACGAATTAGGCGATTCGTCATCGAAATATGGTGACGCCACAGAAGATACTAGTAGATCATTTGGAAATGATGCTGGGAATTGGTCACCTATAACGAGGACTCGCAGTTTGAGTAATACCTTGGGAGATCTACTTCGGGGTAAGCGGTACATAGCTAGCTCTCGAGACGAAGGGGGAAATGAAGAGGCTGGTCCTAGTGGGTCGTAATGTAATTCTTTTGACATAACATATTTTACCTCTACATAGCCCTCGGCGTATGGGGCGGATATCATTATTTATACAAACCTCAATAACTATGCATCTCAACATATGCGTGCATCTTCAAGTTTTTATGTTGTTTATGCTTTTGAAGTTTAATATGTGAGCGCTGGTGGTGGCGGTTGTTTGTTTCTAAGTGTGATTAAGAGAAACCTGCCTATCTTAGGCTTGGAGTGTTAGCAGGTCTAACCTCCTTTGCTCATATATCAGGCAATGCTTTAAGTCATGCATGAATCTGAGTTGTCTATGGACCACAGAAACGTATATCACAAGGGAATTAGCGTCTTGTTATGGTACTGAGAGTATGCAGCAGCGCCTGATGGTCCTTGGGAATAGCTACAATTTATAAAAAGTCGGCCGCTAAATATACTTTGACATAACTAAGGTGCACTGCGTAGGGTGCAGTATTCAAGCTTGCTAGGCAACTTCGCATTTCCGGACAACATCTTCAAAGCGATATAAGGGCATGGGTCCTGATAACTTAGTGGTTAATTAGTTAATGTATCTATTTAAGGGACTAGGGAAATTCCGCATGTCCTCAAGAGGTTCTGAATGGGGTACTTGGTTTACTTGCTCTTTCCTGCCTTGGCAAGACGCGGCGGCCCGATTCTGCCAAAGGCCACCCAATACTCCATTATGTTTTCTCTATGGCAGTAAAAGTTTACAATCGGGAAGATTTAGAGCTTTTAGTCTCTTTGTGAAGTTTAGAAACTTGTACTTCATAAGGTTGCTCTGCTACTTTAAGTCTTTTTAGTACCCCCTATTTGCTTACGAATCAGGGGAGTATGTATCATATCTCTATGTGCAAAGTACCACTACACAAGTTAAACCAATTCCCTTAATCACTGAAAATGAAGGTAGCCTAAACTGTGATGTAAATGACCCATTCATATTAGTATACGAGAGCTGGAAAATGAAGTATCTCAAGCCGGCAAAATATAGACAAAAAATGCAGTGCAATAAGCGAGGCACGGTTTGAGATATGTTTAGGAGCATATGCATTGATTAGTGAATGGCTGTGTGAATGGTTGCACTGAGATGACATCATTGTAGTAACAATATAGCACAGGTAGCTAGTGAATACATCGTAGCAATGCTAGGTGCAATCACGCAGCGAGAGTTCGCGTCTATTTAAGGCGGTATATTCTCCACTATACAACCCCTTCTCTCTTCCATAAACTTCCACACCCTATAGCAACTTTGCAACATCATTTTGCTTTGCGATAGAAGTATAACAGGCACTATCACCCACAATCACCCGCAATCACGTCGCATCACAAGACAAATGAGCTATATAGCTGTGATGTCTGTCCAACCAACTACCAGCGGAGCGACGAATATCCCATCTGGATACGACCCTCGTTCTGACGTCCTGTATCACTTTGTACGTATATCCGTATAGATCGATCTCATTCACTTTGTGGAAAGCACAAACTAACTTTCTCATGCAGTATGCCTACCACTACTTCGCTGTACCAGACACAGCTCTCGACCTCATCAACCTCACTGATGCCGATATGCACTTGTAAGTCATCCAGTAGTCCGGATTTTGCCTAAAAGCTAACACATGCTCCTCAGCTACAACGTGGTCGCGGACGTGGTTCGAGGCAGCAACACCCATTACAAGCTTGCCGCATACCTCAAAACCCATCACCACTCTGTCTCTTGCCTTCGGCCCCACTCAGACACGTCCACTGCACCCAAGGCTGGTCGCACCGATGATAAGACCTTCAGAAACGAGTTCATTTCGCACGTAAAATCGTACAACGAGACTATGGAGCCACGCAACCGCTTCTACATTATCGGCCTTACTCCAGATGACATGAGCTACTTGACCACCCTTCACCAAGACGGAGATGAGGATCCTCATGCCATTCGCACAGCAACTGATGCCTGTTGCGATGTAGACACCCCTTATATCTCCCGTCGGAGCTTTGAAGATGAGGGAACTGTTGATGGAACTATGGAGGATGCCGTGATGAAGTGCTTGGTTGATTCTGGCGACAGGCTTAGGATCCATGCAACCATCGAGGGAAAGCTGGGAAGGTTGACAGTTTCTGGTGTGGGTAAGGCTAATGAGGGCAAGGCTGATGAGCACTGAATTTGTGGCTCAAGACACCTATTCACTTGCAACCTCTTTTGGCGCGGTGGGATTCTTCTTTGCGTTTCACGTTTAAGTTCGAGCTCAGGTTAAGGTTGGGGCTGACCCACGTGGACACCTTCATGCAGACTGGTCGCTAGTTAATTAATCGGGGCATAAGCCTGACTCTTCACCCCAAAAGTTTAGCTTCCACATATCTTAAATAATGCAAGTTTGAAACCCAGGCATACCAAAAGCTATACCTTTTTTTCGAGGTATTCAAAGTATTCAATCAGTAACAATGGCCTGGTCCAAGGGATCGAGTGAGAAAGTGATTCTCCTACATACCAAGTAGTAACATGGAGTAGCAATTCATCAGCACTCACTTCCTACAATCTGTGAACCTTTACATAATATAACTGACATGGTCTAGGGAAACTATATCCTATCAATATTTAGAGAACGTAAGACTATCCCATAGAAATGACCATCTAACAGCGTTGGAAGACTTCTTGAATACTATAGCACCATATTCAAATAACTCAATGCTCTTAGTACGAACTCACTCGGCGTGGCGCTAAGTACATCGACTACATAATATCTTATAAAAACAAGACATGTGTTGCAACTTAGACGCACCCTACACAACCCTGCAAAAAGATATTGAATTGCTAGTTACAGGTTTTGTAATGTTTAGGAGAGATCAAAACCTCAGCGTTGGTTGAGAAGCTATGGAAAGGATATTTAAGAGAATGAAGGATAAGGTGGGGAGTTGGGGAAGGAATGGGCCAGACCAGAACGTGAGAGTTCAAGAGAGGGCGAAGGTTTAAATAAGACAGCCTGGCAGAAGGATCAGTGATGGACGATAAAATTGAGAGAGCGGATCAGCAGACAAGTAAATAGGAACATGTACGCTTTTCGGAGATAGATCTACTTGGCGAAGCGTTCAGAATTCAGGTAGTGGTGCGCCGTTATGTTCTAGGTTAAGGAGCAAGTGTTTGAAAGAAAACACTTTGTTGAATAGAGAAAAGGACAGTAACCCCAGTTCTTTTCAACCTAAGGTTTCCCATAACAAAAATTATGTGACAAAGAGTGTAGTACTTCTAAAGTGATTCGTTATGAAAAAGTGAGGTATATCTTGGAACATCAAATTCATCTTCCCCTCCCTTGTATAGAGCTAAACCTCGGGACAACATTTTGATAACCTTGCAAGCACAACATGAATAGCTACTAGAAAAGTCTCTCTAAAGGGCCCAAAAAGATACGTTTTCGAACTAAGCCAACCCGAGGCTGGCCAGTCCTCAGTCATAACGCTAAAGGTGCTCGGACTGGAGGACCTCCAATATCTTACAAGTCGTTATCGCTCAAGCAGGCAAAACTCTCACTGCTTTATAAAATATGTGCTATAGCTTGGATTAAGATGGATCAAGAGGTTAATCTTAGCTCGAAATTAGTTGTTGGTTGAGGGATCCTTGGGGTGGTGAAGTACTGATGGAGAGGTTGCGGAACAGCTAGGTGTCAATGCTGAAGTATTCGTCACCGTGAGGCGTGCAATGATGTTGTTACAGGAGATTATGAGAGTCCAATATCAGAATAATAGGCTGCTGCAATAAACCCCATATTAGTTACTACTAAGGAGCATACAAAGAGTTTGCACTTACAAGCTCAAACCACTTGTCACAGTAGATATAACAAATTTGCTTGGGTGATCCGGTTTTGCTCTAATAATAAAAGCTAGGCGTCCGGTACAGAGATAATTGTTGCCGTAACTAGAGGAGGGTATCCAATTGATAGGAGGCCACACCAGCGCTAATAGTATGTAATTAAGTGACGAACAACTGGGGAGTTTCCAAGATATTCAAATAACATAACTAGTAGTGCAGGGTCCCGTGTGCTCCGCAAGCTCATCAGTGGTTGGAAATATATGTAGAGGTGTAAGAACAAAGCCTACATGTTCAAGGGTCCTCACGCTCAAGAGGCCCTCATGTCTAAGAGGCCTCTACGTTCACGGGCTGAGCAATTGGTCGTAAGAATTGTGAATTAACCCGTCAAACCTGCCTAACCGGTTCGCCGTCGCCCACTGGGGATAAACTACAACTGTTACTATCACCCGATGAGAATAATCTTCTATTGTGAGCTCCCAATAAATTCGACGACAGCATTTCAACCTCATCTCTTCAGTCAGAAACCAACAATATAGAAAAGAGACGGCAACGAAGCAATTTCCTTCACGCCTTCCTGGCCCACAATACCTGAACGGCATCCCTTCAGGTTAGTAACAAGGCGAGCAACATACGGAAATCACATACATCCAATTCTACACTCTCGGCTCGAGGCCATATCAACCTGCCACTTGATTTGCTTGCTTGATAGCGGGAATAGCATCGAAAGGACATCAATATGGAGACCGGTAGCACTGCCCCCAACTCGGTGGCAGATGCCGACCCACAAAGGAATGGTGCGAACACCTCTGGAAGTATCGTTGGCGAAGTTGGAGGTGAACAGGAAGAAAGGGAGCCTCCTGGAGCGCCCCCTGGAGCGCCCCGTATGCGTTTTCGCTCTCTTAGACGGAGGCTCATCTACCCAGAAAGGGCTACGCCAGAGCTCTCCGAAGCGGCAGAACCAGGGGAAGAAAATCCCGTGTTGGTCTCCGATCTGCCAATCTTTCCAGGAGCTGAACCCATATCCCAAACCGATCTTCGAGTCGAAAATGGTTCCATCAATCCCTTAGCGGAAGCGAACACTGCGGACGATAACAGTGGATCTAACACCGGCCCCGAACAACCTCAACATGGCTTCGAGATTCAATCAGGCACACCAAGCGCTGGGAGAGAAGCCATCCCTTCTAATTATCTTTCGCATGGCCAACCACCATCACAACCCGGTATTGCAGAGGCAAGCACTGGTGCTCCCCCTTCACGAGGATCGAATAGATCGGCGCGGCTCTTGTACAGGACTGGCCCAGTGTACAGGCCTGGCCCAGCTAGAAGAGTCCTGATTATTGCCATACCACAATCCGCCGTGCCCCAACCGATGCGAGCAACGTTCCACGGAGGAGCAGAGCCTACCGCAACGGAAGTGCGCAATGTGGGTCAAGGCAGGCGAAGAGAGATATATAACTTTTCTTCGGAGCGACGACAGGAGCTGATGGGGCAGATGATGAGCGACATAGCGCGGTACGATAATGCCAGAGATACAGCTTTCATGCGCGAATATAGGCAGTAACTGGGTACTCAGGACATCCAATCATAGTAAAGGAAATACAAATTACCGCGAGGGATGTGAACGATCGATCTGTCGTCGAGAAGCTTACAGAGGAGGACTTCAACAACGATAAGAACATTTGCCTTGTTTACGACTTCGAGCAGGAACCCTACGGAGGGCTTCCTTGGTTATATCTGGAACCATAGTGATAGGGTAGGCAGGCTATGCTTGAGTTCTGCGTTTAAAGGTTATGCTTAGGTAGGTACTAACCAGGGATTAAGCAACAGCTTGCTGACCAGTCGAATAACTAGTCAGCACATATGGACTGATCGTGTACGATTGATTGAAATGACAAGGTCTACAAAGCCCGACCTAGGAGAAATGAGAGGAGCAGCAAAGGTGTATGAACAATCGAGAATCCTGTATGATCATTCACAAATGCGGAAACTATACCACAATTTTACAATACCATTGACCCTCTATACCAAAGTGTTAAGCATAAGAATTGTGCAGTGCTAGTCTGCTCTTCATTAAGGTTGGGATTATGGCAGTGATATCTAGAAATCAAGGGAAAGATTCGGTGGGGAGAATGGTCGTTCCTTGGAGGGCCCGGTTTTTGCTGCAACACTTGGCAAGAGGCCTCACGGAAGCATTTAAGTGGCCTTGCACTACTCCGTGAATGACTAGTCGATCGTCTGAGACAACGAGCTTGCACTAGAAGAAGAAAATACAGCATTTTCCCTGATTCGAGAGTGTGTGGACCGCCTCTCATCGGAATTCGATGTTGTTCAACGAAGGGCATCCCCTCAAAATTCCTCACGCTGATATTTCACAGTTGAATCCAATCAAAGCGGCATTTCTCAGAAGTGAGTGATCAATGCGCCATACACACTTGGACGGTGGTCTCAAAGATGAATTCAAAAGGTAAAATTTGAACCACAAAATGTCTGAGTTAGAATCAAAGCCATCACGCGTTGAGCTTTCAACGATCACCAGGGATGGCTAGGGTTGATTACTTCTTATTCCATAAAAGATAGGACTAGAACGCCAAACTCCCAGCTCCAGAGTTCAATGCAAGACCTTCCAAAGCAATCCCAATGTTCTCCCAACTTCAGTCCGCTCTAGGGTCCAATCCAGTGACGGAAGGCTATATGTCATGTACAATGTCATTCCTTGGAGCGTCACGCCTTCTTGCTCTTTTCCTCGATATCCTTCAGCAGGCCAACCAAATCTGCCTCATTCCCTTCCATTTCAAGCCCCCGTCCAACCCACTCCTTGGCCTCCTCTAAACGTCCCATTTCCATCAAACACCGTCCCTTTCTCCACCATGCCTTTGCATTGCCCACTTTCTTGGCCTCCACACTTGACTCCGCATCCACGGAACCCTCAACCCAGTTCGACATTGCCATATGCGCCTGCGCTCTATTTGCGTACAGACCAGCCACCTCGTCTCTCACCAGCCCACTAGGTTCCCACGCTGGCCGAGTAAGTGCCATTTGTAGCCCTAGGTCATAGAATCTAATGGCTTCGGGGTGTCTGCCTTTGCGGAATTCGTTGTTCCCTGATTCTCGCAGCTTAGTGATATTTGCGGAGCGTTTTGGGTTGACGGGAATCGGGGGAGGTGGGACGGGCGAATCAAGGGTCAGTAAGGAGCGGTGGATGTTGTTTAGGGTCGCCAGTTCTTCTTGAAGGGCTCGGGAGCCGCTGGTAGATGTGATAGCTTTGGATTGCGGATCCATTTTAAGCGGGAGTAACGTAAAGGTTTCGGTGTCCTCCATGGCGAATGCTCTCTGTGTGTAATATCTCGGATTGAGGGGTGTTGTGTGGAATTTGGTATTGTTCGAATGGAAAATGTCTTTGAAGGTTGTTGTCCAAGTTGTCGTACAGCACAATTTCCGTCTAGAGGACAGCGAGGCTGAAAGTCGGCGACGCACGTGATTGATATCGGTTGAACTTCGGTTCTTTGCTCTCGTCCTTTCTCCGCCTCAACTACGCAACGTCATCTTACTGTGACATATGGAGACATCTCTTAGCCTTCATTGCTTCACCCAACATCATTCGTTATCTCAGCGCAAGTTACCTGATGGCACGGCAAAGGCTGTGCTGGGGGCACGCTCTTGCGATTGGTATATCTCGTGGCGAGCAATTACTGAGATCATCCCATACTCCTCCGGATGACTATGATCTTCAGACCAGCACCAGAAGCATGTGAAGGCTTGCCCAAGCAGGTGACATGCTGAGTCATTCAGAGCGGATATATTATCGTGATGTGCTCTTATTTAGAAGTCTTAGTTCTATTCTCATTCATCTCATTGATTTGATACCCTATAGTACAACAGGACCAGGCATTTCTTCAAAACGCGAGCCAAATAAATCACAACTCTCAGCGCCATCGTTGCAACAATCTCGTCCCTGTTACCCTAAACTCCGGCACCATCCCCTCCAGTGCCTCGTTTCTCAATATATTAACCAAGGGGAGGCCGAACATCATCGCCACCGAAACCACCTCCAGCGCGACGCAGGCCTAGGTAAAGACTCACTCGATAAAAATGTGTGGCGGTGTACTCCACGTTATCTGGTGGGAAGTCTACGATCTCTGGGACGGCTTCCTGCTAGGTCTCGGACGATTCTTGTATAAGATGGGTCTATAGCTGGGTCTGACGCACCACAAAATGCCACGCTAGATACAACCCCTCCAACATGACGAGGAAGCCATGAGGCATCCATAACCAACTCCACTCAAACAGGCTCAGGGACTCCCGAACTTCGATAGTTTGGGAAAATCCGAACCAGACATGCAGAGCCATGGCCGATACTAATCGGCAGACATCCTCAACAGCAAACTAGCGCCGCTCGGACTACACCGTGGCTGCCTGATCCACGAATTTTAAATATGTGTACACTTGGCATATGCTGTCAGCTATTTCTTGGGCGTGGGTCAAAGGGTTTAGGGAGGACTTGTCATTCCGATACTCCGTATTCCCATATTCAGAGTGAACTATTATCATGTCGACGATGTGGACTATGGCTACGTGCTTAATAAGCTTTTGCAATTTCCGTCGTTTGGTTATTGCCTTATGAATGTTATATTTGAGTCATACAATCATCCCAAATTATGATATATCGCATTGTAGCGTAAGACCGATATACTCGAGTGGGCAAGACTATTCGTGTTCCGGTCCTTATTTCCGGCTTTGTGGCGCTGCCATTACCAAACTTAGTTATTCTCCGATTGGCAACAAGGCGCGCATTCTAGAAAAACCAAGAATGGCAGATGACTTTTGTTGCACGTCGCAAAATACTGCACGTTTTTCGTCCTTGCGCCAAGAGCCTCCTGGCCAATTGTTGATGTTGAACTGGTTCTCAGCACGTGGATATCGCGTGGTATCCCGCCAACGCCCACATTATAAACAGAAGGGTGGCTCTTACGGATTATAAAGGATTTCGTAAGAGCTACTCAGACCACTAGGACTTTTACACATTTGGGAGTCTCTTTGGGGTTCAAAAATGAAACCAGGGTAAGGCGATTGGGGGGTTTTAGAGGTCTCAGGAAGGCATAAGCAGCAAGCCTGCATCCAGTAATTGTTGATGATATGCATGCAAGGTAACTGACTTTGAGTCCTCTGTAGCTTTACTTTCGGTGGTAGTAATTTGTGCTATATGTTCTTGTGTACGTATCCCACTCTACAGTAAATATGAAGTGCGAAGTCCGGGAATAGGGTTTGACTTTGCATAGTATTATTCAACAGGTATTCCTGGACATGGTAACCAAATATACATTTAGCTTTTGACGAGGTGAAGCGGCTTTTATGTCATAACCTAGAACCATACTTAAAGAATGGGGGGTTTGCAACGAACGTGTTTTTGACCCTTATATATTTCCATAGGCCTGTAATTACAGCACAAAAGGCGACCACCAGGCTTGGTGGTTCAGGTCAAATTGCTGGGCCGAGATAGAAGTAAAGACGACTACGACAAAACGACAAGAGACTAGGCATTCGACACTGGGCTCAACTCTTTTGCTTTTGCTATTGAAGTGATATTTATAATCCCTAATAGTTTCTTTTTCCCTTTTTTGAAATATTTAGATTAGAGCGCACTGCTTTTATAAGTGTTGATATTTTTTTCTCGGATTTCTTTTACGTCTTCGAGAATAGACGAGGTTGTCGTTTTGAAGGTGAACAACCTTAGTGGCAGGCTCGACTTGTGTATGGCTAGGGGAAGGAGCTTTCTCATTCCCCAGGAACCATATTCCACTTCTCGATTGGTATTTCTGCAACCTCTTGGGAATCCCGCAAATCCTTTCTTGAACTTTGGGCACCCCGGCCTTGATGCGGTGCCTCAAGTTTCCCAACACTCTAATCGCAGCACGTTTCTTCGATAAACACAAATATAAACCTATACCGTACTGCTCATGCTTGTGGCAACTGGAGGATGAAAATATCCACCATGGAGATACCCTGATCTTACGTAGCAATATTTGCAGCAGTGTAAGGCAAAATTTATGTTCCAAAATCATAACTGGAGCCTCTAGCGTTTCCCCTCTCTGAAAATTATCTAATACAGCCCTCGTCAACAAACTCGCAGTTTCTTTCTTGCTTGCGCCAATTCCAGCTTATATCAATCACCTCATGCGTATTTCAGCGCATCGGTAATAATGCCTGTCAATCCAATGCACTCCTCTTCTCTAAATCGTCGACAGACAAGCTGCACCGCAATTGGGGCGCCAGCGTACTCCTTGGGAGAATCTATATATGGTGGGTATATATCAGCATCAAAAGTCAGCCAGATGAATGAGAAGAAAGACTTACACATAGCTTGAATCTCGGCATCCCTAGCACTAGCAGGTTTGAATTCTTTATCGATGGGATCGAGTTCAGGATCGACAGCTGAATGAACGGGGATGACCATGGCTGGATAATCTATCAGATTAAAGAGGCTTGTATAGATGGTATGTCTATACAATTCATATGTCAGCCAGAGGTCAGAGGCATCAGGGCTGATGCGCTAGAGTAATATTAAACAATGCCAACAAAATACAACCTACTTCGGCCACTTCCCATGCTTATGCGCGACATGCGCACAAGGGGGTAGAATCAACCCGTCAATTGGTTGCCCTATGCTTGAAAGCTTCGCTGTAGCATTCCAGGCTTTGAGCCATGCATCTTGAACTCTATTTTTTTCCACGTTCAACTGCCAGCTCTCATATACGCTGATGGGCAGGTCGCTTTCACCAGTGACCATCATAGGGTGACGGGGCTCTCCTGATGGAGCGAGGGTGCGTCTGAGATCTTCGCCACCGTCAGAAGAGAATATTCCCATAACGACCTTTTCCGCTTCTTGGCTATCAAAAGGGGGTTCGAAGTCGACGACTATAGTTACAACTTGTCAGAATTATTCCTGCAGGAAATACCAAAATTCAATACCTTCATATCCAGCTTTGGCAAGAGCAGAAACGGTCATCTCGATAGCTCTTCGTACAGGTGGCCAAGGCATAACATACTTATCCCACCTCATAATTCCGTAAACCGGCTTTCTTGGTGTGCCATCTGCATTCCTCAAGTGATGCAGGCTTGCCATTTCTTGTCTCCATGGTATCTCAGGGGTTCTAGAGTCGAGCAACCATGGCTTGGCATCTAAGACTGCTTTTACGAATGCGTAGACCCCGGACAGAGAGTTTGAAATGGGACCGAGTGTGGGGGCAACGCCTTCAAAACCGAGTAGAGAGTTTCGTGCTCCAGCATATGGGAGGCGATTGGAGGTTGGGCGAAGACCATAGAGGCCGTTGTATGCCGCTAGGAGCGAAGCTGTGAGTGGGAATACGGGTGTGAATTTTAGATGATGTATTACCTGGGACGCGAACGGAACCGCCTAAAATGAGAAGAATGGGTTAGTTTCAGAAGTTCGGCATTAGAGTAGCAGGGAAAACGAACCAAGATCAGTGCCAACACCGATTGCACTTCCATGCCTAGGTTCGAATTCAGCACCTTTTTTGTATTAACCTCAATTACTGAGGCTTACATTGATACCACAACGCCCTCTCCGCCGCTTGAACCTAATGAAACATCGTCACGTCAGCAAATACGCCGTTGTTATAATGGTGAACACAACTAACCGCCACAAGTCAAAGTTCTATTAAATGGATTGTCGGACCTTCCATAAACATAATTATCCGCCTCGGGGAACTGCGTAGATCACAAGTCAGTTCGGGGCAGCATAGCATTGACAACAGCAAATATATCCTGGACGTACCATCAGCGATTGCGAGACGTTTATCCTGAACGGAAGACTTGGTAAGTTGTCAGCGGACTGGCATAACAAGTGCCTTGCATAGAACATCTTACATAGCCCCGGCATCCTGGAGAATGTCGACGAGGACTGCGTTTTCCTCGGAAATGTGTCCAATCCAGGAAACAGTCCCCATATTGCATTCTACATAAAATTAAACTACGTTAGAGATTATTAGGCGCTTAATAAATATGTAGACTTGCTCACCTGTGCCTTTGATTTGAAATTGGTCCTTTAAAGATATGGGCAAGCCGAAGAGGGCACCAGTTGGCTTGCCAGTTTTTGCAAAGACATTATCGAGTTCCTTCGCTCTATGAAGAGCTTGGGTAAAGAATATCTCAGTCAGGCAGTTTGTAAGCTGTGGAAACTCATATTCAGCTCATCGTCTACATTGATTTATTCTCAAGAGGGCATACCTGGTGAGCAATTGCCGCTGCTTTGCAAAACGCCGTGGTGACAGCCAAACAAGTAATATTTCCGCCCGCTAATTCGCTCAACAGCTCACTGGTATCTTTGCACACAATTTCAAGCTCTTCCTTACTAAGTATTCCGCATTCCGCAGTGAAATTAATTACTTGGACTTGTTCCTTGCTGGGGAGCTTGTCTTCGGGAATTCGCCATTCGACAGGAATAAGTTCTAAAGGAGAATCAGCATAAGTGCAACATCAGAGGCTAGTGCGCGCTCATTACGAAGCTGTTCAAAATTCTTCTTCTGGATTGCCTCTGCGAAGTCAGCCGCCGTTTTGACTGATTTTCCCGGCATTTTTGTTGTTCCTACACAAACAGTTCAAGTACAATGAAGACTCGCAAGTCACTTCAGAAATATTTTAAATAAACAGGAGAAATTAGCAAGACATTGGCGATGTTTGTGTTAAGATTCGACACAAGAAGTGCAATCCAGGGTGGCTTGGGTGTTCTGCGGTAGTCTCTGTATAAATATAACTCCCTAAACAACGTTCCATAACTTCTACCTCCACTCTTCGTGGGGAAACCATTACCCGCTGGCCTTGGTACATCAGAAAAGCAACACGGGCCATGACTTGAGGGGCGGAGAAACCTTCCGATGCCCTTTCGGCGTTATCTGATGCCGAACAGCCGGAGGGCTTGAGTGTTTCCTGCCATTCACTTGGTCCTCGGGCGAGAGCTCCGTCTTGGAGACAGCCATAGCGTTTCGACTTCAGCCTTGTCTAAGCCCCACGGTCGATGCTTGGTAAGTAGGCCATTGAAGTGGTTCGCTCACAGAAACCAAGTGCCCCACAACCCCTTATTTCCCCTAAGTGGGGTGAGGTTTAAGCGAGACTGACTTGTTACGTCCAGTGTTACCCAACATGAATCCTAACCGAAGTCGGACGAAATATGTTCTAGCCAGGAAAGACTGCTTTAGGCGTGTTAGGTGCATATACTATGAATTTCTTGTTTATAATTGAAGAGCACTATAGAGAGGTGTAGGAATCAATGAAAAAATTCGGCTGCTCTACGTCGGTATTCCTCAAATATCAAAGAATATAAGAAATAAAGGAAGTCATCAGGGTCTTGAGAGGCGATCACTTGTAGGCCTACTTATCTAGTCTTTGACATGAGGATAACCCAGCTACAAATATATGCTGGGCAAGGTCAAGGGGTACTGCCACAGCAGACCCATCCACGTTGGCAGTGTGGCTGTGGTTCATATATATCCATACTGCGACAACACCTATCATTAAGTACCAAAACCAATGAAAGAGGAATCAGAAAATAAAAATTGTCATGTAAAATTCACCAAAAGACTGTAAGTAAGAAACCGTACTCTCACATCTCGCGAGGCTTGGATCATAGGATTAAAAGAATCGCTAGATTATGGCAGCTTATGGCTTAACATATCAGCGCATATGGAGCTAGCCTGGTCCTGTTGTGGTCGGCCGGCCGCGATCAGCCTGCTTTGCAGTAAGTGGTAGTTGTCTGCAACATAGACTGATGCCATAGGGTTCCGAATTAGATCAAAATGTGTCACCTAGAAGCCTGTCTTTCGCCCCAATCAACCCAGCGCCTTATAACAGCATCTACCGCCTTGACGCCTTCCCTGCTGGCATCCACCTCGAACCATTCTCGATGCTCTCTCCCACAAGCGCCACATTTACCGCTGTTTTGTGCTCGCTTTGCATTCAACTCGATATGAATCAATCTCTCCACCTTATGGGCATTAGGGACCTTTCTCGGTGTCCGTGGCGTCTCGTTCCCATCCGGCATCGTTGTTGGATGGTAAGGGTAGTAACGTATGAGGGACAAATTATATCCACATTGCCGCGTCCATTGATTGAGACGCCGTTGTACGTTTTGAGCTCTCCCAATCTTCAGAAGCATCGTTTTCCTATTTTGTGTATTCGGGGTAGTCGACGAAAAGGTATTTAGGACGTCGGAGGTTCGTCTATGGCCATGACTAGGCCGTGCGGGAGGGGCGAGCAAGGAGGATGCAGTTTCGGAAGGGGGATCTGCTGGGAGGGATTCCAGGGTAAGCCAGAACATATATATGAAGCCTTCGTCATCGTTTTCTGAGACTGGTTTGGCTAATTCGACGAGTAATAATGCTGTGGTTTGTGGTGGAGTGGCTGCTGGGATGAGAGAGAGGAACTCTCCCGTTTGGGAAGAAGGATCGCGGTCTATCAATGGCCTGTTGAATTTCTCTTTCGTCGGTATACTAGAACGATTGTGCGTAGATATGGTAACAGTCGTGTCCCCGCCTGGTTTGTGGATTGGTCTTGGTGCCTTTCTGCTTTCGTCTACCTCCCCAATACAACAGAGAAGCACCAAATTACTCCTCGGCTTCCGCTTGGGCCTTTGCATATCTGGGGGTTTTCGCTTTTCCGAAATCTGGGGAGGATTGGTGCCATCATTCGTAGCTTTCTTATTGTGGAAGCCAGAGGATGAGCTGCGCTGATGGCGTCTACGCGCTTTCCTCTGCTCAACCTCAAGCAGACCCAATCGATCAACCAATGTGTCTACACTTGTTCGTTCTCGAATCGTGCCGTCGCGGCGTTGTGGTGAGGCTGAAGGGGAAGTGTGGGCTGCTGCTTGATCTTGATGTTGCCAACAGAAGCCTTCTGGGTTTAGTACTCCTGGTGAACTTGGTCCTGGAGAAGATTGAGGACTCTTGGAGATTGCTCTTCGACATGACCGGCCGTTCGACGTAAGGCCTCTGCAGGTCACTGCTGGGTTCTTGGAATCGGACCTGGAGAGGAGGGACTCTGGAGTATGTGGAATAAAAGGCATCGTTTTTACCCTTGTAGATAGAAACTAAACAGGTAGGAAATTATGTACAAACCCGAAATATAACGAGACGAGATGCTGCAGCATACCTACGTAGTATATCTGTTATGTGTAGCCTTGGAACGTGGCAGTACGAAAGTAGTGAGTTTCTGAATTCATCTCGACCAGTGGTTCATTGGAGAAGATGCGATAACAAGAAGGCTGGTGTTGTGGCTGGGGACCGAAGCTTGGCGCGAGGCGGAATTCGTTTAGCGAGCCCCTGACCCCTAATTTTGGGACTCCCAGTTTCCGCTCTTGGATGTCGGAATTGATCTTCTTGTGGTAAAAGGCCAACAACCCTGGAGTGTTCAGTCTTTCCATAAATTCTTAGGTAGTTAGCTCTGTCGAAGGATGGCCGCGAGTCCTTTCACTCCTTCCACTGGCTACTGTTGTACTTTAACGTAAAAAGTACATTGATAGACAGGTAAACAAAACCCCCAATTTCTACTCTTAAACTAGCTTGTCCATTGATAGATTTCTCTAGGTATGAACTGATTTGTTAAAACTTGCCATCCAATTGCTGGCTTATACGATGAGCCACACCTATTCACGTGCTATATTGCTTCATGGCGGCGTTGGTTCCATGCATCGACCAGTGCTGATTATGGTGGTGGCGGGATATAGACCTTTACGTGGGCATATTGCACCCATCTTTCCGTCTCTCATCTCAAAACTTTGACTTAAAGGGCTAGAACTTAAAATTCCCCATCTACAAAGCTCCCCGGCATTCCTTTAAATAATTTCAAATAGCTCAAAACACGGATCCGGGCCATAACCCCTGTGGTTGAGAAAGGGGGTACTCGCAATCTTGTAAACTAGATAACGTATGCCAACAATGCAAGCTCTGATTACACTCCTGATGCAGATTCTCACCTGATGACAAAATGGGCAGCGCTCTAGCTAGTTTCACTAAACTTTGCAGATATAATGAAAGAAATAATGAAGATATACCACCATGTTTCGAATTTGGAGCCATTTGCTAATATTGAGAGAGCGGCCGGTAGCCTTATGGTTTGTATCCAACGCAGCATCTTCCAAAATGCATGAGAAATGAAGTCAGTAGTTGAGGTGTGGTAGAAAGAGAGCCGTGCCATTACGAGTAGGTGTCATGAAAGCAAACATGAGGAGTGCCTCAGAATCGCAACAAATCTAACCTGTAGTTTTTAGAGCATTTGATAATAGTGTAAATAGACAAAGCACCGCAAATAAAAGAAAGCTGCCAGTAGCAGTCTCAGGTTATATTTTAGTAAATAGAGAAGTGGGGTCTCGACAGTTTGCCTACCTACAGCCGAAAGCTTCTTAATTATTATGCACCATAGCAAAAGGCAGCAGTTGTTTTAAGAAACCGTAGTATAAATACGCAGTCAGTAAATGAGGGGTATAATGGCCTCCTTTATGTAATGATCTCCCGTTTTATACTCGAACCTCTGTTCCCAGCCACCGAAGTAAGGTGCCAATGTATGAACGCCGTAACCGTCAGACCGCTCTCAATCCCCTTCATTATTCATGTTCCGTAGCTGGCAAATTTCTTGGTATCTCTCCGATCCCCGGGGGTTCAGCCTACGCTGCAGCTTCCGCAGTAACAGGGAATTCCTTCGGCCAGCACTTCTCCTTTGTCCAGACTTTCTGATCGTGAGTCTCGGCATGAACTTGCAGCTGCTTCAAATTCGTATTGACAATTTCTTTCCGGCAATTAGCGCACTATATTGCGCAACACCGTATTATTTAGCCCTGCATCTCTATTATGGGTATAGGTACTTCGTATGTCTTCTGGTTTAGACTAGGCGTTTTGTCTGGTGAAAGTGAAGGACTTGAAAGGGGCACAAGGCATGGATTTGGACCTACGAGAGAGGTCGGCTTCGCGGCTTTCACAGGAAGACCGTTGGCCTTGACTGGTGCGCGCGTTCCTGCTGCTTCAGCTTTGCGATGCTCGCGTTGGACCTTGAATGGGATTATCAGCACTTCCTCAACTAACTGGTCATGGAAGAGTTGCAAGGGATAAAATACCTTCATTTTCTTGGAGACAGGCATAGCTGCGATTGCGATGTCGATCTTTTGGGTGGATAGATTCGAGTGGAGTTTGTATAGCGGAGCGATAAGGCGACAAAGGATGTGCAGGTTCGAAGTCTCGAATTCGCTTTGAAATTCTCATGAACGCCACGACCCACTTTAAGTCGCATCGCGGGGTGGCCAGATCACGTGAATCCCCCCNCCCCCCCCCCCTTTTCTTTCCAGCTCGCCTCGGAATTTCGTTTTCGAGTTCAAAGACATTTCAACACTACTAAGTCACTAGCCTATAGGCCTCATCAAGGTAGAAACATGTTATATAATAAATTATTTGTTGCCATTTCACCACATAATCTCTCGGGGCTCATTATACCCGACCGACGATTCATGAGTCTACCGTAGATGTGACTCTTGTCAAACCTCTACCTGGCTACAGCAAGCAGCTTATGCGCTTTGCTTTGCCCGTTGCTACCTTGTTCAGGTAGCGATAAAGTGACTGCTCCTGACGTACACAATCACATAACAGTAGGTATCTTTTTGCTCTTCGGAGTCTTATCACCTCCGAACCCCCTGTCAGAAATTACCAGGGTAAAGGAGCTCAAGATATCTTCCACCACCGAAGGCTACAACAAATCTTAGAATAAGGCGGACAGTTTTGATTTCCAATCCTCATTGTGGACTTGCTTCGGACTATACTCTTGAAAGATGACTGAACGTTGTCTTTGCCTTGAACACACAGTACGCTTCCCGCAGTACAGGTTTGGCACCTTTGAATGGGCATATAACGGTTTGGTCTTTTCCTCAAACTCTGCTTTTACACAGAATTCACAAATATTTTTCTTTCCCTGAATTAGATCTCAAATCATAAACCTCTCCATATCAAGCAACATTTCTGAAACTCAGCATCTTTTCCTCTGTTAAAATGAAGCTGCTCGTAGTCATCGGCCTGACGGGAGAACAAGTAAGGCACCAAGTACTTCATGTCCTCGTAACACTCGGCTGACACCTAGCAAGGGAAGTTCTGTAGCAGAACTTTTCTCCCACAAACCAGGCTGGAAAGTCCGCGGTATAACCCGCAACCCCTTCTCTCCCAAGGCTCAAACATGGCTCTCCAAAGATGTTGAAGTAGTGAAAGCGGATCTCAACGATCCCTCATCGCTGAGTTCGGCATTCTCCGGCGCCACTGCTATCTTCTCCTATACCAACTTCTACGAGCCTTTCTATAGCCCTGCAACGAAATCACTGCTCAAAGAAGGACAAACAATCAATGAGTACTGCTTTGAGAAGGAGTTGCAACAAGGGAAAAACATCGCTGATGCTGCAATTAAGGTTGAGGGCCTGGAGCGGTTCGTTATTTCAGCGGAGTGTGACTCGAGGAAGTGGAGCAGGGGCAAGTACACCTGGGTGTATCATTTTGAGAGCAAGGCGAAGATGGTGGATTATATCAATGAGCGTTATCCACAACTCGCAGGGAAGATGAATATCATATATATGGGTGGTTATATGTTGAACTGGAAGGAACATTTGCATTTCAGGAAGGTATGTTAGCCTACCAAGCCCTTCAGTTAGTAGAAAGTCGAGCAATGCTAATACCAAATGGTACTTATAGGCAGAAGATGGTACTATTCGCATGGCTATCGTTAAAGGGCCCTCGAATGCTTCCCGCCCTATGATCGATACCTCGCGAGACATTGGAACTCTTGTGAGCGCAGCAATCGAAGCCGCTCCAGGCAAGAAAATCCTCGGTGCCGGGGATAATACCTCCTTGGAAGATCAATTCAAGCTCTGGTGCAAGATCCACAAACTTCCCTATGGTGGTTTTGACGTGATGACTGTTGACCAATTCGATAAAATATTGCCTATTCCTGGACTAGGGCGGGAGATTGGAGAGATGATGTTGTTTGGGGATGAATTTGGATGGGGAGGTGGTGAGGATGTTGTTCTTCCGCAAGATGTCAGTTTGTTTCTACCCTCTCGGCGCGAAAGGACCATTTACTAACTAGGGCCTTTTAGCTCGGAGTTCCTTGTCCGCTGACAAGCTGGGAAGAATATATCAAGTTGGAAGATTGGTCGACGGTAATTTCTCCTTTGATGTGAAGATGCACTTAATCCATCATCTGCCAACACGCTGTGCAGATCATCGAGCTTTTAGAATGAATAAAATGTCTACAGGCTTTAACTAAACTTGCTTGCACCTTGTGACTCCCCGAAATCCTACCTAGAAAAGAACCAAAACCCTAGTTTTGCTTAGAATTTAGAGAAGAAAAGGAAGTAATCCCTGAAAATGGTGTTATAAACCTCTAACTAAAAGTCAAGGAAGGACTGCTTGCCCTTTAGGTGTATTTGCGAGTCTTTAGAAGCTGGAAAGTTGAGTTGTCTCTGGCATAGCATCCAGGATCGCCCAGGCAGTTTGGTATTGTCGTTCGTTTTCGCAGGGTGCTTTTAGCTATCCATTCCACTCCATTGTACTTCCTAGGCACCTGTCTCTATTTGTTACAGAAATTAGTTATTTTATTTTATTTACGACCCCTAGTAAAAGAGACTTGGCGGTGTCCGTTGCTAATGTTGCTAGTTTCCCTTCGAACACCATTATCCGGTTTTCCAAAGAAGTGGCCTTCGTGCCCAAAAATATTCCTAAGTGATTCTGAAATTTTTGGGGTTCCTCGGCTTCAATGCGCTAAAAGGAGGTGAGTTGGTATTGATAGTAGAGCATTGCTGCTCGGCTTCGGAGAAAGCAATTTAACCATCTTACATGATATCTAAAAACACCCAAACTGCCTCGAAAGTAACCCATGTCCCACTCAACTTGACGGGGTATATATTCCACTCCTATCCAGATGTCTCCATGCAAAACGCAAACCCAACTCCTTGCTATCGCGGTTGAAAAATCATGACTGCTTCCCATACAGCACCACATTCCACACCCTGGGTATTAGATTTGCAATTAACCCGAAGGCGGCAAGCACTACGAATATATTTCCAACCTCCCACCAGTGGGTGAGCTTAACTTCCGTATCAATGTAGCCATCATGGGTTGCGCCTTTCGTTGCGGCTGTGTCGGCTAGGAGTCGGCCTGTGGTTAAGTAATGCTCTATCAAGGCATCCTTTTCATACCATCGTTCTCTCAACCACAAATCAAATTCTTCTGGCGTATTGAGTGGTATGTCGTTGAGGACGAATCGTCTCCAGTGCATATTTACGGATGGCGGGGGTCGCCCTTGCAGATACATGGACCGCAGAGTAAAAAAGTCCTGGCCGAATTTCGCTCTCCTGGTCTTGTTAGCTAGGTTCGAAGAGAAGCTGTGAAAACTTACCCTACGCCCCCATATACTAATGTACAGTCGTACACGTAGTCAACCGTCCCCTTCAACTCATTTAGACAGAAGTAGGACCCAGTACTTCGGGGTAGAAGTGTATGTTCCATATCCTTGACCCCAATCTTCTCGGCCCATTGCGCGCTTTTCGCCCTGCCATTATCGCTCGCATTTGTTCCTTCGGGGAAAAGCAAAAGCCACATAGGGTCAAGCCCCGATGTTCCTGACAGCGGTCCGGAATGTACCTCTTTCAGTTTTCTCAGCCTATAAGCAAGCCTTGGTTGATCCGTGGTCATCTTTCGCGTCATGAAAATAAAGCCATAGAACCTCATGCCCCAGCCAATTATTGGAACGTGCTTGAGCGACTCCTTTAATATGATGTAGATGTGGCCGTGCATTCGGGGCTGGTTCGTGTAGGCTATCCACCACATGTAAAGCCAGTCGGTGTATAACTAAAAGGATCAGCAGAATTCAAGCCCACTGCTACGCTCTACAAACCTGATGATTCGCTATCAGAACGATCCGATCTGGGAAATCACATTCAACCCTCCCATCTGCCGTTTTATGCAACTGCCCGGCCATCGAAGAATCGCCACTTATCCGCACCAGAGTCGGCGACCACCATTGTGTTACTGTCGTAACAGTAATACCGAAAGATTGTTTCGTCAGTGCCATGTAAGCATAATAGAGGTCTTTATTAATCCAGTACAGCGGTACGCCGAGGAACTGTGTGGCACATATTCTACACAGGTTAGCCAGTTCGACGACAGGACCAAGTTACAGGGACGTACGAGCAGGATGCAGCGAGAAAATATGTGGCAAATGCTACAAGTCGCAGAATCTGGACAAATCCTCCATGTTTGATATCTCCTCCTGGGTGTTCCTGTTCCTGCTCCTGCTTCTGTGCGTATTTGTCCGGCGTTCCGACACTGATATCAGTTGCAGCTGCCGGCTTCCTTTGTCTGAGCGTCTCTGTCGCCATGATTATTGCCTCATCCCCAAGCAGTAGGGCGATGGTCCAGTTTTCTAAGATGCTGAAGAGCGGTCTGTCCTGCTTGTCGCAGCCTTGCAATGTAAGGTAGAGGTTGCCTGAGCTGCTTTGGATCTGTCCTGATCAACCTGGTAGGTACAGGCAGCGTATCATTTGCGTCAGCGAGGGGTCTTGTGGCTCAGCTCCGTGCGTGGTGACTCGAGAATGTCGTTCAAGCTGGCCAAGGCACTGTATCAAAGGGCAGCTGATACTCCAGCATCCATGCCCGCTGTTAATAATGCTCCAGGTAGTTCCGCAAGGTTACTTTGCACACGAGTAATGTCGCAACCTGGACGGCTCCAAGGAGAATAAGAATAAGAATACCTCGCAGCGAGCTGCTAAGCAAGGCTATACAATCCGGCACTTGTGGCATCTAAGCTTAAACGAGATTTTCCTTATCGATAAAGCTCTCCCTAACTCCGTCTTGCCCGGCGTCAGTACAAAAGCATTGCTAGCTTCATCAGTCCTTGGCGGCATAGCCAACCTATCTCCTAAGCTTGATTAACAACACACAACATCACTTTTTCCCGGTATTGGCGATGACTACAGAACCTTTCTCGTATTTCCTGAGTATTAGACGCCATTTATGATGATCTACCGCGAGGGCCCTTCTTCTGCGACGTCGAATTTGCTGGTTAGCCTACAATACCAACATCAGAGCGCCTCGGCCACCACATACCCTTTATCGTGACAACACCAACACCAACGCGAAGACTGACACAAAGCTACATGCGATGATATTAAGGTGCCTGCCATGGAGAATTGGGAGTTGTATACGAGGACGAGGCTTTAGTAGCACAGCCGCGAGAAGTGACATATTGGATGTGGAATCCCTCCATGATAGAATCATTCCTCGATATCAAGGTAAGACTCCATTCTTGCAGGAAAACCGTCTCTAACAGCCTTATAGAAAGCAATACGAGCGATCTGCTCTCGCTACAATGGCCATCTCCGCCGCGAAATATCCTCCTAATCAAGAAAGATGGCGCACCGAAAGTCACAGAATCTCTCGTGGAGTATGCCAGGCATATCCATTCCAACTACAGCAATGTCTCCCTCATTTTCGAGCCTAAAGTCGCGGCACAGATGCACAAGCACTTTACATTCCCAATCTACACTCCCAGTACATCTCGCGCCCTTCCAAAAAAAGTGGACATGACCACTACGCTCGGTGGAGATGGCACAATTTTACACGCGTCATCCCTCTTCAGCACCACACTGCATGTGCCCCCTATTCTGTCTTTTAGCATGGGCACACTTGGCTTCCTTGGAGAGTGGAAGTTCGAAGAATATAAACGCGCTTTTAGAGAAGTTTACATGTCTGGGGCAGGAGCTGGTCCCCCGTTACTGCAGGATCAGAAACATCCCCATGTTCAGTCGGAGTTGTATGAGACGGGAGATGTAGTCACCGGATGGTCAAGCGTTAGGGGGAAATCAATGGGCGCAACCCGCAGCTCGAAAGTTCTTTTACGGAACAGATTAAAAGTCGGGGTTTATGATGCCGATGGGAGGCGTGTCATTGGAGATAACACGGCGGAAAGCGCTGACGTCGATGTCCGCGCTATGAATGAGGTTACCATTCATCGTGGAAAAGAAGCCCATATGGCCATCATTGACGTTTTTGTTGGTGGTCGCTTTTTGACGGAAGCTGTAGCCGACGGAATGATCATCTCTACGCCGACTGGGAGCACAGCATATAGCTTGAGCTCAGGAGGGAGCATCGTCCATCCATTGGTCAACAGCCTGTTATTGACCCCTATTTGTGCGAGGAGTCTGTCATTCAGACCGCTGGTATTGCCTGCAAACACGCCGATTACCCTAAGGTTGAGCCCGAAGAACCGAGGAAGGGAATTGGAAGTTAGCATCGACGGCAGAAGACGTAGTCATGGCGTCGGCGTTGGAATGGAGGTCCGCATCAACGGAGAAGATCTTGCGAAAGGCTCAGAGTGGGTTGGTGGTGTTCCTTGTGTCATGAGGGGAGCCTCATCCGGAAGGGAAGATGACGACGGTTGGGTTGGGGGTTTAAATGGATTGTTGAAGTTCAACTATCCATTTGGGGAGGAATGAGAGCACCGGAATCAACCTCTAGAACCGGATGAATGATCCTTGCCACGAAGTACATGAGCCTTCTCTCTGCCGATTGATTGTCGTGCATGCCTTCAATGCATATCTACTCTCGGCGTATGTCAACAGAAAACGTGAACTTTTTATGGAAGTGCTTCTGACCGGCCACTCGTCACAAAGGCGGCTGGTAGGGTAAACCTCCATACTCTTATAGTGCGTGCTAGAACAGAACTATTGCATATGGATACTAGGAAGCATGGGTGCATTGTGGTGTCGTTTTCACCGGGAGTGAGTCCCGCACAAGGCATCTCTTCACTGTCGGTCCTGCGGCCCTTGGATGCACTTGGGGCTTCGTGGGAAACGGAAGTGTGCCCCAAAAATGACTGCAAAACAACTACGAAGCACCCAAGGAGTCCTTGAAGGGTTGCTGCTGATTATTAGGTGGTTATGCTTGTGCTGCCAGTGCTGCTGCTGCGCCAGTGCTGTTGCAGTATCCTCTCTAGTCACTCAAAGTGGTTGGTGCCAAATTATACCGAGGGTATAATTTTTGACAATCGCAGAGTCTGGCCAGAAAGTTGCTGTACCGGCATGACTAACATGGGCGTGGCCGTTTGTAAAACTTTGCTGGTCGATTGAAGCCACTGGCAACCGTTAGTGCCTTGGTTAAAACAATAGACCGAGTTTACTACATATTACTACTCGTATTCACTACCTACCTAGCTAGATACTGTGGTGGGGCAGTTGTTTTTGCCTCCAAAATGTATTAGAGCCCATGGATAGGTGGAACCAGCTGGGCTTCAAAGCACCTGGCTCTTACTATCCTCTTTACACTCAAGCAAGCACGCATACAGTGACTCATCAAGAGACTCAAGGATGAGGGCGCAGGAGCCAGTCCTTTTGCCTTCGCAGATAAACACGAATAAAATGAATTTGCTCTATATGATTTGATTAATGGATCTTATGACTATTAGTCATCCTGAATACCGTCACCTGGGTGCGTCCTGAATATTCACTCTCAACAAGTCTGAACCATTGCTGCTACATGACGACTTGACGATACAGCGACATCGCGACTGGCTCTAAAATTACCTACGGCCAGTCCCCTATCCTGTGGGCTCCTGACAAGCGATGATGTTGGTTGTTTTATACATGTTCCCTCCTAGTATTTCTAAGGGTACTTCCTACCCCTCGACAGTAGGTAGATAATAGAGCATTATATATCCTTCAACTTTCTACTAGCATATAGTCAAGCTAGTCTCAAAGGGAGCCACAGCAATATGGAACAATCTCAGTTCTTCACGGAAGGAAGGGTCAGGTATAAAACAGTTCATATCTCTTCAAGCCGAAATCTGTTTATCGTACCACCGAAGCAAAGTCTCAATTTCGCCAACACGTATTTGTCTACCCGTAAATATCAATCGTCATATAATTTACCGTTGGTTTTCATTCCCCTTTTATTGCCGCTAGGCTCCCCTCCTTGTAGAGTTTTGTTGCACATCGCACGTTTGCTAAATGACTCAACTTGCCAACTCTCCTCCTAGAGTTTTGTTGCATGTCGCACCCGAGAGAGTTGGGAAATTGAGACATTTAGCAAACGTGCGATGTGCAACAAAACTTTATTAGTAGACGGCTTAACTCGCTCTTATGGGAAGATTTAAGATGTCAAATAAAAGTGCGACTTAGACAAAAGTGCGACATGCAACAAAACTTTATAGGGGAGGGCGGTCGAGCTCATATCACATCGGTGAATTGAATATACCTCGACCAATCCTTAAAACGGCACAAGACCTAACAACCGCGTCCTTTTAAAAGCCATCACCTATCGGATAAGAGCTGAGCTCTAACAAACATTCCCAAAAGCAACCTTTGCTCTTTACTTCAGACGCACAAAAATAGCTACTCGAATCAGGTGCTGCAACTTCGACTAGATACGTTAATCGCTATTGTCAGGTATCAACAAGTTGTTTTAATGCGGATTGCAACTGTAAACCTCAGCTTTTCTTTAGACTCCAAAAGGCCCGGCCTTCGAAAGATGTCGAATTCTATGCCATGGTTCCAGCGCCCCTACCAACCATTTAATCCCCCCGCTATATTTCAACTTCGAGTTCCGAATGAAGCATCCAGCAACTCGACATCACAACTAATACCGATATGTCAGTCACGGCTAGCATCTCAACTTACGCAAGTCAATACGCCGCAAAGCAGCTCGCTATATCCGCCTCAATTCCATCCCCAAACATCATATTACTCACCAGGCACTATCCCACATGTCACAACTATTCATCCGGTGTATCCAACACTACTCCGTATCCTAGAGGGCACAAAGAACCAGGTGAAATTTGAATACACCCACAGTCGGTGGTCAGAGGTGACGTGCTACTCATACGCCCCAATCGAAAGTCTAGCTAGATGTGAGCGAGGATATAATAACGTCTCTGGATATGATGAAGGTGGGCTGCCGCCTGGATGGGAGTAAGTATATATATCTCTAGCTACATATATCCCGAGACCATGATTGAGACTTGAACCTTTTGGTCATGACACTTTTAGGAAAGAGGGAACTCTAAAGAAGCAGTTACTAACCTCTCACGAGTTCCAGAAAGCCCAGTATTCCCCACCCTGATATCGTTCCAGCATTCAGATCCGGCCCACCATCACCTCCGCTTGCTCTTTTTTCCCCACAGCAGCAGCCACCATCTACTACAGAAGATGCCATCCACAAACCGAAAAGAAAGCCATTAACACAACAAATGGCAAAGCGAAAGCCAGTTCCTAATAGCGTAACAAGCATAAAGTGCATACCATCGCCGAAAATGCCATCGACAACCACGGGGTATAAAGCCTTTGATTCTCGCGACTTTGCCTTACAAAAAGTTGAGAACCGGTCCGATGCAAAGCCACGGCCCAGTAAAAGTTATGGTATTGCGGATGCCCCTTCCGGTACCCCTTCCCCTGCTTCTTTTAAGGCTAGGAGCTTGAAGAAGGTCTTGAACTGGGTCAGTAATGTGGGCCCACGCAAGATAATGGGCGAGCATAAAAGGGGGGTAGTGGGAGGGAAATGAGGACGGGAAGAACTCTTTAGGGAGTTGAATTATATTGAACCTTGCATTGCCTTTGGATACTGCCTATCAATCTCTCTATCGGCCGATAAATATTATAAGTTAGATCCTAGAATAATATGTTGCGAGAATGATTTACACACCGTGATTCATAGTGCAACATTTTAGACCCTCTCGATTGTCCTTGCGATACGAATTTTACAACATATAAACGACTGTCAAATTTTCGGATGAGCAATAATCCTTTGCTAACTTCTCCAATGCAGCCCATAGCTAAATACTCTCTAATTCTTCTTAGTCTATATACGTATGCTCCGGTGTTATTTAGTTGCTTTAGCCGGATCAGGATCCACCAGAGAAAGAAACAACAGCCCATTTCCCACTCCACGCCCACTTTCTTGCACCACTATCCCCACCGCCGCCTTCCATCGCCCTCAATTTCTCATCCTCACCGGCCTTGAGCCCTACGACTACATCCGCTTTGCAAGTCCGCAATGCAAGAACATTGACGCCGGATCCAGGACCCATCGGGCCAATGGCTTGAGTGAATGGGGTTGTCGGGTCCCACATTGCCTGTATGTGTGTCAGCTATATCACATACTCCAGGAGTAAATGACAATTAATCGTCGACATACATCAGCGGTCAATTTTCGATAATTCAAATCCCCCTTGAAAATAACAAGCTCGCTCTCCTTCAAATCTTCGTACAGAGTAGGATCTGAGGTCGGTAATCGCCAATAGCTACCACCTTCTGTCCAGAATCGATTCGGGCGCAGTATTAGCTGGCCTTCAGCATGGAACTTACTCCAATCTTGAAACAAGAAGAAGAGCTCATCAACCTCCTTTTGCGACAGAGGAGCTGGAGTTTTGCCGGCATTCTTATCGTCGTCTGATGATGTAGTATAGAATGGTTGTGGGTTGGCTAATGCATTCAAGAGGGCAGCGAAGTCTCCGGGGACAACATCTGATACGAACCAAGGGATTGATTTCGGATGGAGGACAACACTCGTGGCGAGTCCAGCGGAGAGCAGGAACCCAGCGAGGATAAGGTCGACATAGAGTTCGAATCCAGCATTGTCGAGCACAATATCAACTCTTCTCTCTTTCTTCCCTTCTTTCTTAGCTTTTTTTAGAAGCTCATACGCGGCGCCTAAATCATTAATGATTATGTTCTTTTCTGACGCTTTTCGTGCTTCCGAGCCTTGTAACTTTTGGATATCCTCGTATGTCAAGGTAGTAAGGAGCGAGAGATCAGTAGCATTTCCCCAAAGGCAGATCTCGCACATCTCCATGAACAGCATCTTTTCCGCTTCTTCAATATCCTGTTCTGGCTTTTCTGCCTTGTGAGACATCTGTGTGATAAGTTCATGATATCGGCTGGCGAGTTCGAGGACGGCAGGACGGGATGACTTGAAGGTGGACATTTTCTGTCGGGAAAATACGTCGTAGTATTTCCAATGTTTAGAGAGGGAGAACGATGTTGCCATTCGTCTTACTTGCGTGGATTAGCGAGTCCAAGAAAGCAAGTGGGTAGACGTACCGGTAAAGATAACATTCGGAGTAGAGCCAAGGGAGGTTGAACCACGAAGGCGTACTCAACTGAGTTAATTCCTGATTGTAGCCGGGGATATCTCGGCCGCCATCATCTGGAAGAGGTCTGAATATGTTCAGTCGAGATCTCAAGTAGTTCAGAAGACTTACGAAAGTTTCCTATCGTGCTGTAACTCGTATTTGAGCGTAGCTAGTTGCTCGATGATTTTCTTTCCTTCTGCTCGCTTTTCCTCGCCTTCTGCCTCCGAGACCGCTCTGTGTACATCATCGATTGCCCCAGTCTACAAGTATCTCAATCAGTCTCAATTCGCAGTAGCGGATAAGGGCCCTTACGAGGATAACAGGCCAGCGATCTCTTGCCGAGACGTATGCGAACGAGGTTTTGTCTCCAGTGGAGTATTGTGCTGTGGAGTAGATGTTAGAACCGTGAATTGGTAATGCTTGAAAACATACAACTTACGGGTCCGTGTATCGTTCTCCATGGTGCAGTGCTTCTATTGCTCCAAATTTGTTATTTGATCTAGAAAATGAGTCGAAGGACGTGTTGTACGCTGTCAATCTGGTCCTATCCAGGTCTGGCTTGGTGGGGTGGTGGGGTATTTTCAATCACGTGGAGTGGGAATCTCCCGCATTTTCTATTTATAACTTTACTTCCGTCCTAATTTTCTCCAATTCAACCATTTAGATACAAATTGAACGAGATATAGATATCAACAGTGGACTTACTTATATACAGTACATATAATGGACAAAAGTTCGTTGAATTTCAGATTGTTTTAGTACCAAGCCAACGGACCGTACCGAGAGACTTAGCTAGGAACTCGGAAGTCCATACACTCTGCAACCTAACAATCAGATCTGTGCCACAAGTTCAGCATGCATTCAGTTTCACTTAAAACGAAAACGCATCTCTATTTCTTGCATAGCTAATATTAATTCGGGTCTTAAAAATAAGGATGGACAGGACGGTGGCGTTTCAAATATGGTGTTCAGGTCGCATCTTACATCAGCCCGGGTATTAAACAAGTACCTCTACTAAAGTGGCAAGAGTCTCAAGTAGGACAATTTTTTTCTAGTTTTTTCTAAGCATAATAGAATAGAATAGAATAGCTCCTAAAATATTACAGTTCATCGCATCAAATTAATCTTGCGATTGTGTCTGCTTGGTGCCGAGTATATGTCACTAGACCAGATCAAAAAGCTTCCGGCTCCAAAACCTGTAATATCGCCCAAAAACGCCGAGCAACATCATAATACCCTATTATAAACAGGAAGTTCCTCGAGTTGGATGGTTCCATCCTATAGAGTGCTTTTAGATCATCGTGAGGGAATATTTATGATGTCAAACCTATCACCTATCTCCATTCATTTCAGCCTTGTGAGGTCGAGTTTCGCCGACGTAGTCCTATTGMTGGAGTAGCTAAATTTTATCGTTGAGTTACGGGAGCTCTGCCGGAGGTCCAGTTGTCTGTCCGGCATCCATCTCGTTATACTTCGGTTTCTCATCATACTGTGGTGCATAAGTTGGACGTTGTCCCTGTGTAGGAGCGATATGTGAGCGTTGCTCGGACCAATGTGGAGGGCAATGCGGTGCCGTAGGAGCGTAGTCCGCAGGATTATACTGATGTGGAGGAAAGGTCCCTGAGACCGGCGGTGATAGGGGTGGGGACACAGGGGGAGTGCCATATTGCTTGGGAGCAAGATGTTGATGTACCATTGGCGGCGGCGACATAGGCGGCGATAAAGGAGCAGGAGGGGAATTCGGAGGAGAAAACGACTGATTCGTGGTATATGTCAACCTTCGGTTTTTCTCTGCGGCCTCTTGCAACTGCGCCTTGACTAGCAGCCTCGCTACCAGTGTCGCAAGACAATCTTTCAACGTCTTCCGTACGAATCTTGTCATGAGGAAATTGCACTTCATTTCCACGTCTTCTCGAATATAAAGCCCTGATATAGGCGCGCCGATTCCGAGTTCGACGGGTTGTATGGGCTCATGCGGTTCGTTTCCTCCTAGTGTCCATTTCTCTTTGATATCTAAACCCATGGGCGCATACACATGTGTCTGTAACCCGTTCGAGAGATCGTGGAAGCATGCGTTAAAGGAGACCTTTCCTTTATAGCCGGGGAAATAGGAGATAGCATCGGTGATTTTGTACCAGGTGCAATGGTATTCTTCGGGTGACGCCTCGGCCGGTGGTGATATTTGATGGCGATCGGTGTGCGCAGGCTAAGAACTCTGTTAGTTGAATGAATGATCTTCACGATCACCTCGCAATGATCGAAAACACACTAAAAATTACATTTAAATCAATCATCTCGAGATGATCATGGAGGGTTGCCATTGCTGTTTCTCGCGATACCCCTGCTGGGAGGGGAGTGATAGTCGTGAAAGTTGTGCGCTTCGACATCTTGACAGTTCGATATGAAGTATCTGGGGGTGCAGTACAATCGAAGTAGATCTGGCCGCGATGGCGGGGACGTTGAGCCTGGAGCTGGGTAGGAGCTTGTCTGCTCGACGTCAGGAATAATGAGGTAGGGTGAGAGTGAGATTACGGGGCAGAAAACTCCAGCTGAGTCTGTACTAATACGAAGTGCTGTGGAAGCTGACTCTGCACTCTCGCAGCTTGTCCGCAATAAATGGCAAGGAATGATGCGACCCGGGCGATGCGGTCCCGGTAGTCATCATCAGCGAAATGATTAATCATGCAGCTGAAAGAGAGTCTCGCAGAATTCTTGACATGGAGCCGTGGCAGGCCGCAGATAGACAGCGACGGCGTTGGCACCAGAAGCGGTGCCAATGGGGGGAGCTGCCACGGCGACGCTGACGCGGTGGTTGATGCTGATTTAGAACAAGAGGCGTCCTCGGAAGGATTGGCAGCAGCCAGCCATCTTCACAGGCGAGAATCCTCAACTCCCTGACAACTTTCCCTCTCTCGACTTCGTACTAAGTACATAAACACGGGTTGTATCCCACTACTTCGTATTCAATAGCCCTTTAAACTCGGTTATGCGCCCTACCTCTCAGTGCTTTTGCACTTACACAAGTTATCTGCAAATGAATATCAAAGGCGGCATCGTGGCGGCGGAGAGTAACAGTAAAGGCAATAATAGTAGCCGGCAGACAGGCAGTATTGTACGCGTAGTATTTGAAGTACATAACCTAGATAAACAACGTCCTCGCAGAGCACTGCGGCAGAGCCTTGTTATAGGTACCTAGGCAGGTAGGTACCGATATACAAGCTGGTAGGCAATTCTAATGCGCATGTGTAGACTCACCGCCAACTCGCGATATCCCACACTACCGAGGTAGGCGAAGCTGGGGAAAAAAGCTCAACGCCGGCTATAAACAAATGCTGGAAAAGGAGGCAAAAAGTTATTCTATATTATTTATATTACATACTCTCGAAGCAAAAGAGTTCGACCCGGTGTCGAATGCCTACATCTCTTGCCGGTTTGTTGTTTTGTTGTTCTTGTCGTTTTTTTGTCGTTCTTGTCCCTATCTATCCTCTCCAGAAGACAATTTGACCTGAACCACTTAGCCAAGTGGCCGCCTTTTCTCTTCCTTAAAACAAAAACTGCTTATTTTGACTTATATAGAGGGTCAGCGCAGACAAGGATTCAGTCATGTGACCAGCCTTATAAGTCAGTTTATCATGTCTATCTAAACACAATAACAGATACTTGTATATTCTCTCTCCGTCTACTGCCATAGCCTGTCTAATCATATCTTCCCGTGCATATACTTTATAAAGTTGATTTTAAGTCTTGAAACTCCTGCCAGTAAGCCCTCAAGAACAGCCAAATCCCGAGTTACAGCTTTGCAAAAGGTTGGCTAGCGGCACTACTCGACATCCTATTACTATTGCTTGAAACAAATGAGATCTTGCTCTTATTCCCATTGGAATTGCCGACTGGCTTAAAAAGAGCAGCGACCTTTTTATCTAACGTTCAAGATATATACGATTAGTTCCGCGCATGTACAATCGCTTTCGTGCCCACTGATTGCTGCAGCAGACTCACATTAGAGGCTCACCGATGGCCACCACATCAAAGTATTCGAACACCTAATGTGTCCTTTCACCACAGCCCGCATGCATAATGCAGTTAACTTAGTTACAACATGCCGTGCGGTTGCCGATTATTGTCTCAGCTTCAATATCTTCAGCACTAGATTCAACTCCATAATTCTTCGTCTTTATATCTCCCACAAATATAAAGGCAGGTCATTACCTTTATCTGGTGATTTATTGCCTTCGACATGTTCCTTCGGCTTCTTTCAGTGGTCAGACGAGGATAAGCTTCTCAGTAGGGTGTGAAACGGTGGGGTTTGTACAGGAAACAACCGCCTCCGCCATCCGTTGCACCCGTGAGTAGTACAGCTTAGCTAGTACGGAAGGTCATATACCCCTGGTCTTAAGAAGATGGCACGTCTTCAATCGAATCTAGGATAGCCTCAAGGAGAAAAGTTAAGAAGAGCGGGTACGGATACTAGGAAACTTCTGAAACTGATGCGAAATATATATAAAGATGGTAGCCAGTTAACAGAGTTGCTATTATTATTGCAGCAAGCTTGACAGCGAAGCTGCCTCGGTCATCTCTAAAAAGCCACTCGCAAGATACGGGTAAAGACATGGATTTCCTCCACCCTCACTTTCCATCTAGCATTCCAAATAAAATCATATTCCATGATATTTGGCTCACAAAATCGCAGCAAATCAACCGGCCATGTCCATAGGCTCCTTCAGGAGTATTATATGCTCTGGCTTTCTCCAACTTAAACAATATATTATCCAAATTAAATTGAAATCATAGAAGTCGGTTGATAATAGCTTCGTCAAGGCATATAAAAAGGCCAAAGTTACATCGAAAGACACGAAGAATAATAAAAGCAAGCTCGAGATAGCTATGGAACAATTCATCTCGTGCGAAACATCAGCATGATTAGATACTGCTTAATAGCAAATCTTAGGTCGGCGAATTCAATCCAGATGACAGCTTCGAGTAACCTTTCCTCAGTTTGTTCTCACCGAGCCAGTTTATTTGAGTCGTAGTCAGCAACAGAATGCTCACGACGTTTTGAAATTCTAGCGCGAATTGCTGCATGTTCTTTCTATACTTCTTCCAGTTTTCGCACCCAGGAAGAGGCTTTGGTTCCACATCTTTCGCCATGGTGACTAGGTGAGTGATTGGTATTTGATGTGGATAGGTGGATGAGTGAGTTGGAAAAATTTTCAAGTCGGAGAATGGAAGGCTGCAAAGGCGAGGACCCTCTAGATAAATTGTCAGTTCCAGCCAACGATGAAATTCACTCCAGGTTCACATTCTGGGTGTTTAAGGATACTGTGCATGATCTCAACGAACACAGATATCAATTAAAGAAGTAGTTGTAGCATTTTAGAGGGATAGCAGAAAATCTAATTTATAAAAAGATATCGAAAAAGGAGAAATTAAGTAACAGATGGTTCTCTGTTTATCTTGAGACTAACATCTAGATATTATAACCTTAGATACGAGAGCGGGATTTCTTATATTTAAATACACTAAATGATCAACTGAGATACCTACCCCTTTCCCTCCTCCTGGTAGCGTTACTATCTCTATAGCCCCTAGATTAATTCACAAAAAAGCATTTATGGTTGTAATCATTGTATTATATAATGCAAAACACAATATAGTCCAACAGCTAACTTGACTTTACACTTACCTATAGTATAGCTCGAGGTATAGAGCGACGTGTTTAATGTTTCCACTGGGGTGGGTAACAGATAACAAGTTCTACGAAGCAGCTAAGGATCTGTATTTGTGGTAATGTTCTGAAAACCACTTGGAGAATATCATTATTCATGTTATACCAGTCATCGAGGTAGTCAGGTGCCAACTGATGTTATATGTCTCTCGATGTCAACGACAATTTTACTGAAATTCTGATAGTACTATGTCTTTAGATTGGTTTTATTATATGACGCTTTAATACACATATCCGATGCTAGCTGAATAGACTCAATTGGGCGTTTCCAGAATATCTAGACAGTATAGGACAAATCTAGCATCGCCGGTTGTAAGGCGTTATTAGTGCATACACCTAAAGTCTATATCATTTCAAAGCAGTAGAGATAAATACGTGTTGGTATGTAATACGCAGATTCGAGAAGTGAGCAGATATAAAAAGGAACATGCAAATGTTGGAGGCGCGCATAGTGTAGAAACATAGGCAGCTATAAGATGGTACCTACTTATTCTACTATTGTGGCCTGGCTTCGCTCGAGCCACTTCGCTGTCTATTTGCCATCGTCCTCGAATCTTCGTGTCAAGGGTTAACCTCCGATTATACCACGCATATTGGGCTGGCTGTGTAGAGTTGCCCATTGGCATCTGTTAATTGTCTTCGATGCCAGAGTTTCCAGTAAATGTTTTCCCATTAACGATCAGTGAGCCCAGGCCCTTTCGAGGGGAACGCGAGCGAGGTAGATAGATATATTGGAAAGGATTACAACTGCCCGCCATGTCCTCAACTAGTGCCTTTATATCATGATTCTAGTCAGTATGGAGTATATGGAAACTATTCCATATTTTCCAGCGTCACTACCCACCCAATGGTCCAATACGAATTATCACGTGACATGTCCAAGCTAGGAGGTCCAGAACCAAGTGCATCTCAAATGCGAAATGCAACAGAGACAGGTTCTGCTTCCTACTACGCCCTTGCTTGCAAGGGGTTATGCTTCACCAGCCTACCACATACGTGGAAACGAAATAATTAGGAATGGAAGGATTTGAAACACGGGATAAGCGGGTGATGGAACTGTTAGGACTTCCTTTAGTGGACATTCTTCGTCCACCCTGAAGACTATCATACTTCGCTAGACCTTATCACTGTACGTCAGAATATTCCCCAATACACTAGCTATGAGATAGATGTAGAGTGGGGATGGGGAGGTAGTAGTGGCATGTCTCGCATGCACGTTCTCCGCATCGCTCAAAACGGCTCTCAGCTTGGAATTGAAGAAACCCCAGCTTTGGAGCCACGGTTTCAGTATCTGCGAGGTATCAAGAGAAGATCGTCATGAAAGCACATGGGCAAGCTCGTAATGGCGTTTTACTACCCGGTGAAGGGGAAAAAACACCACAAAAGAAGTATGTAGAAGCTCAGCTATGCCTGCGTACTCTGCTCCTGGTAAGCTCTACGAACCGCACCATCAATCATGTTTCGGAAAAAGGAATGCAACTTTGATGCGGGATTATATTGCGTGAGTAAATTTTATTTGGGTGGGATATGTGAGCCGCTGAAAGACGAATGAAAATAGAAACGAAGCAAATTGTTTTGGCGCCCGTCTGGAGGGACACGATGTACCTGCAAATAGCCCGCCCACCTCGGCGGCACGCCAGAGTCAAAGTAGCTCAGATAGTA